TGTCTATATATATATATATATATATATATATATATATATATAATATTCACAGATTCACTGCTTAAAGCACCGTTTAACGAAATGAATGAATACGTGATGACCTGTAGGAAAGCAAACCTCCTATGGAGAGGAGTAGTGTGAGAACGTGGGGAACGCAAGAGAATCCGGATCGAACTTTAAGTACCGCTGTACAGAACATGAAACATAAATGTGTTGTTTTGCTTCAGGGATTTGTGTGTGTGTGTATACGTGTGAACGCCGGCGGAATGATTGATGTGCAAGAGGTGGCGTTCTCTCAAGTTCTATTGCAGTCTAACTCTTTAATTCAGTCCAGTTTGATTGTTAGCATGTTTTTTTTTTGTTTTGCGCTCGCGTCTTGGGTGGCGCTCGCGTCGTGAACGCAGCGTAACTCGCTGTGGGCCGGAAGGCAGACCGTGTCGATACATATCAATGTATGGACGACTGACGGAAGGGGGATTTTTGCTCAAAGGAGAAATACAAATGGATCACAGCCGCGTAGCAGCAGCACAAGAGCATTTTTGCGACAGCAAAACAAACAAACAATCCAGTAAACGAGTGCAGATGTGAGAGAAAAAAATCAAAGAAAATTTATTTATGAAGACACAACTTTTGTCAGACTCTGAGTAACTGGTTTCGAGAAAAAGGAAAATGATGCACATGGACACAGTACGAGAAGTATAAATACCCCTTCATTCGCGTCGACGTCTTTCCACCGAGAGAGAGAGAGAATAAATAATACTAGAAGGAAAAAGGAAAAATACGTTCGATGCTTTTCTTCACCTCCGTCCTCACCTCAATGCTCTTCGTGCTTCTTGATCTTCCAAATTCTCGTAAATGCATTTGATTTCATGTAATCTGCTATTCTTTTCCCCCTTTTTTTAACCACAGCTTTGCCAAGAGTTCACACCCACCTACCGCTCTATATTTTACGTTTTCCTGCGTTGCTGTATCGTCTGGCTTCTAGCGTTACTAGCTGCTCGGCGTTCACAAGAAGCGAGAGAGGAGAAACAGGAAAGAAAGCTTTCCTCTCGAGGAGGAATCGCAGATATTTGCAACGAGACAGCGCCCGGAAGGGGAGGAAGGAGGAAGTCTCAGAGCGAAGGAGGGAGGTCTGGCTTGCTGCTCTGGTGTTGGTTCTTGCGATTTTCGTGTTAGAAGCTGGCGTGTTTTTTATTTCATCGGTGAGTTTGTGCCCCCCACTTTTTCTCTGTTGTTGTTCTCATTAGGTGTTTTTCTTTTCACTCTGCGGAACGTAACCGTCGTTAAGGAATTTAGTAACTTCATTTTTTTCTTTTCGTGTGTGTGTGTATTTACAGTTGTGTGTGTGTGTGTTGTGTATCGCTCAACTACTTCTCAGATTGAAGCGACAAGGGAAACGAGCGGGTGAGCCGTGGGAAAGCCCATTGTGGGGGTTTACATTGTGCTGGCTCTGTGTAGACGTACGCTTCTGTTTTCTTTAAAAATCTAAATCTTCTCGTGGGCTGTTGCTGTCATTCAGTGTTTGTGAAAACTGTCTATATATTTATACTTTCAGGAACATATTTTCTGTTTCACCATGTCCACAATTGTGCTGCACAATCTCCCAGTTGGGTGCATGGAGTCCGACATCCACCGCGCCTTGCTGATCTACGGCACGGCGGTGAACATCGAAATGGACGCGCGCAACTCGCAGGCGGTGGTCACGATGCGCACGCAACAGGAAGCCCAGGCGCTGCTGAACCGCCACTCCGTGAACGTGAGCGGGACATCGGTGCGGGTGGACACGCAGCAGTCGCAGCCCCCGCCGCCACCGCCCCAATCGATGGGAGCTGGCCGGTATCCATACCCCTATCCCCCGTCAGGCGCCATGTACCCCGGTATGGTCCCTTCGTCCTCCGCACCGCCAACGCAGTCGTACTACCCACCAAACACGGCAGGCGGCTACCACAACGCCCCCGCGAACACGCCGACTGGCAACGGGAGCGCCATCATGCCGGCGCCACCGCAGACCACGCGGCGACTGAAGGTCGTGGTGGAGGACTGCCGCTACCCCATCACACGCGAGGTGCTCGTACGCATGTTCAGCATGATCGCCCCACCCGTGTCGGTCTCCTGCGGCCCCTACGGACCGACCACAACTGGGATGGTCGAGTTTGCGGAGGTGGCGGCGGCGCAGCAGGCGGTGGAACAGTTCCACGGCAAGGCCATCTACCCGGAGTGCTGCTACGTGAGGCTGATGTACGCGCCCATGTGGGAGGTGCCGCCGGCATCGGGACCAGGGGTGAACCGCACCCCGCCGGCTATGGATACCGCCGGCTACCCTTATGCGGGCCCGGGGGGCAACCCGATGTCTTACAATACCCCCCCACCACCACCGAATGCGGACATCGACGCCCGCTACCCGGCCTGGGACCCGCGCGACCACGACGGCGCCGGCAGCAGCGGCTACGATGAGCGGTACTACGGTGGTAGCCGGGGCTACGGAAGAGGTGATGACACGCGCTTCGCCGCTTCGGCCGCACGAGGGAGAGGTCGGGGCTTCCCGTATAACGACGACGATGAAAGGCGGGACTACGTCGGCCGTGGACGTGGCAGAGGCGGCGAGGGCCCCCACAGTGGACTGCTCGTTCGTGGCGGAGGCGGTGCGGTGCGAGGCAGAGGCGCTCCACTGGGCTTCAGCCCCTACAGCGTCCCTCCACTACCCGCACATCGTCCTCTGCCAGCGCGGGGTGGTGCGGCGGACGAATCGGCCGGGCTTGGCATGGGCGGCCGGCCTCCGGTGGCTCCTACGACCGACTGCGCTGTCCTCGTGTCAGGCGTGGCCGAGTCGGTGCCGCTCTACGACTTGTGGGTGCTGCTGGAGGTGTACGGCAACGTAAAGTCACTCAAGCGGCAGCACACGGACCGCACGCAGGTGGTGGCGCAGTTCCAGCACGCCACCGATACGGTGCTGGCGGTGCAGTACCTCCACGGCTGCCCCTTCCGCGGCTCCAAACTGCGCGTGAAGCGCTTCCTCGGCTACCAGGAGCGCGAAACGGAGTGGAACCTGGGGCGGGCTACGGACCCCTCGACCACCGCAGTGCTGTTTGAAAAGGAATACCACCACCGCGTCTCCCCGCACACACCCCGCAACCCGCGCAGCGCGATGTACCCCGACAAAAACCTGTTCTTCAGCAACTTGACAGACTCCATGACGGAGGCGGAGTTGGAAGAGCTGTGGGGGCGGGCGGGCTTTGAACCGGTCTCGTCGTACCGACGTGGGCCGAAGACGGCGATCGTGAGCTTTAAGAACATCGAGACGGCCGTGGACGTGTTGGTTGCGCTGCACCTGCAGGAGTTCAAGGGCCACACGCTGTACGTGACCTTCTCTCGCTTCCCGCCGGGACCGCGCCAACCCACGTTAGAGCACGATGACGCGCACGGTGACGCGCAGGATGAGGAGAAGGATGAGGATGAGAATCAAGGAGAGGATCCGTCGGAGGCTCCACCGGCCGATGAACCCGTGCCAGTGGAGGTAACGGATGAGGTAGATGAGGATGGTAGTGTCGATGGTGGTGCGGAGGAGACGAAAGCAGCTCCAAAAGCCGGTAAACACAAGGGACGGCCCGCTAAGAAGTAAAAGCATTCTTCGCAGTAAGATCTTGCGGGTATTTCGTTGCACGCGAGGACACGAAAGTGCTGCGTTGTGGGCCTCTCTTTTCCAGAAAGTGTGTCGAGCACGCATGGTCGAACAGACACAGAAGAAAAGAAGAAACGAAGCCGCGTTGAGCTGGACCTTTTGTGGAAACTTCTAGGCGAGCTCGCGCCTGCCTGTGTTGCGCGCTGGCGTGCGTGTGTACGGCTGTGAGCAAGCATCTTTCATACCGTTCTTTTCCTCCTCATCCAGTCTCGCTGGGTGTTAGACATCTCCAACGTCAAAGGGTGAGGTGAACAGCGAAACACGCAGAAGCAACACGTGGACGAACAACGTTGTCCCTGTCACCACTTCTTTTGCGCAGCAGAGAGTTCTTGTTTGTTCTTGATCGTCTCTTCTTCGTTACTTCTCCTTCTTCCCTTCGTCTTCTGCACTCCTCACAAACTGAACAGGAAGGGGCGGATCGTGCCGCTATCCCGTCTCTGAACGCCGTCGCTGTCACTCAGCGATGGACTCCGAGTCGCTAGATCGGGCCTGGGACCCGGCCGCACCGGGTGCAGGTGCGTTACGCTCTACCGCCATTGCCCAACTGTACTTTCGCATGACGAGTCACCACCCCCTGACGATTCTCATAGTCGATGCAATGTGTCTCACGTTCGGCGCGGATGGGGCCACGGTGCAGGAGCTCGTCGACTACCTCGGCATCACCGAGGATCGCATCCGCTTTGGGCTAGAAAGCATTCCTTCCGAAATGCGTTGCACTTCCCAGCAATTGGAGTCGGAAGGCGTGACTCCAAGCGTTGTGGATGCGTCTGCTGCATACGACACTCGCACGCCGAGCAACGGCCCGGCTAGCGAGAACGACCCGCCTGGTGACCGTCGCGTGGAAAAGGAAGGGCGGTATTTCCTCAACTACAAACGTCTCCTCCCCCTCGTGTACGCACACGTCACGCGGCTGCTGCTCGCCACGTGCGTGGTGGACGTCCCTGCGTGCAGTTACGTAGAAGCGGTGAAGGCGGCACAGCTCGCGCCGTACAGCCGCACCTCGGACAGCACGGCGCACGCCTTCTTTGCCAGTTCGCAGCCACCGGCTCGCACAGGATCGGCAACGAACGGAGGCCAAAGACCGGCGGAAAAGCTCACTACGACAGCTGCCGCGGCAGGCCTGTTTGGGTCTTCCTTTTCCAACACAGACAGCACCGGCGAACACATCGACGTGTCGGACGCGATGAAGCGCAAAAGCGCCATTCGCGGAATGTACTGCCTGGGATGCTCGTGTTACTTCTTGGTGGAGGAGTTCAACGACACCCTGTCGCGGTGTCCGCGGTGCGGAAAGGACTCTCTGCGCCTCTGCATCCAAAGTATCCAGCGGCAACTGAACGCACGCATCGCGGCACAGCACACCGTGGTGAAGCTGCTGCCCGCCGTGAGCCAGATCTGGAAGAAAAGCGTGTCTACGCTGCTCGCGTCGACGAAACAGCCGCAGCCGCAGCAGACCGCATCCGGGGAAGGTAACGCGATGCCAACCACTGCCAGCGCCACGGCTGCGCAACAGAACCTCAACTGTGCTCTCGCCAACGACCCATTTCTGTTCCAGCAGGCGCTAGCCTTTCTGCATTTGTACGCCGCGCGCTTCGCCTCCGTGAACGACGCGGCGAGCGTGGTGGATGTGCAGCAGATTTTGACCGAACCCGAGTACCGGGAGCGGCTGCGGGGGAAGGCGTCGCTGGCGGATCAATTTCGCTCCCGCCACCGCCACGCCACCTCCGTCCACGTGCGACTCGTCTCTCAAAGCGACGTGGACGCGGCTCGGCGAGCGGAGAGCCACCAGAAACTGCTCAAGCGGGCGATGCTGCCGCCCTGGCTGCGACACACCTCGACCTTGGAGACGCTGGGGGGCAGCCACGTGTACACCCGCAACTCTGCAGCGATGGCGGAAGGCGAGATGGGAGATGGGAACACGGATAGCGGCGACGGGGTACGGGGAGCTGGCCCGCAGGAGCCGTGGGAATCAGAGGTGGTGCAGACGAGCGACCACACAAAGGCGCCGCCTCTACACAGCGGTGCCGTGTGGAAAACTGGCAAGACGCAGGCGGCGGCAACGGTGGGCGACAAGCGGCGGCGTCCGGCGGAGGTTGACACAAGAGCAGACCTGCTGCGCACTGCCGACTTCATCGCGAAGCACTACTACGAAGACGAGTACGACGAAGTGACGTTGCCGTCGTCACGCATGCGACGCCATCACCGGTGAAAGCAAGCTGGTTCGTGTGTTGTCGCAGAGGAGCACGGTGCGTAGTCACTTTTTGTTTCTCTCGTATCTCTTGATTGTTCAGAAGAGAGTCATTTTCTCCTTCTGCGTGTGCTTATGTGGCTCTTAAAAAGAGAAAACTGCTGCTGCCTGTCGTGTTCATGTCAAGCTGTGCGTGGGCTGCGCGAATAGAGACAAGGGAGACAACTGACTTAAAAGTCAATAACTTGAGCTACGTTGTGTAAAACAGCAAACCTGTATCTGCGCACTGCACTAGGGCATCCAGATCCATTTACTCCGTCTTCTTCACGCGCCACAAACAGTCTACTTTTGGCTGCGGAAAGAGCCACCTTGTAGGTTATTAATTCTTCTTCTTCGCAGAGAATGGCATCGAACGCAGTCAGCTGCGCAGCATTCAACTTCATGGTGACGAAGAAATGAAAAGAGAAGAAAAGGCGTGGACTTCTGTTGCTGATGTGGAGAAGCGTCCTGCTTTAATTCTGTGCGCGATCTCATCGTTTCTCTTCTGCGTGCTCTCTGCATTTACCATCACCCACGATTCTCTTTTGCGCGGTTCTGTCTACACTCATAACAGGGGAGAAAAGAAGATCACGCAAGAGCACCCCTCAACAGTGGGGCAGCATAACTTATCGTTGCATCGCACACCACGAAGCTCAACGCAGCCGTCGCTCTGGCTCTTCCATTGTCTTCCTTTTAGAAATAAACATCAAAGAAAAATATAATATCCAGCGCTCTCAATGCAGTGTGCGAAAGATGCGCCGATCTTCACCGTGCAGTCCGTCGTTCAGGGATTGGCGTCGGACAGCGCCCTCCTCCTCAGCCTTGTCACCACCGTCGAGCGGACGGCGACGCCGCAGCAGAAGACCACCTTTGCGCGTCACTTTGTCTCGTTGCTGCTGCTGTGTCGTGACGAGAGCGTCTTCGCCGGCAGCGAGCTCCTCGGCGAGTTGTTCTTGCTAGACCTGGATCAGGCGATGTGGCGCCAGCGCGACGCCGCCGCGTTTCTCCGTCGCCCGGCCACGATCGTGAGCTGCCTGTTGGAGCAACTGTCACGTGAGACCTTCACCTCTCCAGAGGGGAATCTGCTGCCGCATCTTGTGGCCGCGACGCGGGTGCTGAGCGCCGGCGACGACACCTCCGCCTCGAGCATCGCAACACCGATGGGGGCGTCAACCGGGCAGTGGAGTCACCACTCCGAGGACGGCCCCCTCGCCTCGCCGGCGCAGCCGGATGGGATCAGCGTGTACGACCGCTTTAGCACGAGTGAGCTCGCCGGGCTGTCCACGGCAGAGCAGCAGTTCTTCGGCGACCTGGGTCGCTCCCCGCACCTCATGCATTCCGTTTCGAGCAGCGTCGGCGCCACCGGGATGGAGGGTTCGCGGCCGCCTCTGCAGGCGAGTTTTGCCTCCTCCGGTCAGCCGCCGCAGCCGGCCCGCCGCGTCTCCTTTCTGTACGGCTCCAACGGTGGCGGCGCGGAGGCGGCCACGACGGCGGCGGCAGCAGCAGGCCCCTCGAGCTCCGGCTGGCGGGACAGCTTCCGCTACACGGAGGCGTCGAACGAGAACGGCAGCCGCCCGGCGACGCGCACCGCCTTCACCGGGGTGCAAGTCCGAGAGGCGGTCGACTTCTTCTCCGAGGCGGCCGCGATGGCAGACCCCAAGAACGTGCCGAACGCCGAGTCAGCCCTCAACGTGGTCGACGTGCGCGCGGAGGCGGTGCTGACCCTCGCCTTCCAAATCCAAGACGTGGTGGCGAAGCACATCTCGGACTGTCCCCTCGTCTTGCGACGCGCCTTTTGGCTGTGGCTGCGTGCTGCTTCTGGCCGCAGCGGTCCGCCCGAGTCGGCGGAGATTTCGCCGGCGCCGCCCGCCACGACGGCCGCAGATGCTGTGCATAGACTGGCCCCCAACCCCACGTCCTCCACCACCACGTCCGCCCCATCCCTGTCTCCGTCGCCGTCGCTTTCGTTTGAGTTTGTCGGCATGGCAACCATGGTGATGTTGCACATGCTGACGCCGCTGCTGCTGTCCATCCCGTCCTTTGTGCTGCCCGTAGAGGAGGACGAGAACAGCGAGGCCTACGTGACAACCACTACGCGGTTTCGCTTCATGGCAACGCTGCTGCAGAAGGCGGCGTACGGCGTATTCTTTGACGAGAAATATGATGCTGGATTGACACCGCTAAACCGTGGCATGCGCGAGCTGCACCGGCGGTGGGTGTCGTGCTTCAGCGCCTTGGCCGATTACCGCGACGCGTCGTCGATGAATTGGTGCTGTCCGCTGCCCTCGCCGACCCGCGGCCTCGCTCTCTCCCCGTCAAGCCAGGCGGAGGAGCAGGCGGTGGTGCAGCGCTACTTCCAATTTCTGGACGGTTTCTTGGTCCCCTACCTGCAGACGACGGTGCTGCTGCGTCGGTTTACCGAGGCGATCCACCTGCCGCAGTGGCTGCGCTGTACGTACTTTGGTGCTCGCTTTGCGCGCGGGCAAATTGGGGGCTCCTGCACCGCCTCCGCCGCCGCCCCTCCGTTGGTTGCCAACACGTCGAGCATCTCTACTGCTCTTTGGGCCGTCGCGGAGAAAGATGGAGGTGAGGAAGAGAAGCTGCTGCGCATGAGCACAGCTGTTTCGCACGTGGTGGCGGGTCTGTCCACTGCCGCGTGCACCAACAAGACGCAGGTGGTGAGTGCGCTGATGGCGAACTTCATCTCCTTTCTCGGCACCAACAGCGCGAAGGTGACCACGGTGGTGATTTACGAGGACCTTCTTCGCCGTTACTGGGCCCAGTTCCCACAGGCTGGCGGATTGGATGGAACGGTCGCTTCCATCGAAAGAGCCGAGGCTGCCGCGGTGCTTAACTTTTACATTTACCTTGCTGTACAGCACAATGTGGTGAGTCCGCAGTTCCAGCTGGTGTTGATCCCGAGCGTGTCGGCTGCGCTGCGCTCGCAAGACCCGCCCCCACGCTTCAGCCACCTTGCCTTTTCTACCACAAGCACGATGCAGTGGATCTGGCACGTCCTCGAAGGCGTTCCCGTGGCGTATCGCCGGCACTGCGACCGTGTCCTGACAGCTACGGTGGCCTCCGGTAAAGGCGGGCTGGACGTGGGGCAGCAAAAGGCTTTCGCATCCACCGCAACACCGCAAATGCCGCGGCTGGAGATCTGCGGCTCGTTCTCAGAACTCATGTCGTGTCTGTTCCAGGGCCTGTCCAGCTACATTCCGCTTAGCGCCGACGACTATCACTGGATGGTGTGCGAGCAGCAGCAGCCGCAACAGCCGCAACACCAGCTCTCTTCGTCATCTGCTGTACTTCCTACCACGGAGGCGGCACATAAGGTGGTGCAGCTCAGCAGCGAGGACTGCTACATCGACCCAACTGTCACTACCAACAGCTGCTCTACGGCCGCCGCTGCCCAGCACCATCGCTTAGCGATATCCGCCGCGCTGGCCAACACTACCACGTTGCACTCGCTACGCGCACGCTGGCGTCGCCCACTCGCCGTGTCGGAGAGCCTCAGCGCCAGCGGTATCCTGCCGTTGCACTCCACCCGCGGACTCTTCGAGGTGCTCTGCACCGTCACCTGTCGCCGTCTGTGGACGGACGGCACGTTGCAGCCCATGATGGGGGTCAGCGCAATGGGCGCCCTCGTGCAACCTCTCTGCTCCGTTGCCCATCTCTACGGCGCGGCGGCCGACGTTGCGGCGACGCTGCTTGTGGCGGTGGACGCGACGCCGCCACCGCGCTGGCTGCGGGACCTGCACTTCAGCCACGGCAGCGTCAGTGTGCACGTCGGTGACAGGGAGGACGGCAGCGGACGGGTCTCCGGTGCGATGCCCACCACGCCCGGTGCCTCGTCGGCGACCACGCAGCGGATCGACCAGGTGCACTGGCCGCAGTGTGCGTGGTTCTACCCAACCTTCGAGGAGGACGCCGACGAAGGCGCGTCCGCTGCGACGTCCCTCTGCACCCAGTGGGAGTCGCTGATGCAGCACGTCCTCTTCTTCAGCAGCGAGTTCGACGCGAACGTGTCGGACTACGACGCCGACTCGAACGTGGCGGAGCAGATCCTGTCCACGCGCTGGGGACTCCACGGCGGTGGCGGAGATGGTGGCAGTTCCTCGACCTCGCCGTTGGCCCCATCTGCGCAGGAGGGCGGGTCTTCTTCTGCCGGGGTAACCGCCGGGCTCTCCTCCCTGCACGCGGTGCCAAGTCTACGCCACCTTTCCATTGAGAGTCTGTGGCGGCTCTTCCTCTTCAACGTGCGGCAGACGTGTCACATTATGCGCCGCATGACACCGCGTGAGTGTCCGTTCTGCCGCATGGAGGGCGCCATCGCCGGTGTCCTCGGCGGTGGCTGCGCACTGCGCAAGTCCACCGTCGCGGTGGTGCGGCCGGTGCTGGCCGAGGACCCGGCCTCCCTCTCGGAGCGCATTTCCCAAGCCGCCGCCGACGCGCTGCGGACGTGCTTCCCGTCGGAGGTGACCATCGTCCGCCTCATCGTGTCCGTCGCGTCGTACATCCGCAACGTGTACGCGGTCGTGGCCCGGCTGCGCGAGAGCGGCGCGGCGGTGCCTGCGTCCATGACGCCCGCGAGCTACAAGACAGTGGCCCGCGATGGGACGGCGCAGCTCCTGTACGGCACGGCCCCGCTCACGGCGGCGCAGGGGCGTTTGGTCGATTTGTTGTGCTTTGACGGCGACTCGCTCACCCGAAAGGCGTTTCTTCCGTACTACGAAAACTGCACGTGGCACCCGTATGGGCGGCTGCTGTACGATTGTTAGTGGCAGCTGCTCTCTTTTTATTATTATTCCTTTCTTTTTGTGGTACACTGCTTTCGTGCGCCTCTGTGTAGCGAAGTATCCATCTACTTAATATTGTTGTGCGAGGAGCCCCCCAAAAGATGGCGCTGACTGAAGGGCAGGGTGACGACAGGTGATCAATGAAATGTTTCTGCTACTGTATTGTTTTGCAGTGAATGGTGTGTGTTTGATCTCCATCTCTTCATTTCCTAAACCAATAATTAAAAGAAAAACGGTGGGAAAGGTAGCCTCCATTAAACCAGGCAGAGATAAAATTGCTGTGTTGCATCAAGCCTCTTCACACTGGCATGAGTAAACTGCTTTTCTTTTCGCTTTATTTTTGCTGAACTTGTATGTTGGCGACCTTTAAAAAAAAGATGGCGATGCTGTAGAATTCACTTCCACGTCTCCTCTAAAAGAGGATAGATGCGATAGTTGTTTTTGTTTTCCTTCTTACCCTTGGTGTAATTTTCAGGTGATTTTTTTATTTCTTCTGCTGCTGAAGAGTAATATAAGAAGCTCTAACTTCTGCCAGCAGGGCAACAACGCGCTGTTGTCAGGCGCTCCAAAAGATGTCACCGCCTCCCATTCAAAAGCTGGCCATCGTGCTTCGTGTTACGTCTACTACGTGCTGCGCGAGCGAGGATGTCGGAGTTGTGGAGGTGCCGTCCTCACCCCTTGCTGTGGCCAACCTGCGTCGAGCGCTTCGAACTCCACTGCACCGTTCCTCCTTCGTGTGTATCGGAAACGTGTGTTTTTCTTCCCTCCCCCCCCCCCCGGCCCCTATCGTGCCACTGAGCTGCACTTTCGCCTGGAAATGCGTTTCCCGCGCATCTCTTCTCTCTTTATTTTCTTATCACAACCTTCTGGTTGATCTCAACACTTTACATTACGCCTATGCACAATCAAAACTCCCCGCGATGAAAACTTCTCTTTTCAAGGAAGAAACGCAAAAGACCGTCAACGGCCGTTTTGTTTTTCACTCGTTTCTGTCTTTTACCCCAAAGAGAAAGCCGCCTCCTCCCCTGTTATTTTGTTTTAAAATATCTCTTTTCCTAGTTGACGTCGCAGCCATGAGCCAGGCATCCGTTGAGGCCGCCATCTTGAAGGCCCTGTCCACCGCGGACGAGGTCCAGTCAACGCAGCTGGCGAAGCAGCTTCACACAGACCATCAAGTTGTAGTCGGTGCCGCCAAGTCGCTCGAGTCGGACAACTACATCAAATCGGAGATGGGCCAGCAGATGGTGCTGAAGCTGTCGCACGAGGCCCACGAAATCATCGAGGCCGGCAGTCCCGAGTACCTTGTGTGGGAGTTTCTGAAGGACGGTAGGAAGAGCCAGGAGGAGGTGACGAGCAAACTAGGCAAGGAGACGACCGGCGTCGCGCTGGCGAACGGCATCAAGGCGAAAATGTTCAAGACGTCCAAGGAGGGCGGGAAGGTCTTTTTGGAACGCGTGCCGGGCAGCGACAGCGTTGTCGACGCCGTTCGCGAAGTTCTCAAGAAGGCCGCCGCTGCTGCCGACCAGATCGATGCGAAGACGATCGAGATGCTAAAGAAGCGCAAGCTGGCGACGGTGGAGGCGTACAAGACTTTCACCTACACGAAAGGGCCCTCCTACGCGAAGGAGCGGACGGCGAAGGCGGTTGGCGACCTGACCCGTGACATTCTCATGGACGGCTCCTGGAAGGAGCGCCAGTTCAAGGAATACAACTTCTCCGCCCAGGGCGCCGAAGTGGACGGCGGTGCGCTGCATCCACTGCTGAAGGTGCGTCAGGAGTTCCGCGAGATCCTCATGGAGCTCGGCTTCCAGGAGATGGATACGCAGCACTGGGCGGAGGTGTCCTTCTGGAACTTCGACTCGCTCATAATCCCGCAACAGCACCCCGCTCGCGATCTGCAGGACACCTTCTTCCTGTCCAAGCCGGAGTCGGCGCAGCTGCAGGAGCTGGACTACGTGGAGCGAGTGAAGACGATGCACGAGGCGTGCTTCCGCACCCCGTGGAAGATGGAGGAGGCCACCCGCAACGTCCTGCGCACGCATACGACCGGCTCCTCGGCCTTTGTCCTCCACAACCTGGCCAAGCACGCGACGCGCGGCGAGGACGGCAAGCTGCACTTCCGCCCTGGCCGCTACTACAGCATCGACCGCGTCTTCCGTAACGAAGAGATGGACCGCACCCACTTGTGCGAGTTCCACCAGGTCGAGGGCTTCGTGATTGACCGCGACATATCGCTGGCGAAGATGATGCACACCTTCGACTCCTTCTTCCGCCGCATCGGTGTGTCGCAGCTGCGCTTCAAGCCCGCCTTCAATCCGTACACTGAGCCCTCCATGGAGATCTTCGGCTTCCATACCGGCCTGAACAAATGGATTGAGGTGGGCAACAGCGGCCTCTTCCGCCCTGAGCTGCTGCGTCCGATGGGCTTCGACGACGATGTTTCTGTAATGGCGTGGGGCCTCTCCTTGGAGCGCCCAACGATGATCAAGTACGGCATCAACAACATTCACGAACTCTTCGGCCACCGCGTGGATGTCCGCTTCATCAAGCGTGCGGTCATTGCGCGCTATTAAGCCCCGCGCAACCGGCCGTTTTTCGTGAGGGGGCGTTGTTCAAGGTCAGTACGCTGCTGTTTACGTCTGTTCCTGAAGAGGTCGACCGAATGATGTTTGCAAAGCGGCAGCTACGGTGGGGGAAAAACTCCCGAGGTTGGGGTGGCGCACGAGGCGTCACACCCGCGGTACTTCCTTTTCTCACTATTTGTGACGTAATTGCATAGCGTTGTTGTTCGTTTGTTTCCAGTTACGCTCTTCGTATGAGTGACATTTCCTTCCGCGCTGGCGCGTCGAAGTAATTAACTAAATTAACGTCTTTTAGTTTATGCTGTGTTATTCTTATCCGCTGCTGCGGCTGTGGGGCTCCGACCTTAACTGACCCGCTTCAGTTTTCGGCATTCAATTCTGAGCAAAGGCTGCAGGGTCAACATGCGAATGTGAAAGTTGACTTTTTCTGTTTTTGCTTTTGGTGGTGTGCTGGTTGTATTTTTGGAGGGTAAGATCGGCGTGTGGAGAAGAACATGGAAGTGTGAGGGAGAGGGACGGAGATATGATGTGCGCACGCGAGATAACAGAGTCAGCACAGCTTCATAAAGTATGTGGGAAGTCACGGACGTTGGCAGGGACCATGTGCGTTTTCTCTTGCTTCTCTCTATATAGATGCTACTATCCTTCTTTTTTTTTCCCCTGTGGCGCTTTCGCATTGAAGTCTGATGAAACAGACAGTTGAAAAGGAATCCATATAAACGGCGTGTTCAACACAATGGTAGCATTGCCGTAACTGAGAAAGCTAGCAATTGAGTTGAGCAGCAAAGATAGTGCTGGCAGACAGGACCAAACGCTCTGTTTTCTTTGTTTGCTGAGTAAGCCTGAGTGCACGGCTTTCGATCTTCTCGTTGTTGCTTTTCCTCATCACTCGGTGTGCACGATTGCGGCGTGCCATCAGCTCTCTTTTCAACGCAGCTACCTGTATTTCTTCACAAGGTACATATGCACTGCGGGCCGCACATGGGATGCGAAGTCGCTTTGTTTTCTCACATCTCCTCCCTCAACCATCGTCGCTTCCTCCTCTTTCGTTTTCTGCCTCGCTTCAACTTTTCCTCGTACGCTACGGCACCTCATGCCGGGGTGACAACGCATCGTCCACCTCTCTCTCTCTCTTTCACAACACAAACAACGAAATCAACAACGCACCCACTTAACAAAAAAAAAGTAGTGAGGAACATCCAGAATGGTCAAGCCCCACCTCCACCACTACCAGGTGGTCGGCCGCGAGTCGCCGTCCGAGAAGACGCCTGAGCCGACCGTGTACAAGTTTGAGGTGTTCGCCCCGAATTTCGTGGTCGCCAAGAGCCGCTTCTGGCGCATGATGAAGATCAAGAACAAAGTCAAGGCCACCCACGGTGACGTGCTGTCCTGCAAGGTCGTGAAGGACGCGAAGCTGGCGGCGCGCAACTACGTCGTCGACATCGCCTACTACAGTCAGCGCTGCGGTTACACGCGCATGGTGAAGGAGTTCCGCGACGTGTCCAAGAGCGGTGCCGTGAGCCAGGCCTACCACGACCTGGCCTCCCGCCACCGTGCTCGCTACCACAACATCGAGGTGCTGGAGGTGAAGAGCATCCCGGACCACGAGGTGAAGCACCTGAACATCTCGCAGTACCACGTGCCGAACCTCTCCTTCCCGCTGCTGCAGCGCCGCGTCAAGGCCGCTCGCAAGGACCGTGCCATCTTCGTCAAGAAGAACACGAAGCGCGCTATGGTGGCTTAAGGCGGTTGCTCGCCTGTCCCTTTTTCTTTCTCGCTGCTGTGGTGGCCCCGTGCGTCTCTGCGGCGAGCCAGCGTTAAAGGTCGGCTGGGGAGAGAACGTTCTTCCACTCATCACGCACTTTAATGTGCTTTCTTTTCTTTTTTCCTTAGTTTTTTGTTCTCATTACGCTAAAAAAAAAATCCATCTGAACTATCGGAGAGGAAGAGGAGGATGTGGGGCTACCTGGAGGGAAGATCCCCCAGATGTTGGTGAATTACACAACCGTCTTTTTGTCGATGGTCGGCCTCACACACCTGCTCGTTTGCGCTGGCGGAGGCCTCACCTTTTTTTCCTCTGTGAACTCTGGCACTCCGCCTTCCGCGATAGCGTTGCTCCTGCTTTTCGAAGCAATAGTCACACCTGGAATGGCGGATAAATTGATCACCATTGGAGCTCGCAAAAGATTTCTCTTCTACCCGACAAATCATTATGATCTGCGTCTGCTATGCGTGTACACGCTTCCATGTCACATAAGTCAAAATGGTTCTTTCGCTCGTATTTTCTTTTTCTCCTCCTCCTCATCTCATTTCTCATTTTTCATTTTGCACGCGCTGTTCCACTTTGGTAGGGACGCTTCCTTCGCTTTCTGCGTGCACGTACCTCAACTTGTCTCCTTTCGTGAGTTCTTTCTCTCTCTCTCTCTCTGCTCCGCCTCGACGAGAAAGCGAACCGAGGCACCCCGCTTCTGCCGCTGCAGCTTCGTCCGTCATTTCTATCTCGGACAGGCTTCCATTTTCGACACAACACATTGATTGTTGCCTTAAGCCACATTTGTTATTTCCTTCTTTTGCATTAAGTTGACCTTCGTTGGAACTCCAAGAAGAAACGTCACGCATAACTGTTCTAAAAGTAAAGAAAAACTAACTCTCCTTTTTCCGTGTTTCCCAGCTGTTCAGTGCACCTTCGTCGTAGTTGCCTCGATCTCCGCTTTTTTAGAAACTCTCTCCCCCTTCTTTTTATAGTCACGTACTTACACACACACCACACATCTCCTGCCTTGCGTGCTGTGCTCTACCGCACCATGTCCACGGCAGCTTCCTCTTCCCTTCCCCAGCAGACATCGCCAACGTCCCCGACCGGGGGCCCGGTGCGGGTGCCGCCGGGGAAGGTCTGGCTGAACGCGGACGAGCCGGACGACGAGTACCCGCTGTTTTGCGTCTCTGCGATTCCGCCCAAGAAGCCGGGCACGGTCCGCATTTGGGTCGATGGCTGCTTCGACATGCTACACTTTGGTCACGCGAACGCGCTGCGGCAGGCCCGCCGGCTTGGCACGGAGCTCTTCGTGGGTAGCCACTCGGATGAGGAGGTGATGCGGTTCAAGGGGCCGCCGATCATGCACGCCGAGGAGCGCTACGAGGCGCTGCGGGGGTGCAAGTGGGTGGACTACGTGATTGAGAACTACCCCTACTGCACCCGTCTCAAGGACATGGAGAGGCTGGAGATCGATTACGTGGCGCACGGGGACGACATCTCCGTCGGTTTGGATGGCCGCAACTCGTACCAGGAAATCATCGATGCCGGCAAGTTCAAGGTTGTGAAGCGCACCGAGGGCATTTCTACGACGGACTTGGTGGGTCGCATGCTGCTGTGCACCAAGAACCACATGCTCCAGTCGATGGACGAGATGCAGCTGGAAAACGAGCTCATTGAGCAAAGTCCCACGACACACTACCTGACCACCTCCCGCAAAATCGTGCAGTTCAGCAACAACTCCAGCCCCAAGCCTGGCGACCGCATCGTCTACGTCGACGGCAGCTTCGACCTCTTCCACATCGGCCACATGCGCGTCCTCGAGAAGGCACGCGAGTTCGGCGACTACCTCATCGTTGGCGTCTACGAGGATAAGGTGGTGAACGATCACAAAGGCAAGAACTACCCCATCATGAACCTGAATGAGCGGGTGCTGGGCGTGCTATCGTGCCGGTACGTGGATGAGGTGGTGATGGGCGTTCCGTTCGACGTGACGAAGGAGCTCATCGAGAGTCTTGGGATCGACGTCGTGGTGGGCGGCAAGTTCACGGATTTGGTGCTGGATGGGCCGGCGTCGACGTGCTACGAGGTACCGAAGGCGATGAACATCTACCAGGAGGTGGACTCCGGCACCACCCTCTCCACCGACTCCCTCGTTGACCGCGTCGTCGAGAACCGGCTCGCTTTTCTGAAGCGTCAGGCAGAAAAACGCAGGAAGGACAAGAAGAGTGCGGAGAGCAAGCCGGAGGAGTACAGAAACGTGAAGGAAGTGAATTGAGGGGGCTGCGACGTGAAAGATTGTTAGCACGACGAAAGAGAAGAGTAGACAAAAAGAACCGCCGGAAAAGGACTTTCTTGCATTTGGGGTTCCTCTGACCGCCGAGTTACGTGAAGATGAACACGAACCTTTCCCCCTCACATTCCGTTTCTTCGGCGCCTTGAAATGCACACGACTCCACGGTTAGGTGAGCCCAGTTAGCTAAAATTAATTTGCTGACGGAACGTCTTGTGCGGAGGCGCGAGGGTGCTTCCTCGTAACAACAACAAAAACACACTAATTGGGATGCACATCTTCTTTCCCGTTGCCGCTGCAGTCGATGCGATGCGACGCCTTGCCGAATCCCATCAAGCGTGGTGGCGGTGAGGTCTGTCACATGATTCTCTCTTTCCTCAACGTGCGGCGTTCACGCAGGTGTTTCAAGAGAAAGCAGAAGCTTGCTTTCCAGAGCGCTGGTTTCATCGAGGCCGCCGGGTTGGTGTGGCCGCTGCTGCACCTCTTTGGGGAAGAAATGCTTGTTGAGATGACTTCCGTACGCACGAAGCTTCGTGGTGCTCGCCATGTACGTGTCGACATGTTATGATGGATGGACCAATTCGGCGTTGACGCTTTGTAAAAAGCAGCAGCAATCAACCGAACCCTCTCTCTCCCCTTATTTTTTTTTGGTGTATTTCTTCTTGCTTTGGCGCAGTAATTCGCCTTTTTATTATTATCTTCCGCTATCGGTAACGAAGAAGAACATCACAAGCGCTTTAACATCCAGAGCTGTGCTCCTCGCTTTTCCTTTCATTCCAACCAAAACAAAACCTTTTTTTTTCCATCCTCGCCTCGATGCCGCTGCAGAAGTCTGACGCGTCCTTGGCGTACGACCGCCGCCGCATCACCCCCGGCATCGTGCACTTCGGTGTTGGCCAGTTCTGTCGTGGTCACTTATTTCGCTACACACAGCACCTGCTGGAGGTGTCCGCGAAGGAAAACCACCAGTACGACAGCTGGGGCATCGTTGGTGTCAATGTGATCAAAGGCGAGCGTGAGCGGGAAATGTGGCAGGACTTCAAGAAGCAAGACTGCATGTACTCCGTCACGCTTTGCCCCACGAAAGGCCCCCACACAACGGAGATCATTGGGAGCATGCTCGATTACGTGTACGCGCCGGAGCAGCATCAGAAAGTGTTGGACTACCTTGCTGACCCCCGCATCCGCATTGTCTCCCTGACAGTGACGGAGGGCGGCTACAACATCGACGAGGTCAAGAACTGCTTCAACCTGGCAGACAAGGCGGTGAAGGCGGACCTTGCGAACCCCGCTCAACCGCACACCACCTTTGGATACATTGTGGAGGGCCTGCGCCTGCGCCGCGAGCGGAAAATTGAGCCGTTTACCGTGATGTCGTGCGACAACCTGCGCCACAACGGCGATGTTGCGAAGAAGGCTATTTTGGGCTACGCTGGCGCGCGTGACGCCGAACTGTGCCGGTGGATCGAGGCGAACGTGTGCTTCCCGAACAGCATGGTCGACCGCATCACCCCCGCCACAACGCCTGCCATGCGGACCCATCTGAACAAGTTGACCGGGCTTGATGACCTGCAGCCGGTGATTGGAGAGGACTTCAACCAATGGGTTATCGAGAACCGGTTTCGCGTTCGTCCACCGTGGGAGCGGGTTGGTCAGGAGCTGACGGACAACGTGGCCGGCTACGAGAACACGAAGGTGCGCATCCTTAACTCGTCGCACCTGATGCTGACGTTCTCTGGATTGCTCCTCGGGTACCGGATGGTGCATGAGGCGCTCGGCGACGCGGACATCCACCGCCTTGTGGCGAACTCGCTGGAGAACGACGTGCTGCCGACGCTGGACTCGCCGATGGACAAGGTGGCGTACAAGAACAAGGTCCTGTCGCGCTTCATGAACCCCGCCATCGCGGATCAGCTGCTGCGCATCGCAGGCGACGGCTGCAGCAAGGTGCAGGTGTTCTGGACGAACAACGTCGTTGCTTTGTTGAAGAACAAGCGCGACCTGAGCAACTTCGCCTTCGGCCTTGCGTGCTTCCTGGCGTACCTGGAGGGCAAGGATTGCAAAGGAGCCACGTTCCCCGTGATTGAGCCGAAGCTGGACCCGAAGTGGAAGGAGCTGATTGCGAGCTCGAACCTCTCTGCGCCGCTGTCCCTCAACGCCTTTGATTCGTGGAGAAGTTTGGATCACGCCGAGTTGGATGCGCAGATCGTGCACTTCCGCAAACTGATCAAGGAGAAAGGTGTGCGTGCTGCAATGCCTTTCAAGAACAAGAGCGCCCAGTTGTAAGCTCTTTTTTTTCTTATTTCTTTCATTGTATATATCGCTTATTACGTTTCCCTCTCTCTTATGAACCGTCGGTCCCGATGTGGCCAGTTAGCGGCGACTGGTGTTTCTCACCTTGACGACAGCACGATGAGAACAAATCGCATTGCGGACACGAATAAAACAACGGGCTGCAGCCAAAAAAAAAAAAGGTAAGGTAAAAGAAAAAACCGATCGTGAGGCGTTTCAAAGAAAAAGGGAGGGGACTGGTTTCCGTGGTTTCCGACCTTAGCGTGCGTGTGAGATGGGAGTTGATCCGAGAGCCTCCTTTTTTTCTTTTCTTGCTAGCGATGCGTAATCCGTGCAACTTGGCGTACGTGAGCCAGCAAAAAAAAAAACCAAGCAAGCAAACATAATCTATTGCTGTGTTTGGTCCAGCAGTTATTACATCTTTTCCTTGTTAACAGTAGCGGTTGATTACTTTCGGAATTGTGAGATACCTATTTATCTTACTCTTTTTTCCCCTTCAAAAGTGCTGAAAACAACAACATGCGGAAGCTACTTCGCGACGGTACCGTTTGATGTCGCACAGAAGAGAGCTTCCTGCCTATTCATTTTTTTTCATTTTGTGTTTATTTCCATCTATCATTTACTTGTTTTGCGTCCTTCTTTTCGCTGCGGCGTGTTTGTGGCCACAACAGAATAACAAAATGTGATTTTTCCTTTCACCAAACAAACAAACAAAAACGGTTTTAATCCACCTTCTTTCTTCTTTCGTCTTATTTTTTTTTGTTTTCCAGTTATGGAACGAAATAGCTCTCTCGATATATATATTTCCCCTTCTTTTTTAGCGACACGTAAGTTATCTCGAAGCCGTGAAATCGACAGAGCACTGAAAAATAATTAAAAAAAAATCGCATACAGAGAAGGAACCACACAGTTTATTGAACCCGCAACGCTGCACGCGTTCGTATGCGGCGTTGGGGAACTCTGAAAGCGCTTCTAGCGTTTTGAGGGTTGTAACCGGCCGTTGCGGTCGGCGACCATGCCTTCTCTTATGCAGAGGCGTTTCTTTCCTTCGCCGTTGTAGCTGGAGAGTTTCTCTTTATCGCGGTACGCACCATTCACATTTCTTCACCTGCTCTGCGAACAGTCCCGCACCGTGAAGCTGCAAACGTTGTGCTTCTCGGGCGGCGGGATGAAAAGAAGAACCGACGATTTGCATGTGGATGCGTTGATTCCTTTCTTGGCTTGTGCGTGACCCGCGACTCTTCATTACCTGTCCACCTCAACCTTCCTCGGCGCTCTCTTTTTTGCCTTTTTGCCGTAGCAGCCTTCTAGTTTGAGTGACGGGATCATTTCCGGCTGCCATCATGCCAGTTTTCGACGGTGTGGACTTGCCCTTTGCCGACGAAGCTCCCTCGTCTGCCTCATCTTCAAGTGTACGTCAGCTGGCGCTGGCTCGAGAAGTGGTGCTGGCGGAGCTGAAGAACAACGCCGAGGCTGCCTCGATCTGGGAAGAGGCGAGTGCGAAGTCGCTACTGGAGCAGGAACGCAATGCGGCACTCTACCGAAGCTTCATCGCCGAGTTGCGGCAGCGCTGCTCACTGGAAGGTCTGAGCAGCTTCTCTCCCATTTCGGGTTCGGTCCGTCCGTCGAGGGCTGTCAGCAGCACCGGGCCTCTGGATCTCGTGACAGTGGCTGCTCCTCCCGTGGCGCTGCAGAAACGTGTTGGCGAAGGAGAAGAGGCCACATCGAACGGCGGTTTACATGACGTAGGAGTGAATTTGATGGCGGAGGAAGAAACACCGCTTCTCCAATCATCCGCCCATGTCTCTCAAGTCAGCTCCGTGGGCGACTCCGCAACGTGGACTCCCCAGCAAGCCGCCTCGCAGTCTTCCCTGGACGGCGTGTTCTTCGAGGCCCTGCTGAGTCAGCAGCTCAATCTCTCCCTCTCGATGAGCTGCGCTGACCCGAGCGAGACACTGGAAGAAATGCTGCGGAACGTGCACCGAGTGGAGAAGACGGTACGCGAGGAAACGTCGTTGCTGGAGTACGTGAATGCAGCACGTTTTGCGGAGCAGCGCGCCTATAAACGCCGGCGTACGGAGCTCGAGTCTCAGGTAACCAAGTCGCACGCCAAAGTTGCGTCGCTGGAGAAGTTGCTGAACGTCGGCGCAAGCGATGTGTTTCCCAAGGCGCCCAACGCGGCGGAACGGCTTCGGCTGCGGCTGCTTGAGTGAAGAAGGGTTAGAAAAGGTCTGTCGGTCGTGGAATTGTCTTTTCTACAACTCCTTCGCTGCCGCAAAAGTGAATAAGCGGGTGCGTTTGTTTCTTGTCTGCGGTGCGGTCGGCGTGGCGTCGGCCGCTCCACCATCTCTCCTTTCGTAGCTACGTTCACCCTCTTTGTTTGTTGAGCTTCAGTATTCACTGTCGCAGTTTTTTATTGGCCTGTTCCTTTCGTCGTGCCTGCGCGCACGAAGTAATACTTCATACACATACAACAACAAAGTGTATGGCGCGTGCTGTCGTGGCCTGCGCTGTGTGGCTTTGGAGCGCTCCGCTCGCCTCAACGAGCGAGATTGTCTGCCAACGTGGGCATGACCCCGCATGAACTGCGCTTCCACGAACACTTGCTAGCGCTCTTTTCCCCTTCTCTCGTCTTGCTTCCTTCCTCGCGTTGCTGCTCCGTACTTTGCGATTCGTGAGCACCACCTCTGTCGCGTGAGATTGCTATATATATATATAATCACCAGGGTTTTCTCTCCGTCGTGCTGCTAAACGTTTCCTTTCGTTTCTTTTAAACGCCTCTGTCGCACTGCTTCTCCTGCAGCTTCACCGTTGGAGGTGTGCCGTTTTTGGATTGAAGGTGAAGTCGGCAGCAACAACACAAAAAGTCCCTCCCACGCATTCGCTGCGGTAGCGCTGTTGTTTCCTCGGCCTGTTCGCGCAGCGCTGCAAATACCGCCCCCCCCCCCTCCTAAAAGAGAAGCACACATTTTCCTTATCTCTACACTTATTTCTTAGGTCCTGCAAAGGAGTGATGTCCGCGGCATCGTCGCCGACGTCGTTTCGCACAGAGAGCGACGGCTTCTTCACCAACGCCGAGAAAGAAGAGTTTCACTACACCGTCTTTGCCCCTTCCCGTACCGCGCCACCACCTGCGGAGACGGATGGAAGTGTTCCCGTGCTGCTGTGCGTCCATGGTGCTGGCATGAGTGGCGACTGCTTCTTTCGGCTGGCGCGTGAGCTGCAACGGCGCAGTGAGGTCTCCAAGGATGATCAGGTCTCTTCACCGCTGCCTCCGCCGGCGTCCAGTGGCAAAGGACTGCCACCCATGTCGGAGTCAGCGTCCTTGGCGATGGAGGCGGTCGCCGAGGTGCGTGGCGATGACATGGACATGCACATTCTCACCTACGATATGCGCTGCCACGGGCAGTCTACCTTCGCCGGTGGAGAGAATCACCTCGACATGGAGGTGCTGATGGAGGACTTCTTGAACTTTCTCCGGTACGCCAAGGAAGAGCTGTTTCCCAACAGCCACTTTTTTCTTCTCGGACACTCCCTCGGCGGAGCGGTGGTCGCGCGTGCGCTGAGCGGCAACAAAGCGGCACAGAAGCGCGTCTCGGGTTTTCTCATGGTGGACACTGTCGAGGGCACCGCGCAGATGTCGCTGGCACACATGTCGGACTACCTCAAGAGGCGGCCCAGCTATTTTCCCGCTGTGGACGATGCCGTGGCGTGGTTCCTGCACTTCGGTGGGATGCAAAGCGCGCAGGGCGCCGCGGTATCCGTCCCGCCGCTGTTGAAGCAAAATCCCACAACAGGACAGTGGCACTGGCGCACGGACCTGCACAAAATGGAGGCGGTGTGGGGAGGGTGGTTCAAGGGCCTGGACGACGCCTTTGTGTCGCTGCCGTGCGCCAAGATGCTGTGCACGGCAAACGCGGAGCGTCTGGACAAGGCGCTGACGGTGGCGCAGATGCAAGGGAAGTTTCAGTTTGAGGTGATCGGAAACGGCTGTGGGCACTACGTGATGGACGATGCAACGGCCACGTTGGCGGCAAAGGTGCGCCGTTTTGTGAAGCGAAATGAACTTCTCGCGCAGAAGCTGCGATATTTGAACATGACAGTTCCAAAGGACTACTTGTCCACCACGACGACCGCGAAGCCACCTAATTGAAAGTGGCAGCACACTCGACGGTCTACGCCTCGCGTTTTTTTCGTTCCCCTCCCCCCCCCCCCTTGCCATGCTGCTGAGGTCTCACGTCGGGAATAGCAGCGAAGTAGTGAGCTCCCCGTTTTCTTCTACGCTTCAGAGCAACGCAAAAAATAGAGGTTCAAAAGCACTCTGATGTTTCCTGTCCAAACGTACGGACCGGGGTTTTTTTTTTGTGGCCGCGACTCACGGTTTGGCGTTGTTGCTCGTTGGTCCGTCTTTCGGTGTTCTTGCGCAGACGGTTTCCTTTTTTCTTTCTGTGTGTCAAACAGTCTTCATTCTCGGCTCCCCCTCCCAAAAAAAAAGAAAACAATACCCCTTCAGCTTTCTTCTCCTTGGGTTCGGTGAAGATGAGAAAACACGCTGTTCTTCACCGGGACGCTTCGATTGACACGTCGGCTGCTGTCGATAGAGAAAATGTGTTTCTTCTCATCCCACGCACCGAAGGAACGAGAGCTTCCTCTACCATGGTAGCCGTACGATCGACCTCCTCGACCTTCCTTCCTTCCGCTCCCTTCCATTGTTTTCTCCACACAACAACAAACACCGCCGCTCACAGCGCTTTAAACACACAACAGACGCGTTAGAGTTACACGAGCTTTTTTTGCTTTGTTTTGCTTTCCTGCACGTAAACGTCTTGGTTCGTCTGTGCGAAGGCGTCATCCTTCACGCGCACAGTACAACACACAAGAGCGAAGAGGCGATACGCAAGTACGGCATTCCAAGCGTACAATTCAATAGAGTACTCTGTTGTTGGGTGCGTCGCCTTGCGGTACGCATTCTCAGGCATTATCACTCCCCTCAAGCCTTTTCTTTCGTGATTTACGTGGGAATCTCTCACCTACTTTTCCCTCTTTTCTGGAGTTGACATGCAACGCCACGGTTTTTGGCGTGTATCCCGACATACATAACGGTGTACGTGTGTGGTGGAATTGCTGGGTTGTTGCTGAGGTTTATCGCGCTATCGGCTGAAGGTTTTATTCCTACTATTTTTTTCTTCTGTGTCTGTTAGCCAACTTTATTTTGGATCTCTTTGTTCCCGACTTCGTTGCGTGGCTGCCTCCGGCGACTGGCGAGCGTGCTTGTCCAGTGCGACCTCACTTCTTCTTTCCCTTTCCTTGCCGTGTTGGTGCTGACCAAAGCACTGCCTTTCTTCTCTTCGACAGTCTTTCATTGCCTTTATTTACTTTTTTAGCGGCTTTTCTATTCTATTTCGCGGTTTCAACCGCCACCGTTTTAGCCATGTCGTGGCATCAGGAAGGCTGTAGCGGGCTATGGCGCTCCGAGGATATGGTTCGCGTTAATATCATCCTGCAGCGCGAGGTGCTGCACGATACGATGTTCGAAGTGGGCATGCTAGGCCGTGTGCAGTTCCTCGACGCAAACGAAGGCATTGCCGCCTTTGCGCGGCCCTATACCGAGGACCTGCGGCGCTGCGAGGAGCTGCAACGCAAACTGCACTTCATCGAAGAGTCGCTGCGCAAGGAGCCGGAGCTGCTGGAACGGTACAGTACAGACATCAACATGAGCGCCACTGTCGAAGAGATGCGCTCGTCGCTCATGCAGGGCCAAATGAACGTGATCGACGATCGCATCGAGTCCACCGTGAGCGAGCTCAATGCGATGCTCATGTCACTCGAGGGCTTTCAGAGCGAACTGAATCGCAACCAGGAAATGGAGGTGCTCTACCAGACGTACCAGCAGATGGTGTACGCACACGCCGACGAGCCGATGAGCGATGAGGCAGCGGAGGCGCCGGGCAGCCACGTGGGCAGTGCGTCTGCACGCTCCAGCGCCGTCATCAGCGCGGAGGCCTTCTCGCGCCTCTCTAGTCTTTTTGGTCTTCTCGACACCACCCGCGCGGAGGAGCTGTACCGGCTGTGCTACCGGGTGAGCCGCGGTAACGCGATTGTCGAGATCAGCAACGCGCCGGAGTTGTTCGTCGACACCAAAACAGGCGAGCGCAACGTCTCCAAGACGGCCTTTGTTGTGTTGTGCTCCTCGCCGCTGGTGATCACACGTCTGAAGAAGCTAGTCGGCGGCCTCGGGGCCTCTGTGTACACGCTGGAGGAGGTCCACACCCACGGGGCGGAGATAGCGCTGTCCCCTAACGCGCACCACGTCGAGGACACCGTCGAGGGCGTGGAGCGTCGCAAGCGCGATGTGCTGCAGCTCTGGTACGAGGAGCATCGACTGTACAAAACGTATTTGAAGGTGGAGAAGGTAGTGCTGACCGCCATGAACATGTGCGCGATGGCCGGCTCCACGTGCACGGCGTCTGCCTGGGTACCACTGCGCCACGAGCAGGCACTGCGTCGCGCCCTGCAGGACGCGGTGGCGTCGGCGAACGGGAGCGTAGAGTCCATCGTGGCGCACCACGCTGATCAGAAGCACCCGCCCACCTTCTTTGAAACCAACCGCTTTACCGAAGCGTTTCAGGGCATCGTGAGCAGCTACGGCATTGCCCGTTACAAGGAGGTCAATCCCGGCGTGTTCACCATCATCACCTTCCCTTACCTATTTGGCATAATGTACGGTGACATCGGGCACGGCGTGCTGCTGCTGCTCATTGCATTATACTTCATCTACAAGGAGCGGGCGTGGCGCACGGTGCAGCTGAATGAAATCGTCGCCATGGTGTTTGGTGGCCGCTACCTGCTGCTCCTGATGTCCCTGTACGCCATTTACATGGGGCTGCTGTACAACGATTTCTTTGGCTTCTCGCTGAACCTCTTTTCCAGCGGCTACACGTGGGCCCCCATCACCGCGCAGAATGGCACCACCTACCCGACGACGCCGAACGGTTTACCAAGCGTGAAGCCGTCGCACGTCTACGCCCTCGGCTTAGATGCGGCGTGGTCGGAGACGGACAACAAGCTGGAGCTTTACAACTCGGTCAAGATGAAGCACGCCGTCATTGTCGGCACCGTGCAGATGTTCGCTGGCCTTTTCCTCTCGCTCCACAACAGTGTGTACGAGCGGAACTGGTTTAAGGTCGCGTTCCTGTTTGTGCCAGAGTTCGTTTTCCTGTTTTCCACCTTCGGCTACATGTGCATCCTCATTCTCGTGAAGTGGGGCACTACGTGGCGCAACACGAACGACGCACCGAGCATCTTGGAGACCATGACGAACTTCTTCTTGGCGCCTGGCACGGTGACGAAGTCACTCTATAAAGGGCAGGCCGGTCTGCAGATCTTTCTTCTTCTTCTGGCGTTTCTCATGGTGCCCCTGATGTTGCTGGGGATGCCGTACATCGAGATGCGCGAGTATAAACGGTGGAAGCAGCGGCGATTCGGCGGCGGTGGTGGCGGCGGGGCGCAGCATGCGAGCATGGTCGTCATCGAGAACGAAGACTCCGCGGATGGATTCTTTAACGAGCCTTCCACCTCCGTTCAAACGGCCACCGCTGCCTCGCAGCGGCAGACCCGTGCGGACGGCGGCAACGACAGAAGCGCCGCCGCTTCACCACCCCCACCGACGCATGATTTGATCAGTGACGACGAACAGGCGCTGTACAACGCGGCTGTCTTCTTCGGGGATGACTCCATGGACCCGTATGGCGGCGCTGCCGCCGACATGGACAATGCCGCAGTTCGTGCAAGGGAGGAGGAGGACGAGCACTTCGAGCACTTTGACGTGTCGGAGCTGGTGATTCATTACGTCATCCACACGATTGAGTACGTGCTGGGCAGCGTCTCCAACACCGCCTCGTACCTCCGTCTTTGGGCCCTCTCGCTGGCGCACGCGCAGCTGTCGGAAGTGTTCTTTACCTTCACGGTGGTGAACGTGTTGAGTGTCAAGGATAGCTCGGGCTTTGTCATTGCGATTGGCGTTATGCTGTGGATTGTGGTGACGTTCGCCGTGCTGGTGGGCATGGAGGCGCTCTCGGCCTTCTTGCACGCCTTGCGTCTCCACTGGATGGAGTTCCAAAACAAGTTCTATGTGGGTGACGGCAAGGCTTTTGATCCGATGGATCTCCTTAGCTTGAACGCGCACAATTGAAGCTGTGCGTTCCGTTGATGAGAGACGTGTACACCTTTCTGTTGTTATTGCGCTCGCGGCCTGAAGGACGGAAAAGAACTGTATGAGAAGTACGCCCCGTTCAGGTGTTGTACGTTATTTTTCCTGCGTTGCGTCGTGCTACTTACGCCTTGCATTCGTCTGGGGAAAAGAGCGGTCAAGGAAGCGAACGATGCTGTTTTGCTTTGTTTATTCATATATATTTTTTTTTTGTTTGCGTCGTAACAATGTCTGGCAGCTGCTGCTGGATAAAAAAGTTCTCCTCTCATCGAAGAAGTGATCATGGTCACGTGCGCTGCTGCAACGATGTTTCCGGAAGAGTTGGCTGACAAGAAATTAATGTGAATGCCCGCGTCGTCCAAGTCTACTTTGCGACGAGGTACTTGTTGCCGCTAGTTGTTGATGAATCCACCGTCACACACCCCTCACAGTCGCTGATCGAATCATGCATGAAGGCGTGCCTTCTTGCGTGAGGAAAAATAATAATGATAATGCTGCTCCACTTAGCTTCAAAGTTCTCCCGTTGCGTTTATGTCGAAGTACGCTTCTCCCGTTTCGCCTTCTCTGCCGATGGCTCCACATTGCTTCCTTTCTCTTCTTCATCCCTTCCCACCTTTCTACGTGTTGTTTTCCGTTTCCACGGATGCAGAAACCCGAACTCGCCACGTTCTTGCTTCTCCGTTTTCTTTGTTTTAGTCTATTCTTGTTTCTCCTTTTCCGTTATCACTCAAATAGAATTCGTTTGTTTCCCTCCATTGCACGTCACGGTTGCGTTGTGCACGGGAGACAACGGTCTTCGATCTTTTCCTCTTGAAGGTGCTTCCCTTTCCTCCTACATCGAGTGCCCCTTCAATCTTTGCTTTTTTTTCCCCGACTAGCTCGCATTGTCTACGGACCGTGGAAGTGCCATTGCGGTAGAGCACACACAGACACACGCACCCACTGCCACTCCCCTACGCACCCACGTCCATCCTGAAAAGCGGCAGCACAAAGGCGTACATCTCTTGTTGCGGTTGTTCAAACAGTGCAGTCATTCGCTCATAAGCGGTCCCGCGGGGTTTTCGTCTCCTGTGCTTTCTGCTTTATCTCCTTTTGTTAAAAGCAAATCTCATTTCGACCTTTCATATTTGTGGCTATCTGGGTTATCAATGAGAAGCGAAGCGGTCAAAAACGAAAATCTACTGTTTCCACTATCACAAATGGCTCAAACGACCATCAAGACAGGTAGCGGGTTTGACGGTGAGGAAGATCTCCCGTTCAACGTGGCCACGTTCCAATGTGTCCCACTTCCAATTGACTCGCGGTACGATGCGTACGACGATGAAGATATGCCAACCAATTTGATGGCCTCCCGCTCCAACGTCCCTGGCATGACGCCGCAGGAGCTGATGGCTGCGCACCGCTCATCCCTTGCGGGGATATCAAATAGGCCCGATGCTGACATGCACAGCCTCACCTTGAGCCGCCATCAGGTGGAGCCCGAGGACATCTTGCAGGCCTCCATGGGTGATATGCCGGATGATGAGTACAACGAAGCTCTCAAGAGCTTCAGGTTTGGCGAATCCACGGATGGGGAATAGAGAATCAAGAAAAATGTTGCCGTTAAGACGGTTGCGTATGGTGGCTATTATTATTGTTTTTATTAATGATAAAACTAAAGATGAGCTGAATCGTGGGGGAAGTCTGCTGTGAAAACTTAGTCGAATGCCTTTTCGTGTTCTTTTTCTTCTTTATGACTCCGCCGTTCATTGTTTTCTTCTTTGCCATTGATTGGATTCTGTTTTTTTTTCTCTCTTGAGGAAGATGCTTCTTTTCATTAGATTTTCTTTGCTTTGGCTCGTTTTTCGTTGTTGTTTGCTTTGATCGAACCTCATTTTCTTTTCTCTGTATTCTCTTGTTAAAGGAAGACGGTGTTGCGAGTTTGCGTTGGTGCGAAGGGACGTAAACCCACGCGCACACACGCAAACTCCGTTTGATCTTCATCGCACGCCTATTTCCTCTGCGGTTCGGTACTTCTTCTCCCCCTTTTTCCTTTCCTTTTTTTTTCTTTCGCATAAAGCTCTGTTATTTTCTCTTCTCTCTTCTCAAAAGAGGAAAAAACTTATTCACGATGCTGTTTTAGGCGTGCGCGATGCGCGCCTTTGCTTCTGTTCCCGATTGATGGTGCTATGCAGAGCGCTTTGGTGTTGTTGTTCACCTGAGAAAACACCGATATATTTGGCTCTCGTGAGAACAAAGCGAAACCAAAATAATAATAATAAAACAAATATTCGTGTAGAGTACAATAAGACAAACAAAGCGGAGTTTTCTTCCAGTTCTCGTACTTGACCGAGGCAAGAGACGAGGTCACGTGTATTCAGACACATAGGCGCAACAACATTCTCATCTTGAGATTTCCTTCCTAAAAAGTCACCTCTCCCCTTTGAAAACAGTTTTTTTTTACTTAGAAAACGTAAAAGGGACCCTGTTTTCACGGGCGTTTAGATTGGGTTTGGTGTGCCGTGTCTGAGAAAAGGTGAAAAGCTATTTGGAGCATAAAGAGTACTTGTATCACTTCCTTTGCGACGCCTCCGCTAATGACTATATTCTTCTTGATGTCTGTCTTTCTTCTTTTGTTATTTGTCTGTTCTTTCTAAAAGGGCGAACGGATCTTGCCATTGTGTGTTCCGCTTCAGGTATGTGTGTGTGCGTGCGTGCATGCGAGACGCAAGTTCATTTCACGATCTTGCTGTTTCTCTTTTTGTTTTTCTGCCAGCATCTTCTCATTTGCTTTTTTTTTTCATCCGACCTTTTTTTGTAGTTCATTTTTCCCTTCTCCTTGTTGTCATCGTGGTTTAAGGCCGTCCATATATGTCTGCGAAGAAGGCTGTTCCTTCACTGGGCGCGAGTAATTGGTGAGCTTGCTTTGAGTTTTTCTTTTCTTTATTTATAACAGGCGTTTGTACTTTTTGTTCTGTGGATGCAATTGTCACTTGGGCTTCTGGATTCCCAAGGATCACTGCTGAGCATCTACGAGCATTCCTCAGAGAAACAAATATTGTTACTTTGCTGATCCAGTGTTTTTGGTTTTTTTTTTCGGTGCGTATTTGTTGCGGAATCGAATATGCGTGTGCTTTTGGCAACGCTATGGAGTGTAAGAGAAGACAGTTCCCACGTCTTTCTCTAGGTCATGTGTGATGCGCTGTATGAGAAGTCGGGAGGAGCTGTAATCTGAGCTTCCTCTCCTTCTTGTCTTCTTCCCGAGCCTACATGTTTTTTTCTTCCACTTTCTATTGAACTCTATTCTCCTCGGAAGTGGTCTCGAACTGCCTTCCCCTCCTCAAAAAAGGGAATAAATATATATGATGAATAGATGGGTTTTTCTACTATTACGTCTTTTTTCTTGTTTCTTGGCATCGTTGTCACCCACGTCTCGTTGCTTTATTATTATTTCAACAGTTTATATTCGCACTTCGCCTGCTGCAAGCTCCTGTCTCTTTCTTTCTCTTTCTTTCTCTTCCTTTTCTCCATGGAAGAGCGACGACGTTCATTGCGTAAAGGTCTGCTCGCTTGTTATATGTGCTCATCTTTCTATCTTTTTTGTTTTTCTTCCTCCCGAAAAATGTGGCCGAACGGCGATGATTCATGATGGCGGTGCTTTTTTGTACTTTTTTTCTCCTCTGTTTTTGCTTTCCTTCTCTCTCTCATTCCATCGGTAAATGGACACGTTTCCATTGCATATTTAGTTCAGGGAAAAGAGCTACAATTCCTCCCCTTTTCCCTCCTTTCCCTCCCTTCCCCCTTCATTTGGCGAGCTGCAAACTCGAAGAAGAAAGAGAGGGAAACGAGGTACGCAGAACACTATTTGCTAACGACCACGTATTTCCTCGTCAGCAGCGACGCACCGCAGGTGAGACCGCTTTGTTTGATTCTGCTCTTTTGATCTTTTCACTTTACCGGGTGGTGCTTCACCTTGGCCGTTGCGTTGCGTCCTTTGTATGCGTCTCTTCTGTGTGAACAGGGAAAGAAACCGCTATAACTACCATTTTTTCCTCTTCTTCTTCCTTTGCGACATCCGTGATAGTGGAAGGAAGTTGTATTCAAAGTGAAAGAGAAAACAAAGTTGCGAAATCGCACGGCGGGTGGGTCAGCACCCGGAATCTGCGAGGTGCGTACATCCGCTTGCCGACGGAGCAACGAAAACGCCACCTTTCCTACTTTCCTGCTCTTTCATCTTTGCCGGGTTTCCCTCTGCCTTCTCCTTTTGAGGATAAAACAACCACGAAAGATAAAAATTAAAAGAAGGCGACGGAGACAGCTGCGCACGGTAAGAGCGCCCTCCGTTTCACCAAACAGCCACAACAGCAAGCAAAAAGTACCCAGCCACACGGAAGCACGAAGGATTTGTCGGTGGTCATTGCGATGATCATCGCGATTGCCGCCTTTGTGGTGGTTTTTCTCATCTGCTGGTACCTCAACTTTCGTCCGCGGTCTACCAATCAACTCAAGCCGCTTTACACGAGCCGTAGCCGGCCGGAGAAGGTGCAACGGTGCGATTATGTCGTCGTTGGTGCCGGTGCGGCGGGCTTGTCGGCCGTCGCGGCGTTGCTGCACCAAACCTCCGACGACTCCCACGTACTGCTGATCGAAGGCGGTCCAGATCCGCAGCCCTCCTCTGCGCTGACACTCCTGTTAAGCGTGGGACGGCGGGACCGTCTGCTGTCCTTCGCACCCGACCTCGTCCGTGTCCCTGCGGAGGCGCTGCCGCGTGGGGCCAAACCCACATTTATGGGTCTCCCCACGCCTGACGAGGGCTACCAGGTTCAGCGGCCCTGGCACTTCTCCAAAGTCGAGGAGGACAAGGTCGCAGCAGCAGCAGCAGCAGTGACCACCGCGGCGGAGTCGAAAGCGAACCGGTATCGTCTACTGCAGTACACCCCGCTTCCCCGCGGCGTGGGGGTGGGCGGGACGGGGCTGCTTGATTGGGGCATGCACCTCAACTCCATCTGGCCGGCGCACGACGTGGCCTCGGCCTCCGCCGGACCCACGACGGCGCTGTGGGCCCGCGTGCCAGTGCACTTTCCCGCCCTCCGCAACCCCCTCTCCTGGGCCTTCGCAGAAACGGTGAAGACGGCAGAACTGGCGCCTCCGTACCTCCCGACGGCGGATGCGCCGGTAAAACACGGGACCGTCTTTCCCGCCTACTTGTACCTGGACAAGGACGGACGCCGCCTTGCAATGCCGTCCGCGGTGCTGGCCGACATCGCACCGGACGTGCTGCGCAGGCGGCTGAGTGTCTTGACCGGTTACACGGTGGTCGACGTGGAGCTTGAAAACAGCGCAGCCGATAAGGAACGAGAAGAGGAGGCAGACATCGCGGAGAAGCAAAGGCTGCGTCGCGTCTGCGGCGTGTGTGTGCGTCGCAGCGGCGCACCCTCCACGGAGAAGCCGCAAACCATTCTCCTAACAAAAGGTGTGGTGCTCTCTGCAGGGGCGGTGCACTCACCTCAACTCCTCCACGACATTGTCGCGGCACATAATCTCACGCTTCCGGTGCCGTTGCCGACTTCTGTTCCGCTTCGGGATGCTGTGGCGCTGCCGTTGATTTTTGCATCCATGCCGGCGGTCTCTGCGGATTCCTTCAACGCACGTGACACGAAGGGAGCTGCGATGTGGTGGATGACGCAGCGGGGTCCGTTTCTCGCCCCGCTCGGCGACACCGCCGCCTCTCTTCCGCTGCCCCAAATCGGTCCGCAGGCGGAGCTGCGAATTTTGCTGCTGCCCTTTGGCGGGCGGGATGCAACGCGCTTCAAGAGCATGGGCTGGGACACGGTGTTGGCCACGCCGTTGCAGGCCTACACGATGCTGCTGATTGTGCAGGGCATCGATGGGTTACAGCATCAGCTGACGCTGAACAAGACGATTGCGCCACCCGGCGCGGCGCACGCGCTGGGGCTGTGCCCCCACCACCCATCACCGACACTGTCAGAAGAAGTTCACCGCCAAGTGCAGGAAGCGCTCTTATGTGGCATCAAGGAGTGCCGACGCCTTACCAAAAAGCATCCCTTGTCTAGCCTCTCCCTCCACCCTGGCGCAGAATCCGTGGACTTTACGTGTCTCGTGCCGGTGGATGAAGCGAAGGCGGTGCGGCTGGCGCAGCTGTCACGGCAGATGCCGTCGAAGCGCACCGCCCGCAACAAGGCGGAGCTGAACGAGTTGATGCTGTGGGCGAGGCAGCAGCTCATGACGGAGCCGTACATGCGGCGCTACGTCGATGCCCACGCGTACTGGTTAGGCTTTGCGAGCGGCAGCAGTGAGACGTTTTTGGCTTCTCCGAGCTCGTCGATGAGGGTGGCCGGTCTCGAAAATGTCGTGGTGGGAGATGCGTCGGCCGTGACGGCGGAGCAGTGGTCCACTGTGGGGAAGCGGGACACGCTGGCGGCGGCCAGTCGCAGCACCACCATGCACGCTGCTGAGAAGGCGGTGACGGAGCTCGTGAAGGCGCCTTAGAAATCCACATCCTCCGGGAGAGGTGTCGTAGAGGATGGGGCACGACGGACCTGTACTGTGTTGCGCCGTGCAACCTCGTTGGATTGTGTTTCTTCTTTTTCCTGTTTCTCGACGTCTCACGGAAACCTTTTTGCGGCATTTTTTTTCTTACCTTTGGGCTAAAAGCGATGCGTTGTTTGCGACAACAACCACAAAAAGAAATAACAGTGCTGCCTCACAGTAGTTAACGTTTATTTTATTATTTTTATTTAAAGAAAAAGCAATGCAACACTAAGATGGCTCGCAATTCGTGTCACCGTAAAGAGCTCAATGATGGAAATATTGTATTTATTCGCTGTGCAGAGCAACCAACCGCGTACTGGAAGCGATAAAGACGGCACTCTGCATCGCTGAGTTGTGGTGATCATCTTTCCTTCTCTCGGTTTCTTTTTTTGTCGTTAGCTAAGAAAAGAAGTGCTCCGCAGCAGATTTGCAGGACAGATATGCGCGGCACGATATGCAGAGCCGATGCATTTGGTTATCGACTGAAGAAAGAAAAACCACGCCCCTCCTCCGCTCTATTGCTGTCCACGCTCAGAAGCTCAACGCTGCCCAATGAGCAGCAACACAGTTCACCTTTGTTTTCCGTACCAGCTGTGCACGAAACAACCGGTCTACCCAAGGGAGAACAGCACTCTCACCTTTCACAATCAGCGTCCATAATAACACATCAAAACAGCCATAGACTTAGATTTTTAGGCTGCACGCTAGCATGCCGCGTTCACCGGCATTGGCGCTGTCGGATCCGGAAGTGCTAAAGCGGGTTCAACACCTTGGCGACGCCCTGGCGGCGTCCATTGCACAAAACGATCCGCCGCCCCTGGACCCCTTCCAATCTCCTCGTCGAAGTGAGGATGGATGGCAGCACCAGGTGAAGCTGTTGGAGGACCTTGCCCTGCTTATTTCAGATGGCGTCTCTGCCCGCCTCGCCTTCGTCGGCTGGGTGTCGCTGTACCTGAAAAACGCGCTCATCTCGCTGTTAGAAAGTCGACGTTCCGCCGTGGCGCTGGCGGCCATGGCAGTGCTGAACTGCCTCGTGCTGCGGTCCTCCTCTACAAGCCGCACGGCAGCCTCAACGATTTGCTCGTGGTTTACGAAAACGTTGCTGCGCCTGGCTGCAAGCCCGTCGTCCGTCACCGCCGTCTCCACGGCAGCCTCAGCGCTGCTCACCTCCATGGCCGGTGGGTGCCTGCTGACACTGGAGGGTCTCAACTTCGTCATTTCCGCGTGCGCCGCGATAAGTGCGGCGGTGCGTCGTTGTGCAATGCGGGTGCTGCAGACCTACTTGCTGGGGGCTCGTGGCACGCCACACCAGTTGGCCGCCAGCGCGTACGTCGACGCCGTCCACCGTGTACTCCGTGACGGGGTGACGGATGCCGATGCGACGGTGCGCGCCGATGCCAGACGGTGCTTTTGGTCGTTGCACCTGTTGGAGCCGGCGTCGGCGGCGGTGCTGCTGCGGGTGTTGCCGCCAAACGTCCGTCGTCTGCTCGCTGAGGAGCGTGGGCGCGTGCTGGAGGACCTCCAGGCGGTGGTGGCGACGCCTGTCCAAGCAGCCGAGGCGACCCCTGCGACGCGGCAACAGGTGGGGGCGCGGCTTGCCGGCCCTCGGACGGAGGCGTCGCGCACGATGACACTCAAGGACGAGCTGCAGGCGGCGGCGGCACGTCGAACACGTTCGCACGGGTCGCGCTCTGTCTCGCCGTCCACACGACACCGTCAACTGCTGCTCCTAGCGAAGGACCTCCCTTACGACCCCGAAAAGAGACCGATAGTCGTCCATACCGCTCACCCGCTGTATGAGGAGGTAAACACGAAGTCGCGGCGGATGTCCCTGCTGAACGCCATGGAGAGCACCGACTGGTCTGTCCGCCGCGCCGCCATTCTACAGGCGTGTGAATTGTGCGAGGATGGTAGACTAGCGGATGACATGCCAACGTTTTTCTCCGTACTCTTACTGCGACTGCAGGACACTCAATTTCGAGTGGTCGAAGCTGCGCAGGACTGTCTGCGGTCTTGCCTCCAGTATCGTCCTGCCACGACGCAGGAATCCTTGCGCGGGTCGTTGAACAGCTACTTGAATGCGATCTTTCGGAACACGACACACGTGAAGCCGACGGTTCGCCACGGGGCTCGCATCGTATTAGACATGCTGACGCGTCTCCACGAGTCGCCCGCGAAGCTTCTGGAGGCGGTACTCCGCAGCATCGATGATGCCGGCGGCTACGCTGTGGAGCAGCGGATGGCGGAGTTTCTCCTGTACTTTGTGTTGGTGCACCCCTCCCTTTTTGCGCTGCAGTCCATCACCGGCGCCACAGTGCGATGTGCCGTCACGCACATATCTGGTCCGCCGGCAGATCCGTCAGCGGAGGTGCATCGTGTTGCCGCGGCGGCTGCCGTGACGGCCTGGTCGAAGGTACTCGGCGTGCTCTCGCTGATGGGTCCGGAGGTGTTTCGCGACACCTTTGAGCGGCTGTCTCCGTTGCAGAAAGGCACCGTTCATGCGGCTTTTCGGGAGTGTTTTATCACGCCTCGAAGTGGCAAAGAGAAGACCAACGCGCAGGACTTCGACAACTCAGAATTTTTGACCAAAATAGCGTGCGTCTTTGCGGAGCAGCTGAAAGAGGCATACGCAGCGCAGCAGATGCGGCTCTCCACGCGCGGCAGGCGTGGGCAACCTTCGAGCACGCAGAGTCTCGGTGCAACCTCCCCTCCCCTCCATTTCGTCCCACCAGCCGTGTTTCCACCACTGCTGAAGTCGTTGCTGATGTCGCCCCCGCCAGGCGACAGCAGTAGTGTGAGGCAGCCTTCGCATCTCGCTCAATCTCATGGTGCGACTCCCCAACACTCTACCTCCTTTAGAGCGAACAAGAGTTCCAAACAGGCAGAAGATCACGCAGCGGCGTTTCGACGGTCCTTTGTCTCCACCCTTGCACTCCCATCTGAGACAGCAGGTGAGCTGAGCCCCGCGGACGCTGTGACAGCCGCCTTCTACAACAGCGTCGCCGCGCCGTTGAAAATGGGCGACGGCGAGGCGGTTTCTCACAACGCGCCTGCGCAGTTTCTCCACGAATGGTCGTCCTGCAGAGATGCAGCCGCGAAACGTGCCGCTCTCCTGCGCGTCGCCTTCGCGCTGAGGCACCACGCAACTCGCCAGCGAAACGTGTCTTGTGCGTTTGGAGGGTGCGACGGTGATCAACAGCCGGAGTGCGTGCCGGAGGAGGCGGAACGCCTCTTGCAGTGCTGGGAGCGCGAGGTAGGCGGGGCCGAGTACGCCTGTGATCACCGCTTGCGCTGGGCGGTGTTCGATGCGTTGGAGGCCCTGCTCGGTTGGTCGTCAGCTCGATCGGCCGTGGCACGACAGCTGACTCGGGTCATTACCATGTGCCGCCACGGCATGGATGATGCGTTTGTAGAGGTGCAGCTGCAGGCGACCACGTGCTTTGCTACCGCCGTCTTGAAGCGCAAACTGCCGCTTGATTTTTGCCTCGGTGCGCTTGCCAGCTGTCTCTCCAGGTGGATGGACGGGCCGGCACGCGACGCGGCGACGCCGGGTTGGCTGGAGCTGCTGCGCATGCTGCAACGACTCTTTGAACAGGAGCTGGACACACAACTGAAAGCCTCAAAGGGCGCCACCGGGATGCGGGTGGACGGGCAACAGAAGGATTCCGCCACCGCCGCCTTCACCGTTACATCGTCGGTTCTGCAGCGCGTTATCGCTGTGGTGTGTCAGTGCCTGACCCACTGCAATCCGGCAGTGCGGCTGTCCGCGGTGCTGGTGCTCGCAGCGCTTCTGCACGCAGTGGGAGAGTCTACCGCGGCATCGTTTTTGACTGCGTTGACGCCGGCACAACACCACGTGTTGCGTGTGTATCGTGATCGGGTGCCCATCAGCGTTGAAGACGGCTCTTAAGGGAAGTTGCTTTTTTTTTTCTGCCTCCTTTTGTCTCGTTTTCTCTATTTGCTCCTCTTTAGTTTTAACTGCTCGAACCGTCTTCGCAACGGTGGGTTATTTCTTCTTAAACACCTGCCTTCGATAGCTGATTCTTTTACGGATCTTCTTTCTGCTGTTTCTCCTACGCAAAGAGCATCAATAACAAAAATCTCTTTTCACTCTGGACGGCGGCTTTACTCTCGTTGAGGCACTTTAAATGCACTCTTGCTCACATGCTCAAGGTGACTACGTGTAGTGAGCTTTCTGCGAAATAAGAAGAGGAAGTGATCCCTGCGTATGCGCGAGAACGCGTGCTCTTCTTCTTGGGACGCTGATTGGTGCGGCAATTGCAACGCAACGGGTAAGTGCTCCACCCCTCTCTCTCTCTCCTCTTCTTCTTCTTGTTTTTTCCCTTTACGATACTCTCTCTTGAAAACAGGGAAAATAGTTAATGTTTTGTCGTTTATTTTTCTTCTTTCAAACCACCCTAGTAAACCGAACAGCGTAAGCAGTACAACATCATGTCCTACGTCGTGTACGCGGTGGAGAATGCGGATCGCATGATTCTGATGGGTCCTCGGGTCGCTGATCAGCCGACCTTCAAGACCATCACACTTAGCTGGATCCAGGCGCCGAAGCTGGCCCGCCGCATGGCCACGGGTGGCTTTACGCCGGAGGAGCCGTACGCTTACGAGGCCGCCGAGCTGATCCGCTCCACCTTCATCGGCAAGCAGGTGCAGTTTGTCGAGGACTACTACATCGAGGCGCTGCAGCGCAGTGCGGGTCGCATCATGGACGCGAAGGGTCACGAGGCAACAGGCATGCTGCTCAAGGAGGGCCTCGCGTCGCTGCCGGACCGCATGCCGCCTCGCATGGAGAAGGAATTGTACGACATCTACGCCCAAATGTCTGCCGCAGCTCGTGCGGCAAAGAGAGGTCTTTTTAGCCTTGACGCCGCCAAGCATGTACGACAGATGACGTCTTACACGCCGGAGGAGCTGGCGGAGAAGATTGAGGGCATCAAGGGCCAGACACTGCAATCCCGCATTGAGAAGGTGGTGTCGCCCACGCTGATCATCATATCCGTGAAGGAGCTCGGCGACACGCAGTTCGGTGCTCACCTGACCGGCGTGACCTCGAAGGACAACGAGGACGAGGCGGTGAACGCGCAGGCAAAGTTCTTTCTGGAGCGCTTCCTGTTGAACCGCAACGTCAACGTCCAGTACGACGGCCTCGACAGCTACAAGAATGTGCTCGTCTCCATCGTGTCCTCCAAGGGCTCCTTCCAGAAGGAGTTGCTGTCGAACGGGTACGTCAAGATCCAGAACGCCACGCTGTCGCTCTCGGACCGCATTGACGAGCTGACGGCTGCAGAGGCCGCCGCAAAGAAGCTGCGGCTGGGGTGCTGGAAGAACTACGTGGAACCGGCAGAGGCGGCGGAGCCGGCAGAGGCGGGTGAGGGGGACGTCGCGGGTGCCAATGGCGAGACGGCGGAGGGTCAGAATGGGGAGCAGAAGCCGCAGGCCGCTGCCGCGCAGCACGTGGCGAAGCCCGTCGGTCTTCCGACGACGCTGCCGGACGGCACCGCGGGCCCTGCCTACACCGGGCCTGTGGAGTTCGTCGGTACCCTCGTACAGGTGGTCCACGGCGACACTGTCGTGATTCGCAATGACGCCAGCGGCCAGCTGATCCGTGTCTCCCTGGCTGGCGTGCGCAGCAGCAAGAACATCGACCGCGACCAGGACGGCAACTCCCCCGAAACACGCCTGACCTACCACGACTACTCCTGGGAGGCGAAGGAGTTCCTGCGCAGCCGCTACATCGGCGCGAAGGTGGTGGTGCAGGTCGAGTACGCGCGTGTGATCCCCGAGACGCGGGAGATCCGGCCAGCGGCGACGGTGCAGATTAAAGACACCGGCGTGAACATCGGCGTCGCCCTGCTGGAGGCCGGCTACGCCACCTTCTTCCTCGGCAAGAACGACAAGTGCAGCAAGACGAGCGAGCTGGCCGCCGCTGAGGAGGCTGCAAAGGAGGAGCCGAAAGGCGTCCACCGCGACATCCCCGGGGCGCCGATGAAGGTGCTGGAGCTGAGCCACCTCGGCGAGACCCGCAGCCGCTACTACCTCAGCTTCCTTCAGCGCGGCATGCAGGGCAGCCGTCCGCCGCCGCTGAAGGGTGTCGTGGACCTGGTGCTGGGCCCCAGCTCCCTGCGTGTGTACATCCCGAAGGAGAACTTCCAAATCCCCGTCAAGGTCGCCGGCGTCATGACCCCGTCCACCGCCTTCAACCCAAATGAGAAGGCGGACCCGTTCGCGCAGGAGGCGAAGGAGTACGTTATCGGCATCGCCCAGCAGCGCAACGTCACGATTCAGGTCTTCACCTCGGACCGCGCCGGCAACTTCATCTGTGCCGTCGTGCTGGAAGACGGCACGAACCTCTCCGTCGCGTTGGTGACGGAGGGCTACGCGACGGTGGCAAATGTGGACCGCCTGCCGTTTGCCCAGCAGCTCATTGAGGCAGAGGGCGAGGCGCGGACGGCGAAGAAGCACATATGGTCCGCTGAGGGCGGCATCCCGAAGCGCGCGGTGAAGATGGAGCAGGAGCGGGCGGCGGCCAACCCGCACTCGCTCGCCCGCGTGCTGGATGAGAGCGCCGCCTTCACGCCATTCATGATCACTGAGGTCGCTGAAGATGGCCTCTCCGTCTACCTGCAGGGCTACGATGCGGAGCAGGACAGCAAGAAGGGTCACATCCAAGACCTCATTAACCGCACCGTGGCGGGGGCCGAGTACACGCCGAAGAAGGGCGAGCGCGTCATTGCGCAGTACAGCGGCGACAAGACGTGGTGCCGTGCACAGGTGCTGAAGGCGCCGCGGGAAAGCAAAGTGGAGGTGCAGTTCATCGACTTCGGCAACACCGAATCGGTGCCGCTGAAGAACATTCGCGCCGTTCCGCGCGGCCCCGAATACGCGGCGGTGCGTGACACCCCAGCCTTTGCCAAGCAGGCCCGCCTCGCTTACCTGAAAGGGGTAGACCAGAACGAGGTGTTTGCCGGGATGGCCTACGCTGCGGTGGAGGAGTACGCGGACGGCGAGGTGCTGGCCAGGGCGGTGTACCGCGACGGTGCCGGGCACACGTACTACACCGTGACGGCGAACGAGAACGTGTCGTCGCTGAGTGAGATTCTGCTGCAGCGTGGCTTGGCGCTGCTCGACCGCCGTGCGGCGAACGTGGACCCGAAGGATTACCACCGTCACGAAGCCGCGCAGGAGATTGCTCGCAAGGGACACAAGAATTTGTGGCAGTACGGTGATATCGACGAGGGTGATGGGGATGAATGAGAATCTATTGGCTGATTCCTTTCCGCTATGTTTGTAGCGCGAAAGGGCGTAGAGGAGCGTTTGGCACTGAAGCGGCTGCGTTGCGGCCGTTTGTTCGGTTTTTGCACATTCGTGTGTGTGTGTGTGTGTGTTTTCCGCGATGCTCTGTTGTTCAGCCTCTCGCCGCATGGCGTTGCTTTCGCGCTCATGAGCGGAGACTGAAAACACGAGAAAACGCAACCTGTTTTCACCGCGTTGCGTTGCTTTTGTTTTTGCTGTCTTAAGTGCGCCTTTATTACTTTCCTTTTTTTTTGTTACAACTCTCTCTCTCTCTGTTGTTCTTGCGTTGGTAGCTGGTACGTCGTTGCGACCTCTGGGCTGAGCGTTGCAACAACGAACCATGCTGAAGCAGCAGCGCGCACGCGAGCGAGCGAGAACAGCGCTTTTGCGCACCCTTTTTTTCTTCTTCTTCTTTTACCTGAGGCCTCATCTTCAGTTTTTTTTTGGTGTTTCAACTCTTCCAGCGGAGTTTTGTGTGAGTACCGAACCGACGAGAGTTTCATAGTCCCGCTTTCTCAGGGTGACAGGCGTGACGTGCTCGAGCGGGTTTCTTTTGTTATTCTTCGTGTTTGTGGCGTGTGCCACTTCTGCGTTGTGCGGCGAAATCAAGAAAACGGTTGTGCTCGCCAACCGACATCTCCCGTTTTCTTCGCTGCATTTTTTTCTTTTGAGGTACTTCTGGTTCTCCTCGCTCCTCTGTGTCTAAAGAAAAACTGATGGTGTAAACTTCAAATGTCAACTATATGTGTGTGCGTTGCGTGTGTATTTTGGTGTGGATTGTAGTTGTCTCGAATAATGCTGAACGCTTCTTCTGTGGCGGCTGACACGATGCCGCACCATCGACTTCTGGTGCCTATTTCTGCTTCTCCTCCGTTGGCCTGTCCGCGCGAGGGCGGCACGAAAGAAAAGGAAAGGAAGGAAGGAAGGAAGGAGAAACAACGAGCGTGGGTTTTGTGTTTCTGTTTTGTACAATGTCGTGCGCATTCTTTATCTTTTGGTTTAGACCTCTCTTTGTTGTTGCCAACGCGTCGAAACGGGAACCGATGAAAGACAGGAAAAACATGCACTCTACATAATAATAATAATAAAGAGAGTGTGAAAGGTTGACGGACGGAGAGGCTCCTCCGTTATACAAGGAAGGAAAAAAGATGCAGCCTTTACGCGGAACGGAACGCACAGCTGTTCACTCAACTCCCACTGCACAAAACCGTGCAATTGTTGTTCTCGTTGTGCGCTTACGGACTGTGACTTACGCCTCTTTCCTAGAGAGACGGGTGCTGTTTTTCACACCTCATGGAAAGGCGATAAACCTAGACGGCCACGTTGCTCCCTGCAACCAGCTTTTTAGGGATGGGGAGTGCAACGAGCCTGTTTGGTAAGTGTGTTTATGAGGAGCGATGTACTTATTGTTGTTGTTGGCGCTTTACTTTCTCTGGTCCTTCTCTTCAAGGTTTTCATCTCATACATAATTCCCGAAATAAAAATTTGGTTGCAGTTCTTTGCCATTTGCATGCGGACGAAACAAATCAAACAGAACAGCTCTATTGTTATTATTGTTATTATCTGAGTGTAAATCTGCGAAGTGTTTACGTTGTTCTTACGATTTAACCTAATTCTATTTAATAGCCTACTATCTGAATTCGCTAGCCGTCGTTGTGTATGTGTTTGCGTGTGTACGGTGTGTGGCCTAGTGAGGTTTAAAACCAGCTGAATCTACTATTACCGTGATTACTAGGACGTTTGTGTGTGTGCCTGGCTCGTGCGTCATCGTTGTCGGCGACACAGCATCACTACTGGTTTCGTAAGCCCTTCATATATATATATATATTAATATTTTTTGTTGCTGCTCTCAGCCTTCCCTTGCCTACATTTATCTCCACTATATACACCTATATTCCCTTCACGCAAACACTCGTCTTTTACCGCATTGGCTACGACAGAGAGACGGAAAGAAACAGAGAGACAAGTGTTGTATCGGTTCTGTTGTCTGAACTGATTTCGGTTATATATATATATTGTTGTGTCGTGCGCTTCCGTCTTTTTGTTTGTGTGTGTGTGTGTGTGGCTGTGCGCATCTACAACACTGTCCCGTAATCTCTGCTTACCATAACGTTGCAGTTGCGAACGTCTGACCCGAATGTCCGCTCTCCCGCACATCCAAAAGGAGTTCCGCAACCTCACGAGGGACCCGCCGGCGGGCTTCCGAGTGGAGCTGAAGGACAACAGTTTCTTCACCTGGACCGTGTGGTTCACCGGGCCGGAGGGCACGCCCTACGCCGGTGGCCAGTACAAGGCATGCATGACCTTCCCAAAGGAGTTCCCCATGGAGCCGCCAACCTTCCGCGTGCTGTCGTCTTTTTGGCACCCCAACGTGTACCCGGATGGCCGGGTGTGCATCTCCATCCTGCACCCCCCGGGCGTGGATGAGATGAACTCTGAGGAGACCGCCATGATGCGCTGGACGCCTGTCCAGACAATCCGATCCGTGCTGCTCTCCATCGTATCGCTCTGGAGCGATCCCGACCCGAAGGACGCCGGTGCGCCGGCGAACGTCGATGCCCTGGTGCAGTACCGCAACAGCCGTCCCGAGTTTGATGCGCGGTGCAGGGAGCTCGCGGCAAAGTCGCTGACTGAACTGCCGCCGGACTTCGAGGCACCCTCGATGGAGGAGCGGGTGGAGGTGACGAAGGCGCCGGGGAACACCTTCGACTACCTGGCCTCCGACGATGACGAGTTGGATGACGACGTTGACGACGACTTCGACGACTTCAACGCGCCCCCCGCACCGCCGTCTGCGACCAGCGGGTCTGCTGATCCCGCCAAGAAGTACGACGAGGAGCTGCGGCAGCTTCGCGCAATGAATGTGGGCGAGGGCAAGAGCGATGCGGAGTTGCTGAATCTGTTAGTAAAGTATCGCGGTGAGCTGGCGAGTGTGATAGGTGATTTGTGCTGAAGTGTCAGTGTTATTATTATTATTATTATTATTATTATTGTTATTGTTTTAAATCCAGAGTCTCTACTGTTATTTTGGTTGAGTGTATCTGTGTACATTCTTCATGCAGCATCGCTTTGCGCTATGCAGCCTTGTTCAAGCCTTTCTTTTTCTTCTCATTTCTGGTGCGTTCTCAGCTGCGCATCTTTCTATTCGTATGTATACCATTCTTCGTTTTAAATTGCTTCTGACTGTTTTCTTTCTCTTTTTTTTTTCGCCAATGATCAGTGATTGTTCCACAACGCTTTGTTCTGTAATATCAAATCCGTTTCGACTCCATCTCCGCTCTTACTCACGTTTGCGTCGTGTTCTTTACCTTTTTTTTTTGAAGGAGGAGCTTCATTGTGGTGTCTTTCATAGGCATTCTTGAGCAATAATATATAATGAAACGAAGGTCTATGTGTGTTTTGGCTTCCGTTCCACGGACAGTTTTTGTTTCTGTCATGTTTTTGGTGCGTTGCGATGTGCCTTCAGTGGAGGAGGTGTGCGTGTCCGTTTTCGACGCTTCTGTGCAAACGGGTCTCCGATGAGGAATCGGAGAAAGTAAAAAAAAGTATAACGACCTGACCGAAGATGGCTGTGCTAGAGAGGGGGAAACAATGATGGAGCCCCCGTTTTTTTCTTCTGCGAAGGAGGTTTCTTTCGCATCCAGTCTTGAGAGCGTCTCGAATAAGCCTCTAACCGAAACGGTCTATTTCGTACAGTATTCGATGCGTACTGTTTTGTTCTTTGACTGCTGAACGTCAGTGCGTGGCAGGGCTGAGAGTTTTGAAGTGGACAGACCGAAAAACACTATTTCATCTTGTTGCGTTGTTTGCAAAAAAAAAATAATTCAGTTGTGAACACCGCTCGTTATGTTCAGTCGCAGCGGCTGCTGTCCTCTCTTTCACACTTCGTCACTTCGCGTGCATCCTCAATTTTTGTTTCTTGCTTCCTTTCTTCTTCCTAACCACAACGCGTCTCCCTTATCTCGTCGTCAAGTGTTGGCTCTTGCAATCAGTTTTTTTTCTCCCCATCCTCTTCAAGAGCTGCCGTTGCTTTTCTTCCGTGAATATATTGGAACCCTTCAAAGCACGCGCCGTTCTTCATGCCGGCCAAAGCGGTTCCACCCAACACGCGTAGCAAGTCCCCGGGCTCCGCGTCCTCGCATGTCTGCAGCCAACAGTGCAGCCTGCCCGTCTGGGACGATGCCCAAATCGCACAGGAGAACTGGGGGAGCCCTCTAATCGCAACGTCCTCCGGCGGGGGCGGCACCGATGGCGGTCAAGACGCGGGATGGCAAAGCGCCGCCAAAACAAAATCCCCCGGCGCACACGTCGCAGCGTCTGGCGGCGGGGCGGAGGCCATTTTCCACGATCAGGCAGGACATCAGTGTGTGACTGACTTCATCCAGGCGTGTCGGACGGCCACAGACGACGCCGCCCCCACGGGGGTAACGGTGTCGGTTGATTCACCCACATCGGGTGAGGTGATGTGGAAGCGGCCAGTGGATATCTTCCGCCCCTTTCGCCCCGTCGTGCACCGCAACGCGACTCCATTTCTCAACCCCTACGCTTCGGAGGATGCGCTAACCCCGATGGAAATCACCGTCGCGGAGGAGCCGTGCCGCGCGCCGTCCGTGACGGGTGCAACAACGACGGCTGCAGCGATCGGCGCAGGTGCCGGCAACAGCAAGAAGTCGAACGCAGGAACGGCTCGCAGCGCTGAGGGCGCCGCGGCGGCCGTCGCAGAGGCGTTTCATCAGCAGTACCCCGAGGCGGTGACCGTGCTGGAGGACTTCGTCGGCGACGACGTTACGCGGTGGTCGCACTGCTCACGGATGGAGGCCGTCCGCCGCTACCGTGCGCTGCCGGTGCTGATGCAGCCATACGACGGTGCCCTCGTCGCCGGTTGTGCCGAGACTCCGGCGGAGGCGTGCGGGTCGCGGTACAGCACCGCCCTGCGGCACAAGCTGAAGCAAGCGGAGCAGCTCTCCGCCCTCGCCGAGGCACCGCCGTTTTTGATGACGGCGCTGGACAGCGCCTTGTTGGCCGTGGAGCGAGCCCAGCGCTTCATTCCGGCGGGGTCGTACCTGTGGGAGCTGGTGCACCCGCACGCCCCTGGCACCTGCCACCCGGTGTACAACCCGTTCGGCAAGTACGCGGTGAAGCTGTTTATCGCCGGTGCGTACCGCAAAGTCATTGTCGATGATCGCCTGCCGGTGGATGTGCTCGGCCGCCCGCTACTGACGACGACTTCATTGAAGGAGCTGTGGCCGGCGTTGATTGGCAAGGCGATTGTGAAGGCGTTGGGCCCCGTAACCGGGGTGGAGGCGCTGGTCGCCTCGCCCGAGTTGATTGTGTCGGTGCTGATGGGAAATTGGGTGCCGCAGTACCTCTCCCCGCGTCACGCACCGGTGTCGACGATGACGGCCCTCCTCTTGTACGAGCGCCGTCTGAAGAAGCTGTCGACGATCCCCACGCCGCTGCTGCAGGACGCGCAGCCCACCTCGCCGGGGAAAGGCGACAACGCCGCACAGGACGCCGACCGTGCGATCAAGAAGGACTTGAAGAGCGCAGGAAGTGGTGACGGTGGCGGCATGCACGCCCCTCGTCGACGATCCTCTGCGCATAGCAAGCGCTCCACCGTGAAGAAGAACAGCAGCGCGACCGACAGCTCGCAGACAGACGAGCAGCAGCCTCTCTACGCCTCGGAGTACTGCTCCGCCACCGTTGATGAGCCGATCCCCGACCAATCCATGTACGTGTGCGGGCTCCGCGCTGTCCCGGTGCAAAACGGTTCTGTTGATGCTGCCGCTTCTGCCGTTGCTAGTGCCCGCCCGGCTTACCAGCTCCTCACCATACACGCCATGAAGCCCTTTCGGAACACCTTTGCGTTACTCCTCCACACCACACCGCGCATTCAGCTGACGGAGGGCGTTTTCGAAAAAGAAAAGGACGCCGATGACGTGAGTGCGCTGCAGCGCTGGAGCAGTCACCAGTACCGCCAAGTCCACGACACGGTCAAAACCCGCGCGACCAGCGCCAGCGCAGGCGACACCGCGACAGACTTGCTGTCGCCCACTACGGCGACGGAGATGGTGGTGGTCGACAACGTACGCAGCCCATCCGTCACGGCTTGCTGGCTCACGTTGGAGGAGTTCATGGCGCAGATGGAGCAGGTGGTGGTGTGGCGCGTACTGGAGGGCACGTACGCGCACGAAAGATCCATCACGGGAGAGGCAGTGCTGCAGTACAGCGGGACGGGGAGAGCAGGGGACGGCACCACTAGCGGCAGCAGCAATAATAAAACCGATTTAGCGGCTTCCTCCGCGAAGCAGTCGCCTGCATCCGTCAGTCTGAAAGGCGGCCATCCACCACGTGAGGGGTCGCATGCGGGTTCGACACCGACGGCGATGCGCAACAGCAAACCGGCCGCTCAGGCGCAAGACACGTTGTACCCATCGACAATCGCGCCCACGTGTGTGTGGTGGAAACTGACGGCCGCTACCGCGGTGGAGGCGTTCGTGGTGGTATCGAGCCCGACGCTGACAGAGGCCCTTCCAACAGTGCCTAGCGGCAGTACTGGTACTCCTGTTGCTGCTGCGGATGCGGCGGTGGTTGCGACTGCTGCTGACAATGATGCGTTGAACGTGGTGTCGGCGCAGGATCTTGCAGCTGCGCGTGAGCGACGCGTAGAGCTGCATCACTTCCAGTGGGAGCGCGCCGAACCGCTCAACCACGTCGGATCCGTCGCGTACACCGACGGCGCGCTGCGCTCGACGGAGCTGCGGTTCCGTCCCGGCACGCACCTGCTGCGGGTGGATCTCCACAACCTTCAAGCGGCCGACACCATCGCCTTTCTCTCCGACGCCGTCATGGAGGTGCAGCTGGGCTTGAGCAACGAGTTCAGCCACGATGGCTTTGCCACCGTGACGGACGCCGGCACGCACCCTGCTATGCCGCTGCTGGACGTGGAGTACATCTGGCTGAAGCGCGTCTTCACGCTGGCCAAGCCCACCGCTCTGACGATGGTGCTGTCGACGCTGGACGCGGCAGAGGACTTGGCTGTGCACCGTCGTGTGAACACTGCCACGCAGCGGGCCCCTGCCAGCGCCGGTGGTGCTGCAGCCGCCGCGGGGGGCAAATCCGCGCACGGCAAAGGCGGGTCTCCAGCGAACGTACGTGGTGGGGCCGCTGCGGTGAACAACGCCGCCTCGGCCTCTTTTAAGAAGGGCAGCTCGGGTGTGGCGGCCGAGGCCAGCAAAGAGCCGCCGCGGCCGTCGGCCATCGCCGGCGAGGCGTCAGAGAGCCGAGCCGAACTGCGAGGTGTATCCATTCTCCGCTTCACCACCTTAGTGTTGGTGAACCTCGACAACCCGAAAGACTTCCGGGTCGGCAGTGCTGGACGATTGGTGCAGCTGCAACTGGAGCCCAACGAGAAGGGCTACCTCGTTGTTGCCTACACTTCCGTGCCCGCTGCGCTGCTGAGTGACACCGCGCTACGTGAACAAGACCATCTGGTGGACGAGGTATCCGATGTGTTCCACATGGTGCGTCTCCCCACTGTTCCAACAGGTACTGTCGAACTGGATTCTCCCTTGCCGGTTGACCTGCAGAGTTCGAGCAACACCGGCATCACTCCCGCCGTGCCGCTGTTCCCTGCAGGTCAGTGGAAGTTGACGCTGCGCTCCGATGCGGAGCTGCAGGCCTTTGACAGCGTCGTGCACAACATCCACGACGTGCAGATCGAGGCAGACCTGCCACGTGGTGGGTCCCCGGTGCTCTTCCGCCGCCTGTGCAACGTGGTGGAGCCGACACATCTGTCTCTCCTGGCCCAGCTGCGCACCCCGCTGCCGATGGCGTACACCGTGCGCATCACTCGTCCTGGCGCGGCATCCGCCACGACGGAGGTGTCCTCCACTACCATGACAACGGCCTCCAAGAACACCAACGCGACTTCTGCTTTTTCACCTGTCGTGCCGAGCGAGTCGCTTTTCCCGGTGGAGGACGGCGCAGCAAACGCGTTTACGGTCTTTGAGTCTGCGCCGGCGGAGGACCGCCTCTTCGTCGCGGACGTTTTCCTCCCCTGCACGCACGAGGGCACCGTGAAGGTCGGCAAAACCACCGGCGGCCCCACCGGCGGGGGAGGCGGCGCGGCTGGCTCGACCACATACGTTATCGAGGCGTTTGTTGCACAGGCAAGCGCGACGGCGTGGAACGATCAGTGTCTGCGACACCAGGCGGAGGTGTTTGCGCAGGTGCGCGACAGAGCCGAGGTGCGTGCGGTGGCGCTGCAGCAACATGATGTGGAAGAGTTTCAACAGGACCCAGAGGGCTTCCTGCAGCGCCGGAGGGAGGCGGCGTCGCAGCGTCGCCAGCAGGTGGCAGAGTTGGCGGAGAAGACCGTCACGAGTGTCCAGGCCGATGTCGCCGCCGCCGCCGCCGCCGCTTCTGTCACGGATACGCGCGGCGCACGAGGGCGGACGAGCAGCTCCACCCGTCGCCAGAGCCGTCGTGTGTCGAATGCGCTGGACACGTACGTCAAGGACTCCTTCCGCCGTCAATCATCGTCGGTGGCGGAGGATGAAGTGAGCGATGCAGCCGCATTGGCCCTGCTCGACACAGCCGATCCCGCCAGCCTTGTGCACCTCAGCGCGCAGTTGAGCTTCTCCAGTCCACGCGCGGAGTTGAGGGAGGAGGCACCGGACCTGGACCCCACGGCAAAGCTGCGCCAGCACATCAAGGAAACGATGTCGTGGCTGCAGGAGCGCATCGGCGACGCCGTAGCGGCAACCCGCGTCGGGTCCGGCTCGCCCGCTCCCCCACCCGTCGCGGGCGGGCAACCCGGCGCCTCCTCTTCGTCCCCCGGCAACACAAAGTCGCAGGCGGCGCGAAACCAAAAGGAAAGTGCCGCGTCCACGGCGCTGTCTGTCGAGGACGCCCTGCACGCCAAGGTGGCCCGTCAAAGCCGTCTCGCCTATCTGCGTAACCCCCAACACATTTTTCTTCCCTCGTTCGAGGTGGGGGAGGATGGCCTTGTCGAGGTGGCGGCCTCGGCGGCCGCTGGCATGGCGGTCAGCGCACCTTTAAATCCAACCAAATCGAAGCAACAGCACGATGGCAGTACAGGCGGGGGTCACGCTGGCAGTATTTCCTCCACCACCGCGGCAACCGCACGGGGCAGTCATAAGGAGTCCAACGGCTCGGGTGGCTCGGCGGCACGGATGCTGAGCATCACCTCAACGGAGATGTCGCCCTTCCCGGTGGCCTCCCACGGAACGGAGGCGGTGCTGCTCGACGGCGTGGCGACCCGCTTCCGCTACGCTGCCCCACTTGCGCCGTCGCAGCACCGCGTGGAGCTGCTGCGGCTGCGCGCCTACGAAGAGTCGGCGAGCACCGCAGCGGGGCGTGAGAAGGACGCGACCGGAGGTGCGGCGGGGGGCGGCAGCGGCAGCGGCGCAACGACCGGTAAGCGGCTGAAGGCGTCCTCCGCGGCTGGCGGGGCGGCGGCGGGTTCGGCGAAAGGTGGGGCGGGCGCGGCGTCGACGGCGGCCGGCAGCGGGTCCGCTGCGACGACCAGCGTGGCGGCTGGCGGCGGGGCGGTGGGCGGTGCCGTAAGCATTGCGGGGGCCTCTACGCTTTTCTACCCGCTGACGACGGCGGAGTGCGACGCGCTGGTGTGGCCGCTGCAGGCGCCGCTGTTCGATGCCATGAAGACGTGTGACCCGGCAGCGGCGCCGGCCACGCGGTCGGTGAAGGCGGAGCGCCGGGCACGGTTTCGCACGAGCTATCAGACCTACTTTGAAGCGATGGCGGCACAGAAGGCCACGGCAGCCACGCAGAGTCGCGGCAGCGGCGGCGGCGACAGCGCGGATGCGGCGACTCGCCCGGTCGTGTACCACTCCCTACTGGGGATCAAAGAAGAAGACTTGAGTATGACGCTGCGGACGAAGAAATCGGCGCCGGCGGTGTGAGTGGGGAAATCTAACGGAGTCGTATCTCTTTTTCCTTTTGAATGTAAATCAAAGAAAGCTGCACACGTCAGACACGAATGACGATGTAAGCGGCGAATTGAACAGTGCTACGCTCTCCTGATGTACAGTGTCAACGTGTCACTCGACACACAAACAGTAAGTGGACCAGTCGCATTCTCCATCCAACAAGTGTGGGAGTTGTCTTGCGAAGATAAGCTGAAACACACGTGCGTCGCGCACTGCAAAACCGCAGCAGTCGGCACAGCTGTGAGGCCACACCTATGTCTTGCTTGTTGGCTGGGAGCAGGGAAAAGAAGCGGGTTCATACTCCCCCCCCCCCAAAAAAAAAACGAAAATAACGGATCAACGCAAACTGCTTTTGATACCAAGACCGCAACCACAACAATGCCGTGGTGTAACTTTACTGGAGAAGGAACGAAACCTTCTAACAGGTTCCAAAAGAATCACAACTTTTTTTTCCTATTGGGGTGTCACTATCAATCCCTTCTCGTCTTTTCTCTGTCTCCCTCTTCTTCTTTCTTCATTCCTCCTTCTCGGCATCATTATATATATATATATATATATATAAAAGAATCTTTCTCATTTTTCCCAAAAAGGTTCTTCTGCCTCGTAGCAGTTCGCGTCATCGCTTGCTGTTATTATTACTCTTATTTGTATTCTGTTTTTCGTTGCACTATTTTGAAATTCACTTCTTCTTTCGTCTCGTTGATCTTTTTTCCTTTTTTGCTGCTGCTGTTGTTGCTGTTGTTGTTGTTGCTCGTCACGAACGTTCTCAAATTTTCGTTGTTAGTTAATGCGTTGTAGCCGAAAGCAGCAATAGCAACATTAAGACAAGAACAAAACAAAATCACGCAAGGCAAATCTCTGTCACTTGAAACCCACCTATTCTTTTTGTATTTTCCTCGCCGTTTTACCAATTGTTTTACGCAAAGAAATAATTTTTTTGGCGCCTTTCCTTGACTTCCCAACGGGAACCGAAAACGAATAGTTGGAACGGTTTACCAAAACTCGACCAATCCATTCTGTGCTCTTTCATTCGCCTCAGCCAATCATCGTTTACGCCACTATTTGTTATATATTGTCTGTTACTCTTGGGTAAATAAGTGCTGGCAAATACAAAGTTTCCGAGTACTGTTAATCCTTTTTTTTCTTTCTGCCCTTTTCATTTGAAAAGATAGAATTTTATGCATTTCCTTTTTTTTTGAAATCTTATCATCACGAGTGACACACTTACACGTTTGAAAGCGCCTCTTTTTCTTCCTTCTCCTTTTACTAGGCTCCCCCCCCCTTCTGTTTGCTTCTCATTGTTCTTGAAAGGAACACAAAAACCCGTGTAGCGAAGCCAAAGGCGAACACGGCTCCAAGAAATAACATTCGCCGCGCGTTTGCGCTGTATAGAGCACATATTTTTTTTCCCGTTTTCTACAAAATTGCCGTAGCTGCCGACCTCGCCATTCGCAACCCTGCTCGACGCTACGCATTACTTGTTGATCCTGTCTTTTGTAGGCTATCACCAACTACCGGTGACTCCTCAATCGCATTTCCCGCTTTGGCGGAAGAAGAGCAATACATTTTTTTTTTGCCTCAGAACTTTCCTTCTTTTTCTTGTTCCTCTCCATATAACTTAAATTTCATATCACTTTAAAAGGAAAAGGAAAAGAAAAAAACACAGCTTCCGGCTGTATAAGTTTAAATCTGTGAGCGTCGCGCACCACACCAGTGGTATATCTAGTCCAAAGGATCGTTTGGTGAGAGGAGAACATCAACCACAAAATAAAAGAGGTCAGCACAGGTTGCAACCGTTTTTTGTTCCTGAAGCTTTTTTTTTCTTCTCTCTCTCTCGTCGCATCGGTGTTGGTCTTCTTGTTTTTGTCGTGAGTGTGTGTGTGCTCGTTTTCGTTATTTGCTGCAGCACTCGCCCTCTCTCTCGTTCTTACTGTACTGCCCCTTCAAAGGCTGTAGTGGGGGCTATCTCAGTGTTCTTTCAGCGAAAATTTCTTTTCCTTGAACAATAGGTTTGCTTCTGCGTTGGAAGTTTGTTTAGCCGCACTTGCTCCCGTTCTCTTTCGTTCTGTTTTGTTTTCGCGAACGTTCTTTCAGCGTCGTCGTGTCGTAGTAACGCTTTGAACGGACCTGTAGTACACTCTTCATTGACTCCTCACCTCGCACAAAATTTTGAAGCTGAAAACAAAATCGGAAAAAGTTAAGAGAAGCTTCTTGGAAATTGCTTTCATTATTACTATTATTTTTTGGTTCTACTTTTCTTCTCTATATCTCTTCACTTCACGTGTGTTTCTCCCCCTTCCTTTCTCTTCCTATACACACCGCATCCTTTTTTTTTTTTCTTTGCTTGTGAATTGTTTCTGAAGTTCTGTTCATTTACTTTTCTCCATCCCCCATTTCTTCATTATTTTTTGTTTTCCCGTCGACTTTGTACGATCGAGGAGCCAAACATTTGATACCACTTTTTAGCTCTACTAGCCTTCCTCTACCCCATCTCTTTTCCTTTCTTTCTTGTTGTTATTACCAGAAAGAAAGACCGTGCGAATATCTGAAGCAGGAGGTTTTCATACTAGTTTTTTTTTTTAGGGGATTTTCACTAACTTTTACGTGCCCGCTTCTCACCGCTTCACATCCGAAGAATAATCATTGAAGACGGATCACTTGATCAGCGAGTTCCAGGTTTTTTCCCCCTTTTGTGCTGGCTTGTTTGAACGTGCGTGTAGTAGCTTCATCACTTTTAGCTTGGTTCTCATTTTCATTCTTTTCTTTCTCATTCTTCTTTGAGAAGCCTTTTCCCTTTTAAGGAATACGACGAAGTAACAGTTAGTATTATTGTTACTACATATTTTTTGTGGAACACTTTTTGGAGAATTTTTATTTCTGTGTTTTCCTGCTGTCCCTTTCTTTTTGGCATTGCACATCTTCTCTTTTTTTCCCTCTTTGTTTGCGTGTCTGTGTGGGTTAAATTAACTTTAGTGGTTTCGCGCCTTTTTTTGTTTTGCAAACTGGACCACTGTTGTGCTCTTTGTGGTTTTCATAGCTACTTTTTAAAGTATTTTCTTGCTCTTTTATCTTTCCAACTCGCGCCCTCTCTGTTTCTCCATTTTATTATTATTGGCGCGCGCATTGAAAGAAGAAAGTATCTTCGCTCGTGGGGGGTCCGACTGCTCTTTGCAGCTACTCCTTCAAGTTCTTTGCGTTTCTCCATCTTTTACGCAGTGTCTCTCAACCCTTTTCATTTTTTCCCCTTCCCTTCCCCTTCCCCGTCGTTCAAAACGTCCGCCATCACCTCTAGCTGGATCGTCCCGTCGAGTGCGATGGACGAACTCTTCGACGACGAGATGCGCACCAACGCGCTCAACGACCCTGGGCTCTTTCTCGATCTGGAGGAGGACGACGATGACGTGGTGCTGTCGGGGGCGCTGTCCTTACCAAACACCCTGATGCCCCCACCGCCGTCCGAGCATTCGGCATCCCAGCCACCGCAGCAACAGTCTGTAGGGCAATCTTCCACCACCTCACGACTCTCCGGCATGGGTATTCCAAAACTGGATGTGACAGTGCTGAACGACGTGACGCCCAACCCAGCCGCGCAGATGCAGCCGCAGCAGCAACTACAGCACAACGGCACTCCAGGCACGGCGAACACCCCCGCGGCGTACTCCCGCGACGGCGCTGTGGACCAGCTTGCTTTAGCATATGGATCTTCGAATCCGAACTCCCCCCCGCACAACACTGCCACGTCGCCCAATTTGGCCGCCTTTAACGTCTACAGCAACATCGCCTGCCCCCCGCTGTGTGCTAAAAACTTGAACTTCCGCGACTTCCTGAATAAAAAAATTGTCCCGCAAAAGATCGAAAATGAAGAATCCACTGGCGTCTTTGTGGGCCAGCTGCCCAGCAGCTACTCGGAGGACGACATTGAGGCGTTGCTGAAAGCGATTGGCAACGAGTATGGGCAGACGGTGCAGGTGCGCGATGTGAAGAGCCACAACCGCGACCGCACCTGCGCCTTCGTCATGATCAACGCCGGCGCGCTGAACGCCGTGCTGGACTTCACCAAGCGCGTACTGTGCGACATCAACTGCGTCTGGGTAGTGGATCACAGCCAGGCCGCACAGCTGCCCATCTTTGTGCAGCAGATGCCGCGCGATCAACTCCGCGGCGTGCCGAAGGCGGCGTTGGTGCTCGAGAAGCTCACCCCGCAGTCCAAGCCGCGCCACATCGCGCACCCCGCCCAGACTGGCCTCCCGACCAGCCCGTCAGCGGCGTACGGCGGAATTCAGCCGAACTTGATTAGTTCGATGTCGGTGATGACACACCCGGTCATCCTGCAGCAGCAGCAGCACGGCGGCGTCGCACCAGGCGTGGGAATGGTGCCGCCCGCTGCGTTCATGGACGCAACCGGTCTTCAAGCCACGTCGCCGTTTGCTGGGTCTGGCTACGTGCCGTCGCCGTCCATGGGCAACGCACTGCCGCAGTTCTTCAGCACCGGTGCGTTTCAAGATCCTGGCGCCACCGGCGCGCTGTTCAGCGCCAACGGCGGCGCTCCCAGCCCAACCTCCGTGTACGCGATGCAGATGGGGACCAACAGCAGCATCGCAAGCATTGAGGCGGCAAATCAAATGATGATCGCCGCCTCGCGCTCGCGCACCAACTCGCAGAGCCACCAACTGAACATGGCACCTCTCCCCGTACCTAACGGGTCGGCGGACGGCTTAGCGCCAGTGCGGACGGCGGTGCAGCTCACCTCCACCTTGCAACAGGAACACTGCAGCTGTGGACGAATGCTGTTTCTGTCGCAGTACCCGAAGTCCGGCACGTGCGCCAAGTGCAGTGCCATCATCAACTCAAACGAGGTTGCGTACTGGTGTCCGAACGGACACATCGCGGTGTGCATCATGTGTGCCCTTCAAACAAGCGTCACCACGGACGCGAACTCTGGCACGAACGCTCGCGTTATGCAGCCACAAAGCGAAGTAATGCTTCATTAAAACCCTTTTTTTTTCTTTTGCGCTTTGTTGTTGCCGCTATCACCCAGATAGCAAGAAAAGGGTTGCCGCCTTGACTGTGTCTCGCAGGGGAAGAACCCAAGAGCTTTACGTGTCGTTATTTTCCTTTTTTTAGTATCTCTTGGCTGACATGGCGACGGTCGCAGAGCGGTGTGGATTACGTCTCTTCTTCTTCCTCTTGTTTTTTCGTAGTCATTCGCATTCTCATTTTTACCTCATTAAACTCTTCTTTCTCTCTTCTATTTTTTTTTCATGTTCTCGGCAGATTTGGTTTGACTCCTCCCTCTTTCCTGGCGGAGAACAAAAGAAATAAATGAATTTATATACATATATATATTCTCTTCAATTGCGTATCGTTCCTGTTCCCTGTCTCACCCTGTGCGGAGCTCTAGTGTCGTGCTTTGTTTTCCGACACTGTGAAGGGGCGGGAGGGCGTCAAACAACTGAACTCACGCACACCCACACGCATACAGGCACCGAAGCGGCACAGTTTGCCCTAGAGTGTTCTTTTTTTTCTTTTGCTTGTTTAGTTTTCCTGGTTCTAATCCCTCACTGCAGTTCTTTTTTGTAGGTGTGACGCACACGGCAGTCTTTCTCTTTCTCTCTCTATACGCCTCCGATGCGTCGCAATTTCAATGCTCCATGTAGAGGCGAAAAACGGCATGTGGTTGCAGTGGTCGGGGGGGGGGGGGGGGGAGGGGAAGGACGCTGATAAGAAATGTATGACCCCGTCTACATCAACGTTGTCTTGTGCAGTCTGCAGCGTTCCGGTTTCCTCCCTTTAACACAACATAGTTCCTTCACTTCTGTTCTTCCTCTTAAGTTTTTTTTTTTCTCTGTGTGTGTTTGTGTGTGTGCTATAAACTCTTGTTCCGAGCTCTTCCCATTTATTTCTAATTCTCTTATTATTATTGTTATTATTGAACGGATTGCTGATTCATGCAAGGAGACTAAAGTAGCGGTGAATGGCGATCTCCCAAACACACACAGAACACAAGAACAACAACGCAAAATCCACACTCTCCGTAATACTAATAGAAAAAAAAAGCCACATCCAGAAACACAAGAAAATTGCAGCAACGTTGGCACGTTCTGATTACACTTATCTTGAAATGGTTTCGACTTGTGTGTAGTGGATCGTTTTGTTGGCTTCTTACTCTATTTTTTTTTTTTTAATAGTATTACGTTTGGTTTCTCCAGAAACGCGCATTTCAGAAGTGTATGATAAATAACGCACGTTATTTATCTCGAAGTCTTTCTTCTTTTTAAGTATTTTTCTTCGCATGGTTTGCACAGCAGAGAGACCATTTTTTTTTTCTTCGTATGTGCGTGTGTCATTCTCGGTATACATCGAACGTCTCTTGCGTTCTGTGTTGTGAGCCTTGGGATACCTGCCAAATCTTGTTGATGTAGCGTTGCTGGATGTCGTTTTCTCCTCTCTCTTCTTTTTTTTTTTGAAATTGCCCTCATTTATCTCTCGGTTTGCAGTTTCGTTCGTAAGTGTTACGAGCACGAAGCTTCGTCTGTCGTCTTGCCTCTCTGTGCGTGTTTTTGTCTCTTTCTGGAAAGCAACTATTCACTTTTTTTGTGTTTTACTTCGCTCCACTTTGGCTTCTTTTCCCCTCTTTAATTGCGCTTATTTAGGTCCCTGGAAATCGATATAAATACTCTCGTGTTTTCGAGGCAAGAAAAAGAACGACGTATCAGTCTTCTCAACCTGGAAAAAAAAAGAAGAAGGAGAAGAACCACAGCAAATATGTACATATCGCCTCGATATTGTTACCCTTTAAAGAAGAGCTTTCTTTCTGAAGTTACGCAACAGTTGTGGTTGCGTGCTCTCTCTCTCTCTCTCGTTTTACTCTATCAAAAAGAAAATACTGGAGTATAACACATAGGATACTATTTTTTCACTTTTATGTTCTTTTTCTTTTTGGTATTCGTGCTTCGACTGTAAGTGATTCTCTTTTCTGTGTTTTCGTGCTGTAGCTTCTCTCATTTGATATTGGATGGTGGTCTTCGATGCACCCTTCGGCTCTGTCTGGACAGGCCCAACACATATTTTCCTCTGATACTGCAATGTTTCATATTCGGTTTTTATTGTCTCTCAACGCTTATATGTGAACCCCCCCCCCAAAAAAAAAAAAATCAACCAAAAATAATGCGAAACGCGCTTTTCCATTTCGATGCAAGGTGCATCTGCAGTTTCCGTTACTTACCCTCGTGTATTTTGTTTTTCCGATTCAGTTTGTTTTCTGTTTCGTTGTAGAGCGTAGGGCAAGTACGATGCACATGCGTGTCACCGACTCCTTTCTGTTCCCTTTCCTTTCTGGTTAACTTCGCTCCTCTCATCTCCTTTTCTTTTTTTTTTGTTGCTTGAACGAAATATGGCAACTCGGAAGAAATTTCTGTGTTTCCTACCGAGTGTGTCTCTCATTTGAAATATTTAAAAACGAAGAAAGAGCATAATAATGTTTTCTGACCTGCTATTGTCACGCGGAAGGGCGAAGGAGTGTGTGAAGCTTCCTGTGTTCGCTGTTTCTTCTCCTGCTGAGGGAGCAGAATATTATTATTGCTTTTGTTCTCTCGCTTCTTGATGTTGTGCCTCTGTTTATCCGCCTTTTTCGCACTGCGCAAGCGAAAGGCGAACTCGTTTTAAAGTTGCTGTTTCCAAGAAAAATACGTAAAATTATGCACTGTCAGCGATCGTCCGTGGGGCCGTCTGCTGATCTTGTCAAAACAACGTCTTTTAAAAAGCAGGTGTGCTGGCATGCGTTTTCATTGTCACGGTTTTGTAGGTCGCCACCGGTTTTTTAAGTCTTATTCGCCTTTTGTAACCGGTAGTCAGATAGTGTTGTCAGGGGTGATATCGTGTTATGTCAGCGTCTTGTCGGCTAGTATGCTACGATGGAAAAATCTTTATATATATATATATATGTAGTTGACAAATCAATTTTTGTTGTTGTAGTGAGTGTTGCGGCTTTTCATTGTCACCTATCCGTTTTTTTACTTTCTTATTCTATTTTTACTCCTCTGTGAGAGTTGTGCCGGGTAGTGCTGAAGACCCGCGACCTTTCTTTTCGTTCTTTCTTGTCGGGTTGTATTCGGCACGAGCGGCGTTTCTGTTTGTTTCTCCTTCTTTTGATTTTTCATTCTCTAGTGGCCGGCGGCATGCGGAAAGTGCATGCGACGCTCCGTTTCTCATATAAGTAATGCTAGTAACCGTGATAGGAGCAGGACAGCTAATTTGGTGCTGAAGTGGACACCTGTCCGACGGGGTTTGCATTCGTCCAAAAGAGGGAAAGAGAGAGCTTTTTGCCGTTGTTATCTCAACGCTATCTTTTGCGCGCTGAAACAACCTGTTCACCTCGTCGACGCCCCGATTCTATTTTGTTGATGCGTGTACACGTCTCGGAGGAGAGGGAAATCTTATCTTGAGCTTCCGAAGCGCAGCCGCCGTCCCACCGGAAGGCTTCTGTCGCCGTAGCACCACACTCATGCACCTCTTTTCTTCTCGCTCCTCTTTTCTTCTTCTTGCGGTTCGCTTGCAGACCGAGTGAGTGTATTTGTCTTGTGTATTTTTGTAGGTTTCCTCTCTCTTTCTTTTTCTTCTTAGTAGTAGTTGTCCACTTCTTTCTGCGTCACAGGTAGCGTGCAATCATGGAGCTCTCCTTAAGCCAGGCGGCGGACATCTCGGTCGTCTCGAAATACTACCCGCCCGTCGCAGCGAGCGCCATCACCTACGCTGTGAGCAGCTTTCTCCCCTACGCGAACAACTTCCCGAACTCTCGCGCACGTCTCACGCCAAGCCCGGGCGTCGCGGAGCCGCTGCACCTGGAGTGCTTCCTGATGATCCGCAAGACGCCCAAGGACGTCGGCACCCCGCTGCTAGTGGTGTTATCCTTCACCGATCAGTATCCGCAGCAGATCCCGTCAGCCGTGCTGGTGGCCCCGCCGGGTAAGGAGAAGATTAAGCAGCCCTACCCCGTTATGTCGCCGGACGGACGCATTCAGGTCGAGTGCCTCTCCATTCTGCGCGGGGTGGAGCGGCCGTACCCGCTGCTGGACGTGCTCCTCGCCATCAGTGAGCAGTTCGAGCTCGAGTACCCGCTGGTCGGACCTGACTACCGCCCTCCAACGACGTCGCCCTCCGCAGCGACGGCGAACTCGACGATGCAGACGGTCGACCCCGCTCGCAAGGCACTCGTGCAGGAAGCGGCAGAGAAGGTGGTGATCGATGTAAATGAGAAGGCGAGCAACTACCTCGACACCCGTGAGCAGGCCTTACAGTACTTGCAGAAGCTGAACGAGTCCAACCGGGAGCTGCAAAAAGCAAAAGAGATGCTACAGACGCATCAGGGGGAGCTGCAGGAGTACGTGCCGAGCGTAAGCAACGTGAGTTCACTGCTGCGGCAGTTGGAAGGGCACTCCGACACCGTCGAGGAGCACGCCAGCTGCCTGGTGCCGGCCGACCCGTTGCAGGCACGTGCGCTGGAGCTGATGGCTGAAATCCACGCCTCGGATGACCTGTTGGCGCTGCTCGAGGACGGGCTGAAGCGGGAGGTGTTTACGTGCGACGAGTACGTGAAGAACGTGTCAGAGGTCGGCAGGGACCAATTCGTCTCGCGCTTTCTGTATTTGCGGGCATCGGAGAAGTTGAAGAAGTCGGAGCCAGCGGTTCCGTCGCTGTCCAGTCGAACCTCGTCTGGGATCCCGAGCTCGCCGCCGGACATCCCGCAGCGGCTGAGTCCGACGCACGCCCTGCACACCGAGTTCCCGTCGACGGACTCGGAGGTGATTCGCGATGTGCTGGCCTCCGTGAACAACGACGTGCCCGTCGCTCGCCAGAAGCTGAAGATGATGTTTGCCTAAAAGGGAAGCGAGGAGAGTTGCTCTTGTGGTTTATTGTTAGCGTAAAGAAGGTACTCTGATGACGCACAGAATGCTGGTGTTGTCATTACCGCGGCTTTTTCGTCGCTTCACCTTTGCAGGGGTCGTGTGCTGTGCGAAAGAGAAGGAGGCCGATCTTTGCCTTTATGCCACTCTTCTTGGTTTGCGCGGTGTACGACGCTTTACCCCCCTTTTCCCTTACTTTCGTTGCTTTTGGAGGTGGCGCGGCTCTACGCAGAGTTTGCGCTGTAAAAAGGTTGTTTCTTCTCTCGTGTCTCGCAGCGCCGTTGCAGGCGGCTGGTTTTGTTGTTCTGTGTACAGCGACGTTGCTTACAATTATATATATATGTATATTCGCGGAAGACACTTCATGAGAGAAGATGCGGTGCTTGGTTCCCACTACAATGCCGTCTGTTTCCGTTGTTGTTTTCCCTTCTTCCATCAAGGTTTTTTTTTTCCAGTTTCAAGTGCTGTGTGTAGAGGAGGAGAAGGAGTGGGCGATGCACGTGGTCTTTGCTGCTCGCTGCTTCATTGTGTTTGGCTTGGGAACAACTTTTTTGTTTCTTAACATGGTTTTTTTTTTTGAGTATGTGTTGCTCCGCCATGTTTGTGTTTGCGGAAGGGACAGCGGCAAGGGCTCTGGCGGCAAGCGTTGTCGTCGTAGTTTTTCTTTTTAAGTGGTGTTTGTTTCGTTCTGTGAATCTGCCCCCCCCCCCCCTCCCCCCACCCCAACCCAACCCCACACAAACACGCATATATCTTCAGCTTCTCTTTCAGTATTTGAGTTTGTCGTTTTGTTATTATTGTTTTGCGTCTTCGCCTGACGGAATGCACCGCGCGTGATGACGCCGGATTCGTCGAGCCCGCACGTTGCGCGGCTCAAGAGGAAAACAGAAGAACCAAATGGAGAAAGTACAATGCTCGTGCATCCTCCCCGCCAAAAAAAACCCCTTCGTTGCTCGGTACTCTCCTTCTTCCCTAAAGGAAGAAAAGCTCGGCAAATTCCCTTCTTTGTTTTTTCCCTTTTCTCTTCTCATTCAAGCTGGAGCACGTGAGCACTGCTCTGCACCGCTTTTGTTTCTTCCCTTTTCCCGCGCGGAGAACGGCGCAGCACCTGCCCCTCTTAGATTTGAAAAGAAAAGCAAGAGAGCTTTTCTCATAGATACACGCAAAAAGGTCATCGTCCTCCACAATTGAAACGCAGCATAGACTTCTTCCATCTCGACAGACCCAGCCACAATTTCCAAACGTTACCGTAAGTGTGCTTGTACTTACTTGCGGCTCCCATCTTTTGGGACACCTGTTATCAGGCTCTCTTCTTTGCACTAGAATCACCTGATATCTTAAAAAAAAAACAACAACACAAGGTCAAGACATCAGGGCTGCGTGTTTCGCCATGAGTTCTTCCTCATCCAGTAGCTCACCGCCGCCTGATGTGGTCGTGTCAGACTCCGGTAGCGACGAGGACACCAGTTTCGTGGTGCGCGAAATCCGCCAGCTTCCCCTGCCAAGCGCACCAACGGCACTTTCGCAAGATCGAACGGCGGCGCCGGCTCAGCCTTCAGGCGGGTCTTTTTTGTCTGCTGTACCGCCGCCGACCCATCCCGCACAACCAGCACCGACAGCAGCTGTCCCCGCCATTCCCTTTCCGAGCCTAAACACATCCACGTTGCATCGCCCGGCAGCGCCAGACGCGCACGTTGCTCGTCTCCCTCGCCCACCCGTACCGCTGACCACCCCACACGCCTCAACAACCGGCGCCTCGCACTCTGATACGTTCTCTTCGACGTCGTCCTCCACTGCGACCGTGCCGCTGCTGACGACCACCGTCGCAGGCGCCACTGCTAGCCAAGGAGAAGAGAAAAGGAAGAAGGAGACGGGTGTCACCATCCCACCCGTGCCGTTACTACCAACCGCTTCATCGTCCCAGCCTGTCGCATCGATGGTGCTCCCTCCCTCACCACAGCTGTCCTCCGCTACGTGGAAGAACTCTGCGCCGTCTCTTAAATCACCTGCTACACCGATCAAGACTGCCGCGGATTCTTCCTCTCCGTCTATCCCCACTCTGGCACCCGTTCTTGCTGTTCCTCCTCCAGCGTTGGCAGCTCTGCACCCAGCTGAACAGCCCAATCTTGCCACAGGGGGTGATACTGCTATTGCTGATAGTATACCATATGCTGTCACAACGCTTCTCCCGACCATCCCGTCGATGTCTACAGATCGCGCTCATGGTGGCGTCGTTCTTCCTCCCCCGCCGTCTCAATTGGTCGGTGCACCTAGTGCGGCTGCCAGCGCCGTAGCAACGCTGCCTCCGTCGTCGTCATCTCGTGGTGCTCCTGCCGCGACGACCACCGTTAGCGCTGTTGCGGCTCCATCGGTTGGGACGACGGCAATTCTCTCCACACCCGCCAACAACCACCACAACAGAGAGCAAGAAAGGCCACGGCATCTGCGGCGCACCAGAGATGCGCTGGAGAACGCAGACTGTGCCCTCTTCACTTCACCCGATACGGTGGCGAATTCACCCGGCTCGCGGTCGTCCAGCAGCGGAGATGGTGAGGATGATGATGGGGCCTACGTTGGACGCACCCGCCGTGTCGGCAGCGCCGCTTTACTGGAGCAGCGGCCGTCGCAGCCGGTAGGTCGGGGTGGCGAAAGGGCGGCCGCGTCAAAGCAGTGTGACCTACCTCCCTCACACCGCCATTATCCACAGCACCACAGCCGCAGTCGATCGCGGTCGAAGCCTCAACAGAAGACGATGGTAGTCAGGATGCGGGAGGTGGAGGGCAAAGGGGGTGCTGTCGCATCACGCGAGAAAACCTCGCTGTCGTCGCAGAGCACCAACGCCCTCACCCCCGACAACGCGGTCGAAATGCGGCATCATCGGCCGTCTCCATCAGCTTCTCCACTCGCAGAAGAAGAAGGTGGAAGAGGCTCCATGACGATCATTGATGACGAAGGCCGGCGCGACAATGACCCACCTCTGACGTTTACAAGTCCGGCAGCGCGCTTTGCTGCTCGTTGTAGCGAGAACACCAAAGGTGTCGGCCCCAATGGAACGAATTTACCTCGATTGACACACGGCAGCCTTCGCGACTTCCGCAAAACGCACGGCATCGAGGCGGTCGACGTGGCGGTGGAAGGGGATGATGATGATGATGATGACGATCGTGAACGGAATGCAGGGCCCGATCATGCGCGATCCGGCACGGTGCACTTCCGCTTCACCGGTGCCTTCAGCGACGCTACAAGCGATTCCAAGATGCTGTCCTCTGCGGCTCATGAGGTGAGCGACGGCAAGCAACACAAGACGCCGAAGGCCGGTAGAGGTTCTGGTGAAGCTGCAGATTCCACTGGAACCGCCACCGGAGGCGCCACGGTGCTCTCGTTGAACATTCGAGGCATGAGTCCGCTGCACACCGATGTCAGCGTTGTGCATCCGTTTGTGCGGGCCTGGGTGGTCAGCGGCGCCACCGGTACAAGCCTGGTACAGGCTTCCGCGGCCGTGCCGTGCGCTGTCACCCAGCCCTTTGACATTCGCGCCCACAAGACCCGCACGCCGTGGTGGGACGCGAAGGTGGCCGTGCGTCTCAGCACGGAGCGGCTGCGCAGTGCCGGCCACGACGCAATGCTGCTGTTGGAGGTGCTCGACTTTGGTAACGAGACGATTCACGGCTTCCCGCTGCTCCGCTCGGGGCTCTATCCGATTTGCTGGGGCTTTCTGATGCTGCGCGACTACATCGGTTGCTCCGCCCTCGCAGCGGGGGAGAACGTGCATGTGCAGCTGTTCCGCTACCCACTGCGCACCCCCTGGTACCTGATCTGGCTGGAGGCATTGCTACCCTTGTCGTGGTCGGCTGCGGCGTCGCACTTACAACCCTACGACCTCAGCACCGCTTCCGGTGAAGGCCGCAGCATTTGTAGCGGCTCCAATGTCGTGGTGGACGTGCCGAACATTTACCACATCTTCAAGTTTTACTTCAACCGCAAAATCCCGTACGAGGGCGAGATGGTGGTGACGCTGCGGAAACACAGCGACTCCCGCTACGTGCCGGACACCACCGATATGCTGCCCTATGAGGAGTATCTGCTGTCTGTGCTCGTGTCGGGCGGCGGCAGCTGCGCGGTGCCGCGCTCCACGCACGCCGCATCGCGAGACCACGATGGAGGCGACACGGAGGACAGAGGCAGCAACGGCGCCTCGAAAGGCCTCGGTGCGTCGTCCGTGCCCGCCAGTCCGTGGGCGCCGGCGGCGGAAAACTACTACCGCATGGACGGCGAGCGCTCGCTGCTGCCGCACGAGGTTCTGCAGACGTCCGCGGTCATGGGCATCGTCACATGCGTCAGCTTCACGCACAACGGCACGCTCTTCGCGCTGGGCGTCTACCGCCACCTGCAATACCTGGTGGAACTGCGCAATCCGTTGCTGCCAGACATGCCCGTCGTGGCGACATTGCTGGGCCACACCGGTCACCTGCACTGCGTTGTCTTCCAACGTGAGGACCGCTATATGCTGTCGTGCTCCTCTGACGGGACGGTGCGAGTGTGGCAGCCGTCGCATCCAAACTGCCAGTTCAACTCTGACACGTGTACAGGCCCGTCAAGCGTGCAGTGCGCGTTCACCCTGCCGCACGGCTTTCCCGTTTACACCGCCATCTTTCATCAGGATAAAATCATAGCCGGCGGGTTTAGCGATCAGCTCTTCGTATGGGGCTACGAGCGTCCGCTGGAGGACGATCTGCCGTCTACGGCGACAGCCGACGACTCTATGCTCCACCTTACTGCTACATTTACTCCTCAATTACAGCTAACGCAGAGTGAGGACACGGCGGGTAGGTCGACGCGCGTGCTTCTCGGGGAGCTGATCTACCGTGTCGACAACGCAGGCGTGCTGAAGGACGGCGGGGAGCCGACCATCACACTCAGCTTGGCCTCGAATGAGCGCAGCAATCGGGCATGGTCGGTGCACGCCAACGGCGTCGTCGTGTGCTGGCGCGCTGTATGCGAGTCCGTGGAGCGTAAGGCGCGTACGACTCCTCCTGCTGCTGCTGCTACTGCTGCCGCTGCTGCCGTCGGACCCAACTGGCAGATGTCCGTGCGGCACACGGTGGAGTGCAGCGGGGCGTCAGAAGTCCAGGTGAATGGCAGCTACGCCATCGTCGTCTGCAGACACGCCCCACTCGTCTTTGTGTTTGACGCCACTACGTGCGAGCAACTCCGCGTCGTCAACACGCGTCTGCCAGCTGCGACGCCCGTGAGTTTGTTGCCGGACGGGGAGGCGTTCGTGGGCGCGGTGGGCGACCCGAGCCGGCTGGTGGCGTGGGAGTGCTTCGATGGTGGTCTGTGCACCGCACCCACGGGCTACGCGCAGGCGTCCCCGCTCTACGGCGTGGCGCGCATGTCGTGGACAGAGTCGCAGCAGCTGTCCGTCATGGTCAGTCGCTCGCCGTGCACGCAGGACGACATGGTTCGGTTTATCCGTGGTCCCTCCGCGCCCGCGCCGGGACAGAGCGCCGCCGCCTATTATTACGAGAAGCAGGAGGAGGAGTACAGACTGCAAAGCATTCCGTCGGAGATGACGCTTCTCACCGTCGCCGGGACGCGGCGAAAGCGGGGAACGGTGATCCAGACCGGCGGGGGACGAGCTGCGGAGGCCTTCTGTCTCATGTTTGGCGGAGACTTCAAAGCCAAACGGAAGACGGAGTACCTGGCGGAACGCACACGAGCTAGCCGGCAGCGTGAGACGGAGCGCGACTCACGGCGGGCGCGGCTGCATCAGGAGGCCTTACTGGCCGATCCGTCGAACATGTTTGCCTCCGCGACCACCACCGTGCCGTACGACGCAACGGAAAGAGGTGCACGCATGAATGCGATCATCAACTTCTGGCGCGGTCTGGTGGGGCAGCACAAACACGGTGTCGAGCACCTGCAGCGACTGGACGCCAACGCCTCCGCTGGTTTGCCGTCTCCTCCGCAGCAGTCGACGCGCCGTGCGCTGCAGTACCTCGACGACAACTGCAACGAGGCGGAGGTGTAATCCTCAACAACAAACGAAAGGAAAAGAAACAAAAAAAGGTCAGGTAGGTGCGCACCTCAACTGCTGGCTGGGCCAGTATGCGTCCACGGATAACGATCAAGGTGTCGTTTTCTACGTTTCTTCTTCGTGCTGTGCTTCTCTTCCATTTCGAAGTGTAAAAAGAGGAGAGGGTGGGGGGCTACTAAGCAAGGGTGCCGCGCACTGCTCCAATGAAAAGAACGAAACTGCTGTCGTAGAGAATGGGAAACGTATTCATGAGCTTTTTCTCCCCCCCCCCATAAAGCGCTTCTCCGAAAAGCTCCAAACGCAGACCTCGCTGCTGCGATGACGTCGATCCCGCTTCCTCCATTCACTGTTCTACAATTTCTCTCCCCCCCTTCTTTTCTTTATCCTCTGCGGTGTTCCCCCCTCACCCCTTCCATTTCGCATCGCACGACCACCGCGAAACGCGATCGGTAGTTACCAGTTTCGCATCCATTCTACTTTTTCCCGGTTTGTTTTTGCTTGTTTCGCTCTCTTCTCGAATACCATTTGCCCCCCCCCCCTCCTCCCTCCTCACGTGGCAGCATCGCATTCATACGTTACATCGGCACTTCTTTACACACGATCGCACACAATATCCAGTAATAGCCAATGTCTCTTGCCTTTGACGAGTACGGCCGCCCTTTCCTCCTTGTGAAGGAGCAGGAGCAGAAGGAGCGCGTGAGCGGCATAGAGGCGCAGAAGGTAAACATCCTCGCTGCCCTCGGTGTGGCGAACGTGCTGAAGTCGAGCCTCGGTCCTCGCGGCATGGACAAGATTCTCACCACGCCGGATAACGAGGTGGTCGTGACGAACGACGGGGCGACCATTCTGGACCTGATGGATATCGACAACGAAATCGGCCAGCTCATGGTGGAGCTGAGCAAATCGCAGGACTCCGAGATTGGCGACGGCACGACGGGCGTGGTGTGCTTCGCCGGTGCGCTGCTGGAGCAGTCCGTTGCGTTGCTCGACAAGGGCCTCCACAGCTCTCGCATCTCTGAGGGCTTCGAGAAGGCGTGTGAGATTGCGTGCAAGCGTCTGGAGGAGGTCGCCGACGTGATGGCGCTGGACAACAAAACGTTCCTGCTTCAGACAGCCCGCTCTACCCTCAACTCGAAGGTCGTCAACCGCGACCGCGACCGTCTGGCGCAGATCTGCGTCGATGCCGTGCTTGCCGTGGCGGATATGGAGCGCCGCGATGTGAACATGGACCTGATCAAGGTGGAGGGCAAGGTGGGTGGCCGTCTGGAGGAGACCTGCCTGGTGGACGGCATCGTGCTGGACAAAGACTTCTCGCACCCGCAGATGCCGAAGCAGCTGACGAACCCCAAGATGGCGATCCTCACTTGCGCGTTCGAGCCGCCGAAGCCCAAGACGAAGCATACTCTGCAGATCAACAGCGCCGAGCACATGAAGGAGCTGCACGCGCAGGAGCAGGAGTACTTCCGTTCCGAGGTGCAGCGCTGCAAGGATGCCGGCGCGGACTTGGTCATTTGCCAGTGGGGCTTCGACGACGAAGCGAACTACCTGCTGTACCGCAACAACCTCCCCGCAGTGCGCTGGGTGGGCGGGGTGGAGCTGGAGATGATCGCGATTGCCACAGGTGGCCGCATCGTGCCGCGTTTCGAGGACCTGACGGCGGACAAGCTCGGCACCTGCGGCTGCGTGCGCGAGGCGAACTTCGGAACGACGAAGGACCGCATGATCTTCATCGAGAATTGCCCCAATAGCAAGGCCGTCACGGTGTTCATTCGCGGTGGCAACAAGATGATGATTGAGGAGGCGAAGCGCTCGCTGCACGACGCCATCTGCATGGTGCGCAATCTGATCCGCGACAACCGCATCGTCTACGGCGGTGGCTCCGCGGAGCTGGCGGCCTCGTCGGCCGTGTTGGCCCACGCGGATGCCGTCTCCACGGTGGACCAGTACGCAATCCGCGCCTTTGCCGATGCCCTCGAGACCATCCCGATCAACCTCGCCCTCAACAGCGGTCTCGATCCCATCCGTGCGCTGTCCGACGCCCGCAAGGCCCAGCTGGACGGCAAGAACCCGTACGCTGGCATCGACTGTATGGATCGCGGCACGATCAACATGAAGGAGCAGGAAGTCTTCGAGACGCTGAGCGGCAAATGCTCCCAGCTGCGCCTCGCCACGCAAGTGGTGAAGATGATCTTGAAGGTGGACGATGTCATCGTGACGAAGCCGGAGGTGGAGCAGCAGCAATAGGAATAACCCGCAAGACTGTTGTACCTGACTTCTGTATCACGTTGTACGTGGTCAAAAAGAAACTCGATGTTCATGTTTTTTCCCTTTTTTTTTTGCTGTGCTGTGGGTGTTCTGCCACTTCATTTGGTAACACAGATATCTTTTCTACGGAGAGCACGCATAATTGTTGAAGCGGCGGTTTTGATGCTTAATTGTTTTCCGGGATGTAAGTGTGTGTGTGTGTGTGTGTGTGCGGTGAGCGGGTCAAATACGTTCTTTGTTTTGACCATCCAGAAAAACAAGAGGAGGCGGTCTTTGGAAGATAGATGCGTTGAGCGGCGACATCGAAACGAAACGGTGCGCCGTTCACCATCTTTCGCATGGCGGCGTTGTCTTTTGTGCTGGATGGATTCTCTTGTTGTCGCTTTTTGAGATGATAGACATGGAGTAAGGAAGGGAAAGGCGGGGGTTTAACAGCAGCGACTGCCGTGCGAGGGACGCGCTTGCTTTCCTTCAAAGATGAATGTTGTAATTCTACATATTATTATGGATGAGTAAGTGTCAACTGTAAACCGAAAAGAAATGTTTTCTATACTCAACCGGCGAGAGATGCACCTGTTATTGGCGGTATAGAATCCCAACGACGCCCCCTTTTTTTTTTTGCGCATCCGAGCCCGTAGTGCGTCTTTGGGTTTCTCCTCACGCGCTCTGGCGCGGGTGTGAGAGAGGGACAGCAGCTTCCGTTGATACACTTGTGGCATGCAATACAAATGCGTAACAACGCTGAATTCCCTCTCTTTATATGTATAGAAACGATGTGCTCTTTTCTCCTCCTTAGCACGTTTTTTTTTGAATTCGAACATCATTATTATCAAAAGAGTCGTCGAGATAGCATGGCGTCTTCCAATAGGGCAAACGGGCTATCGCTGGTGCCGCCGCTGAACTTCGCCACGGTGGAGGAGGGCGTTTTCAGGAGCGCGTACCCCACAGAGGCCAACGTGCCCTACCTGCGACACATTGGCATTCGAAATGTGGTGTTGCTCTCCATCGAAACGCTGCCGGGTCCGGTAAAGCGATCCCTCGGTGCGGAGGTCGCTGGCAAGGCAGCCACCGGCTACGCCACGCGCGGCCCTATCCGGGTCATCGACGTAGCCGACATGTGCACCTGGCGTGTGGACGGGATGAACAGTGGGGATGACTTCAGTAGGCGGGACGTTGTCCGTGCGTTGGACTTTGCGGTGGATCGACATTGGCACCCGGTCCTCTTCGCCTGCCCGCTTGGCGAGCTACAAACAAGCGTACTGGTAGGGTGCATGCGGCGGTACCAGCACTGGTCTCTCGCCTCCATCTTCAGCGAGTGCGAGTTGTTCACCAGAGTCTGCCGCAACCTACGTTCCTCACTGCTGTTCCTCATTGAGTCGTGGGACCCGGTGGTGTTTCCTATCAGCGCGGTGAACATACAGTACCGCAATCGTGAGATGCACCTGCGCGACCGCACCCGCGCCACGGAAGAGCGGCGGCGCCACCGGCGTGCCACGGCCGCCGCCTCGCTGGCTAAAAATCAAAAGCCGAACCTCTCTGATTCCGTCCAAGACGGAGACGGAGGAGAGGATGACGAAGAAGAGGAAGGCGACAACGAAGATGATGTTGTGGATGAGGTGCACAGCGGCGTTAGTGATTTGGTGGATAGGTCCGCCGTCACCGACCCGCGATTGAGCAGCGTCACGACATCACCGCACAAGGCACGTAGCGAGGCGAGTGAGACACGCACCCCACCGATGGTGGAGCTGCGGACGAGCAACCAGGCGGCAGCATTTATTTCGACGAGCGGGCAGCGACCACCGATGACGATGCGCCGCGCGGCAGCGCAGCGACTACGCGATCAACAGCAGCAACAGCAGCCAATCCCGCCGTACGATCCGCTAAAAAGAGGAGGAGATCCCGAAGGAGTTGATTTCGACTCTCTTCACGTTGAAAGGGACACCGGTGTGATGCTGGCGGAGTGGTATCTCGAGGCGCTTCGTGTGGGCGAGGAGCTGAGGCAGCACACGATGAGGTCTTCCATCGTTGGCAAGCCTTCTGTGCTGTCGCCGTTTGGGGAGAACCTGCCCCCACCGCATCTACGCTACGCCGATGTGCGCAACCCACCCGCGCTGGACTCTCGCTCAAAGTTCACCAAGGAGTCTATTGTAGAGGAGGACGACGACTAGGCCGCGTTTCGTCGGTTCGTGTTGGTTTTTTGTTGTTGTTATTTGTTTCTCCAATGGGAAGAGCTGCTAAATATGTATGTTTGCTGTTTCCGATCTAACGGACTGCGCTAACCAAAAAAGATAATAATGCTACTGTTAGTGTGTCAGTAACGAGCTGTGTTTAAGGGAAAGGAGGGGGAGCATCAAGCAGAACACCTGCATCGGACAAGTACTACAGGGGTCGTAATAGAGAAGTTGTCTTATTTGCCTGTTTTCTTGCGTGTATGCGTGAGACGGATACCAAACGAAAAGGACTTTGCCTTTTCCCAATACGCTGCGTAACTCCGTTCGTTGTACGCCCAACTCTTCTGCTCCACGTCTTTCTTTTTTTTTCTTTTTTTTCTCTTGTTTCGGTCGTTGACAACCTTCCCGGCTGCATCGTAATGCCACATCCCGTTCCTACAGGACTAATCCCCCACCCACACACACACACACAACAATCGAGACTCGAAACGACGGCTTCATCCTGACTTCTCGCTCGCCCAGCTCAATCGTGAGTATGTGGCGCGTGTGTCTGTGGTACGTGGGAAAACACATACAGCAGCATTTCTCTCTTGTAGAAACTCATGCGCAGAAGAGGTAGGCGTCTGCCGCTTTTCTTCCTTTTCTTTTTTTGAAGCACTTTATTGTTGTTCATGATAGCGATTAAGCGTATACCTTTATATGTGCTGGTTTTTGTTGACCTCTTGTTTTTCTCCCCTCCTAAGCCTTTTCCTCTCTGTTTTGAGTTGTCCAGGTTTCGTCGTGTTGAGGCGTCGCCAACGCACCGGCCTCACCGGAGACAACTCATCTTTGCCCTCGCTGTTGTCGCCTTTCCTTTCTCCTTTACGTTACAATTATTATTATTACTCCTGCAAAAGAAAAGAAAAAAATATCACACCAAACAACAGTAAGTAGTCATTAGTCAAACATGCGTGCAAAGCGACCGCTGCGCCGCACGGGGCCGTCGTTTGATCTTCCGCAGCTCAAATCGCACGTGCCGGAGGTGCAGGTACAACAAAAGAACGAGCAGGAGCTGAACAAATTCTTCATCGACATTGATGACAGCACGGTGTCGCCCATGGTGACGACGGACCCAAGTTTCCGCTGTGCTAGCATGTCCAACTTGAACTCGCTCAACGATTTGACGTCACTCGACTCCACCGCTGGTCAGGGCAAGGCGTTGGATTCTCAGATGACTGTGGCGGATGGACTGGCTCGCAATGACGGCGCGTCCTCCTCGAGCGCCCTCGACAAAAGTGGCGGACGGTCGCCGAACTTGGGAGGACAACAAGGAGAGGCCAAGTTCATCCACGTGAACAACACGAACATCTTCGTTCTCATTGATGGCATCTCCATGTTTGTCGAGGGCAAAAGCACTTTCACCGGCACAGAGGATGCGCGGCTCTTGACAGAGCGCCTGCGGCAGAAAAAGCAGGCCATGCGCTCCGTCGATACGGTGCAAGAGGCCATCTTGAACATTGAAATGTCCGCCGATGGCTGCGGACGGGAGGTGGTGTCCCTGGCGTCTCTCGCCGCTCCGCAAGGAGCGGCGACCGGCAACGCACAGCCGCTGCTGTTTCCCTCTACGCCTATCCCGCCGTCGCCGGTGTTTCCGTCCAAGTCGTTTCCAGTCGCACCGGAATGGGCATCGCTTTTTGACGGTGCTACAAAGCCGCTCGGCTCTCCGCTGTTTTGTACCGCACGAGCAATGACACTCGTGGGCAAGAGCGGCAGCAATACCAACGTCAATACCCCAGTGCGGGCTAGTACATTCACACACGAGGTGCCACCCACCTCCGTCTCCGTGAATTCTCAAGGCACCGCCCCGACGCCGGCAACGATGCCGTCGCCTGCGACCGCCGTTACGCCGACGTCGGTGGTCTCGCCCAACACAGGATTTAACGGGTCGGCGCGTTTAGGGCACTCGAACAGCTCACCGAGTCTGCGGCACCAGGACAGCTCCTCGTCGTTGGTATCGATGACCTCTGGTCGGGGACCGCGCCACGGCGGGGGACCCAACACCGTTAGCAACGGAGCACGAAGAGCGAAGCCGATTTCCGCGAAGGACATTGGGCACAGCAACCGATCTTTAGACATGGACGACGTTGTGATTGAGGAGCTGATCGGGAAGGGCACGCAGGGGACCGTGTTCCGCGTGCGGGTGGACGGCAAGGTGTACGCGATGAAGTGCATGAACATTGACGAGGCGATGAACGCCACGAATGATGTGGAGCGACAGGGGCGTAAGAAAGGTCTTGTGAAGGAGCTGACGATGATCAGCCTGCAGCGGTCTCGGCCACCGCCGGAGTACATGATGCAAATGTTCAACGCCGTTGCCTCCCTCGACGTCGAGCAGAAGCAGCTCAGTATTCTGATGGAGCTGATGTCGTTTGGGGTGGAGAGCATTCAGCAAATGGTCTCCCGCATCCCAAAGGAGGAGCTGATGGGGATCGCGCAGTCGACTTTCCGCAAGTACATGTCAGGCGACGCGGCGGCGAAGCATCTGATGATGGAGCGACGTGCGGACCAAGCAAAGTACGGCTCCCCACGTCACGCGCTGGGGCGCAACGCGTACAACGAGCCGGCTGCGTGGGAGCGACAGGTCGAGCGGGAGACGCCGTTGCCGGAGGTAATTCTCTCCATGCTTGCCCACGACGTGCTGAAAGGGTTAAATGAACTGCACACCGACTACTCGATCATCCACTGTGACTTGAAGCCCGACAATGTACTGCTGTGCTACGATCAGCAGCGGTTCAAGCTGGCCGATTTCGGCTGCGGGTGTGTGATGGAGGACAAACAGCACGTGGAACGACGCGGCATTGATCTTGGGTCGATGCTGTACAAGGCACCGGAGCGCTTTGCGGCCAGCATCGTGCACCGCGACATGGACACGAACGAGTTTGTGTACGGAAGTGAGGCGGTGGTCGAGTTCACCGCCAAGGCAGACGTATGGTCACTCGGCATCATGCTGCTCGAGCTCGCCTCTGGCATTCACCCCTGTGCGCAATTCAAATCCGATTTCTGGAACTACGGCAATTTGCTGAGGCTCGCGAAGATGAACAAGCCGCTGAACTGGTCTGAGGCGTTCTACGACTTCATTCTGCGCTCCGTGTGCGTAGATGTATCGATCCGGTGGTCCGTGGGGCAGCTCCTGAAGCACCCTTTCATCGTCAACTTTGATCACGTCCCGCGAGAGAAGCTGAAGCAGTTTGTGCAGCGCGTGGAGGCAGACAGCAAGAGCTTCCACAAGCGTCAGCAGCGCGAGCTGCTCAAGGAGCAGATTCTCCTCAGCACAACGCGGCGGCACCGCGACACGTATCGGCTGCAGAGCGAGAAGCAATGGAGCGGTTTTACGGCCTACCTGAAACGCGGACCCCCAACAATGGACCAAAAAATGTTCCCACAGCTGCGACGCAGTTAGGACGCGTAGAGAGCGCGCCACGCGCACGGATGCAGGCGCACGCAGCAATGGAAGCGCCTTCTTTCGTTGTTCTTCATCTGCGCACACTTGTGCTTCCCGAGCGGTTCGTGGGGGTGCCCGTGTGTGTGTGTGCGTATTTCCCTCTGTCTGTGTGGGGATGTGTCGGCGTATGTGCGTGTGATGTTGGACCTGATGACAGCCTTTTGTGCCTCAACGTCCCTCCTGTTTTCACATGCTACCCATTCTTGTGTATTGTTCTTTTTTTTTTCGTCTTCAATTGTTGTTGGTTGAGATGAGGTTGATGTTAAGTGTGATAAGGAATCAAATCATAGTCTGAAGAATTTTTCGACAAGGAGACTGCGCTGCTTTTTCAGAACCGGATCTGGTCACGCCTACGTTTCTGTTGTTGTTGCTTCTATGGGAACACGAAGGAGCTCCTTCTCGCGTTCTCCCGAAGTGTGTGTGTGTGTGTGTGTTCGGTGTTTCGTAATCGAGGTTTCGTTTGTCTAACGCGTTTCGAGCGAAACGTGCGGCGTTGACGGCCTCGTCATGCATCGTTGACTTCACGTGTGCATAGCCAGCTTCGCTGCGGTTTCTTTAATCGCCTCGAACTTCAGGCGCTGCTGTTCTTTCTCGTATTCCTCTCTGCGGTATTACACCTCTCTCTTTTTTTGTTTCGCACCTTCTGGGCTCCGCTTTCGTCGCGGCAAAGCTGTTCGCTTATCTCTGCCCTGGATCATCTGGTGTACGTCTACGCCGTTGGTTCTGTGAAACCTACAGTGTGGCAGCTTGATCGACTTGGACGACCTACATAGAGTATCGTTGCATTCATCGTTCGTCAGGGTAGCGAAGTTTTGGGTTTTTGTTGCTGCCTGATAACCGCAAAGCGAAGCATCTCCTGCCGCTGACATCACCCCCTTGCGTCGAACGTATCGTTTGTTTTTTTCTGTTTGCTTCATCTTCACACTAACTAAGCTCACCCTTTTACTTCGGCGTGATGGCGAAGCCAATCATGGTGGTCGGCACGAGCGCGCCGCGTCGCCGTGAAATCGCGCAGACCCACTTCGGCGACGCCTTCGATCTCGAGTACCTCTCCCCCGACATCGATGAAAAGCAATTCCGCTCCGCCGATCCGTTTTCTCTGACCTCTCTGATCGCGCATGGCAAGATGGCAGCGCTGCGTGAAAAGATCGCCGAGGATGCCGACTTGCAGGCGCGCCTTGCGCAGCGTCCCGGCAGCGTGGCCGTGACTTTTGACCAAGTGGTGTACTACCACAACGAAATCCGCGAGAAGCCCGAATCGCTGGAGGAGGCGATAGCTTTTATCCGGTCCTACTCAAACAACCAACTGGGTACCGTCATGACGACGGTGCTGTACTCTTTCGCACAGGACAGGATGCTGTCCATGCCGAACACAACGCTCACCTTCTACCGCGAGATTCCAGCGGACGCGATAGCGCGCGTGGTCGAGCGGGGGCAGTGCTTTCACACCGCTGGTGCCTTTGTCGTGGAGGACGCGGATATGAAAAAGAGCGAGGTTAAGATCGAGCCGGGCACGGAGGAGGAGGTGTGCGGCTTCTCCGAGAATTCTGTGCGTGCGCTACTCGATGACGTGAATGCCGCATAAGAGAACAGAACAATTGAACAGTTGAACAGGTGACTGAGAAAGAAGCATGAAAGAGTTTCGATTTGCGATCTACTCAGCTGCGTTTTCCATCGACTAACATCTATGTATCGACGGCGAAGTTAAAAGGCATTTTGAGCGTGTTGGTCTTATTTTTCTTTCTCAGCCGTTTGCCTTCGCTGCGTTGCACTGCTTGATTCAAGGAGCACGCATGATAATTCGGTTATTGATGTCTCTTCCGCTATCATCTTCGCTTCCTTCCTCCCTCCCCGCATTCGTCGTGCCGCCACTCACGAAGGTGGCACCGTTACAGTCAACAGCTGGCGGGCTACGTTCCCAACGACGGCGGAGGCAAATAGGATACTCCCTCGTAGCGACAGCGAAACTGCAATACATTTCAAAAGATCACCAAATAAATATCTCGGAGAGAGAACAACAGGTTTCTGTCATTCTTCTCGCTTTACAATGAATTCACTCTTCAAGAAGTTCCAAGATGTGGTGGAAATGGGAAAGGAACAGGACACTGCTGGCATTCTTCCCCAAGAACCACACGGAAACGTGACCTCCTCGTCCGATCCGGCCGTGCTGCGACGGCACATTGGCACACTCACTCAGCAGCTTGCCCGCCAGGTTCACTCCTACGAGGAGCTGCGCGAGGAAAGCGCCGGAATCGAGAAGGAGCTAATGCGGCTGCGACTGCGCTTTGCGGCTTCGCGTGAGCTTTGGGACACGGCAAATGAACAACTGGAGGTGGTGATTCAGAATTTGCTCGAGCATCAGCTTTTCGGCAACACTGTTGCGGCGAGCGGTTCGGCCGGCGTCGCTGCGCCTTCCAGCGCCCTGGATGCCACCTACGTCGCCTCGCTGCACGAGCAGATTCAGCGACTGAAAGAGATGGTTCAGCGCAGCGGAGAGGAGCGGACACAGCTGCGGTGCGAGAAGCAATACGAGCAGACACAGCTGCTAATGAAGAGTAGCGGCCTCGCCGGTGCAGCGCTCGACACAGGGGTGCGTCAAGCGTTGGAAAAGCTGGTGCAACACTGGGCAGAGGAGCGCACGCAGTACGAGACGACCGTGGAGAGCTTAGAGCAGCATGTTGCGCGGCACGCAGAACGGGAGGCGCTACTGAGTGATCAAATCAAACAAGAAAAGGAGCTGCGCCAGAGCACGGCGGCGAGTGTGGAACAGAGTAGCGCGGCGATGCAGGAGCTACATGCTGTACAGGCAGAGCTGGAGGAATGGCGCAGCGGTGCCCGTGTGGTGAGTCACAGGAGGGATGTACCGGCTGCTGCTGCTTCCCCTACTGCACTGCTCGTTCCTCTCTTCAACGCAAGCCCAGATGTTGCGGGCCCAACTGCAGAGGAGCCGCAGGCACCTCTAGTGGCAGAGATGATGACCTCTGCTGCGTACCCCAACGCGGCCGCTCCCACCGTTCGCACTGACGCTCCAGTTTCCACCCCCTCACCTCCCAAGGCGTCCAGCGATGGCACCACAGCACACCTCGATGTTACTTCACCCGAACTCGCGGCCGTGCAGGAACTACAGGCGGAGCTGGAGCTGCTTCACCAGGACTATGGAGCCCGCGAAGAGGCGTTGGACAGTCTCTACACAGACAACAAAAACCTACAGGAAGCCCTGCAGAGGGCTGAAGCACAGGCTCGCCACTCCGACGCTGAGCTTCGCGACTGTCAGCGCCGCCTGGAGGAGGTGCAGAAGCAGCTGGCCCGCGAGCAGCACAAAACGCAGCAGACAGAGGAGGCGTGTCTGAAGGCCGTGGCGGCGGAGGCGAAACTGCGAGATCAAGTGCGCGAGTTGCGCGTTGCCCTCACCGCTGCTGCTGCTGCCGAGCACGACGTGGTGGTGCCGCAAGTCCGGTCTGCCACGGCAGCAGGTGGCGGGCTCACTATCCCCCAAGCACGCGGTGTGCGAGTGGGTCAACCGAGCCGTTACGAGGTGGCAGAGCAATCTATCACGTACGAGGACGGCGGCACGTGGCGAGAGTGGGCAGTGGAAGCGGGCCGCTGGTGGAAGGAGCTGAAGGGCGACGCCGTGCCACTGCGTGCGCCGTTGCCTACTCCTAGTGGGGGTGGCGCTGGCGCTCTGCACTTTCGGAGTGCGCTGGCGCCGCGCCGAGGGCCGAGAGTTTTGCTGTTGTTTGCGGGCCTCATGGGCGTGATTATGATTGTATTTCTCTTTTTAGTCATTGTCGAGTCCACGTACGCCGCCTTCACGATGCCCGAGGTGCAGTAGGTATGGATCTGGGGAGGAGGGGATTGTTATCTGGAAACGGCGCTGTCGGCTCCGAAGATGCAGCGAACCACCACCCCCACCCCTCCTTGCTTTCGGCTCCCTTCATGTGCGTTGTGTTGTTAGGTGATTCAACTGCTTTTCCATACATTTGTGTGCTCAGTTTCTCGTTTTTTACGGTGAGTTTTACGGTTCTTGCGCTCGCGCTCAGTTTGGTGTTCTCCTTGCATTCACCCATCTTGGACCTTTAAAGAAGCAAGAATCTTGTAGTCGTCGCTATGACGGCTGTCTAAGCAGAGAGAGAGGAGCGAGAAAGAGTCGGTGTGGGTGCGCTGGTGCAGGAGGAAAAGAAAAGCGTTGGGGTGCTGCTTTTCGAATCTCGTCGTGAAACTCCAAGGTGTCCTTTCTGCGATCAGCGACATCGTCGAGCTCGTTGGCAAAAAGGTGAGTTTTCTGCCATACTCATTTCGCTCCACTACCTCCCTCCTCGTCCTGTGGTCCTTCTCTTGTATTTCTTGATATATATATATATATATATATTGCCTTCTCTGTACATCAATAGAAAACTGCGACTGCTTTGCATTTGTTTATTTTTTTGTAGGTCATTGTTGTTTTTATATTCCACAGTGCAGACCCGAAAATTCAAGGACGTACCGGAGTTTTTCGTCCTCCGCGCACAACGTAAAACGCCATAGCAGAACAACGCAATGGTGCTTGTATTAGTAGTTGGAGACACCTGGGTTCCGCAGCGCTCCTGCGGCGTCCCGGAAGTGTTTCGGAAAATGTTCGTGCCTGGGCGGATCCACAAAATTCTCATCACCGGCAGCGTCGGCTGCAAGGAGATGTACGATTACTTAAGAACTATTGCGGCAGAAGTCCACTGTACTGCTAGTGAGGTAGATCGACAGTGGACCGAGAGTTTCCCTGAGTCGGCCGTCGTGGCAGTGGAGGGTGTCAAGATTGGCCTCATCCACGGGCATCAGGTGGTGCCCGTCGGCGACAAGGACTCCCTGGCGGCCCTGCAACGGGAGATGGATGTGGACGTTTTGGTCTCTGGTGGGACGCATCACTCGAAGTATTTTGAGTTTGACTCGCGCCTCTTCGTTAATCCTGGATCGCTCAGCGGCGCCGATGACGCCGTCGGGGCCGACGTTCCACCGTCCTTCATGCTGCTGGATGTGCAAGACAAATCCGTTGTTACCTTCATCTATCAATACCAGCCTGAGAACACAGATGATGAGGCGGCGCACACGGACGACGGCGCAGCCGGCACGCCGTCTGGGCTCAAGATCAAGAAGAAGGAATGGGTGAAGGAATACTAGAGGACTGGTTGAGCAAGCACCGTTAACCGGTAGCGAGATATTCCTCGGAAGGTGACCCTTTGTTGTTGTTCCACAGCGATGTACTCCCGCTGCTGCTACTTTCCGGAGCAGACATCGAACTGCAGCCCCTCTTCGTTGAATCGAAATACTATCGTGTTCTAAAGAATATCGTTTCTGCAAAATATCCAAAAGGAGAAGGAGGAGGAGGAGGGGAAGAGTCGTGCATGAGCGGTCAGACCGTTTTTCGCACGCTGTTTTGCTGTTCTCTCTTGTGGCTGCGTTCGTGCTCTGCTCTCTGCCTGTTTGTTTGCCTCGTATTCCGCGAGCTCAGTCACTGCTGTGCGCTGGTGTCGAAAGCCACAGTACCAACCTACCCAACCTACGGTTGAAGCAAACGAAAAAAAACTGTATTTTTTCTCTTGCGAAAGAGCTGGATCTACGCGGCACGTGCGCAAAACGGTGTGTGTATGTCGTTGTCGTGTCGATGCCCATGCACCTTTGAAATACTCGTTGGGCTTGATGGGTAGAACAGCGGATTTTGTGACGCTTTCATCACTTACATGTCGTTCCTCCGTCAACTTTTGGTTCAATTCAACCCTTCTCAATTCGGCCTCCCCCTTCCTTTCTCCTCTACTGCCAACACGCACGAAGTTTGGTCTCTCTGGTCACTGCAGTCCCCTAGAGATATTAGCAAAGAAAATTCCCAAATCGTGTTGCGGCTGTGCATCGGTTGCAGTGCCAAACAGTGCGTGTGTGTGAGTGCTGCTTTTCTTTCCTCCTTTTTTCCTTGCTGTTGCTGCCATCCGTGCCGAGCACCTACTGGAAGGATTTTTTTTTGTGAGCAAAGATGACGGAGATTTCGTACAGCTACTCGCGTCCGGCGCGGGAGTTCGGCCGCATGCCGGAGTTCCAGGCCAACGAGAGTGAAATTCTGGCCGACATCGCCCCCAACGAGGTGTTGAAGGATAAGTTCACCTCGCAGAACCCGAAGGAGACGCAGGTGCAAAACGTGCCGCAGATGTCGGAGGCGAGCACGAACACGGACTCGGTGCGCATGAAGAATCACGCACAGTTCCACTGTGAGGGTGGCTGGCCGAACGCCGTCGACCCGTCCGAGTTCGAGGAGAAGATGAAGTACTGCAAAAAGGTGGAGCGGGAGGAAGGTTACCTGCAGACGTGCACGCGGCTGGCGGAGCAGTGTGTGGAGCGCTGCGTGAAGCAGAACACGGCATTGGACATCTACGGCCGCTATTTCCCTGAAGCGCCTCCGGACGAGGAGGACTCCGTCGGCCCTGCTGCGGTGAAGGTGCTGGCGGTGCTGAAGGACCCGTCCGCGGAGAAGCGCACCGCCGCCGCGCTGTCGTGGCAGAACGACGGCCGCAAAATTGCGGTCGCCTACTCGCGGCTGAAGTTCCAGAGCCAGACGCCGACGATGAGTACCAACTCGCACATCTGGGACATCTTGAACCCGAACGAGCCGTCCGAGACGCTCGTCACCCCGTCGCCGCTGTGCAGCATTGAGTACTACACAAAAGACCCGCACCTCATCGCCGGTGGCAGCTGGAACGGGGTGGTGCAGTTCTGGGACACGCGTCAGCCGAATCGACCGGCGGCGCGCTCGCTGATCGAGGAGAGCCACAAGGACCCAGTGTGGGCCATCAAGTGGCTGCAGAGCAAATCCGGTGAGCTCCTCTCTGTCTCTACCGACGGCAACGTCTTTGTGTGGGACTGCCGCCTCCCCGAGAAGCCCGTCACAATTCACTCCATTAGCGAAGACAACGTGGTGCTGCAGCCGCGCAACAACGAAGGCGGTGCCAAGGGCATCTTGGGCGGCCTCTGCCTCGACTACGACCCGCAGGTGGGCGGACCAGCCAAGTACATGATCGGCACGGAGGAAGGCACCGTGTTGTCCTGCAACCGCAAAGGCAAAACCCAGCACGAGAAGCTCGGCTCGAACACCTTCAACGGCCACCATGGCCCCATCTACTCGGTGCAGCGCAACCCAATCTTTTCCAAGTACTTCCTCACCGTCGGTGACTGGTCGGCGCGGCTGTGGTTCGAGGACTTCAAGTTCACGCCCATGTTCAGCACGTTTTACCACAAGGCGTACCTGACCTGTGGTGCATGGCACACGGTGCGACCCGGCGTGTTCTTCACCACACGCATGGACGGCTACCTGGATGTGTGGGACCTCATGCTCCGCCAAACGACGCCGTCGCTGTCCTACCAGGTGTCCGACTACGCCCTGCACACGCTGAAGCCCTCGCACTGCGGCAAGTATATCGCCACCGGCGGCATCGACGGCAATGTGTCGCTCATGGAGCTGTCGCCCTCGCTCTGCACCTTAGCCACGGATGAGAAGAATGTGATCGGCACCCTCTTCGAGAACGAAAGTCTGCGCGACAAGAACCTGGACCGTGCCGTGAAGGAGAAGCGCGCCAACGCCAAGCAGCGTCAGCGGCGCAGCACGTACATGGCGGAGTTGACAAAGCCGTCCACGGACGCTGAGGTCAACTTGGACGAAGTGTCTGCCCAATACATGGACAGAGTGGAGGCAGAGAAGACAGGCGATGCGGACGCGCGTGACGAGGCGTACGCGCAACGCCTCAGAGCGTTGGAAGACCTGGAAGACGGCATGGAGCTAAACGATTAGAGTGCGTGGATGTGGATGGCGCACACAAGCGGATCGGAATGCCTGTGTGCGCGTGGCGTCACGGTTGTCGACTTTTCCGTAGCGTAGAGGGCAGCGGTGATTGCGATTGTGATTGTGATTGTGATTGTTTGTGTGTGCGTGCGTGCGTTCACGGTTCGTCTCCCCCACCCCCTCATGTTTGTAAGTGTGGACGCCGCGGTAACTCTCTCTCCGACGTGTTGCGGAGCACCACGCACGGATTTAAAAGAAGCTGTTGTATATACCTTTTTCATTTCATTTTCTTTCGGATGTACATACCTTCGATGTTACGCTTAGCTCTCCTCTTTACGCGATGCACAAACAGAAAATATCAGCAGACAAAACAAACCGCTAAAAATGGAAACTCCTTCACTGGTTCACGTGGTGGAGGAAAGAAACGAAGATCGTAGGGTGAAGAACGCTAGCTTTGATTTTAACAAGAATAACTGATCGCACCGAGCTTCTTCAACCGCTTCGCTACCCTCTCTTTTTGAAAGCGAAGCAAATACGCTGTTTTTGATGTCTCCTAACGAATGATACTTTCGCTGCCTTTCTTGAAAACGTGTAGCGTTTGATGGCTCTCATCGACAACTCGTCCGCAAGGGGATTCGGCAACTTCCTTTCACCTGAACTTCCGTTGTTTTCCTCAACCTCATTTTCTTTTCGTGCTTTCCTCCTTCCTCCGTTGTCGCAGCTTATATATTCATATACACACATTTATATCTTCTTGGGTTTTTTTTTTGGAAGCGCGCTACATTCATTAGACAAGATCTCCGCAAACATGCCGCCTACAAAGTCGCTCCCCAACCTGAACCACTTCATGGAGAAGCGGGTGATTGTGAAGATCCAGGGTGGTCGCTCGATTTCTGGCGTGCTGCGCGGGGTGGATGAGCACATGAGTATTGTGCTGCACGACGCGATGGACGATACGCGCACCGGTGCGGAGAACAGCGAGGAGGAACGGACCATGCTTGGCACCACGGTGATCCGGGGAAGCGCCATCGTCGAGATCGTTGGCGCGGACGTTTAAGAGGAGTATTGGCGAGGGAAACGCGTGAACAAAGGTTGCTCATCCTCATTCTACTTACGAACTTTTTTTCTTCTCCCCTCTTGAAAACCGTGGGGCAAAGGAAGGACTGTACCGATTTACACGGTGGCAAGTTGCAGGTATCTCGTGGTCCTGGAGGGGTCGTTGGTTGCTGCCGTGTGTGTTGGTGTTTGGTGAAAACCCGAGTCTTTTCTGGACTGTGTGCGGGTGTGACCGGTCTCATGTTGGAAATAATGCTAGAGCTTAATTAAAAAAGAAGAAGGAAAATGAAGTGGTTTCTGATGTGTCGTCGTACGAGAACACGGAGGCTTCTTGGCAAAGCGTACTAGGTTTTTTTTTTCTGTAGCTACAGTTTCGTCGATGAGCTTTATTCTTCATTTTTGTTGTCTGATCTTCAGTTGAAGAAACAGTGAACCTTCACCGTGTGTCGAACTCACGCAGAACCAAAGCACCGATCTCTGCTCCTTCGTCCAATAAATGTCCAGTTTTCCCAATCTCTCTCACTCTTTCAACTACAATTCCCTTCATCCTCAAACGGTGTTTTTTTCGTCTTGCACTGTTTCTTTTGTTATTATTATTGATATGCGCGTGTGCACCTCTTCAGCGAACACGTATTCTGTCTCGCCAGAGGTTTTCCTCCTACCTTTTTGCGGGTTCGGTTCTCCTCACAGTTGTGAGCCCAGTTCTTTGTGCACATCTGAGTCTTTACCGTTTATTTCTTTTTTTTTGTTGTTTGTAGAAGTAGTAGATCCATAGCGTATCACAACGTTCTAGTAGCCCATTAAGGATACTCAAGTGCTCTCTTTCTGCATAGCACACGCGCCTTCGTCTCTCAGCTTTTTTAATGGTGCGTTGTATCTTCATTTCTTTTCTCTCTCTCTATTTGAAGTATCGAACATAACACACCGCTGCACGATGGCCGGCCTCGACGTTGCGTGGATTCCCTTCTGCGTGATGTACCTGCTGTACATGATCCCTCCCACGCTCATGGAGGTGTACTCGTACTATAGCCGCGGCGGCCTCGTCCGCTACGAGGACATCAAGTACGATGACACCTTTGTGCCACAAGTGGTGTGGAACTTCGACACCGAGGTGTACTACAAGCGCTTTCTCGATCGCCCCACCAGTGAGGCCGGCAAGGCCTTTTTCTCCTGGTTAGACTGGAGTGCCGAGCCGTACGACCGCACCATCTACATTCTGCGGCGCAACTATGCGAAGATGAGCGGCGAGGTCGGCTTCTGGAAGTGGTACATCTACGGCCCTTTTGTTTTTAACTGGCCCAAGAAGACATGGCTGCGCGGCGATGATGCGGCGGGGAAGCTCATGCCGGCGTGGGGCGTAGGCGGCGAGGAGCGCGCCCGCAACGAGTTCGCGGAAGCCAAGGCGAAGGGGTTCGACAAGCACTACCACTACCAAATTATGCGCAAGATTCGCCGAGAGCAGGCACTGAAGGCGGCGCAGCAGCAGAAGGCGATCAACTGACGTTCTTCACTGCGAGCAGATGGAAAGGCATTTTTTTGTTGGTGCAAGAAAGGTGTTCGTGCTTTTAGTTTGATAAAGTTGGTTCCTAGCTGCTGTGGGGCATATCTGGTTGTTGTTTTTTTTCCGGCTTACCGCCGATGATTTTCCTTTTACGCTTTTTCTTTTTCTCTTTGAATTACTCTCACGGGCGAATGCTGCTTTGCTGGGCTCTCTTCTTAGCCATATCGTGCGGCACTTGTAGTGTGCGGCCCTGCAGCTTTTTTTCTGCACGCGAAGGAGACATGGCGTGGACCATCCCCTTTTTTTTTCTCGTTTTCTCCCTGAGTGAAACAAACAAAAATACTACGAAGGAGTGAAGATGTCCAACACCGGTGAAGGGTTTTTTTCTTTTCTTTGGAGAACCTTTTGAAGTTGTCGGAAACTTCACTACAGATCAACTTCCATTCTGGTGCGTTGAGGCGTGGTTTTGCTATGCGTGCGGCGATACGTTGTTTTCTCTCTCTAGTTGGCATGCAGCGCTCTCTTCTCTCCCCACATGTGCGCAGCGCCGAATGGTTCCTGGTGTGCACCCTAATAATGTGGCTGTCTCAGTTTGGGTTTTTTTTTCACTTCGCTTTTACTTTCTCTCTCTCTCACCCTCTCTATCGTCTCATGTCTTCAAAAGGTCTTCTCGTGACTTAGCAGTCCGCGATCACATCTTATTATTCTAAACGATTTAGCTCTGCATATTTGCGAGTAGTAGTCGTATCGGTTGAGCGCTTTCTTGGGTAGTACACTAGCTCCTATTCGCTCGAAACGCGCATACACACCTCTCCACACGGCGCCACTATCTTCTCGCATCGCGTTACAACGACAGTTTTTTCTTTTGTTTTTTTTTCGTGTGTGTGTTTTGCTTCAACGGCGACGCCCTTTCTCGCCACAAAGGAAAAAGACCCCAACAGCAAGGCGGGTTTCGTCTTTCCCACCTAATACATATATATTTTTGTTTATGAGTGTCGCGGAGTGTGCGACGGCCGCAATTTAAGCCTTCCGTTGTAACGTGTAGAGCGCGGACTGTTGACGACAAAAAGAAACGCCAAACGAAGCTGCTGCCTCCCTCAGCGCTCATCGGTTACGCCTGTCACCGCTGTTTTAGTATTCAGGGTGTGGTTTTCCCTCCCTCTTTTTTTTTTATTACTGTAAATAGAGCACCTCCACGTTCCACGGCGTTACGTGATGGAGGGATTCCACTTTCACGTCGAAGGCACCGGACTGCCGGAAGGAAGCCTGCGTCGGGCCAATACGGAGCTCATTGGTGCCATTAACAGTCCCGACCCGATGGTGCAGTACGGCGGCCTGCAGATGCTGTGCGACCAGCTCACCATGAGCAGCTTCATCTCCTCCACCACACTCGCTGCCATTCCGGCGCTACTGCCTTCGCTGCTGCGCTGCATCGTGTCTTCGCCGCTACCCGAAGTTTCCATCACGGCTGCGCGGGCTCTCACGTACATTCTCGACGCCTTCCCTCGCACCTTCGACTCGTTGCAGTCTCCTTCCGTTGTTGTCAGTGTGCTGCTGAAGCACCTGCGCTCCATCGAAGATGTGGAGCTGTCGGAGCAGTGCATCACCTGCTTGGAGATCATCACACGGGGCCCTACTGGGTGTCGCGAGATGCTGCGCAACGGTGGCGTGGAGGCGGTTCTGGGCTTCGCGGACTTCTTTACCGTTCACAAGCAGCGGCAGATTTGGACCATTATTCAGCGACTTCTCCGTGGCATCGATGACAGCGAGGTCAAGTACGTGTCGGCGAGCCTGCCCGCGATTCGGCAGAACATGACGAACCAGGACGCCGAAATTCGTCAGAAGGCCATCGCCTCGTTGGCGCAGGTGATCGACGGTGTAAAGACTGATCGGGCCGCCGTCGACGCTGCGTTTGGCGACTCAGCAGACAAAATAGCTGCTCTGCTGGAGGAGCGCGACGTAAACGACGAGACGCTCTCCTCCGCCTTCTCCCTCCTTAGCAGCGGCGTGCGCTTCAGCGCAGGCATCGCCGCCTCCATGATTCGGAGTGGGTTGTTCATGACGCTGCTAAATCTGTTGAAGCCGGCGCCGATGGCGGCTGCAGCGGGCGGGGAAGGCGGGGATCCGTTGTCCTTCACGACGCGCTCTGCGCCGGCCTCGCAACCAAACGCAGGCGGTGGTGCCGATGAGACTCGTGCTGGTGCTGGTGAGGCGGTGCTGCTGGACCGGGAGCAGTCGGAGTCCGTCATGTCGCCTCTGTCAACGGAGCCTGCTTCGCGCGGCGTGGGCCTCATGTCGCACCAGCGCACGCTGGTGTGTCAGTTGCTGGCGGCTCTTCTCATTCCGTATCGCGACGGGGCTCTGGACCAGCTGGAGCGACTCGAGACGCTCACGCAGCGCTCAGCGCTTCTCGGGTCCCCGGCGTTGGGTGGGAACGAAAGCAGCGGCGACGAGGAGGAGGACGCAGATGAGGACTACACCACGACGGAGGGGGACGACGAGGACGGCGCAGAAGAAGATCAGGACGGCGTAGGGGACGGCAACGACGACAGCGTCCCCGACGCCTTTCTCGCCGAGAAACGTCAGCGTGTGGAGAGGGAGAAGGGGCTGAAGATCCAGACGAAGGCCGCCTACGGCCGGTGTCGCGTTAGTACGTTTATGTGTGATGGATGCGGCAAGAGCTTGGTGCCGGGGGACTGGTACCGCTGCAACCAATGCACCGATCGCGATTACTGCGCCGCCTGCATCGTTGAGGAGTACAAGAACGACAACGGCGGCCACCACTCCTACACGGACATGGAACAGGTGGTCGGCGCGACGGCGCGCAACAAGGACAAGCGGGAGCTCTATCATAAATCGCCAGAGCTGCTGCAGCGAGTGCTGGAGGCGATCCCGACGGTAGCCGAGGTGTGCGTCTCCTCGGAGGTTGTGCCCGTGAGGTCGTCCTGCTTAGACTTTCTGGTGAGCGCGATTGACATGGCCTCGCCCGAGCAACTCATCGCCGCAAACGTGACGACGGCGGTGCTGGGCGATGTGCTGAACAACAACCTGCGGGGTTCGGACCTCGTGTGCAACGCTTTGGCTGTTGTGCTGGCGGGACGTCTGTTGCACAAATTGCCGGACGTCTACCGCGTGCAGTTTGTGCGCGAGGGCGTCAAGCTGCGTCTTCAGCTATTGAAGCAGCGCTGCAAGGTGAAGGGGAAATCGGCGCTGCCGCGTGATCAGCGCGCCAGCCTCACCACGTCCACGTTGGGGTGGCGGACGATTATCGGGACGGAGGCAGCGGTGCTCCTGCACAAATACCTCGGCTTCGAAGACGAGCTGTCCACGGAGTCTCTTCGCCGCATCGTGCAGGAGCTGCGGCAGGATCAACTGGGAACGGCGGCCGAACTGCTGAGGGACGTGCTGGCGGGCGATGTCACCGCCTTCGAGTTCTACTCCAGCGGAGCGGTGCGGGAGCTGAAGAACTGCCTTGTACGGAAGCAAAACATGTTTGCGCTAATGCAGCTCATCGCGGTTCTTTCCTCCAGCTCCGCTATGTCTCCCATCGCACCGAACTTCAGCTCTTCTCCAACATGGGTCAATCCGAAAGATGCGACCACAACGCAGCTGCTGCCGCCGGCGATGCCTGGCGGAGCAGGTGGCGGGAATGCTGCGGCTGGTGGCGGCAGCAATCTCCTCTGGCGTCTTATCCATCATCTGCACACGGTGCTTACGCTGCTCGACAACTTCACCGTTCCGCGCTACGACTTCGTGGGCGGCGTACACAAGTTTTTCGTCGTGTGCTTCGAACCGCATCGTCCCTCCGTCGCGGTTCCAGGCGATACGACGTTGTCGTCGCTGCAGCACAGCGCGTCTTCAGAGGGCAGTCAAGGAGGAAGCGGCCCCCCTCCGCTGCAGTCGATTAAAGCCCGCATTCGCTCGCTGTCGAGCGTGAGTGCCATGACGCAGGTGCTGCTGCAGGAGGTGCTGCAAGTGGAGGGCGAGACCGACCACGAAGAGGGCGAACAAGACGCGGAGGCTATCACGAACGTGTTGCCGGACCTGCACCCGCAGCTCCAATCCGCCCCCTCCGCGATGAACGCGTCCGCAGCGAATACGGGTAATGCACGTCGTCGTGCCTCGCAATCTGCCTCGGTGGCTGCCGCACCGAAGAATGTGTGGATTCGCTACGGAAAGCACGTGCTGCCGCTGTCGATGACGATGCTGCAAATCATGGAGCACCTTGTTCTTCCAGATGCTGCGACAGCGGAAGAGGAGAGAGAGAGCGAGAGCAAATCGCTGCAGCAGTCGAAGAACGGGAAGGGCCGCCGGCAGCGGCCCGGCAACGCCGCGGCAGACGAGCAGCGTGAAGGAGAGGCGGAAGAACAAGGAGAGGAGAACGGCAACGATTCGTCTCATGCGCAGCGACGCACCGTCCCTCGCGACACGTCAACGGCGCCCGGCTACTCCATCGCCCGACCGGTAATGCTCTACTACAGTACCACGCCGTACGATTCTCAGCACTACAGCTTCTACAAGGTGCCGAACACCTTCCCGCCCAGCGGCACTCCACAGAGCCCGCTGCAGGTGCGGCTGCCCTCGCAGGAGATGAAGCCGAGCGCGGTACGGGAGGTGCAACGCGGCCTCGCAGCGACGTTCCCTAATAGCAAGGAGGTGCTCGCAGAGAACCAGCGCGACGTCCTCGCGTTACTGCGCATGTTATACACGGCCGTCGCGAACTGGGCTTCCCTGCTCGCGTACCTGCGCAAGCAGAGCACGTCTGCCTGCTCGCCGGAGGCGGCGGCCATGTTGAAGGACGTGGACGCGGAGCTTATTATGAGCGTCTTCGCGCCCCCCGTCAACCCGCAAGACTTCCAGCACGCGAAGCTGAACAACAAAGCGATCCAGCAGTGCTCGCAGCTTCTCCTCGCCGGGCAGCAGCGCGGCACATGGGCGGTGAAGCTTGCTCTCGACTGCAACTTTCTTTTTAGCCTGCCCACCCGTAAGTTTTTGTTTGACGTCGGCTTCACCTCGACGGACCGCTGCCTGGTCCAGATGCGCAAGTATCGGGAGCTCTTTGGACTACAGGATCAGCGTTTCACGAACGAGCAGCTGCGTGGAATCTACGGCCAGCTGCCAAAAGAATCAAAACGGGTGTGGCGTGAGGATGCGTTGGAGTGCGCGAAGAAGGTGCTGAGCTCGCAGGACGCGAAGGAGCGCAACGCGACGTGGAGCTTCCAGTTCTACAACGAGAAAGGCTGGGGCGATGGGCCAACGCGTGAGTTCTACACCCTCGTGAGCCGCACACTGCGGGAGCGTCGGCTGGGCTTGTGGCGCAGCGGGGACGAGTCGGCCGACGACACCGAGTATGATGCGTCGATGGGCTTGTTTCCGAGGCCCTGCGTGCCGGGATCCGCAGAGGAGAAACGCGTTGTGCCGCTCTTTCGGCTCATGGGCCGTTTTATTGGCCGCGCGCTGATGGATGAGCACGTCCCGGCTCTACCGCTTTCCCCCGTCCTCATTCGACTGCTGCGTGGGGACGTGTGTGAAGTGTACGACATGCAGGACATCAGTGACGATGTGGGCCGGCTGCTCATCGCCTTGTCAGAGGCGAGCGTGCGGGGGGAGCAGCAGATCCGTCTCCCCTCGCAGAAGACGTCGGTCAACATCGAAGACCTCGCGCTGGACTTCACACTGCCCGGTGACGACAGCATCGCGCTGAATCCGAAGGGTGCGGAGGAGGCGGTCACGTCGTCCAATGTGAAGGAGTACTGCGACCTTGTGGTGGACTTCGTGCTGAACCGCGGTGTTGCGGCGGCGGTGCATGCCCTGAGAGAGGGCTTCCACTGGTACATCCCTCTTGTTGCGCTGCAAATGCTCAGCGTGGAGGAGGTGTACCAGCTCATCGCAGGAAACGAGAAGGCGATCACGCGTGAGGAGTTTTCGCAGTACTCGGAGGCGAATTACGGCTACACCATCAACTGCAAGCACGTCCAATGGCTCTTTGAAATTCTCGCGTCCTTTACGCTCGAGGAGCAGAAGCAGTTCTTTCTGTTTCTGACCGGATCAGCACACCTGCCCGTCGGCGGCTTAGGTCGGCTGCGACCTCCGTTTACGGTGGTGCGCAAGACCTCTGATAGCGCCGCAGTGGCCGAGGGCGACTTGTTGCCCTCTGCGATGACGTGCCAAAACTACTTGAAGCTGCCGCAGTACGCCACCAAGGAGGATATGGAGAAGAAGCTGCGCTTTGCCATGACAGAGGGAAATGGCGCATTTCTGCTATCGTAAAGATGATGGTTGACGCTGAGGGGGAGGAAAGAGGGGAGGGGGGATAAAAGAATTCCATCACGGTCGTTGGTAGCAACAAGGGAAAGTATTATTGCTACAATTTGAATGGCGGAGGACACCGTAATGAGAGGTATTTCTACATTGTAAGGTGTTGCTTTGGTTTTTCCTTCTTTATATCGCGGATTCCTCGTCTCTTGACGCGTGTGCTTCCTCACGGTCGTTTTCCGAACCTTCCGATGCGCTATTGTTTTGCTTGCTTGCGTGGGTCTTTCTTTCCCTTTTCCTTCGCCGCGTCAAGTGTTCTCGCCGCTGCAGATGTCATTAGTGTCTACAGCTTTGAAACGGATGAAAATGAAAATTGAAGAAAAAGCACGTATGTCGGAGCTGCCACTCTCTGGTAGCGAGTCTTCTAGACAGGGGGAGTAGTTTCTTGTCTGTTCGAGACATGGGCTTGCCACGCTTATCGGTTTCCGCAACAGCTGGCGAAGCACAGCCGACGTCGTTGTCGTCTCTGCAGTGGTCGCGCATAATCTCGTCTTCTTGGTTTGCTGGCAGTTTAGGCGGTTCGGTGCTTTAACGGGCGCCGATCACGAGAGAACGAGCACCGCAGCGCTTTGACTTCTAACAGCGATTGCTTTTTCAGGGCTGGTTCGTGTATTTTGAATTGCGCAAGTGCACCCTTTCTTTTTTGGTCCGCCTGTTTTCCTCCCTGGACTTAATGTTCATTGCACACTCTCTCACTGTCTTCCCATCGACGTCTTTTCCCGCAACGCCGCACAAATCACCGCTCCTTCGTGTTAAGCTCACGCGATAGAACACACGTACGAGGGCGGCCCACGCTTGCGAGAAACTCTTTTTTGTTGCCTCCCTGCTGCCCGCATAGCCACGACGAAAAAGGAGAGGGCAGGGCGGACATGCAAAGCGCATCCCTCCGCACTTACAAGATACTATAGACTCGCTTTCACGGTACGTATAGCTGTAAATCCACACTACGCAGATCAAGCAGGATAAATATATACACTTGCATCACCTAAAGACGGAGAGAGAGAGATAACTCACCTTCGCGTTCTTTGTCATTGGAGGGGTCACCTTTGATTTTCTCTTCTGTTGTTGGTTTTTTCTTCAGAATAACGTTGCACAACTTTTCTTATTCCCTTTTCTCGTTTCAGCGCTCCCCAGCTCGGACGTGCTTACAATGGAAACAATTTTAGACTTTTCACAACCGCTGAATGTCCAGCAGTTCGATCAGGTAGTGACGAGCATGTCATCCGGTAGCCCCGCGCAAATCATGGAGGCGCAGGAGGTGCTGACGAAGTTCAAGTCAAACCCAGACGCGTTTTACCGCGTAGACAAGCTCCTCACAGAGTCGCAGAACCCCGGCACACGGTTCTTCGCGTTACAGGTGCTGGAGGAGACCATTCTGCAGCGGTGGAACACGCTCTCGGCGGCGAATCAGCAGGCGGTGCGCAACTTCGTGGTGAACCTAATCGTGCGGGAGTGCACTAGCTTCGAGCACATCCGGCAGAGCCGTGCGCTGCTCACCAAGATGAACATGACGCTCGTGTCCATTGCGAAGCGCGAGTGGCCGGTGCGGTGGCCAACCTTCATTCAGGACATCAGCACCAGCGCTTCGCCCAGCGACCCGATGGTGGAGAACAACTTAAATCTTCTACGGCTCGTAGGCGAGGAGGTGTTTGAGTTTGGCGAGAAGTCCCTCACCTCGCGTTGGGTGGAACGGAAGAAACAGGCGCTGGCGCAAGACTTTCGCTTCATCATGGAGCTCTGCGTAATGGTAATTGTAAAGGCGCAGGACACAGCGCTGCTGCGGGCCGCGCTGGCGACACTGGAGGTGTACGTGCCGTGGATGACGCCAGAGGTGATCTTTAACGAACAGGTGCTGCAGAGCATCGCCACACTCGTTGTCGGTGACGAGAACGTGCGTGCCGAGGCGGTGCGCTGCTTAACGGAGATCTGCTCGGCCGGCACTAGCAGTGGCGCGACCGGCGATCAGCAGGTGCGACTCATTCTAGAAACCTTCAAGGCCGCCTTTGGTCACATTTTAAGCGCGCTGCCGACGACGCACTCCTCCGTGATGGAGCGCACCGTTGCGTTGTACGAGCAAGGCTCGTTGGTCGACAAAGAGTACATTTCAAGCCTAAATCTGCTGCTCATTGCGTTTCTGCGGCACTACTACAGCAACATCTCCTACGATGATCTTCTGCTCGTCACGTGCCACGAGATGCTGGTGGGAATGAGCAACATTTACGAGAAGGAGCTGTTCAAGTCTTGTGTGGAGTACTGGTGGTGGCTCGGTGACCACCTGCTGCGTGCGCCTGCGAGCGCCGTGAAGAAGAATTTGATGTCGAAGCTGCAGCGTGTGCTCTCCGACGTACGATTTGTGCTGATCCGTCGAATGGCGAAACCGGAGGAGATCATCATTGTAGAGGAGGAGGGTGAGCTACGGCGCGAGCACGTCAGTGACGTCGAGGAGCTGCAGATGTACAACCTAATGCGGCAGACGCTCGTCTTTCTTACCCACCTAGACCCAAAAGACACGCGCAACATCATGGCGGACCTGATGAAGCGGCAGGTGGACCACAGCGAGTGGTCGTGGCACAACTGCAACACCCTCTGCTGGGCCGTCGGCTCCATCTCGATGGCGCTCTCCGAGCAGGATGAGAGCGACCTCTTCGTGAAGATCATCACCGATCTTCTCACGCTCTTCAAGAGCATGAGCGGCAAGGAGAACCGCGCCGTGATTGCGAGCGACGTCATGTTTATTGTCGGGCAGTACCCCCGCTACCTCCGCAACCACATCACCTTCCTTGCAACTGTCACCAAGAAGGTGTTCCAGTTCATGCGAGAGAAGTTCCCCGGCGTGCAGGACATGGCGGTAGACACCTTCGTGAAGCTGAGCAAGCAGCTCGCAGCGAAGTATACGGAGGTGAACGGCGGGTCGAGTTTGGCGGCGGACATCGCGAAGAACTGGTCCTCCGTGACGGAGATGTTGTCGCTGCAGCAGATCCAAACGTGCTTCAACGCAGCCGGCTACATGGTTGCCGCGGCGCCCACGGAGCCACAGCGCTCCAGTTTGCTTGAAACCTTCCTCGTCGACACGAACGCGTCCTTCAAGGGCATCACACAGGTTGCCGCGGCGGAGGGATCGGTCTTTTGCCAGAACAGCGACGCCATGTCAGAACTGCTGCACTACCTGCGTGTCTTCGCCAACGTGGCCGACTCGTGCGGTGACGTGTTTGTGTACGAGATGATGTCCATCACGCAGGACCTCTACGGCTTCTACCGCACCTTCTCCGAGGCGCAGACGAAAACAATTTCCGAGATGGGAGAGGCGGCTCTGTTCCGGCAGGACATGAAGTTGGTGCGGTTTGCGAAGCGCGAGATTCTGAAGATTTTCGAGCGCTTCGTGAGCCACGCGACGCAGCTCGACTTCATCGCGACGGCGTGTCTACCGGACACCTTTTCTGTGGTACTGCTAGACTACGAGAACGCGATTCCAGAGGCGAAGGAGCCGGGTGCGCTGGCGCTGGCCACGGCATGCGTGAACACGCTCGGCCGCCGCATCGAGAGCGACTGCGGTGCCATTCTGGACCACACCTTCAACGCCACCGTGGCGATCATCGCGCAAGATATGGAGAGCCACCCGGACTTTCGTGTCAACCTCTTCAAACTGCTGCAGGCGCTCAATAAGAACTGTTTTGAGGCGTTTGTGTGCTACACGGCGAACCACGAGGATGTCGTGTCCGGCATGCTCTGGGCGATCAAGCACACAGACTACCCGACCATGTCCACCGGGCTCGAGACGCTGGATCTGTTTCTGGACAACGTCGTCAAATCCGAGTACGCCGAGGTGTTCTACACGGCCTACATGCAACGCATTATGGTGGATGTTATGGTGGCCTCCATGGACTCCCTCCACGCATCTGGCTTTCCCTATCACGTGCGCATTCTGCAGAAGCTCTTCTCCGTCTCGGCGATGGTCCCTGTGGAGACACCGACCATCGGCAAGAACGCCATTGCGGCGTACCTGATGGAGAATCTTGCGGTGATCCCCACGCTGACCGGCTCGTCCGTGGAGACGTTTGTCGAGATGTGCTACGCGAACTTCACTAATGATGACCGCTTCCGCACCCAGTTTGCCGACTTTCTTATCGAGGTAAAGGTGTGGGGCGCGGAGCAGGAGAACCAGATGCAGGAAGCCGAAGAGCGCCGCACGCGGGAGGCGACGATTCCCGGCTTCGCGGCGCTGACGGTGGAGGAGCCGCTGCAAAACCCGTTCGCTAGTGCGTAGGCGGGCAGCTTCACTAAACATACCTTTCTTGGTGTGTATGTGTGTGTGTGTGTGTGTGTGGAAGGGGGAGGAGTCTGCCTCTTCGTGCATTCCCTCCCCACCCCCCTCCTCCTTGTGTCGGTATCCCAGGGCTCTGCACGGCAGGGGTGACGGAGCAGGGGCGCGCTTAACGAAAACACGATGCCGCCTTCGGTAGTTATGGGTATGCGTGCATTTTCCGTTTGAGCATTTCGACTATTTCTTTTTTCTGCTGGCTGCATATCGCACTCAGGCGGAAGTGGACGCACTGCACTTTTGTTTTCCATAGCGAGCTTGGAGGGGGCTACGTGATTGTTACTGCGAGTCAGTTGTTGCGTTAATCAACGTATAACGCAAAAGTATCGTTTACGTTGGACTGTGTGTTGCTGCTAGACGCGCACCTTCGGCGTTAACCAGCGTAAGGGACTAATAATAATAGTAATCAAGAAAGATTGGATTCCACCACACCTCAGAGGAGTTTTCTCTGTGTGTGATCGGCAAAATTGGTTTCCCTTTCACTCCAGCGAGCTTCTCCAGCCTGACCCATCAAGTTGGGAAGGACTTTCAACGACTCAAAACTCGTTGTTGGTGGTGCCTGCTGCTCTCAGGGAGTAAGTCCGTATACTTTGACTGGAAAATGTGACTCTGCCGTGAACGACCAAAAACAACAACAACAACAACCACAAAACTGTTCATACGAAGCAGCAAGGGGGAAATCTGTATCTGTTGGATTCTACTCCTTCTTTTCTTTATTGTTTTTTGTTCTCCCTGTACTCTCTTGAGTGCGAATACGTGTCTCGTCAAAAAAAAAAAATGCCTGTCAGCGTCCAAGACTGCCGACTTTCAGTTCGCTGTTTGTAGATGTGGGGAGAATCGTTCGTTCGTCTGCATTTATATCACATTTCCTAAAGCGCCTGCTTAAAAGAAAAAAAAACAGTGTTTCCTACGGCGAAGTGCGTCTTTCTTCTCATCAGCTCAGCGTTCGCTTTCCATTTTGTTAATAATAATCATTTTCCGTAGACGCAATAATTGTCCAACGTACCCTCAAGCGAAAAACTGGCGGTTAACGGCGACGTAGCACTCTCTCTTTTTATTATTATTGCTGAAGGATAACTAGCGCAAGCTCCTGTCGCGCTAGAAATGATGGCTTCAGGAAATTTTGGTGAAGGCTCGGTAAAGCTGTTGAACGCACTAGACGCTCCGATGGATCACAGCGGCAGCAATTCAGTGGTGCATACACGCATCGGGGACGTGCTGCACTCCACCATCTCAATGGAAAAGTCAGAAGAGGTAGACACGGAGGAGGGGGAAACGGTTCCCACGTCGCTACAAGCCATCGGACGGCAGGCACCGGTAGGCTTCCACACCATCAGCTCGCAGCTTGCCTCCGCGGGCAGCACATGTGTGTTTTACCCCTTTGACGTTCTCAAGACTCGATTCATGGCCCAGGACGGCACTGCGCTGCGGCAGAGCAACGGCCAGGTCTACAAGTCCATTCCGCGCGCCCTGTCCGTGATTTACAAGGAGGAGGGCATTCAAACCCTTTTTCGTGGGTGTCCGGTGGCCGTATCTGGTGCCATTGTGGCGTGGGGTGTGTACATGTACCTGTACCGTCTGCTGTGCAACGTGACCGAGTACACGTCCTATCTAGGCCGGTCTTCGGTGTCCGTCGTCTCCAGCGGCGTCTCGTCCTGCGTGGCGTGTCCGATTTTTCTGATCAAGTCACGCATGCAGCTCGAGGAGGCCAACCGCACGAATCACTACCGATCCTTCTGGAGAGGGCTCCGCTACACGGTGTCCACGAGCGGGGTCCGTTCACTGTGGCGAGGTCTGTCGCTGCAGCTGTGTCTCATGTTTCCTAATGCGCTGGGCATTCCCACCTACGACACACTCAAGCGGCTGGTGCTGCGGTACCGCTGGCACCATGCCGTGACGACGGAGTTGAACTTGTTTGAGATTGGCGTCTGCTCCACCCTGACAAAGATTTGGATTCTCATCCTTTCTCACCCGCTTGTGATGCTGAAGGTGAGAATGCAGGACGAGCGCGCCGTTCTGGGGGCGGTGCAGTACCGCACCGTTCCGCAGAGCATCTCGAATGTGCTCAAGACGCGGGGGGCCCGTGGCATGTACCGCGGATTCACCACCGCCCTCGTACACTCCCTGCCCCGATCTTTGCTGCATTACGTCATGTACGAGAAAGCGCTCTCCGTGCTATGTAGCCGGCAGGGAACGTAATTATGACCGGGCTGAAGGCGTGGTAGCTGCACGCGGCTGACTGTCCTGTATCGCTTCGTGAAGAGAGCATTTTTAGGGTTCTTTGGCCACTTCTTCCGTTAAGCTCATGTGCTTTTCCGCGGCGCCGAGTGTCGGCATTTATTCTTCTCAACGTACGTTTGAGGTACCACAGGTACCTCTGGTGAGTCTCATCTCACGCCCCCTTTTCCACATTGCATTTCTTTTTCTCCCTTTCACCCTTATTACTTACGCAGTCGCTGTCGATAAGCAAGAACAAGAGAGAAGACGAACACAGTGGATACGCAAGAGTTGTCTCCTGCACGCCACGTCAGCGGGAAGCAACGGAGAGGTCAATGGCATTCACGTGTGCGTCACCGGCGGTTCGAAAAAATCGAATGCGCTTCTGCCGGTTTTCTGAAAATCACCTTTTCTTTCTTGGCTTGCGCTGTTCTTCCAATGCGCCTGCAACGCCTCAGTTTCTGAGGCCCACATGGCCCACTTCATGGCTCATTTCCCTCTTCTCACGGCCTCCTCTTCCGCCCTTCGGTAACGTAGTGTGGCAGCTGACACCACACACCTGACGCTACCCATTTCGTAGGGATCGCTCAGGGTGGTGAGATTCGTTTTTCTCTTCTCTTCTTTTATTTGAAGCCTCCGCATCTTCCTGTTTGCGCAGACATGTCGGAGAGGAAGAAGAGTCTGCCGCCAAAGGCTACCTTCATTCAGCACACCGTCGCCTCCCAGCTGGGTGGGGCGACGAGCACGATCCTTCTCTACCCCATCGATGTCGTGCGCATGCGCTTCATGTCACAGGATGACACGCGCATCCGTCAGCACAACGGCCAAACCTACCACAGCATCACCACCGCGTTTCGGCTCATTTACCGCGAGGAGGGCGGCACGCGAGCCTTCTTCCGCGGTTGTCATGTTTCCGTCCTCGGCACCGTCTGTGCCTGGGGCGTGTACATGTACTTCTACCGCTGCCAATGCGCGTGGTATGAAACGTGGCAGAATAACCAGCAACAGCAGCAGCAGCGGCCGACTGGCACGTCCAGTCAAGAGGAGACGTCGAAAGGGACGATCTCCGTTGGGTCTGGGAGCGCCTCGTGGAAGAGTTTGGTGCAGCGCTTCGGCTTTTCGATTGTGGCTAGCTGCACCTCCGCGGTGGTGTGCAATCCGATCTGGCTGCTGAAAACCCGCATGCAGCTGGAAGAGGCCTCAGCGCGGACGGAGACGGTGCAGCGCAACTTCCGCACGTTTCGTCACGGCTTCGTCTACACCGTCAAGACCACCGGTCTGCGTTCTCTGTGGCGGGGTGTGTCAGCGCAGATGCTGCTGGCGATCCCCAACGCCTTCAATCTGCCCCTGTACGATACGATCAAATCCACTACCATGAGTCTCACAGGACGCAACGAGCTGTCCGTGGTGGAGGTGTGCACGTGCTCGACGCTGACGAAGGTGGTGCTTGCGCTCATCTGCCAGCCACTGTTAGTGGTGAAGACGCGCCTGCAAGACCACCGCGCGCGATCCGGCGAGGTGCAGTACGAAACCTTCGCCCAGTCCACCAAGACGGTGTGGCGACGCGGCGGCCTTGTAGCCTTCTACCGCGGCATGGTGCCCTCTCTCTGTCAGGCGGTGCCGCGCTCCGTGTTGACGTTTGTGTTCTACGAAAAGTTTCTTAGATTTGCGCGGCAGATTTCATGAGCGCAAGACGCTACCGTCACCCGCAATTGCGGATTTTGTTTTTTTTTGTTGGTGCTTTGTTTTTGTTTAAAGCGCACTGCTGTTGCTGCGCGTAGTTACGTGTTCACAGACAGCTTTTCCATGGACGTTGTTCTTGCTTCTTTCGGGGGTTTTATTCCTTGTCTAGCGGTAACCTACAACTGTAGTTTATAAAACAACGGTAGCGAAAGAAGAATCACTTCACCTGTGTGACAATGTTCTACGAAGCCATTTGAATTCACGCCTGCATTGCATTCGATTCTCTCCTTGGCTCTCTGCCTGCTGAAGCACTGCTGCACGTCGCGTATTCGCCACTCAAAAGACTTCCTTCGCTCATTCTCCCGCTTTTTTGTTCCCTTTTCCGGGTGTTTGATTCACGTTTGTTTGCACGTTGCTCGGCTTCGTTCTTCTCCTTCATCGTGCGTGCCTCGAAGGAGTGTGGAGCAACGCATTCAGCACTTTAGATCGTCCATTTTGCCTTATTAGTGTTATTATTGATAGAGTTGGACATACAGAAACCTGCGCGTGTGCACACCGCAGCGACTGCAACGCCCTTGTACGTATCTGAGCGAGGAAGAAAAGCTCCTTTGCCTTTGCTTTTGCTAAATTGCGCCTATACGCCAAAAAAAAAAACCCTCACACATGGCCGATGAGAAAGTTCCACGTTTCTTGCAGCAGACGACGTCGCAGCTGCTGCACCAGCAAGAGGCACTGCGGAAGCGGCGGGAGATGCTGGAGCGCGAGAGCACAAAGCCGCCCGTCATGCGCTTCGGCACCAACAGCCCGCCACGCAGCCACAGCCGTCACGGCAGGTCACCGGTGCCGCTGTCGACGTCCGTCCAGTCTACGCCGCCGCGAGGCGACAACGTCCATCGGGAACTGCACTGGAGCCGCGCCGACGAGGAGTCCCTCGCAGAACGTGTGCCGATGCGCTTCTCCATGACCTTTCGTCCTGCCCCGACCCCGGTGGTTGCCGGCCGACCGCGATCGGCAACGGGGCTGCTCATTCCTCCCTCGCCCAGCCTTCGTGAGGTGAACACGTTGGACCAAGTGAGTTCGGTGCGGCGCAAGGCGGCCCGAGATGCGTCGATGCCGCGCACGGTGTCGCCCCACTCTCCAGCACCGCAGCGGACACGCGCAGAAGAGCACGGTTTGGCCGCGGAAACCAACAGCAGTAGCGACGCTTCAATGCAGCACAACGCACCCGTTCCAGCGCAAACCCCCGTTCCAGAAAAGCAGGCACCGAGCACGACGGGTGTAGAATCAACCAACGCGTGCACAGCTGACAGCGCAGATGCAGAACCAGACGCTGAGCGCGAGGTGCCGCGTGCGGGAGGACGGCAATTCTTACCAATACCTCCGCCGTTCCCTACGGCGAGCAACACAGCAGAGAAGAAGACGTCCAATGAATCGGCAGAAAGCGGCAGTGACGCTGACGCCGCGGGCATCGTCGGCTTCTCCAACACCTTCGCGGTGCCTCGCTTCACCTCGACCACCCCGTTGGCAAGAGGGCGCCACGAGAGAGCAGCACCGCCGGCAGAGGAGAGGGAAGAGGAAGAGGAAGAGGGCGTGAGCACGCCCGGCCGACCGGCGGTGGGAGAGTTCCGCACGCCGCGCCCCGTCACGCGTATGTCCACCTCTCTCACCCCTGTCGTGCGTGACACGGCAACGCAGGCCACCTCTGCTGTCATCGAGGACGCGGATCCACAGAACGTCAGCGCGGACAAGAACCACGAGGACGAGGCCGAAGAGATCGTGTCGCCGTATAATCTTGCTGACGACGGCGCGCGCGATGAGGCTTCCCCTGTTCCCACTCCGTCTCAGATCATTGCCAGCCTCGAGGCGTCTGCAGAGAAGCGTCGCGGGGCTCAAGCAACCCCTGCGATGTCGCGCGACCACGAGGAAGGGAAGCAGGAGAACGCAGAGAGCGTGGCGCGAAAGGAGCGTGAAAAACGAGATGACGGGTCGGCGTCGCCGACGAACAACGCCTCTGCGTCGCGGTCGATGGAGCTGCGCACGCCATCGCCGACGCGCGGCACCAAGGTCAGTCCCACCCCGACCTCCCAGGACCTCATTCAAAGCGTGCAGGCCTCGGCGAATCGCCGCCCCTGCGGATGTGAGCGCCCGACACCGTCGCCAGAGCACTCGCAGCATCATCGTCGCACAACACCGTCGCGTCCCACCACTTCGCCGCCGCCCACGCCTGTCCCGCTGTCCGACAAACCCATGACCGAGTTCGACTCCCTTCATCACAAGTGCTGTGACCGGCCCACCCCTGTCTCCCTCTCCTCCCAACCTGCTGGCGGGGACGCGCGTGTGACCGCCGCGCCATCTGCCTCGCCGTGGCCCACGACAGAGAACATCGTCAGCAGCATCTTGGCCGGCGCGCAGGACGGACAGCGCCGCGCCAGGGAGGTGGCCGACGACGTGCACGAGGAGGATGGCGACGTCTCTGAGAGGTTCTCCAACGAGGAGGGCGTTCTCGAACAGCGTGAGGCAGGTGCGGAGTTGTTAACTTCGCCAACTGTCCCACCGCCGTCGTCGTATCCACCGCAGGAGATGAACGAGGAGGAAACGACGGCAGTCGAGACGTCGACGTCACCTCTGAGCGTGGCCACGCACACCCCATCGCCTGTGCCGACGGAGCGGCAGTACGGGGAGAGCGTGCTCGCCTCTGCCGAACGGCGCCGCTGTGGGCGGCCGACGCCCAGTGAGCGCGAGGTGTCTCCCACTCATCGTCAACCCCATCCGCGTTCTACCACGGACGAGGCAGGAGAAGGAAAAGGCACAAGCGCCTCCCCGCAGCTGTCGGCGCAGCATCTCCTGGACAGCCTGGACGTCTCCCTCGGCACAGGCAACGCGCGCGAGAAGCCCGCCGAACGGGTGACTGCAGTGGGGGGAGAAGAAGAAGAGGGGGTGGGGCGCCGTGCACGAGACGTCACCTCGAAGGACAATGCGACAGGCAATGAAGTCTCGCCACATAGAGGCAAACGCACCTTCTCGCCGACGCCGACGCGGCAGCACGTCATGGCGAGCCTGCAGGCCTCTGCTGAGAAGCGCACTCGGTCGACCGCCGTGGCGATGTCCAAAGCGTCGGGCGACACGAGCCTTAACGGCAGCCGCACCACCGGCGTCTCGCCCATCTCGAACCCCTTCCAGTCACCCGTCCTGACGCCGCAGAACGTGAAGGACAGCGTGCAGAAGCTGATGGGCGACAAGCAGCAGCAGACTCGTTCCGACGCGCAGGCCCCACGGCGGCCGTGGGGAGAGAGTGGTCCGAGCACGAGTGAGGCGAACGGCAACTCCTCCGCCTCACCCGTTGTGACGGCGGAGGACGTGGATATGAGTTTGGCCGCCCTCGAGCACGATCAGCGTCGCCAGTCGCGCTCTACTCGCGTCGAACGGGACTTCAATCGGCCCTCCCCCGCGTCACTCTCTGGCAACGGGGCGAAGAGTGGCGCTGCGGTAGAGAGCGAAACCTCAGTTTCTCAGCAGGCCGCCGCGCCGCAGCAGCCCATGGTCGAGTCTCCTGCCTTGTCTGACGTCGCTGCCCAGTCCGCCATGTTCTTTGATTGCGTCAGTGTCCCCATTACCCCCGCTGTGCCTGCAATCGAAACGGTGGCTGCTACTCGGTCCACGGCCACGACTGTGGCGATGGTGACGAACGTCGCGGCAAGCACGTCACACGTGCCGGCTCAGTTTCTCGCGCTGCAGCGCGAGATTTCGGCTATTGAGCAGGGCCGCAGCCGCACCCGCACACCCCCTCCCCTCCACGCCTATGAGGCGAGTACCCCCCTTCCGCCACCGGCATCGCCGATTGGGGGAGCGAAGGGAGAGGAGGACACGCCTCGGGTTGAGGCCTCGACGGAGCTGGCGATTACTTCGCCGGATGACGTTGCGAACGACGCAGTGGCACCGGCAGAGCAGGGTCGTCGCAGCAGTCTGGTGTTGGTGCAGCCCACCCGTGGCCACCAAGCCCTCATTCAGCACCCCCACAAGCCGGCCCCAGTGGTGCCCCCGCCGACGATCAGCCCAGTTCAGGTGCCCCGCACGCCCACACCGCCTCCGCGTCCCCCGCAAATTGCGTCTGACCAACGGGAGTGCCTACCGGGAAGCCTCAAGAAAAATGCGCTGCCGAGCGAGGAAAGTGGAGAATCGCCGCTGCCCAGGCCGGTCTCGCTGCGGTCGCAGGTCGCCTTACCAAAGCAGCCGCTGCCGCAGCCAACGGTGCATCACTCGCGCAGCCCTGCTCCGGCGTGGCGGGTGGCTGCTGCAGCGGAGCGCCCCACCGCGTCCTTCCGTGAAGGATACATCCATCCACACCAAGAAGCGGAGGAGGAGCAGCGTGTTGCGCAGATTCGCCACGGCCACAGCGCTGTTACGGCCACGGCTGCGACCGCTGTGGACAATGACACCAACAGCGGCACACAAGAGGAGGATCTCTTCGACTCCCGGAACGACTGGATGGACCTCGTGGAGCCACTGCGGCCACACACCATCACGGTGTCGCCACAGGGTGGGGCCGTGGTGTACACGACACACGCGCTACACGACACCGAAGAGGTAAACAAGAGCAGCAGCAGTAGCAGCAGCGAGCTCGATGCGCAGAAGCAGCCGACGGGTTCGCCTTCACCGTTGTCTCGCAAACGCAGTCGCAGCGCACGCACGCCACCGATCAGCGCGACAAGAGCTCCTCGTACGGCGGCGGCGGCCTCCGTTAGGACTCCCGCGAGCGTGGCGCTCACGATGGACGACGGCGTCTCCACGGACGGAAGATCGTCCGATTTGCTGACCCACACGCCCAACGCGCACGTCTCGCAGACGCCTCGCAGCTCCACGAGAGGGCGGCGGAGTCAGGCGGAGGAGCTCATGGCGATGCTGCCCACCGATGTGGCTGCTGAGGTGGCTCGCATGTCGGGGGCGGAGGAGGAGGAGGCGGACGCCGCAGCGGAGAGAACGTCCGCTACACAGCCGTCGACGGGATCGCCTGCAAGCCGGCGCAGCGGCCTCTCCGAAGATGAATCGACCTCTCCGCAGCTGTCGACCATCTCTCAGCGCGTCTCGCAGCGGCCGCCACGGGTGCATCGCGGCCGTGACTACTACATCGAGTACCTGGAGGGCATCGCTCGATCAAGCGCCAAGAAGACGCGGGCGGTGGCAGCACGTCGCATGCAAAAGGCGATCGCGATGGATCTCGAGACGGCAGAGCGGCCACACTGGCACACAACGGATCCCGTGGGGCCGTCTTCGAAGGGAGCGAAAGCCGCACACGTTGCCGCAACCTCTCCGGCGCATCGCCGCCGCGGCTCCCTGTCCGCCACCGCCCCCTCAGAGTCTCCTTACGCTTCTTCAGATGTGATGCTGTCACCCATGACGCCCACACCAGTGCAGGGCGGGCGACAAGGACGGTCGGTGCTGAGGGTGTCGACTCGCCTGTCGACGGAGCTGCAGCAGGCTCTGCTCCGCGATGTAGCCGCAACAGAGGATCAAAAGGGCAACCCTCGAAGGACCGCAGCAACGCCACCGGTTGCAAACAAGACGGCAAAGACGCCTGCTGCGGCTGCTTCGCCGCAGCGCGGCAGTCGGGCAAAAGCAGATCGTTCATCTCCAACAGCATCCCACGCGCCCACTGCCACCAAGACAGAACTAGCGAAGAAGGCGAAGAAGGCAAAGAAGGCGCACAGCAACCGTGGAAAGAAGACGGTACGTAAGTTTGTGACGGCGAAATCGCTGAGATTGGTGAAGCGCAGGCCTCAGTCTGCTAAAAAGCGTTAGCAGCTGCTCAGACTATCGCGACTGTTCTCGTTTTGCCTCTTCAGGTTCCATACATACATAGAGTGATAGAGAAATGGCGAGACAGAGAGAGATAGTGATGTAAGACGTGCGTCGCAGCTGCGTATTCTTCTCTGGTATTGGTGGTGGTGAAGGAGGCCGTTTCTGTCGTTCCTCAAATCCCCTTTTTTTTTAGATCGACTTAATTTACACTTTTGTTTTTGATTCCTTCCCTTGTGGCCATCGCAAAACCGCAGAGGGAGAGAAAGAAAAATAAAGCTCGTTGGATTTTTTTCCCCTAGAGGCAAGGCGCTTGTGCAGCGATTGATTATTGAGCGATATATTTCTGTTTCCCCCCGTTTGTTCTTGGACGTTAGATTCATACAGTGCCTTTTTTTTTACACTGAAGTCAATATAATCGGAACACAGACAGCTACAAGTACACAGACCGCGGTGTGTACGCGTGTGCGCGCACGATTTTTCGTCCAAGGCAAGGGGGACACACATGGCTTGTGCTGTTGCCGGTGTCTAAGTCCTTCATTCAAGCTAGTAGAGACTGTGCGTAGAGGAAACCTTTCCTATTTCTGCGGAATAACCGTGGCGCTTCAAGCAAGAAGCATGGCCTATTGTGTCTACGTCGTCGTCGCCGTTTTTTTTGTTTATTTTTCGTTGCAATACGTCGAAGACATTCCTCTCGTCTTTTCGTATCTTCCGTCTTCATTTTCGCAACGCCTGCTTGGGGCGAAACACGCGCGCGAACATCACAGTTTCTCCATTCTTTCTTTTCACCCCAAATTTCAACTACTTGAGCACACGTCCGTCGTACAGAAAACTCACAAAAGAATTTAAAAAAATGCCAGCGCTGTTCTTCATCGCGCGCTTTCTGCCGGTGCTGCCAGCCGGCTCACCAGCATACACACATATTCACCGCTTATGCACCAGCGGAGCCGCACCGCAGCAGCCGGCACCGACGCAGCCCGCAGCGGGTGGTGCGGTAGGCATTGCTGCAGCAGCCTCATCCGCGTCGGCGCGCACCTCTCCCACCCCCTTCGACCTCGGACTCAACTTTGCAACGATGGACTTCGAGGCCGTCGCAAGGGCAACGCACACCGCCATTGCCCGCGAACGCGGCGTCGGCGTCTCGGCGCTGAGCTCGCAGCGGGACCAAGAGTTTGACGCCAAGCTGGAGCGGCAGGGTGAGCAAAGCACGGTGCAGCGCGTTAATCCGCTACCCGTGGTGTCTCCCGTGCCACAAACAGCGCCGAATGTCGGTTTTAGCACGTCGTATCACAACAACGTAGCACAAACTACTATCGCTGCTGCTGCTGGTGGTGGTCGTGGATTTGCTCGTGAGAGCCCGGTGACAGCAACTGCATCGCGTAGGGGAAACGGGAGCAGCGCACACTACTCTCTGCACGACATGCTGAAAGACTGCATGATGGACGGAAACTGGGCGAAGGCCTATAAGCTCTTCACCAACGCCGTAAACCAGGCGTGCCGTCAGGTGTTGATCCCAACCAGCCGCGGCCGTGCAGGATCTGGAGCAGCCTTTCCAGCTCAAACGTCGTCGACGAGTGAACAGGTGGACCCTGCACGGGAGGCGGAGTGTTTTGCGGCGTTGAAGAAGATGCTGGTAGCCCTGCCACCCGCCACGTCGGCGCGCCGTATCAACATCAATAACCTGCGCGGCATCGCGCGCTGGAATGGTGCGCACTACTACATGCTGTGGAAGTGTCTTTTAGAGGCTGGCCGTCTGGAGGAGGTGCTGAAGGTGTGGTCTGTCATGCAGCAAATCGGCTTTGCGGGGTACCAAATGGAAGAGAAAACTGGCAACACCCTCATGGCGTTGTTGCGGCGCACGTCGCGCACGTTGGAGCAGGCGACCACGCAAATGGTGTCCTCCACGGTTCGCAGCGCGGAGAACTTCACGGCGCGCGTTGAGCGGGAGAAGGAGATTCGACGTCAGCTCGTGAAGGATCTGGAGCAGGTGGCGACCACGCGTCATTTCCACCTCATTGGGTCAAATAGGCGTACGGCGGAGAGCATTCGCATTGCTGAGGCACTGCAACGCGTGGATGATGAAGGAGAAGATCCAGGTGACGCGGACGGCGCCACTGCCGCTGCGTCAGTCGATCCGGAAGAATCCGTTATTGCGGTGGGCGACTTCAACGGGCTGCTGCGCCGCTCCCGCGCTATGGAGTCATCGCAGCGGGTGTTACGCATGATGGCGAAGTTAAACCTCGAAATGGAGTCGTCGACCTTTGCCAGTCTCATCGCGTCTCTGCACAATCCACAGTACGTGTTGGAAGGGCACACCGCGGAGGAGCTGCAGTCACACGTCCCTGCCAACTCGCCGCCTTCGCACCACGGCACGAACGAATCGACAAACGCGACAGCAGCAACATCTCTCTCCGAGCGAGGTGATGCGGCGGACAAAGTGGAGGGCAACGCGGACACGAAATCGCAGTACGAGGCATACAAGCAGGAGCGCGTAGAGACGGCGCTGCGGTGGTTTTTTCAGTGTCCGAAGCCGCGCCGCGATGCGGATGTGTACAACGAACTTCTTTACCTCCTGCGTGCCAAGTCGCACTGGAAAGACTTCGACAGGGCGCTCGTGGAGCTCCGTGGCAACGCGGTGGTGTCGCCAGACGAGTGGCCGGAGACAACACCCGAGAGAAGTTCACCGGCGGTGTTGCCCGGCTGCGTGTCAGCGGCAGCGACGTCTGCAGGCGCTTCTCCTTCCTCGTTGCAACCGCCTCCACCAACGGATGCCTCTCCCGTTATCTTGCCTCCAAGGTGGGCTACTCCACCAAACGGCAAGACCTATGAGCTGCTCATCCAACGTGCGCGCTACGTGCACCAGTGGGACGTCATGTGGGCCCTCTACGAAGAGATGGTGTCCGGCCGTGTACGCGGCACGACTCGGTTGTATGAGGTGCTGCTGAGCGAGGCGTATCGTCACCCCCCGCGCACATTGCACGGTGTCATGGTGAAAGGCAGTGGCGATGGCGAGTCGTGCGAGTCCTCAGAGGTGCTTTTACGTCTCTACGAGGAGCTGCGTCGCAACGGTGGCGATGTTCATTCCTTGAAGGGCGTGATGAGTGTTGTGAATGCGTGGAGTAAGTCTCGCGCAAAGATGAACCGCTGGGAATGAACGCGACGCTAGTGAAACGTGCAGTTGTCCCTCGCTGGGCAGAATCAGTATGCGTACTGCGTAGCGGTCTGCTGGTGGGTGTCAGCAAAACCCGATTCCTGTTTTGTTTTCGTTTTCTTTTTATTTTGCTTCACTAGCGACTTTTCTTAATGTTATTGTGCCCTGCGACACCTGGTTTTCTTTGAGGCTTCTCTTCCCTCTCAAAAGAACAGAGTTTAACAATAACGCTAGAAATATGTCGGCTGCCATCTTCAATTCATTGGTGGATTTTCCCTGTATGCGCGGCCACATTGTGTAGCGTTGCACTCCGCTCTTTAACGCTCTCTCAAATTTCCTTCACCCCCGCTGCTCCTTCCTTTTTGTCTCTGGTTTGCTTTTCCTTTTCTTGTTTTGTTTTTGTGGGGTGTTGCGTTGGTACGGTCGCACCAGCAGAATACCATCAACTATCGCACGATAGTGTCGTTGTTTCCGTATTCCATTCGGATTTCGCTTTCAGGCTGTTGTTGCCGTGTGCAGGTGAAGGAATTGTCCGCAATAGCGTCTGACCCAACACGAAGCTGATCACCAAAGTACTCCATTAATAACAATAATCTTTTGGCCGCCTTTTTTCACCGTCAGTGCCTTCTTCATTTCTGTCTTATCTCACTTACCAAAATATTCCGCCACTTTAACCCAAACGTACTGTTTTCTTTTTTGTGTGGGTGCCCAACAAAGGTGTAACGCTTCTTCCATTGCTGTTGTTTTGTTCCCCTTCCTCTATTCATTACCTCAAAAAAAAAAACCCATTTTAAGCCACCATGTCAGCTGCGCAGCACTCGCTGAACCTTGACAAGTCGCTCTACTCCCACTACTATCACTGCGTGCTCTCTGACATTCCATTTCACACGGCAGTGGCCGAGATTGCGCCGCATGTCGTCCCCAAGCCAGAGTCAGATGTGGTGAGGAAATTGACGGCGGCTGGGTGCCGTATCGTACCACACCAGCTGCACGTGTACAAGGAACCCCTTGACGCGAAGTTCGGCTACGTCTCCTTCTTCATTCACCAGCTGCCCAAGTCCACCGCCTCCGCGGCGGAGATCCATCAGCTGATGCTGGAGTGGATTGACATCGATTTGGCTACGCAGCTGCAGTCGGTGAAGTGCAAGGTGCAACTCGCACAGCCACCGGAGTGTCACTCCTCAGAGCCGTTTTTGAATGCCCTCCAAGAGAAGTGCCCGCTGCTCGATCCCGGCACGAATACGGACACGAAGCGGCTGGAGACATTTCTCCTGACCCGGGTGCGCTTCGGTGACCTGTGCGAGAACGCATCGATTAACGATGTCTGCGAGGCACAGCGGAAAAGTACCGCCAGTCCTTCAACGACAGAGGAAGACGAGCAGAGGAAAGCGCAAGAGGAGAGGGAGGAGAAGGATGCCGAAGAAAACGGTGGTTACCTCCCGCCCCGTCACTCCGTCAGGGAGCACGTGTGGAAGTGCGTAGGGACCTTCTCTCCGAGCTCCCTCTCGCCGAAGGAGCTCGTGTGGCTCAAGAAGCAGCTGCCGTCCTTCCCCCCGCTGCTCATCACGGACAACAACATGGCGTCTGCTCACTGCGATGATGCGAAGCTGAAGCAGTTCTTCACGGCCAATCTCGCTCCTCTTATCGCTGTAGAGAAGGAGGCGTAACGCATCGTATGTGGGAAATCGACTTTCGAGTGGTGTTGTTGTGTTGGCAGCTGCGTGGACTGCGATCGCAGCGCTGCAGTTGAGTCGACGCAGGCGGCGTCGGAGTCACTCCACATCTACCACGAGCTTGTCGTTTTGCCTGAGGAGAATAGTTTCTTGCGGTCGTGCTTTCAAGAGTATGGTCTTATTTGGGTGTGTTTTGTATGTTTTGTGTGAGGGAGCGTGTGTGTGTGTGATTCCACGACGTTTTTGAAGCGTGTATCGTCGTGCTCCGTAGAGTAACTCGAACATGTCCTACTCACTCCGGGTTTTAGTCCATAAGTTTCTTTTTGTGGTGCGTGTTCCTATGCGTTGAGACTTTTTTGCCCTCGTACAACGCGTGGCCGTCGCCTTACTTTCTGTTCCTCGCAATCGAAGCACCGTAAGAACGTGCATACAATCGTGGATCGCGGTAAACGTGTTACACTCTTTCAATGCGTTTTGTTGCCGACGACATCGCCGTGCTTGCCACCAACTTGGTATATATGGTTAGGAATAACAATAAAAGAGAGTTCTTTGTTCGCGGCCGCTTTCTTTGTTTCTTCCTCGCGGTAACGACCAACTGCTCTTCTCTCTCTCTCTCTTCCCGTGCTTTGTGTACCCGAATATGAATGGCTTTCTTTGTTTTCTCTTTTTCCTCTTTCAGCGCATCATCACAGAAGACATTCACACACCATTCCGTTTCCTCGCACCGCTCGTTTTCGTACGTTCGACTTTTTGAAGGAAAACAAAACGTTACCAGTTTGTGCACGACGAGGTCTAACATATCGAGTCGAATCGTACGCGGCCACTGAAGTCGAGTCCAACGCGGCGGTTCCTCTAAGGAATTATATCCGGGTCGGACTTGTCAACGGGTCCGGTCGCAACGAAAGAGGACAGCTCAGATATCTAATAAAAAGAAATAATAATACCGGGAAAAAAAAGACGGTGTCTCTTTTTTTTTTAATTTGATATTCTACTCACCTGACAACCTCACAAATAAGCGCTAGCACTTCTTTTCGCGGTCCGTACCCCTTCACCTTTTTATATACGCAAAAGTTGTTGTTAGCTGGGGCACGCTGGTCCGACAAGTAATAAGAAGTAATCAATTTTTTGTTCTCTCGAAAGATAGAACGGCAGAAGGTAGGCGGCGATAAACTTGTTTGAAGCAGTTTGCTTGCGCGTTATTATTATTATTATTATTATTACCGGAACGACGAAACGGTAGCGGGGAATAATTAAAAGGGAAAAACCATTTGAGGATAGGAAAGAAGCCCGAGTGGTTCTTGCCTCTTCGCGGTTTCTCTGTAAGTAAATTATATACGTATTACTGACTTCTTTCTTCATTTCAATTTCGAGCCGTCGAGCTGGTCCGCAGCCACTTGTCACAGGCGTTCTTTTTTTTGTGCCGTTAACATTTCGATTTTATAGCCCATTATGTTTTCGATTGAGACGGCGGAGCAGGTCGCGGCGGCGTTGGAGCTGCCCGACTGGGTGCTGGAGAAGTCCGCCGCGTGGACCTACGCCTGTTTCGGCTTCTTCGGCGATTCGTTCGAGGACATCGTCAAGACACGCTTCCCGGAGCCGTACGCGGCGGCGCAGCAGTGGGTGCACGTCAACCAGCACCCCTTTGCCAAACGCCTGCCTTACTTGAACCCCTGGCACTGCATCGCCTCCATTCTGGGGTACTTCGCCGTGATTGTGACGTTTCGCCTGTTTGGTCGCTTCCTTGGGAAGTGTACCTGCCGCAATTTGGGTCTCTTCCACAATCTCGGCCTCCACCTTCTCTCCCTCTACATGAGCGTGGGCTTGATGGTCAGCGCGCGCGCGGCGGGATACACGGTGTGGAACAACGCCGCCGGTACTTCCCGCGCGGAGTGGCGCATCGCCAAGCTGATCTGGCTCTTCTATGTGTCGAAAGTGGTGGAGTGGGTGGACACGTTGATCATGCTGCTGAAGCAAAATTATCACCAGGTGAGCTTCCTGCATATCTACCACCACGCCACGATCTTCGCGATGTGGTGGCTGGCCTCCATGAAGGCGCCCGGTGGAGAGGCGTACTACAGCGCCATGGTGAACTCCGCCATCCACGTCGTGATGTACGGCTACTACTTCCTGACGTTGCTGTTTCCATCTGGCGCCGTACGCAGCGTGCTGAATAGGTTCAAGTTTGTCATCACGAAGGGACAGATGACGCAGTTCGCCTTCAACTGCATGCAATCCGCCTACGACCTTGTCCTGGTGCCACGCGCGCAGCTCAAGTACAGCGCTCCGCTGCTGCAGGCGCTCTTCTGGTACATGATCTCGCTGCTGGCGCTGTTTGGAAACTTCTTGATGAAGGGCAGCAAGAGGGCGCACCACCACACGCACCGCGCAGCGGCGGCGGAGCATTCGAGCGTGGCAGCCAAGGAGGCGTCGTTGAAGAAGACGGGCGAAGGCGACGCTGTGAAGGTCGGAATGACGAAGGTGCAGGTGAGGGAGCAGCAGAAGTTGAGCAAGCACAAGAACGGCACCAACGGTACGAGCGCGTCGCAGAAGACCGCGATTCACCCAAATGCTGCAACGCAAGCGAACGCGGAGCCGGTGTTCCGCCACTAATGCGCTGAGGCGGCATTCGGCAGAAATTACTCAGTGTACTTTGGCGTTTAATAATGACCGGCTCAATTGTATAAAGGTGCGTTCTCGCACTCACGCACGCCCTCGCAGGAACCTTCTAAAGGGTCTTTTCTGAAATCAACTCTTTTTCTGTGCCACCTTCTTCATCATGTCGACGGTATGTGGAGTGTAGGAACACAAGTCTGTTTTTTTTTTTTCTTCATGTTGTTGTTTACGATGTAACGGTGCGAATATGCACCGGCGTGAAGTATTTTGAGTGGGTGACATTCGCAAGAGATGATGAGATCGCGTTGAAGAAAACCTATCATCGAATTCCGTCGAACGTTTTTCTCTTTTTTTTTCTCTGTTCGACACACTCCCCAAAGGGTCGGCGACAAGAGAAACAACGTGGCCGCATCACCTTTCTTAATGTGCTCTCTCTCTCTCTTCAACTGGGCCCCTGTTTGCGCCTCGTGTGAATCTTTTCTCCCAACTCATCGACGCACATGCGATGCCTTCATTCTTTCTGCAGGCAATGCCTGTTTTTCTCTGCGTGCGTGTTTTTGCCTGGTGGCGTTCTTTTTATTTTTTTGTTTGCTGCACCGCGTCCATTTGTGTTTGCAGGACATTCCGTTGATACGTCGCAGTGCGGTAAGCTGTTGTTTGTTCCTTCGTGTTTATCTGAATAGTTTATTTTATTCCGGTAGGTAACGAAAAAACCGCAGCGTTGTTCATTGCACGGCATGTGTGCGAAATAAGGTGCCGCGTTCTTGTTTCCTGAAGACAATCAAAAAAGATCTGCCGCATGGGATCTTGTTGCTCGTGTCTTCAGCGACGCTCGCACGTTGGCGGCTTCCTTTCAAAGAAGGACTATAACTAAATCTTCTGACACGATTCCGTTGCCGTTTTTTGTGTTTTTTTTTTTCTGTTTGGGTGTTGTGCGTCTCGACATAAGTCCACGAGAAGAATACTAGAAGCAGTTCTCACGGGTGTGAATTTTCTTTTGTCGTTGTTTTTGGTATGTGTCTCGTGTGTTTTTCTTTTGTTCCGGTCAACTCCACATTTCCTGTATTGATTCTGACGTGAAACTAAGCTGTTCCTCTTTTTTCTTTTGTAGCTCCTCTTTCTCTCGTAGGAATATAGAAACTACTCGGTTCAAATGTATTTGCCTTCAGCAGTATCGTGCAGGTCTGCGAGGACGTCGCACTCTTCCGTTGGCAACCGTCTTTGTTTCCTCGTGCCGACGTCTTCGCGGAGCCACAGCGGAAAACGGAGCGCATTCATGCACACACGCCTCTTTGTCGAAGCGTTTGCGCAAACGTACGCTGCTGCGGAGCTGTCAGCGTCAATCCTTTCTCGTTCGCGCCACCGCCGCAAATCGCAGCGCGTTGCTCCAAATCTCTTCCTTTCTCCGCGGCTCACCAATGTTTTTTTTCTTCTTTTCTTCTAGTGTTCCGTTCAAATATTCAAAGAGACGCATAGACTCCTAGCACACCATGCATTCATAGTAACCCCTGTTCTCTGTTAAAGTCACGACACACACACACACACACACCTCTCTACACAAACAAACTGCTGTGCCTCTTTTATCGAATGAACTCTACCGGCATTGCAGGCCACAGTGCCGACGCGGAGTGGAGCCTCCACATTTACGACGCAGGGGAGCCGCCTTCTGCGACGGTACTTGCACTATGGCTCTTGCTGTCTCTCTGCGTGACGCTTTTGTTCCTCGTCGTTAGACCGGCCGCGACGCGACGAGTACGCGAGGATGCGGATAGCAGCGGAGAACCGAAACACACCCAGCCTGTCCAGCCGCAGGCAGACAGCGGTGTGTTCGCCGCGTACACGTTGCGACTGCTGGCCGCCGTGTGGACGCTGCCGCTCTACGACGTTGTGCACCGCACGTGTTGCTATCTACGTCTAACACCGTACATGCTAGCGCGCCACCGACTGCTGCCCTTAGGTGCATCTTTTCTCTCGGATGGGCTGTGGACGGAGTGGGTAAACTGGGCACGTTTGTACGTTCTCTGCGGCGCATCGCTTTCTTCTTCGTTCTCTACACCCACGGTAAACACCACAGCTGCAACTTCAAGCGAGGTCTGCAGCGGGTGGCAGCTGCCGCTAGCCGGGGTGTTGGACTATCATCAATATCCCGAGTACGCCGCACTGAACACGAGCCGGCTGCCGTTGGGCACGGAGGTCGCCCTGTACCATAGAATGAGTATCGAAGCACTCGTCATCACGGCGGTGACGGTGGTGCATCTGCACACCGTTTTCAACATGATTCATCACATTTTCTGTACTTCCTCTCGAAAGCTAAAATCTGCGGTAGACGCGGAAACGGTTTCTGCTGATGAGCACTCCGCTCCTCGCGCTGACCCGCCTCAAGAGACCTCTCACTTAGAAGGCGCCGCGCAAGCAACTCGTATAAACGGCACCTCGCAGTTAACCACGGCTCTCCGGCAAGCCGACACACCTGGGGACGACGCGTGGGTTGACAGCCCTGAAGCGCTGGCGGAGGAAGAGGCACGCCGTTTGGAAGACGCGAATTGTCAAGCAGGAGGTACGCATGCGGGTCATCACGCCGAGGTGGTCTTCTCGAATTCGCACACGACCCGCCTCCTCCAGCACTGCTGGCCATGCGCTGTGTCGGCTGCATACGCGGCGATGTACGCCTACGTCGGTGGGCTGCCCTTGTTGATGACGATGGTGTTTCCGTGCGCGATTGTTCTCACCTGCGTCGTGGCCATGCTTACGCCCACGTAGTTTCTCTGAATCGCCCATTTCACTCAGATTTAATCATCATCATCACCGTTACTCTCCAAAAGAAAGAAAGCAATAGAAAATTTATAGAGAATCCGTTAATAATTTTCATTTCTCTTGGGCAACCGTCCATGCTTGTTTGTTTGTGGATACACGAGAGGCGTTTGGTTCTTCTCTTTTCCTGCGAGTGTCGCTCTACTTCACGCTGCCCGTTCTCCCATTTTCGCCTATTTCTCCACCCTCTTCTTTTAGACCGAGGAAAGTCAGGACACCACCATTAACACAATCGCCACCGCAGCAGAACATGCTGGTACGTCATCAGAGTCGATGGAGTTAGATGCCTCACTGCCACACGCCGTAGAGCTGCTGCTCTCTCCGATGGAGGAGCCCTTTCGGCGGTACCTCGACGTGTGCGATGACGTGCACGCGTGCGACGAGTCCGGCAACACGCTGCTGCATTGGGCTTCTGCATTCGGTAACTTCTCTGCTGCCTACGCGTTACTCCAGCGGGGGCTGGAGGTGGACGCTGGGAATGGCCGTGGCGCCACGCCTCTTCTCGTTTCCGCTGCGTTGTGTCCAAACGTGGCCGCGATGGGCTACCTCCTCGTCAGCCATGGCGCGTCTCTTTACGCCAGCGCTGGCGACAACCGTGGTCTGACGGTGCAGTCCTTGTTAGAGGCACGACAGCTGGAGTCTGTGTGGTCGTGGCTCGTACTTTGTCAGAGTAGACTTTATCAGAACGGCAACGGCGATCTGGTGAAAACTCAAGGATGTCGAGAAATACCTGCAGTAAGTGACGACGCGGTGTCCATTCTGTGCTCGCCGGCAGAGCTGAAACAGCTGCGGCTGCGTGGTGGTGCAGGGCGCTTCTTGCACGTTGCCGCCGTTTCCGTGCCCCACGCACCACAGAGGCGGCAGCAGCAATCACGGCCGCTCCCCACCGCAGCGGCGCCAGATTTGACCGCAGCCTCACCGAGCGGCATGGACACGTCCATCACCGCAACGCTGAAGCCGCGAGTGGAACTGCTCGAGTCGCAGGAGGCAACAAACCGCTTGCTGGTGGAAAAGGAGCAGCTCGAAGCGTTTCTTTACGTGTACGCGGAGGCGGCAGCGGCCTCGATCATCTACGACGATTACGTCGACGATGACGACGACGAGGAACGGGCTGGGTGGAGCGGACCAGAAGAACAGTCTTCGGAGGAACTGGGGGTTTCTGAGACTGCCGTTGCTGCGAGTGCTCAGAAACTGAGTGGGTGTGATGGAGGTGCTGCTGCGGTGCGTCCCATTCAGGCGGTGCTTGGCGAACGCATCGACGCAGACGGGCGACACCACCTGCTGGTGCGCTACACCGAACCGAACGGAGCGGATGGTGAACTGGAGACGTGGCGTTGTGCGGAGTCGATTGCGGCCGACCCCGTCGTGCGCGCTCACCTCGAGCATACATACTCGACCATCACCGTACCCGACAGGAGCGACATGAAGACGCCCTCCACCATGACGCTGCGCATGCCGGGGAGTCCGCTGGAGACGTGGGAGCGAGATCAGCTGGAGGCGCAGCTCCGACTGCTGCCACGGCGTGTGCTGGACAACAGTGACGAGAGTGTGCCGCTGCTCTCCCAGCTGATGAGAAGTCCAACTGGTCGGTCTCCTCTCCTCGGCACGTCACCGCTCATCGCGGGTTTTATGTGGAACGCCCAGCAGCAGCAGGAGCAGCAAGTACTCATAGGAGGCAGGGGCAACACCAATGATGTCGTTGGCGTTGCACCGCGTCTTGGAAGTTTTAACGGCAGCGGCGTGGAGCAGAGCGAAAGCCCGCTTTTGGAGGAACCGCCGCGTCCTACAGGTCGATTTGCGCCGGAGTCTCATCGACGACTCGGTGCGCTACCGGAGAAGGAAGCCGCTCACGACGCGGACTCCGCACCGGCAGATCAGCAGCCGCTTTTGAGTGACGGCTGGCGACGGCTGCGACGCACGCCAGACGTGCCGGTCGACAATGACAGCGAAGTGTTGCCAAAGCGAACGCTGGAAACTGTCTCCGAGAAGCGCACTCCCTACACGTCGGATAGTTCGACGGACACCATGTATTTAGTCTCCCCTCCGCTATCCACCGCCCCCACGAAGGCGGCGACAACGTTCAACGACAGCACGGCTGACTCACCCCCCGGAAAGGCCGCCGCCAGCTACCTGACGGCAAGTCAGAAATCAGAATACGACCGTTTTTTGTACAACACTGCTTTGCGAATTATTGCACGACAGCAACCATCAAAGCGCCGAAGTGTGTTTAAGCGCTAGCGCAACGGATGAAGGTAACGCAATAAAAACGGTTCTTTTTCTCATTTTGTACCTCGATGTTACAAGCACGTGTTTTTCATTTTCTATGTTTGCCATTATGTGTATTTCTGCATTACTTTAGATGCTTCTCATAACGCCCCCGATTCCTGTGTCCACGGTGCGGCTTTCCAAGGTGAACAGAAACCGTTCGCTTTTGTTTTCGTCGGCTCATGTACGTCTGCAGCTTTCTCCGGTGAGAGGGAAACGGCAGGCGTTGAGCGTTGTTTGGGCGACGTTTAAAACGATTCTATTATTATTATTATTTCGTCTGCAGCTATGGCTTTCCTCTGTCCCTACGTACATGTGCGCGCTGTGCCTGACGCTCCAGCACGCCTCATCGCAACCTTCACGTGTTGCCGCTTCTCTACCACCTTTATTTACTTCTTCTTTTTGGTACGGACCTTCACCTGCTCACGTAGGAGTGAAGGCTGCGCTTTACCGCTTGGGACACCTGCGCTCATTTAATCTTCCACCGTCATGGAGAGGCGGCCGCGAAATGCATCTTATCACGTCGAGGACCGGCACAGAAAATGCGCACGCTGCTTGTGGTGATGTGGCGCTGCAGCGCGAAATTGAAGAGACGGAGCACGAACTATTGCGGCTATACGAGCGGCGCATGAACCAGAACTGCTGCATTCGCGGGTGCAATACGAATAGCGTGGCAGCACCAGCTCGCTGGATGTGCCGTCATGCACCGGAGCTGCGTATACGGAAAGACCCTCCGATCTCTCCGGTGGATGGCGGGGGGACGCCAGAAAGCATCACGTTTGCGCTGACGAGCGAGAGGCGCCGCCACGCTGCGCCAGAGGCGGCGCGCGTAGCACGGAGGAAGGCAATGCCCCCTGCCCTGACTTCAAAGCACGAGGCAGGCCTACCAACTGCCTCTGCCGTCCCGCGTGAGTTCACGGAAAGGCTGCGCCGCTTAACCAGCGCCGTGACGGCACGCGGCAAAGCGTCACCGCTAGAGCCTCTCATCTCACTGGCCTTTTCACCGATCCCTTTCAGACAGGCAGGCGGGGACGTGTCGTACAGCGGTCGCGGTGGACGGGATGTGTTCCTCTTCCAGGGAGATAGCTGTGTTGGGTGCCAGGAGAACAGTGAGGACGACGTGCGACACGTTCGATTTTCGAGCCGCAGTCCGCGGGTTTCCATCTTTTCGGTTGAGCGCTCGTGCACGCGTGCGGTGAATAGGGCAGTACCGGCTGTGAATCACGAGGCTTCGTCTATCTTCATCAGTAGTGACTTGAACTCCACCGCACACGGTGATGGAGTAGGTGCTGCAGCGCAGCGCCAAGCTTCGCGCCTTGAAGTGACTCCAAATATTCTGCATGCTGTTGGTCCTCCCTCTATTTGTCGAGGCCCTGAAGGCGGAGAAGACTCATTGCCGCTCTCCCGCATCTCGACAGTGCTGTCCCCACGATCAAGCGTCGCCTCCTACCTGTCACTCATCAACGAGCTGCGGTCGACGTTACTAGACTCCAGCCCTCTTCAAATGAAACGCTTGTCGGTAGGGGTACACAATTCTGTCGTGGAAACCTCCGCTACGGTGGAGAGGGTCCAATGTCAAACGAATGGAACAGCGGAGGATGCGGACGCGGCCACACCGACGAGGGAAGCGGACGAGGCGACGACGACGCGCAGGAGTGCACGTCGCACGACTTGTGTTTCTGAAGCCGCCAGCGTGCGCACCCCAACAGAAGCGAAGGAAATTGGTCGGAATGTGGAAAAGCCTTCGACGGCCTCCGTTGATGTGGACGTGGCAGATGCGCTTTCCTCCATGGCGATGAGTGCGTCTCCGATTTTCCTGCAGCGCCGAGACCGTCGTCCAGCCACTGCTGCAGCGACGGCAGCCGTGTGCAGTCCTCAGCTTCTCTTGACCCGTGAGCCGCAAGAAAGCCGACGCGGCGCACCTGAAAGGAAGAAGGTGAAAGTGAACGTCAACAGCTCGCCCTCTGCCCGCACCAAACGGGACGCACGATTAAATCCACGGCAGTCGCGGCCCACAAAGAAGGCCGCATGCGCCGTGGCCGCAACGAAGAGGAAAAAGACGGTCCACTTCCGGGCATCGCTGGAGCAAGTGAAGGGTGCGACAGGAGCTCCCGTTGCCCCTCAGAAGAGAGGCAGAAGGGCGGAGCGTGCAACGCCATCCGCGTGTGCGCCAACGAGAATGCCACCAAACATGTGCGTAGAACAGCGCGGATTTGGCGCCGACATCCTTCTCGCCTGTGGGCCCACACTTTATTTTGATTGAGCACAGTCGTTTCCTCCCCCCCCCCCTCTTTCTTTTCAGGGACGCGAAAAAGTGAATACCGCTGCTTGTTTGTTTTGCTCTGCTGCTTCACGCATACTGCTACGGTTACCGCGCCAACGCCCAATAGCAGAAGTAAAAACAACTTCTTCTATTTCTTTTGACTGCGATGGTTATGATGCAACGGCGGCAATTCCTTTTGTCTTTTCTTTCGTACTTCACCTGCCGATCGTAGTTTCATTCTGCCTCCTTTCCACTGCCAAAGTAGACTTCACCTTCAGGGGCAAAAACAATGTTGGACTTCGTCACCTCTTCTCCCCTCGGTCTGTCATTTTATTTTTCCCTTTTACCTGCTGAAGTATTCCGCGGGTAATTCCACAGCTGTCGAGCGATCATATACCAAAACGCAAACACAGAAACGCACACTCGTCTACGATGTCGGCTGTAGGCGACCTTTCGATTACCGTGCGCAAGGTGGCGGAGGATGTCAAGAACCTCAAGGCCGCTTACGAGGCCAAGAACGATGCCCAGTGCAACACCCTTCTGGCAGACGTCAAGCGCCGCATCATTGTGTTCCCCACGTTTCTCAACCCTAGCGCCACCAGCAGTACCCGCGGCGAGGAGCTGTCTCTCGCGCGGGACTACCTTGAGCTTGGCGTGCTGGCTACTGCCCACCAGAAGGACCTCGCCTCGTTCGAAGTGTATTTTAGTCAACTGCAGGTCTACTACAGCGACATGGGCGCGGATGAGCTGTCGGAGAGTCCGCAGTTTCTCATGCTGCTCGGTCTGAATCTGATCCGTCTGCTGGTGTGCAGCCGCATTGCGGAGTTCCACTCCGAGATGGAAAAGATCCCGTTTGAGGCGCACGGCGGCAACGTGTACATCCGCTTCGCTGTGGAGCTGGAGCGGTACCTGATGGAGGGGAGCTACAACAAGCTGCTCACCTCGCGCAAGAAGGTGCCGGCGAATGAGTACCTGCCGGTGGTGGAGATGCTGGAGCAGACGGTGCGGGACGAGGTGGCGAACTGCATTCCGCAGTCCTACACCCAACTGTCAATCCCAGCCGCGCAGCGTATTCTGATGGTGGACACGCAGGACAAGGTGCGCGAGATTGGCGCGGAGCGCAAGTGGATGCTGTCGGACGACAAGTCGCAGTTTGTATTTGTACGCGCCGAGGACACCCTCAAGAAGGAAATCCCGTTCAAAGAGATGGTGGAGCAGCACATTCAGTTTGTCGCTGACCTGCAGAACATCGTGTAAGGTAGGAACGCGCGATGAAGCACAGAGAACTGTGTGTGCTCTTGGACAGGGGCACTGTATTCTACAGATCTCTTTGTTTTCTTGTGTCTGTGTTGCTGCTGCCGCGCAGCGGATGCACTTGTGTGCTGCCCAGTTGTTTCCATTTTGTTTTTTGATGGTTCGCCTCGATGATGTACTGGTTCAACACGGCAGCCGCAGTTTAGGAGAAAGAAGTAGTATATTTTGCGCTTTTTCTCATGTTGCCACCTATGCATCCCCTTCTATTTTTCTGTTTACTGTTGACTGTGATACAAATTTATCTTGTTCTCCATCATCCAATGTCGACGAGACAGTATTGAGAAAAGAAATGAAGAAGGAAAGAAGGCCGTTATATACCCTTCGATTCACGGTTTCAATGCCATCCTCTACCTTCTTTTTGGAGTTCGGAAAGCAGCAACGGCATGGTCTCTCTCTATCTATATATATATATCTCGGTCTGCGGCGATGCCCTGCACAATCATGGGTGGCCGGCCATAATGAGCAGTGAATGTTGTTGTCTGTTAACATCTGCGAAGCTGGCGCAGCCGCAGCCACGCAGGTCTTATTCCCTTTCTTACTATCGGGGCCTTTTTTGTTGGTATTGATGGTATGAGAGCTCCGCGCGCTTCATGGACTCGGGGCCCCTACCCCATTTCCTTTCTTTTACTTCACCTCTCTTCTTGTCGCAATGATCCAGGCTCTTCTTCGTCTTCTGCTTCTCTTTCGTTTTTTTTTCATCCGCAGATTCGCCATGTACACGACCACGCGTACGCCCGTCACCCTTACCGTCCGGCGCAAGGACGGCAGCGAGGCGCACTTTGTGCGCCGCGAAACGACCGACACCACCCCACTGCCCCGGCCCGCCGCGAGTGACGAGCACGACGAGATTTACCAGTCCGTCATGGAGTGCGCGCCGTACACCGCCAGCTTCAACGCCCTGCTCTCGCGACCCGCCCCGAAGGAGGGTGCGCAGGAGATGGTCGCGCTCGTCCACAACCGCATGCACAGCGAGGGCATCCCCCTCAACAGCGAGACGTACAATCTGCTGATGAAGCGCGTCGTGCGCTTTACCGACGGCTCCATTTTCACGCTGTACGAAGAGCTGAAGAAAGAAGGCCGCAAGGAGAACAGCAGCGTGCGGCCGAACGTGGAGACTTTTGTCTTGCTCTTCCGCGCGTGCGAGAGGAGTGCGCAGTACAGCAAAGCCTTCCTGTTCTATCAGCAGATGCGCGAGTACTTTCGACTGGTGCCAGACACGACCACGTACAACACGCTGCTCGGCTACTGTGCGGCCGTGCGCGATGTTGCGCAGGCCACGTTTTTGGTGGAGGAGATGAAGCAGCTGGAGGTGCCACGCGACGTGAACACGTACAACTGTCTCATGAGCGTCATGGTCACCTCCGCGCCGTACGCGGAAACGATGAAGGTGTTTCAAGAGCTGCTTTCGGTCAATATCAAGCCGTCGAACCGCAGCTACAACACCATTCTGAAGGCGGCCTGCGACCACGGCGACTACGACCGCGCGTTTCAGCTGACGGAGGAGATGAAGCGGCGGGGGCTGCTGCCGGATGTAGAGACGTACAACTATCTTATGAGCGTCTGTGCGCAGCGCGTGGATTATGTCCGCGGCACCGGGGCCTACGCCGCCGAGCACCGCCGCCACGAACAGGTAGTGCAAGGCACCCACGCCCTGGCGGAGCTGGTGCTGACGCTGATGCGGGAGATGCGCACGATGCGGGTCAACCCGGATACTTACACCTACAACAAGGCCCTGAGCACCCTTGTTCTGTGCGATGACGAGCGTGTCTTCGCGGTCTTCAATGAGATGGTGCGTGATGCGAATAAAAGCCGCGCTGCGCAGGAATTTGCAAGTGCTCCAGTGAAGCAGAGAAAGTCTCCCGACCAGGACGACGCCGACGCGGGGGCCATTCTAGAGGTGGCGCTGCAGGCGGAGGAGAACAACGAGGTTGGCAACATGCGCAGCACCACGGTGCATCCGAACCTCGAAACGTGGAAGGAGCTCACGAAGGCGTGTCTCCTCTTTGGGTATTTCCAGCGCGCCAAGGAGGTGTACGCAAACATGAAAGAGGTGAACCTGACGCTCAGCGCAACCATTGCGCATCTTCTGCTTGAGGTGTGCTGCAAGACGAAGACGCGCTCCTGGGCGGAGCGGCTGCTGGAGGAACTGAGGAATGCTAACGTGCTCCTCACCACCGCGTTGATGAATGACTACCTGAAAGTGCTTTGCGCCGTCGACGACGAAGGGACGATATTCGCGGAGTACGAGAAGATGCGCCTGGGCATCCATCCGTCTGGTGCCTGGGCGAACACGGACACCAGTAACATCATTCTGGCCTACGCATGCGGGAAGCCCACACGGCAGGAGACCGCAGACAAGCTCTACGCCGCCATGGTGCAGCCCTACTCCACCTCGCCGGCGGACGACGAAACCTACCGCATCCGACTGGAGTCCTTTGTCGGTCGAGAGGACGTGAACACGGAATCGGTGCTGTCGTACGTGGAGGAGGTGCTGCGCAGCCACCCTCCCCAATGTCTTCCCTTTTACCACGCGATTCTTCGGTTTCTGCTGAAGCAGGATGATGTGCGCATTCGTGCGTGGTTTGATCGCATCAGCAGCACCGGAGAAACGAAAGGTGGCCTTGCCGTAGCGGCTGATGTAGCGTGTTACACCATTGTCATGGAGTACTACCTGAAACATGAGGACTACGACAGCATTCAGCAGCTCTACGCACAGCTGCAGAGCAGCCCGACGCTGGAGGCGGACAAGGGCATCTACCGCGTGCTCTTCGAAGTCGCCCGTCGTCAAGACGATCCGCGGACAACTACAAAGCTACTGGACCAGGTTCGTGTGAATAGCGTGCGTCTCGACGCGCGGTGCTACGACAGCATTTTGCAAACGTACGTGGCCCACGATGAGTCGCTTGTGTTTGTGGTGTTGAACTACATGAAGGAGCAACGCGTGGCCCCTGCGGACAGCACCATGGCGGTGTTTCTCTCCGACCCCAAAGGGCGTCAAATGCTGACGAGTGTGCTGACGCGCAACTTGTTTTACTCCCCGGTGCCGCCTGCTCCTTTAGAAAAGCTCAAGCCGTAGTTGGTTTTTGAGTTTGTTGGTAACGCTGCGTATGATGACGAATCGATTGACCCAGTTCTTTTATATTCATATATATATATATATATATATATATATATAACTCACTAACTGATGTACAGAAGCAATGTTTCTTTTATTATTATTGTGAATGGAATGTATCGTTTGCGTTGCCTTGTCTGCTGTTGAAGGGCATAGCGATTCTTTTTTCTTTCTTACTGGCACGACACTCTATTATATTAACGGTTACTATGGACAAAGGAAAAATGTATCCATATATAGCGGAATCCCCGTCTCCTGCGGGAAAGCACCCGATAGCAAGTACCGATGTACTTACGGGTTCCGATGGCGATGAAATCACTGTTGGAAACGCGTTCGCAGCTGTTGTGAATGAAGTGACGGCAGATGACGTCTGTGTGCCATTTGTTTGTCTTCACTGGATGTTTCCAGGTAAACTGTTTGATCGCTGTACACCACATCGTGGGCTTTTCTCTCCCCCCCCCCTTTCCCTCCCTCTTCCTTTTGTTTTCTGCGTCTGTTAAAACGCTCTCACCCATTCTGATGGACAGCATCACAGGGGTCACCACACTCGCTATCAGGAGTACAAGATTATTTCTCTAATGGCGGATTTTCCTGCGAGGGCGGGCCGCCGGGTAACCTTCAAAGGCCGCCAGCGCGGGGAGCAGTCGGTGCAAACCGAGTCCTCCTTTGTCCCTGACTGCAAGGACCTCGGCTTCGCCTACGACCCCCTCGCCAGTGAGCAGTACGAAAATCTCATCGGGCTTCGTCAGATGATTCAGACGTGCATCAAAAAGGTCGCTGGCGACGTCTACGACGTGGTCAACTTCAAGGACATTCTCTTCCAGCTGGAGAGCGAGCTTCCTTCATCCCTGCCGGTCACCGATCTTCTGCTGCTGTCATCGCGGTTGTTTCGTCGAACTGCCGAGCTTGGCCGACTGCTGAGCTGCTTCTTTGGGGTAGTCTTCGCAGATGACTACAACGACGAGCACTTTCGGTTCACCGAGGTGCGCCTCCTGCAGCGCGAGGTGCGCGAGTTAAAAAGGCAGCTGGAGGGGTCGGAGAAGGAGCGGGTGCGTCTGCAGCAGAAGCTGGACAACGTAGGTCAAATCGCCTACGACCACGGGAAGGCAGTCGAGGCGCTGGAGACGCACAACGAAGCCCTGAAGAAGCAAACCACGGCTTTAGAGGATCAAATGGCGCTTCTGTTCCACCAGCTCAACGCCGGTTTAGAGAGCCACTGCAAGGACGCCTATAAGCAAGTGAGTGGCGAAACGAAGGTACAGGAAAGCCTCAACCCCACGCGGATTACCTTTCGGCAGACCATGGATAGCCTGAGCGAGCAGCTGCGCGGGTCTCGCGGACTCATCACGGAGGTTCGAGAGGTGCTGCTGAGCTGCAGCTCCGGCGGCCGCACCGGCGAGGCCTACGTCGCGGTCGAACCGAGCGTGCGCTTTAAGCTGAAAATGCTCGACTCCAACTTTCAGCAGCTGATGGGCCGCTTCACGGCGATCAAGGACACCGTGGTGGAGACGGCGCAGGAGCTGATGACCGCCCTGCAAGAGCGCAAGAAGATTCTCTACCTGTCCTTCCAACACATCCGCCTGTACGACTTGCAGAACGCGAAAATGCGCAACGCACGTGCGATTCTGTCTCAGCTGCAGCAGAACACAACGGAGGTCGTGCAGCGCATCCAGGTGACCTTCCCAGGCGGGGCACTGACCTCGGTCGATCGGTTTGGCAACATCGCGTCGCAGCGCTGGCAGGGCGGGTACACGCTGGCGACGTTGCGGGGGTACAAGCTGGCGCAGAAGAACGAAGCAGCTGAGCGCGTCTCCCTCGCCAACTCCGTCAGTGGCGAAGTCAGCACCAGCGCACCTCCGCGCCATTCCCTCCAACCCGGCCGGCTCCTGCCGGGGCTGACGGAGGCGCAGGTGATGGCGGCGGAGAGCGAGCTCGCGGCGTTGGAGGGGCGCCCTTTTGATGCGACTGCTGGGCTGCGCAGTCCGGGTAACGCACCGTTCACAGGGAATGGAGAGGGGAGCCCGCCGTCGGCTTCGATGCAGCTGCAGTCGTGCTCGACCAGCCAGAGCATCAGTGCTGCGGGTGGTTTCTCACAGGGCACCCCTGCGAACGCGTTTTCTAACGACGACAGCGATGTCGCGCCATTCGCTTCCATCGGCTCGTTCTTAGACATCATACGGCAAGTAAACAACGACATGGAGGAGCTGCAGAAGACCCTCGTGCTAGATGACGAGATGGCCGCCTTCTTGAAGATGCTGACCCTCTCCGCCTCCACGACACCGCGCACGGACGTGGGGGACAACACGACACTGACAGGCGGGCGGGCGTCGCAGCTGGAGCGGCAGGAGTACAACATGGAAGCCGCATTGCATCCAACAGGCAGCGGCCTGGACGGCAATCGGTCGAGCGGCAACGCGTCGAAACTATCCGGGGCGCTGACGGAGGCGTCGAACCGGGGCGAAAACGACTCGTTCGGCTCGACCTCCTTCACGCTGCGCAGCCCGCGCTCACCGGACAGTCACGGCTCAGCGTCGTCGCGTGCCGATCGCGGGCAGTCCGATGCGGCCCTCGCCCGGCAGGCGGTGCAGCTGCAGCGGCAGCAGGAACAGATCACAAAGATGCAGGAGGATTTTAGCTCCAAGATAGGGTTTCTGCGCCAGATTTACGAGGCCCGCATCGGCGACCTGGAGGTGCGGGAGTCGAACGTGAGCAAGCGGTACGCCAACCACGGCGCCGTGACGGTGTTCCACACGTCGAGGGCAACTGACGACAGCATCGCAACGGCGACATCAATGAAGCCGTCTTCGTCAGAAGGCCGACCAGCTCAGCCGGCTAACCGCGATAAGGAGCAACTCATGAGGATGCGCAAGAACTGGCAGCAGACGAAGTTCAAGCTGCAACCGAACCGCCGATTGCGCGAAGCTACGGTGAATGAGCTGGAAAACAGCGGAGCCGATGACGAAGAAATTTATCAGGACTAAAGAAGAAAGTGGTGCCCGCTGTTGGGGTACTTTGCTTCTCTACTCGTACGTTTACGCTACAACATCTCTTTGCTATTACGCATCTATTCGACATTTCTGTGACTTTTGTTTTTTGTCTTACCAGCAGCAACGGCAAAGCGGAGGCAATGTCTGCCCTACGCATTGCGTTTGTGGAGTGCCGGTGTTGTTGTGCTTCCTTTCTCTTTCCTTTTCTTTTATGATGTACATACAAATCTTTCCATCACGGCCTCCTCCTTTTTTTTTTGCTTCATCTCTTGCATGGGAGGATCTGTGGGTTTCTTCAACGCTATGAAACACAGAAAAAGAAAGAAATTCTCAAATCGTGGATCACGGCGTGTGTGTGTTCGGCCGCTGATGGTGTTGGTGATCTCACCCCGTCTCATCACGCCAATCAGGTGCTCTTGTGTGTCTCCGTTACCTCCACCCTGGAAGGTACCTGTATTTAACTCTCGTTGCAGGCTTTCCTCGTACTGTTGTTGTTTGGTGTCATCTGCCCGCTTCCTCTCTTGATCTCTCTCCCGCTTACAGTTCTGTTAGTTGGTGCTGTTGTTTTTTCCCCCCAACTACGAAAGTGCTCCGTATGGGTACTGAGCTCCCACTTCTTCGTTTTGCCATCATCGCGTGCGTCTTCTAGCCTTTTTTTCTTACCCCCACTGCCTTTGTTCTTCTTCCCTCTGTCAAGCACAACATGTCCCGTCACGCTTACGTGAACCCCGACGATGAGAAGGTCTTTGTGGCGATCTTTGCCAAGGACCCAGAGTGCAACCGCTGCTTTGAATGCGGCGCGCCGAACCCGCAGTGGTGCGACGTCATGCACGGCACTTTTATTTGCCTCAACTGCAGTGGGCAGCACCGCGGCCTCGGCGTGCACCTCTCCTTTGTCCGCAGCTCCACGATGGATGGATGGATGAACTGGAAGCCAGAGAAACTGCGCCAGATGGAGCTCGGCGGCAACCGACGCGCACGGCTGTACTTCGAGACCAATGGCGTACCCAAGTCCCCGATTAAGGCGCGCTACGAGTCTCTTGGCGCCCTCCGCTACGCCGACCTACTGGAGGCGGAGGCGCAGGGCAAGCCGTTTAACGAAGCTGCGTGGCAGCCACCGGCGTGGTACACGCGGCTGAAGATGCAGTCGAGCCCTAGTCCTTCCAGCCCCTCGCCCACTGCCATGTACCCGCCCACGAGCCCGAATCGGTTTGCGGGGATGGGTTCGAATGGGCAGACGTTCGCGGCCCAGGAGAACAATCACAACAAGGGCGATGGTGGCGGGGGTGACTGGTTCTCTGCGCTCTCGAGCGGATGGACCACCGTCTCACAGAAGACGGCGGAGTTGGCCCAGCAGGCCTCCGTGGCGGTGCAAAGCGCCGACGTCGACGGCGTAAAGTCGTCACTGGTGCAGAAGTGGGCCAACGTGTCGTCGACTGTCTCTTCCTACGCGACTGACCTGCAGCGGAAGATGGCGGCCGAGAACGGGCGCGGTGGCAACCCCGACGACGACGGGCTGGCGGCCATGATGCAAAAAGCACGGCAGGCGCAGGCAGAGGGCGGGATGGCTGGTGCTCCCGTCGACCCAACTCGCTTTGGCCACGTCGAGGGCACCCACGCCAGTCCGCTGCGAGGCACGCCGGTGCTGCCCGGTGGTGTGAACGAGGCCGCGACGGGGCACACGCCGGTGTATCAGGGCAGGGTTGTGTCAGCCAATCCGTCCCCCGGCAGTGCTCCTGCCATGGCGACTCCAAGCCACAGCCCCAACGTTGTGATGCCCGCCGCCGCGACGACGGCTACGGCTCCTTCTGGTGCGAATCGCCCATCCAACCCGCTGGGCAGCAACACCGGCACAGGCGTGGCTTCTACTGCTTCCACCGCCGCGCAGCCACAACAGAAGGTTGACTGGGCATGGGACGACTTCTGATCGTGAGCCAACGTGTTTTTGGCAAAGAAGAAGGAAAAGCACGTAATATTCCATAATATGATGCCGTTTGTTTTTTTGTCATTGCTGCGTTGTGGGGCTCCAGTGAAGAGGGCCGGTTCGACGTATTCGCTTAATCTTTTATTGTAGGCTTAACTTCCTGTTGTTCTTCGGCTTTGCGTTGAAATGCAAACGAGAGGACGTGTCTCTTGGTAGATGGCAGTTTGAACGACACGAAGTGTGCTCCAACACCCATTTTTAGCTGTTGTGGTGGAAGAGAAAGGTGAAGTGCTGATGGGATGCTTTTGGTTTTCCACGCACCGCCACACGCTTTGATCGCAGTCCGGGGTTCTTGCGTGATGGCACAATAGCGGAAGCTGCAGAACGAAGAGAAATTGATCAGAGTTACGAAAGAACAGAAAAAGGTAAGCACCTCCACCGTGTTTTACGCCAGTACCAATAAGGTGGTTCACGTCGCCATGGACGAAGTGATGCGTTGTATTACGTGCCCCCGCTCGTGTATCTCTTGCGACATAGGGGTAAAGGTTTTTTTTCTTTTCTGACTGGGCCTCAGGTCGATGGTGTGTCAGCGGCGCCGCGTCGTTGTACCGGGCACAGGGAAATCGAAGTTACACCAGCCATCATCACGTGTTTTGCCTGTATGAAGCACCAAATGCTGTCCCTCTCTTAAAGTAAAAACGTCAACGCTGTTTTTAACGTCCTCCTCCTCAGCAGGTCTTTTCTTCTCAAATTTGCAACACCGTAAAATCGGTGGCACTGGTTGTATTTTGTTCCGTGCAGAGTTGAGGTGCCCATTCGTTAGCACCGTTCCCGGTATCTTTTCAGCTACGTTTGTGCGCTTTCAAGCAGGCTGCTTTGGTGAAGAGCGTATTTTCGTTGTTGGGAAATTCACTCCTTTCTCATCTTGGATATTTTCGGATTAGCGTGGACGTTTTTTTTTTTTGGCAAGCTTCGTATCATACGACAATTCACAACGTAGCGCGGCAATGGGCTCTCTTTTCCAACTGCGGGATTATTGGTACAGCTCCTTCCCCGGGGAGGAGTTCAGTCCGTCGGCCATCACGCTGGTGGACCCCGATGTGCACATGCTGTTCGACAAAATTGCCATTGGCTCTTTCCAGGGAATGCTGCGCATCTTGAACCCGAGTGCAGTGCAAGGTCCGATGCTGCCGGGTGACGTGCTACTCGAGAAGAAGTACGACGAGCCCATTCTTCAGCTTGCGTGTGGGCCCTTTCGACCGTTTCAATCGCGAAGCTCAGCGAACTTGCTCGCCGTGTTGTTCCCCCGCTCCCTCGTCTTCTTGGAGGTGACCTCCCAGAACACCGAAAGTAATTGCAATAGCGATGGCATTACGCGCGACACCTCGAATGGGGCGAGCAGCGGCGGGGAAATGGGCGGGTGGGACGGCGCAGAGTCCTCCTCGAGCCCCACCGATGCTGCACCCCGTCGCCAGCACCGCAACGGCAGCTCGGTCGAGAAGGATCGGTCGGTGCGCGAGCTGAACACCTTCTACACCCTCACCACGCACAGCGAACTCTTCCTCGAGCACACGGCGTATAACTTCGTCTGCGGCAACTTTGGACGGATCGAGTACAACATGGTCTGTGTGCAGTCCATGGACGGCCTTCTCACCATCGCGGTCCCCGACAGTATTCTCTACCGCAAATTCCTTCCCCAGAATCAGTTTCTGCTGCCTGGACCGCTCACCTACTGCCCCTCGCGCGACGCCCTGCTCACGTGCAACAGCTCCATGTTCCTCCTGTGCTACAGCTACACCTCCATCGTGATGAGCGCCATCGGTCACGACGCACCGGCTATGTCGTCAAGCGCTGAACTGGCGGCGCGGCGCTCGAGCAACCTTCGCCCACTCTGGGCCTTCAACCTGGGTGAAGACGCCGTGGATATTGCCGTGTGTCGGCTGACCAGAGGCCTGTCAAATGAAGAGGCAGACATCGTCGTGCTCTGCTCTACGATCCTGTACGTGCTAAGTGAGGCGGGTGTGCTACGTACAATTCGCCGGTTGGACGTCGAGGCGGCCTCGCTGTGCGTGTATCCGATGGCGGAGATCCATTACGACAACTTGCTGGTCGGCACCTTCAACGGACTCGTGCAGGTCTACTCGGACACTGAATTGGTGTGGAGTGCGGCGGTGCCGAGCGAGACTGTCCCGCTGTACCTCAATGTTGCCATGCTGTGCGGTGTGGAGGGCATGATCGTTAATCTATCTGCCGACAGCACCTTGTCCATCAACTACCTCGGTACCGACCCAGTAAATCACCGCCCGCAGGTGCTGGAGAGCAAGTCGGCGTCCTACCCAGAGACCATGAGCGACTTGAAGCAGGTGGAGCAGCTCCTCCACGACGTCGTCGACACGGCGGACGAAGACGAAAAAGTCATCGCGACGACAGGCGCCGTCTCCACTCCCCAGAAGGAGAAACCCGCAGAGAAGAGCAGCCCTACCACCAAGTCAACTTCACCGCCAGTACCTGCAAAACTCGAGAGAAAGCTTCCTGCCGCGGAGCTCTCCATCTCGAGCGAGTTTGGCCCGGTCAACGCCGCCGAGAACGCGGCGTTGTTTACCGTCACCCTGCAAACCTTAGACAGCGGCGTCGACGGTGTCTCGGTCGTGGTGGAGGCCGTGCCGCCGCTCCTCGTCACCCCTTCGCAGCACCTCATTGCGGAAATGGACGCTGGCAGCGCAACGCAGTTCGCCTTCACGGTGAGCGCGGTGCAGGACAGAAGCCTCATCATCCCTTCCTCCCTGGACGTCATCGTGGTGGCCGTCTATCGCGGTCGGCGACGGCAGTATCAGGCGGTCCAGCACGTAGCGGTGGCGCCTCTTCCGCTCGTGGCTCGACCTGTGCCACCTGTCAAAAACACCGCATTTAGCGTGCAAATCAACACAGACAAGAGTCCACCGCCATCCCTGCTGGAGCTGTTCCACGACATGGCGGCGTACGGCACTGCCGCACCGAACGTGCTCTCTGTCCACTATCTTAACGGTGCAGATGCGACGGTGTTAGTGTCGAAGAACGCGGCTCGATTTAAGCTGCAGAGCTCCACCATGGAGGGCCTGTGGTTGCTCGCTGATGAAGTGACGCGACGTGTGCGGCGCTACTACGCAGAGACCGGCCCGCTCTTTGAGATGCCAGACGAGGTGCCGCTGGGCGATTTCCTCGCGGTGGTCGACACCCACTGGGCCATTCGAAAGGAGATGGCCACCGCGCAGGCAGGGCTGGATCAGGCGGCCGATCTCTTTCGCGCGGTGGAGAAGCGGCTTCTCGCGCGGTTTCGCGACCGCAGCCCGGCTGACGCGACCGCCGTCGCCGTCCTTTTCCAGGAGAGCTACAAGCTCCTGCAGGAGAAGGCGGACGCCGTGACACGCGCCAAACAGCGACTGCGGCAGGCTTCCGCGATGCTGAACTGCTGTGCGCAGCTGACGTGGCTGTGTATGGAGATGAAGGCACCGCCCATGAGCAACGATGACGTCGCCACGCTGCGCACGCTTTTTCGATGCAGTATCGGCGACAGCAACGAGGTGGGGTGGGAGGAGGTGACCGAGGCCGTGCTGGCGAAGGTGTTGGACATCAAGACGAAGCGGGTGGCGAGCACCACGTTGGAGTTGGCGGCGAACACGGTCAATGTCAAGGCGTACGTACGGACGCTTGTGGAGTCGATAAAAAATGGTCGGGGTCTTTCCGCAAGCTGATGTTGTGCGGGGGCTTCGCCGTCGATCTTCTCGGTTGCTCTGCGCCTGCGTTTTATCAAAACTAATGGAAGCTTTGTTTTTATCGACAAGTAACATGTGCATTACACTTGACGGCGGTTTACATGGGCGGTGCTGACTTCAATAACGACAACACCGAACAGCAAAATGAAGGCCGGCGATAATGCCGCTGAGAGGAAGTGCGCGCTGAACCGAAGCAGTATCTCTGACTGTTTCTACGCTTTTTCTCTTCTCTCTTCAATATTGCCTTTTACGGGTACGTGAAGTACCTTGTGCCGCGGACGAAGGAAAAAAAAGTCTCCCCAACAACGACTCAAACTGGTTGGGTTTTTCGGAGAACCACAAGATGACTAAACAACTGTTTGAGTGCAGAAAGCAATGAAGTGCTTTGCTCTTCCGTTTTTTTTTTTGGGGGGGGGGTCTTCCTCAAATGAATGCAGTTATCGCATCGTGGAGGTTTTTGTCGGTAATCGTGGTGCCACCTCTGTTCGTGGCAGCTGCCGCTCTAGCGACGATATCATCCTCCTCGTTTCTATTGCCATTGTTTCGTTTCTTCTTTTCTTCATTCCCCCCGTCCTGCGGTGCATCTTCACAGGGTTGTGTAGCCCACGCACACGCTCCTGCTCTACTGTTAGCATTATTTTTCCATATGTTCCCTTCGGCAACCGCCTCATCTGCTTCGCACCCCTTTCACGGATGGACGGACCACCTGGATCGCAGACGGCGGTGCTGAAGAAATCAAAACGCCGAAACGGTAAAAGGGGTAACACGACCACTGATAGTCAACAAAATGCGCGTGTAACTAATAGTAATGGTAACGGTAACAGTACGGATAAACTCAATCCCGGCGAGGGAGTTCGCGCATCGCAGGAAGTGACGACTTCTCTCTTTCAGCCTCCCCGACAGGAGCATGTGTACGTGGAGGTCCGCCCCGTGAAGGAGCTGTACGGGCAGCTTTGCAGAGGCACGAGCAACGCAGCGGCAGGATCCAGCGGAGCAAGCAACCGCAACTGCAAGCAAGCCGACACCAACAAACGTCGCACCTGCGCTCTTCAATACGACTTCACGGAACTGCCTTACCCGCGTGGCATGGTGAACAACAGCAACTTCTGCTTTATGAACTCCATATTGCAGTCTCTGCTGTTCATCCCTGCTTTTGCGCAGCTGGCGGTGTCCGTTAGCTGTGACGTGCAGGCGCGTGAGTGCTGCCCTGCGCTGGCCGCCTTTGGCAAATGGGCGCTGCAGTACTGGAAGCCCGGCTACACACGCTTGGCCATCGCCGCGCCGCCGTTGATGCCGCGCACCAAGGCAGGCACCGCCTCCGCGATTCCGCCCTCGCAGCGGGCGCTGGACGGCAGCGTACAGGAAGATGCGCAGGAGTTTCTCCAGAAGCTGCTGGAACGCATCCAGCACGAGTTGGTGCCCTTCGAAGAAAAACAGGGCAAAGACGCTGCGGTGGCGTCCACGGCGCACGAGGACGTGAATAATCGTGCGGAAGAAAGCCGCGACACCGCCTCTGCGCAGAAGGGCTGGACAGTGGTGAAAGGGAAAGAGAAACTGGCGGTGCGCGAGCACGTGGATGCGCAGGGGCAGTCGCGGCTGCTCAGCGCGATCTTCGGCGGCACGCTGGAGAGTCACCTGCAGGGCAAACAGCGACAGCGCGACCACGTGTCGGTGGTGGTAGAGAGGTACTTCAGCGTGCCAGTCGACGTCGCCTTCGCGCCTGAGTGCACGATCGAGCAGGCGCTGGAGCACACCTTCACCACGGAAACAGTGTACGACAGTGGGCGTGAGAAGAACCTGAAGAAGACGCTGCGGTTTGGGCAGCTGCCCTCGATTTTGCTGCTTCAACTGCGACGCTGGGCCGTAACCCGTGAGGGCGATCTGGTGAAGCTGGACAACGCGGTGCACGTGAAGCGCACACTCCAGATTCCGCGCACGATCTGCGGCGATGCGACGCTCAGCAGTTCGGAGCGCAGCTACCGTCTTTTATCCGTTGTGTGTCACCACGGCGATGCGATGGGCCGCGGGCACTACGTCACCTACCTCGTGCACCACGCCGCCAACCCGGAGGTCATGAAGGTGCGCGCCACCGGCAAAACCAATGAGGCCGAAGCAGTTCGCTCTGCGCCACCGAATGCTTCTGTTGTCTTGTGCGATGACGCAAACATCTCGGTGGGGCCTGCGAAGAGCATGCATGATAAAGCCATCTACTTCTTGATGTATCAGAAAATGAGCTGATCAGAACTCTTTCGTTTGACTACAGTACATAAAAGTGCCCGCCAAGCAGCATCCACTCACAGCCTGTCGAAGGCCATTCAGGCACACTCGCTTTTTTTTTTTTCTCATTGGCTTCTCCGTTGTATGCCCTTTGTTTTTTGGTTGGAGGGATACATGCAGTCCATGCCCCGATATGAATTTTGCAACGACACGTTGGAGAGGCTTCTCGTAGAACATGTCCGCAAACTAGTTTCATGATATATATTTTCACCGCCGACGTCTCGACGGTGCCGCAGAGGACCTCGCGAAGGCAAACACACACACACATACAAGAAAACGAACTGCTCACAACTTGGGACCAGGCGTCAACAATGCGCTTTGTGCCACCCTCGACTATACCAATATGCTCCGCTAGACAGATCAATACCCCTGACTGTTCCCCCCCCCCCTCCCCGCCGTCTTCAGGACCAAGGAATGACGAGCCTTTACATCTCTCCCATGTCACTCGCTCCTAGGTTTTTTTTCTGTCCGTTTCTCTCGTTTCTCTTTTCTCTGCTTTTCTTTGTTTCGACCACTTCTCCACACTATATTTGTATCGTGGAACGCCTCGTTCCTGTTTGTTTTAACGCGCTGCCCTGCTCGTCTGCTGACTTTTTTGTTCTTTGTCTTTCACCAACGCTATTCAGCTCGTCAACTTCGGTGCTTTTTGTTTGTTGTGACAACTTGTGCATAGTCAGTGCGATCTTTATTATTTCTGGTAATTACCTTTCCATCCTCCTCCTTTCACTTCCAAAAACTGGAACCCACTTCTCCCCTACGGTGTATATCGGCGAGTTACTAGCTCCTCTTTCTGCCTCGCATTCTATTATTATTTTTTAAACGATAACCGTTGTGTACCTCTCACTCCACAGGATGTCGACCACCACTGCCGTCCAGCAGCTCCCTCTCTTCCAGCCCATTACGGCCAAGTCGGAGGAGCGCATTACGCAAATGTACGAGGAGATTAAGCGACTTTACCAACCGCTCCCGGTGCTCTTCCAGCGTGCCATCGACCACGGCACGTCGGAGCTGCCCACCCCGCAGAACGACGTCCGGCTCATCTGCTACGCCTTCCTCGTGGCCCGCAACTGGAATGTGAAGGAGGCGGTGCAGATGGCGCAGGAGGCCATTCGCTTCATCGAGAAATTCCGCCTCGGCGATCTCAGCATGTTCCCTTCGGGTTACAGCATCCGCGGCTACGACGAGGCGAAGGTGGCGTCGCTCTTAGGGGCACCGTGGGGATCGACGAATAGCGAGCTCTACCGCTGCATGAGCACCATGGCCTCACTGTCGATGACAGGCTTCCACTACTGGGACCGCCGCGGGTTGCCGGTTGCGTACTGGTTGGCCGGTCGCGTGCAGACGCACACGATGCTGAAGAAGGCCAAGGCGCAGTTGCCGGTGGGCACGACGGTGGAGGACTACTTCCAGCTCTTCGGGGGTGGCGTGGTGGAAACGGGCTGGTACCTGTGTGCCTACCAGGACACCGTCCTCGCGTCCAACCCGCAGCCCGGCATCGACATGGGCGCCCCCCGCCGCAATTTCTGCACGGTCGTGGTGGACTGCAAAGGCTTGAACTACAAGATGATCGACAGGCCGCTGCTGGAGAAGGTAAAGGCGACGCTGCAGCAGATGAACTGCGTCTTCGCCGACTTCATCCACCGCGTGCTCGTTGTGAACTGCCCGCCCATGGTAAAGTTTGCCTACACGCTGCTCAAGTCCGCGCTGACGGAGGGCATCCAGCAGAAGTTGACCTTTCTCGCGCCAGAGAACTCCGTGGCGGCGCTCGACGCCATCATTGGGCTGGAGCGGGTGCCGAGCTTCATGGGCGGTCGATGCAACTGCCCGGGCGGCTGCTTACCGTGCTACAACCCGAACGCGTCGCTGAGCTCGGAGGAGGTCGTCGGTGAAGGCGACCTCGTGACGGAGGACATTAAACTCGGCGCGGGCACGAAGCACGAGAAGGTGTTTGAGCTGGCGCAAGGGGAGGAGGTGATTTGGGAATTCTCCACGACGAAAGGCACCGACGTGCGCTTCTGGGTAATGTTCTACCCCAAGCAGGCCGGCATCTCGACCGACGTCAAGAAGGGACGGATGCGGGTGAAGATCGATAAGTCGGTGAGGCGCACGACAGCGGAGAACCCCGTGGTGAAGCAGGAAAAGCTGAAGGACGGCGCGGACAGCTTCATGGCCCCCGAAGACGGCATTTTGCAGCTCGTGTGGGACAACAGCCGCGCCATGGTGCACGACAAATCAATACAGATGCGTGTGTACAAGTCCGATCCGATACTTGAGGTAGCGGAGTAAGATTGCTGGGTCGCGTCTTGCTAGTGCTCACAAGCTGAGTTCCTCTCACGCTGCCCTCACTCGTCCCCGTTCTGTCGCTTGCGAGTCAACCCAGCATTGTTCTTGATTTTCGTCGCGTTGCACGGAATGAGAAGCGGGGTACGGCGTTTTTTCAAAGCGTGTATCCGGCTTCGTAGACGATGTTGTAAGAGGGAGGAAAAAGAAGAAGAAGAGATACTGCTGTAGCCCTCACACACGAGAGACAACGATGTTGTGGAGCTTCAATTACCTTCTCGCTATTTGTTAGTCGTGCCGTTTACGTGCGTTTTGCTTTGTTCTGTCTCAACCCGTTATTGAATTTTATTTTCGGCTGACTTCAGCCCATCTTTTTGGCGCAGTTCGGATTCCTGTACTTGTTTTTGTTTTTGCTGGTGTGTTGGTTACTTCTTTGCTCTTTGTTGTTGTCGTTTTTGTGGTCTCACCTATCCCGGGGCCAGACTTCCTACTGGCGCTGCGTCGTGTCTTGTGCCCTTCTCGTTGGAGTCGTTTTCGTGACTACTGCGTTTAAGCGCTGACCTCCTCATTATGTATACGCGCGTGGCAAAAGCACTTGTGCGTCCCTTGTCCAACACCTCTCTTGTTTTTCCTTTTTCTATTGTTTGTCCTCCTGTTCCGACTACTCGCAGTGCACGGGCTTTCCGGTGTGGCGTTGCCGAAGTAACACCCCCCGCGTTTGTTCCTTCCGAATCGAACAGATGGGTGTCCACTTTTGCTTGTTTCCCCATTCTCTCCTGCTTTTTTCTTCATTGTATCACCTGTGTGTATGTGCAAAGGCCTTTCTGTTCTGTTTCGAGTTTTTTCTCATAACCTGCGCGCGTCGGTGGAGCCGCGTCTCTGTGAATACGTTACATTTTCTTCTTTCGAACTTTCTCCGGTTCTTTTTCCCAATCATTCAGCGTTCCACTCTTGCCCGAAAACTGCTGTTCTTCGTGTTGAAGTGTGAATGGCGCACCGCGGCGGCTTTTCTTCATGTGCTCACCTCTCCATTTCGCTTTTGCTTTTGGTTTCAGTGTTAAAATGTGGAAAACAGCAATCGTTAACTTAAAAGGAAAGGCGTTACGGGCAGTGGCTTTCTTTGGTCGCTTTTCTTCTCCTGGCAGACAAAACGGCTGTCAATCGCTGCTCTGCCGACGAGCAGTTATGTGGGTAGCTACAACCATGTATGCAAGCTGCGTGTCTAGGCGGACAAGATACCGGTGTGGCGAGAGCGAGCGAGCAGCGTGCCTCTTTGGATCGACGAACCAAACAAAAAGATCAAGACCAAATGCTGCCTGTATTTATCTGTGCGACTTCCCAGTCTGCTTTTCCATCGTGTGTAGATGTCAGGCGTGAAGGCGTACAACAACGAGAGGCCTCCCCCCCCCCCCCCGACCCCTCTCTTCTCTGTGTGTGTGTGTGTGTGTGTGTGTGCTGCCGTCATTCGTGTTCCTCTCCTTTTTTATCTTTTGTTTTTCAGCGCGTCGTGATGAACCGTGCGTAACGCTGAGCAGGTTGAGGAGTTTTTGCTCCCGCATCAAAAAAGGGAGAAACAGATGAAAGGAAAAGGTCTCTCTTTCTCTATCTATGTATATGTATTTGAGTTAGTGTACACGTTACATTATCTTGATCCGTAGGAACGTGTTTTTGATTTTGTTTTCTGTTTCTTTTCACTGACAAACGAAGATACGAACCAACCGCAAAGGTCCTTTCGGATTCGAAGGAACCGAACACAGCGCACACGTTCCCAGAAGAGAGCGGCTTGTGTTCTTTGCCTCCCCTTCGCTCTTGCGAGAAGAGCTGCGTGGAGTGCTCTCTTCAAACGTCTGCCGCCTCTACGATGTGACGGCGAGCGTGAGGTGAGATTATTCCCCTCTGTGCCATTATGCCTATTTCATGAAGCAACAGGCACACATACACACACAAATAGAAATGAGTTTTTTCCTGCTTCTACTCGTGCTTCTTCTTCTTCCCCTTCTCGTCTTCTCTCAATCGTTGCCTTCTCATTCGGTATAATGAATGGGTCACTCGAGCACATCAGAGATTACTATTTTTAGTATTCATTAGCGTTCCTGCTCTTCTATAGCCGACCGCCATCGCAACAGCAGTCCAGACGGACGCACAAACTCGCAGAGCTCTGCACCTACTCCCTCTCTCTCTCCCCCTCCAAAAAGCATACACATTGCAGGCATTCCAAAAAGAAGAACAGCGACGGCATCATGACCGAAGTGCACGGTAAGAAAATGTATCGCTTTGCGAAGCTCACCCCTGAGCGAGAAGAAAAGATCACGGAGATGGTGGAGCTGATGAAGAGTAGTTTCGACCCCCTGCCAAAGCAGCTCCTGCGCCTGGAGCACTTCGCACCCTCCACGCCAGACTCCCCAACTCGGCAAAGCAGCACGCGTCTCTACTGTTATATGTTTCTGCAGGCGCGCGAGTGGAACGTGCAGAAGGCGTTTGCGATGATGAAGCAATCGGTGGCGTTTCGCAACAAGAACAAACTTGACGAGCGGGGGGAGCTGCCGCCTGCCATTCCAGTTCGCGGGTGGGACATGGAGGCGATCCACAAGTTCATGGATACTCCCGAGCGACAAATGGATGACGAAATCGGCCGAATCACGGCTGCGACGCGCGCCTTTCTAGAGATGGGTTTCCATTGCTGGGACCGGAATGGGCTGCCCATCTTTTACATGATGCTGGGCAGTGTGAAGGCACGTACGGGGATTAAGAAGCTGAAGCAAATGGCGAAGATCGGCGAGACACCGCTGGACCTGTGCTGGAAGGTCCTGCAGCACACCATGGGGGTTGGCGAAGCACTGGCTGTGTACCAGCAACTGAGCTACGAGCGTGGCACGCTTGCCGTCGACGCCGCAGAGGGGCACATTCGCGCGTGCAACATTGTGCTCGACATGAAAGGCTTCACCTTCCGTCTCATCTGGAAACCCGCGATTGATCTCATGCGGGGTGCTCTGAAGCTGCTCTTTCAGTACTACCCCGACTGCGTCCATCGCATTTTCGTGGTGAACTGCCCGACGACGATCATGTGCGGCTACAAGCTGATCCGGCCCACCCTCCCTGCCTCGGTGCAGCGCAAGGTCATCTTTGCCGGCCCCAGCGATACCCTCAGCGCCCTTTCTCTCCTGATCGATCCGAAGTACATACCGGAGCGCTATGGTGGCCAGTGCCGGTGCGAGGGCGGCTGTTTCGCCTCGCACGAGGTCGGCGGCGCGTCGCACGGCGACGACAAGGAGAGTGATCCGAGCGAGGTGGGCGACGTCGTGACGGAGGACATCACCGTCACGGCCGGCTCCGACTATTGCCGCGTCTTTGCGCTTGAAAGGGAGGACACGGTGGCGTGGGACTTCGCGGCGACGCAGGGCAAAGGGGTCGCCTTCACCGTGTACTTCATCCCGGCAGCGGAGGCGGCCGATATGCAGTGGAGCACCGTGAGCGCGAAGAAACTGGAGCCGCACACAATCGCGAATAGTCACACCGTGAGCGGCGCGGATACGTTTGTAGCGAAGGAGCAAGGAACGCTGGTGTTGATGTGGGCCAATCGGAAGTCGTGGTTCTCGTCCAAGTACATTCAGCTGCGCGTCTACAAGGAAACAACGGCGACTGTGAACGGTTAGGCGAAACTGAGGAGTCAATCAATCGAATTACAACGACATTTGTTTTGGCTCATCACCGTGCGTGACGGCTGCGGATCATGGAAACGTCCCTGGAGGGCATTCCCTCGGCTCTCGGTCGTATCGTCGGACGGATTTTGTTTTCCCTTTACTGCCTATTTTTGTTTTCTTCGGCTTGTTTCTCTGCCTTTACGTGATCTCTTTTTCTCTAATTTCGGTATACGACACATCGCGTCGTCGTGTCATCTTCGCAGTCTCCTTTTCTTGTTTGTTTCTCTGTGAATAATAATTTTTCTGTCCTGTATATATATATATATTTCTACCTGTAACACCTTGTGTTCGCCAAACGTGCAGCTCTGCAACGTCATGTGTACATCCGCACGCACACGCATAATGCGATGTGTGTGGCCTTTCAGATCAGTGACAATACGCACTCTATAGCACGGCGCTCTCCTCTTCTACATTATTACGTTGCCGAAAGAAAAGATGGAGCGAAGTTGGACCTCGCCGCCAATGTTGCTATCTCTTTTTTTTTCTGTATATATATATATATATATCTGTGTGTGTGTCTTTTCATGACTTCTTCTCATGTTTTATAAGCGTATATATTTCCGATGAACGTATGTGAACAGATCTGTCTTGTTTATTGTTGTTATTGTGATGTTGTTACAGGCATTGATACTGACAAAGTGTCTTTCTCCCCTTTGCCTTTTCGCCTGACAACTGTCTCCTGTCTTCTCATTCGACATCTTTGCCCTTGTGCCTTGTGGACACGCAAAAGACGAAGGAAGTGACTCAAATCTTCTTTTTTCAAAACCTTTATTTTTTCTATCTGATTCTTCCTCACTACGATTCCTTGGGGGTTTTTTGTTCTTGTTCTGCACGCGCGTGTTGTGGAGTTCGCTCTATACACCTGCGCAGTGGATTCTTCGTTGTCAAGACAGCAACAACAACAAAAAGAATTGGTAGCATTTGAGATGGCAGGGCTCGGGAAAACCTTCGCGAACGTGCTGACCAAGAGTGCGTTACCGAGCACCCCGAGCGCGGCAGCCAAAGTGAATGTGATGCGACCAAAACAACATGCATCTGTTTCGGATCCCACACGCCCCCAAAAGAGAGCAACACGGCGCTTGGTATTTCAACAGACGAACAAACGCGATCGGTCGGCCCGATTTGTTTCCCCTGTGCTGCCTCTGTCTTCATCTCCCTTTTCTCCCCTCTTCTTTTGCCCTCTTCCCCCTCCCCCCTCCCGTTGAGTTTTCAAATCCGCCTCTATTGGCTTTGCGACTTCGCGAAGCGAAACAGCAGTCCGTGCGCTTTGGTTTCTCTCTCGACGCTAAAGAAACACCCCATGTATCGGGAAACTTGATACGTGTTTCTTTTCTGGAGTTCTTCTCTCTTTGCCATACGCAGACACGCCAGGAAGGAAGCTGTGTGTGTACAGACACTCTAAAGCTTCTGCCCTCAAACAGTTTTTTTTTATACTTCTGTGCTCACTGTAGAATTAGGAAACTGTCGAGCCTTGCGAATCCTTAATTCACCCCTGTTTCTTGAACAAAGTTCTTATTTACTTCTCCGGTTCATTGGTAGATGATGACCATTGCACAACAAGAAAGCAGAAGCTGATCTCTTTGAGTTCGGAGTTCTTTCGCATCTTTGTCGTCTGTGGCGGTCGCTCCCTCCGGTCTTTTCTTCGTTGCTCTTCGCCCGTTTATTGTTTTATGTGGTACAAAGCCTGCTCATTGCCGGTGCAACCGTTGCTTTCCATCCCTCTTTTTTTTTCGAGTACACGCAAAACTCTTCGCCATGGTGAAAGTGGAAGACATCCCCGAGTCGGTGCCGGAGATGGCGACTCTCACGGCAGAGAAAGAAGAGCTGATCCAGGAATTTTCCCGCAAGGTGGACGAGCTCTTCAAGGAAAAGACACCGTTCTACATTGCTCGCGAGAGCACGGCTGAGAAGCGGCGCATCTTTGGCTACAAGTTTTTGACGGCGCGCCGCTGGAAAGTGAAGAATGCGCTGGATATGGTGGAGAAGACCGTGGCCTTCCGTGCTCAGCACAACATGGACGACTGGAAGCTGTTCCCGTGTGCGTTTCCGCTGAAGGGTTACGATGAGGGGGCGCTATGCGAGATGCTCAAGACGATCCCGGGCTGCGACGCCCTCTTTCCTCGCGAGGGGGTGAGTGAGGTGGACCTGTGCTACCGCGCTCTCCAAACATCCTACGTGAACGTCTACCACTACTGGGACAAGGAGGGCCACCCTGTGCTGTACGACTGCTGCGGTCGCGCCAACGTCGCTCAGCTACTGCACGACCTCGCCCGCATTACCCCCCCTGGGAAGTCCCTCGGCGATGTGATTGTGCCCTACCACACCTACATGAACGAGGTGCAGTACTACTTGATCGAGTACGCAGATCAAGTCTCGAAGCAGGCGGGCAAGCACCCCATCATGGGCATTACGGTGGTGATGGACATGGAGGGGCTGAGCTTCAAAGTGGTCCGCCGCAGTTTCATTCAGATTGTTCGCGCAATCTTTGAGGTGGACCAAGCCTACTACCCCGAGGTGCTGCATCGCCTCTTCATCCTCAACGCGCCACGCTTTTTCCGTATGGCCTACGACTTCGTGAAGGGAAGTCTGGACGAAAATACGCGCCGCAAGCTCGTCATTAGCTCCGACAAGAGGGAGTCACTCGAGATACTCAAACGCGTAATTGACGAGGACAAGATCCCGCAGGAGCTGGGTGGTAGCTGTCGCTGCGAGAGCGGGTGTCTGCCGCGCTACGTGAAGCCAACAACGACAGAGGCGGCGAGCGAGTCTGGCGCGGGGAGCAGCGTGGCGTCCGACGAGGACGTGCAAAAGGAGGACATTCACCTCAAGGCAGGCAAGGAGTGGTCACACGCCTACGCGCTGCTGGAAGGCGAAGAAGTGACGTGGCAGTTCACGGTGAGCAAGGATGCGGAAGTGGACTTCACAGCTGTCTTTGAGCCGAAGACAGCAGGCAACAGCGAAGAGACCGCTTCTGTGGGTAATAGTGTGAGCTCAAAGAAAGGCTCGTCAACGCAAAAATTAAAGGGAGGAACCGAAGTCGCGATAGAAACGCTGAAACATGAAAAGCTGAGCACGGACGTGGACACGTTCAAGGTCACGCGTACAGGCACGCTGACGTTAACGCTGAGCAACAAACACTCGTGGATGCACGGTAAACAGATTGACTTGCGTATCACTCACACGAAAGCTCTTGAGTAATCGCGAGAGAGGCGAAAACTGTGTTAATCCTCTTCTTTGTTGCTGCCTCATGTCACTTCTGTTTCTTCTCATTTTTCTGAAACTCGTGTCGAGCTGTTTCTCTTATGATAATGAATTAGTTTCACCTTTTTGTTTTTTGCTGGCAACCCCATCATCAATACATCGAGCACTTTTCTTGGTGTCCGGCTCCACACCGATGCCCGTTTCTTCAGGTTTCCTGTTTGCGTTAACTCGTCTTTCGACGTTCCGGTTTCGTTGACGAGTCTTTCAGGTGTGGTATTCGCGCTCCGTTTTTTGTTTTTCAATTGCTGCTCTCTTCTATCTCATTTTTTGGCTCTGTGTACTGTCCCTTTTACGTTCTACATGTGTACGTCGCTGGGAGATCTGTTTTGCAGCCTTAGCATTACAAACTAGAAAGAAAGGTGTATCAGAGGACGTGACGAGTGCTGATTTGCACAGTGTACCACAACCCCAACTTGTAGCAGCAGATAAAAGGACGCAGCTCTTGTTGATCGATGCTCCATGTTCTCGAGCAGAACCAGGTGAGTCTGGTAATGAAACCTCCATCGTTCTCCTTCTCCTCCTCTGCTTTGCTAGAGCATATTCCTTTCTTTTTTGACCTTTTCCCCTCCTCCCCCCACCCTCTTCCGCTGGCAAACTCGCAGGCGAGAAGTGGACTTGACATTATCGCAAACTGTGTTTTAACACACAGGCGGAAATCACGATTAACCGTAGCGACGCTGTTAGCTGACGAGTTGGTTTTATTTTTTTTTCTTCGAAATAGCAACGGACTCGTGAATGGATATACATGAATGTAAACTGCATTCTCTTGATGATTTCTTTATGCCTGTATCCTCGGCCTTCCTGAGGTAAAAAAGCCATCTGTAAACCTTGTCCTCAAAAGCGTTTCTTTGTTGCTTTGCGTGTTTTTATCATCATTATTATTATTTTGTGCCTTCGTAGCGGAAAAACAACGACTGGATCGTCCTCATCTTTTTCCTTTGCATCTGTACATTCCTTTGAAGCGGAGTAGGTGATGTAACTTGCTAAGTAAATCACTTTCGTCGCTATTGCGTGAGATGTCGTAGTGTTTGTGTTTTCTCGCTGATCTCTTCAATCCTAGCCTTACCCTAATATAGTAACGGTTTTTATCCTTCGCGTCGGCCATGAGCGATTCAAGGCTCTCGGCGACGCTGCGTGGCGGTGGTGCGTACGACGATGCAGCACTGATAGCCGCCAAAACAGACTGCATCGAGCTAACCGACGAGGACGAAGACAGCGTGACGTCCACCATCGAGGCGCTGCAACACCGACTGAAACGACTCGCGGAGCGCAAGGACGAGGGCGACGGAGTGCACTGGCCAGCAGACGAGCTGATCCAGTCCACGAGTGCCACCGAGTTCCTCTCCTACTTCTCGTACGGGCTCACACCTGGCGAGGTCCGCTACCTTATTTATTGCTATCTCAAATCCACCAGCATGAGTGTACCGAAAGCACTGGAGGGACTCACAAGAACAGTCCACTTTCGTAGAAAGCAGAACTTGGATAAGATGGCGCTCTTTCCATGTTTGATTAGCATGAGTGGGTTCGATCAACTCTCCATGTGCGAGGAGTTGGGCATCCCTTTTATCCACAACTTGACCTCTGGCAAGCGCTACGTTGACGCAGAGGGTCGCCTTCGGTTGGAGCAGACCCAAATGGACTACTACAACGTGCCGTACGACGACCTCTATGCCCACCTCACCACCGGCGCCGAGAACCCGACTGCTGCCTCTCTGCTAACCCCGTGTACCCTCGGCGACTCGGCCCCTGCGTTGGAAGACGGAGCCAGTCGTGGCACCAACGGGAGTAGCCGAAATGCTCGGGGGGCTAGGGAGGAAAACCTCGGCTCTCGGCGAAATTTCGTGGCCTCCCTAACCGGCAACGACGGCGATGCGCGCAGGAAGGAGTCGGGTGTGGGCGAAAACAACAACAAGAGTACGAGTGCCAACGGCATTTTTGCCAGCCTGCGAGCTTTCATTCCTTTCCATTTGTTTGACCACGCCAAGGACAAAGAAAAGCCGAACCAGTCGGAGCCGCACTCGCGCACGGACAGCTTTGGGTCACGAAGCCCAGACCGGCGACAGATGGGTGGTTTCTTTTCGTCCCAGTCGCTCAGCGGCGGCAGCCACAGCGGCAGTTTCAACGGCGACGACGACGTGGCGGATGATCAGTCCGCGGCGAATCAGGGCGCGGTCTTACTGAACCCAACCGCAACTGGTGAAGCGCTGACGGGCAACCCCTACACTCTCTACGCGGATAGCTTGAACTTCCACGGCATCTTGGAGCCGATTGTTGCGGTGATAACGAAGCACGTACCCTTCGCGTTTCACTACTGGGACCGCGACGGACACCCGATCATGTACTGTCGATTGGGTGGCTTGAATTCGAAGCGGTTGATGCGTGACCTTTTTGCCCTCACCCCGATCGACGCCGAACCACGTGCCCTGGCGCTCCTCTTCAACACCTACGCCCTCGCCGTTCTGTGGCAGCTCATCCGCTATTGTAATCGAAAAAATCAGCAAAGCAATCAAATCCACGATGCCCTTCTCTCCGATGTGCAACGAGGCGACCGCAGCAGGAGTGCCTCTCGGCAGGCGGAGGGGTTGTTCCGCAAGAAGGCGCCGATGGGCTCGTGCGTGGTCGTTGTAGACTGCGCTGGGCTTCACCTTCATCGCTACCTATACAAACCCCTCATCGTCATGGTCAAGTCGATTGTGAGTTTGAACGTGCGGCACTACCCAGAGCTTCTACACCATGCGTACGTCACAAACTGCCGTGGCATGATGAGTTTCTCGTATTTGGTGATTCGCAGCTTGCTGAGCGAGGAGACGCGGCAGAAGGTGACGTTTTGCAGTCAGCACAATAGCGCATCCACGCTGCTGGAGAACATCAGCAGCGACTTGCTTCCGCAGGAGTTGGGCGGCAAGTGTCAATGTCCGGGTGGTTGTATTCCGTCCATCGCGGCGACCATGCGAGGGGCGGAAACGAGCTCGTTGACCCCGGGCTGGCGAGATCGGCAATCTCCCTCGATGTTCCCCACTGAGTCGAGCAGCATGGAGCAGACGGGCGACCACGCGGACGAGAACGAGCTCACCATGCACCGCCTCCACTGCACCGTCGAGAAGCTGAACATGTGGCCGCACGCGTCGCGGACGCTCTCCTTCGCCATGGACGCACACACGGAGATTATTTGGGAGTTTGCGGTGAAGAAGCAGCGGCGAGTAACATTCTCCGTCGTCTTCGTCTCTGCGGCGGATGACGGGGCAGTGATGTCGCTGGTGCCGCGTCGACGCGTGCAGAGCGATGCGGGACATTACATCTGTCCTTCGTTTGGCACCGTCATCTTTCGATGGAGCAACAAACGTAGCTACTTTCGCCGCTGTCGCGTCAACTTGAAAGTATATCGGGAGGAGCAAACCGTGACGTCAATGCAGGTATAGAGTGGTTTCTGGCGGGGAATAGAACACAAAGACACATCTGCGGATGTGCTTCGTGGGCGTGGGGTTGGGTGGTTTAGCTTCACCGCCCCGCAGCTCTCTTTCCTGCCCACTTCGCTTTTTATTTCCGTCTGCGATAAGATGGTCCCTCCTTCCCACTGCTGGACGACAGGACGCTGCGTGGAGACTATCTACGTGAGCCGTTGCCTCCTGTTTTCTAGCTGTCCGTCAAGGTGGTCCGCCTACACTTGTCTACACGAATACACATTCGCGCTCGGGTATCTGTTTTCTGTTTTGTGGCCCATTATAGCTACGGCATTGCCTATACAAGATTTGGAAGGAACCCAACTGCCCCCGTTGACGAACGTATACATTTGACTGTTCCTCTTTAATTATTGTTCTCTCTTGATGCTCTCACCGCACATCTTCGATGTTCGCAGTGCGGCCAACGTCGCAGAGTGACGAATCCTGTTTTTTGCTGTTTTCTTCCCCGTCAATCAAAACGCTGTGTTTTGTGGTCGCACTTCTTTTTTGTTTTCCCTCGCTCCGATTTTCGAGGAAGAGCGCATCTGCCACGTGCAACTATACGTCCACCTATTCTTGTTGAGTCTCCGCTCTCGCCAAAGTCGGTGTCTTCGCTACCCTTCTGAAGGTGCGTTTGTTTATAATTGGGAAAGCTGGGGGGGGGGGAACGATGCTCCTTTAACCGTCTTCGCACTGCCACTCTCCTTCTCTCTTTGACTTTTGCGTTCTCTGTTTTCACGAGCAAGCCCAAATTCCTCAAGCAAGCTCCCGTTGGTTTTGGTAGAAGAAAATGTTCTACAAGATCGTCCTGCAGCGCACCATTAATGTGAAGCCGGCAGACCTTTGCAACACTCTCAACCGTAGCCTTCTCACGTTTCTTCGAGAGGCGGTAGAGGGGAAGCCGCTGCCGCCACCGGACCGCGGTGTTGGTGCGTCGATGGACTACAAGTCGGCTACGAAGTCCTCTGCTGTGGTGATCGCCGTGCTGGACATTTTAAACGCAGAGACGCTGCAGGGCAAGGTGCTGGACGACGGCAGCGTGTCCTTTCGCCTCACCTACGAGGCGATGGTGTTGAAGCTGCACCGCGGCGAGGTCGTGGACTTGCTGGTCAGTGATGTCGACGAGACGGGCTTCTGGGCCAGCGTGTACGGCATCAACAAGCTCTTTGTGAACCGGAATCAAATGGGCGACGATAGTCAGAGCGGCGGGGCAGAGTGGGCATACGAGCCGGAGGCGGCTGCGTGGGTCACCCGCGACGATCGCCGCTCTATCAAGAAGGACACAATGGTTCGCCTCCGCATCATTGCCGAGACGCCGCAGTCGGAGCGCGGCATGGCTGTCGGCACGATTGGCGCCCCTTTTCTCGGCCCTCGCTTGGGAAGCTACTAAACAGTTGTCCGTTGCCGAGGATGGAACGCCTTCTGTGTTCGTTGTGCGCTTGATTTCGATAAGCGTGCATGTTGGATTGACGTTGGGCTGAGTGGCTCTTTGTGGTTGGCGGGATGCAGTGAACGTTTTTGTTGTTGTTGTTGTGCGTTCGGTACACTCCCGGTTTGATTGCGCGTAAGGAATTGCGTTAATTAGAAAATGATCAAAGGAAGAAGGTAAAACTGTGAGAAGGTTGTCTACAACGATAAAACAAGACGGCTTCTCTGTGGAAGATGGAAAGGCTTCAAACGGCGTTTTGCCTCTTTCTCTTTTTTGCCCCCCCCCCCTTTTTTTCTCATTAGACGCCAAAAAAAAGACCCTTCGCTTGACGTGGCTGATGATCCGCTGCTCTTGGCTAGACGAGTACCGCCTCTTTGCTTTCTCTTCACTCAACGCTCTGTTGATTCTTCTTCCTTTCGTGGCGCATCTCGATGCATTCTCTCCCTTCAACCTCGTGCATGGACTCGTACATTTCTGACCCATCACACACACACAAAGAGAAAAGATCAGAGGACACGGCGTTCTCGTCTCTCCGCGGTTCCTCCTTCGCAACTCCTATCCTCTTTTCTTTTTCCCTTTTCCTCGTAGCTTCTGTTTCAATGCCGCAAAGGGAAAAGGAGAAGTCAAACGCTGCTGAAACGGCAGGGAGGACGCAGTTTTGGAAGTGGACGTTGCTCGGCGTCTCCGTGGCGTTGGTCGTTGGGGCGGCGTGGCGGACGGTGTACATGAGCAACCAAAAGGAACTGCAGCTTCGACGTGCGCTGCGCAAGTCGCAGCAGCTGCATGACGCCCTGACGGAAGTCCCCGCTCGGCGGTTCTCGACCTTGGATGTTCGTCCGGCTGCCGCGCAGAAGAATGAGCTGATGGAGCGGTATGCTTAGACACGAAAACGCCAAGTCGGCAGCAGTCGGCAGAAGAAGCACAGATCCGTGAAGTGGAGCTTGCGAGCCTGTTTGATGCGAGCTCAACGGTCGGTGCTGACAGCGAGAGGGCCAGTGACACACCTGCGTTCTCAGGTGACTCCGTTAGGAAGTTGAGCAACGGCAGCAATTCGTGTCAGTTTAAATGCTGTTGTTCGTCACATTACATTACATAATATGGACGTCTTGTCTCTCCAACACACTCTCTGCTGGAGTAAAGGGGAAACGTGAAACCCTTTCTGTAAAGATCGGAGACAGGGCTAGGTGGCAAAGGTGCGAAACAACGCGCCCCTCGCATTCTTTGTTCGCTGCATCCTCTTCACATGCATAAACACGCACACGCACACACACATGAGCATGCGGAGAAGCGTACGTCGTCCACGACGGCTGAGCGCGCCTCCCAATGTTCCTTCGCCTTCAGATTCACCTTTCCCCTCCCGCTTCTCCCTTCCTCTCTCCCTCTCTCCGCTTCTCCGTACTCCTCAACCTGTACCAAACCCCGACATGGCGAAATATATGTTGATCACACCACAGCTTCTCTGTGGAAAAACAATAAAGGTACCCTGTACGTGTCAACGGTATAAAGACTTTGGCATTATTCGTCTCGACGTAACTGAGGCTCTTGCTGCGAGCGTGTGTTCAATCGAAAACTGATATTCGCAACCAGCCGTGTTGTGACGGGGGCTGCTCTTCCTTTGATACGCAAACGGAAATCTGCTGTACTTTTTTAGCTTCAGTTCGGGTTTTTTTTCTCTCTTCAAAATACAATATATACATATATATTTATCAATACGTGCGTGTGTGTGGGACATAACGGAAGGGAGACTGTTGCGTTCTCGGTACGTCTGCCAACGCCGCTGAATGCAGTACTACCAAGGGTGAAGCTGATTTAGTGCCTCTGCCCTTGCCAAGCAAAATACTGTTGGAATTTCCAACGGAGCTCACGGAGAGACCTTACCTCAAGCCACGACACAAGCACACGCATCGTTTTTTCCCTTTCTGGAGCCGTACTTCTCTCCCTCATTGTCGCACCGGAGCATGCAGGCGAACCGCAACCCACTCAATCTTTCCGCCAGCAGCGCGGAAGGCTACCTGACCATGCACGGATATTGGTTACAGGCACCGCTCGCCAATCATGACTCCATCCTAAACTCCGACGACACCAACAGCAGCGGCAGCGTCTGTGCATTAAAGGAACGCAACGGTGCGAGTGAGACGATGGATCCATATTACTTCCCCAATTCAATGCTGCCGGTCTCCTTGCGCGGTCCACTTGTGGAGGACGACGACGAGGAAGACGAGGAAGACGAGGACAAAGTGCTGGAAACGGGCGACATCGGCGATGGAGAGGGAGAGGGAGCGGCGTTTGATTACTACTTTCATCAACAGGGAAGCGGGGCAAGTGCAGGCACCGCGGCACGGCGTTCACAACTAGCGCCGGCTGCTGGCGCAGCGGAAGTGGGGTACGGTGCTGCTGCTGCCATCGTCGAGGACGGACGGGTGCCGGTGGTGGAGGAGGAATCGCTCGGTGATTTGGGCGACATCATCGGCTACGGTGGCGACCGTGGCTCGTTTGTGTGCCGTGTCGCCTTTCCGGCCCATCTCGAGGTTTTCCAATCGCGCGCGCCGTCCGCGACGTCGCCGTGGTCGCTCAGCAACCCGCCACACCGTGACCGCGAAGCTTACAAACGTTACCCCACGCACATCAGCGCCGATGAGCTTTCCTTCGTCTTCACCGCCTACCGCTGCGCCGCCAACAGTGCGCACTGCCAGAGTGCCCACAGCCCCTTTCTCACAGTGGAGGAGGCGCAATACGCAGCGCTGCACCTCGTGCTACCCGATGCAGTCGTCACGCAGAACAGCATGACGGTGGGTCTTTTAATGCCACTGTACAACTGCAGCCTCAAAGAGTTTCTGCAGAGCTTTCTGCTCAACTCGCACAGCGGCAGCAAGTCGATAGGAGACTCGGCGATGTCGAGCACCTATCTCGAGGACACCTTCTCCTCCGAAGACGGCCCCCGTGGTGCCTTCAACAGCGCGGTGAAGTATCGCCCCATCGACTCCGTCGAGGTAATCTGCTGCATCGCGTTTCAGGTGCTGGAGGCCATCGCCTACTTGAATCACCGACTGCCGCACGGCGACGCCTTCAGCGGCTACACACACAACGACTTGCACCTCGACAACGTACTCGTCTCCTACGACGGCGATGTCGCGCTCTGCGACTTTGAGTTGGTCTCGTCAACGCCGTACCCGACGCACAACCCGGAGATACGACGCCTTCCCCCGGCCACGCGGCAGTCCCCGCACGGGCTGTTCAGCGAGACCGCCGACACATGGGCGTTTGGGCTCATGCTGGTCGGTTTGCTGACGGGCGTCGATCCGCTCTTCACGACCAGCATTGTGAACGACTTTAGCGACGGCCCGTTGCTCAGTCGGTGGGACCGCAGTGAGTGCGTGCTCGACTGGGAGAACAACATCAAAGCCCACGTGGAGGGGCTGCTGCTCCTGCAGGACCCAACCGGCCGGCGGCTGAGTGAAGCGGAGAGCATTTTGAGTATTTGTAGCAAGTGTCTCGTGAACCGGAGAGGCGCAGAACCACTGCGTGCGATTGATCTTTTGGAGGAGCCCATGTTCCAGGTCTATCGACGAGACTTTCGTCTGGCAACTCGTACAATCAAGACATGGACAGCCGACAAACATTAGTGACCAGACAGACACACACGCACGCAGCCGGGCACGTTACACGCCATCACTGTATATTACACCAAAAACGGTTTTTGTTTTTGTCCGTTCATTTGTGTTGATGCTTCATGGCGTTTTTTTTTCTCCCTTTTCCTCTCTCTCTTCTGTTGTGTGTGCTTCCTGTTTCAGCTGGCGGCGATGATGGCGTCGCGGCACGACAAAAACTTAGGTGCGTACGCGGGTGCGGTGTTTCTTTTCCTCTCACTCCTTTTTTCTTTCTCGCCGTCGTTGGCGGACTTTCCGCAAACGTGAAGTGGAACCGGAATTCGGCCGAAATGCCAGACAACAATTGGTTCATTCTGACTCCGCTTAAACTATATGCGTTGCGTGGCACACTTCACTTTTCGGCACGGAAGTGGCAGGTCATTTATTCCGCCAAGCACGTTCTGCTGGCTTCGACCGGGAAAACAAACAAAAAAAGAATCGGTCTTCTACCACGTTTGGTGTGAGGGAAGCCCTCTGTTCGTTTGTGCACGCGTGGGGTGCTGTGTTGCAGCTTCGCTCCGGCAAGCGAAGGGCACCCTACGTTTTTAGTTTTCTTTCACGCGATTCGCTATGAGCGGCGGTATTCTCCACGCGTTCCTCCTCTCTTCACTCTTCCTGTTGTTGTTAACGTGAACGGCCAATAAGTAACAAAATTCGAGTATTTGCCGACTTGCCTGATCGCAATGTTGCGGCGAAGCAACGCACTCCGCGTGCTCGTCGGAGCCGCGACGACGCTCTTGCGCTACGCCGATCCGGATCCTCCGTCAGCATCCGCTTCTAAGCGGCTAAAGGACACCGTCGAGGAGTCGCTTGAGAAGGAAGGCAAAGCGCTGGGTCGCGTCGCGTGTTATCCGCACCGCTGCCTGACCCGCCCGGTTCTCCCCGTCTCCGAAGCAGCGGTGCGCTCTCCTCTTTTCATGTCCCGGCTGATGGACATGAGCCAGCTCGCCACCAACCTGCACTGTATCTCCTTCAGCGCTCCCAAAGCTCACTGGGACGCCGCGGTCATCCTCATCAAGAACAACCCGTACGAGAGGGACTTCGAGGTCTGGGTGAACCCGTCCGTCCCCGGCTACGACGACCGCGATGCTGTCGCCCCGATGTACGGCATGTGGGAGAACTGCATTTCATGTGGGTCGACGACGGCGTGGGTGGTGCGACCGCAGCGGATTACGTGCCGCGGGTTGGATCAACACGGGAATGAGAAGATCGAGGTGCTGGACGGCATGCGGGCGCGCTGTCTCATGCACGAGATGGATCACCTCATGGGCAAGACGATCTTTCATCAGACAATGGGCCCGGAGTTTGTGGTGAGCACCGTGGCGATGGGGCAGCGAAACCTGTGGCCGGCGAACTTCCCTTCCGCCGAGGCGTACGTGACGCTGTCGCAGCAGTTCTTCGACTACGTGACGAACACCACGATCATTCCACCAGGAATGGAATGGTGGTATGCGCAGAACATGGCGCAGGAGTTCCACAGCGAGCGCCTTGGCAGTTGAGTTCGGCGTCGATGCTGCGTGAGAGAATAGCATAGGCGGTGCGGATAAGTGTCGTCGTTGGTCCGACATATAGAAGCGGGCTCTTGATCCTTACATATCTATTCATTCTGGACAGATGCAGATTAATAAAACTTGCTCCTCAAAATAATAATAATAAGAAAACACAGTAATGCCTGTCTTTACCTCCTCCAGATTATTTTGTGCGTGCGTGCGTGTGGTCAGGTACGCCACGTTACGGTTTAGGCTTTCAATTGACATGCGAGGCCGTCTGTATCACGCCGCCCCCGTCTGCTTTCCATTCTGTACTACTTCAAGAGAGGGAGGGAGAGAGAGAGATGTGCCTTCCCGTTCCTGCTGTACGACTCGACTCTGGCTGAAGCCACGTTTTTCTTTCCTCCGCCTTCCTTCTCATTCTCTCTCTGTTTCCGTGCGAAACCGACGTCTGCACAGCGATCCGGCAAAAGAGACTACACGAATACTGCGTGCTTCTCCAATGTCGAATGCCTTCATGGCCCAGCTCCCATACATCGGGACCACCTCCACACTCGGGTGGCACAACGATGTCCTTGCTCAATCCTACATGGACCACATCGTACAACGCGCGCGCGTGCTGTTGCCACGGCGCGGGTGGCGGGTGGGCGTCCTCAAAGAATTCTACCCTCGCGGTGCCTCGCTGCTTGGCCTCAACGTCAACGCTGGTAGTGAAGTCTGCGTCCGCTTCCGCGTGCCCGGCAAGCGAAACGAGTTCCTGCCCTTTCACGAGGTGTTGTGCACCGCCCTTCATGAGCTGACGCACTGCGTACACTCCCGCCACGACCGCGCGTTTTGGAACCTGTACTACGACCTCGTAAAGGAATGCGAGGCGCTCGAGGTGACAATGATCGCCCAAGGCAAGCAGTTATATCCGGCGGCCGCCTACGTCGCCAGCGATACCGCGATGAGGGGTTCCTCACCTTCTTCATCGCCCAGAAGGGCGAAGACATCACGTCGTGGCGGAGGTGGGATTGGTGGGCACCGACTGGGTGGTGAACAGCATTCTGCTGGCCGTGGCCGGGGTCGCGGTGCAGGCACAACCACACGCAGCCGGAATGGCACCGTCACCACCACCGCGCGACAAGGGAAAACGAAGAAGTTCGCCTCTGCGTCCCCAACGGGTCAAGATGGGAAATCAAGTGCGGCGTTTCCTGGTGAAGGCCGCCGCCTCGGCGAGAGTGCGGCTCTGCGGCCCTTCGACTCCGCGCCGGGCTTTACACCCACGCGAGACGTTCTACGTCGGATTCTCGCCGCTGCGGCAGAACGGCGGTCAAAGCAGACAGGCAGCGCAGAAGCTCCGAATCCATCCGTCAGGTCTTCCTCCATGGGTATTAGAGACTCCTCTCCATCGCCGGGAGACACGGAAGCAGATTCGAGAGAGGCAGTTTCCGATGAAGATGACGTTCCAGATCGCGTTCCGCCGAGTCAAAGTGCACTGGACGACAACGATGGTAGCTGGAAGTGTTCGCGCTGCGGATTCTGCAACGAGGCCGGCGCATGCGGCTGCCAGTTCTGTGACAACGATGACGACGACGCAGCATCGTTGCTGGACGAAGACGAGGTTGGTGAGCCACCGACAAAGAAAGTACGCGACACAGCGGCGACGGAGGAAGCTTCTGAAAAGCCATATCTCACTGCAAGTTTGCCGCTTGTACGTCTCGGCACGTCTCGCGACACCGCGGTGGAAATCAGCGGTGACGAGGATGATTGAGTTGTGATGGTGTCGTTTTCCTTTCGGTGTTCAGCTCCTCCTGCTTTTGCTGCCACTGTGACCACATTGTGACACCAACTGATTAACTCCATTCCTGGGAGTCAGCAACTGTGCAAATCCCCCGTTTGACTACCTACTTCTGCTCCGCATATTTTCTTATTCACGACCAACACGCTTGCACTTGCACGCACACACCACGCGGGTTTTTTCTTCTTCTTCTGCACCTCTACAAGAACGAAGAAACGATTCATTATCGCACTTGTTGCGGTGGATGGGAGAGAGCCCTCCTGTTCCTCGCATCAGCAGAGAGGAGATGTACAACAGAAAGCGGACAACTCAATTTAGAAAACTCCAGAGATGTGTGAGCTGTTCACTTTTGATATGAATACCTTGCGTGTCTTCTGTTTGTTTTCCTTTATTCGCAAGTAGCGCGTATTGCAATTGCCGGATATGATACGTACATCGCTTTGAGATCACATCCCCCCCCTCTCTCTCTGTCTTCTCCGTCTTTGTCCCACCTACTGTTGCGGATACTAGCATCGTTTCATTAAGAAAAAAAAAACAGCACGACACGCCAGCGCGCACACCAACTCTCCGTATCACATATTTGTTTCTCGCTAATAGACAACCCCCTTTGACCTCGTTGTTTGTGGGTCTGCGCATCTGCTTGTGTGCGTGTGTGTGTGTGTTCACCCTGGCGCAATGTCAGACCACCGCAAGGTAGCGACGAGCGGCGATACGGCCCTCTACACCAACATGGAGCACGCTGACCCCCTCGATGTCAACGAGAGCGTGGTGCTGCCTCCCAAAGCCGTCCCCACGCCCTACCGGCGTCCCCGCGACATACGGCTGTACCTCTCTGTCAGCAAGGAGTCCCCGGAGAGCGAGCACGACCTCCCGCTCTTCACCCCGCTCATCATGACGGAGTACTCGCACGGGCGACAGGGCATGACAGCCCCGTTCAACTCCCGTCGCCTCTCGGTCACCTGCATACCCGTCGAGGCGGCCACCGCATCTTCAGCGGGTGCATCGCCGAAGAAGGCGGCCAGCAGCCACACGCCCATAAGCCGCGTCGCCGCGCTGAAGCCGCCGAATGAGTGGAGTGTCCCTGGCACCGCCGTGCGGGACTGCTTCAGCTTTGTGCAGGACCACTGCACTCAGAAGTCGTGTGATGTGGAGGTGGAGCTGCACGTGTACGACTTATCACAGGGCTTTCTGAAGAAGTACAGTAATGAACTCGTCGGGGTCGAGACAACCGGGGTGTACCACTCCGGCATCGTCTGCTACGGGCTTGAGTTCTACTTCGAGGGCGGCATCGGCGTGACGGCGTCGGGCCGCACGCGGTTCGGCACCAAGTACAAAAAGCACCGCCTCGGAGTCACGCAGCGCACCGTCACGGAGTTCTGGCAGTGGATCGCGACGCGAGCGCTGCACGTGAACCAAATCCATGACTATCACCCTGTCCGCCACAACTGTCACCACTTCTCGAACGACGCGCTGCAGTACTTGGTGGGCGTGCAAGCGACGATTCCGCAGTACCTTTTCGACACCGTGAACACGCTCGTCAAGACCCCGCTTGGCGCGGCGGTGGCGGAGGCGATGACGCTCACGACCCGCGGCATTCAGAGCGTGGTGTCACGCCAGATGCTCTCGCGTGTGGTGGAGCGGCAGTGCAGCGTGGACATGCAGCTGAGCGCGTCTACGGCCTGTGGAGTGCTGGCGCTGCCCCCTACGGCGGCCGTCGTGTTCCGCGTTGTTGAACCCCACTTTGCTAAGCGCCTCCTGATGGGAATTAGTCCCTTCTTGAAAGGTCTAATTGCAAAAAAGCTGGTGAAGCCGGCGGCGCTGGAGGTGCTGGAGCAAACCGCAGATGCCCTGGTGGACGCCGTGGACACCATTCCGCCCAGGCTGATTCTCAACTACGTTGAGATGATCGTCGAGTCCCTCCTGCGCAGTCCGATGACGACGTGGGGCCCGATTTTTAACAGTCTGCGCATCGCTGTCTTGCATCGGGTGTGCCTCATCACCTGTGCCTTCCATCCAAAGCTGCTATCCATTTTGGTGCTGGCGGCGCGAGACTTTCCACGCTTGTTGCCCGATGGGCGAGTCGCCATGCTGCGCCTGCTGTGCAACCTCGCCTGCTCAACGCACGGCGCCATCATCTACACCGACGGCCGTTACCGCGACTCGTGGGTGTCGCTGGTGGGTCTGGGCTTGATGGACGCGAGCGCTGCCGTGGTGTACACAGCGGCGTGCCTCGCACTCAACCTGTCCCACTCCATCGTCATCACAACGAACCCGTCGCTGAAGCGCGACATGTCACAGCTGAACGACGAGCACTACGCATTGCGGCTGGTGACGCTTCTCCTGTACAACCTGCGCTTCCGCAGCGCGAAGCAGCTTCCGGAGCCGTCGTTTAACATGGCGCTGCTCGCCCTTTATCGACTCATGTCGAGCAACGCGGTCGCACTAGAGTACGTAGTGTACCATTCCTTTAAGCCGCACTACAGTGAGCTGCTAGACCGCTGCGAATCTAACGAAAGCCGTGCATTAGTTTGTCTCATCAAAACCATTGAGAATCTCTTCGGCTAAGCGAGTAGTGCAGTCACCAGTGCATCTATGGGCTTCTCTTGCTTTTTCTTCCACGTCACAGCTAGACTTATAGTGAGTAGGTTGTTGTGTAGATCGTGTCTTTTTTCTCCTACCTCACACGCACACACACAACACACAACAGACACCGTTGTACTTTAGCAAGTGGTTAAGGCGGCTTCGAAGGGCTGATCTAAAAAGAAAAAAGTGAAAGGAAGAGCGTGCATGCAAGGAGAAGGTGCAATCTCCTCGCGTTTTGCGGTGCTTTTCGACTCACCATCTCCAGCTGTCAACAGCGATGCAACGTTGATTATCTTGCTGCTTGCATTTCCGCGGTCTCTCTTCAGTGCTTCGAAGTGTTCCTCACTACTCCCCCTCCTCCTCCTCCTTTCCTTGTTTGTTTCCTTGTGTGCTGCGTAGTAATTTGTGCCTTTTCTCCTACCATTTTCGGTGTTTCTCTCCGGGAGAAGTGTCTTTGCTTGTCCGTGCTTTTGGTCTGTTGTACCGCCGATACACACAGGCACACACACACACAAAATGTTGCACACGGCGGTTGCACCGTCGTTGCCGGCCTCCGTTGTGACACACACGGTGTCAGGGTATTTCTTACCAGATTCGCTCGCCGCTCACAAAGCCAAGGAGGTGGTCGTCATTCGGCAGAATCACCTCACGCTGTACCGAGTCCAAACCTCGTCTACTTTGTCCGCGCTGCCCATCAACAGCAACCATGTTCCATTGGATCAGCTCGGTCAGGTTGCGGAGGTCAGCCTTCACGCTCCACCACTGGCAGCCGCTACATGCCACCCGTTTCGTGCGACGTCGGACATCTTAGTACTGCTGCTGGACGACTTCCACGTTTCCTTCTTGCAGTTCAACCCCGTCACGTTTCAGTTCGATACGGTTGCCCTTGTCCAGCTCGACGATCGCCAGCTCGTCTTGGACCGGTGCCCGCTCGACGCACTGCTGCGGGTGGACCAGACCGGTTCTTACGTTGCCGTTTTGGCGAAGCGCAGTGACGTTTTCTTCTTCCCAGTGCTGGAATTGTTAGACCCCGCGGCGCTCGCTGCAGCACGGGCGGAGGCGGCGGCAAACGACTCCACCGACGCCGCTACTTACTTCTCCTCTGATGCGTTGGGTAACGCGTCGGCTGCCGGAAATGATGAGGGTGCTGCGGCGTCCATCCAAGCGGCGGCGCCGGCGAAGGTGACGACTGTCGCACTGAATGCCTGGGGAGACGACGACGACGAGCACGATGACGAAGAACCGGAGGAGTATCAGCAGCAGCAGGAGCACGAGCAAGACGAAAAGAAGCCCCCTACCGCTAACGGTCCTTCAGAAACTCAAACGTATGGTGTTGAGGCATCCCTCGCGCCCGGGGCCGCGGTGCCTTTTAAGAAAGTGTCGACGGAGGCGGGTGCTGGCCCCTCCATGCTGCTGCGTATTGGCAGCGTCACGCACTGGTGCTTACAAGAGGTGAAGACGACGCTGCGGAATGTGCGTGACATGCAGTTTGTTGAGTCGGTTGGTGAGCCCCTGCTCGCCTTTCTGTTTGAGAAGTACCCCACCTGGGCTGGACGCGTGAAGTTGCTCGAGTGGCGCAGCAAAACGGTCGAGGCGAACATGCTCACCTGTTCCATCGAGTGGATAAAGGTGACGCTTGCAAACTCGGCCGCTCCACACATGCTGTCGTTAAGCGAGGTGGACGGTCTGCCCTATGATGTGACCAGCATGACACCCCTGCCCGCGTTTCAAGACGTCCCGTCAGCCGTTCTCTGCGTCAGTCGAAACATGTTGGTGCACGTCAGCACCAAGAGCGGCTACGGTGCCTACATTAACACGAACGGCGAAGACGAAGTCCGCAACTTGAAGTCGTCCGCGGTCACCTTTGCGAGTGTGCAGTGGCGCAGCACTTCCCAGGCGACGTCGACGGAGTTGGTGAAGGTGAACTTGAACTTCGCCAACGCGACGGTGGTGGTGGTGCCGAGCCACGCATCACAGGAGGAAGGTGAAGCGAGCAGTCAGCGTTTGCTGATCGTGACGGAGGACGATGGCACGGTGGTGGAAGTGCATTTGGTGAGTCAGGGGTACACCGTGGGCACGGTGGCAGTGGAAATCGTCATGACGGGCTGCTTCTGCGCCGCCTACGCCGCCGTGGACGCCACGCGATTCTTCTTCGGCGCAATGAACGGCGATTCGCGCTTTATCGCCTGCACCCCGCACGACCCGTGCAAGGTGGTGCAGCGCTTTATTGGCATCGGCCCCGTGCGAGATATGGACATTGTCGACACCACCACCACGACAAATCTCAACGCGGATATTTTGGACCCCTCGGTCCAGGCGTCCCCGTTTGCGGATCTCTACCGCAGTGTGGAGCTGGAGCCGCAGCCGTCTATGACTGCGGTGCAGCAGCGCGCGGTGATGGACCTGGCCTTGTGCTCCGGCACTGGCTCCGCTGGCACCCTCTCCGTGCTGCGGCGATCCGTTCGTAGTCGCGTGGTACGCCATGAGGAGCTGAACGCTATTTCGGTCTTTTTTCTTGAGCCCTCGCTGCCGCACTCGCAGAAGCGTCGGCGCGAGGACGAGGGGGCGGCAGCGGCGGGTGCGTCAAACGGTGTCCTCAACGCGGGTAGTGTCGTAGCTCAGTTTCCGCATCTGCTCATCTCTGGCATCAACTTTTCTATCCTCTTCGCCGTCCGCAGTGATTCGGTGCAGCAGGTGCGCGGTGCGGCGCTGAGCGTGGCCGCCCGCACCGTCTACGCCGCCCACCTCGACTGGCTCGGCGCCCTCCTTCAAATCACCGAGGCTGAGGTGCGACTCTTGTCGGTGGACGGCAAGCGCAAGATGGCGAGTGCGGAATTCCAAAGTATCCCAGCGCTGCAGAGTAGTGGGGCTGGAGGAGGAAGCGCAGCAGTCGCAGCGAACCTGGCCTTGTCCGCCTTTGTCATCGAGAAACACCGTCGCGTGTTGGTGCGCTTCACGAACGGGCAGCTGCTGTCCATCGCGCTGGAGGGAACTAAAAACGTGACCAATGCAACAGTCCTGTTGAGCAACGTCGCCGCGATGGCGTGGTGGCCCTCATCGCAGGCGCTCGTCGTCATTCAGAACGCAAATCTCGTGCTCTACGAACTGCCGCCCGCTCGCGGCGAAAGCGTCAACTTAACCGAACACTCGGTGTTCCCCAACTTTGCCCTCATCCCACCTTTTGCGGTTGAAGGGGTCGAGACGCCAGCGGTGAAGCTGCGCGAGCGCCTCAACGCGGAGCCTCTGCCCACGGTCACCCACCTCGCCGTCTTCGATCAGCACGAGAACCCGGCGAACTCCGCCGCGCCCACCGAGGCGACGCTCGTGCTGATTCTCTCCTCTGGCGAGCTGGTCACGTACCGCGTCGTCCCGCCGGACGGCTACGCGCCCCGACGGTGCATCAAGCAGGTGTACCACATCCTCGACGTGGTGCCGGAAACGGATCTCGTCGAGTCCGTCGAGACTCGCAAGCGGCGCCTGCAGGAGGAGCGGGCCCGCCTGGCGAGCGTGACGCGGCAGATGCGGCACTGCACCGAGCGCCTGATCGCCTTTCAAGGCCTGCAGAACCGCTACAAAGGCCTCTACGTCTGCGGGCAGACCCCTGTCTTCCTCATCTACCACCCGCCGACAAATCAGCTCATCGCGACGCGGCACCACAACATGAGTGCGGTGCGCGGCTTCGCGCCGTTTCACTCCCGCCACGTTCAAGGCGGCTTCGTGTACTGCGCGGAGGGCTTTGTGCACTTCGCCACGATGCAGCCCTTCGGCGAACTGATTAACAGCGAGGGGTGGTGGCTCGAACGGGTGCGACTCGGGTGCACGCCGCACCGCATCACGTACTCCCCCGCTGCGCACGGCTGCTTTGTGGTGGCGTCGCGGCCGCAGCCATTTGCGCCGAAGAAGGCGCCGTTCGATGTGCAGCTGCGCATGACCGAAGACGAAGAGGGCAACCGTATGTCACATGTCGTGCAGCCCGTCGCTCTGCCGCCGCTCTCCGTGACGGCAGGCGCTCCAGTGCCGATGAACGAGCGCTACGAAGTGCAGTTCTTTTCCACGGCCGATTGGCAGTGCACGGACCGCTTTGTGTTAGATGAGAACGAAAAGGTGCTGGCGACCACGTTGATGAAGGTCACGCGCGACACCACCATGGACGCGCCGGGCACTGCCACCACCGCGCCCGTCTGTGCGTTGGCCACCGCCTACCCTCTTGGCGAGGACGTCACCAGTCGTGGACGCATCTTGCTCCTTGCGACGTCGCATTTGGACGGACGTGCGCAGCAGCTGCGCAGCGTGCACGACGAACCGATGAAGGGTTCTGTCACAGCCATCACGAGCGTCGCGGACGACTGTGTGGCAGTGGCAGTGGGCGGGACGGTGCGTGTGTACCGCTACGACGCAAACAAAGCGAACATGGCGACAATGGCCATCCTGTACGCCGGCGCTTATGTCACGCACCTCTCCGCCTTCCGCGACTACCTCGTTGTGGGCGATCTTTTCCATTCCATCTTGTTTGCGCGCTACAGTGCGGAGAACCACACAATTACGATTCTCGGCCGCGACACGAGCACTACCTCCGTCGTGTTCAACGACATGCTCTACCACGACTCCCGCTTTGGGTTGGTGGTGTCGGACGATCAGCGCAATTTAATCTGCATGCAGTACAGACCACGCGTGCAGGAGGAGCCCGGGAAGCCACCGAAGGTGCTGGAGGCGCTTCTCAACGTGGGTGGGGAATACCGCTTAGCAGGCGGCGTCATGACGAAGATGATCCGGCTGCGCTGCGCCACCAAAGATGCGAAGAGCAGCATTGCGATTTACGTGACGAACAACGGCGAGGTCGGCTATTTGGTTCCGTTGGGTGATCAAACGAGTCGAACCGGGCAGTGGGTGGTGCGTCGTCTGCAGACCGAGGTGGCACACGCCGCGGGGCTTCCACCTCGCATGTTTCTCTCCTTCAGCCAAGACGATCCGCTGCGCTCGTTGAAGGGCGAGGAGTGGCTCCTGCACGTGCCGCTGCTGATGCAGCTATTCCGGCAAGACCTGCGGACGCGCAAACTAATCGCTGCTGCCGCGCAGACGCAGCTGGACCGTGCGCTGAACGTCGGGGCGACGGTGGCGGCTGAACTGGGAGCCATCTAGCGGTGTAGATACTATGTTGTGTGTGTGTGTGTGTGTGTGTGTGTGTGATTGCAGTTGTTTTTGTTGGGGCCGTTGCTTAAGTTCTGTTGTTTCCAATTTGGCCGGTGTCGGCGTACACACATTTTGGCTTTCTAACTTTTATGACGTTGTGTGTAAAGGATAGACATTGAGGCGCAAGTCGTTTTGAACCGCGTGAGTCGCTGCCTGCAGTGCTCGCGCTGACAACTTAAATAAACGAACGAAGAGAATTCCCTGAGCAACGAGCACCGTACCACAGCAGGAACAACCTGCGTCGACGCTTTGGTCGGCAGGTCATGTGAATCGATTGCAGCTGCATCACTGTCGATGTTTCGATCATGCCGCTGCCTTTTTCTGCCCTATTAACGCTATGCCCAATTTGTAATCTAAAAGGAAGCGAAACGGAAGCGCAGCTGATGCTTGGACAGTGTGTGCTGCTGATTTCATTTTCCTCTGTGTTTTTTGTTTTTCCTCTACCTTTCTGCCTTCCTGTTGGCTAACCGGCTGTTTGTGCAAACCTATGGTTATTCGTTGAGTAGCAGGCGAAAGAGAGACAACGACGATGCGGCGTAGCAGCTTCCGCAGGCGCCTCTGCGCGTCGAGAGGCTTTCGACCTCATTTGCACCAAAGCCCCTGCGTAATTTGCAAGTCCGCTGAAGCCGCGTATCTTTCGGAACAGGGGACGAACTCTGCCGCGACTCAAGCGAGTTCTCTGAGGAAGGCAGCGGCGTCTCCTTCTTTGCATACAACAACAGCAGCTCCGTTGTTCTCATCAAAGCACCAAGGGGAGCCAGCAGCCGCGGCTTCGCTGGTGGAGCAACGCCGCGATGCCTTGTTGCAGTGGCTGCAGACTTTTACTGTGAATGGTCGACTTCGTTCTTCTACACGCTTCGCCGACATTGAAACGGTCTCCCCTCCGTTGATCACCAATAGCGAGGAGTTTGAGGCCTGCTACGGCGCGTATCTCCGCAGCGACGACGCAGAGGTAGAGGAAGATCGCTACATCGCGCTTCTGCAAACACTAGATCAGCAATGCAGTCGGGTGAACGTGACACAGCAAACTGCCGGCCGCCCTTGTGATGGTCAACGGACAAGTTCTGCAACTTCGTCGTCTATTCGGCTCCCGACCCGCTTGGTCGTACCGCTTGTTGGGACCAACACCGCAAAGGACACAGCAGCACATTTGAATTCCTCCACTTGTACTGAAGAGAGAGCAGGAAACGTCTTTGAGACACACGTACGTCGGCTGTTTCCTTCCGATACCGCGGCTGTCGCCAAGCAGCTTGCGTTTCAGGACGCCCTCCTGTCGATAGAAGAAGTTTTTCATGCGCAGGGCATTGCGTTCTTTCTCGCTTTCGGAACGGCGTTGGGTGCTCGACGGAGTGGCTGCTTCATCCCCTACGATGAGGATATTGATTTGGGCGTCCTGTACACCGAGCTGTGCGCTAGTCCGCCGGAGCATGCCGGAGGCGGGACGTCACCGGTGTCGGACCTGCAGAGGGTGCAAGACCGTCTGTTTCAGCTCATCGACGCGTTGGCCGCCACCGGGATCTTTCTCGTGTTCGACGTCTGCGGGGCTGTCGAAAAGGGGTTGGAGCTGCGCCTGTTGCACACGCCGACGAACACGCGCGTCGATATCAATTTGTTCTATCCGCCTGTGCCGGGCAGCGACGATGTCATCGTGCAGGCGGAAGGCCCTTTTCTGTGGGCATCCTCATTTTATGAGGCTGCTGGCCGACGGGCGCATCAGATGTACCGCTATCGTCACCAGCCCTTCGACAAGGAACTGACACGTCTGCCCTTCTGCACCCGAACGCCCGACGCGGACGGTTTCTGGGTGCCACCGGAGCGCTACCTGACGGAGAACTACGGAGCTGACTGGCGGACGCCGAAGCAGTACACGTACGCGGAGGGCCTCGCCAGGGAGTTCCACAATATCATCGACGAGTGAACACACGCTGTTTGTCGTTCTTATGGGGAAGGAAAGCGTAGCAGCTTCCTCGTCCGTGCTCAGGCGGCTGCGGAAAAGGTTACACATTGCTGTTGCCGTTGAAACAAAGGCTTTTGGGTTACACACACATCATTCCACGGTTCTTATCACTGAACTGAAACACATATATACGTGTATCTCGTGCGTACCACAAAAAAAGGAACTTGGTTTTTTCCATTTAAACCGATTGCCGTCAACGTCTGGGTTTTGGATGCCTGTCCATGTGTTCGAAGGTACAATGTACGAGTGTCGTTGACACGTTGCAACGTGTACAGGAGAAAACGCATTACTTTTCCCCACTCTGAGCTTGTCGTCTCTTGCGCGTTCTCCGCCGCTTGTTTCTACAACTGTACCTCTTCAAAACCCACGGATCTATCTGCTCTATTTTTGTTTCTACAATTAATTTGCGTTGCTTGCACGCACGCACTCACACGAATTGCCATAATTCTTTCTCGAAGTAGTAGTAGGAGTAGTGGAACCCCTTTTTTGTTTATTTCCCTGTTTGCGTGTTGTTGTGTTTTTTTCTTGTTTTTCTTCCCTCGCTTTATCATAACTGTGCTCGGCTTAATACACTTGTGGAAGGTTTAACAGAGAAAGTCGAGAGAAGTGTTGTTGCGTGTCAGAGTGCCCGTCTACATGCTCAATTTATAACCAGATAAGCCACAACACTATTGGTAGACCAGAACCCCACCCCCAAAAAATATCGCGAGCACAGCAGGAGACGTACAATTTTGTTCCTTCCTTTTCCTCGCCGCGGCTACCTTCAGAGAGCACGTCTGTGAAAATCTCGTGACTGCCGATATTCTGTCCGCGCCCGTACTGAGTTCGGCAGCAACCTGTGAGCTTCGTTGTGCATCTGCCGTGCTTCGTTCTCTTTCGTGTGTCGTAGGAACCGTACGGAACCGCAGTCACTCTGAACTGCTTTCCCTCTGGCTGCGCTGGGGAGTGTTCGCACTCAAAGTGTGTTTGGATTATTATTTCCCCGTGTGTGCGCGTGCGTGTTTGCCGGCGCCTACCATGAGCCTCAACCCCAACGCACCGTCCTTCGACCCCACCGCGAAGCCGTTCATTCCGTCTTTCCTGCGGAACGACCCGCTTGAGCCCTACGTCCCGCCGGTGTACCAGGCGGCTCCCCTGTTTGCGCCGCAGCTGGGCAGCCTGGCGAGCGGCGCCGTCGGGGAGGATGACATCCCACTCGTCTCGGGTTTTAAGCGGAACAGCAAGGTGGCGCTGCCCACGCCCGACGCGCAGGAGACACCGACCAGCGCGGGTGCAGGTGGTCCCGGCGTACGCAATGCCTCGTCGATGAGCCCTGCGAGTACGGCCACCGGCACCGTCCAGCAGCAGCAGCAGCAGCAGCCGATGTGGCGCCAGCAGCCCTCGCTGCCCGGCACCGCCAGCGCGTTCCCATCTCGTCCACCGAACCCAAACGGCCCTGCCGCCACGATGGGCGGCAGCGTGAATGCCTCCCTCAACGCGAGCACCGGTGGACGTGTCAACTCGCACGCAAGTCTCTCCAGCGCCAGCGCACCAGACGGAGGGGCAGAGAAGCAAGAGCTCGATCAGCCCCCCTTCCTTGGGTGGTCCATGCGGCGGCAGGCCTCCACGAGCCCGTCCAGCACCCAACTCGGCATCCAGCAACAGAGTCCCACCAGCCGCTACACCGTCCAGCAGCCTGCAGCACCGATGCAGCTGTCACCTGCGTCGCTCTCCCGTTCCCAAGACCGCGCCGGTCTCTCCCTGGGGGCCCATCCCTTCTCTCCTCCGTACGGCGGCGGCGGCGGGACGCACTCGCCCAACTTGCCCAGCGGCGGTCCGATGTCGCAGCCACACTCACCATCGCAGATTGCACCGCCACAGCCTCGGCAGCAGCAGCAACAGCAGAGCTACCCGTCCAAGATTGCGCCTGCGGTGCCCCGAAGTGCGCAGGAGCGACAGGCGGCAGCAGCAGCAGCAGCAGCGGCGGCGGCGGCCTCTGGAGCTGGCACGTCTTCCAATAATACAAATGCGAACACCAGCCCGTCTGTCAGTGGCAACTTCCTGGACAAGTCGCCGTCCCTTCCCGGATCGCAGCAACCGTCTCCGCCGCAGTTGCAGCGCGGCCCGTCATCTCCCGGTGTGCCGGCGCCGCGGTCGGAGGTGTTTCAGCAACAGCAGCAACAATTACAGCGCCAGCAACAGCAAACAGCCAGCACCACCACCACCGAGCCCGCCTCCCCTCCACCGGCGCCGGTACGAACGACGCCCAGCCCAAACAACGACGCCCCAGTCAACATACCCCCGCGCATCACCTCCGCGCCCATGTCACGAATGATGCGCACAGGTGCTGGCGTCGGTAATCCTTCCACCTACTCGCTCGCCGCCGCTATGAACACTGCCGCGCCCTACCCCGGACTCGCAAAGGGATTAGTAAGCGGTGCTCACCCCTCCCCCTCGACTCTACCGCCGCCGCCGCCACCACCACCCCCGCAGCTGCCGCGTGCGCCGCCAAGTATGGCCGGGGTCGGCGCCACCGGGTACCCCAACAATTTGCCTAACAGCGGCAGTTCCGCCGCGGGGCCGACCCAGTCGTCTGCGCACGGCTCGCCGTCCGCATCGTCGCCGATTTCCACTCGCCCCATTACGGTGTCTGCGGTTGCAGCCGTCGCTGCCGCTGCCCCTCGTCGTGGCGGCCTCACCGGCTGGCGCCCGCCCCAGTTCGGTCGCAAGGCTGCCCCCACCAACGCGAACCCCCTCGTGGTGCTCATCTTTGGCTGCCGCGGCTCTGGCAAGACGACGCAGGCCGAAAACGTTGCGGAGCGTTACCATCTCCTGCACCTGTCCTCGGGCGACATGTACAAGGAAGGCAAGCAGCCCTACGTCGAGGTGGAGCAGGCGGTGAAGGAGCACTTTGGCCCGGATGCGAAGGACCGACAGTACAACGGCGTCGTGCTGGATCGCTTTGTCGCGACGGGTGAGATGGACGCGTACTACCTGCAGGCGTCGCTCAACGTATGCAACCTACCCGTTCCCATCGTGTTCTGGCTACAGCTGGACCCCAAGGAGGGCATCAAGCGGGCCCAGCAGCGCGGCGACCAGAAGGCGGGGGCCGACCACTGGCGCTACGTGGAGCAGCGCGCGCAGGCCGAGGTGGCCGATCATGTGTTCAAAAAGATCGGCGTCTTGCACCCCATTGACTGCAACATGATGGATGCGCGGCGGGCGTGGGAGCGCATTCACAGCATCATCGACGGCCTGTTCCCCACACGTAGCCGCAACATCCGCCTGCCCGTTGCCACCCCGGTGCCCGGGTACGAGCACTTTCATCTGTTGGACGACTACAGCGACTTCCAGCAGCTGACGAAGGAGGTGCACGCGGCGATCGGCAACACCGCTGGGCGCACCGACAGCGCCCCCCTCTCCAGCATCGGCGGCTACGTCGACGCGAGCTCCTTTGCCAACCGCAGCGAGTGCAAGAAGATGTCGAGTATGTACGTCACCCTCAAAGTGGATGGTCAGCGCTTCCTCATCGTGAAGCACGGCCACTTTGGCGTGCTCGGCTTCCCGTTTCTCTTCACCGGCTGCTACGACTTCAACGTCCTCTTCGACTCGCTGGCGTTCCCGAGCGCGTACGACATGGTCGACGCACGCCAGGACGAGGCGGTCGGAATTGAGTGGATGCTCGACGCGGAACTCAGCACGACCGGCGATTCGGAGCACCCGGAGCCGATTCTGCACATCATCGACTTTGTCTACTTCGGTGGCAAGCAGGCGAAGCGCACGCTCTTTGCGGAGCGTTACGAGCTGCTGAATAGGTGGTTCAAGGCGATGATCGACCACAGCGGCGAGGCCGGCGCCTACGCGTCGGTGGTGCTGAAGCAGTACGTGCCCATTAACGAGCTGCCGACGCTGCTCCCTCGCATGGAGGACGCGCCGTTCGCGGTGGATGGTCTTGTGTTTCAGGCGAACAGCCTTTACAAGTTCGGCCTTGACAAGCTCCTGCTCAAGTGGAAGCCGCTGGAGCTCTGCACCGCCGACTTCCGTCTCATGAACAGCAGAGAGGTGGACGTGGAAGAGGAGGACGGCTCGCCTGCGACGGAGTTTGAGCTGTACACGACCGATAACGAGCGCGAGGTCCCCTACCCCGGCGCGGTGGGCTTGTTCTCTGAGGTGGAGGTGCGTGGCTTTCAGCTGCGCAACAGCGTTATTGCCGAGCTCGAACTGGACACGGTGCGAGAAGGCACGAACGTCAATGGACACCCGGAGACGATCTGGAAGCTGCACCGCCTGCGCGCAGACAAACCCCGACCCAACAAGACGGCCGTGGTGGACAGCATTGTCAGCCTGAAGCACCTCACCTACGAGGAACTGCTGGAGCAGTGCAAGGCGCTACACTTCACGGGGCAGCCGAAGAACTGAATCGGAGAATAAGGGGAGGAAGATAGCAAAAAGTCAAGTAGAACAGAATGAGGAACTCAGCAGATGCAACCTTCTCACAGTCTTTTTTCTTCTGTACAGTGAACACTAAACATGCACCAAAGCACTACGCACCTCTGAGGGCTTAAAACAGAAAAAGAAGAACTGAACGATTTTTTTTTTGTCTTCTTCGCGCTTCGAACATTAAAGTTGCTGTTGCGGAGGCTGTCCGCGCAGCTTCCTTTTGGAGTGCCTGTGGCGGAACTATTTCTTGCTTGCTAAACTTTTGCTTCTTCCTTTTCAACGATCAACTTTACCCCTCTTATTATTTTTCCCCCAAACAGAGGAGCGGCTACTCTCGTTGTCATTGATGTTTTCGTTGCAGAGCGTTGCTCCGAGGTCCCACATTCGTCGTCGGCAGCGGGGACGTGCATTTCCGTCATTGTTGCTTTTCGCCTTATTACACGCATAAAACAAAATATCTGTTTTTATATAGCACTTTTCTTCGTTGTTGTTACTGTCTTCTTCTGTAATCAGAAAGCGGGTGTTTGTGTGTGGGTGTGTGTGACTTCTTTCAAAAGTGAAAGAGCTCCGTTGCCACTGCGGAGGTTTTGGTTAAATACCGTAATGCCGTGTAGTATTGCTGCCGCTCTAAACTCTAATGTAACGTGGAAGACGAATTCTGTACAAAGAAGGAGTACAAAATGTACCGCATTGGCGTGAGAAAACGCCGCATCTCGACGCGTTGCGGGAAGACCCCTCCTCCCTTCCAGTGTGCTTCCTTCCGAATCAGGATACACACGTCGAGCGAATTTGCTGTTTACTACTGAGCAACCTTGTAAGGAGAGGCGAATGGGCTCACAGTTGTCTGCGTGTCATTTGTCTTCCAAGAATTGCGTCGGACTGTGCTCGCAGACACACACACACACACACACAAAGGAAAAAGATTTCATGTAACGTGCTGTGCGCCGTTTACCAATGCGTGTGCCTCTCTTTTTCTTCGAGTAACTATCCTGGCTCCCTCTCACGTTCTCGCTGCGGTGTGTTGTTCCTTCTTTCTTTTCTTGAACCTCATCACGGATCGCTGCCGGCCCGTAGAAGAGTGCTATTTTTTTTGTCCTTTTTTTGCGAGTCGAGAAAACAAACCAACCAAACGACCGAAGAGCTTTATCAGTAGTATTTGCAGGGTTTATTTCTGTGCTCTTTCGTTTGTGTGTACGGCGTGTAAGCGGTCGGTTTTTGCTGTCGCGTGTGGGACTTACCCTTTTTGCGCGCTTGTGTCGTGGTGGTGTATTGAGCTACAAGCCCTTTGAGCGGCTGTTCGAGCCACGGCTGTTATACGTGTGTTGCCCACCTATTCGTGCGTAGCACATTACTTACCCTTTGTGCTCTGGGTTACTATTAACACAACATTTCTTGGCTTCGTTCACAACCCTCCTCCCCCCTCTCCACACACCCGCACACACACACACACACACACACACGATCAGACGATCAGAGAAGTCAGAGCAATTGCCGCTTTTTCTGTTTTTTGACGACGGGCAGCCCCACTGGCAAAGCAAAGGGCAGCACGCAGAAGCGGACACTGTGGGAGAAAAACTTCCTTCTTGTTGCGATTGATTATTGTTTCTTTAGCCTGCTTGCTTGTTTCTCCTACCGTCTGTGTCGCACCCTCGAGGCATTGTTGTTTTTTGTTGTTGTTGTCCCATTCATTGCTTCTTCAGCTCCGCTGTCGATCACACCGAGAGGGTAGGCAGCGAGTTTGATACCAAGCGGTACTTCTCAGCGTCTTTCTTTGTGTTGTTTGCAGAGCGTCGCTGCGGAGAGGCTTGAGCGTCTTTTTTCTTTCTTATCTTAACTAAGCGAATTCCTGTCCCTTGCTGGTAGGGTTTTTTCCCGCCTTTCCACCATGTCCAATCTTAACCCGAACGCCCCTTCTTTTCCGGTCGGCAACTACCAGCAGCCAAACATGAACAACAACAACAGCCAGGGCTACGGCAGCAACGCTGGTGGCGGCGGAAGCGGCGGCATGATGCCAAACGACAGCTACGGCGGCGGCCCGATGATGTACGAAAACAACAACGCCTACGGACCGGGCGGTATGGGCGGCGGCGGCCGCGGCTACAACGCCGGCGGTAACTACGGCGCGAACAACCAGGGCGGCAACTACGGCCCCAGCGGAGGTAACTACATGAACGGCAATCAACCGCACGGTGGCTTCTCGCCAAACCCGCGCATGGGTCGCCCGGGTCCGTCACGGGGACCGGGCCCGCACAACCAGTACCACGCCCCCAATTCGAACATGATGGGCGGCGGCAACATGCGTCAAGGCAACTACCGCGGTCCAGCGATGTACCCCGGCAACGGATCGATGGACATGAACAACAACTACGACCAGCCCCCACCGCAGCAGCAGCCGCAGCACCTGCAGATGTCAATGCCTCAGCAGCCGCACCCCATGCGGTCCAGCAACAACATGGGCATGAATAATAACATGATGGGTAGTGGCGGTGGTCCTCGCATGCCACCACCACCGCAGCAGTACGGCGTCAACAGCAACAATAACCCGCGCGGCCCCATGCCCGGCATGGGACCCGTCATGGGCAACCAGAGCGGCGTGGTCTCAAGGAACCCGAGCGCGCCGCCGCCGCCGATGCCGGCACCGCCGACCCCACCCGCGGTGGTCGCCCCAGCGGTGACCCCTGCCGTGGCGGCCCCGTCGTACCTGACGAAGACCACCCCGCGTGTGGTGATGGTGGTGGGCTACAAGCAAACCGGCAAGACGACTGTGGCGAGGGCGATTGCGGCCAAGGAAGGGTTCGAGTACGTATCGTTGAAGGGGCCGCGGGACGAGGGCAGCGGTGAGAAGAACGAGGAGGTGAAAGAGGCAGCCCCGCTGGAGCGGTTGGCGGCGCTGCGGGCGGTGCTGGAGGAGAAGTCCGCGCGGAAGGGCCTCGTGTTGGACGACGCCTTCACGACGAACCGCTTTCACGCCCACTACGTTCTGCACTACCTGGCGAGGGCGGGCCTGCAGCTAGACGCGGTGGTCGCCCTGCTTCCCGAGCTGTCCCTGCTGGTGAAGCGCGGTGTGACGTTCGACACGATCGGTGACAAGACCGCCCACCCCGAGGCATTCGAGTTTGCCTCGAGCTTAGACCAATCGAGCGTTGTTGCCATTGTCGATGACATGAGCGTGAAGGAGGTGGTGGCAAAGGCCACCGAAGAGGTCTCGGCGCTGCTCAGGACGAACCCGCCCGCCGTGACGCTGGAGGAGGTCTTCTTCGTTCCCAGCTGCCCGCTTGTGACGGATCCGGAGCGGGTGGAGGAAATTTTAGAAGCGGAGCGCAGCACCATCAAGCGTGATCTCCCGTACAACTTCTCGTACTCGGAGCCGAACTTCGTCGTCGATTACGTGCAATTTGTGCAATCCGCGGCGAAGCTGCCGCATTACCTGGTGACGCCGTGGATGTGGGGTGACAAGGTCTCCCTCATCGGCCACGACACCGGTGTCTTTGTGCACCTCACCTCGTACAACATTCTCTTCCAGTGGAACAACGTGCCCACAGCACTGCAGGAGCTCGTGAAGAAGCTGAAGAGCGAGGCGGTGGCCGCGGCCACCCCTGACGCCCCTGCCGACCCACTGCTCTTCTCCGTCGAGGCCTCCATGCTGAACGACGTCTTCTACATCTCCGATATGGTCGTCCTCGGCAAGCGGAAGGGCGGGGAGATGATCCTGCACGACCGGGTGAAGCTGCTGCACGAGTGCTTTGGAAAGTTGCCCTCGACCGGGGTGGTGCGCCTGCTCGAGCACTTCAACGTCAGCAACATCAAGGACTGCCTAGAGGCCTACAAGGACATTAGCCGTGGCGCCATTTTCGTGAACCCCGACGGCATCGAGTACGGCTCCTACGACGTCTACAACTTCGTCTACCCGTGCGAGACGCGGAAGACGGTCCGGCTGCGCATCTGGGACGGTCGCGTGACGGACGACACGTGGAATTTTGATTGCTACGTGCGGGAATGCAAGGTCGAGGTGCCGGCCACCAGTCGCTCCACCGGTACGAACTCGCTGCCGGTGGTGATCGGCGACGGCGATGTGGAAGAAAACGTGATCAACGACGGCAACATTGTGGAGTGCGTGATGGAGCGCGTCGCGGCGAAGGGCAAATCGAAGGAGAAGAGCGCCGTTCTTAACTTCTGTCGCCGTTGCAAGTGGGAGGTGGCGCCGATTACGCAGTTTTACATGTGGGCCTTCGCCGACCCACCGCGCTGGTCGACGGAGTCGTTCCTCGACGCCTGTTCTACCATCGCCGGCGTGCGTCCGACGATGTAGAGAACCAGTGAAGACGTGTGAGGGAATAGAAGAGCGCTGCGTTTTTGTGTCGACGTCGCAGCGCAGACTCCACTCTTGCTGCTACCGTTGTTGTTGTTGTTGTTTTGCCTCTTGCGTAGCACCGGGCACACACAGGTGAGCGTTACCGCACCGTTGAAAAGGTGACGGACTTGTTTGACGTTACCTTCGTTCTTTTCATTGTTTTCTTTTTTCTGTGTGTGTGTCTCTCGCCTCTTTCGCATGTTCTGATTTATTGCAAGAAAGGGCCGAGACGAAAAGGTGATGCAGCGGGCGGGCTCGCTCTGGTGTTGGTGCACACCGACTCGTACGAGGGAGTCTTTTCATTTGTTTTGGATGTCGTTGTTTTTTTTTTTCCTTTTCCCCCGCTGCGTGCTTGCCGTCATAGCACCGAGTGCTTTTCTAGCGTAGAGAGAGAGAGAGAGAGAAAAGGGTGACGATCCAGAGAACGGTGTCGCCATCGTGTGAATAGGATGGGGAAGAGAAACGCGGCGCGCAACGAAGGTGGACAACAGTGCACGGCTGGGGAGCACGTACACTCTTTTTCGTTTTTCCTTTTTGCTGTTGCCCGGCTGATTATCTTCTATTGGCTTGCTAGTTTGTTTCGACGTTGCGTAGAACCGTTCTACATGGAGGAGGCGAATTGTTTCTTTCTTTGTTTCGTATCTCCCTCTTTGTTTTCTTTTGACGTGTGTCTGTTTGTGTATCGTCGTGGGTGCGAGTATTTGATGAGAAGCAGCACATCAAGCCAGCATGTAGATGTGCTTTTTCCAAAAGGTTCGTGCGCCGCTGTTGTTGACGTATTTACTTGATTGTTTCAGTTTCGCAGCTGGTGACGGTGCGGGCTGCGTCCGTACTGAATGGCGGGGAGTCGGTTTGATATGTGTGAAGCGTTTGGGTGTTTGCTGTTTCTTCTCTGTTCCTGTGCGGGGCCGTCGTTGGGCAACAACAACAGCAAAAGATACTGAAAAATCGAATGGGACTCACACGGATGCTGAAGGCAGGAGGATGCTGAAGACGCCTTTCTTCGTATGCTTCGTGCTGTGGTTTGTCACCTATTGCGACCATACTGAGTGGAGATGCCAACACGAAGAGGGGCTGCATGTGCAATCAGCCGTTTCTCGAGACTAACGGTATGCTGGCCGTTTGAGTTTTCAACTTTTAATTGTCACCGTCGTTTTGGGTCTTGACTGATGCGCCTGCCGGTACGTCTAGGAGGCTGGTGCTCATCCGAAGTGACACGCGCCACACACAACACGAATTGTGGCTGCACCTGCCTGTGTGTGTGTGTTTATGCATCACTGTCGGTGAGAACACGATTCATTGCACCCGCTGTTGTACTGCTTCCTTCCTCTCTCTCTCTTATCTTCATTTCGTAAAACCCTCATCCAACGTTTGCCCGCTCAGAACAAAGGCTACGTTGACCGTCAGATCTCACCTTGCTCTTTACGATTGTTATACCTGTTATTATTATTTTTCACCTTGCTCTCTTTTCATTCGCATTTCCCTCTCGGTTATTGTTATTCTTCTTCCTTTTTTTTTGCTGTGTACTCCTCTGTGTTGTCCTCGGCAGCCAGCAGTAAAGCGCGAACACCACAATTGACTGGCCTCTTCGTTCGTCTTGCCCTCGCTTCTCAACTCCGTCGGTTTCGGATCCCTGAAAGCAGTGGAGTGCTTTTCTCGGAAGGAAGGCTGGCCACGTGCAACGTGAATTCCCACATATTTAGCATCATTATTGCTGTTTCTGCTTACGTCACTTCTCTTATTCGTCGGGGAGCGCTCTGTGCCGCGCTTCCACTCCGCCAAAGGAAAAAAGGGTGCGCGACACTACGCCGTATTTATGATGTGCACTCGGAAGCCCGAAACACAAAACGTCCCCTTATTATTATTATTGTTGTTATTATTCAGCAAATCTTGTGAATGCCGTGCACGACGAACTGTGTGTGTGTGTGACGACGTCTCGCGATGTCGCATTGAATCTGCAGTGGACCAACGACGTGGCCCTACCGCTGAAAGGTGTCGGGGTGGACCGCACCGCGGTGGCCAACGCAGTCCCCTGCCGCAACGCGCAGGGAGGCGAGGCGGCGAGGCTGCCAAATGTGGAGGCCGATGTGCATCAGGTTTTCCCCACCACGCCCGCCATCCCACCGCCGCCGCCGACGTCCACCGGCTCGATGCATGCGATGCGCTTTTGGCACCGTCGCCTGCTGGCCCACCCCATCTACGAACGCTGTGTCCGCTTCGTCCACCTTCGGTGCCCCACCACGCCCCCCACCGACAGCGCGGAGGCGGCGCATGCGTGGATGGCGTCGTGCGACCGTTGGTGGAACGCGCTGTCCGCTTTCGTGAGCCACACCTCCTCGCCGTACACGCTGCCGGCCGACAAGACGTGGAATCCGTATAGCTTCTCCAAGCCCGTCGTCTACACCCGGTCGCCGCCCGTCCGTCGGGAGAACGCCGGTGAACGCGTGGCGCTGGCTGTGTCGTCTGCGAAGCGCTCGCTGCCACCGCCGCTGTCGTACCACATGGTGATAGCCGAGTACCGCCTGATCGCCAGCGAGGCGGATGCGTTGCGCTCGTATGTGGTTTGCCTGACGATGTGGTGGCGCAGAGCGTGTCAGTGGGCGGCCGTATCGAACCGTGAGTACGCCTGGATAAGCCCGCCGCCGACCACTGGCGCGAACGCCGCAGATTGGGCGGCGCTGTGCGAGCTGTGGCGCCGCTCCACCGTTGCGCTGCTTCGAGAGGAGGAGTACCGTACGAAGGCAGCTGAGTTGGAGGCGTTGACGGCTGCCTTTAAGCTGCAGCAGCGAATCGAGCTGTCTTTCACGTCCATTGACACGACACCGCCTTCGCAGCTCAATCAATTGCTCCATTAGTGCTACGATAGGCCAATGATCCCCTTCTTCGTTGTTTTTTATTCTTCTCAGCACCAACCGACCACAATCAGCAAGAAAGAAAAAGACTGACAAAACGTTGTCAACGGAGGACTTGCCGCGGCGTGTGTAGCTTCTCAACTCAAGAGAGAGAGTTTCAGCCGCGGCAGTTGTCACGACAACCCCTTTAGAGGGAGTCCGGGGCTTTCTGTTTTTTTGCTTTTCGCTGTTGTGTTTCTCTTCCCAAACAACGGTCGTGGGTGCAACAGCACAAGCACTGTTTCAGCGTATTTAGCGAACCGTTTTTCGTTTCTCTTTCGTTTGAGTAGCTTTCCTACGAGTAGTGGTCCCTTAAAAGTCTCTTGGGTTTCACCCTTTGTTGTTCTCTGCGTCTCATCCCTGCCGCCGCTCCTTGCGGTGAAGCTGGCAACGTGCAGGTGAAGAGTACGTACGTTTTTTCCTGCTTTCTCTCTTCTTTACCGCCTCTTTTCTGCTTGTTCTCTTTTATCATTTTATGAAGCGCGTCAACGTTACTTCATAGTACACTGTTGTGCTGGTGCTTCCTCTTCTGTCGGTGCGTCTTCCATATTATTATTATTTTTATCATTTTCCGGCAGCCGTGACCGCTTGGTTTTCTGGTTTGCGCGAGCAACAGCCGCTCGTGGGACGGACATTATGCGTCCGTGTATGGAAGGACGTGTGTGTGTGTGTGAGTTGGGGCGTGTGTTCCCATGGTCGGTTTCTGTATTCCTTTTTTCACCATTTTCAGCGTGTGCACCGTGTTATTAGGACCACCAGAATAAGGGGAGAAACGAGAGTGAAGAGCTGTCGCGGTGGCATTTGGGCTTCTTGACGCACCCGTTCGCCGGCATCGAATAATGATAATAATTGCACGGTCTCGAGCTTCCAACGCAGGTTTTTTGATGATGACCGGCGGTACGCCGATCAACGCCTCGTTCTGCCACCTGTTTCTCCCTCCCTTGCTCTCCTCTTTTTGTATCTTTTCTGTCTGCGCGCCGGTGGCGGTTGGGAGGTTGGGCCTCGCGGCGGGAAAGGCGCCACCCGCCATCGACGGCAGCGAGCCACGGGGAAGCCTTTTCGTCACGCACCAGCGGCGCGAGACAACAGTTCCTTCACTTTTCATTCAGTTTCATCAAGTTGCGTAAACAGGGAGAGGAATAGTAGAGGGGTCGCAATTGAATCTACCAGAACAAGCAACAGAACACAACAGAGAGTTGCCGCAGTTCGCAGGCGTACGCCGCGTCTACCGCTACGATGCCACTTGACCGTGTGTGAGGTAGAACCGTCGCTGCTCGTACAGCCTGCGCATTTGCTTGTCGTGCAGCTCCATCGCCAGCTCCTCTACGCTGGGATCGGCAGACGATGACGCAGGGATCGGGGAGGGGGAGGACGCAACCATGTCGGCAGCAACACGCGGCATCACCTGCAGGTGCTTCAGGCCTTCCACATCACGCTTCAAGCGACGTAACTCCGACCGCAGCAACTCCACCGGACCGACGTCGTCCACGAGGACCTCTGGGTCGATGCGAATTGGCCTGTTGCGACGCGTCTCCGTCGCAAGTGGACGAGCGACGCGTAGGGTCTGTACAGCCACGTGATTCTGCGGCGCAAACAACAACGGCGGAGCGGGTGGAGGGTGAAAGGACGCCACAGCAGCAGGCGGCGCTGGGGAACGAGGTGCCTGCCGCAGCGGGGAGGCGCCTGGACTGTTGAGAAGCGGGCCGGTGGAAGCAGCAGCAGCAGCAACAGCAGGTCTCGCAGGAGACAATAGTCGCGGTCGAGAATACCAGGACGGTGCCGGCGTAAAACTGGCAGCACCCGCGGTATTGCTGGCCATTGCCACACGCGGTTCGCGAGAAGGGGTGCTCTCCGTAGCATCAAAGTACGCCGGAAGAGACGGCGCATGGCGTTGGTGCGGGGGTTGCGCTTCCTCTTCTCCAGGGACGAAGCCGGACGGAGGCGAAGTCCGCATGGCCGCTGTGGACTCCACCAACGGCGTTTGCTGGCTGGTGGTCCACACGGCGCTGGGTCGCTCGTACGATGGAGGTGTGGGCACGAACCACAGAGTATTGGCCTGATCTATGCCGCATGGCATGCCGAGGGACGCCGGAGTCGCCTCCGGGGCGATCGGCTGATTCTGCCAGTACAGGTTGCCCACCTCATCGAAGCGTTCCAGCACGTTGGACAGCTTTACATTCGGCTCAAGCTGCAACAATCGCGGCTCCGCGTCGTCATTTGCGTACACCTCCAAGAAGCAGCGCCGCTGGCTTGGATTCATCTGTGCAATGTCAGTAAAAGGGAAAACAGAGGCGGTACGGGATAGGTTGCTCACGATTTTCATCGTTGGGGACTTCGGCTTCTGTCGGCCACCGACAGGTCAACGTGGGGGGAAAGGTGGAAGAAAATGGAGAAAACATGGAGAAGAAAAGCGAGACTTCAGAAATGCGCACGTCGCTCAAAGTTGCAGAACACACGAGGCATTAAACGTGCTCTCTTGCTTTGAGAAGTCTTTTTCACGGCCCTCAAGCGTATCGAACTGGCGAGTGGAACCTCGTGCTATACGAACCCAGGTTTTTTCTGTTTTATTTCTTCTCCTTGCGAAAGGGGTGCATCCGAAACGCCAACGCATCTGTTGCATATGAAGTGCAGAAAACAGCACAAAATTCTCTGTCGCATCTTCTGCGCTGTGCGATTCGTGTTCATCCGTTGCGCAACTAACACCACTCGTAAGCACACCCAGCAGGTGCGATACCGTACCCATTGCGCTGGGAAAAACAGGCTCCCCTGAAAAGTGTATGACGACATCATTTAAGAGTAAACGCCGCAAAGCACCGTAAGGAGCAGGAAAGAAAAGGAAAACAACAACAACAAAAGAATCACTGGTCAGAGAATTAAGGATGAAAGCGGTCTGTACATGGATGGGAAAAGGGGGAAACGTGGTGGTTCGCAACAGGTAACTCCAGCCAGCGAACACACAGCGTTCCCGCTCAACACAGCAGCAGCACACGCACCAAAAGGAAACGAAAAGAGCAAGAAGAGCGGCTCTTTACACGACAACAACAACAATAAACCGACATGGCAGCGAAAGCTATGCTTCGCCCTTCATCGCAGCACTCTTAGTGGCGAGCGGTGCTGCGGTGCTCGCCTCCTTCTCCGGCCTTCTGCTAGTGTCGTCGTCAGACTGTCCCTCTGGGGTGGAGAAGAACCCGAGATGCATAGAGCCGAAGTTGGGGTATGAGCGGAGTTGCGGAGAACCAGCCTCCTGCAACTCGCGCACTTCCTGCTTCAGCGCGTCAATGTCGACCTTGTGGTCCGCCGCCACGCGCTGCGGTCGGTCGTCGTCGTCGGAGCTGTGCCGGACGATCGTGTACGCGCCCTTCGAGACCTTCCTGGCGGCGCCGGAGAGGCGGGAGCTGCGAACAATCCCACCGGTGCGCGATCCGCGGAAACGATCGCCCGCCAGATTGATGGTGTCGCGGTGCACCGAGAGTGGAAGGGGCGCAGAGCCGGGCTTCTCGAACTCCTTGCCAGTGATCGGCGTGGCCATGTTCCGCACACGTTCCTGGATCGGCTCCGAATTGCTGCAGGCGGCCAGCTGCTCCTCGTGTGGACCACCGGCGGTAGCCTGAAAGAGCGGCATCGCGGTCAGATTTGTCAGCACGTCAATGCAGTGACTCGACAGCGCGGTGTTCGGCACCTCTGCAAAATGAATCATGGCGCCCAGCATCGAAAACGCCTTGCCGCCCTGCAGGCGCACCGTTTTTGGCTGCACCGCGTACTTCCACAGTAAATCACGGTCGGCCGCATCCCTGGGGCTTTCGCCAACAAGTGTGGCGCGCTGAAAGATGGCGAGGACGCACCGGTGCAGGCACCGCGCCAAGGCGTCGTGCTGAGGAAACCGCTCGCAGCAGGCGAAGAAGGCAGGGAAGAACTTGGACGAGATGAGGGTCCGGTCCACTTCCGCAAGCTGGAAGAGAGAGAACTCGACGAAGAGCTCGCACACGGCGAGCCGCAGCGGACCAAAGCCTTGCGGTGGGTAGTTGGAGAGCAGAGGACACGACGAGCTCTGCGCGGCCTTCCCCTTCGCCGTCGGGGTGAGCAGCGCCGTGATGCGGCTTGCCTGAGCTTCTATCACCCTCAACGGCGTGATGCACTGCGTAGAGGCTTCATACATGCGGCTTGTTTCTGGCAGCACGAGCGACTTGCGCACCAGACTCACCACGGAGACGAGCACCTCCATGCCGTCCGCCGCGAGCGACACAGGAGCCGCCGCGGCGCCGTCCGGCGTGAACAGCGGCGATCGACCCACATCGTGCTCGCAGCAGCTCAAGATGCACTCCACGTAGTCGGACACTAGCGGCTCGCCCAGCAAAACATCCACCACCGGTCCGGCGCTGTGACTGTAGCCGCGCTTCAGCAGCTCCTTAAAGAAGTAGAAGTAGTGGTACATCCCCGGGTCGCGAATCGCGATTGGGAGGTAGGCGCAAAGCTTCTTTGGGAAGCCCAATGCGATCCAGCGAGATGTAAAGAGCGCCGTCTTGGTGGTCGGCTTCACCATCCACACCGCGGAAAGGGCAGACCCGAACAGCGCGATCAGCGTCTCGGCAACAATGGAGTTGCTCGCGAGGTTTTCCACGACACCGATGATGGTCGCCGGCGTGAGCGTGTCCGCGATTACCTGCGTCGTCGTCTCAAAATCGCTGTCAAACGCCTCCAGAAGAAGCCGCTGCACCGCAAACGCACGGTGCGCCTCCAACGTCTTGCTGCAACTCAACGCCTCTGTGCACGCCGCCACCACTGCGTTTACGTCCGACTGCGCCGGCGACTGCGCAATGCAGAAGGAGAGCAGCTCCGCCAAGTTGATAAGCGCGCGGTGCTCGCATTCCTCTGCGCTGAGCGCGTCGGCGGTGGCGTCGGGTGGGGCGGCGAGGGTGAGCGGCGACCCCTTTCTTCCGCATGGCAAACTGGCAGCGGCCGCGCTGGGGTCACTTTTCCGGTGCCCCAACTTGCCGACAGCGGCAGTCGATGCCGCCGCCTCCGGTGCCGCCACCGTTTTGCTGGCCTCGTCCAATTCACGGCTGCCCTGCAGGAGTGCGAACAGGTGAGCGGAGTGGGTGTTAACGTAGCGCAGCACACAGCTGACGCAGTCCGGTGCACAGGTCGGTACGGCGGCGCCGCTGTCCTCCATCGCGCGCTGCCCACCACGCCGCGACAGTGGCCCTGGGGCCGGAACGCTCTGAATGCTCTGTAGGTAATCCGCCACCGCGTCGACGTACAACACGTCCCGCAGACCGACGTCCGAAGCAGAGAACAGCTCCGCAACGTTGTCGGTCGTCCATTTCGGGCCCAAGGGAGACGCAATCATCGTGGACAGGCGTAAAAAAAAGAGGGGGGGAGGTGGGCGGGATCCCAAAGACACTTTTCTTTTCACTCGGCTAGAACGTGTTGACAACCCCAAGGAGGATGGGCAACGACATTCAGCAACGCCACGGCACCTTAATAATCACACGGTGGAGACGAAACAACGACAAAAAAACGATGCAGCCGGAAGCAGCGGCTCTGAATCGCAATAGCGAATGGAATGGAAGTTGAAAAAGGGAGAGAGAGGGAGGGAGAGAGAGAGAGAGAACGCAGCACTTAGAAACGAGCAGAGAGCATAAATAACACGTGTGTTCGAATTACTGAAAGCGAACAGCAACCACAACAAACAAACAAAAAACTAGAAACGAAATAAATAACAACGTGAGGTGGATATACGAGGGAGATCAGCTCGACAAACGATTCAACAAGCGACAACAACTGTTATACTTTGCGTCAACAAAACCGGTTCAGATAGTTGAAGAGAACGGTATCGGAGAACCTGCGACTCTCACGATTCGCGAGAAAACAAATTACCAGAGCAATTGAATCCAGAAAGGCTTTCTTTTCCTTTTCTTTTAGCAGAGTCAACGTAAAAGTATTCTAATCATCTAGGACACCCAAGGATACGGATGATGAGAAGCGAACAGGGAGGAGGGAGAAGAGGGATCAGGAAAGACAGTGTTTTCTCTTTCTGGTATGTGTGTGGGTGTGCGATGCATGGCACAGCGTCTTTGCAGCAGCAGACGAAGTCGGTACTGCAGGAGTCGAAATTGCCTCCGCGTTGTGCGCAAGGGAACGGAAGGAGGCACGTTCCAAGAAATGCTCTCGCGGGGCTCTACAGGTTGCTAGCACGTTGGCGATGAAATCTGCTTCATCGGCGGCTGATATTATGACGATGATTACCACTGACCAATGGTCAAGAGCAGCAGCACAGAAAAAGCGGAAGACGGGGAAAAAAAAGTCCTGTACACGCATGGAGAGCAGAAATTTAAAAAGAAGTTTAGTTGCAACGAGAAGCACGCACACACACACGTGTAAAAAACCCAGTCTGTTGAGAGTCACTGCCACCACGACTGCGACACCATCGCGGATCGCCGAACGTGGGATGTGAAGGTGCCGCTTCCAGCGGAGGGCGCTGCTGTTTGCCACGAAGACGGCGCTCTGCCCAGGTTGCGGATGGTTTGCTGCGTCCTGGGCATCGCACGGTGAGCTGCAGAAAGACCTGGAGGAGCGATAACGGCGACATCGTTTGGGTACGATCGTGCCGCAGAAAAAGAGCGCACCTTGCTTTCTACGTGGCGGGTGAGTTGTGATGGTTGGTAACTTGCAAAGCCTTGGTGACGTGGAACCGAATGCCTGACAGACGGTGCATTCGTTTGATCGTGCGAGGAGCGTGGGAGGGTGTTCTCCCAGTTTTGAGTTTGAGGAAAGGAGAGGGGTGGCGTCGGAGGCGTGCTTGGTCTGTGCACCGTCGACCACTGAGCGTTGCCGTGGGATTGAGTCCAATCATTATAGGCAGGCTGCGGCGGCCTTTGCATGACGGATCCTGAATGAGGCCGCGCTGTCATTCCCCGGTGAGGACCAGGAAAGTGCGTCTCACTTGGAAAGCCGGACAACGCATACGGCACGTTGCTGTACTGCCACTCTGCGCCGCTGCCATGTGAATATGGATGTGGCGGCCACCCAGCTGGCATTACAGAAGAGACTCCCCACATATGAGGATCCACGCCAGGAAAGTATGCGTTTGCTTCGGAAGGTCCGCTGGTAAAACCTCGCGGTTCTACGCTCGCTGAATACCGAGGACCAGCGTTTTCGTACCCTCTTCCACAGCAGCGCTCTGCTTCATAAAAGTTTGCAGGGAGACCACAAGAAAAGTTGGGCCGCACGGTGAGTCTCCCATTTTCTGATGGCGGGTACCCAACAGCGTGGTTCCCCGGTGGTGCTGCGTTGGTTCTCCATTGCCATCGAGGAATTATGTAGGAGTTCATCTCCTCACTTGCAGGGTGCGACGGGCCACGTTGGAACATCGCAGCGTCGCCAGCACGAAACTGCCTGCGGTCAACGTCGTGTGACGCATGGTAGCGCGGATCGAACTCATCCACAGGAACGAGATTGTTGTTGTAAAGACGCGAGTCATTGTGGTGGATGACGGGACGCGTTGCGGGAGGTGACGTGCAGCGAGGAAGGCGCACCGCAACGCCGCTTTCACGCGCTTTGGACCAGGACGGTCTAGAGGGAGTTGCTTGGCCAGCCTGCTGTTCGTTTTCGCTGTCAAAGACGCAGCCGGCTTCAGATTCTGTTGGAAGCTGCATTGCAATGCGCGCTGGACTTTGTCGGGGTCTGTGTAGCACCTCTGTGCGCGGCTGCCGCAAAGGTGATGCGGATGGAGTTTTGCCCCTCTCCTCTAGTCCTCTCTCTGGAGGGCAAGTGTCCGCTGCATTTGCTGCAGCTGATGTATCCTTTTCAGCTACTGATTTCTCCGCCACTGCTCCCGCTGCTGCATCAGTGCCAGCATCTCCCTTACTAAAGCATACCCCTTTCTCTGACGCTATGTTGCTTTGCAGTGTTGGCGCGCTCCATTTGCTGGCGCTTGCCGCCGCAGCCGGGTCCTTTGCGTTTCCACCCGCATCACTCCTTGGTCGTTTCCGTTCTCTGTTAGTCTGCCGTTTCTGCACACGCTTGTCGTCTGACGCAACGTACGTCATGTCAGCGAGAAGGGCTTTAAAGCTGTCCCGCGCTTCTGCGACAATCTGCGCGGACGCCGCCAGCTCCTCCGTCGTTACGGCAGCGTTTCTCTTCATCTGTCTCTTCTTGTTTTCCTCATCCATACTGTCTGCATCGCGCTGAAGAGGTGGCTTAGCGGCGCAATACTGGTCCAGCGTTGGCGTGTGCAGACTTGCGGACGCCGTAACCGTGGTGGAGGAGGTCACGACTGGCAGTCGCACATCTGCGTCGGCCGTTTCGCCACACACCTGCGCTATAACGTCCAAGCCCACCATGTGCAGCACAAAGCAGCGCGCCTCGATTCTGCGCCTCGCATCCGGCACCCCACCGCCGCGTAAAAACAAGAGTGGGCAGTGAAACGTGAACGATGCCACTTCGATTCTGTCCGCTGCGTCCTCCACAGTTTGACGAGATGCACCACCGGAGCACCACTGCTGCTGCCCCACCGAAGACGGCGACGCTGGAGAAAGCGGCACAAAGCGCTTCAGCAAAACAACATCCGCTGCTAGCGCACCGACAACCAGCAGCACACACCCGCCGCGCACGGCAGACTCTGTCCGAGCCCACTTGGTCCCCTGTCGCTTGGACATGTCGGCGCTTCCAGCTCCCCGCAGGTCTGTTGAGGGAGCGTCACAACGCGGGGAATTGCCTGAGTTGCCGGTCAGCCCGTTGGGCGGGAAGCGCAAAAAAAACACGCGCACAGTGCCGACACCGTTCTCTCCCACGGAACCTTTTAGAGTGGAAACGGCAGTTTTATTGAGCCCATCGATGCTCAGCTCCACCTCGAGTTGCGGCAAGCTGCTTACCTGGGACAGCACCTGGTTGCCGAATGGTGGCAGGCGACTGCACAGCACCTCCAGCCGACGGGCGTCCATGCGACGCAAGGCATCGAACCCGCCACAGCCGCCCCGCAGCAGTGACTTGGCCACCGCGTCATTTACGTGTGGGAGCTGCCGCAGCACCGGTCCATCCGGCCACACCCGGCGCTCCATACAGCGGGCAAGCAAATTTGCACCGCAGACCAAGGAGTACGACGAGGTCCGCGCCCACGCGTACTCTTCCAAAAAGCGGGACACGCGCGGCACCACCGACCACAGCCGCGCTGCATCGTTACGGAGAGACACTTCGGTAATTGGCAGCAGGCCAACGCTAGCTTGGATGAGAAGGTAGACCTTATGCCACTCCTCACGAACCTCACGACCACCACGTCGACCGCTGTGCAGCGGGAAACGAACAGCGCGGTTGATTTCGTTCAGCGGGCCGCGATCGCCCTGCCGCAGCCGCACCGCCACCAACTCCTGGCAGTGACAAAGCAGTCGCAACGCTTCCTGCAGCGTGAACGGCGCAGCACCGGTGCATCCGGCAGTGCTATCGGCCCTCCATTGAGTTTTCGGTTGAGCGGAGCCCTTGTGTTCAGAGAGGTCCGCTGCCGTCACGTCGTCCCCTTCTCCATCTTCCCCCGCTTCGGTGCTTCGGGCAATCGACGCTGATGCGGCAAAGTCGCCAGCAGGCTGCTTCTGCTGCTGCTGGCTGTCGCGGCCTCCCCTACAGTTTACTGCACCTCGTTTTTCCATCTCAGCGTTGAGCACGCACACCGTGTCAAAAAGAACGTACATGCGTGACATGGCCCTGCCGAGCCGTGTTGGCTCAAACACAACGCCCGGTTGTCGAACGTCACCCAGCACGCTGTCGGTGGAAAAGGAGGAGTCGCCGTGTTCGGCTGCATTTTCCACCTCAGAGGGAAACGGGGACCGAACTTCTCCTACGGTCCTTGTTGACTGGCCAATAGAGATGCACCCCTCCTCCACCAACACACGCAGAACCCGCTCCATCAATGCTTCCATGAAGGCCTCTGCGTCGAACTCGTCTTCCTCTGATTTGTTTGCGAACTCCAACCCGTAGTGCCGCGGACACTTGCGCAGGCGGATCCAAAAAAACGTCGTCTTCGCCCACTCCAGCGCGGAGTGGAAGCTCTGAATCGTGCGCAGCGCCACCTCCGCGTTGACGTGCTCGACCATGTGCCGGTGCAGGTGGCTCTCCACACAGGTCAGCGTAACGGCACCGTTGCGGAGGGTGTCGTAGATGTGCGCCTTGCGCTGCGTCGTGAGCACGAGCGCGACACCGTGCGCATCCAAGCCAGGCCGACCAGCACGCCCACACATCTGCATCACCTCCGAGACCGACATGTCCTGGCACTGACCGGTGGCGAAGAACGTGGTGCCCTTGATGACCACCAAATGGGCGGGCAAGTTCACGCCCAGAGCCAAGGTGGTGGTGGAGCAGACCACCACAATATACTGCTCGCGAAACATGCGCTCAACCAAGAGGCGGTCGTCAGTAGTCATGGCGGCATGGTGGAAGCCGACACCGCTGAGCAGGCAGCTGCGCAACTGCTTGTCGGAGGCCTGCTCAGCAAGTCGGTGCGTCTCCTCGGAAGGCTGTAGCTGCGCCAGCTGTCCGCGTCGTGTCGCGGCACCGCGGATGTCCTCGATCAGCTGCAGCGCCGTGCTCGTCACCTCCTTCCGCGACGTGCAGAATACCAACGTCGGCATTCCCTCACTGAACTGCTGAACCAGCGAGAAGAGCTTAAAGGAGAGAAAGCGGTGGAAGGCAAAGGGGTTCGCGGAGTCGTGGGCGTAGCTGACGACTTTGATGGTGAGCGGCACCGGGCGATCCGCAGCGGAAAAGGCGAAGGTCATTTCTGGGCTCACTTCCAGCCACTCTGCCATGTCGCCAATGTTCGGAAGAGTCCCGCTGATCGCAACGATTCGCGTCGCGGCGCAATTCACGGCGTCGTGCGCGGTGGCGGCTTGGATGGCCTTGACGCGGCTCACAATCGCCTCCATGGCAGCCCCCCGTTCCTCCTGCACCGTGTGCACCTCATCTAACAGGAGCAGCCCTACCGAGTTGACGATGGCCATCACCTCCTTCTCCTTCCACCGACGCGTGATGCTGTCCCACCGCTCGGGGGTAGTGACGAGAATGTTTGCCTGAGACACGGTCGACATGTCCTCTGCGGTTGACGTGGGCGGCTCGGCGGTACTACTGTCGTCGGAGGCGCCTTTGTGCCGCATTTCGCGTTGCTGCATCTGGTCACCCGTTTCGATGACAACAGAGAGCGAGGGAAACTGCGTGCGCCAGTGCTCGTACTTTTCGTTTGCGAGCGCCTTGATGGGGCAGATGTACACCGCCTTGTGCTTTGGGTTTCTGTGGGCGCGTTCGTCCTGTGCCGCCACGTTGCAATCAGCTGCAGCGCTGCTGAGAAGGCGATGGCGAAACAGTCGCAGCATGGCCACCTCCAGCAGCGCCGTCTTGCCGCTCCCGGTGGGGGCCGCGATGAGGCAGTTGCGGTCATTTGTGAAGAGTGCGGGAATCACAGCCTCCTGCACCTTGTTGAAATTCTGGTAGGGAAGATAGCGCAGCAACGGCCCGAGAGACTGCGCCGCTCGTGATGACATGTAAGACGTGCAAACGCGTAGGGGTGTGTGTTGTGTGAGTCGTCGTAGACAACCCCAACAGTGCACCGGAGATTGGGTGTCACAATGGGCAGCTGTGCCAGGAGCTGATTTGCGCAGCCGGCAATAGAAGAGTGAAAAAATGAAAGGCGTCTTTCACAGTAATGGAAAGCCAATAAAACCCCAAACCACATGAAGAAGAAAGAAGGTCACAGTGAAAGTCATAGAAAACGGTCGGCCACTACCACGGCAGGTTGCCGTAAGAGACACGCTCTTCATTTGTGTGTTATGTAGCAAACACCCATTGAATTGCCACTAATACCGGAGTCACAATACACGTTGCACCTTTTACCCGTGGCTCGCCCCACACATACCGTGCAACGCACGAACGCCCTCCATCGAAAACGGCGAGATGAGCAACATATTTTTGTCTTCCTTGGTTAGACTTCACAACACAGGTTATTTTTTCATAGATTTTTGCAGGACTGCAAAGGAGCACAAGGACACGCGCTTGCGAGTGCGATAGAACTAGACGAGAGAAAAAAAAAAATAAGAAGAATTCGGGTAGAAGAACAAAACTTTTAGAACAGTGGAAAGAAATAGAAGATATACGACTCCGTTCGTGAGGACACCTTCAAGTGCCGACTGCCGTACCAGTTCGTCGTACAGTAAATAAACGAACAAAAAAGGTCAGCAGCTCAAGTTCGCTCGCTGATCTGTCCTTCTGCCTCGCTTCCCACCTCATCACCTCTCGACGTCAAGTGTGGTGTGCGTTGGGAGACCCCATCAATGGAAACAAAAAGGGCGGGAAATGCCTTCACGAAAGGAGAAGCAGGACGAGCGGAAGGCCGAACAGAAAAAGAGAGAAAAAAAAATCAACGCAAAAAAATCAGGTAGATAAGTTCGGAAGAGACAGAAAGCAAAGAAAAACGTTGTTACTACACCGGTGGTTTTGAATCAGTGCGTTCGCTTGCACGTATGTATGTACATGAGGCTACCTCACCGCATCTCCTCATCAGGGAAGAACACGACGGAGCATCCACGGGCGTCGTCGTAGTTCTGCGTGGAGGAGAACACTGTCAGCATCGATCCCACCAGCACGCCCTTCTGCCCTTTCACGCCTGCTTCGAGCAGCGGTCGCAGCCGGTTGAAGCGCAGATTCTCCAAGATGGCCATGCCGTGTCGCAGCATCGCACCGTGGCAGTGGTTCACCAGCGGCATCACATCCGTCGGGTCCACAGACGGCGTGTCGATGCCGATCAGCAAGAGGTGGGGGAAGACGCGGTGCAGGAACTCAATCGTCTCGGGGTACAGAAACGCGTAAGGGTTGCGGTTGTTGGTTTTGCGCGGCGGCAGCGGCGTGCTCGAGAGGAAAGAGCCCTGCAGCTGCTGTGTCGCATCCTTCTCCAACAGTACGTTGAGCGACTGAGCCAAGAAAGAGGACTCGGCGATGCGGCTGTCGGGTCCACGCTGTGTCACGAGCAGCAGACGCCACAGTGGCTTCGATTTATCTCGGAAGGCGACGGGCAGCCTCGCACAGGCCTGCTCTATCATCTCTACTGTGATCGCGAGCGGCTCGGCGTCGGGCAACGGGTAGAGCAAGTCGGTGGAGACGTCCAGCACCACGGCATCGCCGCTATAGTGCGCGTCGTCGAAGTTGCGGTGCGACAGACTGCGACAGAAATGGTGAGGTCCGTCGGCGTGGGTGCCCACCTGCGAGTTTGTGATGGTCAGCACGCGATTCGCAACAAAACATGGGCCCTCGGGCTTGCTCGATAAGTTTTGGTACTGCGAAACCGGCAGCACCGACGGGTACCGTCGACGGAGGTAGCGGATGAAGGCAACGAAAGCGAAAAAACACAGCACCAGGCGTGTCGCCGTGCTGATACTGTGGCGCGCCAGCCGCCGTCGAGAGAATTTGAGGTAACGGTGACGATTAAAGGTGAGCAGCAGCGCGATGAGGGCGCCGAAGCCCGCACTGACGGTGGCCGTGGTTGTGATGGAGGGCAGCTGCACGAGTTTTGTGAGAATGTCGCTCGTCCGAAGTACCTGGAAAGGAGTCAGGTGAGGTAGCACGTGTTGTGGATCCGCAGGAGAGAGAGAGATGTCCACGCCATTGGACAGGTGCACGGGAGCAGACTGCTTCGCCTCCCGCTTCCACTCCTGCACCTTGCGATTCGCTTCGTTCAACTCGCAAAACTCGCTGTTCATTGTTCGTGGCGGGTAAGCGTGGTTTCGTCTTAAAACAAAACAATACAGGGGAGTGAGAAAAGGGATAAGATGTATTGGGTACTACGAAACGTGTGGGTGTGTCTGTGTGTGTACGGGAATGTGCGCTAAGGATATGTTGATGTGATGTGGCTGTGCCTAGGAGGAAAAAGGGAAAAGAAAAGAGGCTAGATGAAACAGTGTCGTTTTGGTTGCGTTGTATGCAGTAAGTTTCGCTCGTTTCGTGTGTGCGAACCTGTTGATGATTTGTTTGCCGAAGAGCTTCGTCGTGAACAGAACCTGTGAGAAAGTAATAAATTCAAAGAAAAGAGAAGAAAACAAAAAAAATGTACGGAGTAACTAGCAGACGCATCATCAAAGATGTAGCTTTTCCTTCTCGAATAGTTTGTCTACAGCGGATCAAATTTCAGTATCGATGGCGTCATTTCCACATCGCTATCGCACTTGGTTGCATTCGTCCTTCCCGTGTTCACCACGTCAGTATACTTGTAGTCGGATAGAGCTTGGTGTTTGGTACTGCTGTTTTTTGTTTCTTTTCAAACAGGCAAGAAAAAGTGAAAGAATCAAAAAAAGCTTTACAAGCCGAAGTCCCCTTTCCTTTCCCTATGGAGTCCATTGAATGCTGCTGTGCTGCTGAAGCACGTGAAACGCCTTGGACACCATCCCCTGGTGCGCGGCGGTTTCAATGAAATCGCGCACACCCCGCTCCGAGCAGGAGGCGCCGACGTCGTGCATGGTGACCAGCACTCGCTCCGCCGCCTCGAACTTGCAATGCCGACTCGCCGCAAGGACGAGGTCGTAGGTGGAAGGGGCGAGTGCCAGGCCGGCGGTGTGGGCACGCTCCACCCAGAAGAGCGCACTCGCCCACTGCCCCGCGTGGATGTTCGCCTCAACGCACAGCGTCGCCTCGGCGGTGGTCATGGCCGCCCGTTGATTGCTGAGATAGATAGCCATGGACTTGGCCGCCGTCGACCACTGCCCTTGGCGCGCGACGTGGGTGGCAATGCCGGGGACCACGGAGAAGCACTTGCGTCGCAGCATGATGGAGAGGAACTGAACCGCTAAGAGCCACGAGGCGTGATTCTCGGTGATGGTGCGCGCCAGCACGCTCGCGTCCCATTCCGTTTGCAACGGCACCTTCTGTAGAAGCTGCCCCAACTCGGTCGACGTGCCGTTGCACAGCGCATCCATTGACGGGCACGAACGCACACGCGTTTTCGCTGGAAAGGGCAGCGACTGGAGCGAGTTGGTAAGCCTGTCCGTGGAGAGAAGAGTCGGCTTCGGCTGCTCGTTTGTCACCGTTGCTGCCGTCGGCGTCAATGAATACTCCGTGAGAAGCTTCAGCAGCGTGTTCATGTTCATCGCGGAAGGCCGCAGACGATACAGATACACTGCCACGTCACCAACCTCATCGCTCTTCGGCAACGCTAGATTCGTGCTCCCATTCTTTGAGCTCGCCTGTAGCTCCTTCAAATGCGTTCGAACCAGCTCACGACCTTGTGCAAAGCCCAGGCACTTTAGAAACACATCCGGGGCTGACTCTGCGTCGTTCTCGAACATGTCGTCCACGTACTTCTCCGCGCTTGCCGAGTCGTGCGCGACCACGAGGGGGATGATGATGTGGTACAAGTAGTGAAGACGACTCGGCGTCTCAGGGGTCACCATGCCCGTCTCCCGCAGCAGCGACGAGGCGGCCAAGACACGGTGAAATGCTCCTTGAGCGCCGTGCTGGCGGCTGCGCTGCACAGCCATGTAGGCGTCGTACAGCTCAATTGCCTTGGTGTAGTCGTAGCGTGCGGTCGTGGTGAGGCAGCACGCGTACACCGTCGGCGTCCACCGTGACTTAAACGGTTCCATCACTTGGCACAGTTCTAAGCTCAGCTGCTCGTCGTGTCGGCAGGTGTGAAACAGCGCGACTAAAATCTCATCGGACAACAACACATCCTCGCCAAAACGAAAGTAATACACCAACGCCGCGTCCGAGTGGGCGGTGTTTAGCAGCGTTCGAATGGCGCATTCGATGTTGTGCTGATTCAAATAGCGCAGCTCCTCCTGTGCTTGCTCAATGCCGTAGCTGACGTGGATAACGGACTCCCATAGACCCTCGCGCTCCATCTTAGAAAAAAGTGTCTGCACCTCCGGCACGGTGTAGCGCGCGATACACTCCTTCACATCCTCTTCGGAGGCGGTGGCCAGCCAGGAAACGTGACGCTGACGCTTGCGGGGGTTGTAGTGGCGATGCGGCACCTGCGGCACCTGGTACACAAGCGGGGTCTCACGAAACTGCGCGTGCACGCTCTCCTTTATCAGCATCGACTCATCCTCTCCGTCGCCGGGATGGGCGAGTTCCTCCACGCGCGGGCGGTCACGGTACGTTGGAGGGGAACTACGGGAGGTGGAAGAGGGGCCAAACCCCCGCGGAGACGCGCCGGAGCAGTCTTGCAGCGACAGCAGTCGACGCTCCTCGGCCTGCAAATCGAAGCCTTTTAGCAAAAGCGTGGGGGTACCACCATGGGCGTCTGCGGCCCTCGATGCTCGTCGCGCGGCCTCTTTCGCATCGCTCGTGATGAGGTGGACAGTGGCGTAAACACCGCCTTCAACGATGTCTGCTCGCTTCGCCCACAAGAGAGCCGTCGTTGACGCAAGAAGAAAAAGAATGTCGTCAACGCCAAAGAACGGCATTTCCACATCAGTTTTATTTTTGCTATGGGTTGAACAGAGCTGGTGTGGTTGTCATACACCGTTCTCCGTCGTCCGCACCCTGTGGCCAAAAGAGACAGGAGGGGGAAAGTAGAAGTAAAGAAAGTGGAGAATGGTCGATGAGGACGGAAAAGGCCAGAGTAAGAAAAGAGAAGAGCAAGGGTAGTGGAGAACAAGTGAGGTAAATCACGTCAGAGAGGACGAGCGAGCGAAGGGCTCGAGAAACCACTAACATAAAAACAACGCGCTCATGGCATATGCATAGGAAGAGTAAGCGATGTCAACGGCAGAAGAGCTATCCCACAGCGTAGCCGAAGACACGACGGGACACACGCGTGTCAGCAGCAGTTGCATTTGAAGCTGTTCACCGCCAAAACCGAACACGCATCAACGACGTTTCCTCATTTATTCTCAATTCAAAGAGCGATGTTTCATTTCATTGTACACAAGTCTGAATGCTACACAAAAAAAGTGCATCGTTGAAGAAAGGCGGTTGGGGAAAGGTGGGAAAGCGAGATCCGCACCGTGAACCGAGGTAAAACAAAAAACGGTAAGCTCTAGATAATAACGAAACGACAGGCCGGTTGCGAAACACAAAACAAACGGGACAAGCAAAAACGGTACCTTCCATCGGTGGCGCCAACAGCAGAGAAAGGGAGAGGGAGAGAGAGCGAGCGAGAGTAACAGAGAAAACAACGCGCCTGCGGCGAATACGAAATAACCGCACAAGTCCAAAATGGACCCCTTGGAAACAGCAAGAAAAGAAACGAGGAAAAAGGCAGTCTAATGGTACAAACAGAGAAAACAAAACACAAAAGGGAAAGGGGGAGGGGGAGGGGGAGACACGCAGCTGTTGTCTACAACAACGTTCTCAACTCTAAGAACAACAGAAGAGCAAAGCAACACTGATCAGAAGTAGGAAGGGAGAAAGAAACAGGGCTGCGCGTGAACGTTCTCGCTTTATCTCACCGCGTGTGGCACCTCAATCATGCGCACTATTCCGACATGTCCACCGAACGTTGCCTGCGGATACGACGGCCGCGCCGCGTTCCACTGAGGCACCTCGCCATCGTCTAGTTGCTTGCCGCGTGCGTCGTGCACCGTCAGCCTTGCATGCCCGCTGCTAGGCTGCACCGTCACGCGCAGGCACAACACACTCCCCGTCATCGAGGCCGGCACGATCCACAGGTGTGACAGGTCGTTCGTGCTGCCCTGTTCCCATGCGTCAATCGTGTTGCCCACCCCTACGCCAAGACCCACCCAATCGCCCGGGTCCTCCACGCGGATCGCCCACTGGATGTAGCGCGGTGAGCGCTTTTTCAAATTGGAAGCGTCGAAGGTGCTGAGTAGTTCATGCAGGGGGAAGTCAAAGAGAGAGGTGCCGGTGCTGTTCGGCACGGACACGGCATCCGTCACGTACCGGGACGGCGGCCCGACTCCGTTGGCGCTGCGCCGCTGCGTGAGCGACGAGCTCGACAGCCGGCTCGACTCGTCACGCAGGGCTGCCGCGCCGGACGGGGACGGCGGCAAGGCGGTGTCGAAGGGGACAACGACGGCGGAGTTGCGCAGCGGCGTCATGCGCGGTTGCTGGTTCGCGCTGGCCGAGCGTGATTGTCGCTGCGCAAAGCCACCGGACGAACCTTGAGAGGCGGAGTACGCGGACCGACGACGTGGTCCGCCGCCGGCGGCGATGACGGTGTCGTCCACCGGGCGAGGGTTGCGATACATCGCAGACGTCTGGTGACTATGGTAGGGTGAGTTTACATGAGACGTGCTCCGTGGACGGCTGCGACTGCCACCTCCGCCCACGCCAGCACTCGCAGACAGCTCCAAGACCTCCGCCATGATCCCCTCCAAGTTTGGCACGAGGCCCGCGCTCATGGGAGGCAACTGCAGCGAGTTGCGGGTGAAACGGGAGGGGAGGTCTGTGGCGGCGCTCAAGCCCTCCGCGATCGTCGCGATCTGCATCGAGAAGAGTGGACGAGAAGGGTCCGCGCGCAGGTGGTCCGAGGCAGCTTTTAGCAGCTGCACCTTCTCATCTGTTATGAGTATCTCTCGTGCGACGTCTGTCTGCGTGTAGGCAAACTCCGCGTCGCAGGCCTCCGTGTACTCCTTCTTCTTAGCCTCCAGCGCCTCAATCAGCAGGTCGAACTGGTTGCGGATGGCGGCCTTTTTGTTCTCGCACAGCTCCCGCACGCGTTGGTGCTGCTCCACCCATCGCCGCGCCGACTGCTGCGCCTCGTCGAGCTGCGCCGACACCTTCGTGTGAATTGTCTGCCGCGAGTCCGTGTTGCCCAAGACGTCAGGAATGACGACGAAGTTTGACATGGGAATTCCGTTCCGCGACGCACAGAGCGCGCAGACGAGTTCTTTCGAATAAGGGTCAAAGAGCTGCAACTCGCGCTTGTGAATCGGACACTGCGGCTCCGACTGCGGGGACGAGTAAGGCACCCAGTGCACGTTCAGCGAAGCGATCGGCAAGACGTAGTGCTCCGGGTCCTTGAAGAGAATGGCAGAGTTGCTCAGCATGAAGCAGCTGTTGGCATCCGTGCTGCTCTCCAGCAGGCGTCGGGCGTCCAGCTCTGTTTCCGCAAACAGCATGTTGCCGGGCGCGGCCTCGTATAGAATAATAGGAGTGTCCACGGCGCCCTCCACCGTCTCATCGGCCGTCAGCCCCGTCGGCTGCTCGCCATCCGAGTCACGCAGACGCAACTGAGGGTAGAAGAACGGGTTCGGCATGGTGCCTTTGGTGGCGACGTAGATGGAGTTGTAGTTGCGCAGCCCGGTGACGGCGGCCCGATTCGCTTTGAAGGGGCGAATGCGGTTGATCTTCTTTACCTTACCGTAGTACTGCTGCGGACACAACATCGAGAGGAAGTCCTCGGCGATGCGGTTGCGCGATGTCGACGTCAGGGCTTGCGGTGAAAAAGCAGTCTCATGTAGCTGGGCACCGTAGCGTCCTTCAGCACCGTCCACATCGTCCTCGCCGCGTCTCCCCTGCGCTGTCAGCTGCCGAGGTGACATGCGACGAGCAGCGTCGTCGGCCGTGACGCCGGATGCGGCGTCGCTTTCCGCGGCCGCGCTCACACGGTACGACTGCTGCGAGGACGTCTCACTCGAGCGCGACCGGTGGTGGCGGTGGTGGTGCTTGCGTCTCTCTTTCCTGCTTTCAACGTCTGCGGCGGAGGTGGCGGCACCGTTGTGGCCGCTGCTGCTGTGATGACCTCGCTTGTTCTTTTTCTCCTGCGCCTCCTCTTTTGACTCACTGACGGGCTTTGACCGGTGCGAGCTCTGAAGCGATGCGGCGGACGATGCTGGGGCCTCTCTGCCCTTCCGCGCCGGTGGAAGGGCGGTGGCCTCGTCGGTGTCTTGTTTGACTGAAAACGACGAGGCGGACGAGGAGGATGCGGAGGAGCCCTCCGAGCGCCCCTTCCGCGCTGACGGGTGACGCGGGGCCTCACGCGGCGCTTGAGGCGGCGACAAGAGCGATCCCTCATCGAAGTGGATGTCATCGCCATCGGACGCGTTCGTGCCGCCCTCCTCCTCCACGAAGAGCAACTCCTGCTGCGACCCGTTGCGGCCAGAGACGACATTGGGGTGCGGCACGTGGAGGGAGGAGTTCGTGTCCGGGTTGGACGGCGTGGCTTCGGGCGGGGTGGCCTTCACCGTGGTCGGCGCTGGACGGACAGGGGTGGGCCGAGGCAGATTTTCTGTCGCTTGCGAAGACGGCGGAGGGGGGCCGACGGAGAAGCTATTGTTCTGCGGCATGACCTGTGAGTTGCTCGGCGACGGTGCGCCTGAGCTCGGCGCCTGAATCATCGGCGGCGGCGACCGGTTCGGCACCATCGACTTGATCAGCATCTTCTTAGGCGGTGTCATTGAAGGTGGGGTAGGGCTCAGCATGCGGCCCGGGGGTGATTTGGTGAACACCTTCACCGGCGAGCCTGCCGGTGGGGCTCGCACCATCACCTTTACGCCGTTCGGAAGAATGCGGAAGACGGGCGGGTTCGTTGGCGAGATGGCGCGCGACGGGATCAGCGAGGAGTTGCCCGAGAGCAGGCGCGCGTTCTCTGGCGATATCGGCCGTGAGCCCGGCGGCGGAGGACCGTGGATCACCTTTACCCCAGACGGTGGGGACATCGTCGTGGGGGTCTTGGACATCATACCCGGCGGGGGCGACGCATTGTTGCGGGGCGGGGCCATCTTCGGTCCCAGAACGGAAGGGGAGTTTGGACGCACCGCGCCTGGCGGAGGCGGCCCGGGGATCATTTTCGCCCCTGGCGGCGGCGCTCCATACACGACCTTTGCACCCGGCGGAGGGGAGCCTTGTATGATTTTCGATCCCGGCGGCGGCGCGCCTAGCACCACCTTCGCACCGCGCGGGGGGGACCCGCTGATCAGCTTTGCACCGGGGGGCGGGTGCGTCATCACCTTCATGCCTGGCGGGGTCGTCCCGTTGCCGCCCGGGCCCACAGGCATCCCCGGCCCGGGGCGCGGAGGACTGACAGCCCCTGTGCCGCTCGACATGACCCGCATCACCTCACCAGGCGGCGGTCCCTTAATCACCTTCATTCCCGGTGGAGGCGGACCTTTCATGATCACGCCGGGGGGCATCTTGCCGGGCGGCCCCCGGGGCGGAGGCACCGACTTAGGGCCCACCGCCACCTTTGGCGGCGCAGGCGCGCCTTGGGAGCTGTCATCTCCGCCATGCGTATTCGCCTCCGCGTCACCGTCGTCTTTGCTACCTTTGCGGGGCGGCAGGTGGATGCCTTTGGGGTTGAGGTGGCTGATGCCGCTCTTAATGTTTTTCAGCATCGCGATAAGGAATGTGGTTGTCTAGAACGGATGAACAGAGACTGCCGGCTTCAACAGGCTCGCAAACGCACCACCCAAACGCGCAGGTGGAAGAACAAAAAAAGAGAACGAAAGAAATAATGTCAACTGTAATTTGTTGGGTGAGCTCACGACGGCGGCAGCCAGAGGGGAGAGGAGAAAGGATATAGGCGTTCTCTTCACACGCAGGACAAGGGCTGGAATTTCACTGCGGGAAATGACTTGTACAAAGCAAGGAAAGTCGGAAACACGACCTCAACGCTGCTCCACGTGTGTAGTTCACGATCAGACACCTTCGCCGCAGCAATACCAGCAGAGGAAAAGGTGAGCCTTGCGGGTCTAATGCGCAACAGCAAGAAATATAACTATGTCTGTGAGCCCGATCAACAATCAATCAGCACCAAAAAAAAAAACGCAGAATCCAAAACAAAGAAATAAGAAGCAGCAAGGACTTCAAACTCCACTCGCTACTTCAGAAACCAAAGAGCACCTTTTTTCGCTGCTTGGGGGGTGCTCCATATATTTGGGGGTTGTTGTTGTTTGCAGAGGCGAGAAACGAGAAGAGGCGAAAGGAAATAGGAAGGGAGATTGAAGGAGAACTGGACTCCACGCTATGTCTTCCTCAATAGAAAGAAAAGAAAGCAGCTACTACATGGCCGACAGTAAGATTATCATGTTTGCTACCGTGTTGGTCCAGTTCTCCATTGAGGCGCTAAAGCGGAGATGGCATCGTTCGTTCTCCCTTGCTTTCCACACGGCACCGACGAGATCTGCATTCGCCTTTCGTGCCGAACAGAAATAAGTGTTTGTACTTTCCGTATATTAGCAAAAAAAAAAAATAAGCTTGCGCAATGTAAAGAGAAGGGACAAAATAAATCCCACAAGGGATTTCATTCCTGGCAACGACAGCGGAAGCGCATCGCGCTGGTATTTTTTCGGGGCTTCGCTACAATACACAAACACCGTCAGCACCAACAACAGCAACATGCGGTAGTTCTCACGTGGTCTGAGGTACATCGTCTACCACAACCACCACCACACCGTGAAAAGGAAAAAGATTCAACTGTGACAATGTACTGCGCGTCTAAAACCCGCACACACAGTCAACATGTGTGGAAAACGTTTTGAAAGGACAGCAATAACGCTCGGTGATTTTCCTCTTATCCGTCATCGTCGTCGTCCAACAGCGGCTCTTCCTCAAAGGAGTTAATGCCGTCGATACGTGCCATGTGCTCGTTAAAAAGGCTTTGTGTTGTCGAGGCCGTTTTGGCTTGGTTGATGGTCTCTGCCATGCGGCCCATGGAGGCAATGTGCTCTGTGAGAGGCGTCTGGCGCTGCACTGCAAACGCGCGCGCCGACTCCGTCCACGCGCAGTGATCGGTGAGGTGGGCTAAGTGGCTCTCATTCAAGTTCTCCTCCGCCGCGGCGCCGACAAGCAGCGGCATGGTGCGGCGCCCGTTGACGCGCATGAACTCCTCTTTTACGAATGCCAAGTCCAACTTCTCCTTCGTGACTCGCGTGGCGGCCCAGAGCGTGCCGTGGCTGCGCATGATCTGATGGAACATCGACGTCTGCGCCAGCCGCTTTGCATATATTTCGTTCATGATAAAAGAATATACGGTACACAATGGAGTTGAGGTGCTCTAATTGTTTTCAAAGCAACACTGAAGAAGAAGTCGCGGTAGGCCCGCCGACGGTGACGCTTCGCGTGCTGTGGTTCCAGTGGGTGAAAAAACAGACGGTTACGCAGCTACAGTCAACCACCGAGTACATAGGAGCCCCTCAAAAGAGAAAGAATGAAGGGAAGGAAGGAGAAATAAAAAACAAGACGATGAAGCAGAGGGAAATAGAAAGTGCATACAAACCCACAGATCGGTAGCAATTTCATCATCTCAATGGGCAATACAATAGCGTTCTCTGCAACGCGTAAGAAGCGGTTTAGGGCTCTTGCGGGGACACCAAACTGTCTGTTCGGCCTTTAAAGCAGCCTCGGAGTCATACCTATAAAAAAAAGCACATGGTAGATCTCATCATTTAGAATAAAATACCCTAGCGAAGTGAAGCAGTATTGTCTTCGGGGGGAGCAGAAAACAATAGTAATGTGACTACAAAGAGAAGAAAAACAAACCACTTCCGATGCATCGTACAACACTGACGCAACGGAAACAGCAGCACATCACCATGAAGCGCGAAGGGAGCCGATATCCTTTTCATCGGTTCCCAATGTATTCCACATCATTTCCTTTCTACCTGACTCACTTTCTTACACCATCAGAGAGGTCTGGCGAAGGGATTCCGAGATTGTCGAGCTTTTTCACTCCAACGTACGCAAACCCGGCAGCGCGCAACTCCTCCTCCGTCGCGTGCTCATCGCGCGCGTAATCCGGCACAGGCGATACGTTCGTGGTCGACGATATCTTCAGCGGGTCGTCCTTCATGTAGATGAGCGTGCGGGTCTCCCAGTAGAAAATCGCTACAAAAAACAACCCTGACACCTTGAAGATGGTCCAACTCCAGTCTCGATTGTAACCGAAGACATCGAAGAAGGGCACCTTTTCGCGCGACTCAAAGCGCGAGTCTTGCCAGTGCGGCCTCTCCGGATCCACGTGACGCAAATCATTCGGGTCGTAGAGGCGTGGGTCGACCATGTGCTTCCCGGTGGAGGCTGTGTCGACGTACGGCTTCGGCGGTAGCGGGGTGCGTGGCGTGCGACGTATGAAGCGGACAAACCACTTCATTGCGAGTGCTGAATCCCAGACAGCTCAAAGAGTACTCACACGGCTAGGAAGAAAAAGGGTCTTATACCTAGAGAGCAGGACAGATAACGAGAGGAGTTTGAAAGAGAACAGCGGAGAAAAGGAAGAGAAAGAAGATTGGTTCGCCGATGAGAAGCAACAAAAGGGCAATAGATTCGCTTCTGTTTTCAAGATAAAAGCTGTTACGTCGATAGGACCCCACGATGACAGTGGAGTCCCCTTCCATCAAGTTGTTGCCAGAGAAAGTGTCTCCGCTGCCCGTGTGTGACAGAGCAATTAAAGACTCACGCTGATAAATCGCTTAACCGGCGGCAATACAGTAGTCCCGCCCCCTCCAGTCGCTTCACACCTCCCTGCCGTAAAAGCGTTCCACATAAAAACAGCAAATGGGTCAATTCCTTCTAGGTTGATCGATGTATCGCAACTCAACTGACCACTGTGGCAGAGTAATAACACGCTCCATTTTGTCTTGAAGGAATCTCACCGCAAGAAACCCCCCAAACGTCAATCTGCTACTCCACGTGGTGGCTCGCACACTTCTGCTCCCTCTCCCCCGCACGCCGGTAGCTCTCGTCGAACAGCGCATGGCGTTGCAACCCACACGCAACAACACCTGGCTGCTCCCTAGATCCACGCCATCCACCAAATGTACATCTGGGAAAGGTTGTTCAAGTCCGACGAGTGGTGGATCAGCTTCGCTACCTGGCTTTCGACGTTCAAGGAAAGCGTGTCCCGCTGCGGGGGGACGGAGTAGAGGTCAAGGAAGCCGTCCAGCCGTCGCGCCACCCGCTCCATCAGCTGTTTCGGTCCATCAAACGAGTTAGACCGGCTGCTCTGTCGTCGCCACTCCACCAGCGGCTCGTGCAGCAGCGTCTCCACAATTGACATGACGGCACTTTTGTTCTTCATCTCGCATCGAAGGGCGACTTCGCACGCTGCCTGAAAGGGGCCGTAGGCGCCGAGAACGCCCATCACATCCGTTAAGTTCTGTGTCAATCGGAAGCGCACCTGCTCCGGAACCTCCAGCTTCTCCCCCTTGTCGAACATGCAGGCGAAGTCCACGTGCATCAGCTCCCCTCTCTCCATGTCGATCATCAAGTTCTCTGCGTGTCGGTCGCCGAGGCCGACGATGTGGCCGGCGATGCTCCACAGCGCCGTGGACTGGGTGAAGAGGTTACGCGCTTCGTACCAGCTTTGGTTGCTCGCAAAGGTGCGGTCCAGCCATTGGTGCATCACCGCCGGCGCCTCCGGCAGAATGTACTTGGTGAACAGATCCATCTTGCTCAGCTTCTTTTCGTCCACCAGTGCCAGCCACTTTTTGACGGATGAGATGTGCACCCCGCTGCGGTCCAGCGAGTAGCACTCCATCGCCACCTTCGCCAACGTGGTGGTGTCCTTCATCCACTCGATCACAGCACAATCGTCGCTGAGGGCGGTGACGGAGTAGCGCCGCAGCGAGAAGCGCTTCCGCTTCGCCTCGGGGTCGGAGAGGAAGAAGGAGTTCATCAGCGTGGCCACCTCCATCATTCGAATATCCTTGCGCGGCTCGTCTTTCGCCTTGCAAAGAAACGACATCTCCCGCCCTTCGTTTGTCGCCACCCATATGCGCTTCGGCTTCTGCAGAGAGCGCATCACCAAGACGCGATCTTCGAAGTGGTGGAAGCACGGCGAGGTGGGGAAGACGCCGCCCGGTTCGTCGGCGGTGATGTTCGGCGTGAGGGTCGACAACACGGGTAGAATAAAGCTTGCGTCGGGCAGCATTGGGTTGATCTTTTGCACCGGGCTAAGTAATGTGAGGCCGCGTTCCTTCGGAAAGAGACTGGCGGAGCAGTTGCAGATGGTGAGCAGGGTGTCACAGATGATCTTTGCGTACCGTAGCACGCGCTCATTGCGCGGGTTGTCGGCAAAGGGTCGGATGAGTTGTGTCTCCACAATTTCCTTCGGACCTTCTTTGCTAAGCGCCATAGGCAGCACGAGCCACAGACACTGCTGGGGGAAGCAATTCAGGAGGTGCACCAGCACGTCCGTCAACACTGTGCGAACGGAGGGGACACGGTGCGCCAGGCGCGACAGAAGTTGCGGCAGCGCCATCATCACCACACCAGGCGGTATGGTGGCGCCGACGGTGCTCAAGATGAAAGTGCGCACTTTGGTGTTCATCTCCTCAAGAAGACTCGCGGCGCTCCCATCGAGCTTGCCCGCGGTGGTGCTCATCAAAGTCCCCAGGAAAGCCGCAGTGTCGAGCCACAAGGTCAGCAGGCGCGGCAGAGACACGGACGCCTTTTCCGTTCCACGTAGCAGAGCCTCGCCAAAGTGCGCGATGGCGTGCACGGCGTACTTCCGAATGGACTCCACCGTTTCTTTCTGCTGCATGAGGACCGCGCTGTACAGGGCTGCGGCGGACGCGCTGGCAGTGGTCCCTGCACTTGCCGTGGCAGGTCCAACGCCCGCTCCTGCTCCACCACTGACAGCCGCGGCGGTCGAGGAGTTCGTGGTCAGCTGCGCCGCCGCGCTTTCACTGGCGTTCATCGCGAGCGTGTGCAGGTGATCGTAGAAGACCGCCATGTGGTAGTGGACCAACTCGGAGCGTCTGTCCAGTTCGCGCGCCTTGTCGTACTCCGCAAAGACGCGCTCCGGCCGTTCGGAACCAGTTTCCACGAGCCAGTTCGTTAACAGCATCTGCACCTGGGCGCGCGTGGCAGCCGGGATACGCGGGTCTGCGACGCACTCCCGTGCAAATTCCATCGCGGGTGTGGCCGACTGCGTGTCGTGCAGAAGGTGGGCGACCAGTGTGTAGTAGTTGGTGTGCACGATGTGCTCCGGGCACTCGTAGGCTGCCTGACGAGCCGCCGTGAGGGCCGCCTCGCCAAGACCCGCGTTGCGGAGCAGCTCCGACTGCTTCAGCCACGTCTCCGCCACCTTCTGCGGTGCACCGAGCTCGCGGTAGACCATGCGATGCAGTGACAGCAGCGGCTCGCGGGCGCTGATCGTGTCCTCCACGTACGACTCCCGCAGTGAGAGGAGGGAAATGATCTCTTCCTTCACCGCGCTGGGCAAGAGAGCAGCAGAGATGCGACTTGGTGTCGACCGGCCGCCAGCGCCGCACGGTCCACGATTGCTGTGGGGGCCCTTTCCGTCGCCGTCTTCGTCTAGAACGGAGATGCTCGTGCACAGCAGGTCCGACACCGCGTCCACGTCGCCCAGGGCGTGCAGCAGCAGTGTGAAGGTGTAATCGTGCGTGGCGACGTCCTCCTGGCGCGGCGTGCGCACCATCGGCACAATCTTCAGCCGCTCCACATCTGTCACGGCGCGCGCACGCGGCAACGCACAGCGGCCCGTGAGCTCGCGCTGGAGCTGGGCAGCCGCCATGGCGAGACTCACCGATGCGCCACTCCTCAAAAGGTTCGACGCAGTCAGCTCATCCGGCAGCAGGCTATCCCACTGTCCCAGCCTCCACGCGGCCTCGTTTGCGTAGGCCAGCACGTGGCCCCGAAGCTCTGCGGCGTCCATCTGCGCAGCCCCATCGACACCCGCGTCCAGCTGCGAGAACGTGGTGCTGCCTCTCAACCCAGCAGGGCCGCCATACACCGGCTGCGTGGCGAGTAGTGTGCCACAAAGCGGGGACGCCAACAACGACGCCGCGTAGCGCGAGGTCATATACAGCTCGCCCAACTCGTTCATGCAGTGCAACGCGGTGAGCTGATGTTGGCCGCTGGTAGGGTGGTGCTGCAGGACAAGCTCGGAGCTGCGCATCGCAGCAAGCCAGTCGCCATTGTTCTCGTACGAAAACGCGGTGTCCTCTAACGACAGCCCGGGAGAGGCGCGGTGGATGGCGCGAGACGACTCGCGGTCGCCAAGCGCGGCAAAGATGCGTTGGAGCGGCACCGTTTGAGTCACAGTGGACAAGTCGGGAATGCGACGCTGCCCTTCTACGCTGCGCAGTGCACGCACATAGCTGCCGATCTTCAGTGCCGCCCGACACCGCAGTGTCCACGGAATGCGACGGAGAAACACCGCATACCGCTCCGACAACTGAATGCACGCACTCTCGGCTTGCTCCTGCTGATCAAAAACACACGGAATGCGACCGCGGTTGCGCAGCATCGACCAACGCAGCTGCTCCACATCTTCCAAAATGTCCAGTATGGTGTGCGCGTGTTCGCGCGGTTCGTGCAACGGCATGGTGTCGGGGTGCGCCTCGTAGAGGCTCTGCGAGCGCAGCGACAACGCCGAACGGCTCGGCCCACCTACAATCGCTTCGAGCACCGTCTTCATCTCACCCTCCAGGTACTGCTCGTCCTCCACCTTGCCGGATTCGAGGAGGTGTACGACGAGGTACGGCAGGAGGTACAAGATAAGCGACGAGTTCCGCTTGGCTACGTTGCGCAGCGGCTGAACCATCTCCGCGAACCAGCCCTCGCACGACGCGACGAGGTGATTGAAAACGTTAAAGAGCCAGCGACGGTAGCTCAAATTCGGCGTGTACTCCGGTGCGCGCAAGCGTGTCTGCCAGTTCACCGTGAGCGAGTAGCGCGTCGTCGTGAAGCCACCAAGCAGTTGCTTTACGTGCGGCATCAGTCGGGCCCACCAGAGGTAGCGCTCAAGTTCATCGACGTGAACGACGTCCTCGCTGCGCAGCTTCACGCCTCTGTTTTGCAGTCTCTCCTGCGTAGTAGACGCACGGATCAACTCTTGTACCGCGAAAGCAATACAGTTGTGGAGCACTGGATCTGCCGTACTGGCGAAGACGCGGGGAAAGTAGTCCCTGAGTAGTGTGAAGCAAAACTTGCGCCAGTTCAGCACCGTCTCCGCGTCCAGATAAGACGACGGGCCACCAGTTCCTGCCGTACTACACCACATGCCAAATGCGCTGGGGGATGCTGGCAGCGATTGCGACGACCTGTTGGCCTCGGCCACATCGTTGGCGGCGCCTGGCGGTGCCGTGTCGTTGCTCCTCACCGCTGCGACGCTCGCGGGAGGGGTGACTGCGCCAATGATGCTGATGCACCGCATCGCGTAGACGGCGCTTTCTGAGTCCGCCTCCGAGCACCGTAGCAACGTCTGCACCACCTCCGGTATCAAGGAGGCCGCCCGCGACAGCTGCAGCCGCTCTGCAGTGTCTGCCTTGCTGAGATACTCATACAACGCCCGCACGAATACTGTGGTGGACTGCAGAGAGCCGGAGCGCATTACCTCCACAAAGCCCGACAGAAGATGACTTTCTCGGTGCACGTCATTTTCATTCTTGCCTTTTGCGGCAGAAGTACGCGATTCTTCATCTAGCTTTCTCGATTTGAGTAACAAGTCGACAAGCGTGCTGCTGGAGCCAAGGACTACCTTGTACGAGTCCCAGAAGCCGGCAGATTCAGTTCGCTTGTACAGGTGCTGCAGCGCACTCGCCAGCAGCAGCCGCGACTCCGCTTGCGGCGCAGCGTACCGCTCCAGGCTGACCAGACTCAGCGCGATCGAAGGGGCCGACTCGGCGAGGTACTCCTCCGTGCACGCACAGGCGAGCTCTTTCCACACCACACAGACAAAGGGCACGAGGCCGGGAAGCCGTGAGCACCGCTCGAGCAGCGTCGGCAGCATCAGCGCAATCGGCGTTGTCTGCGGGCCCATAAAACGAATGAAGGATGCCAAGCCGAGCAGCCACCGTCGGCGGGTGCGCAGCGACCCCGGCACAGCCTCCGAGTCCTCCTCCACACTGCCACCGTCATTGTAGCGCGCGGTGGGCTCGATGCGGATGGCTTTGTAAATGGAGTCCAGCACCGCGAACATGCTCTTCCACAACTCCTCTGCCGCCACGGCACGACCAACCGGCTTGCGTAGCGCGCTCTCCACCCCCGTCACCGTGTCGGTGCTCTCGCACAGTGTCACCATCTGCTCGACAGCCCGCTCGAAAACCGAAAAGGCGATGTTGTCGCGGTAACTCTGCGTGTGGGCGTCGTCCGGCAGCACCCACAGCCCCTCGCCGGATCGCTGCGCCGTGTTTACCCTGTCCTCACAGCGTGCGTTGTCATCGGTGCCGCTGTCGCCGATTTGGAAAAGCCGATGGGCGTCGTTCCCGAGGTGGCCCGCGAGCGACAAAACCTCCGGGGCTGCCGCAGGGGAGCGCCGCTCGCGGCCGCTGCGTCGCCGCTGATCGCGTGCCAGCAGCTGCGCGTCCGCCTCCAACGACACCAAGTGGAACGCAATCACGTGCTTCGAGGAACGCACCATCGCAGGCACATCCGCGACGCTCTTGCCCAGACAGCTCATGATCTCTTCGAGGTACTGCATCTGCCTCGCGAGCGGTTTGCCGCTGCATTCGTACAGCACGTACGCCAGTGCCCCGGCAACGCTGCTCCAGTCCGTAATGCGCTCCCGCTCCAGTACACGCTTCAGACGCGCGCGGGTAGACTCGCTGCCGGGGATGAAAGCGGTGTTGGGGCGCGACGCAAGCGCACCGCTGCTGTCGTCATTGCTGGTGACGTTGTCCGAGGAAATCAGGTAGCGGCCCAGCACGTCGAGGGAGGCGGTCAGCACCACCGTCATGTCGCGATCCTCCTTGTCCACAATGGCTTTCAGAAACGATGAAAAGACAAAAGGCCGCTCGCGGAAACGCAGGAGATCTGTGGCGGACCACGCAAACAACGTCATGACATCTCGGGCCGTTTCAATGCACAGCCCCATCACAGACAGGGCAGCGTCGCTCGCCTCACTTCGAACGCCGTTGTACAGGCTGTACAAGTCGAAACACAGAGCTAGCCAGCCCCTTGCCTCCTGCACGACGAAGTCACAGGCCACAAAGCAGGTTTCTTGTTTCTTCAATGAATCTCTCGAGAGCATCCAGATGGACTCCTCGCGTGAGAGAACAGCAGAAGCAGCGCGCCTATCTTGGAAGCACCGGCGGGCGAGCCACAGCAGGCTGATGGTGTCCTGCGTCGCGTCGGCCACTGCCGCAGCACTCAGGCCATGTGCGTTTGCGTTGCACAACGACACGAACTTATCGGTGGCACACAGCCACTGCAGAAAGAGAGCCGACCTTCTGCCTGTGTTCGACTGGACCACACTTGCGCCTTTAATGTGTGTCGACCACATCATCACCTCCCGGGCAGCGAGTGGTGCGAGCGCGTGCGCAGAGCTCAGCTCCCTGTCGCCACCTGGCACAATCGTGTGCAGCGCAAAACACGCGCGGACATCCTCCTCCACGCGTGCTGGGGGAGCAAAGGCGACTGTCGTGAAGGTAAAGCGTAACAGCGCAGCACGAAAGCGCACGGCTTCCGCTTTGGCCGCCCAAGTTGGGCTAGCATCATCGAAGTCCGTACTACCATCTGCAGCCTCACCTAAACTGGAAGCCCTGCCGTCTTTGTCAGCTAGCGATACTGCTTGCAACGCAGACACTGAAGCCTGCAACAGGTGCAGGCGATGAACCTCAATAAGTCGTTCGAGCAGATGCGTCTTTGACGCTACGTGGGGCGCATGCGTTTCTTCTTCTGGCCCTTCCTTGCTCCCCATCGCCGCACCTCCCCGAGCAGTGTTCGCCTTCACGGCTGTTTCTTCATCCCGTTGGTTCCCCTCTTCATCTGCGTCGTTATCGTCGTCGTCGTCCACGTCCACCACGATCACCACCGCCGGCGCTGCAGAGCCTCTTTTCCTCGGGCTCCTTCGCTTTCCGTTGCTTTTGCTGCGACTCTTCGGCGTCCGTGTGTCCTTCATGGGCGAGGTTGCGCCTTCGCCACTCGGTCCGGCAATGCAGGCAAACGTGTACTTTGCCTCCAAGAGCAGCAACTGAAGGCCAGCCGCGGCAGTGAAGAGCGAGGTGGCGGGCACAAGGGTTCCGCTCGAGACCGCCACCTGTTTGTTTCGCCCATTTGCTGCCGTCTCTGCACGCCATTGGATGCAGCAGCGCTCAAAGCTCCGCAAAATGTTTTCGAGCACGGAGAAGAGTTGCACGGCAACAGCGAGGAGGTTTGTAAGGCCGTCATACGCGCAGCGCAGACGAGCTAGTTTGACGTTCTTGTTCTCAAAAACTGAAAGAGTAGACGGAAGGAAGGTAACATCGCCCGACCCCGCGGAAACCTCAGCGGTGTCGGCTAACCCGCGGGCAAACGCGCCGCGCAGGCCCTCCGTGACCCCCGCAACACGACTCAGGAACGCTTCCATCCCACTGCTGTTGATGCTCATGGCACGTGGCTGCAGCACGCAGAGTTCGGGCGGACTCAGGGCCTTACGGCTCCAACTAAGTCCTGACCCAAGACTAAAGAGCGCAACAGCCGCCTTTTGGCAGAGCACCTTCCACAAAGCTGCGTGCACGCCGGGCAACACCGTCTTGTTTGAGAGCCGGGCTGCAAGTGCCACCTCCATCTCCTGCACCAGACGCGGGAGAACATCCGCCCTCGACGACGCCGCCGGTGCGCCGTCGGGTGGAAAAAAGTGAAGCAGCACAATGAACGCCTGCACCAATAACGCGTACGACGGGCTCTCGTGATGCTGCACCACCTGCATCGTCTCCTCGAAGGACATGCGAAACGCATCGGCGTCGCAGCGCTGATAGCCAACAGAGCTCGTCGGCAATGTGCAGAGCACGGACCGCGCATTCGCGTCCAGTAGGCGATGGGCCGACGCGTCGACGCAGTTCTTCGACCTCTCCACCACCGTCGTCACGTAGGTGGACATGGTGGGAAGTGCGAAGAAAGACAAAATGCGGTGCGGCAGGAACACCACCGCATCTGGGAGGTCGGCGAGTAAGGGCGGTACCTGCGTACATAGGAGTGCAGCGGTCAGAGAAGGCAGCGGCAGTTCATTCGCCAAGAGCTGCAGGCGATGCAAATACTCATCCGACTGCACGGCAACGCTGACGCGCCGCTCTGAGTTGCATGCACTGACGCTGCTCAAGTGAACGGTGCAGCGGAAAAGTTGTTCGCACAGCGTCACCCAGTCTCCAAGCGTCCGCATGGCCGTACAGATTCGCTGCGTCGAAGCTGTGGTGGATTCGTGGGAGGGAGCGCTGAAGAGTTCCACGCACCACCGAACTGCGATCTCCCACATCTGTGCCAAACACGCTGTGACTGGTGTCGTAGCGTCAGCAGTACTACTGCCGCTGCTGCTACGGTCCTTTCGCTCCATCGCCTTTACAACCGCCAGCAGCTCCGCTTCATTCCAGCACATGAGCCACGTAAAGATGGACTTCTCCGCGACCGTAATATCAAAGATAGACGTGCACGAGGGCGACTGCCACTGAGCCGTCAACACAGAGAGCAAGAGGGGTCCGTGCACGTGAGGGAGAAGAAAGTGCGAGTCAATCAAAAACTGAATTGCATGCCACGCCGCGTCGTGCTGCACTCGGTTCACCACACCGCCCTCCTCTCCGGGAACGGCGCCGGAGACGAGGTGGCACGCCGTGTCGCACAATAGAATCACGCGCTCACGAGGAACATACACGACCACGCTTTGCTCCACCAGCCGCACCAAGAGCTGCAGCAAACCCGTCTGAATGCAGCGCGCCTCGTACTGCGTTTCAACGCACACGTGGGTGGAGAAGAGCTCGTGAAGAACGTGTGTCTTGCCTTCGAGATCGTCGGATGGGGAGACACCAAAGAGGTGAATCGGTATGGGATCCGATTCAATTAGGGAGGCAGATAAAGGCTGCATACTCAGATCCAAGTACAGTGTGGTTTGTTGCTGTCCAACGACATCCGGCGCCACCTCGTCGAAGTGCTCTGTCACCTCCGACAGCAGCTGATCCATAATCTGCGTCACCTGCCTGAGCACCAGCGCGTCACTCGCGTGGGAAGCGCGCAGGACAAAAAGAAACACCTCCTGCAGCCTCTCGCTGCTGTCTTTCCACGATCGCAGACGCGGATCATTGAGAACGGAAAAAACGCTCAGCAACGTCAAGCACCCGTGCAGCATCGCAGATGGACAGATGACGGTGAAACGGAGAAGCACCACGTACAAACGCAGCGCGATGGCGACGTGGGCCGCATCTTTGGCGTAGTGCCGGCGGTGATGCAGCTGAAAGACCTCGCTGCCGCTCCGCCACTGCCGCACCGTCGCCGGCGAGGCCAGAAAGAGAAACGGCCGCAGCTGCCAGAGTAGTGACCACAGTTTCTGCACCACATTCTGGTGCGGCGGCGCGCCCGAGGTGAGACCGCTCAACTGTGCCTGGAGCGCTTTGATGCTCTCCCCAATCTCTGCCAGCTCATCTCTCAAGCCCGAGCCTTCGTTCCGCCCGCTCGTCGACGCACTGCCGCTGTTGTTGTTGTTGGATTCCGTTCGCTGCCGCACCACCGCTCGCTCGTCACACTGCGCCAAATTCATTTGAGCGGATCCGTTGCTGTTTTCTTTATGGGCGCTTCTCCTTTAGCAGTGACGCGATGCGTTCAAAACTGTAATGATGATGTAGCGTACGATTATGTTCTTTGCGGTGCCAATCGCAGGTGCCGCTGCCCGTTGTGCCGCTAATTCCGGCACACGCTGTCACAGACTCACGGCGAACAGCTCTCACGGCTGCGGGCGACCCCAAGCGTTGAGAGATAGTGAAACACTTAAAGGGTGCACGATCGTCCTTCGCGGCTTACAACACCAATCGGTTTATGCTCTTTCTACTCTTTTCTTTTACTTCAATGTGAAGCGAAACTTTCTTTCCTTCGAAAGAGAGAAAGAAAAAGTTGCTCCTTCAAAGCTGGTGTGAGGAGAGGAAAGTTCGAAAAAGGGTGGTGCAGTAGAAAATAGAGACTTACCTCATCGCAGCAGAGGAGAGGAAGGAATACACCGAGTTGAAATGGGCTACCACGATTACCACCGCATTTTGATTTGCCTAAGAAAGACCACGCCACATAAATGGAATGCTGAAAAAGGAAAACCGATATAATCGGGCGGAAGCCGCCGCGCACATCGCTATGAGTTGACTCACACTTTAAAGCATGCACGTGTCGTCAACGCATGACTGAGAAAAGGACTCATTCATCTTTATCAGCAATTCACGAGATAAAGACAGAAGGACACAACACGCATTTCACTTGAGCCTAGCTGAAAGTTTAAAAGCGGAGCGCCACCCTTCCAGAGTACTCCCTGTTGTAGAATAGAGAGAACGGAAAGAGAGAGAGAGAGGTGTTTTGCACCTACGTTTTCATGCGTTCTACCAAGAGCCAGAGACTCAAGCCGAAAAGGGAAAAAAAAGCAGCAAAAAAACACCCAACAAGAACTTACTACATTGAGATCAACGCAACTTTTTCTTCAAAGATAGCAACCATAACAACAAGAGTACAGCTAAGCAACCGAAAATCGTTTACAGTGAACCACGATGCCGTTCCATGTCTATAGTAACGGGCCCCATTATCCATCATCAGCTAACGAGGGCTTCCAACTCATCGGTAACAGCGTCGCTTTCTTTCAGGAGGGCGTCGATCATTTTGATGGTTTCCAGCTGACGCTTTATGGCGGTTTCAAGTGTTTCGATGGGCATGTGCGTCGGCTTTGTCTCCACCTGCGGGGTGGACAGCTCATTCCACATCTTGATAATGTGCTGCCCGTCTTCTCTAATATCTCGTGACTCCGTCGTGTTCAAATTCAGGGAAAATCCGTCAAGTTTCCGATTAAACGCCTGTGCGTTCTCCAGCGCAGAGACGTGCGACTTTCGTCGTGCCACAACATCTGCGGAGCTGGACTTCTTGCGCGGCAGGCTGTCCCGACTCGGCAGCTGCAGGCCGCTCTGCGCCGCCAGCTTCGCCGTGTCCGCTTGCGCTGACGACGCGGACGTGAGTGCGGTCTGCTTTGCTGCCTCTTTCTGTGCCTTGTCCTGCTGCGCAAAGCCCACCGCCGCAGCGAGGTACTGCAAGAACACGTTTGTCTTCTCCGGTTCGTGTCCAGAAACTATCTTCTTCGCACTCACGTCCAGCTGCACGTTCATTAGCTTGCTCACGTACTCGATGAGAATGGTCAGGTACTGAATCTTTTTCTCCTTGCTGTCCACATTGGCCGAGTCCTGCAGTTCGGTGGGAATGACGTGACTGTAAGCCGCAAACCGCCCATCAATTCCGCAGACGATGTCGTGGATAAAGCGGAAGGGCGGCCGCATCAGCAGCTTCGGCGTCATCTCCGGCGCCGGCAGCTGCAGCGGCGCGTAGGCGGCGATGGTGGCAGACCAGAAATCGACCTCTTCGCTCATCGCTGGAGCTCAGAATGCGTGTTTGTAGTAGAATGAACTTTTGGGAGAGGAGACGGAGTTCACGTAAAAACTACAAAATAAAATAGGGGGAAGTCAAGCGTACACCGAAGAGAGATTCACGGGAAGTTGCACAAGAAGGTGGAAGCTGCGCCACCACACTAACCAGTAGGTGAGCCACCAGACAAGACACAAGAAGAGAGTGTTGCTACTCTTCCTCAGCTGCCTAAAGCTACCCCCTCGAAGAGGCGAGCGTTACTATCCAGTAAAGCACGCTAGCGGCCGTTGTTTCGCCTCTTTTAGATTGGAACAGGACGACAACGCACGTGCATCCCTCCGAAAGTAACGTAAGAGCGCCAAGAAACTTCGTTGACTTTGGAAGATTCGTCGGTGTTTTTCTTCTTAAGGAATGTAACGACGGGTGAGACAAGTCACCGCTAGGATTATACCCGAATTATAGCAAAATCCAATAAATATATATAGATGAGGGCAACAGATCTGTGAAATACGTAACCCAGCACACAAGAGGGTTTTTCCCCTCCGTTCCAAAAACAAGGCGCACTCCATCGCGGACACAAGACGGCGGCGCGCATCACCGTTCATTGCTGTGGTGGCAAGATCCGTACATGACGAAAGGGTCAAATTGTGAGGGAAAAAACGACACGAGAGAGCAGCAGAATCTTTCACACCAACGAACTCATGAAGTTTGAGGCTCACAAAACACCTGTATACCTAACACCGCTCCACCCATCGACACAAAAGGTGGGTCAGCAGATATCCTCACTAGCCCAACGATGTAGGAAACGCTCTAGAAAAACAACATATCTGTGGTACCAAGAAGAGGAATAGTGACATTTTAGCAGCTCTAATTTTCCACTCCCTGCACCTCAGTATTACGTCACTTTCCTGGTGAGGCGGACTCTGTCTTCACTGCACTCGCCTCGGGGGATTTTTCCGGTGTCGTCGGTGCGTCCGTGATGCGGTCTAAGCCCGTGATTTGCTTAAACCCCTCCAGCTTCCGCGTCTCGTCTGGCAAACCGAGCACCGCATTCAGAGAGAACTTCGACTCGAGGCGGCGCTGCTGGGGCTTGGGGAGGAGGCGGTTCACCGTTGCGTTGTGCTGCACGGGCACAAACAGGGTGCTTGCCCCCACTCCCAACAGCTTCACCCCCATGTTTCGTATGGCCAAATGCGTGTCATGGTGCCGCACAGACAACCACGACTGAAACTCTGGGTTTTCCTTTTTGAGGTAGTCCATCTCGCGAATCTTGTTGACGATGGAGCAGAGGCTAAACGGCGCGTCCTTGCCGAGCCAGTGGTCCTGCAGCGCTTCGATGGGCGTGTAGTGCGGGTAGAGCTGCTCGTCCACGCCCATCCAACCCTTCATGGCGTGCATGAAGCCGATCTCGTCCTCCGTCTTGACCTTCGCCGTCCGCATCAGCTGCGATGGGCGATAAAAGTCCTTCATGGGGCGCGCGAGGAGACGGTTCACAGCGCGCAGAATGATGAAGGCGAAGCCGTGCGCCGAGATGGCCACCTCGTAGGTGCCTTCCGGATCTTTGAAGTCGAGCTCGCTAAACTCCGGGTCCATCAGGGAAGGGTGGTAGCCCCAGGTGCTCATTCCCTCCTTCTCCATGGACGCTTCGTACTCATCCTGCTCCTCCTTCCGTTCGAACTTGTTGTACTTCTCTGGTGGGCGAAAGGCCACGTAGACGTCGGAGGTGTAGCGGGACCGCTTCCGGAAGGTGACATCCCGCGTGCAGCCTGCACCGTCGTCAAAGCGGATGGTGCGGTGAACATCGGACCGGCCGAGACAGGCACCGACCGCCGCGAGCAGATCGGTGAAGCCCTCCGAGTAGGAGACGTCGTTTCGCGTGGTCCAGACAGCATCGCGCGTGCCAGTTTTCTTGTCGGTGAAAAAGAAGGAGATCGTGAAGATTTCCTCGGGGCGGTGCTCGTCCGGCTCGATGACGCAGTCCATGCATTCGATTTCCTCTCCCAGCTCCTTCCAGGTGAGGTGTTTCGGCGTCTTCTTAAACTTGTACTCAAACATCAGTTTGTGCTTCCATTTTTCTTCCTCCTCGTACGGCACCAGCGCCGCCTCGGGGCTCTTCAACTCCTCCACAATGTCGCTCTCGACGTCATCGATGCGACGGAAGTCCACCGTCTTCTTCGCCTCATCCAGCACCTCGTCGACGGACCACAGACCGGTGGCCCGCAGCGGTCCGTAGTCCGGCACCGTCGGACCATCCTGCGGGCGTGCCGCCGTCTTTACATCCTTGGGAATCGACTCGTGCAGCGCCACTCCATGCGATGTCGCGGAGGTGCTCCCGGCAGAGAAGGAAACAGTGGAAGGGGCACTGCCTTTCAAGGCAGCGACGGCAGCGTGGGGTGCGTCCAGTTGGCCACCGCCTCCGCTGCTTGCACTTTTCGTGACGCGAAGCGGCACCGTTGAGTTACGCCTTCGCGATGTCGGAGGGCCATCGCTTGCTGGGGGAGACGAAGCCGGAGTGGTCGACGAGACAGGGACGGCCACACCCGCAGGTGACTTATCCTCCTTCGTCACAATGGTGTGGGTGTAGAGACCCGCTGGGCCGTCCCTCGGACTCGGCGTACCGCCAGCTTTGCCAGGGCGAAGACTATTCGCAAAGGACGCGCCCCGACTGACCGCGCTACTGGCAGCGCCGCCGGCAACATTACTTCCCCACGCCGACGAGGCGGGCGTACGGCCGCTCCCCTCGGAAGCATCATTATTTCTATCTGCCCCGTTCTCGGAGCGCAGAGGCAACGTGCCGCTGATGCCACGGAGCGCGGTGGCAATGCGGGAATATGCAGGAATAATGACGGACTGCTCGCGCCCGGATGAGACTAAAGACCTCACTGCCCGCATTTTTTGCTGTAGATGAACACGATTACGAAAGCTAAAAATATCAAGATGGAAAAGAGAACAAGGAGGGATAAGAAAAAAGGACAGTGAAGGCGCTGGGCGCTCACTTCCCGGAGGGGGAGAACGACGAGAACTTCGGCGGCAAGATAAAATCGCCACCCTACTCCAGTTCAGTGGATCGAAGAGGAAAGAATCGCTGATCTCACGTTGGCACTCAAGACTGCTTTACAAACAGCGAGAGGAATAAAGAGGTGGAGTGGTTAGCAGAGGCGAGAGTTCACTTTCCACGCAGAACATTCCTCCAACGTTTGAAAAACTCTTCGACAGAAGCGCCATCAAGGTTCGCTACCGATGCGGGAGCAGGGATTAAGATCCGGTGAACGAACAAAACCAACGAAATATCGCGATGTTGCAGCGGTTTACTGCGTCGATTCGTCAGTCTTTTCCATTTTGAATTTTATCGTATCGACCTTTTATTTGTGACCTGAGCAGGTTTTCACGTCGCTTCATCGCAGTCACCGCATTCATCAACGATGTGCATCTCTCTCGAAGTGCAGACGTTGTCGCAATGATTGTAAAAGCCTTTTTTTGTTTCTAAAGCAATTGGTCTCGCGCGGGCAGTGCAGTTTCCCCGTTTCGTCTGCGTAATGGAGACGTGTACGGCCTCTTCTCCTACAGGAAAAAGAAGAGAAAGCCGTCCACAAAGCCAACTAATACAGCGTATAGGTGTTTTGTGTTTCTTCATCTGGTTTCCGTTTTATTGAAAAGGTGAGGGCGGGCGGATGTCGCGGCGGCGAAATACGGAACGAGACCGCAGCCCCATCGCCACTAGTGGAAGCACAATGGTCGTTAGAATGAGTAGAAGACCGAGAAAGAAGCGTCCCCCGTGCATGCTCTCGCCGCAGGTAAACTCTAGATCTGTGTAGGCGGCCATTCACCTTTGCTGAAGTTCTTTGCCTCGATTCATGGATGGTATTTCTGGAGGTTACGTACGATTACAAACAGAAGAGGTTGATCGTAAAAGGCGAGCGGTAAAGGTGGTACGATACAGAGATGAGTTCATGAACGGCACATAGGAAAAGCTACTTCCGCCTCGTACAGTACGACGGAAGGCATCTCCGCAGCAAGGAGTTTAATGGCGAGACACAGCTTCATCGGTTGTCAGCGCTTCACAACTTCCTCTTCTTTAGTAGCAGCCTCCGTAAACGGAACGGTGGTGAGAACATCGCACTTACCGGGGTTCACTCAACCACGTTTTCGCCAGTGTGCAACGCTGACTGCTGAGCAGAGAAAGATGATCGATTTATGAAGTTTTTTCCTTTTAGACGCGTTATATTCGTAGTTTATGCGGCATTAAGTAGAACACAAAAACAACGCTGTGATTCTGTCTGTGTGTCATAGAAACATACCATGGTCAACGTTCAATCTTTTGAAGGAGAGACTCCATTCGGCTAGACATGACGGGCTGACCCTTCTTGGTTCGCTTGGCAAAGAGCGCGTTCCGCGACTTTCGTGCCTGCACCCGCACTTTCTTCTCCTTTTCGCGCAGTTGCCGCTCCGTTTTCTTCGCCTCGCGCTCCTCTTGGCGCTTTCGTTGAATTTCTTCCACACCGGACAGGGCGTTGTGGTGCTTCTGTCGCTTGTCCATGATGTCTGTGACCGTGGTCGCCGAGAACTTGCGCTTCAAATTGAACTTGCGCTTCTTCTTCTCGTTGTTCGTCAGGCTCTGATCGTAGTCGATCTTTTCTAAGGTGCTGCTCAGGTCCGCCGTGGCTGCCTTGCGTGTGTTGTCGTACTCCGCCAGTCGCTTTGAGACGATGCCCTCCTCCTTACACAGCTTGCGGTAGGCCTCCATCCGCGCCCGCTCCTCATCTTTCTTCTTGCGTCCTTCCTCCAGGAACGTCTGGCGCACGTTTTTCGAAAAGAAGGCCTGGCGTTCGGCTTTGAAGCCGTACACCTTCCGCCGTCCCGGGCCGTCGCTCATGATGCCAAGTAATCAAATGTGGCGATTACCGGCAATCGAAGCGGTGAAGCGGCACGCCAACTATTTAAGAGAGACCACAGTGTAAGAGGTTCGCACAGGTTGCGGCTGAAGAAGAAGGAAGACACAGAGAGAGAAAGATAACCATTAATTTGCCACCGAACAAGGTTAACACGCCGTTCTTCTATCACGGGAAACGAAGTGGATTTCGTTCTCCATTTCACCGAGTTGTTCTGCTGCTTTGTACGGACGCGCCTACGCCTCGGCTTTTGACGTTTCTATTTTCTACGCCTTGGTGAATCATACAAGGTGAAAAATAAATAGGGAAATGAGTGAAGATGTATCCATAATAATAATAAAACAGAAATTGTACACGGTGACAAGAGGGGAATGTATCAAGTACAGGCAAAGTGAGAAGAGCAACCAATATAATTCAAAAAGAAAAAACCCGCTTTATCTTCGTACGAGAGAGCAACGCAGAGCTCCACTAACGCCCTTTCCCGGTTCCAACAGGAAAACGTATGTAGTTTCTCTTGTTGCTACTTTGCGCCTTCACGAGCACTCAACGATGCGTCTCGCGTCGGTGTACAGCACCCACAAAAGTGCGGTCGGGACGGCACGCTTCCGGTAAAAACCACCGGAGGGAAACAAGAGATAATGCCGCTCCGCTCTCAGCTTTTCGAGTTCCCACACTGGACACCCGTCCGGCGTGTAAAGGGAGGGGCACGCGGGCTGACACTGCGTCTGCGCCGCCGCTCTTTCCACCACATCCTCGAAAAAGCGGTAGCAGCCGCGCACCAGCACACGTGTCGGCCGCCCGATGCTGCGCATCGCGTTGCCAAAGCACGGCCATACATGAATCCAAAAGCTTGGGGTGACGCAGGTGTAATCGTAAAGGCGGATATCACGGTGAGGCGAGGGCGAGCACGTGCGCCATACTGTCACTTGTCTGCTGCGGGGATTGCTGTCGTGGTCGAAGTTCTCCGTAGAGCAATTGCCCGATACGATCTCCGGCCTCCCCTCAGCATCGTCAAGTCGATGGGCGAACCGAGGAGGCTCCACTCGGCGGGTACCGGGACCTGATGTTTGCCTGTGGTCGGGTTGCGCTGCAAATGTGTCTGAGCGCAGAACAGATATCTGCCTCGGTTGAGAAGGATTTGCTAGATATTGCGGTGCAGTCCTCTTCGTGTTGTCTTCCACCAGTGTTGTAATTGGTGTATGAGGCACCGGAGATAGACATGAAAAAATGTTTCCTAGGAGCCGACGCTCGGCTGGAGGGTGTAGGGGGACCTCCTCCGCTGCAGGGGCTTCGTCAGCGTGCGTGTCCGCGTTGTTGGCGGAAGTCGATGTGGTCCTCACGTTTTCTTCATCGAGTTTGGGGGAGACAAGGTGAGAAGGTGTATCGGTATGTGTATCTGTAGCCGCAACAGAGGAGAGATCGTCGAGAAGACGCATCACTTTTCGTCGCTTCTCTTCCAGTGCCGCACGCTGCCACGAAGTGGCCGCCGTCGTCGAGTCCGCGGCAAGCAGGATGTTCTGTAAGGCCTCGCGCAGTTCAGCGGACTCCTCCTGCACCGGGTGTGCGAGTTGCATGGCAGCTTCGTACCTATTTGAGCAGCAAGAATCTCTTTTTGAAGGAATTCTATAGTACACGTTTGTTGTTGTGCATTGAAATGAGTAAACTGGGGCTGAGAGGCCCTTTCCTTTTCCACGTCTTTCCCGTGCGGCGTTGCACTTGTCTTCGGTAGAAACGAAGAGATGTAGATTAAAGTTGAAGGAGAAGAGAACGTGGAAGAGCGGAAATCAAGAATTTGCGTGAAGAGTAGCCAATGTCCCCACAGCAACGACCAATGCGTACGTTACACGTTGAACATCCGTAACTCAGCAGCGCCGCGCTCTTTCTCTTTCGAAATTCCACAGCTCATTTCAAGGCCACAATGAAACGCGGAGCGCCATGGGCATTGTGCCAAACAATTTTCTTCCTGTCCTCAGCAGCGTCGACACAGGCGCCGCTGTTGCACAAACCACATTAACGACAGGCCAAACCCGAGAGATCACCTGAGATGACTTTTCCTGCTTGTCTCTGCGCAACCTTTTTTGCTCGTTGCATTTCCTTTTCAATCTGTGAGGTGAAACCATTAAAAGCTACAACAAAAATACACGAACAGACACGATGAAAAACGGGATGTAATCCTAAAAGAAAGAGGTTTATATCAGGCCAGAAGTTCAAATACGCCTACCAATATACACACCCACCCACCCGCAAAAACCGACAACGCAAAACTGCAAGAAAATGCGCGCAGGTGCACACCGCATGAGAAACAAAGGGAGAAAATAGTACTTTTTCTAAAGGAAGAAAACCAAAGTATAAAACAGGAAAGGGTAGTGGTAACAAGAATAGAGCTTTTAATAAGAAAGCCGTTGAATAAGTTGCCTAGATGGATCGATAAAGGCGGAAGTGAGAAGGATGTATAGGAGCGCATCACCACATCCTGCTTTCCCCAACTTCTTTCGTGTCAAGAAGAGACATTCGAACAGTTCCAACTGCTTTCTTGTTTCCTTCGTTGCAGAATCGTCCGCAAAGTGTATTCGACACAAGGCAAACAGCAAAAAAAAAAAAGAAAGGAATTGTAACTGTGAGGAGTCCCATTGCCCTCGCAGCGCCTTCAGAAGTGCATACGACGGACTCTTGACAACAGTAGCAGCTTCACACCCTTTTACTTTTTTTTTCATTTCATCCTTTGTAATGCCATCCTTCGGCTAAGCTAACGCCACACACACACACACGCACAGAAATTGAAAGCAAGAGTAACAGCGAGGTCGTGCGCTCCAAAAAGGCCTTTCTTTCTTGTAAGCCTGGTCTAGGTCTTGTTGCTGTCCGCAGCCGTCAGCACAGGCCGCGCACCAAGAACCGCGAGAATGTCCGTCTGGTTCAGCTCTTTCTGGCTGAGCAGCAGTTCCGCGAGTTTGATGTGCTTTTCCTTGTGTGCGAGCAGCGTCTTCTCCGTATGCCGGTAGGCGGACTCCACCAGCTCCCGCGCCTCGGCCTCCACCTTGGCGTGCAGATTCTCCGACCACGTCATCCACGCCCGACCGTCGTTCCTGTCGTTCGGCTTAAAGGCGAGCTGCCCAATCGTCTTGGACATGCCGTACTTCAGCAGCTTCTCCATCGCCAGCCGCGTCGCGCGCTGCAGATCGTCCATCGCGCCAATCGAGATGTCTCGCTCAAAGATGCACTCTGCGGCACGGCCGCCCATCAGCACACACAGCTGTGAGAAGAGGAACTCGTCCGTGTGCGGCTCCATCGCCTCGTCCTGGACCTGCTGCGTGTACCCGCCAGCCCGACCGCGAGGGATGATGGAGAGCTTAATGACATCCTTCTGCAGTGGGCTCGTCCACGCCATGATGCAGTGACCGACTTCGTGGTAGGCGGTGCGGTGCAGGGCGACGTCGCTCATGCGCTGGCGGTGCTTCTTACCAATCAGCACGTCGTCGATGCTGTTTTGCAGCACATCGAGCGGGACCACCTCCTTTCCGTCCATCGCCGCGTTCAGCGCAGCCTCGTTGACAATGGTGGAGATTTGCGCGGGGGACACGCCAGGCGTGCGATCGGCCAGCATCTTCGCGTACGCTTCGTTGCTCACGCCAGGAATCAACTTGATCGTCTCGGGCTTCGCGTCCTCGACCACGAGCTCCTTCACTTCGGTGTTTGCCGCGTCGCCTCCGCTACTGTTGTTGGCCGCCGAGCCGCCGCTCTCCCCCTCCTTTCGAGTCCTAAACACCTGCACCTTCGGCTTGCAGTTCGGGTCGCCGGTAATGACGCGACTGAGGTAGAACTCAAAGAGCTCGCAGCGGGCCTTCTGGTCCGGCATTGGGATGTTCACCTTGCGGTCAAAGCGCCCCTCGCGCAGCAAGGCCTTGTCGATCGCCTCCGGGTAGTTCGTGGCGGCGATCACGACAATGGCCTCCTTGCTTGACAAGCCGTCTAGCTCGGCGAGGAGTTGGTTGATGGTGCGGTTCTCCTCGCTGCTGCCGCCGCCGCCCATGGAGCGGCCGCCCTGGTTACGTGAACCGATGGCGTCGATTTCGTCGATGAAGACCACACACGGCGCGGCCTTCTTCGCTTCTTCGAACAACTCACGCACCCGTTTCGGACCGCTGCCGCCGAAAATCTCGATGAAGTCCGCACCGGAGCAGCTAAAGAAGGGCGTGCTGGCCTCCCCAGCAACGGCGCGCGCCAGCAGCGTCTTACCCGTACCCGGCTGCCCGGTCAGCAGACAACCTTTTGGCAGGCGGGCACCGAGGCGCGTGAACTTCGCCGGTTCCTTCAGGAAGTCCACGTACTGCTTCAGATCCTCCTTTGCCTCCGGGATGCCTATGACATCCTTGAAGGTGGTGCCCTTCACCTCCGTGCGGAAGTTCTTCGCCTTCATCGGATTCATCATGTCCATCAGCCCTCCCAACGGCCCAGAGGAGCCGGCGCCTTTCTTGCCGCCGGAAGCGGCAGCAGAGGCGGCGGCGCTGCCCATGGCCTGCATGTACTTGCGGCGGAAGTACCAAATGGGCCCGACGAAGAAGGCAACGTTCACCACGACGGGGACGATCCAGCTGACCGCGTTGCCCCAAATCGGGCCCGACGGACGCACCACACCGTCGTGAAAACCCTTGTAATAATCATCATCCATGACCTGAGGTGGGTACATGAGTGCCGGCGCAGGAGGGAGGGGTGGAGGGGGAGTGTAGGTGTTGTACTGTTGGGGCTGCTGTTGATAATTGTAGGCCCCGGGATTTGGTGCACCGTACTGCGGCATGGGCTGCTGTTGCTGCTGCTGCTGCTGCTGCGAGGGAGGCAGGGTATTGTACGGATTTGGCTGTTGGTAGCCGTCTTGTGGCTGTCCTTGTTGAGGCGGCTGGTGCGCGTAGCCCTGCGGCTGCTGCTGCTGCTGCGCGCTGTACATCTGCTGAAACAGCGAGCCGCCCTGAGGGGCACCGTTCGACTGCATCGAGAAGAGAAAAGAAACGAGAGGGAAAGACGGTAAACAAAAATAAAAGGCGAATGCTCGAACTGGTAGATGTGTATACGTAGATAAAGCACGAGCTTTGGCGAATATGCACAACGGAGAGAGAGAGAGATAAAGAAGAACGAGAAAGGGAGGAAAGGGAGCTGTAATAAACCCCAAATACACCGCAAACAGAAGGTGCGCCGTTAGAAGAGAAAAAAAAAACAAAGAGCACCGCAGGTTTCTTCCTTAGAAAGGTGAGTGCTTTGTTCTCGACAATGTATGTGCGTGTGTGTATGTAAAGCACGAAGCGGTCTTGTGTGGGGGAAAAGGCAAAGAAAAAAAAACGAATGCGGCCACAATCAACTGTACATTTGTGTGTATACGCATTTCAGTTGTTGCAATGATAGTATGAAGGAACAGGAGAAAGGCGGTGAAGAGGTGGGGTGTGGGTCCCTTCCTGCGCAGCGAGCATCCAGTACATGGGTGAACGTGGAGTCACAGAAGTGCTTCTCTCACTCATTCACTTACCCTTTCTGAGAATCGGCAATTACCATGTCGAAGTAACAGCGAACACGGACGAAATCGGTTACCTCACGGCGCTTCACCGCAGCAGGGATGGCATTCAGTGGTACGACGTATGTGTTGGTTGGTTTCCCGTTCTTCACGTTCGATGTCCCGTACACAGTGGAATACGTTTGTGTCGGCCCTTTCGGCAGTATTGAGATCGGAGATGGAATAAGAAGAAGAGCGCGAGATGAATATACACGTGACAGGGTTTTCACGCAGCAGCTACATCCCCTATTGTTCTAGTGAGACAAAACAAAAGAAAAAAGAAAAAGAAGGTCTAGGCCTCTAAACGGCGTTAATGCCCTGCCGCATCGCTCATAAACTCGGTTTGAAAGAAACCATTTAAGTAAAGGAAATGCAGATAGTGGTAATCAACGAAGAAGCCGTCACCGGATTTTGGTGGGCATATATATGCCCCTACGTAAAAGATGCTCCAACCGCTCCTGCAGTGCAAAAGTGGTTGCGTTGCGCTTTGGGGAGCCAACGAATGCCGCTGCATCCCGTTTACGAGACACAAACCTCCAGCTGATCGCTCACTGGCGCTTCGGACGGTCAACGAATGCCACGGTGGAATCCAGAACTTCCACATTCGCTTTCGCCGCGTCGACTTCGTACTCTTCATCCGCGGCCGGTGGTGCTCCTTTCGGGCGAAGCGGCAGACGAGAAGCGGCGGGCATGTACCCGCTGTTGCGCGCGCTCGGGCTGCGGCGTCCGTCATCGCACAACCGCATCGGCGTCGCCGCCGAGCTGCCACCGCCGTGCCGCAACGCCGTCTCCTCCATCCGCATAAACGACTCACGAAATTGCTGCTCCCGCTTCACCTCCGAGACGGAGGCGATGGTGCTGGCGGGGGTGCGGTACACACTCTCCGAGTCCGCGGCCATCAGCATCGCACTGGCGGAAGTGGTGTGGTCCATGTAACCCAGCAAGCGCCACTTCACGGGTGTCTCCTTGTAGTACGCCGTCACCAACGGCACGCGCTCGTTTGTCTCCCGCATCATTAAAGCACGGCGCTGTGTGCGCTCTTGCACGAGGAGAATCTGCAGGCGATAGTGGAGCACAATTGGCTGCAGTTGCGAACGAATAGAAGCCTCCGTCTGACCACGCCACCGGATGGTGCGTACCTCTACCGACTCCGGATTGTCACCGCCCTGGCGCAGGCTATTCACGACGTCGAGAACAGAAGTGTTTTCTATCGCATCCTCGGCTTCCTCGCCGTGAGGTCCTTCCAGTAAGGGCACCATGTGTGCAATGCGGTCGGCTTCGACGATGGATTCATCGCTCGCGTCTTCTTGATAAAGACCAAAGACGGTCATTAAGGCAGGCGAGGCACTGAAGCTCATGGTGGGACGAGAAGCAAGAAGGACTTGTAAACGGAGCAGCGAGAAATATGTGTATACACTTCAAACGCACTTGCGAGACAAAACTAAAGTTCTCTGCGCCACCGCCCAAGAATTCGTGGTAAAAAGGGAAGAAGAAAAAGAATAACAGAAGGGAAAAGAGAGGAGGGATAAAGAATCACACAGGTCGATGGAAGAAGAGCACTCATTTCGAAACGGTGATGCGTGCGAAAAGCCGTGGTAAAGGTCTTCAATGGTTACGATGGACGAAGAAGCCTATGATCACAGTACGATTGGACACGGAGAGGCTATTCTCGCCTACTCACGCTCACAGCTGTATATATAACATCAGCACTCTCTCATTGAAGTCCATTTGATGCATCTATGAGGTAGAGGAAAGCAAAACCAAAGATTCACAAGAAACAGAAAAGGTAGATTTCTATCAGTACGGTGGTGAGGTGCGCTCCCACGTCTCCATTAGCTCCTCGACCTGCCGCATCACGGCGTGCACGTTGGCGTCGTCTTGAATCAGAAAGCACGGCGTACCATCTGGAAGAATGGCAGGTGATCTTGCAGCCATGGAAGCAGCGCTACAGCTTTCAACAACGTCAATGAAGCACGGCACAAGAGCGTTGCGCCTGCAGTGGTCCGAATGGGACGGGAGGTCAAGCAGACGCTTGCACGTCGCCACAACGCGCGGGTGTGCGAGGGAGGCCTCGAACCGTGCGGCGTCTCCACGACATTCCATCAACACCGTGCGCAGTACCTCTCCGTCAGCGACGAGTAACGTGAAGACAGCGTTCTCGGCCTGGAACGTGTTCCCGCGGTGTCCAGCTGTCGCACTCCGTCGGTAGTACACCGGACTCTGTCTGGCATCGTACATCAACAACACCCCATCGCAGTCATCTGAAAATTGGACCACATCGCACAACTCGCGTGCCGCGATCTCGCAGCGGAGGCATTGCGGAGCAGAGGTGGAAAGTGTCGCCGTCGGGTCTTGCGTGAGAATCGCTTCGTGCTTGAGCTTCTCCTTGTCAGAAAGCGGGCTTAGGTCGTGATCACCGTCGCCGGTCGCGCACTGTGATGCGTGAGATTGGCGAATTTGCTGTGAAAGCGATGCAACGATGCGCTGGCGCTCTTCCGTTAGCATTTCAGTGAAGCTCACCGCGGCAGTCGCAGCCGTTGCGTTCCCGAGGAGCGCCGTGTTGGCACCCACAGCTGTAGTGCCTCTGGTGTTCGATGCAGGTACACACGCGCCCAGCTTCTTCCGCAGCAGCGTTTTCTTCGGCGACGTCGGCGTGAATTGCGTGGGCTGCAAAGCCCGAACAGGCGAGGACAGAAAGCAAGGTACACCGGCCAGAGGCGTTGCATAAGCTCGTTGAGAAACGCCTTCCGTTGCGAGCGATGGCGGCGCCTCCTTTGCGCACTTCTTCTTCTCCAGCGCAGGAAGAAGCGAGATAAGAAAACGTCTCTGAAAAAACGGTAGCGGTGTGGTGTCGGAAAACTGGTCGCTACTGCTGCCGCTGCCGCCGTCCCCGTCCGCCGAGTGCAACAGCGTGCAACGCACCGAGGTGTGTGCCTCCTCCCAGTCCTCTGGAATAGCCACGCTGATCTCCACGAGAGGGTCGCGCCCGGCGGAGGCGGTGCAAGTCAACGACCTCCACAGTTCCGCCGTGGCACTGTTTTCGTAACGGCCTTCGGACTCGAGAAGGCGACGCCAGGTAGAGAGTGTCTGGCAGAATCGGCCGCCATCAGAAATACTTGTCCTCCGCGCCCTCTCATCCTCGCCGGTACTCCCTGCGTCCAAGGTATCATCTTCCCTGTTGTCATTCGTGTTGAAGAGGTAGCGCACAACAGGTGCTTGCACGGCCAGGGCAATCCGCTGATGCTCCGTCAAGTCCGCCCACGACGTGCCACCGTCGCCGCGACACCACCGTTGCGCCTCACCGCTGGAAACGAATTCCCTCGATCGACCACGGGGCTCACGGTGGTGCGACAGAGCCTCGTAGGGAGACAGGTGTTTGGTGAAAAAGGAAAACCGTCGTGCATCGCGCAGGGCAGCTCCGGCCGTGATGTCGAAGGGAAACACGAGCGGCACGACCTCAATTCTGCTGAAGTCGAAAGGGCGAAAAGCAAAGGAACGGTTGAGCCAGTCTGGAGGGCCGTCCTTCACCCACTCCGACACCTGTCGCAGGTTCGGCTCGGCCCACCGCCAGAACTCACGCGACCGGTGCACGCGCCACGCCTCCACCTGGCACACCGGGTGATCTAAATAAACAAAGAAGTCGCACTCCTCGCAGTCTGCGATGGCCAGCTGGCCTTGTATTTGACACATGTAGTGCAGCGGAATGCCAAACGGTGCATAGCTGGGTTTTGTGTTGTCGTACAAGGCGCGGAAAGGGGACTTAATTTCGAGTAGGCGCACTTTCCTGTTCAGAGCGGGGGAGCTGAGGGGAGAAGCGGAGGATGACGATGATGTTGCGGAGTCCATCGTCGCGGAAAGCACAGGCGGTGACTCGACCTTCGGCGACGACATCTGCATCGCTGCCAACGGGGAAGTTAAACCGCCGGCAGCAGTTCGACTCGGCAGCTCAGACGAAGACCCTCCATCACGAGACGATGAAGGTGACGATGAAGGCAACGCTGCCATCGAGAAAGGAGATCGGGCGCGTCTCTTACTCTTGAATGGGACGCGAACAGAACACACGCTGCTCCGCTGCCGCTCTTGCTGCTGCCCGTCCAGGCAAGACACATCCGTGCTGCTCAACAGTGTACTCGACCGTGCGCCTCTACTCGTCGTGGCAGTCGCCGTTCTCGTTCCCCGTTGCTCCATCGATTTGTCCTCCGCCGCATAAAAGATCTGGCCATCTGGCGAGCAGCCGAGAATGCGATCCGCCGTGACAAAGAAGCCGCCATTGTGCACCTCGCACCCGGTAAGCAGCTCATACAGCGCACGTGACTTCGGCTCAGTGACGATGCCGTGCGCTGTACACGTATTCCCTTTAAACTCGTTTTCAGTTCCCACCACGTGCCGCAGATAATGCACGTAGTCCGAGACGCGCCCGCAAAAGCCCAGCACCATGCCAAACTGCGACGCAGACAGGCCGTAGGGGTGTTGCTCTTTCCATTTCAGTTTCTCCGGGTGCTGTGCCATGTCCACAATTAAAATACAAGAAAAAAAAACAGTGTGCAGCAACACCAGCAGCAGAAACAACAAAAGATTTGATCTGAAACGGACACCACGGCGTACACACAAAAAGGAAAATGTGAGGAGATGAGAGATTTAAGAAGAGCAGATCCATGTGAAGGAAAATGAAAAGGACCAGCGTGCTTTCCCAGGCGCATTTCAATAATCGTGAGTGAGCAATCTGCATCGGAACATGCAATGATCGGTGTTGGCAAAGGAAACAGCATCGAATAGTCGATGTGCATTTGATCTGTGCCGATGGAATGGCGCAGCAATTGAAAGGCCCTTTGTAGCCTCATGCTACACAGTGGAAGCTGTGATGCGTTGACAAGAAAGTCCTGTGCATGTGTGCTTCCTTTTCTGTTTAACCGAAGTTTCGTTGATATGCGGTTGTCCGTCACGTTCGTCGAGGTGCCGTCAATGAGAGCTGCAGCAGCAGAATAAACTGTACCCTTCAACGGATGTATACGAAGTAGGAAAACACAGCGCTGTGATATGTATTTTAGCTGAGGGGGAACAGCTACGAAAGAACACTATCAGAAAAGCGCTCGCAGCTGGCGTGCTGCGCTCGAGGTGCGCAATTCAAGAATTTACTGCGTGCCGCGCAGCCGAACGACGCGGGAGACGTTGTGGACAATGCTGTCGCATTGTCTACGGTTTCCGTCGCGTTCGCTGGAGATTTCGTCGCCGTCGTGACGTTTGGCGTTGGTCTTGACTCTGCAGCGGCTCGTATGTGTGCCAATTCTACCCGAAAGAGTTCGCGGAGGGCGCCGTCCCACCGCATGGCGCCTAGCGCCACAATCGAGACGTGATACTTCGCCTCCACCTCTGGCACGCGTAGCGCCCGCGCTAGAACTCGCAGCGGGTAGCCCTCGTCATCCCCGTACCAGTGATCGAAGTCTGCCAACTCCTGCGCGTAGAAATAGACACGGTGGCGCGGCGACGCATCAGTTACCTTTGCATCATCGTCCCACAACCACGGCAATGCGATGAATGACGCTACGTTGGCGCGAGTGAAAATTGCGCGGAGCGTCGCATCGAACTCTGCGGCCGTCCTTGCAGCACGCAGTGCAATGTAGGGGGAGAGCAGCACTTGGTAGTTCACCGTCAGCTGCTGGGTGGTGGGATCGGTGTAGTAGCTTCCATTGAACACGCCTGCCGGCACACACAAGAAAAGCCGAGGGGAGAAGAACTGGGACGTTGGCTGAGGCGTCACCGCTCCGTCGGTTGTGACGTCTCCACCTGCGGTGTTTGGCGAAGGAGTGGAGGAAACAACTGGTTCTGCCGAAACAGGAAGGTGATGCATCCCCGGCAGTTGTGAGGCCTCCGTCACGCCTTCTGCGGCGGGATTCGTCAGCACACGCTCGACCTTCGCCGCCACCTGCTCCGAGTACGCGCGTTGCTGCGGTGAAGACGTATAAGACTCTTTTGCAGCTGCAACTCTCGCAGGATTCTCTGCGTTATGTGCGTCGCGGTAGTGTTGATAGGAGCGACGCCGTTCTGCACTACTGTTTGCCACCACGCTAAAAACCAACGCCTGCGGCAGGAAGCGAGCGAGGGAGGCGGTGATGTAACCCTGCTCTGTTTCCACGACCTGAATTACCACTTGCAGCTTATCGAACCGCTTTTCATCAGCCGCTATTGCTGTCGTTTCGGTGTTGTTGGGCGGGCCAGCCGTCGCTTCCGGTGTCACGGTCATCGTGACGTTGCGCAGATCCGCAGTGAAGTGCTCCAAGTCAGGCTTGAGGCTGCGGTACAGCAGGTGCCACAGGAAGAACAGTGCCGGTCGCTCATCGGCCCCCCACGGCGTGAGGTACGGCACGGAGAGGCGCGCCCGGAGCTCTGCCAGCTGCGCGCGGTCCTCGGGCGACAGCGTGGAGAAGGTGAAGACTTCCACGTCGGCGAGCTGGACTGCAGGATGGACGCCGCCGCTGTGCTTCGCTTCCGGGAGAGGCAGCGGCCCCACGTAACATCCGACCAACGCACAGAAGACTCCGAAGAGAAACAGAACAAAGAGTTTGCTGTACAGCTCTTGTTTTGGTGGTCGGCGGGTGCGAAACTGCAGGGGGGTCTCCATCGCGCTGCCCACAACTATTATCGTCGCTACTCTTTATGTAATGCGCCACGCTGATATCACAAACTCGTAAGGCACCGTTAATTCGATGCATAAAAAAAAAGAGAGGGATATCAACGATACCGATGGTGCGTATGGACAAAGATCAGAAACGTTGACTTCTTCGGTGACGCTTGTAGAAGGCACGGTAACCCGTACTGAAACCGAAAACAGACGTGAAAGCCAAGAAAAGAGGGGGGGGGGAGGGCAGAGTAATCGCGTTCAAAAGAAAGGTATTGAATAAGCTACCAAGCATGGCGAGTCGGTTCCGGGGGTGGTTGTACAGGTTCGGTCTCCGTAGCAGCTCAAGTCATATATTCATATTCATTCAACGCAGCGCGACTCGCCGAGGTTTCTTCCAGTTCATGAAGAGTCGTAGCAGAGCGAGACGTGCATCAACGAAAATACAAAAAAGAGAAAGAGACAGAGAAACAAGAGAGCGTTTTAGCAGGGCGGCAGAGCCAGTCGCTGAGGAAGACATGGGTCGAATTTGAAACGTTGGAATGGAGAGAGAGAAATCAGCGGACGCAACAGCAGCAACAACAGGGAAACGTTCTCCACCTGTAATCGTTCAAACGGTGCAGCTTTACAGCAGCATCGGCAAGAAGAACCACTCGATTAAATGCGCTTTCGTCAAGAGGGTAGAATATGATATCGGAAAAATCTGCTCGTACTGACAGCACGCTGCACAGCTCACAGTGCTTCTTTTTGGATGCGGAGGACGGTCGCTACAACACGGAGGACAAGGCTCATTGAAAGTACGGAGAGCAACAACAACAACAACAACAAAATGGTGTGGGAGAAAAGCAGTCGGATACACTATGCAGGGCCAGCCGCGCAATAGTCGGTCACACCATCAAGGGAGTAGCCGTTTGCGGTAAGAAAGGGAAGCACTGAGGCTGCCACCATCGGACACACGTTAGCCATAACCTGCTGCTTCACTGGTGGCGCACGCTGCGCCAGCTCCACTAGAGACCCCCAGTAGACGGCGTTAAACTCTTGGCGAACACCACGGCTGCGACTTTTCACCTGGACAAATTGAATCCCATGACTCGGAAGAAAGAACAGCAGGGGATACATCTCCTGCCCGAAAATGCCCTGCTTCCGCCACTTCTTGGACGCGTAGCGGAGAGCAACCTTGTCCTCGCTGATCAGTTCCCCCTGCTCATTTGTTAGCACGGCGTCGCCCAGCACCGACGGCATGGAGTTCGGGCTGCTGGAACTTAGTGCCGAAGCGGGGGGCATGACTTCTGTGATAAAGGTGGCTTGCTGAGTGATGTCGAGCCCGAGTTCCTCCCAGGCTTCGCGCACTGCGGTCTCTAACGGGGTTTCACCGGCAATACTACCGCCTTGGACGGTTTGACGGTAATTGCGGTTTGGGCCACCGACAGGGCAGCATATCAGGAAATGCCCTCTTTCGTTGACAAAGAATAGCTGGACACTACGGCGGTAGGCGCGCCCGTCTGCACCGCGAATCACGACGTTCTTCTCCTCTACCTCTTGCGCTCTACTGCGTTTCCGCTCCATGGCATCTAGTGAATCGCCACCGCGGCTCGAATACGTGAATTCGCTTCGAAACAGAATGCAGGTGCTTTGATTGTGCTCTCGGTGGAATGTGCGGCGATGCGCGTAGTGAGGAATCAGAAACCGGCTGATGTCTCGCACATAAGACAGCCTACCGCTATGAGTAAAGAAACCACGGCGTTTTCCTTGCTTGCTTCGTTCACAACCCAAAAGGTGAATAAGGTGTAAGGGAATAAGAAGATTACAGAAAACGTATGAAACTTAACGCCTGTGTGTCCACCCGCCCCACACTCTTTCACACCTCCCGCCATTTAACTCCGCGAACTCTACAAGCTGCGAAGCTGCTCAATATTCTGCGGCTTTGTATCCATCGCGAATACCGTGTGCAGTCACTACATAACCCCGGGTTAAAGATTGCATTTCGCGAGCTTTCCCGTCATTTTGCTTTTGTTTTTGTTGCTGGAGAGAGGAGAGATGATCCGTCTAAAAACGAAAAAAAGAGAGAATATTTCAAGAAATGCGTCAGTAGCACATTGCGAGACCTTCTGATTCGTTTCCCTTTCTCCACTTCCGGTGTCGGAGTTGGCGTTTAGAAGAAGAAGATAGGCGAAAGGGCACAAAACAAAAAGGCACTGCGTGCATCAACACACATCACATACACAAAAAGGATCTGATCTGCGCGTTTTACCGCTGTATAACAAAAGGAACAATAAGGGAAAGGAGTAGTGAGAAGTAGCAGAGAAAGGGAGAAAAGGGAAAATAAAAAAACAGCGCGAGGTTAACGGATGCCGTACATCACAAAAGTAGACCGGGGCTTGTGCAGCGAGGCAGCAGGGCTACTTAGTGTCGCTGAACGGATGACCCTGATGATCACGCCAGCGCTGCGGTGAGGCGGCGCTTGGCGGAGCTCCGTTGCGCACCGCCCCGTTCGTGTTCTGCATCCAAATGCGCGCATTGAAGATGCGGTACAGCTCCTTGTTGAGCTGGCGGAAGTCTATCATCTCTGTCGAGTCAAAGAAGAAGCTGATCTTCGTGCCGTCGTACTGGTACTCGCAGTCCAGCACCTCCATCGGCAGGAGAAGGCGGTCCGCCACATCGCGGCAAGTGCTGAGGGCCAGCCGCTCCATGCTGACGTGCTCGTTGTGCAAGCGATGCACCTCGTCATCGGTGGCCAGGCGGATTACCTCCATGATGGTGCCGTGGTTTCCGGGGGGCCAAATAACGGCGTCCAGCGACTGAACGGTGTCGTTGTCGTAAGCGTGCTTGTGCGGGTTCCACAGCGCGCACTGTATCACCAAGCCGCAGTCGTAGCCGCGGTCACCTGGCACAAGGGCGTAGCTTGCCGGTTTCACCGGAACCCGATTGAAGAAGCGACGCACGCGCCCACGCTTGAACTCGACGTGGACAACGTAGCAGAACTGCGCCGCGGGCCACCGCATTCGGGTCGGCTGCTTCGTGACAAACCGCTGCGTAAACGGTGGTGTTTCCTGCCGTGCAAGCTCTGTAGCGTTCGGTGTGTCGGCCAACGAAAAGCCAGAAAGTATTGGAATGATCTGCGCAGGAAGAGAGGTGCTGCCACACGCCACCTCCAGAGGGATGTTCGCGTCAAAAGCGCGCAGGGCATGCGTGACGGATCTCTGAACGTCGTAGGGCGAGCTGGCGGAACTGATGCCGCAGGACGCAGAGGTGGAGAGGTAGGCATTGCTCTGGCGACTCAGCCTGGCATTCACCTCATTCTTGCATGAATCGAGGATCCGACTTGTGTCTTCCAAAACGATCTGAATCTGGCAATAGGTGTCGGCCACGTCACACCCCACTGGCACAACCGCGTTGCGGGCGTGCGGCTGCAACTTGTGGCGCGAAACGGAAGCGGAGGGCACCGGCGTGTCGCTCCACGAGTTGCTTGCCCAGGAATGCGAGCTCGTCAGCAGCTGTGCGAGGTGCCGACGAGCGGCTTTGAAGTCGTCCAACGCCTCGGCAGCGGTCACTGCCATCGGACATGCGGAAAGCGCAGACGCCGCTCTCCTTTGTTCCGGCTCTCGCTCATCTGTCTTCGCTTTCGCGACAGGGGTGGCGCAGCTCTCCATGGCGATTCCGCAGCAGAGGTTGTTCAACGGTCTGCCTGAAAGGGAGCCAAAGCGTGGTGAGAGCACTTGAAGAGGCACACCAAGTGGTGGTGGCACACAAACACGAAGCTGCTCTGAGAAGCGCAGACACTGTCGTAATGCAACGAGAATAGAATCTCCGAATCTACACAGAGGTGGGTCTGCATTCATTTCATGTTATTTCACCCAACCACAAGAAAGATGGAGAGAGGAAAACAAAAACATGAGAATACAAAAGTCAAACCGAGACATGAATAAGCGCCAATGGAAGTTGTCCAGAAAAAAAAAACACCCTCCCATAGATCGCCCAACTTCGTACGATACCGACACAAAAACCGCTGCAGAGGTTGAAGCGGTCGGAGAGGTCCGTAAAGAGAGACAAGGCAAAAGCTGTGAATGACGGGCGTTGGTGCCAAAGGGGGCCGCGAATATTTCTTTTTAGAAGTGCACATTGCAACAGTGTGCACCTACTACGGATAGCGTCGGAAGGAGGCAGAAAGAAAAAAAGGGTTCTACGCGACGTAAGCTGCAGAGCAGAACGCGTCCATCAGGCATTGCTATGAAACATCGAATCATCCAAATAAAACGGCTGCAGGCGATCCTCTGCGTCCTCCGGTGTGTAGCCGATCCAAAACAATATAATCGATTCTAGACGACGCCACAACGGAGACGCTTGGGAGCTTTCCTTGTCGCTGAGGTCCGGAGCCGCAGCGGCAGTTGGGTGGAGCGGGGCCACCGGGAAGACCCAGGTACGTGGAGTGATAGAGACAATCTCCACAAACGGGCGAGCGTCGTCGTTGTTCGCCGCAGCGGCGGCCCCGCTCTCGCTGGTGTTTGCGTTTTCGCGAATGTCACGCCTGAGAAGCGGTGTCGGTTTTGCAGAGGCAGACAGGGCGTCCAACGAGGCAAGACTGGCATCCGACAGCCACACCCCGGTCAGCGACTGCGCCCGCTCCGCCACCGCACACAGGGCGTGTACGGACACCTGAAACGGTTCGCAGATACCTTCGAAGTGCGCCTGCAGCACAGGCCCGAGTCGAGTCCGCCAAAAGTGCTCCGACACGGCACCGGTGGGCTGCAGCAGCGCAGACAGCACCGCTTCGCACACACTCCTCGCCTCCGTTGCCGTGGTGGCGCGGCACAGATCTTGCTGGAGGACGTACTTGGCAGCACGCGCGACCAACTCAACGTGAATGAAGTGCTCGACAGCAGGGCGGGCAGACAAGGGGAGACGATGCAGCACGTAGGGCAAGTAACGCAGATTCAGTCCGTGAGCATGCGTTATGGCGGTGATGGACGGCTCCATGAGGACGCAGCCGGCTCTACGGCAGCCGGCACCGCATCGCACGGCATCTGCCCAGATACGCGATAGCCGTTCATCACTGCTCGGCTCCTCACCCGCCTCTGCATCCCCGTTGCCCATCACTCCGCGGGTGTAGCACTGAATGCACACGCGGCAGCACCGTGACGGGTTGGTGCAGACGACAAGGCGGATTTCGTTTGCATCGATCGTGCTTTGACAGCCGTTGCAGACCGCTATCGGCATCGGCACAGCGCTCAGCGGGAGATGAAACCCGATTATCCCAGCCACGCGGGTGATGCCGTCCGCTTTGATCCACTGCCCTACTGCGGAAGAGGTGGACTCCACAGCTGCCTGTCGCAACTCAGTCTCCGTCGTTGGTCGCGGCTGGTGTTGTTGCGCCTCGTCTGCCACGAAGCAGCACTCGTTGGCCCGCCACTCCGTCGGCCAGTTCAAGAATACTTCGGGGCGCACGCGGGACCGCACAATGTGCGGAAAAAGTCGTACGTCCTCTTCGCTCTCCGTCTGTGCTGCGCTGGTAGGGCCCGTCTCGCTTGCCGAGGACGGAGCCGATCCGTGAACGCCCCTCCGGCGTTCTTGCACAAGCGGCAACACAGGCGGCAGCAGACGCGCCGTGTGCGACAGGTACAAACGTCGGTCCCGTCCAGCGTACACGCGCCACTCCCACGGCACCTCGCCGCCGTGCAAGTGCAACGCGTTGCCCAGGCGACGCAGCAGATCCAGCACCAGAGGGGGCGGCGATGAAGGCGCAGCGAAGGGTACATCGTTGCCGCTGCTTGCTGTGGACTCTGAGCACGGACCGCTCGTTTTCCCAGTGGCGGCGGAAAGGCAGGGACTGGCGTAAAGGAGGTTTCTCCTCCCGTACGGTGGGATGGTGCTGCAGAGAAACGAATGACCGCCAAACGTGCACCGTGCCTGCAGGGGTGTGTAGAGGAAGTGGGAGGGCGCCTCGAGGGCGATGATTTCGTTGTTGCGGTACATCGCGTTGCCGAGCTTCGCCGCGAGCCCGTCGCCACCTAAGTCACCATCGGCGGTGTCCACGCAGCGTTTAATCACAAGTCCGTTAATAAAGAACACCTCATTCGCATGCTGTGGCATAGCGCAAAGGCGGCGCTGGGCGAGAGGCAGAACCGCCTCAGCACACACACGCATCACGGACTCCACCACCTCTTGTCTGAATTCTTCCAAAACCTGTGTGAGTGTGTCTTTCGCGGTGGTGGGAGTGCCTTCCGCGTCGTTGGAAGATGAGGACAGCTGCGGCATCATGCGGTATTCCTCCAACGCCCGTTGGTACTCCTCGTTCCAATCACGGTGTTCGCTCTTCGCAGGCACAGAGTCCCAGTAATACTGAAAAAGTATGGTGTCCTGGAAGAGAAAGTGCTTCGCCTCCAATTCCGCGATAGCAGCGGCATTCACTTGTGGAAAGGCCATTGTCGCGTTTACATTGGCACCAGAAATATTCGCGCCCACTGCAGAGGGAGCAGCAACGGCATCAATGTCGCATGAAGCTGCCCGGGAGGGAGAGGGGGTGGCACGTGTGTCATACACGCGCTGCCACGGCGAGGTCACTGAACTACCTGCCGTGCGACCTGACAACTCGCGGTCTTCACAAAATTGAAGCCAGCCGAGAGACCCGTTGTGGCAACGCGTGCTGATCCACCACCCACCAAAGACGTCGCGGTAGCGCGACGCCTCAAGAACGACGGTCCCACTGGTCACGCACCCCACAGATTCGCCGAGGGGTCCGCTGTAGAGCGGCGCATCCTCCGTTGCACCCCAGAACACAGGGGATCTACTACGTGGAGCGGCAGGCGAAGTGCCTCTTGGTGCTCTGCCAGGGGCGGAGGTCGGCGGTGCACGCGCTGCTGCAGGTGCTGCGCTGCCCGACTGATTTGGACGGTGGAGGCGAGAAGCACTTCCATTTCTCGGTGGAGGGTGCGGCTGCGCCTCTGACGGTGATGTCCGTGTGCCGTTGATAGGGGCCTTTAAGGAGTTGCGTTGACTTCTCATTCTTGCACAGAGCACTTCACAATTGCTGCATTGAACAACCACAAGGAATAATAATAAAAAAGAGACAGAAGTGAAAATCCAAAGAAGAAAACCCAAAAGTCCATGAAAACGAAAGGCGAGTTATTAGCTGCATTGAATCGCTGCTGCCCAACGGACGACCAAGGACGCAGCTTGGATGCGGTTGTCACACAGCACCTGTCCTCTTCCTTTGGACGGCAAACCGCTGTGAAGATTCAAAGGGCTAAAACGCAAGCACGCTCTTCCCTGCCACATGAAACGCTGCGGAAATGGGGGGAAAGTCTGAGTTCCATTTGTGCCGCATTTGGAGAACGTTGATGGCAACGTCAACAACACAAGGAAAAGAAGAGATAAAGAAACAAAAAAACACGTCAGTGATTCGAAGCCATTCGTAAGTGGAGACAAGCAAAAGGCTCCTGGGCCGCCCCATGCCCCCACAGGGCACCAGTCGCAGTGCAGCACGCGACAAAGGTGCACATGCGACTCTCATTCCCTCGTTTGGACGTGGGTGGCACCTTGCTTAAAGCGTTCCTTCAGCATCCGAAGCTGCTCCTCCAAATGTCGCTGCATCTCCATCATCTCCGTCAGCGTCCCGGTGCCCTCCGCAGGCAGTCGACGCAGCGCGGTAGGGGGAGGGCAACCCCCTATACCCTCGTCTTCGTCCACAGCGGGTGATAACAGTGAAGCGCGGCGTCGATTAAAGGAAAAGTGCAGCGCAGACTCCGGCGAGGTCGACGGTGGGCGTGGACGCGCATCCGCTGCAGCCGTCGCTCTCGAGTCCACCAAAAAAGACGGCGGGAGGCTCCTTTCCGGTGTCGCGGCTTCGTTGGCCAGCACCGCAGGAGAAAGGAGGCGACGTTGCTGCGACGACTCACGCGGGGCCAGGCGAGAATGACCGGGCTTTTTGAGCTCGGTGTTCTGCACCCCCTCGCACAGCTGCAGTGAAGCGGCGGGGATGGGCTGGGTAAAGTACGCCCGCTTTGGCGTAGGAGCCGTGCTGTTCGAAGAGCGCCGTGACGCCGTGGAAAGATTCTGCACTCCCATCGACTGCGCACGCGGCACCTCGAGCGGCGCAGACGTCATTCGACTCGACGGCTCCACTGCTGCCATTGAAGCGAACCCGCTATCGTTTGCGGTCCGAACCGCTGCAACGAGCGCACCTGACGGCACAGAGCCGTACGGCTGCGCCGCACAAATGGCGGTGGTGACTGCTGGTTCGAACGGAGCAGAGGCCAGCACAGAAACATCGGCATCCGTGAGGTCTACTGTCGCATCCTTCGTCGGGGGAGCAGCCGTGCGCTCCACGCTCTGTTTTTGTCGTTGTCGCTGCAGTGTGGACACGATTGGAGCAACAGCAGCAGCATTGACCTCTGCGGCGGCCGGCGCAGGCGATAACGTAGAGGGCAGAATCGTGCTAGTCGGCTGTAATACATCTTCTAGGTTAGCACGCTTCCGCCGATGATGACGCGGCGAGTGCTCGGCAACACCGCCGCGTGGCGAAGGCGATGCAGCAGCGGCGGCGTGGTCGTGATGTGCATGATGGGGGAGGTGCTGGGAATGGTGACTCGATGCGCTGTGAGTGGCGACGCCGTTCTTGACGTGCATATTTTCCCTTTTCTGAGTCAAGGGCCCAGATGTGGGGGATGACAGCGGAGTAGCGGCTGCAGGAACGGAAGGGTCGTCTTGCGTACACGGAGCCTCTAATAGATCAGTTGAGAACGTGTCCTGGCGATGGTGTGGCTTCCGCTGCGATGCACCCGAAATGACCGCGGCACGGTCTGCGGCTGCACCAGCATCCACAGTCGTAGCACCACTACAAGCATCACGCCGTAGAGGAGAGGAAGCAACGTTTTCTTTTGCTCGATTTATGCAGACCTTTGCATTGGCAGCAACTGGGGCCATCGCTGCCGCCGCAGCAACATTTGCGTGCACCGATCCGTTCTGTGCTGAGGCCTGCGGACAGCCATCTGAGATGGACTTCTCCGACGTATTAGGCGTCGTGGTAGATCGAAGCCAGTCCAGAATGGCTGTTTCTCTAGTGCCCGTGAGATCCCCTGCGTACAGGGTCTGTTGTGACGCTACCGTCCCGTCCCCGTAAAGGGCGATGTTTTGAATCGTCGGGGCAGTGGCCGCCTCCTTTGTACGTTCTCTAGGGGATGTGAACGACGCAACAGCGGCGTCTCGCCGTTGTGGTTGGCGTACTTCCTGTTGTGGAGGACACACAAAAAAGTTCTGTTGCGAGGTGGTCAATTGCTGTCGTGGCGAGCGCGCTGTTTGATGTGTCTTCTCCTCTGTGATCGCCGATGACGTAGAAGCCAGACGGGCAGGCCTTTCACTCCCGCTAACCTCCTTGCATTCACTCAGCGGGCGATAAAACTTGCGTTGCACGTATTTGAGCTGAATCCACTTCATCACGGTGGCGGAGGACTCTCTCTCGCCGGCCTTCACGTAACTCGACGGTATGAGTGCCTCATACATCTTCTTCGCCGTCAGATTGCCCATCTGTGCCATAAAGGCGATCTGCTCTGGCTCCCACAGGTCCATGGTGCAGCTCTTCACGCGGCTGATGTGCACGCCTAGCTGACGGTGCAGACCGCTACAGCGGATGCAGATAAAAATACCCAAAGTTGTGCTCGCCCACGTCGGGTTGCGTGCCGTGCAGTCTATGCACTCGTCGTTGCCTGGCTGCTTCAGCAACAGCAGGAGCTGCTTGCGGCGCTGCTCTTGCACCTCCTTCGTCTGCCGTTGTACGGAGGCCATAAAGGAAGCTATATTATTTGTGCGTGCGTGCGTGAATTAAGCAAACAACAGCGGCAAAAGCCGAAGCGATGGCTGCTGCCCGACGAGTGAAACGCGCTGTTGCGTATAAAGGAAAATCAATTTCCACAGAATGAATTAATAAAGTGAAAACGAATGGAAAGCCAAAATAAAATAAAAAAGGGCACCCTTGTGAAGTGACTTGCTGCTCTTCTGCACCGCATAGATATAAATATATATGCGGATGTTTGCGGCACACACACGCGAAAACAATAAAAAAAAAGGCAGCGCTATCTTGCTCTGTGCTTTGTAACTCGTGTTGAAGCACTACGCCGCCTTCCACTACGCGTAACTTTGCTGGGCCCACCGAAGCGTATGCCGCCAGCGCACCTCCCGAAGGCTCCTAATAGAGTACTTGATTTATTAAGTAGAAGGAAGGAAGAGGAAGATCGACGACACAAACGCAAGCACACACACACAGCAACGAATGAAGATGATGGGAAGAGCTTTCCAGTGGGTTCAGGAACACCGCGGAATTCTACCTTTACCGGGAAGATGCACCATTGACATACGGCATCGCAAAGCTTTCAGCTGAAAAGCAATGGCAACCTCCAAACACACGAACCACGAAATTGAAGCAGAGCTTCTGAGAGAGGTGAGTGCAACAGCATCTCACACCGATGCGAGACTCGCAGATGTGATTCGCGCTTAGCCCTGTCCACATGCTTCTTCGACAGAAAAACGACGAAGGAGAGAAAAAACACTTTTGTAGTTTTTCCCTTTTCAAGTCAAGCGTGAGGCTGGTATAGAGGAGGGGGAAAACACTGATGTATACTACTGTCTTTCTTTGACGAACGGATTAAATAACGAGCGTAAGTTTTCAAAAACAAAAAACCTTGTTTGCCTTTCAGAAGACACTCAGTGACGATACAAATCCTTTGCCTCTCGCCAAAAGGTCGCTCTTCCTGTGAGGTGCGTAACGGAATTGTTTCTGCGCTTTCGGGAAAATAAAAAGAACTCTCTGTTTGTTTCTAAATGAAAAGAGTCGGACAGGACGTGGCGCGACACGCGTTGCGAAAAGGAGTGAGCGCAACGTGTTGGGTGCAAACGGAGAACAGTTGCTAAAATATCAAAAACAAAGAAAAAAAACCGTACGCTGAAATAGCCGCACCTTGTGCAAAAACCCCTACTATATTTTTTTTCTTTTCTCTTTTTCCCCTCTTCTACAGCGCGCTCTTGCAGTGGCTGAGATCGTTGGTCGACGCCACGAACACCAACGAGTTCTTTCCTTCCGCCTGGCACGTCATCTTGCCGTAGGGCACCGCGAAGCAGTCGCCTGCTTTCACCTCCACACCGTTCACCTTCGCCGTGCCCTCCACGCAGAAGCCGAGGCCGATGGTGGGCAGCGTGACGGTAGTCGTGCCGTGGCCGGAGCCGTGGTTGTACTGCAGCCGATACAGGGAGAAGTCCGGGAACTGCTTCGGTGGCTGATAGAGCTGCACCTGCCACTTCGCCTCATCTTCCTTTGTGCTCTTTTCATGGCGGGCCGAGTCGAGGCCGGTTGTGTCGTACTTCAGCATGTTGATGAGGGTGTGCACGTCCTTCCACTTGGGCGTGAGGCCGGCACGCACAACGTTGTCGCTGCACGCCATGATCTCGACGCCCTCGCCACTGATGTACGCGTGGGGCTCGCTGTCGGACAGGAAGAGGCCCTGACCAGGCACGAGCTGCACGTAGTTCAGGAAGTACACCATCCAGCAGCCGACGTCGTCCGGGTACTGGCTGTACGTCCGTGCGAAGACCTCGTCCTCAGGGCACTTCTCACCCTCGTCCTTCACGCGCTTCAGGTGTGCCCGCAGCGCCGTCGTGCACACGTCTGCGGGAACGGCGTACAGCTTTTCCATCATCGCCTTCAGCGCGTGCTTCTCCTCGCCGCTGTCCGCGGCCGGGAGCTCGTTGGCCGACGCCGTCCAGTACTTGCCGAGCACCTCCTCCGCCTCCACCAGCTTTGCCAGCTCGGGGACCTTCTTCAAGAAGGCGATGATCGCCTTCAGAGGGCGAAAGCAGCAGAGTGCCTCGAAGGGCGTTAGGGCGCAGATGAGCTCCGGCTTGTGGTTCGGGTCCTTGTATTTGTCTGGCAGCTTCGCGTGCAGCTCCTCCGCGAGTTTCTTGCATGGGTGTGCCTGGATGGAGAGGGCGGTGCGAATCGACAAGATCTTCAGCAGATACGGGAGCGTGTTGCGGAAGTCGCTGCCCTGGTGCGCAGGCGAGAAGTACTTCTTTTGGTTCTCCGGCTTCTTGAGGAAGTCGTCCAGCAGCTCACCGTTGGCACCAGCCACCTTCGAGGGGCAACTCGGGTGCGTGCCGACCCACAACTCGGCATAGAACTTTCCAGAAGTGTCTTTCGAGAGGCCCTTCATCTTGGCGACGAAGCTCGACTTCGCATCCTTTCCCCAGGCATAGTTCTGGAAGCCGGCATCGATCTTGATCAGTTCAGACATGGTTACTGACGGTGGTGACGTGCTCTTCGTTTTTCCTTTTTGATGACCACCTTTCTTTTGATAAGATAAGCAGACTGCAGTGGAATAAATAAAAACGGGCGAGATAGAAACGGCAGGTTTGTGGATGAGGTCAACTAAGGAGTGTAAACGTGAATAAGTGTTAGGATGTGTCGCAGTGGGGGTGGGGGGGGGGAAGGGGTTGAAAGCAAGAACTTTTGTGTAGGATGTCGGACGCAAAGCGAAAAGCTTGACGTGGCGATATACTAAATAAAAAAATGAGAATAGCGCGATCACGAAAGGGAAAACAAATAATAATAGGAAGTAATGTTATTGGAGTTCTTTCGGCAGGTGAATGGAGAAGTGAGGGAGAGAGAGAGAAAGCGAAGTGAATTGGCAAGAGGACCAGTACAACGCAACGGCGACCGAAACAAAGGAAGCAGAAAGAGTGTAACATAGCTGTCCATAAGCCATAATTCTGCCGCGTAACAACCCAGGTATTTTTTTCTTTTCCCTAGCCCCTTAGGAAGAAGAGAACAAAAAGTGTTGCCTGTGGAAGGCAAGCGCAGAGGCCGTTGTGCAGTTCATCGCGATGCGCGTCTTTGCTCTTTCATTCTTCTCTTTTAATTGAAGAATTATACGCTTGAAAGCGTGCAGCAGAAAAACAACGTGTTTAAAAACCACAAGCAGAACGGTGTGAAACTCGGAAGAAGGTAGAACAAAAGTTTGAGAAGCGCAACTTAATGGCAACATTAACCTTGGATGTCTGCGTTGACAACAGGTTGAGTCGCACAGGCGTAGGGTTGCTGCGCCTGCGTGTACGACGGCAAGAAGAGAGAGTCGTTGGAGTTCGGCGTGTCCCGCCACGCGTCCCACGTTTGCCGTGCAGTCTGCACCGTAGGGATTTGGTTAGTGAACTGCAGCGACGGCACGTGCACTGAAATCATTCCCGGTGTCAGGTTGATGATGCGCAGCTGCGCAAACTCGCGCACCCGGCTTGCTGCGACGTACACGAGGTGGTCGCAGGGGAACATGCCGTCCGCATCAAACAATACGGCATGATTCAACGTAACGCCTTGAATCTTGTGCACCGTGAACGCGTACGCTGGCGTCAACGGAACGCATGTCGCACGGAGCAGGTAGCACCAATCGTGGTGCACCACCGGCACCGGCAGCACAATCCACGGGATGGCCACCTCCTTCCCATCGGCGTCCATGCGCACAACGGGCAGCACCGCGGTGTCGTCTCTGAGAGGAAGCTGCTCGTTCTTCATCACCGCCGTGGTGGGCGGCAGCGTGAGGTGTGGCGCCGTGGTCGCCTTCATGTCCGCCGGCATCAACGACGCACACTCCGACACGGGCAAATACCGAGTAATAGTGCCCAGCGAGCCATTCACGTAGGTAGTGGACAGGTTGCGCAGCAGCATCACACGGCAGCCCAGCTTGAACGTCTTGTCTTGCAGTACGGTGTCCTTGCGGATGGCATCGCGGAAGGCCTGCTGCATCGCGGGCTGCAAACGACGCAGAATCTGCAACCATTCCACCGGCTCCAATCGCACAATCTCTCGAGGAAACAGCAGGGAACACTGCATGGGAGACTTTTTGACGGACTCAAGCGAACAGGAAGGAGGAGCTGCTTCGACGCCTTGCTGGATTATGTACTGCTCTAGCGCCGCTTTCACCGCAGCTCGCCGTTCGCCTGCCACAGCAGCACTCGCTGCGTTGCACTCCAGACTCAACGTACGGAGTGACGTCGAATAGGAAAGCGGCACTGGCAGTGCGCGGAGCCGCAACGACTGCGGAGGGAGTTTGCACTGCCTCTCAATATGTCGCTCCGTACGACGCAGCTCCTGGCTCGTTAGAAGGTACTTCCGCCCAAATGCACCGGCACAGCTAGCGGCCTTTGACGGCGAGCGTAGCCGATATTGCACCAGTAAAACTGAACGACAGGAGTAAGTGCTTTTCACATCCCCCTGCTGCTGTGATGGGCGTTGTGTGAGCGCCGCCACTGCGGTGGCATCTGTTACCGTGAGCTGCGTGCGAAACAGCCGGCTCTCCCCGCCCAGCTCCAACATGCGACGGTCATTGAAATTCTTCACTGCAGCCTTAGTAGGCAAGAGACGCACCGCGTCCTCGTCGACGGAGTTGAGGAACGCTGAACGAGAAAGCCGAAAGGGTAGCTCGCCACGTCGCAGTTCATTCAAATCCGCCGCGAAGGATGCATCCTTCTGACGTTGAGGGTCGCGGAGTTGCACGTGAAGGAGGTGCTTGCGGAAGCACCAGCTCTCGAACATGGGCTTGTCGTAGTACCAAATCTCTTTCTTTCGCCGTGGGATACGCCCGCATTGCTGCACACGGTCGTTTAACGATGAGGATTCGGGGGAAACTTGAAACGACCCAGTGAAAGCTGTGGAGGAAGAATCAGTAGCCGGTGCTTGAACACCTTTGCTACCGTTAGCTCCGTTAGAATGCTCTGTGTTCAGCTTAAAATCACTTGCAGACTCTGACAGAGGCCGTTGAACGCCCCGGCACACTTTCCGATTACAATGGTACGCCTCATCTGAAAGTGTTCGCGGTGATCGCCTAGACGAGCCAAAGGACCGGTCCAGCGACGCGAACGGCGTCAGCTGCATAAAATCACCCGAGAGGATCATCTGAACGCCGCCAAAAGGGCGTCGCGCGTCCCGGCCCGATGTACGCCGCAGCGCACGATCCAGTGCCTCCAAAAATCCGGCGTGTAGCATCGAGACCTCGTCCAGCACTATCACATCAACGGAGGTCAGCACTTCTGTGTTTTTGAATTGAAGTCGTTGAGGCTGTCGCGACGGAGAACAACTGCCTGTTGGTATGGAATCGACGAGGACGCTGCGAGCAGCGTCATCTTCTGTCTCACCGGAGACGTCCTCGGCGTCGTCGTCGTTGTAACAACTCCTGTCTTGCCGTGACTTGCTGAGCGCCGCGTCGATGATATCATCCGGCGTCGGAAGGGGAATGCCAAGCTCGCTGTGGAAAGTGTTGCCGCCAATGTTCAGCGCGGCGATCCCGGTGGAGGCGGTGACGGCAACGCGCAGGCCTTTCCTCGAGAGTGCAGAAGCAATGGCGACCAATAAAAAGGACTTTCCTGTGCCTGCCTCACCGCCAATGAAAATCGACGCCCCCTCAAGAACCAGGTGAAGGACTCCTTTTTGATCTCGAGTCATTTCCATGGTAGAAGTTGGCTCTTCTGCAGGTTTTGTTGTGGGAAGAGAAGGCAGCTCTGCATCTGTGAATGGGGCTGGTGTGGGGAGAGCAGATTGGCTCGGTGGAATCGGAGGTATGCTCTGCTGCGGCAGCTTATGCCTCCGTAAGTTGCGGGCCCATGTTGCTGCGGTGACGCCTCCCTTACCATCCGGACTCGAAAAGACGTGGAAGTGTTTCGTCTTCGTTCTGCCAGCTAGCACATTCTGATGTAAAGTAAACGGTGCGTTCGCCCATTGCAAAGGAGCTGTTTTCGTCGGCTTTGGAGTGGTAGGACCGACGCGGTGCGTTACGCATAAAGATCTGGGAAAAAGTGTGTTGAAGCAACGCCTTGTGTGGGTGCTGAACATAGCAAGCGACGAAAGCGTAACAGCAGCATCCCGCCGCAGTCTGTCAACCACAGAGCAAAAATAAATAAATAATAATAATAATAATAATAGAGAGTTGTCAGGGAGGAGGAAGGCGATGTTGTTGAGACGCACGTACAACCAGAGGTTTAACAAGAAAACGAAGACACGACACAAAAGTCCAGCGCAGGTTGTTCAACCGAAGGAGACAACGCAGCAGACGCCTTGATTCCAAGCACTTCTTGCGTTTCATGGACTTGGGAATTCACGCTTCACTACCACATATTGTCCTTTCCTCACCGTCACCGAGGGGGCAATAGCCGGACAAGGCAGCACCGCTCAGGTCTTTTCCGAGGTTATTGACAGTGCCTTCTGCTTCGGTAAGGGACGCGAAACACAACCGCTACCTCACCACCGCGCCTGCTTGCGTGTAAACGCAGTAGTCGCAACAACATCGATGTATCGAACGCCAATTCTTAACGTACCTGTACGCACTGCAACTCTACCACAGTGTCACAGAATCTATGAAGAAGTAAAAATGGGGTGGGCATCTAAATAATAAATAATAGTAGTAACACGAACCACTAGGTCGCTCAACGACCCATAAAGTGGGTCACAGGTGGGGGTAGAGCGAATTCGGCGTTGCGGGAGCGGGCGGCCACCGTTGGACGCTGATACGACGGCATCTCCTTCTGCTCGTCCTCCATCGCATGAATTGATTGACGAAGCAGCTGCAGTTGGCGGTGCTCGTCGGCGGTCACGTACAGACGATGGCAGCGCGTAGGAGGCAGGCGGTACTCCTCCGTGTCACCCTCCGAGTCGATGAGCCGGCGCATGCGCAGCAGCGCAAAGAGCTCTGCACCGGTGACCGAGGCAAGGACGGTGGCCTCGACATTCAGCGAGATCGGCTTCGTCCGTGGCTCAGACGCAGAGGGACGAAGTGGCTGGGAGCCAGTGCTGCTGCGCTCACGGGGATGGGAAGGAGACGGAGCTGTGGAAGCTGACCGACGTAAGATGCGATAAACACCATCCGGTTGCTCAGACCTCGAGCCCGTCAAAGGCTTTCGCTTGTGTGTTGTGGGGCCACTCGGCGAACGCGATACCGTACGCAGACTTCTCGGAAGCCCTCTTGGTCCGTCGCGTCCAATGCGAGGATTCGCCACAAGTGGGGCCTCGCCTGAAGGTTTCTGCTGACGTGTGGCGCTAGTGGGATCGCTGAAGGCGCCTGGAGAGGTAGAGATCAACGGCTTCATACTGCGCTCCGTGAGTGCCACTTCGACGCCACGATGCTCAATGGGTTTGGGAAAACGTGCAGCAGATGCCACAGAACGCGAAGAAGCAGGCGACGGCACGTGCTCATCGTACGTGTACTCTCGAGGGTGCAGAGACCTCTCCGATTCGTCGCCGCTGGACACAGGGTCGTACAAGGTCTGCCGGAGCCGCACACCTGCATGTGTCTTTGATGACTGCGCACCCGATAGTTCCACTTCGATGGGTGTGCGGATGTGCGTGATGGGACGCTCGTGCCGGTACGAATGCGGAGAGCGAGCCGAGGACGGCGGCTCCAGCGTGGTGTCCCCTCGCTTTTCTGGTGACCGCAGCGGCGTCGCGGTTGCGGCGCGTGGCCCTGGCGGCGGCCGAGGCGGAGGGCTGCTGTCCCCCTCCTGATAGGAATTTTCTGTGTGCGGGTGAGCGGAGTCGCCAAGACTATCGTTTGTCGTCAGTCCAGATGCTTTGGAAGTCGGTTCCGCAGTAGTACGCAACGTTGTGGGCGGGGCGTTGGTGAGCTGGCGCATCTTCTGTCGTAAGCGCTCCTGTACCACCCGAAAGGCATCGAAGTGCACCTCGGACGTCGCCGCGGTGTTGAGTGCGGAGGACGAAACGGACGTAAAAGACGCGTCTGCGCTTGTCCTCGCCGGTACGTTGCCCTCAACGTATCGATGACCGTTTTGCGCGTCGCGGGGCGTTCTTTGGCCGCTGCTCGTCTCTTCAACCGCTACTCCCGTGGTGTCCGTGGCTGTCGCGGTGGTGCGTCGGGGAAGGGGAAACCTCTCTTGAAATTCGTACGTGCGAAGCCCAGCAAAGTCAGGTTGAGAGGCGGCAGGTGAGAAAAGTGCGTCTCCGGCCGCCACCGGGGCGGAAGCCTGGGAGTGTGCGGAGAAGGTAGAGGAAGTGTCGCGATGACGTGTCCCACTTGGCGCCGAGGCGTACTGACGAGCAAGCTGCAGCATCGCATCGACGCCTCTTATCTGCGGCGATCCTGCTGCCCTCTCTGCTGTTGTCGGGGCAAAGACGTTGGGAGAAGATGCATCTGCGTGCAAATTTTGTTTACTTGGTGCCACGTCTTTCGCTGAAAGCCTGACGGGTATGTTGACATCACGTTCCTTCAATGCGGCCTGTGGGGTTGAAAGATAGGGGGTCGTTGGTGCGCCGGTCATGGATGAGGAGGGTGGCGCATCGCGGTAGTAGCGGTGTGCCGTGCAGCGTCCCTGCGAACGCTCCTCGTCCTTCTTGTCCACAGCGGTAGACAGGTGGGAGAGTCGCGCACGCATCGCTGTCATGCGCTGCTCTAGCGCCTCGCTCATCGAGACGAACCGAAATCTCTATTTGTATAACAGTAGTACCGATAAGCGAAGAAAGCCAACGGAGTTACAGGTAATAATAATAATAACACATATATATGAAGCGGGCACAGAGAGAGGTTCAAACTGTGCCTCTTTTCGATTTTGCTGCGTGTCCCAGTTGTGCCCCTGTGGGGAACGCGATGACCACAAGTGCAGAGAGGGAGAGAAGGAGAGGGACAAAATCAAACGTAAAAGGGAAAGGGTGAAAGAATGCATTGCCATCAGCGGGGCCGAAAACTCGTTGACTGGTTCTGCACGTTCAGAAGACTGCACTCGCACGTGAAGGCAACGCGTGCTGCATTGGGAATAGTTGAATGCTCTCTTATTCCCTCTCCCCACCTGACCGTTTCTTCCGTCCGAACTAAAGTTCAGAGAGACGGCGTTTTTATCAGCTTCGCTTGGAGGATTTGCTGTCCCGACGTACGGAGAGGGTTCCACCTTCGTTTAGAATCCAAAAACAAGGTGGAGAGTGCACAGATAATGAAAGCGAAAAGAGGTAGAAGTCCAACGACGCGCGGTTACAGCTCTTGGCCTTCCGCGAACGCGGAGGGGAAAGGCGCGCGTGTATAGCGGCTCGTAGCATGGAAAAGAGAAGAGACGCACCAAACAGGAAACGAAAGAGGCGAGTAGATAAAAACCAGGAAAAGAATAGGAGACGAAAAAAAGCGTTGCATCTCGCGGCGGAAACGTACGGTGTGGATCACCTATTACAACAAAGGAGAAAGGACGTCAGCAGGAGAAACAGAGCAAAAGAGAAGATACTATTTCATCTGGTCAGCTTCAAAGGTAAAAACAAGAGCTTTGCTTTTTTTTTTTTAACGTTCGACACAGCCAAAAAAATGAGGACGAGAGAGGGAAGGGGAGAGAGGAGGATCACAGAATACTTCGGGCTCGTCGCACAGTCGGGCTCGCATGATCATGCAATCGGGGCTGTGAAGTTGAACGCACACAACAGAAACACCATAATAATAATAATAGTAATAGTAAACTGTCACACACGCCTTGACTCAGAACGCAACGCAGTGCAAACAAACAACTGCACGTGGTGCAAGAACGCAAAAGGCCTTCAGCTGGAATGCAAAGAAACACGAAAAAAAAAGGCGGGTGGCACTTCGTTCTTGCCCAATGCATTCTCAGTTTGCCTTCTTTCTTCTCACCGTTGCATCAGCAAGGCGTCAGAGTGTCAGTCCGTCACGCTCACACCAGACTCAAGCGAATAATAAATAACGTTGTAGCTACACATGTGCGATTTTGGTGCTCGGTTCCTACCGGTTCCCTTCATGAAATCTTAAAAGAGGTAGACCAAAGAGAAAAAAAAAACTGTGCTACGACGGGCTCCAATGAGACAGCAGGACGAATTCGTGAAACAGAAAATCGAATAGAGACGTTTACCCTCCGGACAGTAGACGATGGCAGAAAAGAAAAAAGTAAAGGAGAAAAGGTGTCCGTCAGATTATACAGTGTCGTCACTATCAATTAAAAAACAAAATGGATTATAACTTGCGTTTACTTAAGTTAAGTTTGTCCACTTTAAAACAACCATTAGAGGATGCGAACGGCAACAACACAAAAAGGAATGAGTGAGTTGCCTGCAGCTGTTTTTCCATTTTTCTCCAATTGCAGCTTTTTAAGAAAGAGAAAACATTCTCCCTCCTCTTCATCAAACAATAGCGTTTGCGAGAGTTTTACGCTGCGTTCGCTGAGTTAAGAAATCGGAGATTGCGCTGTCTCTGCTATTCCACAATCAGGAAACGCGCAGACGGCCTTCCTCACTGTCGTCGCTGCTGGAGAAATCCGATGTGCGAAGGTTGGCGCGAATCCGCTGGCACAACGCCCTCCATACCGGCACAAAGCGCTTCTCTAGGTCTGCGACGTTGATTACGGTCAGTCGATCGGTCATTTCACCTTCGTGGTGACGCTTCGTCTTCATGCCCCGCAAACGACGGGAGCGATAAATTTCGTTGATCAGCTTCGCGTCCCCCGTCAGAAAAATTGTATCCACGCCGTGCAGGGCCTCGATGACGCGGCGCATGACGCTGTCGGCGGCTTGACTCTGCCCACCGCAAGGCGTGAAGAAGGCTTGATTTCGCTCGACGAGAATCTGCCAGATCGACTTCTTTGTTGTCTCGTGCGGTGCTGCGGCGCGGCTCGGGAGCGGCTCGCACACCGTCTGCGCATTGGGCCACGCACGGTGGTGGCGCGTAAAACAAGATCCGAAGAACGCCCATACAAGCACGTTGTCCAGCAGTTCCGCATCGGTGTAGGGCGGGATGGACTTGAACTGATTAAAGCCGAAGTTGTCCAGATCCACGAGGACAATCACCGGTGACAGCTCCGGTTTGCTGCACAGCTCTGAGAAGCGGGACATCACACGGAGTGTTTCGCACTGGATGCAGTGGCACTCCTCTGACAGCCAGGCGTCACCGCTCATGAAGTAGGAGTCGTGGCGAGCGTCCGCGTCGTCGCAAGCACCGGCCACCACACTGAAGCCCTCGTCGCCGGGCTTGTGGAACTGTACAAAGCCGCCCCTTACGGGAGAAAACGTGATGTGCGGTGTGACCACGTCTGGCGGCGTGGAGAGCGTAGTACTTGCCTCCATTGCGGACATGTCGTCAAATTCTGCCTCTTCGAACATTGTGCTCGCACTGACAGGTAGGAGAACCAGTGAGTATTACAGACCACAACTATGAGCGGAGGTGGAACGCGGAAACGAACCTCGATCAAAGAGCTTACCTCTGCTTTGTATAAGAGGTGACACAAGACGAAGGGGAGACTGGACACAAAAACTAAGAAGATGAGCTCCCTCTCTCAGAAAACCAAATACCCAACCAAACAACAAAAGAAAAACCAGACACCACAAACGTACCTGTTCCAGTTGGATAAAATACAATAAAAAACAAATAAACGATGCAAATGAGGACGTTGTACTTCCTTCAAAGAGAAAAAACCAGATCCCGTTTTTTGTTGTTGGGGGAGGTAGAAGTGAGCACGTGAGTGGGGTGCGAAAGAGATGGTCAAGATACGACAAAGATACGAATTAGCTGCGACAGTGGGCGAGATGAACAACACACACATAGAAAAAAAAAAGAGGAAAAAAGAGAAAAGAGAAAAGAGAAAAGCAGGGGTTTCAGACGATGAGGAAAAAACAAAAAGGGAGGGTCTTTTTTGTGTGTCTCGTGCAGCATTCCTAAAGCGTCCTCTGGGGCGGACTCGGCGCTGGTAAAAAGCAGGGCGCCAGGCAGGATCGTATTGTGTGTCACACCGAGTCTTCGGGCCAGACTCACCAACACACACATGTGCGAAGGCACAGAGAGAGAGATAATTGTTTTTCACGCCACCGTTTGTGTAAAAAGTATTACTCAGAGAAATAGTCCTCGTTTTATCCGTTTTGTTTCTTCTTCTTGTTGTTGACTGCAGCGAGGTTAATACGTGTGTGATAGCATGGTTTCTTGAGTAGCAGTTCCGCGTGTGGGGGCGCGCTCTTTTGGGGGGCTCTGTGTCACGCATCGGACGGTGAAGCCCGTCGCACAAACCACACAGAATTGAAAAAAAAGTTTGAATCTACTCCGTGCGGGCCTTCTTCGCCCGCGGTGCTTTCTCCGCCTCGCAATCCTCCACCACCGGTGCCGTCGGGGGCGGTTTACGCTGCAACGCCTTTGCCTTCTCTTCGGTTTCTTCCCTACGGTGCGACTTGAAGACGTTGCGGCGTCCCCAGCAAATGTCATCGAGACCGCCGTTGGCGGGCGACGCGGAGCCAAACGCGCGCTTTGCCGCGGCGGCCTGGTAGCTGATGAAGCCCGGCACCACCTCTGTCGTGCTTACGACGTCCCCATCACTTGCCGCAGGAGTAAGACGAGAAGAAGGCGTGGGCAGGGAAACGAGACACGTGTATTCATCCCACACGGTGTTTAGCTCTGCCGGCTGCACATAGGCGCCGGCAACAGAGAGGAGTTTCTTGACCCACTCTACCAGCTTGTGGTACAATTCAGCGTCGGCGCTGCTCAGCTCAGCAGCCAACGTTACCGACCGCTGCAACTTGACGCGGATTCGCTGAACAGCGCGTACAGCAAGCGCGACAGCGGGCGCGAAGAGACATGCGCTAACCGCCGACGCAGCGCCCGTCGCCTTTTCTGTGAGTACTTCATTCCACGATGCGCACAGGTCTACTGCAACCTGCACCAGCGTCTCCAGACGATCCGTGGTGTTGTCCGGGCAGCCCAGCAGCTGCATGGTGTCGTACATAATCAGCTTCAGCTCGGCCTCCGCGCTCAGCGTCCACAGCTGCAGCACAGGCGTCTGCGTGTTGGAGTCCTCCCACGCCTCTGTCGTGTCCAGCAAGTCCCCCAAGAGGCCACGGCAAAAAGTTGCCACACCAACGCGGTGCATCCACTCATGCACGGCGTCGCGCGCTGCTGTCAGCCGCACCGTCCGCTTCTCCGGATTCGCGAACGCCGCGACGGAGGCGCGGTACAGCTGCAGGCAGTGTGCCACCGAGTAGAAGATGGAGCGCAGCTTGTCGATTTTGGCCCCCATTGCGGTCCTAAAGTGTTCTTGCGCATCCTTCGCAGTTTTTCTATGTGCATCCTCGTCCGACTCCACGGTGGCCAAGGCCCACATGAGGCAGAAAGAGTGCCGGTTCAGCACGAACGCCCACAAGTCGGAGTCGTCTGCCGCGTTGAACATGTCCGTGACCGACCAGCGATGCTGCGTGGCAATGTAGCGGGCAAACCACTGGTGTAAAAGAAACAGGTAGAACTGCGTTTGCGATCCGCTGAGGCCGACGGTATGGTGGCGAGAGGTGGACGAGGCGGACTGCGGCTGCCACTCCACAACACGAAGGGTCAGCAAACCAAGCGCGGGGAGACTCCCCTGACCGTGCGGGGCCTTACGAAGCTCCTTCATCAGCTCTTCCAGTAGCTCGTACGCTCGCTCATCGTAAAGCAGCTTGTCGCTCGGAGATTCAGATGGCTCGGGAGCCGGGGACGCTGGGGTGGAAAGATCCAAAAGGTGTTGATGTAGCGCCACGGCAGCCCGCATCCACGTCGACTGCAACGTTGCCTTCCCTACCGCTACTATCTCCTTTGCCTTTCGCTCCTCCACCTCACTCTCCTCATACTCCTGCAGCAACGCAGGTAAGCTCGCGGAGGGGATCTGCAAGTCACGCTTAAACGAGCGCCGCACGAGCGCTTCCACCGCACCTTCCGCCGACTCGTCCAGCTGGCGAAGAACATCCTCGTTCAGCCACTGACGCTCTACGGCACCGACAACGCCGTAGTCGCCAAACAGGTGTGACATATCGTCGGCAAGTTTTGCAAACGCGTGCAGCGGCGGCGCCAGAGCGCGCTCGAGCGACTCAACGGTGCACGTATCTCCTGCCGTGGTGTCGGCGGTAGAGCTGGAGCTCTGCAAAGCGGAGGCGGTATTGGTAACAGCGTGCGCCTGCTCCACCACAAATGCTAGCCGCGGCTTCACCACACGCGCACACCCCCAATACAATTGACAGAACAGACCCCAGTACTTCATGAGCAGTGCCTCGCGTAGTGCTTCGAGAGACGCCTGTGAGTCGCGGGAGGCCACTAGCACAGGGAACGATGAGGTGATGCCCGTTGCCCAGCGGTCCCAGGCGGATTGTGGCAGGGGCACGGTGCGTGCGCAGACGTCGTACACGTCATGGTAGTGCTGCAGTGCCTGTGTGCAGGCGGACACGGTGAGCTGCGATTGTGCCGCCACGTCGCGCCACTCCGCTTCTACGTCATCGAGGCGGTGACAGACGGCGCTGACGGAAAGTGTTTGCGTGCCTTTGCGAACCACGTCGTCGCAGCAGGCAAGAAAGGTCGCCACTTCTGTCGAGGCGGTTGCGTGCTGCAGAGCGGACATGTACGGGAGGGAACTCAATTACTTGTGTTGTTGTTGCTTTGTTTGCTTCAGAATCACCTTGATGTACTCGTCATGTGCACACAGATTCGTCGAAGAAAGAGAGAGGGACGGAGGAGGAGAAGCAGAGAGCGCACTACGCCGGAAAAGAGCCAATACGCTTCATCCATCACGAAATCCTCTTTGCGTTTCCCTTTTTCTTCTTTATGGTGAGAAACCAAGGCGATAACAGACCCCTCAGAGAAATAATAGTGAACCATCAGCCACCACAACCGCCGGGATAAAAGGGAAAATGCGACAGCTCCACCACCACCACCACGAATGAAACGAACCGTCTCTACTTGTTAAACACAGCTGTACTCCGATTTGGGTCATTTGAGGCCGTCAAGCCACCGAGGTCCGCAGGCGGTACGACCCCTTTGAGTGTTTATTTTTCTTTTTTGGAGAATTTGAAATTGGAGGCAAAAAAAAGTCTGCTATTGAATTCGCAATAACAATAACAAGGCTATGTAGAGCAAAGAGCGGACAGTCAAGCAAGAGCGAACGCACATAAGTGCTTTATTGTAATTACAACCGCACGCCACCGTTCTGGAAACAAGAAATGTCCTTTGTATAGTCTGTTTGTTTGTTTAACCTAATCGGGAGAATTAAAACAACAGAATCGCCGCTACGCGCGTCACATTATGGTCATAATAATAATACTAATAATAGTAGTACGAGAAAAGTACCTGTCTTGTTTGTCAAGAGACGTGTTTCCCTCAGACAGTCGTCGCGCCTCGCAGCAAGACAGTGCAGCAGGACTACTGACGTCCACGCTGCACATTTTGGGCATATTTTCTTCTTGTATCAAGTTTTTACCTGTCCACAAAGAAAACAAATCAGCGGCCCGATCTAACATACACACACACACATTATATGTATATTAGAAAAGCAGCACCCACTACTGTACAAGTTGGCTGCCTCTCGCGCAGACCACGAAGATGGTTGTGAGAGCGACAAAACAAGAAAGTAGGCAAAAAAATAATAAAAGAGGACAAACAAGATGCGAAAGCACCAAACACTGAAGGCTGAAAAGGCCATACAACAGAGAAGAGACGAAAACTAAGTCTGCCATGAGCAGAAACACTTTCATTCTTCCTTTTGCTTAGCTTTACCGCTCGCGTTAGACCCTGCAGTAGCGATTCGAGAAAGCGACGCCGTCCTGCACAACGAGTTCTCAAACAAACACCAACAAAAAAAACACGAGAGGACGGCAACTAAGATGTAAGAGTTTAATACCTTGATGAGCTTGAAAACCAGCAATAGAAAAGCGGAACAGAGAAAACTTTTTTTTTAAAGGAAATTCTACTGCTCTCTTTGAATTAACTTACTTCTTCAGCTGGTAAAGAGACAAACAAGGAAACAAAACTGTACGACAGACTCTAATAGCTGACGGAAACGTAAATAGGAAAACAGCAGCATCTGACACGTCGTCCGTCACCGCCGCAGCGCTTCGTTTTATACGCAGAAAAAAAAAAGGTGGCGTTACACGATCAGGACGGAAGAAAGATGCAGAAAACGTCAGCTGTAGTCTTGATAACTATATTTTGGGGGCTTTTTTATACTGAAGATGCGTAAAGACGCACTTCCTCACCACACACAACAGTAATAATACGGCTTGACGTAGCTCGGTATTATGATTACCATTACTGTCGCCTTCCGTTGAACTGAGGCCGTCCGTGAAAAGAGCAAAGAAAACTACATCCACAAAGATACCGGAGGCAAATCCCAGAAACACACAAGCAACTCGGTGTTACCGAGTGCAAGACACCCCAGGCAAACTCTCTTCGGTGGCAGGATTTAGCTTTTTGTCTTTTTGAAGAAGTCGATGTGGCGCGACTTCTCAAACTCGTAGATCTCAATCATCGGCGGCAGCAGCTGTGACAGCGTTTTGAGTAGCAGCTCGAAGACGATAATAATCGCATTGAATGCCTGGAGATCATCGCGACTCACCACCGCGTCCTTCGACGCGTGGAAGCTCATTGCCAGAATACGCTGCACGAGGTCCTCGTTGTCCTTGTTGAGCAGCACCGAAGGGTCCAGCTCGTGCATAAAAGCGTCCTCGACGGCCGAGGAGTTTAGGTAGACGTTCAGCAGTTCTTTATCTGGCGCCGACACCTGTTGGATGGCAGCGTAGAAGTTACGTTGTATGTTGCCCGTCACCTGATGCAGACTGCGACACGCCAGCTGCGACTTCCACATTAAGTGCAGCGGCTCCTCCATTGACCACGTGCGGTGGCGCTCCGTCGCGTCGATGATGCTCTGGAGAATCTGATGAATGAGGCGGCCGGCATCTAAGAGAAAGGGCCGTGTCAGCTCCAGCATATCGCGCAGCACCACACTCGGCGGCTGCTCACGTGGCCGGTGGAGGCGAGCCACTCCCCCCACCAGCGCTTCCTCCAGCGACGCGATTTCATTCAAGTTGAGTCGCAGGCGCGCGCACGCCGCCGCGGGGTACACGCCGCCACGGAGTGTCGGCTCCGTCGCTGACTTGCCCATCCACTCCGCGTACGCCTTCAACAGGAGCTGCTGTGACGAGACGGTGGCACGCGCCTTGGCGATGAGGAAGTCGACCTCTTTGCCGTCCATCGTGATCGGCGCACAGCCGATCGTCACGATGGTCTGCGCGAGGTCGTTCATGCTGATGAAGCATTTGGTGCGCGTGTTCCACAGCACCCGGATCGGGTCCACCGGAAAGATGAAGGTGCAGATGATGTAGTACGAAATGAAGGCGAACACGTTATCGGTGATGCGATTGAGCAGCAGAGTCGGGGTAGAGGCAAGTCGGAGGCCGGCAATGCACGTCACCAGTACATACTGCGCGCCAAAGCCGTAATTCGGATGCTGCGAAAAGCACATCGCGATGAAGCACCAGACCATGGACAGCAGCGTGAGCTCCGTGAGGTTGTGGGTTTTGTTGACGGTGATATAGGCCAGCGAGGCACCGATGCAGAGACCACAGATACGGTTCGTACCCATCGCAAGCGTCTCCGACGCGGTCTGCTGGGCCAGACGCAGGAGAATAGCCATGCCGAAGAAGTACACGTTGTTCTTGTCGTAGTTGAGCGTAAAGGCGCAGGCCACAGTGAAGGCACCGGCGTAGCGAAAGGAGTCCTTTAGAAGACGGACATCGTACGGACGGTCGAGCGTCAGTCGGTGCGGCAGCTCATCCCAGAAGTTGTTCCACAGATCCAGGAAGAAGAAGTTCAACGCGCGGCGCAGCATCGAGGGGTACTGTGCGGGATCAAAATTCTTCATTGCCTGCTCAAACCGCTGCAACTCCGTCGCAATGTCGATGAGGCTGAAGTGAAAGGCAAAGCACTGCAGGCACGCGTTCGTCTCCTCCACGGGTAGCTTGCGCAGGAAGAGCATCTCCATCCTTTCTTTCTCCATGAAGTCGGAAAAAATCATCGCGCTTTCCGCCATGGCGTCGAAGCTCACATTGGCGACAACGTCCTTCGCGGCAATATAGGCGCCGACCTGCGTCAACACCTTCATCACCTCCGCGGCCAGCTTCATCGCGGGGCCTTGCATGCGCTTTTCGAACTCCTTGATCTCATTCCGCACCTGGCTGCGGTGGACAGAGTGCGAGTTGGACAAGCGCTGCCCGGACGCGGCGGACATGGCGTAAATGTGCATCTTAATCCGCTGCAGCATCGCCAGTCGCTGACCACGCAGGGTGTTGTTCAGATTAAACTCCGTCGGTTCGTAGGAAGAGAAGTTCACGGCCACTCGCACGGTGGCTGTCAGTCCGCTGATCTTGTTGAACGGGATCTGCGAGAGCGCCATCTTCGCATCCATCCGCACCGGAGCCCAGAAGCTTTTCATGGCATTCCCCACACCGGCGCTGTACAGCTTGTGCAAGCTTTTAATGCCCTCATTCGCCTGTCGGTAGGTGAACGTCGGATACGGGAGAATAGTCGCCAGGAGCGCGAAGCAGCAGGCAACGATGAAGTTCCATGCGAAGCGACACGCAAAATCCACCTCGTCCCCGCCAGGGGAGTGCTCCATCTGCATGATGATAAGCGTGTACACCATCATGAGGCGCTTCGCCGCCACCTGGCCCAACAAGGACACGGAGAAAGTGGTGAAGAAGACGCAGCACCACCAACCGCCTGGGCTGTTCACCACACCGACGGCGTTCAGCACGACACCCCACGTCATGAAGAACAGCATACCCTGGAGGGCAAGCGCAATCATGAACATCATCGCACCGAGGCTAGGCCGCACAAAGAGACCCGCAATGATCGGCACCAGCGCGCCGGCCACAAAATAATCCCTCGTCTTTGGGTGCTCCACCAGTAGGAAGGTAGGAAAGACCGCAAAGGCGGTGACCCGAAAGCCGAAAAGGATGTTGCGCGAGAACGCCTCCGACTTCAGGCTCTCCCACGCCGCCTTGAAACTAACGGTGTCGTCATCTAAGTTTTCCCGCGATACGCAGCGCAGCGCCTCGTGCATCGGCTGACGCATGTAGTTGTCTTGCGCTTTCTCCTCGTCAAAAGCAAAGTCTGCGATGGGCATGCCGCCCCAGCCGTCACCACCGCCAGTTGGGAACGTCGTGCTAGACTGCTTTTCGCCAAAGGGGGAGATGCGGCCGCCGCTGGATACCTCCCCACCGCCGTCCGGCAGTACGCCATCCCCACGCATCATCGGCGTTGCGACTAAGCTGGGGGCGTTGCGGTTGCGCTGGATGGCGAAAGAGCGCTTCAGCGTCTCGACAAACTTCTCCGCCTCGCGCACGTCCAACGGGCGTGTCATCGATTTGTTCGCCACAAACTCGCCGGGCTCATTCCCCGCCGTCGAGCCGAGGAAGCTGCTTTTCGATGCCGTGGAGTGTGCCTCGCGTGTCGGCCTTCTCGCACTCGCTCTCCCTCCAGCCACATCCTCGTCTTCGCCGGAGGACGCCGACGACGACCTGTCGGCATCTGAAGCACCGACAAAAAAGGTGAAGTTGTTGATTGGATTGTTCGCGTCGCTTTCAGAGTCCTCGACAGTGTCCCCGCGCAAGTACGCCTTCACAATGTTGTCTCGCCCCTCAGAGGAGACTCGATCTCCTTGACTCACTGAGGGAACCGCAGCGGCTGCGAGTAAACTCATGTTGCGCTCGCTCTCCGGGATGCGGCTATCGTCCTGGCGAAGGGGACTGCTGAATGACGTGAGGGGCAACGCGGCAGCTGTGGCAAACGGGTAAAAAGACCGGTTCGGCAACGGGTGATCTGCGACTGGCTTGTAGCGCTTGCCCTCCGTTGCGATGACGCTGTGTTGCCGCTTCGGGCGAACAGCCGGAAAGGCGTCGAGTGAGGTAGTGGGGGAGGTCCGGTACGCCGGCGAAGGCAGCAGGTTGAGAGGCACCGAGTCGTCGCTCTCGTAGCCGGTGGGGCTGTGACTGCGCAGACCCGCACCGGGGCGCTGCCGATCACCACGAAACCGCGTCATGGGTGAGACCCGACCCACGGTCGGGGTGCCAATCACCGTTATGGGGGTTGTGACGCTTTGCGCGCCTTCGCGATGTGCATCACGCAGCTGTTGGAACACGCCGCGTGGGGAGAGAACTTCCATCGACGGCACCCTGGTCTGCGATAGCGAGGCGGCTGCCGAGGACCCGGTGTGCGGAGGTGACAGCGGCCCGCTCATGTCGTCGTCGTCGTTGCGGCTGCCGTCGCCACCTGCGACTGCATTTACCGGTGGGACATGGTGCTGCGACGGAACGGAGGAAGAGGGTTTCAACGGCAGAGTGGGTTTGTTTGAATCCATCTGGTGTGTAGTAGTAGAAGAAAAAGGCCTGAAACGTGCAGGGGGAAATGAAATTAGGAATCGCAGCAATATCAATAAATTAAGAAGGAAGAGAGGGTAACTACGAACTTGCAAACAGCCTCTGGAAAATTGGCATACACGTAAAAGACAGAGGAGGACGTGCTCTAGTCGTAGAAGACCACGAAAAACCGAGAGGCGTGAATGCGTGTGAGAGGGAAAAGACAAGACGATTTGAAGCTGCGTGAGCAAGAGACCGTTCTGCGAAAACGGCCGCCTCCGCTGTCGTTACGCTATCAATTCCACGCCAAAGCAGGGGGAAAACAAGAACTGGCAAGACAAATAATTGGGCTGCGTCGTAGTGAACAGGGGGGGGGGGGATTCTGTTAGAAACCAAACAAAAGACTTAAGTAGATTGGTGAATCGTTCGAAGATAAGGCACCACCAAACTCAAAAGAAACACTTTCAAGTAAGAGAACAACAATAGTAATTATATGCACCGTGTAGACAGCAACTACACACAGAAAGAAACTCAGTCGGCTTTCACGTTGGCAGGATGTAACTGCTCTTCTATTTTTCTTTTCTTTTGAGTAACGGGCGTTACTTACGATTGGCGAATTACGCTAGCAAATATATATATATATATATATTAACAACTAAACAAAAGAGAAACAGCAAGAGAGGAAAAAGGAGAAGAAGAAACAAATATATGTATAGAAGATCGTGAAGGAAGGGCAATGCTGCGCTTAATGAATCAGCACGCACGCACTCACAACACAAAGGAGAGGGGCTGTGGGGACAAGACAATAAACGATAAAACAAAAAAAGAGGTGTGCCGGAAAGGAGAAGTGAAGAGAGGAGGACCAATTCACATTGAGCGTAGTCCGCAGACTAACGTTAATGACATCTTCATGTACTGTCGAAACTTTCGCTTCAATGCAAGTCGTTCGATTGCAGCACTTCCAGGCTTCTCTGTCCTGCGCTGTGAACAGCACGGAATGTTGGAGACCTTTCCCTTTCCCACAAACCGCATCGCGGCAAAAACAACCTAAAAGAGCATTGTTGAGCTGTTTAGGGCAGCTACGGTGTAGCGTACCACATACAAAGCACCGCTTATTCTTACTACGGTTTTCACTGTGGCGGTAGCACACCAGCTACATGAAAAAACACACAAAACACACAGGGTTTTTTTGTTGGTGTTGCTTCCTCTATGAGGGACTGTATCGCAAATACAATTCAGAATTTTGGAGGGCGCTTTTTGTGAGGCAAGCGGCGACATCGAAAAGAGAACGATCCGGTGGCGCACGCGCAAAAGCCTCGTCTTAAATGGGAAAAAAGGGGTTTGTGGTGTAGAGTGATTCTTATGGCCGCTCAAAGAAAAAGAAAAGAGAAAAGCTTCACTCAATGCAGGGACACTGTGTTGAGGAACACACGAATAACGCCTCTCATTTGACTTCTTCGTCTCCACTGGTTTCTCTACGACCACAGCAAAACGCCTTCTATGCTTCTATGAGAGTGAGTTTTGTATGTGTTGGAGGGTGCGATGAAGAACGAGAAGGTGAGCGCTTCTTTCGACTATTCAGATAGCGCTCTATCGCACACACTATGAAACGCGCAGCGGTTTACCTTAACGCTTGCACGCCATCTTCGAAAAGAAGTCCGACAGCTTCATCTGCGTCTTCGCCGGCTGCGTCGGAGTGTTGTCTGCCGAGCTCGCGAGAGCACGCTGTACCGGTGGGTGGGGTGATGGCGAAGCCGCAGGTGAGGCGACGGCTACGTGTGTCTCGTCAACACGTTTCTGCGCGGCGAGGAGGGAGTCCTCCGACGAGGCGACGGAAACCGGACGCTGTGAAGGCGACGATAGCGACGTGGGCGAGTTGGCGCCAGAGACGACCTTGGGGTGAGTACTGCTGCTCACGTTGCTGCGCATATCGCTGTTAAACGGCGAAGCCGGTAGACGTGTTCTCTGTGCGGCCGGCGTACCGTCGGCTGCGGTGATACCCTCGTCACTGGCCACCGCCGTCCGCGACGCCTGGCTCGTCGTCGCCGCCCTTCCTCCTACGACAGCAGCCTTCGGCATGCCGAACAGGAGTGCCTCCATCTTCGCCATCCCATCTCCACCCTTACGGGCAATGGTGACTGCAGCGGCCTCCGTCGCGCTCCGCGAGGGCGTAGAGACGGCGCGTGTGGTTGCTGAAGGCGACGTGGTGGTATGACCAACGCCGCTCTTCACTGCTACGGGTGCTGTTGCACTGGCAGACGGCCTGCCCGGTGATGTGTTGCCGTCGTCATCGCAGTCGATCGTGTGCACGTCCGGCTTGACGCATTTTGCCGGCGGCGTAAACACCTCATCGTCGTCGAGGAGAAGCGACATCGGCTTGATATCGAGAACAAACAAACAAACAGAAAACAGCTGGTAGTTGAGCCGCTTATCGCGTGCTTTGTCACGACAGGAAAATGAACGTCGCGAAACGAAGAGCAAAGAGACGGAATAGAGGGGGAGGGGAGGGGAGAGAAAGATAAATCACTACCCTGGGCTTGTTTCCACCAAGCACCGTAGCTCGTTGTGCTTTGCTTCCATTGCGCACTGCGTGGCGAAACTCCGAGAGTTAGCGGTGCCGGTCCCTTCTCGGCGCACCCTTTCATCGGGGCAACAGCGCAAATGTGAACGCCTTGTTGAACCCCTCCCATGCCTGTACGCTCGATTCTTACCAGCACAGCAAAAAGGGAAAAAAGCAAGAGTAAGTGAGTGAAGTATTTTAACATCAGGAGCACAGAAACAAAATAAAGAAGAAGATCTAAGAGAAGAAATCTAACAAAAGGCCAAACAGAAATGAAGTGAATAAAGGTATAGAAGAGCACTTCTATTTTTTCTGTTCTTAAAAAGAACACTGTACAACTAGTTATAGCAAAAGGCCGTCTGATGGGTCCTTGCCAGTCGTGGAGTTTTTCTTTCCGGTTAGGCTGGTGTCAGCGTTTCTGAAGGCGACGCTCCGCTGGGTGCAAAGCCCTTAAACTCCGGTGGAGTGCTAAACAAGAAGCTCTCCTTGTTTACCTTGCGCACCTCCGAGTCCACCACGCCGGTCGACGCGCCACCTGCCATGCCACCAACACCACCACCACCGGCAACAGCACCAGCGCGCAGGTTCTGCGTCTGCTGCGACGACGGCGTGGACTGCACCGCAGCAGACAGCGCCAGCCGATTCGACTCGATTGCCTGCTGCTGTGCGAGCTGCCTGCCCGTTTCCACCATGGACGCCGTCCACTTCGCCTCCGCATCGGGCGAAGAAAACGACTGCGACACCCTCACCGCGTTCTCGTTGGCCCTGCCGTCGTCGACGCGGTGAAACTCAAACCCCGTCGTGAGGCGCAGAGGATCGACGTTGACGCTGTACAGGTGCCTCGCGCTTTTGTTGAGCTTCGCAAAGATGCGCTGGATCTCCTCCTTGTAGTGTGCAATGAACTCGTCGGACTTATCGGGCTGCAGCGCAAACTCGGACAGCTCTGGTGACACAAAGTACTTCTTCTGCAGTGTGTGGTGAATGCGGCTGAGGTGGTGACGTAGCTGGGCTGCCTCGCGAGGGAGGACGCGAATGTCCTTGAACGGGTCGACGTCGTTGCGATAGGTTGGCATCATCTCGACGGAAGTGGTTCGCAATGAAAAAAAAAACGATGAGGGGCTATTGTGTTTAGCGAGGACTCAGGGCAAGGGTTGCCAGCCCGGCTTTGCGCTGTACGCCTAAGACACAGCGGGACTGTGGCCAGAGATAGGCGATGAAAAGGAAGAACAACACAATGTAGATGAAGAAAAGTAGAGAGGACAAAGTGGGCTTTCCATTGCATCCGGTAAGAGGAGCTACGAAAAACACACCCTACGTGATCCTTCACACCCACCCAACTGCTCGAAACCAGTGGCAGAGAATATCACGGCAGTGCCTCTACGCGGTACGCGGAGCCCTCAAGCGGTTCGAGGCGCCGACTCCAAAGGTCGCCCGCAAGGGTGGAAGGTTCTAGTCGCGAAACACTTTAGCCTTCGACAGCACAACTAACCTCTTTTTTGACCTCTCTACGGCAGAATGATAACGACCTCATCACGTGCACAGCGACGAAAAGCAAGGCGATTGGCAACAAAGGAACAAGAGAAAGGGAGCGAAAAACAAAATGCCACTATGAAACGCACCACCGCGATGGCCGAGGCAGAGAGCAAACGGCATCAACGACAACGTCGACAATAAAAGGGAAACATCACGGGGTGGAGTGTCAAGACACACATCCACAGCCAGGCAAGGGTCGTCAGCGATGCCAGCACAGACACACATGAGAAACGGGTAGGGAGAGTCAAACTCGAAACATACATGAACGACCAAAAGAGACAGAAAAGAACACCGGTAAGTATTACTATACGAAACCCCGAGGGGCAGCGCAACCTCAACGTCACGCTCTTCGAGAAATGACACTGCCTTTAGAACTCACTTCTACGCTCAAACACGTACACCAACCGACCGTTCTTGTACGTGTAGCCAAACCTCTCACCGCCTGGAGCGATGGCAATCGTGAGCACCTTGTTGGTAAACGGCTCCGGGATCGCCTCCTCCGCGATCCCCATCGCACCATCCTCGTCCTCGTTCGTGCTCTGTGGCATATGGGTCTGATGCGGAGCGGCCAACGTCTGTGCCCAGGCCTCCGCCAAGGTCTTCTCCAGCTCCGGCACCGTCACCACACCGCCGGCGGCTACGTCGCCCGGCTCCGCAAACGGATCAGCGCGGTAGTGCACGAGCGAGTCCGAGAGCGGCAGCGAGGTGTACAAGGGCTGCCACACCGCCACCGCACCGTCGTACAGACCCGTCACGACCGTTCCAGAGACGTCGTCCACGGCAACCGGGAAGCGGTCAAAGATGGAGTCGTTCTCGTACAGGGAGTCGAGGTACTTGGAGACGTAGTTCATCACGGGCATCATCGCACACGGCTGATCGGGCTTGCGCAAATCCCACAGCTTTAAACTCAAGTAGTCGCGGGTGACCACGTGATCGGGTCCAAGGAAGGACGCGTCCGAGATGCTGCACAAGATCTCGTCGTACGCGGGACAGCTCAGCGGGTTCTGCTGCGGTGTCAGCTCGGACCGGATGGCGTACTTGCGCTTCTGCCGCGAAGGTGGGTCACGCAGATCGCCAATGTTCAGCACGCCCGAGCTGCGCGTCAGCAGAAAAAGAGAACTGTGCGTGGGGTGAAAGGAAGAGGCGGTCACCAGCTCCTCGACCTCGTCCAGCGCACCAGACGGCGGTCGCAGATCTGCAATGCAGGTGGCTTTGGTGGTGTCCTCGGTCTCAAAGTGCCACCAGAACACCTGCAGGTCCTCTACACTCATGAAGGTCTCGCCGTCCGCCGACACGCTGAGGGCCTGGATGCTGTTCGTGACGGGACCGAACTCTTTAATGGGCAGGATTGCCGGCTGCGGTGGCAGTCGAGCGAAGTAGCGCGACCCGGCAAACGTCTTGCCAATCACCTCCTCCATACCGGGAAACGCGTTGAAGGGACTGAAGCCCTCGCGGCGCACGTGAAACAGCTTAATCACGCGCTCGTTGGCGGTGAGGTAGCTGATCATGCTCGGCGAGCACCGTGGACGGACAAAAGTGAGACACTTCACGTACGGCTCCACCGCCACCGAGGTAAGGGCGTTGATGGACTTCACAAAGGCTTTGTGCGAGTGCCGTCGCAGCACCTCGCGTCCGCGCATGTCGCGCATAATGTTCTCCGTCGCCGCGGAGTCCATACTGTTGCTGTCGCCGCCGGGGTGCGGGCTCGCCGTCGTCGCCGTCCCGTCATCGCTGCTGCGCCGCCACGAGCCGCGAGTGTTGAAGAGCTGCACCCCCGGCAGCGCCGACCCCTCCGACGCACCGTACGTTGGTCGCATCTGCATCACCGACTTACTGCGCCGTATCGGGGCGTTGTAGCTGTCTGCGGTGCTGACCTCGAAGTACTCAATATGGCCGCTGTAGTCCCCGAGGCAGACGCCCAGCACCGGCGCCCCGCTCATCGGGTCCATCAGCGATGTCATGGCCACCACACTGACCGACTGCAGCGCGCTCTCCTCGTTGCCGCCGGCACCGTGGGTGGTAGCGCGGGACGACTCGCCCAGCATTTCGCCCGACGAGTTCAGGAAATTCGAGTCATCGTAGGCGGCGTTGAAGGCGGCCTCGTCAAAGGTCGGGCTGGGGCTGCTGCTGCTGCCGGTCAGACTGTTGCTGCTGTTTGGCACCATCGCAGGCGGGACTATGCCCGGCGGCGACCGAGAACCGACAAAGGAAGCGGGGGAGGAGGAGGTCACTCCACCGCCGAGGCCGTCGGAGGAGCCCCCCTCGCCCTCGATGCGGATCGCAGGAGATGGAGTTCCCGTTTCGTTGCCGGCGTTTAAATGGCTACCCAGACGCGGCTGCGGGGACGGCTCTTTGCCCTGGAGACTCATCGCAGACGGCATGGACTCACTCATGGCCTTCTCGCCTCGCTCGGTGGCGTTGTCTTCCACGTCCACCTCCTCCACCGCATTCGGGTCCTCTAGTGGGTAGTGCAGCTTCTGGTAGAACTGGAAAGTCGTGGTAGCGCGTGAGACGGTGCCGTAGAGCCGCTGCTCCACGTTCTGAATGTGCTCGCGGACCGACTGAGGGGCCCTGACACCGCCGCCGTAGCTCTCGCCGAAGAGACCACCACTCAGACCGGCACCACCCCGTGCAGCGCGATTCCCACTCGAGGCTGAAATGAACATCGTGCTCGGCTTCGTCTTCTGCGGCGTTCGCTTCGGTGACGGAATTGTCGGTCCTTCCTTGCCCCCGCCACCACCACCGCCACCAACACCGCCGCGGTCGGGCGCCTCACTGCCAGCGCGAGAGCTGCGCGCGGACCGTTCATCTCCCATGTCGTACCCGGAGGCGGCGAGGCGGTCCGGCGCTTCGCTCCCCGCACGAGAGCTTCGATACGAGGCGTAGGCCTCTCGCCGGGACCCGCCGGTGGGGCTGGCCGCCATCGGCTCCCGTTGCGGTGCCTCGCTGCCGGCACGTGAGCTGCGGTACGACGCCCTCTGCACGTCGGAAAAGGTGGGGCTGCCGAGGTTATTGTTGTTGCCGCTGGGTGACATGGGGCCTGGCTCGGAGCGCGCCTCACTGGTGGCGCGAGAGCTGCGCAGCGACTGCAGCTGAGCCTGCTCCACGCTGGGCATCTCCGGTGATGGGGAGAGCTTCGGGTGGTCCTTCTCGACCGGTTTTCGTGGCTCCATCGTGAGCAGCGAATCGTATTTTCAACGCAGACGGTATTTAATATATATATATATATATATGTAGGCTGTGTTTGTAATTGCTGGCGAACGTTCGGTGCAGCTGAGAAGCGTTCCGCAGAATATATCCTGCCGTTGGCGCGTGTGATGCACTCTTCTTCCAGCACTACTTATTATTATATAAATATGTTCTCTAGCTCTCCGATGTAAAGGTAAAAAAAAAAGGAGATAAGCACACGAGAACGGTGCACAATGAAGAAAACACAGGTGAACCGTACAATTTATTTGCTATTTGTTTGTTTGTATTTCTCCTTCGCCCACAGTTGAGCACTGCGAGACAGTCGAGACGTACGCCAACGCTTTTGAGAAAAATAAATAAATAAAGGACGGTGAAACGGTTGAAGGCAACATACACACACGTAGAGAACCAACAAAAAAAACCGGTACAAGATAGAGAACAAACAAATTTTGGGGCGTCACCACCGCGCCGTCGACAATCTGCGATAGAAATAGATATACGTGCGCGAAGTGAATAAACAAATAACAGAAGGTAATGGAAGAAGGAAAAAGTGGCCACTGAGAAGGACGCGGTTCCACAGTTGACGTTTGCTATTTCCTTTTTATTTTTAGTTGTCTCTCGCTTTTCCCGTGATCCACGTTGTTCTAGTCAATGATGAACAGAGGTGAGAATTTGTGCGTGAATAAACCGACTGTGAAATACATTCGCAACGTGAATGCCGATCGACGCAAAAACTAGAAGAGGAGAGGGAAAAGAACGAGAAGAAGCAAGTGCGTTCACACACACACACACACACATACAAGCAGCGTAGAGATGCGTCCAATACCCAAATCAAGATAATTGGCGGAGATAAAACGCATCGAGAAGTACGCTGGTAGTTGCTGTGGAGTGCACGTGAACGCTGTACACATTTCGGCAGCTGCCGGCGGCAGCATTAACGGTCCCCTTCTTCTATCTGCACACTGGGAAGCCAACCAGCATTTGGCCTCGAATGAAATCGCCATGAAAGAGAAGGGAAAGTAAGCGCCACAAAACTACCAACAGAATAGATCGTACGCGGCAGCACGAAGCGGCATGACCCCGGTGCAACAGATAGACAAGAGCCAAAGAGACCTCTTGTCGCCCTTCGAAAAGAGAGTGAAAATGAGATTCGTCATCAAGTGACTGGTTCTACCATCAAAAGTAGAGAAGAAGGAGCACAAGCTTCTGACATTTTTAATGCTGCTTGCGCAATGAGTCAATCTAATTTATGAATAAATCTATGCGTCATCACAGAAGCTTCCCGCTCCCGAAAGTCGTGTTGGCTTACCGAGGGAGATGTGTGCGCGATTGCCCTGAGTGGTTCTTCCCACTCCCATCGTACTCTCCCCTTCCTCCTCCTACGTTTACACCTCTCCGCCTTGTTGTCGCAGCACACCAAAGCTCTTCGCCATCTTTGAAATGTACCCGGGCGTCTTTGTTGTTTGTGGGCGAAAGGTGCACACCACCTCCTCCGCCTCCTCCGACTTCTCCAGCCGCGCCTGACGCTGCGCCTCGAGTGACTGCTGCTGCTGTTGCAGGTACTGTTGATACTGCTCGTAGTTTTTCGGATCCAGCACCGACTTCACCTGCGCGTTGTGCGACGAATTGAGCTGCGGCTTGAAGGTTACGCCCTCCATCTCCTCCTCTGCGGCCACCTTTTTCGCCTTTGCACGCGCCCTTTCCATGCGCTCGCGCTCACCGTAGAGCCGCTCAAAGAAGTCTTTGCGATCGGTGCAGGGAGGCGTCACCGTCGCCGCCGTTGTCGCTGCCACCTGCCTTGCCAGACGCTGTTTGCGTCGCTCCGCTGCCCGCTCCGCCCGTGCGGCAGGGGAAAGCTGCGGCTGGAAGGTGCAGGGGTCCTTGTACGGGGACTGGTGCGGTGTCACAAAGGAGGACGACACGATGGGGATGTGCCGGCGCTGCCGCTGCGCGATGAGAGACGAGGTCTCTGCCCCCATGGACTCATTCACAAGGCTTCGCGACACCAGCTCTTTTACGAGTCGCGCGCTCTTCCGGGTGGTGGTCGGCGTGAAAGCGGGTGTGAGTTGCCGCTCCAGATCGAGCACGGCGCGCGCGCGACTGAAGTAGTGGGCGTTTTGGCGAAGAAGGAATTCATCAAAGAGGGTGATGCGGAACGACTCCTCCGCACTGGCGTCCTCCGGCGGTGGTGTCGCTCTCGCCCCGCTGTCGCGGAAGCTGACACCCCTCTCTCCTGCGGCGGACACCACCACCTTGCTTTTGCTCGTGGAGTCGTGCAAGTGTGACAGCTGCATCTCTTCCTCTCTGCGAGAGTTGTACTTCCGCTTTACCTCCTTCTCCTCTCGCAGAGCCACTGCCATGGGAGACATGTACGAAGTGTCAAAGACGGGAACCGTCTCATACGGTGCCTGCGCAAGCACAGAACTGGGCAGAGCAGCAGTAGCAGCAGCAGAAGTGCCACGTCCGCCCACCGCCACGTGCTCTCCCCAATCGGTTTGCAAAATGTTGCTCATGAAGACGTTGAAGCTGTCCTGTGCGCGGGGGACGCCGCGGCTGCGGGCTCCACGTCGTACCACACCTGCCCGACGCTGCAGCACGATCAACTCCTCCCGCGCCAGACGGCGGTACTCCATTTCTTGATCCAGAATCTGCCGGCGCGACGCAGCGGCGGTCAGCTCCACCGGGTACAGTCGCTCGTATACGTTTTGCAGCGTCGCCTTGAGAGTGCGCGGGTCGAGGGCCGGTGATGTGGATGGTTGAGCGGACGCGTGCGGAGGTGCTCGTTGCGCACGTTTCCCACCTGCACGAGGTGTCACGGCGGTAGGCAGCCGCGACGACGACGGCGGCGGAGGCGGCACCGAGTCCACCAGTGACTTCTCCATCTCGCGCTCCTGCGCCACACGCACCATCGCGCGCGTGCCCGGTGACAACGTGGGGTGAAAACTGCACTCCGCCAGCTCCTTTGCGCGCATCTCCTGTCGGACACGCTCCTGGCGCACGGCCGCTGGAGTGGCATTTCGGTGAATGGAGCTGTTATTAGGTGCCGGTGACGACAGTTCAGGAGCGACGGCGCCTTGAGTCGCCGACGGCTTCGGCGGCTCCTTGGATCGCTGTTTCTTCACGAGGGCAGCGTCCCACGCGTTGGAGGCGGCGGCAGGAAAGACGGAAATCTTGCTGTCCGTGCGCAGCGTCGAAGCCGGGTTGCCCTGCGCGGTGCCCACAGCAGCGGCAGCGTCGAGGTCCTCTTCTTCGAAAGAGCGTCGACTGTGAGCAGAGGCTACCGCGTCAACGTCATTTGGCCAGACCGGCGGTTCGCGCACATCGGAGGACGATGACGATGAGGATGCCGTTTGCACCGTGCGAAAGTCCATAGCAGACATGTCTAGCGTGTACTCCTCCTGATCACCTGCCCACCCTCCTCGCCCCTGCTGCGGTCTGTGATCTTCCATGTGAGGCGACAGAGGACTCGTCGGTGTAGACGCACCCACCGCTCGCGCCACCGCCGTCTCGATTGGCGTGCGTGTGCGTCGCGCTGGTCGACCTCCCGGTGAATCATAGAGATCGACCAGAATCGATGGGGCTTCATTTTTGATGGGGCTTATCCCGCTCACCTCTGCGCTCAAGGTGGGTCGGAGCACAAACCGGCTGGACTTGAACGGTGAAGTAGCTTCGCTGTCGTCCAGTCCATTACTGGCAGCTTCATCGCGGTGAGCGTCTGACGCTTTCGGCGGCACCCCACTGAAGAGATGCTCCAACACCTCTTCAGCGGTTCGATGCGGATCGTGTGATCGGCGCCCGTGCGGTGCCGCGTCTTCCGCAGCAACCCTAACAGCAGGGGTGCCACTCGCCTTCATTCGTGCGACCCCCGCTTCCTCTTGCGCAGACGCCTCAATAATAGTAGGCTCCTCGGCCCGATTGTGTTGATCGGCTCGTACGGCAGGCGGCGCAACGGGTCTTCGCCGGTGATTTGGTTGCTCACTGGCACCCGCGGTGTGGCCTTCCGAGCTGCCCAGCTGGGCGCGGAGCACCTTGAGAGCCGTTTGGCGCGTGGCGGCCCACTGCGACGAATCTGCGTGTCGAGAAGTGGCAGCAGAAGTCGCGCTTCGCTCTTCTGAGCGGAGCGGAGTTGGAGCCGCCACGGCTGCTGCTGGTGGAGAAGGTGCAGCGGCGGCGGCGGCGGTACGCGAGCGATCACGATCCTCCGTGTTCGACATGGTCGTGTCCTCAGGGGTGAGCTCTTCGCGCGGGTGGCTCCTTCGTGAGCCGGACCACTTCTCCTTTCCGTAAATCGCGTTCCACACGCCCACTGCACGGCGAGAGGAAGAGGTGGTGTCGAGGGAAGCGTCCTCGTCGTTCAGGCTTGCCGGGTGCGGCACAGGATGACGGGGCTGAATCGAAGAAGGGGTCTCGAACTCCTCCCCTACTTCCGCCGGAGCCGATGACGGTTCTTCGCCGGCAGCTTCTCCATTTGCATGCTGTACTTCACAACCACCACGGCCCGCCACCCTTTCATCGTCGCCGTTCACCGAGACTGCAGAAGTGGTATCCGCAAAAGACAGCAATTGCCGTGCAGAGAGAAGTGTCCCGGCGGCGCGGTCGCGGTTTTGAAACGCACTGCTGGCCAGTGCATCGACAGAATCGTGCGACTCAACGCTATCACTGCTCCCAGAGCGACGCCGCTGCCTCCTTTCGGCAAGCACCTCCGGTGAAGGCGCCTCAGGGACCACCTTCTCCGTGGTGTAGTGCAGGCGCGTCTGTGCCGGGGTGAAGTGGTTGGAGAAGTTGCGGGCGGACGTGGCGGAGGCCGACGAAGCGTCGGGGCTGGTCGAGGAAGCGTCTCGCACGCCTGCCGTTGTTGCCTTTGCGGCTGCGGCGGCCGCCTGCCGAGTCGGGCTGGACGACGCGTTCGAGGAAGAGGAACTGGAGAGGAGAAATCGGCGCAGCTCCAGTCCGTACGGCCGTGGCTCACCCTTCTCCATGCTATCCTCCTTTGGCCTTTTCAGGTGTGTGTATGGTATCTTCTATAGGCGCAAACAAGAAATAAACCTCTTCTATGTATATTACAATGATACGGCAGAAATGTGCCTCACCGGATACGGATAATTAATTCACAGAACAGATAGATGTGTGTTCTACATTACGTGGCAGTCGTAAAATACACCCGCACAGACACCTTTTTTCTCTTCTTCTTGATCGAGTGCTTATGGTTCTTTCAATCACAACGTCTCGAATACCAGCAAAAAAAGGCGGTGAGCGCCCAGACGAAAGAACCAGAAGAGAGAGGGGGGGGGGTGGAAAGGATCGGACTCATTGAGGACTCTTTTTATTGAGCATTTGTAAACTAAGAAAAAAGCGGACGGTAAATAATTGACCACGTGAAACGGTCGCTTGGCCGTGAAAGAGTGCGTTTAGTGTTCGCTTCTGCTTTTTCTAGTTTAAAAAAAAATCGGTTGACCTAATGAACCATTATGAATAATTTGCTATCACGCATGTTTGCAGTCGAGAATCGCACGAAACAAGACAGTATGGGAGGAGAAAACGCATCAACACAGGAGGGAGAGAAAAGTCAAAGGCACCGGTCCAACGGAGGGTGTCCGCTGGGAACCGTACCAGAAAGGCTCGTGCGCAACAAATGCATTCACTGTTCGCTTTTCAATACTTCGCCGTTCGGTCACAGGTTGACCTGGCCCATCAACTTGTGAGCGTTACGGCGGTGGACGAGCTCGCAGGCGGCGGTGTACTGCTCAAACTGCTTCCGCGCGTCCGCCGAGAGGGAGTCCAAAAATTCGAGCTTCGACGACTCGTGCTGCTTCAAATACCACCCCGTGAAAAGCTCCACAAAGTCGTACGGGAAGCCGAGCTCATCCTCGTCGGTCTGCCCTGCCCACAGGTCCGCCGACGGCGCGGCGTTGCGTGTGTTTGCCGGCACCCCCAGCACATCCGCCACCGCAAACACCTCGCTTTTGTGCAGGTCAGAAATCAGCTGCACATCCACGACGCCGTCGCCAGCCTTGCAGAAGTAGCCCAGGTAGAAGTCCTCGTCCTTGTTCCCCGTGCCCATCACAATCGCCGGCAGTCCCTCTTGACTCAGCAGCTGTGCGACGTAGAAGCCAGGAGGAGTGCGCATGTAACTGCGCAGCTGCCCCCGAGCGAAGTCTCGGCCATCAATCCCCATCGCCTTCTCAACCACCGCGGCCAGCTCCTGATGCAAAGACGTCTGATCCACCACCACTTCGGTCGCACCGCAGGCGGCAATATTCTCCTTGCCCCGCTCCAGCGCCCACACGCTGCTGTGGATCGGCTGACACAAACCGACATTCTTTTGGATAGGGCTGTCATGTGCCTGCATCGCACGTGCACACAGAGCCAAGACGACGGCAGAGTCGATCCCGCCAGAGACGCTCGTGACACAGGCCTCCAGGCCGCAGCGGCGCATGTAGTCGTTCAGCTTCCCGCACTTCATCTCCACCCACGCCGCGGCGTCGAAGTTGCACGCTTTGCGGTGCTCCATAAGAACGCGCTGCAGCTCTGGCAGGAGGGCAGCGACGGGCATTTTTCGTTGTGTGGGCGTGTGTGTTTTTTGATTCTTGCCAGAATGAGAAGCCAAGCGTCTATCTTGGCGGAACCGGCAGAAGGAAGTCAATGATAAATGTAGTTTTTGAGGTGGAATATGTCTGTAAAAGAGAAAAATGGCTGAGGGAAAAGCAAAGGAGTGAATGGATAAATGCAACGTTCTGAGAGGGAGTTCGGCAACTTCAACGTAGATGGGCGACAGTAACCAACGCAGATAGAAGAAAAGAAAAAGAAGAGGAGGAAAGGGAGAAAGAGAAATATGTGAGAAGTCCATGTACGTTGATTCTGGCAGCGTCCTTGGAGACTTTTAATGTGCATTGAGATAGGTATTCCTCACGTCTTCCGACGACATGCGAGTTAGCTCTCTTCAGTTCGTTGCTGGCACTCGCGCGAAAGCCAGTGCAACCAACGAACTGCTCACCCTTCCAAACTGCTTGACCCACGGCAACGGAGTCACCACAGGTCCATTGGCGTCACCGGAAGAAAAACTCTCGTAACGAAACAACAAAACAGAAAATACTGCCGCTACTTTGCGCAAATCAAAAAAAAAAACCTCAATGGTGTAAAAACGAAAAGAGAGTGAGTGAGTAGACAACGAGAAGAAACAAACATCCGGAAAGAAAAAGACGGTTGCGTCATTCACAACTAAAACAATGGGCTGCGAATGCGACAGAGAAGCGATAATGCATACAAAGGGAAAAATAAAAACATCGTCGTACGCTTCCAAGGGTTGTCCGAACGGGAAAGGTAAGGTTTAGAACGAGAAAAGAGGGTGTTCCAGCGGTTTCCACGACTGTAGATTTATGACAGTAAGACAGAAGAACAAATAGAGCGAGGGTTGCGCATCGTTCAGAGTATACATAAAGACAAAACACTGTTTTTTACATTTAAAAAAAAATGTCGAAGTGGAGGACGAGAAAAACCACCAACGCGGTCAGCGTCCACGAAAAACTTGATGCGTCGGGTGCACCTGCTCCAGCACAAGACAACAACATTCTCATTTTCGCGCCTGCACGTGCTCACATCTCCGCATTCTTGATCGCCCGCGCTTGCCGGTGCTCTGCCATCATCTTCATCCGGTACGACTGCGCCTTCGCAGCGTCGCTGCTGTGCTGCGTTTTGCAGTACTCACGCATCAGCTCCTCCTGGAACATCATGCCTTCCAGGATGGGATCTTTGCGGTAGGTTCCTTGACGCTGCTTCTCCTCGATGAAGTCCTTCAAGATTTCCTTCTTGATCCGCTCGCCGCCCTCGGTGTCCACGAGGTTCTCCATGCGCACAATCTGTTCATGCCGGATCCACGTGTCGTCCTGTAAGGGCTGCAGGTGGAGGCTGACAAAGTCTTCCGCAGGCATCTCGAGCACATCGGTGGTGATGTGGCCTACCGTCGCAACCTGCATTGACTCCGGTTTATCCGCCATTTTGAGTAGCGTGATGATTTGTGAAGCACACAAAAAAAAATAAAAAATAAACACTGTAAATAATGCTTTTCTTTTCTTTTAACAATGCGAAGCGGCGGAGCTAAGAAGAGAGAAACAAAGAGGAAGAACCTTTTATTGCTGTTGAACGATGTTCACATCCGACCGGTAAACGCAACAGACATGGTCCACAGAAGAAAAGAATAAGGAGAGAAGGACACGCGCTTGGTGCAGATCACAGATCACATCATCGTTTTCCTTTGGAGAAGCACAGAAAAAAAAAATGGTCACCGCGATGAGGCAGTTTATCACATGACCGCATTGCCCAACAAGACTGTTTCCATGTTTGCAGCTCGTGAAGCGAGTGACAACTGTGACGTCATGGGAGCCGTTCGCTACCAGTCAACCACATCGCCGCTTGAATCTCGCCAAGGCGCACTTGCTTCCTTCGTCTCACTAAATGTATATTTTGAATCGCTGCGCGCAACGCAGGACGTATCCACGCGAACACAACGGTATGAAGCGACGGAACGAGTTATACAACACAAAGGAAACAGAATGTGTGGACGCATACGCAACGGCGACACACACGTGCACACACACACACACACACACACACACACGAGAAAACACATGGAAAGAAACAAAGCGGTAAAACCGGCGTGAAAGAGAACAAAGAAGGACGGCAGCACAGCCGTCCTCCTCTACTCCACCTTCGCGTTAACTTCTTCATTCTCTTTTTTGACCCCATAACTGCGAAAACAAACAAAAACATACAACCCTTTCCCACACACACTGTGAAGAAGTGTATGGCAGCGGCAAAGCCAGTAATGCCAAAAAAGGAAAAAAAAACTTAACTCAAGCACACATGTGACTGAAGACGCTCAAAACGATGGACTTCTTCCACTCACTTCCATGTGCGCAGCTCTTCAAAAAAACAAACTAATAATGATGATAATAATAATAATGCCAGTCATATGATTCTGCGCCTTAGACCACGTTCCTTCGGGACATCTGGTGATACCGCACCGGCTCTCTGGGGCGATGGCGTAGAAGCCTTCATTGCGTTTCCGCTGCCAGCACTTTCAAAAAGGCCATCTTTGCCTTCACTACCGGCGCGGTGCGCCGCGCCGTTGTGCGTGTTGGCGATGCCACCTACCGTGTCACGCGGCACCGTCGGCACCGTCAGCGTCGACGACAACGCGTCTGTAGTTAACGGTGTCTGCGTCGGCGGGCTATGCGATTGGGGGAGGTTTCCTTTCGAGGCATTGGCCGATACCTCGACCTGCATCGTTCTGTAGTCTATCGAACTTTTGCGATCTTCTGCACTAGCAGTTGTGTTCCCGGCAGCGTCGGAATGATCTAACAAGGCATCTCCGGCGGCACCAGCTGTCGTTTTGGTGCCATTGCCATTGTTGCCGCTACCCTCCTGGCTGTCAGGGCTCGGTGTGGACGCTGCTGTCTGCGTCGCGTCCCCAACGTTTGTCACGCCGGCCGCTGGCGACGGCGTCCCTTGTGAGCCGCGCTTGAACGTGACGATGATGACGGACATATTATCGCAGCCCAGCCCAAACGGCTGCGGCGACAGACACGCGTTCATCAGCTCCTCACAGATGCGGCCCAGTGGGACACGCTGCTGAATGCGCGGGCGGACGAACTCCACCACCTGCTCGCTCGTCATCATGTCCCAGATGCCGTCACAGGCCAGCACCGCAAACTCGTCCTTATCACGGTTTAAGTGGGTGACCCGCACCTCTGGAGCACAGGTCACCGCCTGCATCTCCCACGACACCTGCGAATTATTCTTAAACATGAAATCGCCAATTGCGCGGCTTAACGCCAACATGCCGTTCACACGACGGTTCAGAACGTAGCAGCCCGCCCGCTCAATACGCATCTGCTCAGCAGGTAGGAAGGGCTTGTGGTCGGTGCTGAGGCTGTCCACGCTGCCATTTCGGCACATAATGCAGCGACTGTCGCCCGCGTTCGCGCAGTACAAATCGTCGCCGTCCACATACAGCACGACAGCCGCGCAGCCGCCTCGCTCGAAGCTTGGGAGGGAGTGGAGATACTTGTCAATCGCGATGAAGCCGTCGTAGAGCGCCTGAGATATTTCGCCGCGCATAAAGGCGGTCGTTTGGTGTACAAACTGAAACATGTACTCACCGCAATACTTCGAGGTGGCAGCCCCGCTGTGGCCGTCGTAGACGCCAAAGAAGCCGCCCTTGTCCAGCAGCAGCAGCGTGTGTGCGTCTTCCATGGAGCGGCGCCAGCCCTGCATGCTGCTGCAGCCGTAGGCCAGGGATTCGTTTTCGCCCGACAGCGTTTCCTTCGCCTTGACCGGCTGGCTCATAATATCAGCACGGCGCAGCAGCTCGTCGTAGCTCGGCTGTGCGGCATTACGGACAATCCACGCAAGAGCGATCTGCACTGCCTCCAAGAAGCCCAGCATCCACCCCGCTACTACCACCGCAATCGACACAACGAGGCCATACGACTTGTATGAGTAGGTGCTGATGAGAAGGAGCAGGCTGAACATCGCAACGGACCGCGCGATGTGCGTGCGGCGGTCACGTGCCTGCTGCTGGAACATACGTGCCATCTGCGCCTGCTGCTGATTGAGGTAGTGTATCTGCTTTACCGAGGTCATCGGCTGCTTCGTTGGCGGCCGACGCGGTGGTGCGCGTTTCGGGGCCATCGCGCACGAGAAACCAGGTTTGAAAGAGTCTTGTGGACACACGCACAAACACGCACGCGGGGAGGAAACCGCGAGGAGCAAGAACCAGTCTCCTTTTGGGATACAGGTCCTATCGGGCGTGCAGAGGAGCACCCAACGACAAGCACAGCGACTGGATGTGCTTTTAGTTGCCGGTGTAGACAACGGCTTCTCGGCGAGTAATTCAAGAACACGGATGCTACGTGCTCACCTTCTTCGTGCGGTGACTGAGCAGCGTCAGCGCCGCCAATAACAGAACTATAAACAACAAAAAAGGATGCACTGCCTTTTCCCACCACGAAACTCTGAAGCGATGCAATACAGGATGGAGTAATTCGCCCAGCGCTTCTAAATTCGTTCTCAACAGAGAACAGCGCGGTGCGTGTAAACAACCAGGAAGAACAGGCAAACTAAATTGAATACTCTCAGGTAGCAACGCTGGGGTGAGAGGTACGGCGTGTGCGCGTGTATTCAACGGATATTACAAAGAAGATCGTGAAATTGTGTGCCAGACAAGTTGCGTGTATAAACTCTGTCTCTATATAGATATATGGTGTCGAAAGTGGTAGCGGGCGGTTCAATGAAGGTGAAAAAGAAAAGGCTCTTTTTTTCTTTCTCCCATATGTGCGAAATGCGGAAGCGACAAGTGGACACCCGAAAGAGGTGAAATGGAGAAACAGAATGGTGGAGCTGCTCTTTCAAAAGATCGACAAGTACGTTTGCGCAGCACAACAGAGAGAGAGAGAGAGAGAGAAAAAAAACAGTGGAAAAACGAGAAAGGCGAAAGCCGTGCATAAAATAACCCGAGACTGTGTTCTACACACACCTACATGTGTCAGCTTTAATTATCTGTATAGCTGTTTTCCACCGAGAAGCAGCAGATGAAGAGAGTAACGGAGAAAACAGAAAAGAAAATGAACGCCAAAGACAAAAGAAACGCGAGGTTGAGTTTTAAATGGAACAGTATGTACACACACTCACAGACAGACACACACACTTGTGGGAATCCACACACGGCAGGCCGAAAGCCAGTTAAGCAAACTTCGCTTTGTAGGTGTGTATCTTCAACTCAAGCACACAGGTAGAAGAAAATTGCAGGATGAATGTAGTACTAGAAGAAAGCACAATGGAGAAAGAAAAGCGAACCGGGACACAACAAGGATATCGATGTGATGATGTACAAAATTGAAGGCATGGTACGATAAGAGAGCGGAGATGGAAATACAGAAGAGGATTTGAACAGCGTCACACAACGAAACCCTTGCAACAGTACGAACGTCACATGTGTGCTGTGACCGTTTTTTTCCTTCGAGAGAAAGAAAAAAGGTGCAGAGTAACTGTATTCTTTTGGCGTGTGTGTGTCGGGGTCATCGTTCTCTATGTTGTGAACACGATGCGTTGCACTCTCTCTGTTCTCACAGAGCGCGTCTAGGAGTTACTTCAACTCCTTTTCCACGTATTTTTCGAGGGAGGAATTAAGAAGACGGGTTCGTTTTTGCAGGGAAATAACAGTTGAAACAGGAAGATCCGCGAGCGAATCGGAAAGAGAAACCGCTAGGGAAGATAAAAGACTCTATGAAAAAGGAGGACTCCTTTACTTCTATTTACTCAACACCGCACCGCCATGGGATGAGCGAAGCGCAGCGCGAGACCAAAGAGGTTTGCTGATAGCAGCAGCAACACCAACAACAACAAATAACCGTAAACACCGAATTGTCTCGGTAAAAAGAAAGACTCTATGGATTCCAGCGCATCCTGCAACGCGACAAAATTGCGTGATCCGATCTGCCACAACCGCAGAATAAAGCGATCCATATTTTCGCTACTAAGTGTGTAGCGCAGGCGTCACCAGTTTCGAGGCGGCGGACGGTACCGCCACCCCCCGCGCATCATTAGAACCTGGCCCCCTCGCCCTCGCTTCTACGAAACGTTCCGAGAAGAAGGCGAGTTCGACAGCACATGCTGGATGGGATATCGAATGCTCGGCTTCATCGGCGTGCGTACCTTCACGCCACGTCGACTGCGGCCTCCTGCGCCATACGTAGGGTTAGAATCGGACCTTGCCGACGTCGTCGTGCCAATGCTAGTGTCGCGCGCGTCTGTCGCCTCGGACAGCACCAGCCGCTTCTGTGTGGCAGGCGCGTGCAGCAGCAGCAGGGCTGAGCCGCCGTCGGGCGACAGAGAGCTGCCGTCAAGAAAGTGTTGCGCCGCGGACGCGAGTTCGACAAAGTCGCACGCGAAGGGCGAAAACTGTGGACTCTGCCGCAGTGCCTGAAAGCCGGCGCTTTGCTTGAGCTGCAAAAAGGCCGCTACGAGCGACGCGAGGTGCTGCTGGCGCTGCTGTTCGTGGAGGAGGGGTTCCAGCGCTGCCTCTTCCGATGCTCGATCATGGGCATTTCTGACCGGAGTTTGGTCATCGACCTGCCGAGCGGCGGCTCCAATTTCCACCCCATCTGGTGAGTGCGATGCCGTGCCCGCCGAGAGAAGAACGTTGTACTTTTCAATGTGCTTCGCCACAGCAACCACGACAGGAAACGGGCTGGCTTCATCGTCATGCGCGTCATTGGACTCCTCCTCCCCTCTGACAGACGACGACGAAGACGACGACGGTGAGAGCTGCAGGTGCGCAAAACGAGCAGTTAAATCTCGCCTCGCATCGACAACGGCGGCGGCGCCGAAGAGGTCCGAGGATGCATCAGACACAAACGCACCGCCCACGCAGACGCATCGGTGATCTTTCCACGTAAAGCGCGCACAGGCCGTCGCCTCCTGCGGTGTGCCATGCTGCAAGAGGTGCAACACATCTTTTGGGAGGCAACACGATGCTGGCGTCGCTGCTGTTGCAGTGGTCCCGGTGACTTGTTCGGTGTACTTCTGCGCTGCGGCTTGCGCGCCAGTATCGTCGTCTTCGACAGCGGAAACTGGAGAATAAGTCATCGCCGGAGACATGGTCATGGCGAGGCCAGTGAAGTCCGTTGTAACGCCGCAGCGCCGACGCTCCGCCAAGGCTTTGCGCACCGTCAGCGGCAGCTCCGACAAGTAGAGGTATAAGCGCATCCAATTTTTCTCGCTTTCCTTGTCGTCCGAGATGTGACGGACAAGAATTCGAATCTGGCTCTCCAGTTTTGAAAGAAAATACGATGGGACGACGGCGCCTTGTACGCCCCGTTCATCGAGGGGTAGTGCTGTCGTGTGCATCGGTTTCGTACTGTCCGCCTCACGCATTGGAGTCCAGTCAAAATCTTCCACGTTTATCACGGCCGAGTCGGTGCATTCGCCGTGGGGCAGAATGGGGCTCATCAGTGCCGGGTGCGTCCAGCGGTCTGGCGTGATGCTCGCCGTCGCGGGTGATCCTCCGTCGCCCGTCGGCTCCGTCTGCGTTCCGCGATCGTGGCAGAACCAGCGAACGTTCGTCTGCGTCGGCGCTCCGGCGGCTTTTGTTGCGCCGGCATTTGGCAGGGGCGACGCGTGGGTCGCACCGCGAGTCGGCACGGCCTGCGGGAGAACAGCCGGACCACCGCGCGGTGATAAGCCCGGCATCGCCTCGCCATTCATGTCTCCATTCGCACGAATAGCTTGGGCGGCACCGTCAACCGCGGGGGAGGTGGCCGAGGCGCCATACAGTGCTTGACTCCCCACTGTGGCGGCATTGGACGCATTTCCGCAGTTCGCACCGTCTTCGCCACCACCACCACCGGTTGCCAACGTGTCACGAGGAGAGCCCGCTACGCCCGCCACGTCGACGGCACGCAGCGCATTCTGCAGCGCATTGGCCGTGCCGAGTGCTTTTGTGTGCTGTGCGACAGCCTCTACCGTGAGCGGTCTCTTCGGCACTTGTGCAGCGACGGGTTCAGCAACCTTCGTGGCAGGGTCGTTGGTCTCTGCTGCTGCTGCTGCTGCTGTCGAGGGGTTACGAACGTGCCCGTGATGGCGGTGCGTGTGTGCCTGAGAAGCATCACGGTTGCGGTTGGCGTGACTGCGATCACCGGCCGCCGCTGCCGTGACCGGATTGATCGGCACCGTCAACGCAGCGCTCTCCTTGTCGTGGGGCTGCGTCGCGCGGACTCGGCTGGAGCCGCGGCTTCGGGCACCGGTGGGCCCGCGGCTGGCCGATCGTGACCGTGGCACCCCTCGAGAGGCAGAGGAGCCGGCGTGTCGTCTGTGCGATAACGGTGTCGTGGCCTTCTGGAGCACCAGCACCGTCCCCACCAGCGCCGCCGCGCACGAGGCGAAGATGACCGTTTCCTTGTACCTGGACAGCTTCTCCATCGTTGTCCCTCTGTGAAGATCAGCCGGCTGCTCTTCTTCTTTCTATATTTGTATGAGAAGAAAATGACGTTGCAGGTTGTACAACTCCTATTGCATGCCTTGCCCTTCAATGGGGTCTTCTTCACGTCGCAGTGGCCGCTGGCCACGTTTCCGTATTGGTCTGAACCTGTCGCGATAATGTACGACGGCCACACAACCCTCTCTGGATGAAGCGCGGTTGCAGTGGCTGACAAATTGTGTCGCGGCTCAGTTCACCAATGACCGCAGAACAGTACGCGTTCCAGCGCAGTACGGACAAAGGCAAGACAAAAGTGAGAAGAACAAATACGTGATTCAAAGAGAGGCGCACCGTTTCGGCGCGACCGCTTCTTGTGCTGAATTTCGAGGAGCAACATAAATCCTACGATCGCGATCTCCGTCACGGATACAGCGACCAGTCATACTTCGACAAGAAGTCGTCCTCCACAGAAAACCACACACACGGAAGACAGCGCTAGCAAGTCTTCTTCCATTAACCACTACGTATTATCTGTGAACACTCAGTGCAGAGAAACAAAACCATTTCACTACGCCGCTTAAAAAAAAAAACACAAGAGGAAAATTACAGAACATTAATGCAACGACTCAAACCGTTGTTCCTTTGGGGTAGTGCCGTGTTAAGCTGCAGAGTGAAGTTCTACACATGTAATGGGAGCACCTCTTCTACATCAAATGGCTGCGAGACGTGGATGCAGCACGGCAGAGAGCCGCTGCAGAGCAATACCGCTCGCCACCTGAGAGGGCAGGCCGCGATGACCCGGGTGGATCAACGGCTCCTCAACGTTGTGCGCCGTGAGCGCGGTCAACTCCGCGTAATGAGAGCCGGTCGGAAGTACGGTGAGGACGCCGTTGCACAGGCGCATCAACTCCGCGTGCGGCAGCTTACCTTCCTGGGGAACGACCAGCACCACACCACCGCAAAGCGCATCTCGCAGTACGGCCTCTGCTTCACACAGACTGTGAACACGTCCTTGTAGAAACAACGCGTTGTAAAGTTGAAGAGACTGTGGAGATGACCCACAAAGTTTCGTCGCTGCAGCACCCGATGCTGCGTCGTTCGCCGTACCAAAAGACTGCCTTTTTGCGTCGTCCGTCGTTGTTGTCGGAGCCTCGTCGTAGAGAAACCGGTGCCCGCAGTCCAGCAACCACCACTCCCGAGGAGGAAGAGCAGCCCTGTCTTTTGCAAGAAACATCGCATCCACCTTCGCTTTCAAAGATGCGGACCAGCCTTTCCCTGCTGCCGCCACATCACCGTCGTTACAGCAGACGTTGTCGCTGTCGGCTGTGCTTGTGGGTCTCCGCGCAGCGGCAATGCCCCTTTCCGACGCCGCATCCGGTAAGGGGCCGAGGTACAGTGGAGGGGTGTAGTGATACGACCCTACGGCGCCCACCACGTTGTACTTGCGCCGTCCGACGTAGAAGACGTGGTCGACCAGAAACGCGTTGGCGTTGCGGAGGAGCCCGCCGAAGTTGCGCTGATCGCACTCGTTTTCGTAGAGGACAGAGAGGCCGAAGAAAGACGGCGACGTCTGCTGTGCCACTGCCGCCACCGTACTGCCATCGACGGGAGGAGATGTGCTCCCACTGAACTGCAGCAGCATTCGACGGTAACTTTGTTGCAGTTGCTGAATGTCGTTCATGTCTTGTTGGTAGAAGACAGGATGAATTGGGCGCCTGTCGACGCGCGGTGTGGTGTTGACGTGGACGTCGTGCGAAGGCAAGTCCGCGGAGTCCGGCGGAGATCTATCTGACGTTGCGGCGGAGTTGTGTATCTGTGTTGATGACGACGGAGTGGGAAGGCTTTTTTTGAAGAAGTCCTGGTACGCCTGAATTTGGCTTCGCAACACTTCTAGCTCTCCCTCGCTGCTGTTGGTATCGTTGGGCAATAGGTGGTGCGATGTGCTGTCATGGCGAACTGCCGTGGCAGAGTAGATGGGACGAGAGTGGGGGCAATGCACATCTATGAAAGCGTAGAAGAGCAGAATGCCTAAGGAAGTCACAACGTTCAACGAGCTAATCGTGCCGTATTGAGGCACATACACCACCACATCCGCCACCAAAGGGTCGGCGTTTTCCGTTGCGTCGGAACTTCGTTCCCGGGGACGTAAGAGGCTCCGTCGCACTCCCCAGTTCTCGTGCCCCACCACGAGTCGAAGCGGCGCGTCGTGCAGCGCGGGGGGCAGACGCGTGTGCAGGAGGCTCTGCGCCCGGTCGGTGAAGTTCTCCAGCGCCACCAGCGGAAGGTCACCCCGCTTGTTCTCTCCCCCCGTCGCTGCGGAGCGATCGCCAAAAAAAACATCTTCGCCAAAGCTTGCAATGCCTTCAAAGGGATCGTCCTCCACCGTGTCTCTCGCAGATTCCGTCGTTGACGAAGAGGAAGATAAGGACGACGTATGGAGGCCGTCGCGAGTGCCACATCGCGTCTGCACATGCTCAATCAACCGCCACGAGTCCGCCGTCAGAAAGGCTGGAGGGGACGCTGTTTGAAAGTAGAGGCAGGTGCGGATGGAGTTCGTGGCGTTGAAGGCGCTGTGGCAGCCCTCCAGACCAACCGCGACAGGAGTGAGAATCCCAGCGAGTTTCCGCCACTGCGGGATTCGTCGTGACCACCGTGTGAGGGGGTTTGCTGCTAGCGGAACAGTGCGCCTCGGTGGGTGCAGCGTTTGTTTGAGGAGTAGAAGAGCACGATGCATAGTAAAAGCTGTAAACGGCGATCACAGCGTATTCCATGTGGTGCACATCAATGCAGAAGAAGAAAAAAGCTGAGGTGCGAGAGCAGAAAACATCTCCTGGTCTTCTGTTACTTAGCCTTGTAAGGGGTTTCAAAATACTTGTAAGCAGCAGGAGAAGAATAAGGAAGAGCGATAGCAGTACAAATTAATTTTTTCTTCTTTTTGAGTTCAATGATCGATGTCAACAAGAAGAGGTAGATTCTCTCTATTGTCGTTTTAACAGTAACAGCTGAGGCATGATCTTATCGGCAAAAAACGATTCCGCTCCCATATTTCTCTTCCCCTTTCTTGGAAAACGAGGTTGAACTCACCAGCATAGAGCACTCTACGATGCCCGGCTGGAATAAACAAAAACGGGTAGCGTTGGGGACCCAACTGGACTGCACGAAACGCGAAGACTCAACAGCAACGGGCACTGTGGCAAACACCGTGCCCCTGCGGCATTCATTTTCCTCCCCGCGCGCGTCGAACTCTCTCGACGGCGGTTCATTGGAGCTCTTCCGATCTTTTGACTACCGTTCACGCCATCAGTGAATAAGAGCAGGTGAGCGGCAATTAGAAGACGGTGCTTTCACCAAAAACAACTCGGCAGATGATGTCACGTATCGAAAGCGCAAAAACCAAACCTATGCTTGTCCAGTTATTTGGGAGCAGTATATGTTAAGTTAGAAGAAAACGGCAGAGAAATATGAGAGAGATTGTTCAGCAAAGGAAGGATCAAATCGCTTGATGGTGTATTTGCCGCGCAAACACAGCAATGAAACGAGAATGCACTAGGTGTGTTCTTGCAAATGAAGAAAATGGCAGTCTAGCGGCAGCGGGGTCGCACCGTGAAACTTCACATATATATATTGAAAGCGCTCTGGATCAACCAAGATGGCGGTCGCAACCGTTCGTTTTTCGTCCTCGACGCCCTCAAGGCTTTCTGGCAACACTAGGCGAAAGTAAATGTGAGCAAACGAGAACCGGCACGCGCCGTTTAGCCGTGAACACCTCGAACATTGTGTACCTCGTGCGGAGGCGACAGCTTGTTTGCCATCACCGCATCCTAACGAAGGATGAAAATGTGTCTGAGCCTTTTTCTTTCGTAATATGTGGGGACGTCAAGAACGGCAAAAATGGCAGCCGTTGCTTCGATGGTATCTATGAAGATTCAACGCGTACTACGGATAAAGAGAACAGATATCTATCTATATTACTTCTCTTTTTCCCACATGATAATATCGTCTATCACGCAGCCTCCACCGTCAACAGTCGCAACAGCAGCAAAAAGAAAACACTTTCCTCAACTGTTCAACGAAAACCACCACCCGTTACTCTCCAATAAAACAAAAGGCAGCAGCAGCTTTCCTGCTACGCACCGTAGATGTGCAGTACACCGCACGCCACACCGTTGGCAGCAGTGGCGCCGCGCCGCAGGACGAGTTCCGTGTTTGGGATGGTCACCTCAGCCACGCGAAGCTGGAACTTTGGCGAAGAGCGGGTGGACCACACTTCCTGATTGACGACTAACACACCCGTCGCACTCGCCGTGTTGTCCAAGTCAGACCCATCTACCTCTTCCTTCTGGTGGGTGACGACCGCGAATTGGGGTCGAGTCGACGGCAGAAACATAATGTGTGGCATTAACTCCTCGTTACTGGTGCTGTTACCGTTGCTGCCGTTACTAGCATGAGAGGTACTCGGCGCAGAAGGGCTTTCGCCTGTCTCATCCTCCACCAACTCCGTCTTTACACGCTTCGTCTCTGCTTTTGTTACTCCATTGTTGCTGCTGACGCTGGACGACGACAAGCGAAGCACAGCGTCCCAACTGCGCGAAGACACAGTCTCGTCGTCGTGGCCCTCCCGAGGTACCTTCGTCCCTGCCTGCGACGACGTTGCCGCCACCGTGGCTGTCGAATCGATGTCGAGCAGCTCATTGCGTGGCGGGACGTAGTCCATGCGGAGGTGCGGCAGGTGCTTCATGTCCACCAGCGTCACCGGGAAGCTGTACAGCGGGGTGTAGAGGCGGCCATTCACCAACGCCTCGACGACGCGGCGCAGGCTGCCCTCCGCAGTCGGCCACCGCTCCACCATGCGGTCCCGCATTGCACCCACCACGTCCTCATTGCACACGCTGACATGCACGCCGTTCACCGACACCCGGCACGGGTTCGAGCGGACGAGGATGTCCGCCGTGTCAGCGATGGCGTACATGGTGGTGGGCAGCACGGGCACCTGCGTCACGTCGCCTCTATGGGACACCAACAGGACCTTTAAGTGCGGCAGCAAGGGGCGAGTGGAGTAGTAAGTCTTCAGCGTCTCCTCCAGCGTGTCCACGAAGCTCTCCGTCACCTCATTAAAGGTCGCGCCGAGTGAGGGCAACAAGCCGCGCTCAAACTCGTTCGCAAAGGGAGGGATGAAAGGCCCTCCAATGATCAGCACATCAGCACCGCGGTGCAGCGCTTGCTGGGTAACCGTCCGCAAGAGACCAGCGACGTCGCGGCGAGGAAAAGGGCCACTGCAGAAGTGAATTCGTGCACCGCTTGTGTTTTCGCTGCCGTTCAGATTACTCTGAGGACCTTGCATCGCTGCAGACGCCGACAGTGGGCGATCCACGCGCCAGGGAAGTGACGGCCGTGCCGGCAGCACAAACTCGCGCACGAGCACGCCTGTCAACACACCACGCGCGCTGCGCTGAAATGGCTCGCCGACGACGCCCACCGCCGTGCCAGGGTACAGCCCAGTGAATTGGCCCACTTGACGCGTGTAGAGGGAAAGACGGGTGCCATTCTGCGCCGCTGCTTCCTCGTCCGCCTCTGCTTTGGTGGCCGTTGTCTCCTCGCCGGCGACGCTGACCCCGGTCATGCCACCCCCTGACACGCGGAGAGACTCGCTGTGACTGAACTTGCCGGGGCTACGGCTTGATGCGCCGTTGCTTGAGTTAGCGTTGCCTTCCTGCATCAGCATGAACGCGCCCGTGAGAGGGGTGGTTTGCTGGGACATGGCCTGTAGCGCCGGTACGTAGCAGTCTTCGTCTTCGAGGTCACGGACGACGTAAAACTCCCACGGCGCCTGCTGCGTGGCGGCGCTGACGGTGGAGGGGTCTTGCACCTGCGTGAGAATCCCTACCGCACGATAGAGAGGGACAGCGACGGTCGGCGTCGCGCCGGCGGACCCGCTCTGGTCGTCCCCCGGACCGCCTCTCACCTCCCCCTGCTCCTCTTCCGCTGGCGGCTCCGGCTTCACCAAAGAGTGCGGCGCATCCCCTGCCTCTTGCTTCTTGATCGCGCCGCGCCACAGCGGAATGCGGCGCAGCATATCTTTGTAGTACGCCACCACATTTCTGCGAACCGCCGGCGTGGACTTTTCCTGCAGTCCGCAATACGAGGAGCTGCGGAAGTTGGCCGTATTTCGCGCGTCTACTGTGACGGTGGAGGAGCTGCCGGCGGCTCGCTGCTGCGGTGTGAGAAACGGCTTCTCCAAGCGGGCCGGTGGGTGCTCGCTGCCAAGCAAGAGGTTGAGGTTGGCTGCCACCTTCCAATCGCCTTCCACCTGCATTGTAATAAATAAGTAAGTCTTATCGTGTATTAGAATAAGTGTGTGAAGAGCCAGAACAGTAAAACGGCACCCAAAAAAAAAAACGAGGCCTGAGAACTGAATTCTATTATGAACCTCCCGTACTCTATGGGTGATGGTCTATCGAGTGAGCACTTCTACGCACCGTTGCAGTTGGTGGAGTTGATGCACGAAAGGAACGGAGAGCGTCGAAAGAGAGAAAGAGAGAGAGTAGAACAAATCATTTTTTTTTTTTAAGAAGCTGCGTGTCCTCTGCATCGCCTCGCAGTTTCACGCAGCCAGTACTTTAAGATCAAACTAGGAATCCCAAGCAGCATGATCGCTTCAGCACCAGATGAAAGCCTTCGCCTCAACCTCTTTTCCACACTTTGAAGGGAAAAGACGGAGTGTCCGATCACAAACAAAAAAAAAAGAGGGACCTCGTAACGCCTCGGCTCATGTGGCGCAGCAAGTAAAGCTCCGGTACTATCACATGTTCCTTCTTTGCAGGTTTTTTGGGGGGCGAGAGAGACTCACAAACAGCGCAGCACAATGGTCAGCCGTGAGACCTTCGCGTTCAGAAGAAACAAAACAAAAGAAAGAACACTACAAAATACAGAGGCCCACCAACACGCACACAGAAAAGAAACACAACCGAAATGCAAATGGTTGGTATCAATGAGAAAGACTCTTGAAACGAGAGCCTGACACCGACACAAACTCTCATACAGGGTTAAACGGATTCAAAGAGCACGATAACAACCGCGTTGGAGCTGATGAAGGCATCCGATAGGGGGGGGGGAGGGTCATGAACGCTCCATCCACCTGGCTTTTACCCTCCCCGCTGCAGGTGTTTAACAACAACAAACAGAAAAAAGGGACGGCTTCCTACCCTTCGAGCTTGAAGGCTTCGATCGCGTCATCCAGGCTCTTCTCCTTCATCAGATACGCCTCACTCCACGCACCACGCAGCATCGCCGCTTGCTGGATGTAGCGCTCCACTCCGTCCATCGTGTTCGACTTGTGCGCACCGACGGCGGCCAGGTTCGCCAGCGTCGCCTCATCATTCGACCGCACTGCTAGCGCGTCCAACAAGGAACGCTCCGCTGCGTCGTAATCCTGCAGTCCGAGCTGCGCGAGCGCCATCAAATTCGACACCATCACGCTATTCCCACACCGCAGCTGCACCTCCTTAAACGATGAAACGGCCGCCTCGTAGGTCTGTGCGGCGACGTTGAGGGCGGCTTGATGCAGCGCGACGATGCCGGCGCAGAGCAGCGTCACAATCGCCTCGCTGTCCACCTGCTCCATTCGCTTCACCTCATTCGCCGCCTCGTCGGGGCGGTTCAGCCGCAGCAACGCCTCCACGGCAACGGCGTGCAACTCCACGGTGCGGCGCATCGCAAGGGCCCCTTCTGGCTTTTGCAGCGCGCCGAGCCACCGCTTCGCCAGCGTCAAGGCACCGATGACATCGTACTGGTAGAGAAGAGCCGTGGCGGCAAAGACCGCCTTGTACATGGCCTCCGCCGAGACCGTTTCCGCGTCGCTTTGCAGGCGCGCCACCACGGAGGCCACCGTGTCGGACAGCGGATCGTTGTCGCGTAAGGCGACCATCAACTCCGCCCACGTCCGCACACTCACGAGCAGCGGACTACTCTCGGAGCGCAGCTGGCTGATCACGGCGTCGCCCTGCCCGAGACCGATTTGACCCAGCGCCACCACTGCGCTCTTTTCCACGTTGAAGTCACTCACCTCGGCGGGCTTCGTTGCCATACCGCGTGCGGTGCTGCCATCGGCGATGGCCTGGTGAAAGTTGCCAACGGTCAGCGCGTTGCGCACATCGAAGAGGACGTCGGTCATCTTTTTTGGTTGTTGTTTTTTCGCGTGTGTGATGTTGTGCAGTAATGGATAGCAGCACCAGAAAAGAAAGGGAAGAGTTCTGTTCTTTTCAAAAAGAACTGCTCGCTAGGCCAGTATGTATGGGGACTCTCCTTCTACTCTGATTCAGACAACGAGGGCGTTGACACCACGATCAAAACAACCAAAGAAGACGCTCAATGGACCAGAGTCCAGAGGCGGAGAACACGGAAGAAAGAGAAGATTTCAAAATCTCAAATGAGCGAGTTACAAGGCATATCTTTCCCAATAAGCACAGGCAGCTTTCCTTGCCCGGATGCCTGGTCTTCCAAACACCGCTCTTGAGAGAAGATGGAAGCCAAAACAAAATGTTCTTCTTCTGCTGCCAACTTGTTCCTACGAAGGATCATCAAGAACGTGTGTTGGTGGTTGAAATAAATGGAGAGAGAGAGAGGAAATCTTGTGACTGCTCTGGTGTTCGCCAGCTATCGCTTCAACTCCACAACCCCGTTTCAGCTCAAAAAAAAAGGCAGTAGCTTCACCTTTGCATGCCACATATCAGTTTACCTTCTGTTTCCTTTATATATATTTATTTTTAAGTGGTAGTTCATTAAGCGTTGAGCACAAGGGGAAAGATGAAACCAGCACAACTTCCTTATTTTTAATAAAGGTAACACCACTACAAGGAAAAACACACAAAAGAAAAGTAGAGTAGCAACAGGCAGCAGCCCGAAATGGAAAATAAAGTGGGGGACAATAAAGTACGAGAAAAAAACAGACGCACACGCTTTACCACGATGAATGCTGCCGTCACCGCAAGTACGTCTCTCGTTTCCCTTCTCCCGCCTTCGAGGGACTTCCACCTTCACTTCAGTTCTCTCTCTCTCTCTCTATCTCCCTCAGGCTTCGCACTTGCGGAAAACACAAACAGAAAACAACAAGGGGAAAAAAAAGACGGCACGGTGAAACTGTACACAAACACTAGCACGTATATACATCTTTCTTATCATATATTCTTTTTTTAAACGTGGAGTTCAAACGAAGGCGGCAGCGCAGTGTTCACAGTTCTTTGTTGTGCTTCCTCGCTTCTCGAATGCATACCTTATGTGATGGGTGTAAAAAGCGATGAAGAATGACGGTGAGGATCGTTAGTAAGTGTCAAAGCCATCGGTCCAAGAATGTGTAGAACCCAACAACAGTTTGTTTTAAAAGGCCATCTGTCTTTTAGAAGGCATCGCGGAGAAATAACGTCAATTTGTAGCTTACCTAAACACATTCAAAGACGCACATGAACAGCGTGAGAAGAGAGGCGTAACTTCAGTTTAAGCGGCAAGCAGCGCTGAGGCGGTGAAGATGGAATAAAGGATTTAATCGTCAGAGTCGGTATATCTAAAAAGGAATAATAAAAAATAATATCGTATCTCCTATTTCACGTTTCCTTAATGTAATCGTTTAAGTTTTCGTTCTGCACCGTGGCATACATTAGCGGTGCTTTTAGTTTATGACGTTGCCTCCTCCACTTAAGCTGCGTTTAAAGTGAAAAAAAAAGTGTTCGTTCGACAAAAACCATGACAGAGAAAGGTGCTGTGTTGCAGCGGTGAATGCTTCCCTCTTCTTTCATATTCATAAGCGTGTACTTCCCATCTCAGAAAACCCTTGTGTCAAAAAAATAAGAAAAAACCAAGAGGCCACCTTTATGATACGCAGCGACGTCTTCATTCGCTCCAGTTGTAGACACAGCAAAAACAGCAAAACATATATATATATATATATACGGTGACCATCATGGAAGAATACGCGGTGCTTCCAGCAAGAAAATAGAAGCACGCAGGAAAAAAAGAGTTGAAGCTAACCCCGACAAATGAAACCATCAATGCTGAAACCAAAAGCAAAAAATTTTCTCTGAGGAACTTCCCACCCCCCACACAAAATATATACTTATAAGACTCCATACTTAGTCAGGAACACACACACACACACTCACACATTTAAAGCGTAAACGCGAACCGAAGAAGGAAATAAAAAGCAAACGAAATGCAGCCGTCGCAAAATAGGGGAAGGTGCGACCACATGTCACGGACCACACGCAACTTCACCAGTGGTGCGTAGGTGCGTGAAAGACGAAAACGGCAACACAGAGCGCGACTAATGATAATGCTAGAAGGATACTGGAGAACGCATCAGCAACGATCCGATGTCGTACAATAAGAGTCGCATTCCTTTCCCTTTGCTGGCCGCTTTCCTCTGCTCCCTCTACGGTTCTTTTAGTTAGCTGTTAGAAAATATAAGAGAAGAAAAAATCGTTTTCGTTGTTCTTTGTCCTCTTCTTCGCCTTTAGCGTCTTTCTCTTCGTCGTTGCTGTTGGTTCCCCGACTCTGCTTTCTACAGTGACCTACGCTGAGGACTGTCAACGGCGTGCGTCACTGCGTTTCCCTGGTCATAGTCCCTCGCGCTCTTCACACTGATAAGCAAACCGCTCTCCATACCACGCGACAGGAGAAAAGAAATTGTGCCTGTAGAACAGCTTCGAGCAGGCATAAGAGTAAATAGAGTGTCGCTGCACGTCATCTTGTGGCAAATACCGCAGCCCTTCTCCGTTTTCCGACTTCATCGTTTTTGGTTTGTCGTTCATGGCGTCGGCGCGGCACAGATTTCAGGCTTCACTCCGCTCTAGAAAGCCAAAGACAGCGAGTAAAAAGAAAAAAGGACGGGGACGCTTTTTTGGTTTTTGGATTCTCAAACAATAAGTTTATTCTTTTTTCCCTTTTACCGCTGTTGAAAGCCCCCGACATTTTCCTGGCCGTTCGCCTGGATACCGTTGGGGTTGAAGTGGGGGTGCGTCGAGAGCTCCTCGGACGAATGTGCAAAGGCGCAGTTCGCGCCGTAGGAGCACGTGCCGCCGTTCTCGATGTTCATGCACATCTTCGTCTTGGCCTTGGTGCGGTCGATGCCACGGCGTTGGCGCTGCTGGCCACGGAAGCCGCCGTCCATCGGCTGCTGCATCGCGTACTCCGCCGGCAGCTGCCAGTGCGTAGTGCGGGTGTTGTGGTCGATGTAGTACAACTCGTTGTTCTGCGTGTAGGCCATCTCCCAGCCGGGGGGCAGCCGCGGCGCCGGTGCCATCTGAGGATAGCCACGCGCGCTCGCGTTGTAGCCGGCGGCGTAGGAGTTCATCTGCATTGTTTGGGCCCGGAGAAAAGAAAAACGGGGAGGGCACGGAAAGGCACGGAAGAGAAAAAGCCCAGAAAGGTGAGGGAGGGAGAGAGATGCACGAGAGCTGTTCGATGTGAGCAGAAGAAAGGCACAGACAAGACAGGAAAATGGTGAGTACCGAAGACGATTCGAAAACGAACGGTGTGTGGAACAAAAGATGTTGCGTAACACGCCACAGAGAAGAGAAACAAAAAAAAAACACGAAGATGTGCAAGAGGACGTAAGAAGGAGAGTGCGTGTGAGAGAAGACTGCACAGTAAAGTGCAGCGTTTTCGACCTAGGAGGGATGGCAGTTCGTTACGGACGCATCGATTTCAATTGCACCATTGAATACCCAACTTGGAGAAAGAAAAAGCAAGCGAGCAGGCGGAAGTGTGCTTCTCGGCCTGTGTTGAATTCTCACGTTCCTTGGCTGCATTAAACCACGGACAGTCTGCCTTTTCCACCCGGCGAGTTCTGGTGCAAAACATGAGAACCTGCACCCCAGTTCGTCAAACGAAAGGCGCGGTCGGCGGACCGTGAAATATCGTTGTTATTACCGTTGATAGGTTTGATTATTGCTTATCGTTAGGCGAAGAACATTAACGTTGAAAGAAAAACTTACACTCATTTTATTCTGCGAGACCTACTCTGGTTGGCGCAGTACCCGGTACTTCATCAAAACAAAAAGTAGGTGATCAGCTGCGCCGCCCATTCTACTGCTTTCCTCGTCGACCCACGTTCATTTCAAATGTACCTTACTTAATCGAACCGTTAGAACGAGCAACAATCCTCCTTCAACTTCATCTGTACTTTTGTTTACCGCTTAAATAGTTGTTACCGTGTACTTGAAAAAACAAAAAGATCAAAGACACACACACGCTGCTGCCTAAGGCGCCTTTCATCGATGGCGATTCTTTTCTTTCCCTTCTCATCGTTATTTCTTCATAGAGCGGAACAGCTTCCTCTTCTTGTGCGCAGGCTCCGCCTTCTCTGCGCCACTGTCTCCCGGGGCGGCAGACTTCTTTACATCCACGCCGTTCGCGATGTCCTCGCGCTGCCGCTTCAGAATGTTGCGCAGGGTCGGGTCCACGCCGTTGCCGCGCTGCTTGCGCTCCGCCGACACCTCCGAGAGCCACGCCTCGGCGCGCAGGAACGCCACGTTCTTCATCGCTTCGGCCAGCTGCGAACTACCGGCGGTCAGCATCGCATCCAGCACCACACGACCCGCCCACGGCGAGACCGACATCTCAAACACGTGCGACTTCAGCTCATTCATCAACAGCTTCCGCTCCCGCTCCAGCTGCCGTGTGCGGACCTCCCGCAGCAGCGCCTGCACGACGTAGCACGCGTGCTGGTGCAACGCGTAGGAGACGAGGGCATGCGACAGAACGTGGTAGTGCCGTGTGCGGTTGATCGCCCGCTGCTCCTTGCGGTTCAGCGTCTTCGCCTCCGCCGTCTCTGCCTTCTCTTTGACTTTTTCGTCTGCGTCGCGTCCGTTCTCCTGATTGCCCTCGGCGATTTTGGCCTCCTCCTCCTCCTCCCTCGCTGCCGCTGAAATGAGCTGATTCACCGCATTCACCACCGTTGCATCCGGCGCGTAGGCAAGCAGCTTCTGCATCACACGCGAGCCCTGCGCAAAGGACAGCGCGTGGTGCAGGTGAGACGCGTAGTACGTACTCAGTGCCTCCACGAGCGGTGCCCGCACCTCCTCCGGGGCGTACTGCAAAATAGACTCCAGCACATAACACGCAGACGGGTGCAGAACAAGCTCCTCGATGGACGGATGCTTCAGCAGCACCTCCAGTAGTGCACCGGCAACGTCGCCGCTGAGGTCCGTCTCCACCAGCTTCTGCAGCACGGGAGAGCTGACGGCGTTCTGCGAGAGCGCTACCGCCTGCGACGTGAGCTCCGCCGTGCTCTTCTCGGGGATGAGCTCGCGGGCCACCTCGATAAACGCACGCAGCAGCACCGAGCGCACCGGGTCGACGGCGACATCGACGATGGAATCCGCTGTGGTGCTTTCCGACACCTTCTTGCCCTTCTTGGGTGTCAGTTGTTTTTGCTGTCCCTGCGGAGTGGCCGCACCCTCCACGAGTGCAGACGTGGAAGGTGACGATGGCGCCTGGTACATCAGCTGCAGCAGTACCTTGCGCGCCTCCTCAACGTAGCGCACCACCGCCACACCGACCTGCACGGCGCCCTTCACGTGGGTAATAGAAAAGAGAACATTCGGGTTAGACGAAAGGGCAGCCCACAAGTCTGCCCGCTGGATGTCATCGCCGTGCTCCAGCGCAGCGCAGTAGACGTGCACGTTCTCGAGCCCCGTCGAGCGCGCGTTCGGCTTCGCCACGTTCGACCCGGTCCCGAAGTCCGGCGTTGCAAACTCCGCCGCTTCTTCCTTTTCACCGTCGGTCTTCATCTCCTTGTTGACGTCGGCTTTGGACGTGGCATCGAGATAGTCGCCGACGAACTCGCCAAGGTGGGCGTAGATGGCATCCTTCACCTCCGCTGGAGTGCGGGCGTGACGGAGCAGTGCCGTCAGCACCATCGACTCATCCGCGGAGCGGAACAGCGCGAGGATCGACGCATCAAGCTTATCCGAGGCCGCCACCGCTTCCTCATCGCCCTCTGGGTCGGCGTTCGCGTACGTTGGGAAGAGGGCCTCAATCACCCGCGTGCAGCCCTCCGCGACGGAGTCAATGAACTGGGCCACCACACGCATGCCGTACGGGTGCAGACTGAGGGCTGCAATGTGCGGCAGAAAGCGCTCCTGCACCATCTCGACGCACTCCGGCACCTTCATCAGCTTCTGCGCAACGTAGTTACCAAAAGGATGTATGCACAGCCGCTGGAACTCATCCTCGTCAACGTTCAACACAAAGGCCTCCGCAATTTCCTTCTTCTGCCGCGTCGGCACCTTCTCCAGCAAGTGCTGAACCACGGTGTTGCCTACCGGTGAGTTTGCCAGGTCCGGCAGCTTTCGACGCACGTTGTAGAGCATCTTCACGCGGTCCATGTTGTCGCAGTGGTCCAGCAAGGTGAGGAGGACGTGGTGCGTCGTCTTGTTCAGCGCGAGACCATACACGGCAGGCAGGATTTTCTGCACCACCTTCGCACGCTGGGCCGGCTTGCCGTAGAGCACGATCGCTTCCACCTGCTGCAGCGGCAGCGACTTGCCAGTCGCCACACGCTGCGAGGGGTTTTTGAGAAAGTCAAGTCTCATACCGGGCATGGTTGGAGGACTAGGAGAGCGTGAGGTTCGGCAAAGATGTGTGTGTGGGTGCGTGTGTTATATGTGAATGAATGGATGGGTATCAGCTAGGAATACCGCAAGCAGAGAACGTACGAGGGGAGCTAAAAGGGCTTCCAGCTTCAAAAGGGACAGAGCGAGACGGCAAAAAGAGGCGATTTGGTATGTTGAGAGAACAGCAGAAAAAGAAAACGCGGGTCTCAACAAGCCACCAAAAAAAAAGGGAGGTGCTCTGATGCTTCCTTCACGTTTGATGGGATGCTTCGACATCAACACTGGGAAGTACGTACGCACTGTCGTTGCAAACAGCCGTAACTGCAGGAGAATTATTCACGTATCGAAAAGGGTACATATGAAAAGGCTTCCAAAGCACCGCGCAATGGCGTCAGCTCGCCGTGCCTTCTCACGAACTCGTCCATCACAAATTCCTCGACACTACAAAGAGTTGGCTCTTTTTAGAGTTCGCCACTTTTTATTTTGCCGTTGTCTGTTTGAGGTAAGTAGTTGCCGCGTAGAAGATTACATCGAAACACAGGCAAAAGCTACAAAAAGAAAACATAAAGGAGCGAGCATGTATACCGTAACTAAAGAGAAGCATACGTTCCAGTAAATACGAATACAGGAAAAGAGAAGGTATGGATACAACGCACTCACTTTCAGTAATAGAGAGAGAGAATAGTATGTACATGACACTGCACGCTCATATTGTCGAGGTCAACGCTTAAAGAAAAAAAAACTACAGGAAGAAACAATCGCAGAGAAGCAAGCGTGAAACAAGAACAGCCGGTAACGTAAAAACCCAAAACAATTTTATTAAACATGCATCTTCTTCTTTCTTTTCCAATACTTACAGCCACAACCTTCGTATTTCGCACCAAAAGCGGTTTTTCTTTTCAATGGTACACCACTCTGTTACAGTTCATCGTGATCATCGACCGCCGCTTCCGAGGAGGTGAGCTTGGTGAGTCGGCGGCACGCTGCGGAATCGTCTGTCTCCTCGGCGATGAGACGAAGGTGAGCAAGAGGGGCATCCTTGTCCTTGCGTTGCGCTTCGCCTTCCTCGTCCGCGTCAGGTCCCTGGACGAAGGGAGCGTCTGTGGCGGCTGCACTGTCCGCCACGGTGGAGTCAGAGTTTTCGCGCGCCAGTGCACACACATCCTCCGCCGCATTCCCTGAAGGACGAGCCAAATCCTCGGCATTCGATACGGCGGTCGTCGCACCCTCCGCCTCATCCCTATGGTCTTCCTTGGTGGTTGCGGCATTTACCGTGTCCTCCAGTAGACCGCATTCCCGCATCAGCTGCGCCTTCATCGCGCTTCGCTGCGCCTCCTTCTCCGCACGCGCCGCCTTCTCGTCGGCCTCCGTCAGCTCCCGCACGCGCGCCGCCTCCTTCGCGGCATAAAGACCGTCCACACCGGCACGCGTCAGGTGCATCCAGCACAGCGCCTCCTCGGCCAGGACGTACTGACGGGCATCGGTCTGTGCTTCGGCGAGGTCGGTGAAGCGGCGTTGCTCGCGCAGCTCCGCGTGCCGTCGCGTCTTCTGCGCCTTCAGGCGGAGTCGCCCTTCCTCGACGAAGATGGCTTCCTCGCCGGGGCCGAACGTGCCGTCTTGTGTCACCGACGTCGCACGCGTCGTCCGACCGTCCGTAATGGGGAGCAGCGCCAGCTCGCCCAGCGCGCCGTTCAAGGTGACAGAAGGCGAGTTCTTATGGCGAAGCTGCCCCGCGTACTCTCGCGAACTGCGCGCAAAGGAGAGGGTGCTGCGCCGGCCGGACCCCACAACAAGGGAGTAACGGTCATGCGAACCCGTAGCAGCGCTCGTGCCACGACTGGGGTACTTCAAGCGGTAGTCCTCCTCTGGTCCTTTAATAAAACAGCCCGGTCCGAGAGGGCGGTGTTCCTTGTGCCAGAGAAAGAGCTCGCGGAGGTCGGCGCGCTCGTCCTCCTCGATGCGGCGGTAGCCCGACTCGTGCGCCGGGAGCAGTGCGCTGAACTGCACCTCCAGCAGCTCCCCGAGTCGCTGCTCCCGCAGTCGGGCCGCCACTTCCACCTCAATCACCTGCAACATTTCGTGGCGCGCCTTTGCACGCTCCAGCGCTTCAGCCACCACGAGTTCCTCGGCTTCGTTGCCGGCGAGCAATTCCGTACGTTCTTGTAAGGCCCTGATCAGGACGCTGGTAAAGGCAACCTCCTCGTTCGCCTGCAGGGCGCTGCGTTCGTTTTCCTCGCGATCGACGAGGCACTGACGCGGGGCTTCGTAGAGCGCGTAGTGCTCCATCGCCGAGTCGTGCGTTTCGGCGTCGACGTAGACCACCGCGGACTCCCCCTTCAGGGTTGATTCGTACACGAACGCGTTCGGGACCGAACTGAGCTCGCCCGACATGCCCCACTTCTTCTTCGCCGCATTGTCCATCTGCTCCCCTGCAGACGTCGCATACGCCAAGTGTCGTGCGGCGGCGGAAAACGCACTACCACCGCCACCGCCGCCAGCGGTCGCCACCTGCCCCTTTCGGCGTCCGCGAAGAAACGTAGATGTGACCGTCGACTTGCCTGGCGACGTGCGCTGCACCATCTGTCGCATCGTCTTGTACGGGCTTGGCGGCCGCGGTGGCCGCTCGTGCATGAGGCTGTGCGGCGTTGTCGTGGCTGGGTCGTAGCACGGCACCTCATCTGCCGAGGCCACGCCGGGGAACAGCACCTCGGCCGGTGTAGCGCCGCTTTCGACGTCCATCCGAAAGAGTCGCGAAGCGGAAATTCGAGGGGAGTAAAAGGCTTTTCAATGCAGGTTCGCCACTTGCATGAGAGCGTGTTTGTGCTGTCCGGCGATGAACAGGGTTGTTGAAGGCGACCCACAAGAAGATCAAAGATGCACGGAAGGCGGGAAGAGATTTTTTTTGAGGAAGAAACTGACGACCCAGAAAGTAGCAAACGCGAAGACGAAAAAAAAAACGAATTTGTCGAAGGCTCATCGACGAAGGAGCCGACGGGCGTCGAGCTGAGTTTCTTCGTTTCCTCTCCGTCCCAATGAACAGAAAAGGATAACACGAACACGTTGCCGCTGTCCAACAGGGAGCAAAGACGTCTTGCATGGTGTCGTTGTTTCTACGGTACCGGCTGAGCAGCAAGAAAAGTAATTTCCTCCATTCACACCAACGTGGGGGAGGGGGGTTGGGCCTCTTCGCACAAACGTATTATTTTTCTTTTTTTGCTTTGTAGCAACCTTTTTCGACTTCCCGCCTAAAGTAGAAGAGAGAGCTGCGCATGCCTTTGCGTCAACAGCACCGCTCTCCCGTTCCAGTTGTGCAGTCACACCGATATTATCGAGCGAGCGAGGGGAGGAAGGGTAAACAAGAAACTGCAGCTGCCAACATCAGCGGCGACAACCGTCACACACGCACACACCAAAACAAACCGCTCAGACGCATTGCTGACTCCTTCCTATGAGAGCCAAGAGTCACACCGCACACAACAACGGCTTTCAAAGTACACTTCAATATAACAGAACAGGAGATGGAAGAACAAAATCCTATGTGAGTAACAAGCAAAAAACCAAGAGAGTGAAGATGGTAGCTTGACAGCAATGGAGCTGGTGAGCAAAGCAACAGCGCCATGATGCAGAGAGACACAATTTGCCTTTTGCTGCCTATGCAAAAAAAAAAAGGCGGAAGAAGAGGTCGAGCACCGCTTCTCTCCACTCCCATCAACACAGCCGTCAATGAGGATACACCACCGGCACGCCATTGTGCCCCATCGCGGTGCGGCGCGACCACCCCGAGCCGTGCTGCATGCTGCCATCCATCATGCGGGTGGGCGCGACCTGACCCCAGAAGTTTGGGTCCTCGCCGTTGTTGACGGAGCCGTCCGCGCGGTGCCGCGCACGCACGCGCAGCTTCGCCGGCGGCGTCGCGTGGTACTCCAGCAGCGCCTCAATCTCCTCATCCACCGGCGCGGCCGGCTCTGGCAGCTCGACCTTCGCGTAGTACTCCTGCACTTGAATGTCCCACGCGGTGGTGAAGAAAGTGACGGCGCTCGGGTCTGCCGGAATGGCGTCCTGCACGGCGCGCAGACTCGCTAGACAGGCCGCCGGGGCGGCAGTTGCGCCCTGCTCTGCCGGTCTTGCGGTGTGCAGGCGGAAGTTGCTGCGCACGGCCAACGGAAAGTGCTGCCGCTCCTCCTCCGGTGTGAGGGTGCGCAGGTTGGGCACGGCGCCGGTCTGCTTGAACAGCAGGCAGAGGTGGCGGGTGGTGCCAGCGTCTTCGGTCGGCAGCGGCGCCACGTACGGGATGACCACGTCGCCTTCTCTCTGCAGCCCCTGCGTGTCAACCACCACGCCGTTGACCTGCGCCGCAGAGTGCGCAGAGAGGTTGGATACCATGTAATTCAGAAAGAACCCTTTGCTGGCGTGTTGGCGGTCGTGAGACAAGGGCACGCGGTACGGGTAGTCGGGGGATAGGATGACCAAGGTGTAATAGTTCGGGGCAGAGGAGGGAGATTCCTTCTTGGTGGTCGCGGAGGCCTCCGTGGCAGCAGCAGCCGTGGAAGCAGCGGCGGCGTCTTCCTCGAAAAAGAAGATGCTCGGCGGTTGCTGGAGGTCGGTGAGCTCGATGTAGTTGCCGCAGTGCGCCGTGAACCAGAAATTGCGCGCGGTCAGCTTCGTCTCTGGCAGCGGTGTGGGAATCGGCTCCCCGTCCTCGCCGGTCAAACGCGCACGCGTGTTGTACTGCCCCGGGAACACAACTGAAAGGTTGACGTCTGCCTTCACGTGAGGCACGTAGGCGGGACACACTTCGTGCTTGCGCAGGTAACGCAGCAGGCGGGCGCGGTGCCCGATCCACTGCGGCGACTGCGACGACGGCACCAGTGCACGGTGGTCGGCGTTGGGTACAGGCGGGTAGGAGGTGCGCGCAAAGTCGCTCGCGTTCCAGTACACAAAAAAGTCGGGCGGCGGGGTGAGGTGAAAGAGGTGCGGCGTGTCGAGCTCCGACTCGTAGACGGGGTACTGGAACATGCTGTCCGACAAGATCGTCTTCTCGTATGGGTACTGGAAATCGTGCATCGCCTCCGGACGGGGCAGCTTCTCGATTTGGCGCACTTTGCGATCTGCCTCGCGTTGCTCGCGCGTGCGGGCATCTTTTGTGCTGGACTGCGTCTTCCACCCCGGCATGTGATAGGCCGCCGCCGCCCCGCTAATGGCGCCTCCCGTCGCAGACGCCGCCGTCGTGCACCGTGGAAAACGCCGCATATTTCTTTTCTTGGCGATTTCACTTCGAGCGCCCACCACCGACTACAAAGAAAAAAAGGGAAAGGGAAAACCCAAACACGCCTGTGTACTTCGTTCAGAAGGAAGAGGAATAAAAGCGAGAAAAGAGAAGTGGAGACGTAAGCTTGATCGAGCTTGCGTGACGTTGGTTTGAGTCGCAAAGAGGACTTCGTACGCAGCAGTACGACAGAACGAATGATACGGAGTCGGACGTTTTCTTGTCCACAGAGGGATTTACCGGAGTCTCCCGAGTTTAGCCAGCTTGGTATGGCCAAATTCTGTTAAACCTCAGAATCAAGGAACAAAACGTACTTGACGCTCCACAGATGCTTAGTAGAATAGAACCTAGTTCTGGTGCATTGTAAAACTCAATGTATGGAAGAAAACGTCGTTCCAGATGTAAACAAAAAAAGGAGGGGGGCAGAGATACCTGTACATGTGCATGTTAATCTGCAGATCCTTCATATCAGCCTTGTGAAGGCCAAATAGAAGACTCTGAAAAGGGAAAAAAAAATGCAGAGCGTGATATAAAAAAACGGCATCATAAATATATAAAGCGAATTGTCTGTTCCACCATTTCATGTTCTCCTACACGGCGCGTCAGACGCGGTTTGGTGCTTTTCCGTCTTCTTGTAAAAGAAACGTTTTCATAGCCCGCAACCGTCGCTGTGGGATCGCGCTCCGGTTGTTCGCGTGTGTCTTGCGGATTCCGCTCAAACGAAGCGTGTTCAGAGCTCGTAACTGGCTCTGCGGAACCACACACTGACGGTTGACGCTTGTTTTCCCGTTGCCGCTCAAAGAAAGCCTTCTTGAACCCCGTTATCGGCTCCGTGAGACCACAAGCTGGCTGCTCGCGCCCGCGTTCAACGTAGCTCAGCCGCTCTCGATCGTACACCGTCTGCCCTTCCGCAAACGTCTTCTCCTTCAGCCACTGCTCATCCTCCGCGAAGTGTAGCATTTGCGTTCGGTAGGCACGGTAGGCGTCCGCTTCTGGGTCGCCGTAGTAGGCCCGAGAAGACGGTTCTATCTGCAGGGTGCTGCGGCCGTTAGTCGGGTCGCGCGTGTCGGACGGGTCCACTCCGATCGATTTGAGAAAGTCAAGCGGCGTTGCGCTTGCATCGACCACGCCGTGGCGGCGCTTTTCCTGTCTCCGGGCTTCGATGACGTGAATGGGTACGATGGATTGCACCTCCTCCGTGAAGAAGTCGTAGTCGCTGGTGTGAAGCCTAATGACGGAGTGCACGTTGTCTTCTTGGCGCAGCCGCTGGAACTCCGCCTCGGCTTCCTCGACTAAGCTTGGCATTGGAAACCCTATAAGGCAGAAAAAAAAAGAATAGATGTGAAGAAGGAGGGGGGGGGGAGCAACGATGACCCAAAGGCTCAAGCGACATGAAAACGATACGCGGAAACCCATCACTTTGCGGAAAAAACATTCGGCGAGGGAGAAATGTGAGTTCAGATCTGAGGCAGTTCAGGTGAGAAAGAAGCTCGTCTCCACATGAATCTTCCTTTATTACACAGCAGATCCAACTGTCGGAGTCGGTTGTTCGTCCTCATCTTCCTTTTCTTTACTGCACTGTCGAAAAAAAAAACCCTGTGCTTACGTCAGTTCAAAACAACTCATCAAGAAGGTCGTCGGGTGGTTGCTTGCGAGTGCGCAGATAGGCCATCAAGTCTTTCGGCTTCGACTCCATCTGCTTCATCTCGAAGTACTGCCGGACCGTTCCCTCGAGGGAGTCTTTCTCGGTGCCATAGACAGGCGAGCTCGTCTGCGGCGGGTACACAACTGGGACGTAGTGCGCCGTCTGCTGAATACTAGTGAGCTTCGCGCCAAACGGATACACAACATTAGGGGCGCGCAGCACGCAGCCTGGCTTGGGCCAGCACCAGCTCATGTTCCAGTACAGCGCCAACCACGCCTCTAACGTGGCCGGGACGTCTGTTCTGTTGGTCGTCGTCGCTGTTGGATGAGGAGAGCTCTGCAGCACCGCGTGCATGGGAGCATTCCCTCCACGCAAGAGACTCATGAGGGAGCGGCGGGTGGCCTCCGACGCACCGTAGTGCTTTTCGTTCGAGGTGAGTGCAAAGAGGGAGGACACCGCGCGTCGGCGAACTGCGGCGTGGTAGGCGGTGTCCCCACCGTGTTCCTCAAACACCTGAATGAGAAGCGGGATGAGCTGCCCGGCGAGGAAGGCATCATCCTGCAGGTTCTGCTGAAGATAGGCGTAGATCATCGGGTTCGACTGCCATCCAGCGCAGCGTTGCAGAAAGTAAGACACGTCATCGAGCCAGAGATTCGACACACGGCGCTGCTCGACCACCACACAGTCTTCCAGCGCAATCGACAGCTGTGCGAGATTGGGCGGGACGATCAGCGGAGCACCGCCGCTCTCCAGCACCGCCACGGCGAGAACAGGCAGCACCGCCGCCTCCGCGGGCAGGGCTTCATCTGGGGTGGCAAACAGATCTAGCGCCACCACGTTACCCCGCATCGTTGCCTCGTCATCGTGTAGCACCCAGTCGTAGCCGCCTTTCGGCGCAAAGATGGTGACCATCGCGGCAACGTGGTGCGCCGGCGCTGCCTGTGCAGATGTCGTTTTTGACGATGTAGCGGCAGCAGCTGCGCTGCTCATGTCGGGGCACATCAGCGAGAGCATCTTTTTCGCGCCAGGCGTCAGCCCCTCGTGCAACCAGGCAGCGCTGACCTCTTCCTGTTCTTCCTTCCCCAGCGGCGAGGCAGGACAGGAGAGAGGCAGGGCAGCCTGCATGACAAACTCGCCCGAGTCATTCAGGTGCCAATGCCGCACCATCCCCCGCTGCGAGACCCACGTCGCGGTGTCGCACAGCGCTCCGTCATCGATGTAGGAGGGCCACACCAGTTTCTCCCCGAGAATCGGCATCGCCGGACAGCCATCACCGCGATGAAAAAGCTGCAGATCGAGCACTTCATCTTCACGGCAACGGCGGTCTCCAAACGCATCGAGATCGACCGGCGAAGCATCATCGTTTCGTGCGTCGCTTTCACTTTCGGCGGCGGCGGCCACCTGCGCTTCTTGTTCCGTCAGTGGCACCTCCACCTCCTGTGAATGGTGAAGCACCTCATGGAAGGAGGCAACCAACTTGTGGAACGAGGAATCCTGCATATCCGTCCCGGGCGCTCCCCAGCCCCGTCGCAGCGCGATTTGCGGCTTTGGAAATGCATTCCAATTTCCTTTTGTCAGCCAGTCCACGCTGCTCTCGCCGCAGCCGGCGTGGGCCTGCGCAGCGCGCTTGGCATGCCCACGAACCGGTACCCCGGCCTCAAGGTACGGCATTAACTCTTCTTCCGACAGCAGTAGATCCTCTGCAGTGGTGATGGTGGCGGACGCCTCGGCTGACGGGGCCAGCACACACCGCCATTTGCCGGAAACATCAGCGGCTTTGAACGGAGGTGGGAGACGGAGCTGACTGAGGACGTCGCGCAGCGCGTAGACAGGGAGTCCACAGTACGTCTCCGTCGACACAGCCGGCGACGCAATCGCGGACATGCACGACAGCACCAAGTTGCTCGTTGGAAAAAATAATAGTGATGGTAACACAGTTGGTTTTTCCCGCGACCAGCCAAAACCGTTTTTGTTGGTCTGTCTTATCCAGCTTCTAATTATTGTTTAGCGCTTCCTCTGCCAGCTGCAGTTGAGGATTGACGACACTTTCATGCGAGACAGTGATGAAGAGATTTGGCAGTGGGTTGATTTTTAAAGTACATGAAGGTTCATCGTCAAAGCCACATCCCGCACAAACACCTCTGTTGGGGGTTATGAAAAGCGTGATCGTGTAATTTTGGGGGGAATGTTCTAATGTTTCTACAACAACCATGAAGACACGGAGAAGTTTCTCACCCACTTCTATTCGTAAAGAAAATGTGTCGCCGAGCATTTTGAAGATCACGTATGCGAGGACAACAGAAGAAATTACGTCTTACCTCTTTTTTGTTGTTTTTTAATCCCTTACGAGCGACATTAAACGGAGTTAAATGAACACACAGACACAAAAAGCCCACAAAGCACAGTGCGGATGTTGAGCACGACAGCTTCACCTTCTTCACTCCCTCGCCTGCAGCCATACGGCACAACCTGTGCAGTTAATACAGGGAACGGGTGGGGACTTTTTGTGACCGCTGCTGGTAGCTGCTAGTGTTAGCCCGACGCTGCGTCGAGCCGCGTTGGCCGCCACGTCCGCCACGTCCGTGCTGAAAGCTCGAAGCGACACCGTGTTCACCGCGCGACTTCGGCGCCGCTGTCGAACCTCGTTTGGAGTCCCACGCGCCGCCGCCTCGACCACCACGGAACGCACCACGAGAAGCTCGACGCTGTCCTTTGGCCTCGGCCGCTCTCCGACGAGAGGTCGCAATGTCCTCTTCCTCCTCCTCCTCTCCGTCGTCGTCCACCTCAAACGCGCTATCCTCGCCGCCACTCCCCGACGAAAAGGCGTCGCTATCCGTTGCTTCAACCTCATCCTCCTCTTCCTCCTCGGCCTCGCCATCACTCGCGCCTGTTGCTGCCGCCGCTGCTCCTCGATTCCCACGAGTGGCGTCTTTGTTCTGTGCCTCTGCCGCCTTCTCCGCGGCCCGCTCCGCCTTTCGGCGCAAGATGTACGACTCCATCAGCGCCGTCGTGTGACTGTCCTCCTGCCCCGCAAACTTCCTTGCGGCGATGCGGCCGAGGCGACGCTTGAGGCGAATCACGCGGTTCGTTTTCGCGAGCTTCGCCTGCTTCTCCTTGCGCTTCTCCGAGCGCGTTTTCATGACATCGCCGCCGCGCGCGTAGGGGTTGCCGCGGGCCATGTCTCGCAAGCAGTTCAATTGGTATATGTATATATGGATACGTACGTTAACCGCCGTGCGACACAAGGTGTCTATTACGCACGGTCAGCCGCAAATATCTCTTCGGATTGGCCAGGTGCCAGGAAGACAGCAAAGAAAGAAGTCAGCTTTTAAACAAGGAAGGAAAACGCGGGGGGTTCAACACAAATGTACCGGGAAAAAACGAGAAGAGGGGTGTCAAATCGATGGGAAAGGATCTTTTTCCTAAGTTTTGAGACAAGGAAAGGCAACGCTGACGTTACGCATTGCTGCTTCAACACGTCAGCGCACATTTGGGGTAGGGGGGAAATGAGTGACTAAGTGAGGTTTTTGTTTGCTCTATTCTTCCTTTCCATAGTGCAGTATTATTCGTCAGGTGTCAAGCAAACGTCAAGCACACCAACAAAACCACGACAACACACGCCCATCACCGACAACAGAGGAAGGGAAACAAAGAGTGTAAAATCTAAATCCAGCTCGCTGCACGAGCATACGCACTTCCAGCTCGAGAGACGGTCAAAGAAGTACTCAGCATGGGCCCGTAAGGCGCACCGTCGTGCTCACGCAACCTGAGCACTCGGTGATCGCTCTTTGTTGCAAGGCGAGAAAATACCACAAATGGGAAACGGTGCCGTTGCGAGAGTCTCTTTTGCACACAACTCGTTGACGTTTCAGCGGCGACGCTTCCTCGACTTTTGTCCGGCAGTTTCCGTGCGTCCGACGTAGCGGCCAGCCTCGAAGCCGGCGCGGTAGAAAGACTGCACCAGCGTCTTCACATCATCTGGAAGTTGAAGACCGCCGAGATCACTCGCTGCGGCTTCTGCCGCAGATTTCGTGGCGCCGTTCTTTTCATTCACAGAGCTTTTCGACGATGTCGTCGAGTCAGTGGAGGAGCATTCCCCATCGTCCTCCGTCTCTGATGCAGAGACTGAAGTCTCGTTACTGCGGTCATTGATGTCCGGGTGCGCCGCATCGCTCACGGCGGCTGAGTTCTCCAACTGCTCGTTAAAGAGCTTTAGCAGATACTCGTCGTCCCACAGCGCCTCATCGGCTCTGGAGTACGTCTCAGCTTTTGGGTGCGCATTGCGCTCGCGTGCACGTCGTGCGGTAGACATCGGCGCTACCAGAATGAGAGATAACGTGCACCGCTTGTGTTCGTTGCGCGTAACCGCCCGACAAGAAAGCTGCAATGCGCCGCTGCGTTCTGCGAAACCCGCAGCTGTGAATGCGTTAGATATGAATAGATACTTGCAGATCCATATGAGAAGTTCGTAGGAGGGGGAAGAGGAGGGGGGAGAGAGGGGAAAGAGGAAGCGCAAATTCGGGGGTAGCAGCAGCAGGATGCAGTCGATGCGGCAAACAGCAGCAGCCACTTTTTATCTTCTCGCATAAAAAGTGCGAATGAAGCGACGGAGATGAACTGGTGCCGCACCTCAGAACCGCATCAACAACGAAAGAAAGGAAGAGATCGTAAGGTCCTACAAGGGCAATGCCGTGCGTCAAAGCACCTCAGAATTTGAGCAGATGAGCATCTGCTTGCACGGTGAAAAGTAAAAAAAAGTTTCAACGTGCCTATTCGCTTTTTAACTACTCTCGTATCAGAAAATGAGACAAAAAAAAAACAGATACATTATGCGTTGGAAAAGACAAGACCAGAAGTAATACATAATAATGCAGGGAGCTACCTCCATGACAGTTATCAACACCTTCGTAAGCAGAATAGGACGACCGCAGAAAGAACAACCATTCCTCCTGCGGTTAACACCCAACAGAAGAAAAAGAAGGCCCCAACTTATGAAAACGTGTGTTGTTTTATATATTTTTACTTTTCTATTTTTTACAGAACCGTTATGTCGAGACAAAGTAGCAGAAAAAAAAAGAGCCGTACACAGGATCAACAACAGTATCAAAAACAGGAAACATATAAACATGTAAATATATATATATTTATGTTTATATATACACGAATACTTGTGATAGCAAGCACGCGCTAAACAACGCGGATCTCTACCCATTAAAAGGACACGCAGTCTCCTCCGCAGCATGAACAAAACTAAAGAAAAGAACACAGCGTCACCACCTAATCCATTTGGAGAGCTCGCATGAGGGTGTGCATCCACTTGTCGAGCTCCGTGGCGCTGGCGACGCCGAACACGATGGAGTTGGAGCTCACCATCGCCACGGCAAACGCGTAGGGCGGCTTGTAGCCACCCGGCGCCGACGCCGCCACGCGCACGTGCGCGTCCTCCACCTCGCATGGGCTAACGGACTTGATCGACGACAGCGGCACACGCTTGCTCCGCTCTCCACCACTCACCGCCTCCTTTCCTTTTGACAGTGAGATGGTGAGCATATTGCCGTCCAACATCAGATACCGCTCCTTCCATACGCCGTTGTGGCTGTCCTTGTACACGACACCCTCGTAGCGCGGCGCGGCGCCCTCAGATATCGTCCGCTTCGCCTCGTTCTCGATCACCTGCTTTCCCTCCGCAATGCCTTGCAGAACCAACGTTTGATCAGCCGCATCCGGGAAGAACAGCTGTTGTCGATCCAGCGACGGGTCGACCGCCAGCTTCGCCGCGTCGGCGCTGGCCAGCGACTGCACGTGCTTTTCGAACATGTAGAGGTGATGCTGCATGATGGGACGGTGCAGCAACTCCTCCGCACTCGGGCGCCTCTCTGGCTCTTTCTCAAACACCGCGACGAGCAGCTCTCGCATGTCGTTTGAGAAGGGCGCGGCCGTGCTCTCGCCGTGACGGCACTCTGCAATGACGGAGGGCAATGGTGCCGTTGGAGGGATAAACTCTTGCTCCAACACACAGCTCCGCAGCTCCGGCAGCCCGCCGGCCTCAAACGGACGGCGTCCGCCCATCAGCAGTTCATAGAGCACCACACCCGCAGCCCAGATGTCTGCCTTCTTGCCGTAGCGCTTTCCTTTCCACATTTCCGGTGATAGGTAGTAGGGCGTCCCCAAGAAGGTGCCCGCGATCGTTTCGCTGCTCACGGTGCTCTCGTACTTCTGCGAGAAGCCAAAGTCACCGAGCTTGAGAAAGCCACGGGAGGTAAGCAGCAGATTCGCGCTTTTGATGTCCCGGTGAATCATACGCCGAGCGTGAATGTGATGAAGGGCCAGGAGGAGTTGGACAAAGTATGTTCCCGCCTCGCGCTCGGAGAGCAGCATTCGGGAAGCACCCGACTCCGCGCCGTCCACGGCCGCACCTGGACCGGCGTTGGAGGGCGAAAAGCTGTCCGCACCGAGGAACGTCGGCGGAGGGCTGGAGGTGCTATAAAGGTTCTGCCGCAGGTCGCCGTGGTCCGCAAACTCGGTCACAATCACGACCGTCTCCGCATCGCTGTCGAGCACGTAGTGCTCATAGTAGCGAATGATGGCGAAGTGATGGGTGTGCGCGAGGCACATAATCTCCGTCTGCGCGTACTGCCGGTCCTGCGTCTGCATCGCACGCAGATCCATAATCTTCGCCACGTACAAGCCGTTTGGCTGGGTTGGGTTGGCGAGGGCGTTGCTTTGAATCTGCGCCTCCGCGGCTGGGTGGGCGGACGGGTCGTACGCGGGGTTGCGTCTCACAATGTACGCCTCCCCGTAGGCGCCTTTGCCAATCGCCCGTATTTTAATGTACTTGCTCCCGTTCTCCGCCGCGCCGACGACGTCTGTCAAACCAATGTAACCGACGTGGCTCGCCAAGTCAGACAACGGAATCGGGGAGTTGTCCGCAAGTGGGGACGAGACGGAGCGGCTGACGTTGTTACCCGGCTCGCTGTGGATCAACGGGCTGCCTCCCCCTGTCCCAGTCGGATAATCGTGTCCGTTTCGATTGACGGGCGACATCCGCGGCAGTGCGATGTCCGGCACATAGGTCGCCGTTCCGGTACTGTTGTTGGTGTGCTGTCGTCCAGCTGCGGCGAGAGGGGAGGCGGTGCGGACGCCGTTGGGCTTGACGGGGATGATGGTGCAGTCTCCATCAGTGGTGCCTTTGCTGCGCACAGGAATGTGCCCTTTAGCGTTGCCGCTGCCCATGTTGATGATGATGATGCTCCACACACAAACACACAGGTACTTTATATGTTTGTTGTCTCTCCTCTTCTTTTTCTGCTACGGCAGAGTTGCTTCACAGCAGAAGGTACAACAATGAAACGATAACCAAAGCAAAAGAGTCGTATGGAATCTAACAATTGACTTGTTTCATACAAGAAGGAAAAAAATGCTTGCTTGTGAACTATAGTTGGAAGAGGAAAAGAGAATGTTGGGAGCGTGAAAAGGTAGAAGAGCAACATAAGCGTAGAGCATTCCAGAATCGGACACATTATGAAAAGAGAGTTTGTTTCAGCTGCGGCACAACCAACAGATTCGTGAGCGACAACCCATTCGTAGCTGTTTTTTGAAGGTACGAAAAGCCATGAGGCACACAGAGCCCTCAGCCTTCGTGCAGCTTCATAGCGATAAGGCAGCGCCTCCTTCAGTCAAGCCGAGGCTTCCCCTGTCCTTTTGCGCACCTTCGCGACAAGTAAAAGGGACTAGCCAAAACAGGGGGAAAAAAGAACCTCTGAACCGTAAGTTGCTATTGCTGTTGTCCCCATTATGTGGTCTTCATTCGGCTTTCTCCATGTGCTCACGATTCACCAAGGATTTCGTTGTCATTTGAAAATACGAAAAGAAAAAATAAAAGGGTAAAACGCAAAACGTGGAAGACTTCAAAGCGTGAAAAGAGGGAGCATGTTTGTTGTTGTTGTCGTCGTCGTTCTTTGCTGTTACTCCTACAGCGAAGAAGGCTGAGACCCCTCGCAAACTACAACAAGCAGAGACGCATAGCGGCGTCATTTGCCCGTGTACGTGAGACAGAGCAACTCTGGCGCGTTCAACGCATGAATGAGAAGCCGAGGGAGGAAGCGGAGAACTCCAAAAAAGAAGAATAAAACACACCAAAAAAAAAGTGCTCGCCTCTTTTCGTTTGACGCCGCTTCACAAACACTTCCTTCTTCATATATTTGTGTGGATGTGTGTACAGTGTGTGAGTGTATGCTACGATGCAAAGCAGAAGTCTTCCTTTTTTTCCCACATGTTTTTCTTTTCCGTTTTTCCTGGTTTTTACCCGTTTACCTCTTTCAAATTTGTGTGTAATATAAAACTCGTTCGACGCTTTTTTTTTCCCGCTCATGGAGCCGTGATAAGAGGTGAGGAGCGCAAATAAAGAAGTAGAAGAAGACTCCGATAGACAGACTTGCTCCTCTTCTCATTTGTTTTTTTTTTTAAGTGCCTAAGTTCAAAAAACAGTAGAAGCGAGAAAAACAAGAGAGAAAAGGAATGTCGGAGATTTCGTCGTGTGACCCAATGCGTTATATATAGAGATGGGTATCGCACGGGGGAAACGTTTGCGCATTCGCTATTGCCGCTCATAACAGAAAGAAGAGGGTTTATACGCGCATAGCTGAACAGCCTCCGACAGGAACTAAAAATAGAAAAACGAACCGAAAATACGAAGGACCAGAAGGAAGCTATGCCATCAAGGGACATAGAGCGAAACGGAAGAATAATAATAATAATAGTTAAAGCAAGGAGAAGTGCTTAGATCGATTTCGCAAGAAAAAAAATGGGGCAAGTATAACGCCCAAAAAGGCCCAACTCTACGCCCCTCAGTAATCCGTCTATCCCCCTGCGCTCTTCCCGCCCGTAATCCGCACAAGGGCGGCAGCAGCAGCACATCAACCCCTCATTACCGAAGCGTAACGACGCGTAACGAAGGTCGTGGCGCCTCAGCGTCCTCGCTGCGCATGCTCCTTTAACACACCTTTTCAACAGGCCGGGAGGACGACGGAACCTGCGGTTGCGCCCCTTTTTCTTTAGAAAAAAAAATGTGTGTGTTGTCTTTGACCAGCCCAAAAGAAGACACCCCACCTAAGAACTCGGAAAAATGGAGTTTGCAAGCAAGTCGTGGAAGAGATGACGACACGCGCCGAGGTGGGTAGCGAGCGTACGTCGACACACTCACAACAGCAGAAAAAAAAGAAGAAGAGCGAAGGAAGATACCGTTGGGCAAAGTGGGTCTTTTCGTGTACGCGTCTCGCTACATGCCCGCAGGAAGATCACAGCAACTGCTTTTCCTCTGGCACATAAACCTTTTTCTTGTTCTTCTGCTATTCTTGCGTGAATACGCTTCATCAGCTCGCTCATCACGTCACGGTGGACGCGTGCTCACCGTCCGGATCTGCCTTTACAGCTGCTCCGAGGCGAAGTCCCAGTTCACCACCTTCCACCACGTGTTGACGTAGGCGGCACGGTCGTTCCGGTAGTCGATGTAGTACGCATGCTCCCACACATCGCACGTCAGGATGGGCTTCAGGTTCTCCTCCGTCAGAGGACAGTTCGCATCGTGCGACTGGTACACCTTCAGCTTGCCGCTGGCCGTGTCCTTCACCAGCCAGGCCCAGCCGGAGCCGAAGTGGCCGTTCGCGGCAGCCGTGAACTCCTCCTTGAACTTGGCAAAGCTACCGAAGCTCTCCGTGATGGCGTTCGCGATCTTGCCGTGGGGCTCGCCGCCGCCGTTCGCCGACATGCAGCGCCAGTAGAAGTCGTGGTTGAAGATCTGCGCGGCCGAGTTGAAGGCGGGGCCCTTCACCGTCTTGATGATCTCCACCAGCGACTTCGACGCCAGGTCGGGGTTTGCCTCCGCCGCAGCGTTCAGCTTCACCGCGTAGCCCTTGTGGTGTTTGTCGTAGTGGAAGGTGACCTGCTCCTTCGAGATGCCCTTCGACGCGAGCGCGTCATAGCCCCAAGGCAGCGGCTGAACAGCGAACGGCATGATATCTGAAGAAAGGTATTTAGTAGGTAAATACGAGGTCAAACAGCTACAAAAAGCAGGTAAGAGACGTCGAAAAGTGCTAACGAGTAAGTGATAGGGCGGTTGTGAATCCTTTCAGCGTGCATTTGTGTGTTTCAGGATTTGTGGTTTAGTGGTATGCGTCAGGTGCGCATTAACGAATGGAAAAAGAGGGGAATTTAGAGCGGAGGGATAAAGGAGTGGCAACGATGGTGATCGAATACAGAAAGGAGCGGAGTGGTGGGATACAACAAAGCGCCGTGACGGGGTGGGGGATTTCTTGAAGAACTCAATTCGACCGCAAGAAACACGAACGGCGTTGTTTGCCAATAAAAGCCAGAAATGACGTACGCTGACCCAACCTCCCTTTTCTCGTTCTCTCCTCCTCTCGAATGGATGCGTGCGGGATCAGCCAAAAAGACACGCGTTCCTTTTTCCCTGCCTCCGTTTGCTTGCTAAAGCCGTGTTCTATCCCACTCCGTTTCTTTAGCATAATAATAATAATGATAATAATAATAACAACAAAAACTGAGATGATGTGCTGACCTGCACTCGTCGCTTAGCTGCGTTGCCGTAGTTCACCATACTCCCATTGCATGAGTGAGCACAAATTACCGTCTCAATGAATGCAAAGAGTAAAAAACAAAAGCTGTGGAAACATTTAAAGACAAAGAAAAGAGGAGAAAGCCTTAGACTCTTCACAACAGACAAAACCACCATTATTGCATTTGGTGTTGACGGCGTACTGTTGTGTTCCGTAACGTCGTGTGCAGCTGTAAAGCACAACAGAAGAGTAAACCAGTAAAGCACAAGTTAGTGTAATAAGTTCATAAATTGGAAAGGAATGTGGAAAGCGCTTCCTCCCGTCACGGAGCTGAGCAGTATCGAAGAAAGTGGAGCTGCGATGCCCGAAATTTATATAGAGGATCGAAGCACCGTTAAACAATGAAGTACACGAAGAACAAAAAGATCTTAAAAAGGAGAATCGAATCGCTGGCATCCTCTTCTCCCACGTTGCCACGCTTACTAATCTGTTCCCCTTTTCTCTTCTTGAAAGCTTCATTATTCCTATTATCTTTCAAGACTGTGTCCACGCCTTCGGCTCGCCATACCTACAAGCCGCTTGCACCCTCAGCCGAATGTGTCAACTCACGCGCAGATTGAAAAACAGCATGTATAAAACAGTAAAAGGAATCGAACAACTGTCCTCTTCTGCTTTTTTCCTCAACAACAAAACAAAAGACATCAACAGAAGGAGAAAAAACGAGAACGGGGACGCACCGCAGACGGGTGACGTACGGATACTGAAGTCACCGGCAATCGTGCAAGCGCCATACCCACCACCACAACAGTGTTGAGGCGTTCGCACATTAGGCTGTTGAAGACTGGAACACGCGATGCCCTGTCGGCCAACGAGAAAAAAAATACCCCGTGCATTTCCATATTTTTTCAATACCGGCCGGCGATCTTTCAGTTCACTTTCTTTCGCTTCAACTACAAATCGCTGTTTACGTAGCTGGACCCGCTTGAGGCACTGTAGCACTTGTTGGCGAAGTCCCAGTTCACCACCTTCCACCACGTGTTGACGTAGGCGGCACGGTCGTTCCGGTAGTCGATGTAGTACGCATGCTCCCACACATCGCACGTCAGGATGGGCTTCAGGTTCTCCTCCGTCAGAGGACAGTTCGCATCGTGCGACTGGTACACCTTCAGCTTGCCGCTGGCCGTGTCCTTCACCAGCCAGGCCCAGCCGGAGCCGAAGTGGCCGTTCGCGGCAGCCGTGAACTCCTCCTTGAACTTGGCAAAGCTACCGAAGCTCTCCGTGATGGCGTTCGCGATCTTGCCGTGGGGCTCGCCGCCGCCGTTCGCCGACATGCAGCGCCAGTAGAAGTCGTGGTTGAAGATCTGCGCGGCCGAGTTGAAGGCGGGGCCCTTCACCGTCTTGATGATCTCCACCAGCGACTTCGACGCCAGGTCGGGGTTTGCCTCCGCCGCAGCGTTCAGCTTCACCGCGTAGCCCTTGTGGTGTTTGTCGTAGTGGAAGGTGACCTGCTCCTTCGAGATGCCCTTCGACGCGAGCGCGTCATAGCCCCAAGGCAGCGGCTGAACAGCGAACGGCATGATATCTGAAGAAAGGTATTTAGTAGGTAAATACGAGGTCAAACAGCTACAAAAAGCAGGTAAGAGACGTCGAAAAGTGCTAACGAGTAAGTGATAGGGCGGTTGTGAATCCTTTCAGCGTGCATTTGTGTGTTTCAGGATTTGTGGTTTAGTGGTATGCGTCAGGTGCGCATTAACGAATGGAAAAAGAGGGGAATTTAGAGCGGAGGGATAAAGGAGTGGCAACGATGGTGATCGAATACAGAAAGGAGCGGAGTGGTGGGATACAACAAAGCGCCGTGACGGGGTGGGGGATTTCTTGAAGAACTCAATTCGACCGCAAGAAACACGAACGGCGTTGTTTGCCAATAAAAGCCAGAAATGACGTACGCTGACCCAACCTCCCTTTTCTCGTTCTCTCCTCCTCTCGAATGGATGCGTGCGGGATCAGCCAAAAAGACACGCGTTCCTTTTTCCCTGCCTCCGTTTGCTTGCTAAAGCCGTGTTCTATCCCACTCCGTTTCTTTAGCATAATAATAATAATGATAATAATAATAACAACAAAAACTGAGATGATGTGCTGACCTGCACTCGTCGCTTAGCTGCGTTGCCGTAGTTCACCATACTCCCATTGCATGAGTGAGCACAAATTACCGTCTCAATGAATGCAAAGAGTAAAAAACAAAAGCTGTGGAAACATTTAAAGACAAAGAAAAGAGGAGAAAGCCTTAGACTCTTCACAACAGACAAAACCACCATTATTGCATTTGGTGTTGACGGCGTACTGTTGTGTTCCGTAACGTCGTGTGCAGCTGTAAAGCACAACAGAAGAGTAAACCAGTAAAGCACAAGTTAGTGTAATAAGTTCATAAATTGGAAAGGAATGTGGAAAGCGCTTCCTCCCGTCACGGAGCTGAGCAGTATCGAAGAAAGTGGAGCTGCGATGCCCGAAATTTATATAGAGGATCGAAGCACCGTTAAACAATGAAGTACACGAAGAACAAAAAGATCTTAAAAAGGAGAATCGAATCGCTGGCATCCTCTTCTCCCACGTTGCCACGCTTACTAATCTGTTCCCCTTTTCTCTTCTTGAAAGCTTCATTATTCCTATTATCTTTCAAGACTGTGTCCACGCCTTCGGCTCGCCATACCTACAAGCCGCTTGCACCCTCAGCCGAATGTGTCAACTCACGCGCAGATTGAAAAACAGCATGTATAAAACAGTAAAAGGAATCGAACAACTGTCCTCTTCTGCTTTTTTCCTCAACAACAAAACAAAAGACATCAACAGAAGGAGAAAAAACGAGAACGGGGACGCACCGCAGACGGGTGACGTACGGATACTGAAGTCACCGGCAATCGTGCAAGCGCCATACCCACCACCACAACAGTGTTGAGGCGTTCGCACATTAGGCTGTTGAAGACTGGAACACGCGATGCCCTGTCGGCCAACGAGAAAAAAAATACCCCGTGCATTTCCATATTTTTTCAATACCGGCCGGCGATCTTTCAGTTCACTTTCTTTCGCTTCAACTACAAATCGCTGTTTACGTAGCTGGACCCGCTTGAGGCACTGTAGCACTTGTTGGCGAAGTCCCAGTTCACCACCTTCCACCACGTGTTGACGTAGGCGGCACGGTCGTTCCGGTAGTCGATGTAGTACGCATGCTCCCACACATCGCACGTCAGGATGGGCTTCAGGTTCTCCTCCGTCAGAGGACAGTTCGCATCGTGCGACTGGTACACCTTCAGCTTGCCGCTGGCCGTGTCCTTCACCAGCCAGGCCCAGCCGGAGCCGAAGTGGCCGTTCGCGGCAGCCGTGAACTCCTCCTTGAACTTGGCAAAGCTACCGAAGCTCTCCGTGATGGCGTTCGCGATCTTGCCGTGGGGCTCGCCGCCGCCGTTCGCCGACATGCAGCGCCAGTAGAAGTCGTGGTTGAAGATCTGCGCGGCCGAGTTGAAGGCGGGGCCCTTCACCGTCTTGATGATCTCCACCAGCGACTTCGACGCCAGGTCGGGGTTTGCCTCCGCCGCAGCGTTCAGCTTCACCGCGTAGCCCTTGTGGTGTTTGTCGTAGTGGAAGGTGACCTGCTCCTTCGAGATGCCCTTCGACGCGAGCGCGTCGTAGCGCCAAGGCAGCGGCTGAACAGCGAACGGCATGATATCTGGAGAAAAAGTGTTTCTTTTTCCAAGGGAAGAAGCTATGGAAAGCTAGAAGAACAGCAAAGCGGTAATCCACTTATAGGAGAAAAATAGAACAGCTTTTTGAAGAGTTCAGAGGCAGCAGGCACAGGAAACATCATTGAGGAAGGTGCGAAGTAAATGAACCATTTGTGCAATAACACGTCTAACAAGGACAAGGAGGAGAGGGAGGGAGGGGCCCTCCAGGCGGCTGCTTCTTTCCTTGTCATTTGTTTTTCTGTGAGACGTTAAGTGGCACCATGTCGAGAGAGAGAGAGACCGAGAGCAGCGGGCTTTGTTTTCATCTGCCGCATTTAGCGGTAGTGACACAAAAAAAAAGGGAAGAAAAAACGCAAGCATTTCCTTCCCTTCAAACTGGCGTCACCGCACTTAAACATCGTTGTCGATCGAACAAGCTGCCCAGCAAAAGAATTCTTTTCCATTCGAAGAGCCTCGGCTGCGCTTCTACGCGCAGTTACGTGATCTACAAACGAAAAGTAAACCAAAAAAAAACCGATTCACTGCACCTCGACATCGCTTAAGAGCATCTCTTTTGAAATAAAACAAAAACCGACAAAAACCGAAACGAGCTTCTCCCTCAACGGTGTGGTACAGAACATTGGCCCAGGAAAGGAGAGAGCGGTGTGTCTTCTTTGCGGCAGAGGTGCACGCACACGCACACACACACGCTTGACACGTCCTACCCGTTTTTTTCTTCTTCTTCTTCTTCATTTCCGTTGGACACCGACGCCGTCCTTCTGTCCATGTTACCGTTCCTTGCCCCAAAAGTAGTGTGACAGCAGCGCACACGAACGCACCCATATTTAAATATAGATATATATATAGAGAGAGAGAGAGAAAACGGATACAGCAACCCTGAAACAACAGCAGGGTAAAAACAAAAAGTGCTCCCATCAACGTTCTATCGAATGGCATCACAAGTGCCGAATGTAGCTGGTTGATTCCTTTCCTTTTTTAACTTTTTCCTTCTCACGACGATGCAGGCACCGGCTTGCTCTTGTCATCCTTCAGCATATCGATGATGTGCGCCATGTAATCATCCTTGGACGGATTCTTCTTGTAGGCGGCCGCTGTCGAGATGGCACTTTCGAACAGCTGCACCACATTCGTGCCATCTGCCGCCGAGACGTAGTACAACGGAAAATTGTACTTGGTCGCGAAGGCAAAACTCTTGCTCGTCACTGTAGGATCGACATCGATTTTGTTGCACGCGACGATGCACGGGATGTGCTCGCGGTAGTTGCGCATCTCTGCCAGCCACTTTTCTAAATTCTTGTAGGTGGCCTTCCGGGTGCTGTCGAAGACGAGAATGCAGGCGTGGGCCTCGTGGTAGTAGCTGGGGTGCACCGTGGCAAAGCGTTCCTGCCCTGCCGTGTCCCAAATATCCACATCGACCTCCTCATTATCATCCGCGATGAAGTCGTAGCGGTAGAGCGTGAGGGCGTAGGTGGACATCTGCACTGGCACGTAGCGCTGCATGAGGAACCGCTCCACCAGCTTCGATTTACCGACGGCGCTATCGCCCAGGAGAATCAACTTGACCGGCTTGCGGACCTCGTCAGGGCGGTCGTCAAGCACCGTCTTGGGCTTCAAAATTTTCATTTCGCCAGACATATCGAAGAGACGAAATATAAACAAGAAAGAGAAGAAAAAAAAAGAGGACCTGTAGCGCAATTCCCTTCGCTTCTTTCGCACTTTCTACTTGCGGTAGTTATCAGGGGAAAAACAATAACAGTAATATGAATGGCTCACTTTGAATTCCAAAAAGTGACACTACCACGCAGTGGCGGCTTGACGTGAAGATGCGAAGGATGTTTGCTTTTGGAGGAGTTTCCACAGGAAAGAGAGAAGTAACTAAAAAAAAAGAGAAGAGCGACAGCAGCAGTATTAGGTGACCACAGAGAAAAAGGAAGCGAAACGGAAGAGCTGTACAAGCGCAAAAGTAACTGCGAAACTCGAGAACTGACTTGCGGAGAACAAAAAATGAAGACGTCACAAAACGCGGTAACTGGATATCCTCAGAAGTGTATGGTGCACAAGTATATAGATGTGTGTAGGTCAATATAAGCAAACTATAAGAAATGTGGAGAGCTCAATGGGCCACGTCAATTTGCGTTGTTTGTGCTTGCACAAGCGGATATATAAAGAGGGTTACAGCAGAGGAGATGATTACATGTGTAGGTGTGTGGGGGGGAACAAGTTCTGACGCGTATCGAGGGTCACACGCACTGGGAGCTGTCGTTAAGCAATATGAGTGCAGAAGGTGCATCGTTACAGGTGAGCGTGCGAGAAGGAGAAAAAAAAAAGCAGATGCATCAGGAAGAATAAGTTGCTTGAGATGGGACGATACAGATCCGCCTCGTTGGCTGTTGAAGCGTAGCTGCTGAACGTGCATCAAACTGTTAGGGTTTTTTTTATTTCATCGTTTGAAAAGGGCCACACTAAAAGAAAAACGGAATTGGAGAACCGCTCGCGGACGTTGTTGAAACCTGTATCGTGCCTGCCCTGTTCGCAAGACTTTCAAGAGAAGAAACTGGTCCTTAAAAGGTAGGGTCTAGCGTCACGGAGTTGTCTCAAACGCCTGCTGCCGATCTGGCTCCAAGTCAAGCGGTCGCGTTACCAGCCAAGCGCTGTCGGGTTGATCGTTTCTAATTTTTTCTTCCGTACGATACGTGACGGGCATTCTCGCCGCGACAACAAACAAAAATGCGGTTTAAAAAAAAAATATGTGGCAGTCAACGAAATACCGCTGCACGGCTGCATAAGAATAGCGATAGCAAAGGAAGCGAAGATGGGGAGAGGTGTGTGCTCCGCTTCATTCATAGAGAAGCGAGCTCGCAACCTCATAAAAGCGGAACAGCCGTGGTCAAAAACTTTGCGAAACAAACAAACATGAATTTGAATTTCAAGCCCTTTCGCCCAACGACCCCCTACCTCAATAGGTGTCAACGCCGAGTGTAACGGCTTACAGACCCTTCATGTCAAACTTCATGGGAGGCGCCATCTTCGGCATCGGCGCGTTCTTCTCATTCACCTGCTTGCGTAACGTGTCCACGCCGCGCTTCTTCTCCTTATCCTCCATCCCCTCGTCCTCGATGCGCGTGTCGCGGCCGAGAAGGTCTTTCTCCACCACCGCCGCCTCCGTCGTGATCATCATGCCAGACACCGAGCACGCGTTTACCACGGCCGACTTCACCACCTTCATTGGGTCGACAATGCCTGCCTCGAACATGTTCACGTACTCGCCCGTTTGCGCGTTGTAGCCAAAGCTGGGGTCTCTGCGGGCTAAAATCTTTCCCGCCACCACGCTGCCCTCCACCCCCGCGTTGTTCGCGATGTACCGCGCCGGCAGCCCAATCGCCTTCTTCACAATGTTCACCCCGGTGCGAATATCCGGTGGCAGACGGCGGTCCTTCGAGACGCCCTCCAGCCGCAGTGAAGCGATCAACAAACCCGTGCCGCCACCCGCAAGGATGCCCTCGGAGACGGCGGCCCGTGTGGCGTTGAGCGCGTCGATGATGCGGTCCTTCTTCTCGTTGATCTCCACCTCCGAGGCGCCGCCCACCTTGATCACCGCCACCCCGCCGGACAGCTTCGCCAGGCGCTCCACCAGCCGCTCGCGGTTGTACTCGTGGTCCTCGGCGGAGATCATGTCCTTGATCATCTGGACACGCTCCTCCACGGCAATGGCGCTACCACCTCCCTCCATCAAGATGCACTCGTCGCGCGAGACGGTCACCTTCCGGCATGTGCCCAAAAAGCGCTCTGAGAAGTCGTTCTGGTCCAGCGAAAGGCCCAAGTCTTCGGAAATCATCTGGGACCCTGTAAACACAGCGATATCCTGCAGCTGGTTGATGCGCATGTCGCCGAAGCCGGGTGCCTTCACCGCACACCCACTGATGCGGCCCTGGATCTTGTTGTACAGGAAGGTGTGCATGGCCTCCCCCTCCACGTCTTCGGCAATCACCAGCAGCGGCCGCTTCTGCTGAATCGCGTAGTTCAGTGCGGGCAAAATGTGGGCCACACTGGTCAGCTTGCGGTTCGCCACGTACACCAGCGCGTTTTCCAGCTCGCACTTCTGCGCCTTGGTGTTGGTCACAAAATACGGAGAGGTGTAGCCGCGCTCAAAGGACATCCCTTCCACCAACTCCAGCTCGGTGTTAAGGGAACGACCTTCTTGGGTGGTGATGACCCCATCCTTGCCGACCTGCTGCATTGCATCACCAATCAGGCTGCCGATCTCCTGGTCCATGTTCGCCGAGATCATCGCCACCTGCGTGATTTCGGACTTGGACGTCACCGGACGCGACTGCTCCGCGAGAGAAACGAGCACCTCGCGGCAGGCAAGGTCGATGCCACGCTTCAGGTCCATCGGGTTCGTGCCGGTCGCCACGCTGCGAAAGCCTTCTTTGAAGATTGCGCCGGATAGCACCGTGGCCGTGGTGGTGCCATCCCCCGCCGTGTCGTTCGTCAGGCCCGCAACTTGACGGACCAAGTTGGCGCCCAGGTTCTCAAAGCTATCCTCGAACTCGATGGCCTTCGCCACGGTGACGCCGTCTTTGGTAATCTTTGGGCTGGCGTACGGCATCTCAAGAATCACGTTGCGGCCTTTCGGGCCGAGGGTGACACCGACGGCCTTCACTAAGTTCTCCACACCGGCGAGGAGTGCGTTGCGGGCCTCCATGCCGTAGCGGATGTCCTTCGGCGTCGAGCCGTACTTGACGCACCGCAGCGCCGTTCGCGACAGCATCGCTGCTTCAGGTTCTCTACCTTCTTTTTGCAGAGTATTCCGGAACGGCGTCGCGGATGTGCATGAAGGACAGCAAACAATACAGTTGACGAGATGAGAAACGGTGGAGGAATGAAAGAGATGGAGTGGTGACCGCGGCGTTGACGAAAAGGAAAGCGCATGGAGTTGTGGGAGCCGTCTCTTCCGCCCGCCTTTGCTCTGTCCGGACGCCCACCTGAAGAGGCGAGGAAACGCGTTCTCCCTGCAACTACTTTCTTTTCTTCAATTTGGAGTTCCTTTTCGCGTAATAAACCTCCGGAAGTACTTTAGCTGCACTTTTTCTTTGTGCGGAAGTAACAATGAGAGCTCTAAAAAAAAGGGGGGGCACGGTAGTTCTACAGATGCAAACGAAGTCTAACCATGACAAAAAGTGGTAATAATAATACAATGCGAAACACACACTTTTACTTGTGTTCGCAACGCGCAGCAACTCCTGCAATTCTATTCGCAATAGAAGTTCCGGCGCGCCACCGTCATGAGCTCCCGATTGGGTCCCATCGCAAAGGAAAAAGTTCCATGTGGTGGAGGGAGAGAAATGTGCCACTCCTCGCCCTCCTTCCGTGACAGCTTCACCTCCACCTCACCGCGTAAGGTCAGCGTCTCTAACAACGGTCGCGGGGCGCCGACGGACGAGCCGCCAGCAATTGTGGAGCGCGGTAACGCCCCAGCGACGCTCGAGTCTCGACTCGCCACGAGTCCCGTCGGATCGTGCAGCAGCTCCCCTTCCTCGATTATATTGGAGCCGATGAAAGAGCCGCCGCCGCCTCGCCCCGACCACGCTGTTGTCGCCTCACCGATCATCAGCGGGCTTATTTGCATGTCACGTAACGCAGGTCCGTCACGCCACTCATTTTCGCGTGCCCACTCCAAAGGACTACGGCGCCGCAGGCCCAACGAGAAGCACGCAAGCCCCGCGTTTGCCGCCGCCGTCACCGACCACGCCGTGTACTCCTGCGCCGCACCCGCACCAGCGACGTCCTCCTTTGCTTCTCTGTCAAATCCTGTGGCAGCGGGCGGCATCGGCGGCCCACAGAACGCGTCGCCAGCCAGCACATCATCGTACACCGTGTCCATGCAGCGCGGCAGCGCCGGGCCCTCACGGAGAACAGGGAAGTCGGAGAGGAAGCCACCGCCGGTGAGCACAAACCCCTCCATCACCTCCAGAGGAGCGGCGAGGGAAACGGCCTCGCTAAGGTGAGGCAGCTGCCCCTGCACAGCAGCGGCCTGCAAGGTGGCACCCGACTTATCCGCCAGGTGCTCTTCGACAAACAGCCCGTACAGCTGCGAGCGGCGTTGCAGGGCATACAGGTCGTCGTTCGCGATCCCGTCCAACACGCTGGCCAGTGCTACGCGCAGTTCGTATAGATTGGTCGGGTCGACCAACGTCACCACACGCACGACGAGCAGCGGAGGAGGGTGGTGTGGCCACGACTCGTGCAACGGCAGCTGACGCACCACCCACGCATGTTGCTCCGGGTCGTAGTAGGAGGCCAAGAGGCCCGCCTCGCCACCGCCGTAGGGGCGAATGGAGGCCGCGAGCGGTTTACAGAAGAAAGGCAGGGGCACGACAACCTCCACCGCCTGGCTCTCGCGGATGACGACGTGAAAGTGCTGTCTTTGGTCGTCCATCGACATGCCGGCTACACCAGCCGGTTGGGGAGGGAGTGGGGAATAGAAAAGGCCGTCTCGTTGAGGACGATGTGAATGTCACGGCGGCAACGAGGAACGTGCACCGGCAAAAAAAACGTGACTTTTCGAAGAAATGAGGAACGCGCAACGCTAACAGAAAGCAACGGAAAAAAGAAGAGCCCATTTTAAAAGAAGAACAGAAAGTATGGAAAGCTTTTTAAGTTGTCATCGTCACTGCACATCGCGTCGCCTCTTCAGCCTCCACCCGCTTCTGTGGACTTGATTCATTCACGTCAGCATAGCGCAGCACGCCGGCAACTTCCCTTGCCCACGTAGAAGTACACAAACAAAGGGAGATGTACAAGGTGACCCTATTGCTCTGCACGTCATTTTTTTTTAGCCTTTCCATATTTTTTGTTTGTTTTCGACGTATGCGGCCTTAAAGAAACGGGGAGACGCGACAAAAAACAATACAAGTTGGCAAAGCGCGTGCTAGCACATCACGGCTGCTATTCAAAGAACAGAGGGAGAGAGAGCCCCTTCGACCAGAGTAAGTTCACACGTTCTCTTTGCACGACCCTCTCAGACATAATCGTGAGAGGCGGAGTGGCGGCGCAGATCATCGGCAGCGGGAGGGCGAAAGGAGGCGTAGACAGGCGGCGGCGGCGCGTCTCCCGGCCGCGCGGTCGACGACGGCGGTGCAAGAGGAAACCCCCCAACGCCAGATGAGCTGTTGCGCAGCATCGGCTGTCCGTGGCGGACACTGCCCACCATAGGCGCAGAATGGCTGCCTTGGTCATAACGGCCATAGGGCGCCTGTGTAAAGGAAGGAGGTGTCACGATTGGCGGGGCAGGGTATGCAGTGCTAGTATCGGCTACTTCGGCGTTGTACGGCGGTTGCGGCTGGTTTCGGCGGTAATCACCACCGTCGTTGCCCGCGACTGCTGACGACGAAGACGGAGGGGCGGGGAAGGATGTGACCGCGGCTCTCTCACTAGGTCGTGCAGCCGCGCAGCCGGTCGCGTTGAACGGTAAAACCGGTGCCGTCTGTCCCGGTGGGGGAGGAGGAAAGGCGCTGCAATTCGTTTCCCCGCCCAGCTCTCTGGTTGACGAGCTATACTCCGCATTTCCGAACTCGCCATCTGAATCGGCACGACGCGCATGCTCGTGCTCGTGTTTGTCGTGGTCATGACCGTGTCCGTGGTCGTGGCTGTGGCTGTGCTCGTGATCGTGCTCATGGCAGTGACCGTGGTCGTGGCTGTGGCCATGAGCATTCAACGTTGACAAGCCCCATATCATCGGACTTCCGTCGCCGATGCCGCCCTCGGCGCCGTTTGCGGGGAAGCACTCCACATACACGTGCGTGGCGAGGTCCACCAGTTGCCGTCGCACCGCCTGTGACACTGCGCACGCGTCACACCCGGACATGAGACGAATACGGATGAGTAGCATGCTGTCCGATACGTTTGTGTTCCACCACACCGTCGACTGCACCTGCAGCACGCCATCGAGCATCTTGACGTTGCGCAGACAGCGCTCCAAGTTACGGCTCCGCCGCAGATCCGTCACACTCTTGTTCATGAGGAGGTCTAGCATGGTGGAGCCTTCGTAGTAGCCAACGTAGCCGTAGTAGCCCGCCAGTAGAAGCGCGCCGGCCGTGTCATACAGGGCGCTGTGCGTGAGCATCAACAGCACGCTCACCGCCACGCAAGAGAGGGGGCAGAGTAGATAGAGCACCACCGTCGCGGTCTTGTTTTGCACGGTGCGACCGCCCACAAAGGGGGTGGTAGGTGACGCCGCCGCGGCCTGCACGTCGATGGGGGATTTAAAGAAGTCACCACCCCCGACAGCGCGACCCTCGCTGCTGGCGGTGGCGCAGGCCTGATAGAGAATGTCTTCGCTCTGCGCACCCGCCATGCCATGGTGCCCCGTGACGCGATCCGCGACGCGCACCTCGCGGCGGTAGACAACCTGAAACGCCAGCTGGACCGCGCCCATGCAAAGAAGGTAGTAGGAGTTCGAATGATGCAGATGCATGCCGCGATGCAAGGACTCCACAATGGTGGTCAGACAACCAAAGACAAGAAAGATGATGCCGCCCAGTCGGATGACGGTGCTGAGGCGGAAGAGGCCGAACACAAAGGGGTACTTCGGCTGCGTCCCTGCACGGCTGCAGAGAGACTGCGTCACGACACTCGCAATCAGCGACGCCGCGGTGTTCAGCAACACCAGCGCCTGAACAGAGATCAGCAAAAAGCTGGTGGTGATGGTGAAGAGAAGACTCAGCAGCCAAAGAGCGGTAAACACCGCCGCGGCTTGTTGACGTCGTCGATGCTCCTTGCTCCGCAGGGAGCTAAAGAAAAGCGTCCGTGCTTCTGTCAACATGATGTAGGTAAAATAGACAGAGGGAAAAGCTCAACGATATATTATCAAAAGACGCTATGTTAGAAACAGTTTCGTTGTGCGAATCTAGGCGAAGAAAGAAAAAGAAAAAGAAGGTGCTCACGGAGCAATTGGTGCTGACGGCGCGCAACGCAACGCGAAAGTGCTAAATAGAAGTTGAATTGAGTTACGAAACAGAGAGAGAGAGAGAGAATACAAAGGAGGGGAAAGAACAGACCCAGCGCAACCACCTCACTTAACCCGACAGGAATGCTCCACAGAGAAAACACCGGCAACACTGAGCATGGAAGAAAAACAAAAACTAATAATAGCAAACGACGCAAAACGGATCAAAAGAGAGAAGCGGGGAATAGTCTTTCTTGTTTTGGGGGGGGAAGGTGTGCGTGTGTAAATAAACAAAACGACAGTTTTCGTAGAGAGGGGAGAACTGCTAGTACCGCCAGAATACACGCAGTTCGTCGTGCAGGCCGGAAGCGGATTTGCAGAGCGCGGAGTACTCGGCCAGAAAGGGGAATTATTTTTGCCACTTTCTCCCTTCTCGTATGAGTAACCATCATAGCAGACGCTTCAGAAACGAAGGAGAGGGGCGGTTTTTTTTAACCTTGAGAGGCTCCCTTTTGGAGGCTCAACGGCCGCACATCTGCCTGTCTTCGTTTGTTGTTGTTTGCTTTGTCTTTTTTTGGCAGCATGCATCTATACTCTATGAAAACGGTGTTCATGAAAGCACGTGTTTTGTTTTCCTGCCTTTCTTTGCAGCTCACACATGCGAGATCATCTCGACAAGGACGTCCTCACCATTCTACAATTCGAATATGTATTAACAGAGCTCCACCACGGCTCTCTACCTCCCGTTAAGTCTTCCCACGCTTAATCACGCGAACGCTTGGGGGCAGTCGTCATGAGCGGCACCAGGTGCGCCATACCCGCCGCCTCGAGTGCGGCTCGTATGTCTTGCACGTTCAGCGTCGTGCGGGACGAGCCGGCCGCTTTGCGTTCTGCGTCAGCCAGGCACGCCAGGTACAGCAGCGAGATGGTGGCACACTTCTGCAAGGCAACACGTGCGTCGCGGGACACCGAGATCCCTTCCGGGAGGGCGTCCTCCACAATTCGATTCACCTGGCCGGCAGCTAAACTTCTTGCCTTAACGGTGTGCGAAGGCCCCTGTGGTGCCACCGGCTCCGCGTGCACGTTGCTGTCACGAGAGGCCGCAGCGTCTTCTCGAGCTACGTCGCCTTCCCGCGCGTGCTCAGAAGCTGTATTCGGCTCCGCGACTGGAGAGGCGCTCATGGCGAGGATGAGACCCGCCTCGTAGATTTTCTGCGTACTCCTCACCAAAAGTCCAACACGCTCAAGAAAGAAAAGACGAAGGAATAGTTGATCAGCATGTCGAGGGATAGTGAAGCGAGAGGAAGCGAAGGAAAACATGTGTTGAGGCGATGCGCCGGACGTCTGTACTTCGGGTCTGTCTTTTTGGCTGGTGTTTGGTTTCTGTGCTAGAGCAAGCGAAGGCATCCGTCACATCAGCCGATGTGCACGACACCAACGCAAGCGCACTGTGGTCTTTCTTGCAACAGACACACGAGGAGGATCTGCATTCAAAGCGTGTTCCTTGTGTCCTTCTTTGAAGCTGTCCATTCACGCTGCAGCATCATTTGTCTGCGGTACCGTCGTTCCTTCTTCTGTCGTTGCTCTATCGCAGCAGCAACATAAGATGGGGAAGTACAAAACGAAAGGAAAAACAACTCCGACCCTATCCTTCGCGACGGACACGCGCCACACCAACAAATCGGGTCTTTAAACTGCCGTGCCAGATAAGAAACAGACAAACAAAAAGATAGGTATATATGAACCTTATGACGATGACGCAGTGGAAGTAATCAACACGCAGGAGACGACAACGCAAACACAGTTCGCGTTGTACGCGTCGATGCTGATGGAGCAGCCAGCGTTGATGATATTATGGGCGTCTATGCTGCGTAGAAGCATAGAGGAGTGTTCTGAGAAGCTTCGTGCTCGCTTACACGCACACTCAACGCAAAGAAGGGAAAATTGAAAGAAGCAACGTATCAGCAGAATTCACGACAAAGAAGAATCGAAGCTACTATACAGACGCAGGAGCACGAAAAGACGGAGAACAGAAACAGAGATGAAAAAAGCTATAAAAAAAAGGAGCGAAATGACGCAAAGAAATACGCGAAGAAGAAGAAAAAAAGAAAAGGACGGGCCTAAAGCGCATCCACATATACACGCTCACGCAGCTTTGCGATGGCTTCGCTTGACGTTCTTCACTCCACACGTTCGGCGACCGGAAAAAGCGCGTGAAGAGACAGGAGAAAACAAAAAAAAACAAAGAGCCGACCGCCACGGTTAACAAGGGAAACAAAACAACCGTGCTTGCGGAATTACCGTGCGGGACGCTACCGCGGCCGCAGCGCATAGCAAGAAAAAAAAATACGAACGAAGAAAAGAACAAAAAATGAAGAGGAGGCGAAGTCAAACGTGTGTGGAGTGGCCTGCGCTTCAACATCAAATCAGTCTGCTTCAAACCACGCACACGTGGCTGTTTTTATTTTTTTCCTCCTTATCGGGACAAGAAAGGGAGAGACTTATTAAAAAACAAAACAAAAGCACAAAAAAGTCTCTTAACGCTGCGTAACGGCTCGGCAAGATAAAGGGAGTGAAGGAGGATTTACCATGGACAAGCGTAAGCCAAAAGAAAGCACGTTGTAGCGCAACGACGAATGCTCGAATGCAAAGAAAAAAAGAAAAGGAGGACACAGAGAGTGCAGACAACACCTGTCGTCACAAGAACCCTGTGCCGCAGCAGCGAAGGGCGAAAAAAGGTGAGGGGCCATCGCGGAGAAAACAACAAGAAAAAACCTCGTGCGCAATTGTTTCCTCATTAGTGCATTTCAAAGTCGCGCAAGGAGTTGCCCTTCGAGCAGCCCAGGAAGTGGCCCGCACACACAGAGGCCAGTCGCGCCTCACCTAAGCTGAAACCTTGATCTAAGTGATCCCACAGCATCAGCTTCGCCACGAAAAAATATTTCACATCCACTGCACAATACTGCAGAAGGATGTCTGGCAGGGGTCGCTCCTCCCAGCGATCAAAGCTGCCGCCGGACTTGGGGTTGAAGAGATGCCGCCCAGCGTCCTTGATGTCGGTGTCTTCGTCCGCAAAAAGACCCAAGGCGCGAAACACATCCTTCATGCCGGGCAGATGATGCGCCATTGGAAAGAGCGCGAAGCACGACGAAATCTGCAGGTCGCACACGTTGCGCAGGCGGACACGGTAGAGGAAGAAAAGCGCGTCGCAGTCAGCGCGACAGTCAAACATGAGTTTTGTTATGCTGTTCGACTCTAATACCGCCTTTAGGGCTGAGTTAGCATTCAACGCCCGCGCGCCGAGGAGAACCATGTCGATGATGTACACGGCGGAGTACGTGGCTAAGGTGATGATGCAAATCGAGCCCTTGCGACCGAGGGAGCGGCCTTCGAGGTCGAGGGCAATCACCATTCTACTATCCAGCTCGTCGTCGTCAAACGCCTCCTCTGCCAAGTACTGACGCTCGCGGCACCGACGTTGATACTGCCGTTGCATCTCAGCTGCCTCTGCCAGAATGCCCTGACAGATGTAGTCCAGGTCCTCCAGATGCTCCACCCGCTGCACGTCTTGCGGAATGTACGAATCAAACGGCATCTCCTGCCCCTCAAACACAGCGTTGATGTCGTCGTACGCGTTCCCGTCATCGTTGTAGTCGTAGTCGCCGCGCGGGTTGCCGGTGCAGAGCGGTGGCGGCGGTCCGTCGCAGAAAAACGGCGGCTGCGGCTCCGTGTAGGTGGGAAGTGTGCAATCTGGACCCATTGCGGGAACGGACGACGCCCACGGACCACCACCGCTGCCGTCCATGCCCCGTATCCTCTCCGGCCTGCCAGACGTCACGAAGGAGGAGGGTGTGACCCCGTTGTGAAGGTAGTGGTCATCGTGCGAGGGACCGGCCTCGCTGTAGGTGAGGGGGGTGTACACGTAGCCGTCCTCGTTCATGGGGAGGCCGTCGTCCTCGCAGCCAACCGCACCGAGGCCGAGACTGCTGTCAAGGTTCGACGCGGGATGGGTAAAGTGGGAGAAGTAGCAGGAGCTGGCTCCTGTGTCTTGCCAGTGCACATCGTAGGGGTTCGCGTTTCCAGCGGACGTGCAAGTAAAGTCGGTGTGATGGGGCTGAGCAGACGAGCTGGTCCGCCTCGGCATGCCACCAATAGAGGGTGGAGCGTGCAAGCTGCCACTGGTGCCAAGTCCACTGTGCTGTTCATCACTGAGGCAGAGCCCGATCGTGCAGGGTGTCGGGTGGCAGTCCATGGGAGTGTAGTCGCAGGAGGATGCGTAGCCTTGGTGTGGTGTTGAGATGGGTGAGACGGTGTTTTGGACAGAAGAGCTGCCCTCCAATCCGAAGCTGTGGCCCAGATTGGCAGTTGGACCGCCTCCCGCTACGTTCGTTCTAAAACCGGCACGGTTCTTAACACCCATTAAACCCTTTGCGAATGGATGGAATGGCGCACTGTAGGCGTGCAGCGCAGACGGCGACGCCGGCGGCCTCAACGCACCTCCTACAGCACCATCGCTGCTACTACTAACACCGTTTTTGTTCTCCGCTCCGGCGTTGGTGGGGCTAGCACACGCTACTGCGGTGGGCGTTATGGTCGGGAGCACAGCATCATGTCTATTGGAAACAGGAGATATCACGCTGACATCCCCCACCACCCCACGAACAACGTCGATACGGTCCTTCTCTCTCAGAGGTGGGGGCAGACGGGAGTCCGACGAACGCGGCGGCGGCTTCGCAGGTCCACAGAAGTCAATCGGAGGCGGCGGAGCTGGTGTTTTCTTTCCGGAAGTCACAGCAGGAGGAGAGGCGATGGCGCGCACCGGACTCTCAGCCGGGGAGAGACACCCAAGCGGAACCGTCACCGTAGCCGTCGCGCACGCTGCGGCAGCAAAGTCCTCCGGTAGCCCACACGGCGTAGGAGATCTCGGCGAGCGAGCGTAGTCGCCCAGCACACGTGCCGCGTTACGCGCCGGCTCTGCCATCACGGAGTGCGTCGTGAGAGAACACCGGTGGAGGGTGGTGTGCGTACTGTGGGTGGTGCCGGTCGTGTCGGCGTCGGTGCCACTGCTGCTGCACACGCTCTCCGAGGTGTGCGTGTTCACGTCGTCGACGTCTTTGAGGTCGATCTCCGGCGTCGCCACCGCGGCGGTGGGGCTGCTCTTTGTGCTGGAGACAGACGGTGGCATGTCGAAATGCCGGACTCTGGACGCTGAAAAACTCCGAGAAAGAGGGGAAAAGAGAGCTAGCAAAAGGAGAAGACAACGAAAGACAACGAAGCAGTGGCAGTGCCACCAATGCGAGGAAGAAGCGGAAAACAAAATAAAAAAGTATCACAACGGAGCTCTTACTTGATGAAGAAGAAAAGAAGGCTCCCGTTTCACCAGAAGGATAAAACAAATTGTAAGAGCAAGAGGAGGGAGAAAGGAGAGAGCGGCTGTATTTATTTATGTTCGTATATATATATATATATATACGTATACGTGTTCTATTATTCTTTTGGTGTCGCCGCTGCGCGCCTGCTCAGCAACGAAGAAGAAGAAAGGAAATGAAAGAAGAGAAACAAAGAGAAAGAGAAACAAAGAGTCCGCAGATTCTGTCGAGCAGCATACACCGCGAAAATGAAAATACACAGCAACAAAAAAAACAGCGGGGTCGGTTAAAAAGGGACCTGAGCTGGATACAAAATAGAAGAAGGAAGGAAAGGAAGAAAAGGGAGAAGCAGTACTGACTTAATAAAGCTTGCGATGCGGCAGCAGCTGTTAACCACTGTCGTTACGCTCTGAAAACTCCTCTGTTGTTTTCTTTCGTAAGGATCAATAATCAGAAGAGGAGATGAAAGCAGCAGCACTAGACGCTGAGAGGAAGCAGTAGAGCACGTGTCTGTGTGTATGTGCGTGTGTAGCTGGGTGTGGCCAGAGCTGCATGTGAGACTTCCACCAGAAAATAAAGTCACTTAGAATTCTACAGGGGAAAAAAAAGTTACACTGACAGGCAGGACAACAACCTGGCAAATAAACAATAATATGTGGGGCGAATGCCTTCTGTCAACGCTCTCGGAAGAGTACGCTGGATTTTTTTCGCGTTGATGTCGGTAGCCGCTGCGACACCACCTCAACGAGCCTGTGAAAGAACCCCCAATGCGAAGGAGACAAAGGCGCACCGATGCCAACGAAAGGCCGAGCAAACGCTCTGTCGTGCTTCCTTGGTAGTGGTCAAGGGAAGAAGGAAAAAAAAGAAAGAAATGATACGTTGAAATGCAGACGATTTGCACAGCAAAACAAGCCGCTGTTGTTGGTGTTTTTAAGGCGGTACTCCAAATGGAGAAAAAGAGGGAGGAAGAACGAGGAGGAAAGCTACACATGGGAAGGCGAGAACGGCCCAAAAGGAAGCACCGAAACCCTCCAGTTCTTCACTTCAAGGGGAGAAGACGTTCCAAAGCGTGATCTAGAGCCCAGTCCCGTATCGATTCAAAGGAAAACCTCGTTAATGGCTTTGGTACGTTTTTCACTAGCCATTGTGCTCCGCGTTTGAGTTTATGAGGGCCTTTGGCAACGCCGATGTGGCGAGGCGATGCATGGGTTTCTCATTTTCTGTACAACGCTTGTTTTCTCTTTAATACGTTTAAAAGCACACGGATGCTTCTGTGAAGAAGGCAACAAACAGCTCTGCTTCTTTATGTGAAGCACTCCCCTGGACCGCTCGCGATTGCCAAACGCCGAGAGTGTCAATAACCACCGATGGGGATGCCAGACAACAGGACACGAAAAATGCGACGGCAAAAGCAGAATGGGGTTTTGCCAGCGACGGTGGCTACTCCTCGAACGTCAACGCAAAAGTGGTTTTGTCTTGCACCTGCGCCGCCACCGCACGGCCGTTTTCCACTGCAACGCCATCCACTGCCGTGATGCGGTGCCCAATCACCTCTGCTGGAGCGATTCTGCCAGCCGGGCAACGAGCGAGGGCCGCCGCAAACGGCGACGTCACCTCCTCCGTCTCACCGTACGACGCACCGGCTGCTGTCGGTGCGCTCACCGTCTCTTGGACACGCAGCACGCATCCGTTGCCGTCCAGTGCAACACCGAGGGGCACATATCTCGACGCGCGAGTCACGCAGATCTCGTGCGCCAGCGGCTTTCTCGCAGTGATGTGACTGGCCTCGTGTAATTCGCTCATACCCCCATCTCTCTCGTCGTCCTCCTCCTCCGGTGACGTCACCCCATTCAACCCAGACGGCTCCATCTCATTCGACTGCATTTGTTTCTGCAGTCGGTACTGCCGCTGCGATTTTGCGACATTCATGAACAGCCCCCGACGGTGAGCGTCGTACATCATCAGCTCCATTCGCTCCATCGTCCGCAGCACGCCGATTGTCCACGTTGGAGACCCTTCCATCTCGGCCGGGAGACTGGCAAAGTCCTCGCGCAGCATCGTCGCCCACGGGTTGGCCCAGCGGTAGTTGTTCCTGCGATGGCACTCATCCTGCGGGGCATGCGCGGCGTTGGCGACGAGGTGACTGGAGAAGGACGAAGGGGTAGCGGATGCTTTTGTGCTGGTTAAGTTCTGTTGTCCTCTGGTAAGGGTGGAGGACTCGACTCGAGGTGGCGGCGACGCTGAACCCGGCAATGTTGGCTTGTCGTGCGGAGAGGGTGACGAGAGCAGCAGACTGCGGTACTCGCGCAAGATGCCGCCCAGCACGTGAAGGCGGCGGACGAGGTAACCGTGAGCCCGGGCAAAGGTGCAGGTGATGGTGCCCACTTGCACTTTGGTGTACGCCTGCACGCCGGCGTGGCCGTGACTCCCCATCACCTTCGCACTCTCCGCCTCCTCGTCACCTTCACTGCGGAGTCCGGTCAGAGCCGCCCCTGTCCCCCCTTCCGGGGTGGCCGGCACCAATAAGCCGGGAAAGTGACTCAGCTGAAACAGCACTTCCTGGGCGGTCTCCAGCGGCATCCACACAAAGTTTGGTTGCTGCTCGTAGGCCCGCACCACCGACAAGGTCGAGGTCACGTGTCGGCGCTGCAGCGCCGACTCCTCCATTAGCTTCGTTTTGTCTCTCTTCTCTCCGCTAAAGTAGTGGAAACGATCGGTGATGCGGACGTGGCGAAGAAGGCTCGCCGTGTCATGCTGCAGGAAGAACAGCGTCTCCGCGACGTACGACTCGGCGGCGGTGGCCGAAATGAAGGAGTCCACAGGAGTGGGCGGCATCGCAGCTGCCACGCCGTCGGCCGACAGGGCGCGCATGAACGGACTCGCTCCCTCGTGGGCGGCTGCGTGCGAACAAACGCCCTGTCCATGCGCTTGCGGTTGGAGTGGTTGTTGGTAGTGATAACGTGTGAGCGAAGGCCAGTGGTAGAGGAGGTAGGTGAGAAAGAAGGCAGCCTCAAGGGCATTCGCCTTCGTTGTACCGCATACAAGCCACATCACCGCCTTGGCTTTTGCGGGTAGAGCTGCTTCTGCCACCGCAGCGGCCGAAGGCGTGTCCGGCGGTGCGGTGCGCGCGAACTGAGTGTCAAACGGAGGGGACAGCTCACGCAGCCATAAGAAGACGCCGCCACAGGCGATGTAAACACGTCGGCTCTGCTCCGCGGCGGCCTCGGCGGAGAGGAGCTCGTCCGTGTAGAGACCGAGCAAGTACTCCGTGCGGGGGACACAAAACAACACGCGCGAAACGGCGTGTACGAGAACGATAGCCGGAGGGGTCGTGTTGTGAGCTGAAGAAGAGCGGAAGGAGGCGGAAGGGGAAGAGTCTCGGGCAGCAGCGGCACCGTTGCCGGCGCTCACGAGCCGTGCTGCAGCAGTGCGATCGCTGCTGCAGAGGGTCGCCATGTTGACTACTGCACGGTACAACGTCTCGCAGCACGCCACGCGTACACCGCCGGAGAGGCGAAATACCCGAGCCCAGTGACGGCTAGGATCATCCGTCTCTGCACACTGCTCGTCATTGGTGCCAGCCGATTTGTCGCGCGCATCCGCGTCGCTGCCGCTCCCTTTGACTGCCGCTCGCGTGACGCCTGCGTCGCTTCGTCCGGTCGCGGACGACGAATTCAGCTTCTTCGCACGTCTCGACTTGAGCCGTAACGCAACCACCTTCTCCAACGGAGTGTCTGGAGACCGAGGGGCGAAGGCTTCCAAACCGAGATGCGCCGCCGCCAGCAGTGCTGCATCCATCTGCAGGGCCATTCCGATACGAATAACGCGGCTGTAATACGGTACGACCCACGACAAATCCAAAGTCGCTTTCGACGACGGTTCTGCAGAGGCGTCGTCGAGCGCCATTGGCAGCAACTCGCCACTCACAGCGAGCAGATCGTAGTAGGAGCTTAAAAGCAGCGCCAGGTGTGTTGGGTGCTGCTCCCAGAAGCGAGACGCCGGGGAGAGCAGCGTAGCTGAAGGCGACGCTGTATCTGTATGGCCCTTCGAAGCTCTCGATGCATCCGTTGAAATAGAAGATGAGCTTGCGCGTGACCACCGCGACTGTGCCGCCTGCACCTTTGTGGAGTGCCGCCACAACAAGGAGAGAAAGTTACTGAGCGCGGGACTCGTCGTGCGGTGCTGCATCGTTGCCAGTGCAGCCTGAGACAGGTCCTGTTGAGGGTGCAGCAGGGTCAGCAGGGTCTCTGCCTGCTTTGCCAACTCCACCATCTCATTGCCTGAAAAGATGATGCCTTGGCGCTGCGGACCAGTCGTTTCTTTCGAGTTTGCGCCATCTGGCGTGACGGACACCGTAGCGTGCACAGCAGATACCTCTTCGGCAAGTGCTCTGCGTAGGACGACAACGTAGAAGAGAAACGTGATGGACACCACTCCTTGGATGCAGCCTTGCCCTGACGAAGAACTCGGCAACACCTTCAGCTTCGCCTGAAGGTTGGTCAGCTGCTTCCTGGTCGAGAGCACGGCGGCGACGGGCGACGGCAGCGCATGAAACCGATCTGCAGACGTCTCAGAGCGTTCTCCGGACGAACTGAGCGTAGAATTCGGTTGCGTCATGGCTACAACGACTTCTGCGCAGAGCTGCTCCAGCAAACTGCATTGAATTGCCACCGTTGCTGATGTGTGCTGGGAGGAGGCGTTTTCCGTCCTTCCATACGCCGCAGGATCTGGTAACTCCTCTGGGCTGATCGCACAGATATCGAGAGCATGTAGGAGCGATAAAACTGCCGATAAAAGCACATCTATGCGAACCTGTGAAGAAGAGAGAGAGCGTTTCTGCTGCTGCCGTTGCTGCTGCTGGCTATTGTACGCGGCGAGTTCAGTTATCAGCCGGGTAAGCAGCTCTGTGAGCAGCTGACTGTATTTCGTGACGCATGTGTGTTGCCACTCTTTGCGCTGCTGCGCCGCGCCGACTGAGTCCCGCATCGCTTCCCCGGTAACGTGTGTGTCGTGCTTGTCTGCCGCATCGACAACGGCAGTAGTCTTTTGCACTTTTGCTGCAGTGGTGGCCGCGCCGTTGGAGCTCTGCGCAGGGGCGCCGTCGGCCTCCCGCAACGACTTGAGGCTGGCCTCTAGTGCAGACGCCACAACACAGAGATGGTGAACGTTGTCTCCGAGAGGCTTCTCCACCGAAGAAGAGAGAAGGAAAGGAGCAGCACATTGCGATGTGACGTGCCAGTGCAGCCTCGAGGCACGGAGCAGCGCAGAGAGCGTCTCCTGCTCGGGAGTTGTGCCTGCGGAATGGGACGATGACGCGCATGCGTGGCCCTGGGAGTGCATGCGTGCGGTTGGAAGGGAGAGGAGGTTCCTTACCAGCGCTGCAGTCGCAGAGTCTTTTGGTAAGTCCAGCAGAATGGAACTCCAGTTTTTATTAAGCAGCGATGCTCCCATATAGGTGTTTTTGCCTTGGCGCCGGGTGGCAGCGGAAGCATCTCGGTTCGCATTCGTGGGGCGATCCCGCGAAAGCACGGGAGTCCCGGACTTCGCCGGTCTTCTCCGGTCCGTTGATTGACAGCCGGGTTGTCGCAGCTGCTCTTCGACGCTTTTGGCACCAGACGACAAATAGCCTGCACCCGTGCTCGGAGTCTCCGACACCGGAGAGGCAATATCCCCAGGAACACCGGAGAGCAGGTTCGCCAGCTGCTGCACCCTCTCTTCGTTGTAGTGCAGGGTGTTCCGCACCCACGACGGCGTGGCGGACGACGTGGTTCGTTCGGGCGAAGACGCGGGAGATGCTCTGCGGTCCGACGGAGGTGTCGTCACCGCCTGCTGTCCATCAACATCCGTTTTTGACCTTTTCAGCCTGCGTGAAGAAGCTGTCGGTGACTTCTGCGCTTCGCATTTCATTCGAGAAGAGGCTTTGGTGGAGGCCTGATAGCACGTGCCACCGAATGCGCTCGGTGAAGACGCGCACCGCCTCAACTTTTGAGAAACAACACGGCGCATCTTTTAAGAAAGAAAGAAAAGGAGGAGCGGCAAATTGCAATGAAGCTCTCCAGCAGTGAAAAATTAAGTATAATTACTATTATGTTGTTTATTGTTTAGCGCCCATCAAACCGCCGCCGCAACGGCTGCCATAGTAGCTTTAGAAGAGTTATAAATGCAAGGCAAAGAAGAGCGAAAACGTAAGGAGAGAGGACGCGTCATGGGGTGTGCCGGGGTGCGCATGTGCGTATGTGGCCACATCAAGGCCATAAAGTTGGATTCGATATTTGCGAAAATAAGCGGCAAAAGCTGAACGAGACCTACTAGGTAATCTTCATTGCGCAGCGACGACTGGGTTGGTCTACCGTTCAGGAAGAGAAGAAAATCCCCCAGCGAGCCGATATCCCCGATACAGTCGGCTCCGTCGCCGCTTTGGCCAGCGTATTGCGGAGAGGAGAACAGAAGTCGTTTCAGCGATTTGAACTGGTTTCTATAATTGTACCGAAAAAAAAAAATGATGGATTGCGACGGTTGCGTGCAAACAAAATCCGTTACAGAGAGAATCGCGGAGCATCATCTATCAGAAATCTAACAGAGCAGCGCTTTGCTGCAACAGCACTCTTCTTTGTCAGCGCCTCTCCAGCAGCAAGAACCCAGGAGGAACGATGTGCGCGCTGCTCCCTTAGAAGAGCGCACTCTAAGAGCCTGCGGGAGTCGAAGTGGAATAATAAAAAGCATATGTGTGGCTTTGTGGGGTAGGAGAGGGGGGTGTATGGGTACGAGTCTATTACGTGTCAACACGAGCAAGGACAGTCCTACGTACTATACGCCACTTTTCGCTGGCGCATAGCTGCCATCGCCTGCTGACGGAGCAACGTCAACGTCGATGCCCCAGACACTCCCATCACAGGCGCATTGCCGTCAGCGGCACCGGCCTTCCCTTCCGCTCCCGCAGGCGCAGTTGAAGAACGCGCGCCGCTCTTCTGCCTCGCCTCGTGTTCAAGGCGAATGGACTCCACCGCTGAGGTCGCCAAGCTCAGCGTGGAGCCGGCAGCGCCGTGTCGATGGGACACCTTCCACAGCTCGTTCGACGCGCTACCTACCTTCGTCGATGAAGCAGCTGCAGCGGAGGAAGTCGCACCGCCATCAGCAGGGGTGCAAGCAGAGGGCCGCATCGATTGGCTTAACTGATCGAGTACGAGGGGGCAGGGCACAAGATGCAGATTGCGGAATCGCATTTCAAAAGGTACATCGCCAATACTCTGCGTGCTTGTCGCGTAGAGGTTCACAAAGGTGGAAGGATGAGAGGAAGACTCACCACTTCCTTCGACAGTTTCCTTCGTAGCCACCGCAGAAACGCTCGGTGGAGGAGGAGGGGGAGAAGCAGGAAGCTCAGTCGAGACACTGCACTTCGGAAACGCTGAAAGAACAACGTGCTGAACCTGCTGAATCTCCGCATCCACCACCGTAACGTCTTCTTTACTGTCGATAACAACACTGTGAAGGGCAGACGGTGGTTCACTCAGCGGGCGCCGTGCACCACCACCAGCACCACCGTTGCCACGCTCCCCACCGCGCAGCTGCGCAGCCTCCTGCCTCTCATCCAGCACTATGGAAACGTGGGGAGATAAGGCAAAAGAGTCAGCGTTGCCTCCTGGACCGACGGACGGCATCTCGCCGATGTACAACCCGGTGGCAGCCAACCCGCGATAGAACGCCGACGTGCCAGACGAGACGGCCACCGCGGCGCCACCGCCTTCTATCGCAGCATCCGTCGTAGCAAGAGGAGACGTCTCGACACTCGTACGGGGGGTGGCAGAAGCCTGCGCAGGCTCTCCTTCTCCGCCTGCAGGAGTAGCACGCGTCAACGACGATGGCGGTACCTCTAGCGCACAGGCGCGGAGCGGGCTACCGTCCATCGTCAGCATGGTCCATGATACAAAAATCCGTGCGATCGGCTGTGCAGGAGCCTTTCCGCTCTCCGTTGAAGCGCAAGAGCCGACACGCTCGAGCGGCACCCACACCGCGCCGACGGTGCGATGCGGACCACCCATCACGAGGGCCATCGTGGCGCGCGCCAGCACGGTGTGTGCGTCGTCCCGCGAGACCAGCGCGCACTCGAGGAGGTCGTAATCCGGTGCGTTACGCACCTCAAAAGAAATCGGCACCTCTGTGCAGCGGAAGACGGCGTCGCGACGAACACATCGCAGTGTTATGGTGTACTTGGCGCCATCCGCAGCGCCGACGAGTGCGTCAGCTGGGACGGTGCTTATCACCTCCACGTTGTACTGATAACTCATCTACGACGTTGTGGACTGTGTTCTATAAACGTGGACGACACACTCTGACCACCGCCGCCGTTTCAATTTCTGTCGAATCGTGGTTCGCAGCAGAAACGAGATATACGAGTGTACGAAAAAAAGAGAAGAGAAACAAGGAGAATTCTTCATTTCAACGGATTTACCCGCCCGATTGCAGTTGACAGCCATGGAGAATGTGACGTATCTCCTTCCACGAACGCAGCACTCTCCGAACACACCTTCGGCAAGGGTGTAGGAAAAGTCTTCGGAGATGACCTGCAGCGGAATTGTCTCCAGTTGAGCCGCAGAAGACACTGTTTGTACCGCTCGCACGACTGTAAGAGCTGAAAAGGGGAAAAAAAGAGATGAAAAGAACATCTTGCTCTAGGCACATTCGACTTCTTTCAGTTTTTTTTTTGGTTTTCTCTTGTTGTCGTTCCAATCCTTTTCAAAACAGGAGATACATATATACATATATATATGTGTGTGTCTCGAGACCTCGATGCATATCACTCCTCAGGAGAGCGTTCCACTTCTGCATACGAAGTTAACAATAAGGAAGTGAGAAAACATGAAAAACGCCGACGTACGAATGAAGACACAAACAACCAAAAGCTCCAACAAGAATGAAAAGAAAAACGGTACAAAAACAGAAGGCCACGCATGATCGCATGCCCGTGACAGTTAAATACATTTCTTTCGTACATTCAAAATACAGCAACCAGCTCTCGTTTGTCAAAGTGAAGGAAAAGCGTTAAAAACAAAAATTGCACCTAACGCCGCATAATCGGAATTCATATTGCAAGCAACGCGTGATTTACATTTGAAGAACATAAAGGAAAAAATAAACGAGTAACTTTATGTGACGCGCGCTGAAGCAGTATGTATATATGTAGAAACATACACGGCTGCCTTACAATTCATCATTCTCTCTTGACTTGGACCTCTTCGCCCCACACGCACAGAGTGATGTCTTGTTCCTCTTCGACTGTTTTCGTTTCTTTTTGCGGTTTGGCTCTTCGTCAAACGGGTCGCCGAGAAAGACCTCCACACGGCTGAAAACCGACTTTGGCAGCGGCTGCGGAGAGCACGTTAGCTCCGAGCCGTCGTGCGAGAGCGACGGCGCCGCCGGTTCTTCCTCAGCCGCCGCACGTGGTGCTTCCTCCTCCACAACAAACAACACCGGTGGCAGCTCATCCGTCGCACCCGTCGCATCCGGCACCACCAGTACGTCCTCGTCCACAGCGAGTGTCTCCTCCTCCTCCTCTGGCTCCCGTGCGTTGCCTTCGCCCTCGTCGCCCTGCGCAGGAACGTCCGGATGCGTCTCCTCCGCCGCCGGCGCCAGTTCGTCTTCGTTGTTCTCCACGGCGCTGGGAGGCACCGCCTGCGTGTCCTCGGCGCTCTCCTGCGTATACTCCACCTCCTTCACCACCTCCGTTGCCTCCGCAGCGGCAGGTGTGGTGGACACTGAAGGAGGCTCGGAGTTGGAAGCCGTCGCGTCTGTCTTCGACGACGGTGGCTGCAGCTGTGCGAGGCACAGGGCCCGCAGGCTGGGGCAGTTCGAGCTGATGTGCAGCGCCAGCGCCGGGACATGGTAGAAGGCGCCGCCAAAATCGGCACGACACAAACCCGCAATGAGCGGAAAGAGGGTGTTCGCCTCCGCCTCCTCCAACTCGTACCGTTCGATCACCTCTTGATGGTTGAGGGAAAACAGACGCACACCGTAGGCAATTTGGAAGTATTGAAAGACATCTTTGCACGCCGCCACTTCCTCGTCGCACAGCGCCGCCCGCGCCCGCTGTTCCTGTGCCTCGATGGAAGTGTCCTCCGCCGGTGGGGCCGGAAGGCTGGAGCCGTACCGCGCACGGATGACGTGACGGAAGTAATCGGCCGGGACGGTGCGGAAAAAGCGCTGCTTCAGCTCGACAAACGAGTCGTCCGCCTCCTTCATCAGACGCTGCCGGCCACGGTTTTCTTTGCTGACGGTGTCGTCCAGCATGTTGAGGTAAAGCCACGAGCGGCTGCACGCCTCCTCCACGTGCTGGCGGAGGTGACGCTCAACTCCGTAGAGCCACTGCCGCAGCTCCCGCTCCTCATCCAGCATGTCGTTGAAGGCAGCGTGTGGAAAGGCGCGAAGAGGACGGTTGGCGCGAAAGTTCACGCTGCGCGGCGGGGCAGCCGGAAACCACACCGCCGTCTCCTGCTTGTACACGGTGAGGGCATGGGCGTCCGATAACGCGGCGGACCGGTGGCGGAGCGCCTTCTTGTCCGAGATCATGATGGCAGCGACGTGCAACACGTCCTGGAAGCCGGCCTGCTCGTGGGCCTCGACCTCTCGCCGCTCGCACACCTCTCCTCGCTGCACATCGAGCAGGCTCTCCGTTAAGGTCGGCACACGCGACGTGAGCTCCGCGTAGCGCTCCGCAAAGCTGGAAGAGACAAGCGCCATCGTTTACTGTGTTTGTGCGAAAGGAAATGAGGAGATAACGAGTCTACTTTGCTGGTTGGAAAAACAAGGGAACGTGCTGCAGCTCTGCTCCGCTGTTCTTTTGCGTAGGTCAACAGCGAAGATAGCGAGGAAGGAAAACGGTGACTGTTTTGGGGAGGGGAGGGGGGAGAGTGTCGGTGTTCGCGTCGTTTAACTGTACCCTGTAACGAAGCCGCGGTGTGTTTGTTTGTTTTTACTGAAGGTGCAGACTGGTCCCCCATTGACCGCAGATGCAGAAAGGGGGAGGAAGAAGAAACAGTAGTGTAAGAGCAGCGGAAGAAAGGTGGAGTGGGAGAGCAAGAAACGTTCATTACACTTCATTAGACTACTGCTGAAAGGTCACGCGCCCCACTCCCTCGCGATGCGATGATGAGTGCTGCTCTCCGTCGTGCCCACAGTCCGCATAGGGTGCGAGGTGGACAACGAGAGAGAGAGAGAGACTTACAAACGATAAAAATGGCGTCTTAACTGCATAAGTACGCAATGTGGTCACACTAGTCGAAAAGGAGTGTGCAGGAGCACCTCGTTTTTTTCCTTCAAGAAGACAGTTTCGAAGCATCTTAAAGCGCATCGATATACAGATAAAAAGGTTCGCTCTTAACCTACGGTCGCTACGGGGCACAAGCAGCCACCGACACGTCAGCGGGGCCAGATGCGTGTCGCGCACGCATACCCTTGCACGAAAACGGGAGAGTGTGTCACCTTCCGTGGTTTTCATCCCCAGAGCGAGAAGCGAAGGCCGTCAAAACTCTCCTTCCTAACGCTCCCAGCTACGTTTCGCTTGCCGAGGCTGCACCAGCTGGCGTCGCTGATGAGGCACAAGTCGGTGCGCTTCCACGCATGCAGGGCGGGGCCAGCAGCTCCGACATGCGATAGTTGTGGTGGTCCAGCGCCGGCAGCTGCACATCCCAGTTTACCGTCCCCAGCTGCTCACGGAAGGCCTCGCCTTTTTGGTGCCACTCATCCTGCTCTGCATGGCATCGCCGGATAAACGCACGCAACTCCTCCTCCGTCGTCGCGTGCAGAAGCACCGCCGAGTACATGATCAAATAGGCGGTCACCAGATCCTTTGCGGTGCACTTGTGTTGCACTAAGAGGCAGAGCCGGTAGCCGCGGAATTGCCGCTCCATCTCCGCCACGCGGGGATCGACCCGACGCCAGCCCCGCTCGCGAATATAGTTCGGTAACGACGGCAGCTCGTGACGCCGCCAGCATTCACGCAGAGTCAGGGGAATGGGTGCCGGCTTCCACATGGCCAGCATGAACATACCGTTGTTGTTAACGTAGAGCACGTCCTCGTCCAACGCGTCCGACCGGATGATGAGCTTGTCGAGGGGAGGAGATACGTAAATCAACTCCGTCGCCACGTCGACTTCAATGCCCGCCTCCTTCAGGGCGATGAGGGGGGACATGCGCACACCAAGGAGCTCGGAGATCTCCAACGGGGTCATGATGCGACCGGACTCTTTCAAGTAGGCCCGCAGTAGTAAGTACATGGTGCCAAAGTTCAGCAGACGAAACGTAATGGGCGTCACGGACTTGGAGGACAGGTACATGTTCGCCAGGCAGCAAGCCACCACCGTGACAAGCTGCGCCGTGAAACTGGCAACGCACGAGCAGTACACAATGCCGAGTGCGGTGGCCACCGTGTAATTGACGATGCCGAAGGAGTTGAACTTCTTTGTGAGCTCGGCCAGGTTGTTGTTGATGGCGTAGTGCTGCAGCGCCGCCGCCCTCGTCACAAAGTACATCAGCGACGCCGACTGCTTCACGGTGGAGGTGACAATCGCTGCGGCGAGCAGGTGGTTCGGCACGGCGGAGGGGATGATCATGTCCGATATCACCGTGATGTTGTTCATGAAAACACTCACGCAGAACCAAAACTTCGGTCGGTTCTCGTACGACACGACACGGTTTGCCATGTACGCCGCGAGCAGGGCGGGGATCAAGTCCTTCAGCATCCACAGCTGCGGCGACGACCCGAGAAAGAAGCCGCTCAGCAGCGACTGGAAGCCGATGGAGGAGGCGAAGTTGGACACAAACGCACTCGCCTGAGAGAGGTAAAAGAAGCTCTGGAAGCCCTTTGCGGTGGTGTCGGGGTAGCCCTTCGGCATGCCAAAGAGACGGATACGGTTCCGTACGCTCTCGGCATGTAACACGGAGGGAGTGCGCACGTGCGGTGCCCCGGGGAGGTCCTTCCAGCAGTACTTCGTCATGCCCTGTGAAAAGCACAGCGTCAATTCAGTTTCGTCTTTCTTGGCACTGCTGTCTTCTGCGTGTTTCCGGTGATCATCGCACGCGGGGCGAAACGTCGAGTTGCAGGGCGGCGACGAAGACGACGGCTTGGCGGAGCCGGCGGCAATGGGAGCCGGAGTGGTGGTGGCCGCATGTGCAGACGTCGCTGCCTCGTGATCCTTTCTATGGGCCCGCTCGCTTCTATCGGCGCTCTTATTGCTGCTGCTTTTGTTGTCTCGGCCGCTGCTCTCCATGCGCTGCGCCGTGGTTAGCGGAGCCGCATCCACCATCATGCGCTGTCGAGACGCGCAGGGCACAACAAGGCGGAGGTTCGTCGCTGCGCCTCCCGCGCAGGTTGTTTTTCGCTGGCCGAGAACGTTCACACGCTGGCTGAAGCGCGCCAGCCTCGTAGGCTTGCAAAGCACGGCGTGGAGCATTATCGAGTCTGAATCACTTTCAGTAGGTTCCTGCCTTTTTTTTAACAAAAATATAAATGAGGTTTCGTCTTCGCACACACGTTAGTTGGGGCGTGCGTCTCTCGTTTCAGTGCTGCAGTTTGCACTCGATGATATTAAAAAGCCACGGAAACTGTCCACAGAGTCCAGCCGTGCTCAGTTTAACTCTCCAGAAAGAAATAAAAAGAATCGTTAGCCGGGGGACGCGTCACAACAAACTTCAGCTGTGCGTCAGCGTTGGTGGTTGCGTGCGGATGCAAGACACCTAGGATGTCCAAGAATAAATAAAAGAAGGAAAGCAAATATATATATATATATATATATATATGTATACACGCACCCCTACGTGATGAAAACTGCCTTCGCTATGACGAACGAAAGAGAACCTTGCGCATGCCCCAGGGGTAAATTGTTCTACAGAGAGAAAGAAATAACATAAATAAATAAAAGTGCTCTGGGGAACATACTGCGCGCAGGTTAAACAAAGACGATAGACAACGACGAAGCTTCTGTTGTGCAGAGAACCTTTAAAGAAGAAGAAAACGTATTAGCTAGGAGACGTGAAAACGTCTAGGTAAGGTAGAGGCTGCCTCACGCGGATTCAAATGAGCAAGACGAGGAGACAGCGATCAAGGAAAACCTAGAAAAAGGAGATGTAAAAGCACCTGTATAATGAACAGAAACGAATGTTTCAAAGGAACAGAAAAAAAGGCGGCGACAGGGCGGTTTCTCGTTCCTTCCGTTGAAGGTCGCTGTGCAGATCAAAAGGCGGAAACAGAAGATGGAAGCGCTGTGAAAATCGACAAGAAGAAAGTTGCTGGAACAGTTCGATTTTCGCGATCTTCATATATATATAATGCAGCTATTCTATAGTAGAAGGAGAGAGAAAAGGCGGGCAATCGTTGTACGCGGATGATAGAACAGGCGTGACAGCAAGGCGTGACAGGGTGTGGAGTAAGTAGGAAGATTTGACAGGAAGAACAACAGATGTGTAGAATGAATGGACTGGCACGCGGCATTGAAAATGACGATTCGAATGCGAAGGCTTTTTGCGGCGTTCAGGAGAAGAGTCGAAAAGCACTCGGGAAGAAAACGTCAGATGAGAAAGTAGAAGAGAGAAAGAGATAGAAAAGGGTGCGGAATGCGAAAGTTGAACAGTTGATTCATAAAGTCGAGTGCGCCGCCTGCAAAGGTGGTAACGACGAGGTACAAAGAAGAGAACTAACGCTTCCGCTTTCTTCTTCCTTTCTGAAGAAGAAAAAGAGCAGCACACCGAGAAACGAACGGACTCCCACCACCTGCGTCCATTCGGAACACACACACACACAAGAAAAATCCGCAGGTCAAACGAAAAGCACGCTTTAAGTTTCAGATTTCTCTCAATGTTGCGACTGCTGTGGACTTTGTCGTTAGTTGATGCTTCATTACACTCCCATGCAAACATTTCCATTGTGATTTTGAGTTACATGTGTCTGGCGTATTGCGTTCTCCTCTATGAGCAACATCCGCCGGAAAACAGAAGCGAGTTCGATAGTATAAGTTAAAAAACCAAAAGGATAAGTTTTCTTGACAACAAAACTATCGTTAGAACTTTAAAAAAGGAAGAAGTAAAAGAAGGCATTCATTGTTTTCTCGCTCTTCTTTTATCCATCGATGTCAGACGAGCTGACAGAGGAGGCGGTCGTTGCCTTCGAGTCGACCGCGGGCCGCTGCACCAGCAGCTCCGACACGCGGAAGTCATGGTGGTCCAGCGCGGGCCGGTTCACATCCCATCCTGCCTCCCTCAACTGATTGTGCAAGGTCTCGCCCTTGGCGTCCCATTCATCTTGCTCCGCGTGGCACCGCCGCACAAACGTACGCAACTCCGCCTCCGTGGCTGCGTGCTGCAGGACGGTCGTGTGCATGATCAAATAGGCGGTGATGAGATCCTTGGGAGAGCAGCGGTGCTGGACGAGAAGACACAGCCGATGACCGTGAAACCGCTTCTCGACCTCCGTCAAGACGGGGTTGCAGCGCCGCCACCGCCCTTCGCGCAGGAAGCGAGGGAGGGACGGCAGCTCATAGCGACGCCACGACTCACGCAGCGTCAGCGGCATCGCGGAGGGGCGCCACATCGCCAACAGAAAGGCACCGTTTGCGCTGCGGTACAGCACATCCTCGTGCAACCTGTCTGAGCGGATGAGCAGCTTGTCGACGGGTGGGCTAACGTACAGTAAGTTCAGCGCTGTATCTGCCGTTGCGCGACCTCCCTTCACTGCTGCGGCGGGGGACATGCGGATGCCCATCGCATCCGACACCTCCTGCGGCGTCATCACGCCGCAAGGGTTGTGCACGTAGGCTGGCATCAACACCTGCATCGAGGCAAAGTGGAGAATGCGAAACGCCACGGGTTTCATGGCCATGTAGGACAACACCAAGTTCGCCACACAGCACACCAATATGGTCGTCAGCTGGGTGGTGAAGCTGGTGAGAAACGTACAGTACACAATCGCGAGTGCCGTCGCCAAGGTGAAGGTCACCATGCTGAAGGAGTTAAACTTCTTCGTCAGCTCGGCCAGGTTGTTGTCAATCGAGTAGTGCTGCAGCGCCGCCGCACGCGTAATGAAGAACATCAGCGCAGAGGACTGCTTCAGCACCGCGTTACCCACTGCGCAGAGCACCATGTGGTTGGGCACCGCGGTGGGGATCACCATGTCGGCGATAATTGTCACGTTCCGCAGAAGCACACTCACGCAGAACCATTGCTTCGGTCGGCCCTCGTACGAGACAATTCGATTTGCCATGTACGCCGCAAACAGCGCTGGGAACAAGTCCTTCAGCATCCACATCTGCGGCGACGACCCAAGAAAGAAGCCGCTCAGCAGCGACTGGTAGCCAATGCAGGCAGAGAAGTCGGCAATGAACGAGTTCGCCTGAGACAGGTAAAAGAAGCGGCGGAAGCCAACGGCGGTGGTGTCGGGGTAGCCCTTCGGCATGCCAAAGAGACGGATACGGTTCCGCAAACTCACGGCGTACAGCACGGAGGGCTTGAAGATGCCTTTGACTGCCTCGTCTTCCCTCCAGCAAAAATCTTTCAGACCTTGCGAGAACTCCGGAGCGGGATCCTTCAACGTGCGTTCCTCATCCGCGGTGGGGGGTGTCCTACTGTTCTCGCCCTCAGAGCGGTTCTTAGGAGATGGAGCGGGCGAAGACGTGATTAACCGCGCTGCATGCGGAAGTTCCGAGGCACCTTTACTGCGATCGGACGCGTCCACCGTGTCGAGTGCATTGAGGACAGCATTTGCGCTGTGTGTGACGCTTCTCGCACGGTCACTTGCACTGCTACTTTTGCAGCCGTCATGTTCACTACTCGTAAAGCGCTTGGAAACGATATGCACGTGATTTGTACTGCGGTGCTGGTCAAGAAGCGCGACGCAATGTCTGACGGATGCCAGCGCAGTTGCCGCGCCTACAGTTCTACTGCAGCTGCCACTACAGCTCAGTTTCCTACGAGTAAATCGCAGCTGTGGTCGACGGCTCCGCAATATGCGCTGCATGGCGTGCTCTACGGTGAAACAAGAGTAACGGATGAAGAGCTCTTATAGTAAGTGGGATGAAAAAAAAGAGCAACAGAAAAACAGGATCAGTGAAGAAGAAACGAGTGCCATGGAGCAAACGCGCAGGCTCGGTGGAGCAGTGAAAGAAAAGGATTCTTTTGTCGACACCTGTCATAATATGCTTTTAGTCGGCAGAACAATCAGGCTTCTGACCGCAACAATGAGAAGGCTCCCCGTTCCACTAGAGAAAAGACCTCTTGATGTTTTTAGAATGTCCGAGGGCATGGTCTGCTAGCGAAACATGGCGCTTCCCTGACGCACCCCTCTCAGATTTTTCATCACATATGCCACCCTTCGCAAAACACACTCCAGCCGCGTCTCTCAGCGATCTCTGGCAATGTGCTTTCTCGCATCCTTCCTTTTATTATTATTGTTTATTATTTTGTCATTTTGAGATGGTACGTCGCCGCCGCTGCATCCTATATACATCACTCTGCGCACCTTTTCCCGTCAAAAGAAACACGTCAAAAAGCGTGTGTCGGTTGGTGTAGCACAGCCAACCGTCTTCCGATCGTGGGCTTGCTACGAGCGGATAGTCAAGGCTTGCGGAGCACCAAGCAAAAACAAAACAGTAATAATACATGAACGCCGTATAACCTGAGTACATCATGTTGATCTAAGCATTAGGAAAAAAGGAAAAGGAAGAACTGAAGCAAAGCTGAAAAGCTAACACCAGAAGAGCATATACATGACAAACGCAACCGTTGATCTTCTCTTTCATGCTCTCAACACTTCTTCTTGCACCGCATCGCGTCTCTTCCGCCCACTTCGCCGATGAAATCTCACTCGTTCTACGGCGCCTTCACGATTCCTTAAAAGTTCAGCCAATCTGGTCCATCATCCTCCTTTGCCGCCGCTGTCGTTGCGGCCGGAGCGGCTGCAGCCGGCGCCGGCGCCGGCTCGTCCAACTCCTCCTCGTCATCGACGACGTCCTCCTCATCGAAGGTGTCGCCGATGTCGTGCTCCTCCACGTGGAGCAACGAGTTCCGTTGCGGCGGGTTGGCAGCCCCGGCGCCTGTCGGTGCATCGTCCTCCGCCACACCACCGCCAAGCCACGCCGGCGTCTCATCGGACACGGCAGGCGGCACCGGCAGTCGCGCGCCATCCTGCGTCGGCTCCTGGGTGTACGGCGGCTGCGGTACGGGAGGGATGTGCACGTTCTGCCCTGCGCCGCCGTCCGTGGGGTACATACCGAGTCCATCCTTGTTGCCGCTGCTCTGCTGCTCGTGTGGACCAAGACCGGACTCATACGAGAAAGCAGGTAAGACAGGCACTGTCTGGGCGGGAGCGGAGGTCGCCTCGACCGGGTGGGCATTCGGCCATGCGGACACGTCGATCTCGTCTGCATCCGTCTTCGCCCCTGCGACGACCGGGGGTGTGGACGGTGCGGTAGAATTCACCTCAGTCGCCGGCGGCGTGGCAGCAGCCCCGTCTGCTTGAGGGGCCTTCCCGTTGATGTTGGTGTTTGCCGCTGCTGTGGTATTCAGACTGCGCTGCATCTCCGCAATGCGCTTCTGCAGGTACTCCCGCTCCGCATCGTCGCGCATGCTCTGCTGGGTGCGATAGCGCGGCCGGCCTGACGCCGCCACGCCCTGTCCGGCCGACTCCAGCTCATGCAGCTCCGCACGCAGCTCACGAATCCGGTCCTTCTTTTCTCGGTTCGCCAAGAGCAGGCTGGGGGACTGCCCGATTCCGCCATCCCTCGCCGCTTCGCGACGTCGCTGCAGCTCTACCTTGAGCTCCTCCACCCGCTGTGCCGCGGCGTCGCGTTTGCGCTGGGCAGCGTCGGCATCGCGTAGGGCGTGCTCGCGGCGCCGCTGCGTCAGTGCGTTCTGCGCGCGCATCTCCTCCTGCACCCGGCGGTCGCCGATCCCGCTCTCTGCCATGTGCTCCGACAGCAGCAGCAGCTTCTCGTTGCACCGCACCTCCAGCTGCACATCACGGTACTCCTCCCGGTAGTAAACGATATCTTCCTTCATCCCTGCAACCAACTGGCGATACTTTGACGCGCGTTTGTACTTGCTGATCAGCTGCTTCAGCTCGTCGCGGCGTTGCGTGAGATCGCGCTGCTCGAGACGTAGCATCTGCAAGGTGCGGTGGGCCATGAGAGACTCCTGCACGAGCCGTGCGGCGACATCGCGGTGGGTGATCGACGACCCAGCGCCACCGCCGTTGTTCGTCATGGTCATCGTGGTCGCGGTGCCGCCACCCGTCATTGTCGACATTCCGTGCCCTCCCTTCATGCTCTGTGCTAAGGTGGTGTGGTAGTAGTCGCGGTTCTTCTCGAACAGTTCATCGCGAAGCTTCGCATTCTCCGCCTGCATCGCCTCCAATTCCTCTATGTTTTGCGGGACCTGTGGACGCTCGATGTGACGCTGCTTCACTGCGGTGTTGTTCGACGGGGCACGGCGGGCGGAGTGGCCGTCACGGTTGCCACCGCGGCGTCCGTGGGCGGCGCGGGCCGTCTTCTGTTTGCGTCCCTCCGCCGCACTCTTCTTACCGTCCTTGGCGCGGGGCTCTACTGGGCTGCCGTCTGCCCGGCGCTCCCCATCGCTGTGCACCTCGTCCGCGTTGACGGCGGCAGCGGCGCTGTCATTCTCCTTCGACTCCGCACCAGCAACACCGGCCGCGGCCCCTTCCTCCAACTCCGCGTACGGGTCGGCTGTGTCGTTGGCGTGTGAGTGGTGTGACGAGGCGTGGAGGTGGCTCTGACTCCTCGAGCTGGAGTCCTTCGAGTCGGAGGATGAGGTGGACGAGGAGAAGGACGAAGAAGAGGTATGGGAGGCAGCAGAGGAGGCATGGAGCGCGACTTGCTCTGCACGCAGCGGAGTTTCTGCCCGTGAGCTTCGCTTGCTGGAAGACGTAGTGCTGCGCTGAGAGGAAGAGGGAGAGAGCTCCTCTGCGTCCTTCCGTCGTGTGGATGCGTGGACTGCATCGTGCGGGAGGTTCTTATGGGAAGTGTCCTCGCTTTCGAAGTCGTCCTCGAAGTCGTCCTCGCCGTAGCTGTCCTCCTCGGGGTATTTCGCTTCCACTGCTGCTGACATCCCTCCTTGTGTGTGGTTGTGTGGATGTGGAAGTGGTAACGAGGGACAGCAGAAGAAGGAGAATGCCTTTTAAAACGGAAGCAAGTGCTGAGCTGGTATGTGGCCAAGGGAGAAGAAGCTAGACTCCTTAAAAAAAAAAAACGAAGAGACTCTTCGTTGGTACAGAAGGTATAATAATGGGAGCGCAGAAGAGGTGCTGCCGAGGCACTGAGCACACCAAGAAGGTGCAGCAGACATTGCATATATAGAAGAGGCAGTGCATACACACACACCACCGAAGGCGCAAAGGAAGAGGAGAAGCCCGAAAAGATGAGAGTCAATTTGGAAGAGGCATAACGAAACGCTACCTCACACGCCACTTCACCATTGCGCTGGCGCACTGCGCTGCAACTGCACCGATCCAGCATGCGCATCACTCGCATCACAGCAAATGCCCGAGAAGTTCCACGGCAAAAATGAAGCGTCAACAACAGCAGAATAGCATGCGCCAAGACGCTCTAGTTCGGAGATGTTGTCCTCGCTACACGTCAACAATCACGGCAGGAATCTTCTGCGTTTGTTATGCATCGGTTTCTATATTTTTCTCTTTTCGTCAGTGACGCGGAACTACCGTCAAATGTATTTTACATCGAGTCGTAAAGCCATCAACGCACGAACGCTCACACGCGGCGTCGACGACATGAAACACATCAGGAAAAGGGAAAAAACAGATGCCAGCTACATACGCCTCGTCACAGCTGCTTCCTTACTTCGCATCCAGAATCCGTCGCAGCTCCGTCTTCTGCTCCGCCGTCAAGAAACTGGGAAAGGTAGTGTTAAACTCAATCACCAAGTCCCCACGCGTCGCCTCGCCACTCCCCGCAGCCGCCGGCAGCCCCTCGCCGGCAATGCGCGAGCGGTACGCCGGGTGCACGATCTCGTCGATCAGGATCGACAGCTCCCGCCCCTCCATCGTGCGCAGGGTGATCGTCGTTCCGCACAGGGCGTCGCGGAGCGAGATGGCAGCCGTGGTAACCAAGTCATCCCCCTCACGGCGGAAGCGGGGGTGCGGCACCACCTCCACCACCACAATCACGTCGCCACGCGCAAAGCCCGGCGCGGAGTTGCCGCGGCTCGGCACAACAAAGCGATCCCCCGTCTTGGCGCCCTTCTCCACGCGGACCTCATGCGCGTCGGTGGTGGCGGTGTAGGCGGCCCCGAGCGCGGCGGTGCCCACCTGCGTGCAAGTCCAGACGGCGCGTCGCGTTGCGCCGTAGAAGACATCCTCTAGAGAAATGGGCAGACGCACCTCGATCGGCGGGCACTTCGGCGGCGGCGGCGGCATGCCAGCGGCGGTGCTAAAGAAGTCATGCTGGTTTTCCTTCACGCCGTCCAGGCTGCTCATCACTTGAAACGGATTGTCGACCCCGAAGAAGCGCTTGAAGACGGTGTTCGGATCGATGTTGTCGAGATCTACCCCGCCGGGCACGCCCTGCTGGCCAGTGCCGCCGTGACGCACGCCTTCCTCGCCGTAAATGTCGTAGATGGAGCGCACCTTTGGGTTGGACAGCACCGTGTAGGCCTGCGCTGCGGTTTTGAAGCTGCGCTGCAGCCCTTGCTGATCGGGATTCTCGGGGTGGCACAGGGGGTTGTACGCGAGCGCGTAGCGGCGATAGGCTTTCGCGACCTCGTCATCGCCCGACCGCTTGTTCAACCCAAGAAATTGATAGTAATCGATCATTTGTTCTGGGATGTGATTGTGCGTGTGTGTGTGTTGGAATGTTTAGTTCCCTTTATTTTTCACAAAGCTGTTGTGAAAGCTACAAAGCTGCGGAAATGACTTCGCATAACATATACACATATATGTATTGCGCATGATGCGATACATCAATCGCAGCAAAGCACAGAGAGCAACAGACGAAAAAGAAGGAAACGGAGAGAAATGAAAGCGATTGATGCACGTTGCTTCGGCGTAAAAACATAAAAACGAAAAGAAAAGGAGAGACTCTTCCCCTACACCATCAAAGGCGTCCCTTGGGGGAAAACCCCTGAGTGATAATGGGGAGTGGTATTTCCTCGACAGAGTTGTTTTAGACGGTACGCATGGCTGTGGCAGTTGTTGTTTCCGATAAGTCGAAGACACCGCTTCCTTTTAGGAAAAAGTAGTTTGTGTGATAAGCGCGGACTTGTTGTAAAATCGCAAAGAACGCAAAGCACGATTCTGCTTCGACATCGCGACAATCTGCTCGGTTGGCAACAATAAAGAATAATAAAATGAGAAAGCACGCGAACACATCAACAACGGGATAATGACAAAATGATTTTTCAAAGAGAGATAAAGCGTGCGACGTTCTCGTCAGCAAAAATAAAAAGGGAGAGGGAAGTTTACAGAACATGCATTTTGAAACTTTTCTCCTTTCCATGCAACAGATTTTCGTTTTGAAGGAAGCTCCCGAAGGTTGAAAAGACCCGAGCGACTCACTCAGTCAATGTGTTTGCCTTCTCCTCCCCTATTTTGCCGCTGAACTCAAGAGAAGAAGAAAAAAGTCAAATCACCAAAGGTTGAACACCATGCGAGTCGCACGCGTTGTGTCTACCTCACGCCCATAAAGGAAATTGGATCTACGTGAGAAAAGAGGGAGAGAAGGAGAAGGCAAGAAACAGATATATATGTATTTATATATAGTGATAAAGGGAGAAAAGAAGAGTGCTGGAAACAAATGCTAAAGCAGAACCCCAGAAAACAGAAGACACGTTCAGCGCGGCAGACACGAGACAACGCAGGAAGAAGCCAAAAGAGAAAAAAAAAGAAATTGAGAAAACAACACCTGCCAGAACTGCGCTTCGTCTCGTTGCAACGGGTCTGAAGCTGTTTAACGCGACCGAAGGATGATGAGCGGATTCACTGGTCGCCATTTTCAGTTGTTGTTGTTTTTTGCTTGTTTCGTGGAACCGACACGTCATCACGTGTCATCATCCCACCGCCGCGCCCTCACTCACTCACTCACCCTTACAATGCACGTGCGCTGCAACGCGAACGTCAGTAATGCGACATGGGGGTCCCTTTGCCGTTATGAAGACTGAGCCGTCGCGGCACCTCCGGCACGGGTTCGCTCTTTGGCTTCTGCTTCTTCGCTCGCGCGCACGACGCAGAGGCGCGTTGCTCCGCGTCGATGGTGGAGTCGCTGTGGCTCAGAGACTTCCGCAGTTTGTGCAGCCTCTTTGGCGGGGGGCCCGCCGCACTGTCTTGCCGAGACCCCGACATATTGAGGGGAGAAACGGGACTGGAGGAGCCGTTGCGCATCAGCCCTTCCATGGCATTTTGTAGGTCCTCGGTGGAGGGCTTCGTTGGCCGCTGGTGGTGCTGCTGCGGCGTAGAGGACGGACGCCGCTCGTGAGTGCGCTTGCTTGAGTTTTTCGTCGTGTGGATGCAGATGGAGTTGTGCTTTGGCGCTGTTGCGGTGCGGGTCTTGGTTGCAGGTGGGTGTGTGGCGTCTTGATACTGCTGGTGCTGCTGCTCGCTCTGCGCCTCCTGGATGGGTCGCAGGTTCAGTGACGCACCGTCCAGGCTCTCTGCCAGTTCCTTCGGATGCGGCGTGCTGCCAAGCGGGCGTTCTCCGCACAGGCGCAGCAGCCCCACGTACAGAGCCTCGTGCTCCACGATTTGATTCATCGAGTTGCCGTAGGACGCCATAATCGCGGTCGGCTCGCGCAAAAACCCCACCGCCATCGAGCGCATAGCCGTCACGTAGTCGTGTCTCCACTGCGCACTGCCCATTACCTCGCGATGCTCCTCGACAAACTCACGGAACTTCTGCACGTTGCGCACTGCCTCGCCGTCGTGGGTTAATGCCTGAAGCACCACCACCGCGTTGCGCACGAGCGCTTCGCAGTCGCCGGCGCCGCGGTCTGCCAGCGAGCACAGCTGCGCCATCTGCGAAACTTCGTCCTCCTCGAAGGCGTTGAAGGCCTCCCCGACGATGCGGCGGACAGCGTGATCGGCGACGAGCACCGACTCCGCAAAGTCCAGCACAGGGCGGCTTTTTGTCCGACCGGTTGAGCCCGACCGACTGGCTGATCCCGACCGGCTCTCCAGTGGCCCCTGCGAGTCGCCACGGGTCTCGCGGGTACGGAGGGCGTGGGAGACACCCAACAAAAGGTTTTCCAAGCGGGTGCGAATGTGCTTCAGTGACGCCTCGCTGCAGTGCAGGAGCACCGTCTCCTCATCCATCGTCCACAGCAGCGCCGGGTCGCCAGAGGCGTTACGCACGTTATCGCTCTCTACCGAATCGTGGGGATGGCCATCTGTGCCGCTGGCCGCATCTCTGTCGGTCGTCGAGCCCTTTTCGGGAGGGTCGTGCATGATCGCATCGGTCCCAGGGTACCGTGCTGGTGGCTCCTCGCTCGTCTCGTTCACGTCAGATCTCTCGGCTGGCGTGATCGCCTCGGACGGCGGCGGCGCTTCATCAGATTTCATTTCGCTCCCGCCCAAATTTTTTTTTTTGAACAGTTCAGCGCAGACGGAAACACCTCTGGTGATGCTTTCCGAGCAAGAGAGAGAGAGAGCGGCTTTCACGACGAGGGTGGAAGGTGAAACTACGGTGTCGTCGCTTCGTAAGATCCGCGATGGAGAAGTGAAGCGGCAGCGCAGACGACAACAAACGGTTTGCGAGACAATAAAGTTGAAAAGACAGAGAGAATAGAAAACAAAGAAGAGTATATAGATGTAAGCAGAATGCTGAGGTTGGCAAAAAAGAAGGGGGGTGATGGGCAGGAGGCGAGAGCTGCATGCGGCAAACCTTTTAAGAAAAAAGAAGTGTAGAGGGGCGAAATAAATGCACGCCAAACAACAAATAAACCAGAAAAGAGAGGGAGAGGGAGAAGGCGCACACAGAGGGAAACGATGTCGTGTAAAGCCTGAGATTGAACTCAGGAGTAACGAAGGAGATCGCTGAAGATGCGAACCAATAAAAAGGCCAGAAACATCAATTCTGTCGGTGTTTCAGCGTACGTCAGTTGATTGCTGATTCAGGAAAAGGAAAAGAAACCGATTTCATAGTAATCAGCATCGCCATTCAAAGGCCGCCGCTCCAGTTGTTTCCCGACGGGTAGAGGAAAGCATGTAGGAAGCTCATACGTGTGCGGATGTCAAAAAACGCATCGTATTTCATTGTGGTGCTACGAAAAATCACGTTTTTCGTTTCCCGTTCTCGTTGTAATGATAAGAGGACAAAACCTCAGCTTTATTACTACCTGTTTCAAACAGAGCTGTGCGCCATCGCAATCCATCGATTTGCACGATGCGGTGTTGGGCTTCGCAACAGCAACCACAAAACAAAACAAAAGCGAAGGAAACACCACAAAGGAACAGAAAAGGTTCGTGCGTATCAACACGCAATTGATGTGGTGGAGCACGCGGACGGAGGTACTGCCGCAAGTCTTCTGATGTGCAGAAAAGGAAAGGGAGGAAAAGTGTTGGTTTATATCGCAAACCTAATAATGCGTCTATAAAGTATCGAGCTCCAAACGTAGCTTCTGCGCCTTGGCCAGCTTTTCGCTTTTGAGCAGCAGTCGCTCACAGTTTAACCCCGTCCCGTGTTGCTTGCAACCCAGAAAACGCACACCGCAAGGATAACAAAAGAGTTAATTATGAGAACTACACTGGTAGAGACAGATGCAGTGATACAAATGAGATGTGTCGGTAAACGACGCAGCACGAGCTGCGCTGGTTACGAGTGAAATACGTGTTCCCGAAGATTCCCTTTACGAGCACGTTTCCTGCCTAAGCACTCTTCTTCTCCTCGGCAGTGGCCTCCCCCGGCGTCTTCGCCTGCTCCTTCGCCTGCGCTGCGCGCAGCTCCACACGATCGGGGTGCTGCTCACGCCGCTCTGTCATCACGTTCCACACGTGCTGCGCCAGCTCCTCGGCCGAATTGAAGTTCGCCGCGTCGATCGGCTCGCCAAAGGAAAAGTACGCGTCCGCCGCGTCCATCATGGCGGACCCGCGCGGCCAGAGCTTCTCCGTCCCGCTCACCGCCAGCGGCACGATGGTGGCACCCTCATCCAACGCCAGGGAGAAGAAGCCGAGGCGGAATGCGTTGATGGGGCCGTCGGGCGTCATGTTCCGCACGCCCTCAGGGAACACGCAAAGCATGCGGCCGCGGCGGAGGCGCCCGCGGGCGTTCTCCATCATCGGCCCCACCGTCCCCTTCACCGTCGCAAAGCTCGACTTCTTGTCCCGGAAGCGCACCGCCAGGTCACCGGCGTTGTAGAGGGCCCAGCCGCCAAACGGAACGCGGAAGAGCTCCCCTTTTGCGATCCACGTGCCGTCACGGGGGAGGAAGGAGCGAATGGACATGAAGGGATCCGCGGCGCTGAGGTGGTTCAGCATGAGAATAACTTTCTTTTTCTTCACCTCGGGGAACTTGTTCAGCACGTGGATGTGCCAGAAGGGGTTCAGCAAATCCATGCCGACGAAGCTGATCTTGCGGAAGATGTGGCCGCAGATGTCCTGTCGGAAGTCGGACGTCGTGAACGGGAACGAGAGGACGATGAAGGTCGCCTGCAGCACCCACACCACAATCCATTGGACGGTAAGCGAGAGAAGAATGTACGTCGTGCACAGCACACGAAGCACCTTGTTGGCGTGGCGCTGCGGAGGCATTGTGTGGCGTCCAGATTATCACGAGCTAGAGGGAGACCGTTGAAGCCGACCAGACCGCTTGAGACGAAGAGAAGAAATATGTTTTCCTTCGCGCTCTGGGGACTTTCTGCTGACAGCTTTGTGACGGAGGTGCTGATGGGGGGAGAGAGAGAGCTTGATGTTTCACTGCTCTGGTGGTGGCTCGACGGAGCAGTCTGAGTGAAACTGTCGGTTAAGTGGAGAGATGCTTCGTACACGCAGAGAGGGAGCTGCAGGCGGAACGGGGGAGAAAATAAATGGTGAGTGGTAAGGAGGTGAGGCTCCTCAAGGCGTTGGTAGAAAAGAGATGGAGAGCAACTTGTAAAGCAAATATAGAACCTATGAAATGACCGCCAAAGTTGGGCAGCACAACATCAGCTTGGGCTTGACTTGCTCTCCTTCAGGGTGCGGGACCTTATTTTGTCGGTTCGCGCTACACCAATGAAGCTCCGTTATCTTGTACCCTCCGTAAACACGATTCAATAGATTTGTCCCATTCTTTTTTGTAATCGAATTGCGTTGTTTTCTTTAGGAAGCTTTAGTAGGTCATTACACGGAAACGAATAAAAAAGGAAATCATATTTCCTTTGTTCTCTTTGAGCACTGTTCTAGCAGAGAAAAAAAAAAGAGGAGGAGGCACTTTTAAAAAGCCACCCAACCAAGTTCAAAACTACGCTCTCACACCGTTCTCTTTCTCTTCTTCCTCCTCCTCCTCCTCCTCACTCCCCTCTTCCTTTTCACCTTCGGCATCCTCCGCCGCCGCGGCATCTTCTTCGTCGGAGTCCGTGCTCGCCTGCTGCCACTCCTTTCGGTGCTTCAGTCGCCCGCGGCGTTCATTCAACGGTCGCGCCTCCAGCAGATCCATCGCATCCAAATCCAGCCCACGACGCACCGCACTCTCCTGAACCTCCGTCTCCACGTACGTGTTCTGGAACGCGGAAACTTCAGCCGAGTTGGCGCACCGCTGATACCCGGCCAGTAGTTCCGCATTCACGTCGAAGAAGCTGGCCCCCCACGAAAAGTACGCCATGACGCTCTTCGCGTCCTCCACGAGGCCCACGATGGCCAGCGTCGCCGCCAGCGCCTCGGCGCAGTTCAGCTTCGACGGTCGGCCGTAGTTTACCGGGTTGGCGGCGAGTAGCAAGGGCAGCAGCCGCGGCGCCGTCATGCGCATCTTGCGCCACGGTACCGCGTCCAGCTCCTTCCACGAGCAATCCACCACGGCTGCACCGTACTGGAGAACAAGGTCACGATCGGCCGGGCTGACGATCTCCGCCGCACTCGGGGTGAGGACGACGCCGTGGAAAGGCTCGCTCAGCCGCAGCAGCCGCAGCGCGTTCAGCCGGTACAGCTTCTTGCCAGAGCACGCGTTGGGGTCGCATTGCTCAAAGTCCCACATGGCGAGCGGCACGCTGCACGGGTGCGCCGGTGGCTCGTTGCTGTGGTAGCCGCTGGTGGTGCACACGTTGGAGCTGCTGCCGCTGCCGCGTCCACGTCCCCGACCACGACCACCGCCACTACCACCACCGCGCGGGCGCTCGCCACCCTTGCCCATGGAGTTAACAAGAGAGAAGAAGAGAAAGCGGGGGTGTTTCAGCTATGCGTGAAACGTACTTTCCTAAAAAACACAAATAGTAATAATAGGTTCCGATTCTCTCTCTCCCTTCTGCGGAGAGTCGCCAACTTTGAGAAAAAAGCGACGGCTTGTTTGTTTCTTGTTGGGGGAGTGAGCGGAGAAACGAAAAAACGCTCGACAATCGAAACTCAGCAGAAGAAAAAAAAGAAAAGAAAAGCGAGACAAAGGGAGAAGAGAGAAGACAGTTTCTTTTCCTTTGTCTTCTTGCGGGAGATGAAAGGTGTCGAGCCACCTGGTCACGTTGATCGGTGAACTCGAGGTCAACAAGTCCAACGAGTGGTGGTTCTCGCGCGTATCGCGTCAGGGAGAGTGCAATAGCCAGACGATTGTCGTGAAGGTCTGCCAGCCAGCAAGTACCACGCAGAATAAATGCGGGAAGACTGCTTCTTTGTTTTCAACCGCTGGAGGCATTCGTTATGGTCATTCCACATTTAAAAACGAATAAAAAAGGTTTTATTCATCATCACTACCTTCCTTGAGAAGACTTAATCGCCATCCAACTTTATATCGCCCGCAACGTCTTCACGCACGGATGGCTTCCAATTAGCAATCTAACAAGGCCGCAGCTCTCCGTTCTCTCGGCGCCAACAATAAGCAAAGTAGACCAGAAGAGAACGTGTTCGCTTTCCATTTATCTTTTCCTTACACTTCTCTTCATTTGTTTTTTAATAGTGTCGACGCTTCAGCGACTTCTTTGCTGTCACAGCCTTCGCCGCCGATCCTAGCTCGCTCTTTTCAACCGCGGCTGACGCCTTCACTAACTCGGCGAACGGCTGGGTGGTGAAAAAGGCCTTCTTCTCTTCTGATTTTCCCGCAGCAGCTGCAATGGGTGCCGCAGACTCGGTGGCCTTCGCGGACGCCGCAGGGGACGCTCTCGGCGGTGCACGATGCTCCTCCTCGTCCGATGCATTCTGCTCTGCCGCCGTCGACTCCGTGCGGCGCTTCTTGAGAGCCGTCGGCTCTGTCAACTCCCGCCCCTCCATGGTGGCCTCTTCATCGTTGCGCGCCTCACGCGACCGCTTCGGGGCGCGGCGCTTCGCGAGGTACACATCGCGTTTCTTCTCCAGCACGAGGAGGTGATCCACGTACTTCTGCCGCTTGACGCGGTGCTTCTTCGCCATGGCCAACGCTGCTCGACGACTGAAAGCGACGTCGTGTGTGCATGTGCGCACAAAGTGAAAGAAAAGCAAGAAGCGAATAGAGAAGGGGGGAAGGGGTGATGCAGCACACAACGGCGAAAGAAAAACGAAGGCGGATCTGGGAAACACAGAAGAGCGCGCTCGAGGCAAGGGAGCCGGTGTCCGCATCGTTTATCAGACAGCTGCTCGTCTCGACACGTAAAAAGAAGGAAGGCTGTTCCTGCGAAACGGCAAAAAGAAGCAGGGAGCATTCTCACGACAGAGCGCCTATTGGTTTTCTGTGCTTCAACGGCATACAACAGCGGAGAGCTCGTCAGTGCTCCTCTGCTGCTTTGATACGGGGGAACGCTTACGACCCCCTTCTGCTTCTATGGTTTCTTTCTTCTATTCAACGCTGAATACATACGTGAAGTTCGTCACTGAGATACAAGCACAGGTAGAGCAAACTTAACTGCGGCGTCAAACGGCAACAACGGAGAACAACAAACAGCAATGAAAGGCTGAACTGTACATGGTGAAGGAGTACACATCTCCAACCAAAAAAAAAAAAGAAAGGAAGCACGTCATCTCTCTTCTTCACCGCTTTTGGCGACGCCTCTAATTTACAGTACAGAGAACACACAGGTGATGGGTACAGCCCCGTAACAGGGAGCATTATAGACGACTTTCTTTATGTCTCTCCTTTTACTTGAAGAACTCCGCGCCGTCCTCGTCCGAGTCAAAGCTCGTGCCGGAGCCCTCCAACGCCGCAGCCGCCCGCTCCGCTTTGCGCAACATCTTCTCATCCACCGGCTTCTCCACGTGCGAGCGCGGCCTAACAGGCTTACCGGTGCGGTGTGCAATCGGGGCTTGCGAGCGCTCCAAGGCACGCCGGATGCGCTCCTCCTGCGCCTGCTCCTGGTTCGCCAAGTGCACCAGTCGGGCCTGTCGGCGGCGCTGCTTGTCGCTCTGCTTCATCACCGCCTGAATCAGGGAAGCGTCGATGTGGTTGGATGGATCGAGGAGGTAACGGTGGTACTCCTCCAGCTTGTTCTCCACAATCGTCAGCATCTCCACCGGCCCCATAGAGGCATCGTCCTGGTGCTGCTGCTGGTGCTGGTGCGGCTGCTGTGCACGCGCACCGACGGACGCCTTGCCTTTTTTCTTTGAGGTGGTCCGACGCCGGGAAGCGCTTGGCGCGGCGCCAACACCGCCGCCTGCCGGAGACTCGCTTCGACGAACCGATCCCTTGAAGAGGGCCCCGGAAGCGCCATCGGCGTTTTTGCCTGTCCCCTTCGCCACCCCGCTGGCCGTCAGCGGTGAGCCGTGATTGGTGCCGTGGAATGTCTCCGCGTTGGCCGCGTCCTTCTTCGTCGCACCGGCCTTGATGACTTGATCCCCTGTGGTGAGCAGCTGGAACATGTGCCCAATGGAGACTTCGATGCGGACCTTCAGCTCCTCGGGCGTCAAATCCACGCGTTCATTTTGAGCAGCCGCAGTGCCGCCACTAGCACCTCCAGTGAAGGAGGCGGTGCGTCCTGAAGCGTCGTGGGCGCCAGAGAAGGATCTTGTCGCTGCCCCGTCGCCGTTGCGGCTGCTGCGCGGCTCCACGCTTGTAATGCGCGCATCCAACGCCTTCAACTTCTCACGCGCCTCGGCGATGTTCTTCTCCAGCACCACCAACTGCGCCGTCCGTTGTGACACCATCGCGCTCATCTCAGCCTTCTCCTCCGCGAAGCCAAGCGAAATGCCCTCGAGCTCCTCCTCCAGCTCCTGGCAGTTCTGGATAAGAAACAGGTTGCCCTCCTCGACGTTGATGAAAACCTCCAGCAGATCGTCGACAGTCTCAAAGCACATGGGCAGGCGATTCTCATCGTACTCGCGGTGCAGGGCTTCCTTGACGGCAGAAAGCGGCATCGCGCTGACCTCGGTACGGATGGCAGTCTCCGCCGCAGCGATCGCGGACCGCGCCTGATCCTCCATGCTGTCGTGCAGGTTTGCCATCTCCTGTTCCAGTGAGAGCTCCCCTGCGCCTTCCTCGTCTGGGGCTACGGTGCAGATGCTTAGCTTCGTGCCAATGCTAAGCGATCGTAGCAGCTGCGTAGATGCTATGGAAACAGTCCGACTCGGTTTCTTCATCGAGGATCTGCGGCGTCTCTCGCGCTCTTCGAGCTCCTTCGCCGCGCGCCGCACCGCATCCCGCTCCTCAGAGGCCTTCCTGAGCTCCTCGCAGCGCATCTGGTAGGTGGTCTCCGCGCTCAGCAAGATTTCTTCTCGCTTGTCCTCGCTGCGCAGGCTGATCAGAACATCGTAAAACCATTGCGATTTCACCAGTCCTTCTAAGAACTCTTTGTACGATGCGCAGTTGTCAACTTGCAGGCGCGTCTTGCGCGTCTCCAGCTCGGCGTGGTTGATGAGCGCCGACAAGCGCTTGATCTCGATCGTCTTCGCGTGCTTCGCGCGAGTTTCATCGTCCGCCTTGCGCACCGCGGCGTCCTGCTCAAGATTGCTAAACTTCAAAAAGCTGTTGAACTTCTCTTGGGTGTTGGTGAGCTGCTCCTGCTGTTGGCGCAGTCGCTTCTCGGCACGATCGACCTTCTCGTCCAACTTGCGAATCTCCGCCTTCTTCGTAGCGAGCGACATGCGTACCAGGCCGACCTCGCGCTTTTGTTTCACGAAGTCGCTCGCCGTCAGCTTGTCGTTGACGCTGATCGAGAAGCCGCCAGCGCCGACCGTCGCTGACGGTGACGAGGCCCTTGCGGCAACCGCAGCCGCCGTTGAGTTGGTTGCAAAACCGTCCTGCATCTTGGCGCCTGCGGAAGCACCGGCAGCCCGAAACGCGCGCCCACTGCGCGGCGCCAAGGCCACTAAGTCGTCCGCCATCGCCGCATCGCCACGACGGATCTCCTGAAGGAGTTCCTTCGTGATGCGTGCGCTGTCAGCAGGTGCGGTGAAGCCGTTGGCGCCGCCTGCGCTGAAGGCATCGTTGTTGCCCCCGATGGCGCTCATGGGTTTCACCGTCTACTTCCTTTCGCGGTTGGCAGAAATATATTTTTCTGTTTTTTGCGAAGAGAGAAGTCAACGCTCTTATGGGTGCGTTATCGCGGTGTTGAGCTTTCCTTTTCTGGACAAAAGAAAAAGGGAATACGATAAAGAGAGCGTAGAAAGGGATAAGAGATGAGACGCAAAGCTCAAGTCCAAAAGGACTTCGTTGGGACGCTTTTGTGCTGCTGTGTATTAAAGAATGGGCTCGAGAACTGCAAACCCAAGAGAGCAGCTTGTACAGAAACAAACTCATAAGAGGAGAGACATTCGTGAAGAAAGAGAAGATCATCTTTTTTGTTTTTCTTTAACGTTGTTTCATGCGAGTAGCTGAAGGCGAAAACGCAAGCGATTCAGATCTTAACACACTTGGTAGAGGTTTAAAAAGAAAATATAATAATAATAATAGTAAGATACACGTGAGTCCAACATAGCAAAAGAAAGGTGTATGCTTCTCGCTTTCCCCTTCTCTCTTCTCTAGAAGTAAACATTAAAAGCAAAAAGCGTTAGACGCGTAAAGCGAAAAAAAAAAGAAGAAAATCGCCGCGAATGTGCATTTCGAATTTGAACGACCTTTGCGCCATTCGGTTGGCTTTTGGGGGGTTACTGCTCCACATCGACGCTCCTCCTCCTCCACCCCAATACCCCCATGAAACACGACAGAAACGAAAGCAATGAGGTGTAGTCTCTCTTTTCGGCAGGACAGGCAACCGAAAAGCGGAAAAAAAGGACTTGTTGGCAAAGTTACTTCCACGAATGCATCGGCGCGCGCCTCAAGGAAAAGTAAATCATTCAACTCAAAACGCCTTTCTCATTCCACAAAGACAGCATAAGGCCAGTGGAGCTTGCGCTTCTTCGCTGATGGAGTTTTTCTAAAGCCCTTCACTGTTGTTCATGTGTTGAACTCTCCCGCGGAAACACAGAACAGAAATGTTCATTCCCACCATAAAGCAAATAAGAGACGTCACGGACGAAGAATGCCACGCAGCAAACACACATTCAAGCGGCACGAAGAACAAATTCTCATCGCAGAACCCGACACCGCACAAAACGAACGCTCTTTTCGCTTTCTTTCGGCTGCGGTTGCAGGTGCGGCTGCCCACATCTGATTCGCTTCTATATTATTTTCTTCTTTCTCTTATTCTTCTGTTCTCACCATTTACCTCAGCGACAAACAAATGGCGATAAAGCGAAACGATGAAAGTCCGCCCTGCACTACCAGCGTTCATGTCGGAGCCTCGTTGAGCACAAGGTGTGTTCCTTCCTCCTTGGAGACGTAGAGCCAACACACACGACGATTAAAAAGCAGGAGGTCGGCGATTGGGGGGAGCCATTGCAGGGTTCTGCTGTGCGGACGGCGGTGCCTGCTGCACGTGAAACTGCCGCTGCTGATACTGCTGAGGCGCTGGTGGGATGCCACCGTAGCCGGGGCGTGCGTTGCCCTCCATTCCTGGGTGGCGCTGCCCACCGTTGGGCGCCATCTGCCCGTGAGTGGGATACTGCTGTTGCTGCTGTTGCTGCTGCTGCTGCTTCCGCACTTCGTAGTCTGCGGAGTCAAAAAACTGTTGCTGCTGCGGTGCCTGCATTTGGCGAAGGCGCGGGTCGCGTTTCTTCGGCATATTCACGCCCGGGGGCGGCTGATCCGCCATTTTCGCTGCAGTTCGAATTCTTGAATTTGGGAGTACAGAAGGAAGAGCACAGGGAATAACAGTGAAGAGGGCAATCGAGGAAACAAGAATCTAGATAAGGGTTGAATAAAAGAATACAATGCAATACAACGAGGAGTAACAGCAATAATGCTAATGAGAAGTTGTGGTGGCACGATGTTGTGCCCGCTTTTCCGGATTAGTATAGAAGTGATTCACCTTACTTCTGAAGTGTTACAACGCAAAGCAGAAGAAGGAGAAAAGAACGAGGAGAGTGGAAGAAAGAGAATAAAATAAAAACGTGCGAACGAAGTCCAAGCATGTCATCATACCGACGCCTGACAGATGCTGCTTTGGGCTAACTTGAGTGAGTCCTTTTTTTGCCATCCGACAGGCCTGGTGAAAGAAGGTCGTCTTTGAACGTCCTCCTTGACGCTCCAATGGTTCAAAACGGCGTTGGGCAGCACAGAGGTACTTTTCTTCTTTCCAACACGTTAGTTGAGCATCATCGCTATGATAACTGCGAATAGAGAGCAGCTAAAGCAAAAAGGTATGCACGTGCCGGATTTTACAGCTTGGGGAGAAAGTGGAAAAGCACAAGAATGTTCATATATGTACTCACATAAACCCAAATATCCTTCTCTCCACAAACAAGAACTGGAGAAAAACGGACTCTACCTTTTTTTTTTACAAATCGCCCTCTTCGACGTCACCGTGCGGTGTTGTGTCTTCCGCAGCGCTCCCTGCCTCCTCAGCGGCTGCCTCGGGAGCAGCGTCGCTGCGTGCCGTTCCTTCATTCACCACATCTTCACTCTTTGCCGGCCCTTTGTCACCATTATGTTCTCCGGTGTTCCCCGATGAAGAAGAACCTTCCTGAGTCTCAACCTCGGTCTTTTCCGCCGGTTCCTCTGCGTCCCTCTTCAACACCTTCTCCTTCTCCTCCAGCCTTTCCTTGCGCCGCTCCTCACGGCGCATGTATTGTGACCACCGCAGCTGATCCTGATGCGCCGCCTCGCGAAGCTGCTCCGTCAGTGCGCAGATGTTTGTGATGGGCCGGATCGCGTCCCGCACCGCCTCCGCCTCGCCCGATGCCGCCGCGTCCGTCGGGTCCGCCAAGGGCAACCCACACAGCCCATACTCGATGTCGGACAAGTTGTGGGCGAGCTTCACCAGCTCCTCGATTTCGTCCTCGAAGTCCTCCACCAAGGTGGCACACATGGTCGGGGTCGCGGCTAACATCTCCATCCCATGCAGGGCCCCCTGGTCCTTAGGGCTGTACACTTTGGCCACTTGATAGCGGCGCAGCTCCACGTAGTCGTCCCACTGTGGGTCGTGCGCACCCTCTGGGTAGACCTCGTCCTCGCGCAAACTGTGGCGAACCCCCAGCGTAACATCCTTCCAGATCTGCTGATGGTAGAGGCGCACCTTCGATTTGGGGTGCAGCCGCAGCGTGCGCTCATCGTTCTTGTAGGAGCTGCAGAAGTTGTCCATCACCTCCGTCACCAGCAGCTCGCTGTTGCGGTAAGGGCGACGCTTCAGCTGATTTACGCGGTTGAGTCGGTGGGATGCGAGATAGGTGGACGGGCTCTCGCTCAGCGTGGCGTTGAGGCGTACAAAGAGCGCACGACTCACGGTAAGGCAGGCGGAGCAGTCCAGGTGCTCGTAGCCGGGACCGTGCAGCGGGCGCACGGAATGGCCCGTGTGCGCCGTCGCCACGAGCGCTGGTGCGGCCAGTGATAGCAAGATCAGGAGAAAAAGAAGAGCACAGGCATGGGCGGCGAAGCGCACCCGCTGCTCGAGTGTGGGGTGTAGAGGTTTTGCGTGGAACGTGTGCATCGGTAGTACGTCAACGTTTGAGGCTGAGCAGGAGTGGTAATGGGAATCACAGCACAGAACAAAAAAAAAGGAAGAAGTCACCTCATTCACTACCGTTGAACGTTCATTCAGAGAAAACAAAAATAAGAAGAAGAGGTGTTTCAGCGGTGGAGAGTGGATACCGATCTTTTCTGCGGTCGCATTCACGTGCAGAAGAAACGATGCGTAGGCCATCTTCGTTGAAGAAGTGCACGACGACGAGTTCCCTTTGCATCGATAGTGTCTGCGGCGACGACGGCTGCTTCAAATAAAAATTAAAAAGGCAGGCGCTGAAATCAACCGAATGCCGCTTCCTCCTTCTTTTCGACCACTTCACACCTCTTTCTTCCCCTCCGCGAACAATACTGCTAGGCGATTTGTTGAGCTATGCTTTGTTTCTCCTTTTCTATTTCTTCTTGCAACGCAGCAAGATCTCCGTAACTTACATCGACTCCCTTGGACACAACGTCAGCTACAACGTCTCAGTTTTTGAGTTTACATCGCACAGCTGCTAAAATAAAACAAAAATCTCACGGAGCTGCCGTGGCAGTCTGCGGCGACGAAGAAGTGCTCTCCATTCCTCCTTCTGCCCCGTCTTGCGTTTGTTGCTGCTGTTGTCCCTGTCCGTCGTGAATAAACATCCACAAGTTCTCCTTCACCGGCGGGCCACCGCGCTTACGCGTTGACAGCAGCGTCAGCTTCCCACACCCCACCTCATACTGTTGCCCAAAGTCGTTGTAAAACGTCTCCTTTAAGCTCGCCAGCGGAGTGTTCGTCATGTTGTGTCGAACTCGAATGACATCCTCAGCCCTCACCGGGTGATCGCGCGAGTCCTCCTGATAGGCGGGATTGGCGTCGTCGATGCACCACATCGCCTCGGCGCCCCCGCCGTCCGGCGAGAAGTACACGTGCTGCAGCTTCCCCGACACGTGCGACGCGTTCCCCGGGGAGACGGCCTCGGAAATGAGGAAGAGCGGGTCGGGGCACAGCTCGCGCACTGTCATTAAGTAAAAGGGTTGCCCGTAGTGCACCATGTCCTCTTCGTCCTCTGGAATCGGGAAGCTGTCGGTGGGCGGCATCGCGGCCGGGACCATCACCACCGTGCAGCGCAGCGTCGCCTCCTCCGCAGGGGCGGTGGAACACGCCACCTGCCACCCCGTCGTCGTGGCCTTCCGATCATCCAGGTCGACGCTGAGAAAGCCGCACGTGTTCGCATTCTGCAGCATGAGCGGCACGTAAAAACGAAGGAAGCCGTCGGCGGGGATCGGCGCGATGGCGTGGGGCGTGTTGTGGTGCTTCACCTTGGCCATCATGTTGGCGACCTCCTTCGAGGCCTCGACGACGCCGCCGCTGCGGCCCTGCATCAGCCGCCGCCGGTCGCGTTCGTAGGCCTCCTCCTCGAACCAGTTGCCGAGAAGGGCTTTGCGCGGCATTTGGGGAATTGGTGCTGTGTGGTAGTGTTATTTCGTTTTCCGTCTGTTTCCCCTCCGTGTATGGATGTGGGAGTGCGTGGGAAAGGCAAGACAACCGCGCACAAAGAAACGCTGTTGACTGCTTCTGATTATTTCTTTTTAAACGGTAAAACAACAACAACAGCAAAAACAAGAGTGGCCGCGTACCGATTCCTCTGCCACACACGACAAAGAGTGGCAGGACGAGGAGAAGTTGCAGGAGCGAAAAGAGTAAGAATAAAAGTAACACGCACACGCTTCGTACGTTTCTCCCCTTTTTGAAGGGGTGCGTCGAAAAGGAAGTGAGAAACAACAAAAATAAAACCGCGGTACCTGGTGCTCTGCGCATTGCTATCAGTTGACAACGAAATGTATCAAATAAAAAACAGTTCCGCGGCGGTGAGCAGCGGGTGTGCCCGCTCAGGCAGAAAAGACACGAGAAGACCCACCGCGTTGGGGTTGGCCTACGCATGCATCTACTCCCTCTTTGGCAGCGCTTCACGTGGGGAAGACGGAGTTGACCGCAGCTCTCCCAGCCACATACCTCAACCGCGCAGCGCATAATGTCATTGTTTGTTTTCCTTGTTCTGCTCGTTTGCTTGTTTGTCCCTCTTCACCGGCAACCGAATCCGCCCGAAAACGGGCGCAATTACTGATACAGGAAAGACAAGGCACCATCTGGCAACCGTTTACATTCTCTTGCAATGGGGATCAACTTGAGCACAGAAGTGTAAGAGAGCGCGGTGGTGCCAACAGGGCCCGGCCGGGTCTTTCTTTCTTTTCCCTCCTCCTTTCCTATCTCGCTCAAAAGCGTGTAACAAAACTAAACTCATACACCCAAATGCGGTTCCCGTGCAGCGCTCAGACAGAAAAACAAAAAAAGGTGCAGATGCTGCGCACAACAAATTTCATGCGTTCAAGGTTACGTAAAAGAGCTCCATCGACTTTCATTGAGCCCATGAAAGAACAACGGAGATGACGAGCGCGTCACCGCACAGCCTTACACCATACGCTTCGTCACAAACAGCTTCCGCAGGTACACCACGCTTCCTGCACCCATCCCAGCGATGAAGATGATCTCGAGGATACAGAACACCACGACGCGGGTGTTCGCCACCTCCGTCGTTGCACGGTGGTCCTGCTCACGGACGCGCATCAGCTGCTGCAGCTCCTCGATCTCGCCCAGTCCCTCCTGAAGACGTTTAATGGAGCGGTAGAGCGAGTCCTTCTCCACCGGCATACCGCCGTTCGGCCCGGCCACCTCCGCCTCGCCGACCATGACCGAGAAGGACACCACCTTCGGCGTGACGGTGCTCATGCGGTTGATGAAGCAGAAGGCGTGCGGCCCGGGCAAGCGCGACTTGAAGAGCACGCGGTTTTCCGTGTCGCGGATGGCGCTCCAGATCAGCTTCTTATCGGGACCAATGATCTGGCAGTCAATGTCCATCGAGCCACCGGAGCTCACCATGTAATGCAGGAACATCTTAATGCCAACGCCGGGGGCATCTTCATAGAAGCAGTTGGTCCGACCGGGGGCGACCTGCACAGCGAGACCGCCGTCATCGGCTGCCGCCGGTGCGATGGCGTAGCAGCTCAGCAGCAGCACGGAGGCGAAGAGCACGACGGCCGCAGACGTCAATTTCGAGCGTGTAGCTGTCATGTTTACCCTTGTTTGGTTGGAAAGCAAGAAACGAAAGAAAAAGAGCGCAATACGAAGCGACGAAGCAACAACAGTCCTGAGAGAAGCAGCTCTTCAATGAATAGACTAGCCTGAATTCGCACGCTGTTGTAGGCAGTGTGGCCAAAAATGATCCAGACTGGAAGATTCGTGTGTATCGCCGTTGATAACAGTGGAAGATAGGAAAGGAAAGGAGCCGGGGATAAGACACATTTATGGCAGCAACAAGTGCTTCAACCAGCTTGCATAAACGCAGCGCTCTCGATGGAGAACACAGATGCAGCGAACGCGGCTTCACAGGAGGTCCAGGAACGCTCGTCTATAACACACACACGCACATGAAAAAAAGAGAAACGTCAACTCCCGCTGCTGGGAAGCGTGCGTTCGCATAGAGAGAAACGTGCACAAGCTCGAGCGTAAACTTGACTGTCAGGAAGAAACAATATCTTCTCGGGAAGGCGCATTACTTGCTCATCACTTCCGCAGCAGCCACGACGAGTCCTTCATCGCCATCATCGTCGTGACTTCGACGGGAAGGAGACGCACGCAACAAGGCCTTACCACAAACGGTGCATTTTCCAGAGATGGGACACCGATCCGACTTTAAGAAAGCTCCTTCGTTGCATGGTAACTACTTTTTCTTTCCGATTGAAGCATCCACCGCACTGCGCACACGCAAGCAAATGAAACTAAAGAAAGCAACACGAAGCATACGGCTATAACACAAAAGAAAAAGTTTCATAACAGAAATAATACGGAGAAAAGGGCGTTTTCCAATCACTGCCGAGAAGGACGTCGTAGGCGACTCAGATTTAGCGGAAACGGCAACGCATCGCTACGGTTCTCAGCAAATCACAACGAAACCGTAGGAGCATTGAAATAAGGTCAACCAGGGAAAAAAAAAGGTAGAGCAAATGAAAACAGCAAATCATCGCGGCACTCAAACAAAGAACAAAGAGAAAAAAATAATAAAGGTGATAAAGGATAGAAACGCCGTCGTGCCATCTCTTTCAGGTGTCAATGCACACCCACCAACAAAGGTATATAATACAAAGATGAATGAAGCGTATCTGGTTCATCCTTGGAGTACCCTCAAACAGCACGCTGTGTTCTCCACTAAACAACAACAACAACAACAAAAAAGAACCACAGCTGGAAAATCTCCTTTCTCGCCTCACTCATACAAGTCTCACCTTTTAGCAGCAGCCGCTGGTGTCCGTTCTGTTGTTCGCCGCCGCGCTTGGTGCCTGCGCACCGGTGGTCTGCGCACCCGGCCGGCCCGACACCACCGATGGGTCAATCACACCCGCCTGCACATTGTCGTAGATTAACGTGGCGGTTTGCAAAAAAGCATCGTCCACGTTCTGGGCCGTCTTCGCACTCGTCTCCATGAACACAAGTCCGTTGCGCCGCGCAAAGGCCTCGCCCTCCTCGCGGCTGACCTGACGCTTGCTGTCCAGGTCGCACTTGTTGCCGATCAGCATGATAACCAGCGCAGTGTTCGCGTTGGCCTTGGCATCTTCCAGCCAGCTCTGCAGATGGGTAAACGTCTCACGGCGGGTCACGTCGTAGACGAGCAGGGCACCGCTCGCACCGCGGTAGTAGCTACGGGTGATGCTGCGGAAGCTCTCCTGGCCGGCCGTGTCCCAAATCTGGAGCTTGACGCTCTTGCCCTGAATGGAGATCAGCCGTGCACCGAACTCGACGCCGATGGTCAAGTCGTGAAGCGGCTCAAAGCGCTTGTCGGTGAACTGCAGGAGGAGGCAGCTCTTCCCCACGCCGCTGTCCCCGATGATGATGTACTTGAACACAAAAATGCTCTGCGACATGGCGACAAAGCGAGACGGGCTAAACTTTTCCTGGTTTTGCTGTTGTTGTACTGCTGCCTTCTTTTCTGCTACGAGAGCCCTCGCGTCTTGCTCGCTTGCACCGGTGGAGGGGGGCGGAGGGGCGCAAAACAAACGTCGACGGTGTGTTGATATCGGAGGTGCTAAGAACCGTCCAAAGCGTGTCGGGATGCCGGTGCAAGAGAGAAGAGTTGCGGAGCAAAATAAAGAAAAGCGGAAGGGCGAGACGACGACAGGGAGGAGGCTGCTGTTACTATAAAAAGGATAAAGCACACACGCAACGAGAGAAGGAGAAGAGGAAAAGTTGACTTTTATGAATCAGTTTTTGTTTTCTTTCTGCGAAAGCAGAAGGTATAGCAAAAAACAAAGGTGGGGTTTTTTTGTTGTTGTTGCGGTGATTCGTATAGCCGCAGACAAAAGTTCAAATACGTTTCGTGGTAAATATGCGAGATAATTATGAAGAAAAAAGTAACTTCTTTCGATGCAGATGAAAACGGAATTGAACGCCAACAACATTGAGAGATAAGAAGACGGGAGAGCAGAAAAGAGGGGCTCACACGTGTAAGTTGTGAGGCGTACAGTGTCATGTAGGAATGATGACGCATCGAGGGAGGAAACCGGAAACTCGAAAAATAGAGAACAGTCCTTTCAAGTGCTTCTTCTCCGTGGTTTCAGAGAGAGCTACTCCGTTGAGTTTTCCGCCTTTAGAGGGTGACTTTCCATTCCTTCCTTCCTTTTCCATTATTCAAACGAAATTGTTGCGCATGCTGCAGCTCAAAAACGACGACGAACGAAGAGCACGTGTTTTTGTTTTTATTATTTCCAGCGTGAAGCAAAGGAAAGACATGTTATCACATAAATATCATTCAGTTCTACATCTGCCAGCTGCGGACCACAGTGCGTCGCTCTCTCTGAATGCTTGAAAAACTATGTACATCACATCGTCTGCGTCTGAGCCATCCATTGAATGCATCTCTACGGCGAGAACAGTTGATTCTGATTCGGCGGCCTTGTTTGCGCCTTGAAGAACTGAAGCAGGCGCTGAATGCTATGCCGGCACAACTCACGCGTCACGTCACTTGACATCACATCTACCACCGCCGGCTCTGCCGTCGCATGCGCATCGTTGCCGTCCTTCGCATCCCATCCTGGCCGAGGCTGCACAGAGGTCAGTGGGACGCTGCGCAGAAGGCTTTGGAGGAGCTGCAGGGTGCGCACATCTGCCAACTCCGTAATGTCCGCCTCCTCCACACCCACCAATCCGTTGATTGCCGTAGTGATGGAGCAAAAGGCGCGGCTGATGCGGTGCCGATCGCCACCCTCCCCCGCCCCTGGAAAAGACGACTGCAGGGGACTTACGGTGACCTGGCTGCGTCGTTGCGGCGCACTCTGCGAGCAATGCGGAAAAGGACGAGAGGCGTTGCCGGATGCTGTATGATATGGCGCGATCGGCGAGGAGCCATCCAGTTGCAGCTGTGAGGGAAAATGAAGCAGGTCCGGGGAGTGGAAATCAGCGGAGAGGCCGTCGCCGCTTGGTGTGGCCCACGAGCGGTCGAAGCTATTTCGTTTGTGGAGGCTGCCGTCAATGGGGGAAGCGGAGTGCGGCAGGGCAAGCCCGTTGAAGTGCATGCCCTCCCCACTTCGTTGCACTGGAAATGGGGTCAAAGAGGAGTGCACCGTCCCACCATGCAGTTGTTGTTGTACGAGCTGCTCTTGTGCGTTGGGAAGGGCACCGGCGGCGTCGGCACTCTGGCGGAGCAGCCGTTTCCGCACGTACGGGTTTCCCCACGACTGCGCAATGCGACGCTCCATTCGATCCATCGTGGACGGCGAGGGGGGGCTGGTGGTGCTTCGTGCCCACATCGTTCCTGGAGGCGCGGTGTACGCCGCAGCAGCAGCAGCGGCGGACTGCGATGGGAGGAAGTCCTTTAAAATGGAGGGTGGTGGTACTCTCCGCAAGGGCGAGGCGTCATTCCCCTCCGCATCCCACGCGCGTGCTGACTGCTGCAACGCCTTGTCGTGGGTGTAGCTCTCGGTGCCACGGCCTCCATGAACGAGAAGTGAAGAGAAAGCGGCGTCGCCGGACGTGTGAATGCCAGTCTTGCCAAACGTGCTCGTCGTTACCGCACCGTCAGAAGAATGTGAGGTTCGCACGGCGAGATCGCTGTTGGACTGCGTGTTCGGAGACGTTACAGACCGGTTCCCCCGCGCGCGCTCGAGGGAACTGAGGAGCGGCGATTTAAGCGACTTGTCCACGCGGCCGCTCTCCGACTGGCGGTGCAAGAGGTACAGCTCCCACATTCGACAGCGCTGCCGTACCTCGCGCAGTCGATGCAGCACCGCCGCCATCGCCTCCGTCATCGACTTCACCTTTTGGTCCTGCGCCGTCAGCGACTCCTTTAGCATCAGCGTCTGCTCCTGCAGGCTGTTCACCTCGAAGGAGCCGCCCTCTAGCACAGCCGCCTCGCCCACGAGGAAGTGCCGCAGGTGTCGCTGCGCCGTGTCGAGGCACCGCTCCGCCTGCGCCGTCCACTTCGCCAGGGAGCGCAGGTGCGGCAGCAGCACAATTCGCTCCGTGCGCGCGCGAAACGTCGTCGCGACGCAGAACTCATCGGCGAGGCGGGCGATACTCGCCATGCTGTCGCTCATGTACTCCAGTGTGACGGCCAAAGCGCTGGTGCTGAAGACTTGCGACGGGGCAGGAGGGGTATACATTGCGTCCTGCTCGATCCACGTGTTGACCGCGCCTGGGACACCACCAAGACCGACGCCGGCACCGGTTCCACCGTAGCTCGTGCAAACAGTGGCGTGGGGTCGGCGTGCGTCGAGCATGTCTTTCAATGCCATGCGGAGATCACGAATCGCATCTAACTTGCTCAGCACGTCTTGTGGTACATTTTTGGCTGGGGTGAGGACGTCATCGCTGCCTCCCTTCTCTTCCGCCGCCTCCGTGGGGTCATCTGTATTGGCCGTCACCGCCGCGTCGGAGGTGAATCGCGAGCATGCAAACCAGGGCTCCTCCTCCGCGATGGCCTCCGCGCTGAGCTCCTGAATTGCGAGTTGCATTCCCCGCATCTTCCCCAGTATTTCGCTCTTGTCGAGCATTTGTTGCTGCAAGAGTCGCTTCGTGTCCGGCGCACCTTCGAGCACCACGCCGTACCCATCCGCCATGCCTGATTCCAGTGTGCGGGAAAGCCGGCCACCACCGTCGGTGCCTCCTACCGCCGCCGCAGACCCGTCAGCGCCTCCCACGGGGAGCAGTAACTCATCCGGACTGGGGGAGCTGCCCGGCGCGCTGTTGCTGGCGGACGCACTAGACACTGCCTCCGTCGCTTGTTGATGTTGCTGCTGCTTCTTTCGCTGCGTCTGCGGCGCGTGTGCCTCGGCGTACTCCTGTTCAGCAATTTTGTGACGACTGCGGAAGGCTTGCGACAGCAGCCGCTGCTCCTCCGCCATCTCCACCACCTCCTCCACCTGCTTTTGCATGTGCGACGACAGGGCTGAAGCTTCTTGCAGCACCTTGCGGCGGTTCGTGTAGGTGCTGAGGATGGCTGCCCCTGTGTACGCCGCAGCGGACGCGTTACCGCCAGCAACGCCAGCGCCCGCACTACTCATCGCATGCTTTGACAACGGTGGTGCGCGTGAAGGTCCCGAACGGGGGCTGGCGCCATTCTTCAGCGCCTTATTCGCTGTGTTGGGGCTGGGAGTGATGACGCCCCGTCTACTGGGGGAGGGGGAAGCAGCAAGGTCCGGCACACGACGAAACGGATTGGACGATTCATAGCGTGTCTGCTGCCGCGTTTGTCTGCTGTTGTGCAGGAATGTGTCGTTGTGTGACATAAACTTTCGTGCGTGCAACAACGAAGAAAGAACGAACGAGCTATACGGCTGGAAATGCGTGACCGCCAAATCAATGGCAGACCAAGCGCAACGCTTTCTTCTTCTTCACATACACAGAAAAACACAAGTATTGATGTCAAGACGGTTGGTGAGAGATCGGCGATGAACGAGAGAATAAGAATTAAAGCATTTTGAGAAACGACTCGGAGCTTGAACTTTCGCCACTGAGCATCTTCTCCGTTGTAGGTGTTACCATCACCGCAGCGAAAGGCAGAAATCTCATTTGCGGAAATGCAGTATTTGTTTATCTCTTTTCTGATGGAAGGGGGAAAAAAGTGGCAAACAATAGCGGCACTGCTCCTCACGTTGGCACAGCCGTGTACAGCGATCCTATTTTAATTGTTGTTGTTTTAATCCAACTCATTGAATTGACGTGTGTGAACACAAACTGTGACGATAATTAAAACAAAAGAAGAAGATAATGCGGGAGTAAGCAAAAGGAAAAAAAAAACACTCAGCGCTGCTGCAGCCGCCAAGAAACACACAAAGAAAGGCATCAACTATTCCACCCACTGCACACAACGGCGTTTATTAAAGAAAGGTGCACAACGCTGTGCGCAGTGGCGTGTGCAGTGAGCAGCACGCAGCCAAACAATACTTCCTCCCGTCCCTTCAAGTACACAACAGCAAAAAAAAAAAGCAGTCGCAAGCCCACCATCTTTCGAGAAGGCAGCATTTGAGTATTTTCCTTGACCCTCCCAACTTCGCCGAGCTGTGGCCTAATACCATAAACAGTGTATTCCACTTTCCCCTCTGAACTACTTATCCGCCGAGGCGTTCTCCATCTCTTGCTGTTTGTAATAGGGGTTAAAGTGCTTCGGCATATGCGCATCGCCCACCATCACCGGGGCACCGCCTCCCTGTCCGCCCTGTTGGTACATCCGCAGCCGCTCCGCCTCCCGCTTCTTCTCCTCCTTGATGCTGTCGACAACGGTGCGCAGCTGCTTGGTGGAGTGCCGGTTCCACGCGATAAGAAGAAGAAACGTGAGGCCTCCCCAAACGTAAATCTTGCCTGCTGTGAGACGCATGTTGCTATTGCGGTCAGAGAAACGAGAAAGGCGTCTGCGGAGGAGGGAAAGGAATCGGTGTTTTCTTCTCGTGTGCTGCACTGATGTTTGGATGCTTTGCCAGCAACAACGCTTCGGTAGAATTCTGAATTACTAGTTGTAGGTGGAAGGAAGGAAGTGTGAATGCGTGTGTGTGTGTGTGTGTGAAAGAAGCAAGAGACAATTCTGGGTTGAGAAGTCTGGAAAGGAAAGAACAGCTGAAAAGAACAGCGCTTATGTCGCAGCTCAGCAGCCACGTCCACCCTCCACCAGAGCTTTGCGAGAATTGAAAACAATAATGCGATACCTCCGCGGGTAAGCTGCGTGCCCACGTTTCAGAGAAACAATACTTGTACACGTCGTGGCCAGTCCTTTACAGCCTTCTTCGTGGACTGCGCTTCGCCAGCAGGTCAGTGTGGCTCTGCCTTTCATCCTCACCACGCTCCTTTTCGTACTTACAAAGAAAAAGGCATGCGCGTTGCGGCGGTAAAGCACCGAAAGTGGCAAAATGAGAAGAAGGGAATTCAAAGCGACCTCCACTGTACCGCTATATATATAATAAAACATATACTTAACTATTTACGTGTCCAAGAGGAGGTTCGCAGCGCTGCGCATCTTCTCGCTGAGAAAAGGAAGATAAGTATTCACCCATTACAGCGACACTACATTTGCATCCCTCTGCTTGAGAGATCCACCACCTTATCCGCGATCTCGGCCACGCGGTGGTCGTGCGTTGAAATGAGCACCGTCTTGTGGTGCACATCTCGCAGGTCCTTCAGCGTCCCCAGCAGCACCTCCACCGCGCTCTTATCCAAACCAGAGGTCGGCTCATCCAGAAGCACCAGCGAATACCCGGCCGTTTGAGCGAAGACGCGGGCGAGGGCAATGCGCTGCAGCTGGCCGCCGCTAAACTGCGGATGGTCGATGCTTTCAATTAACGTGCCGAAAGGGTTGCTGAGAAAACTGGCACACCCGCTCTTCTCCGCGGCGTCCGATACACGCCGTCGCACCTCCGTCGAATACGCAGACGCCGCGCTTGTCTTGTCTCCCAGCGCGGTGAGGTCTGCTAATAAGATGTTCTCGGCCACGGTGCCAATGAAAATAGCGTGCTGCTGCTCCAGCAGAATAGCGCCGCGCTGTGTATGCACGGTGCCTGAGTGGGGGCGCACAAGACCACACAGCATGCGCAGGCAGGTACTCTTGCCAGATCCACTGGGTCCGTAGAGCGCGGTGATACCGCCTATCTGCGCCGAAAAGCTGACGTTCGCGATGCCGTTGATGTGACGAGCCCCCACGGACGCGCTCAAGGAGTCCTCCACAACAGCCACCACCGCGCCAGCACCGTCAGCACCGCCTTCGCTGAAGAACGCTGGGATGGCAGGGTATTTGAAGCTAACGTCTTCCAAGGACACAGGTGCGGTGCTGGATGCTTGAACATCGACAACCGCCCTCGTCGTTTCCCCCTTGGTTAAAGAATCGACCTTCCCACTACCTCCACTTTTGCCGTCCGCAGCGGTGATGGGGAGCGGCTCGGAGTACCACCGGAGCATCGCCTCTAACGTCTTCAAGCGGCCCAGCGTTGCACTCGTTTTGTTGACGTCCGACGACAGCGCCGCGAGCATGTTCACAAGCGACTGAAAGCACGCAAAGTACAGCACCGTGTGCCGCATATCAAGCTGACCCTTCTGCTGGTAGTAGTTCGACAAACCAAGGGCCAACACAAGGATGAGCCGCGTCATGCTGGAGCTAAGTGCGGCGAAGCCGTGAATGCTCCCCTTCAGTCCGTTGTTGAGGCGGCGCACACGGGCAAGACGGTCCGCCATACGGGTCAGCACAAAATCGCGACTCTTGAAAACAAAAATAGTTTCGTTGCGCTGCAGAATGTTGGCAATAAAGGCCTGCGTACTCGACTCCTCTGCCGTGACGCGGCTGCCTTGGCGGTGCAGGGCGCGCCCTTCGAAAAAGAAGAGGCACTGCACCGCCACCACGCCCACTAAGATGGTAAGGGTGAGCTGGTACGATAAGTACAGCATCACCGCAAAGAAGCCCACCACGTACATCGCACGGGACAGCACGTTCGTTAAGAGGTCCCCAACGGTGTCACTCAGCGCACTGCCGCTTGCCGTGACGATCTGCGCCAGCTTCACCGCATTCACGATCGCCACCCGCTCGGGGAACTGCGTGTGAAGAATGCGGGAGACGCTGTCTTGAACGAGTGCACTTTGCGCCCCCATCCCCGCGTGGTACGCGGCGAGGTGCGCGGTGAGGGACGTGAGGTGGTAGCACAGCACCGCCAACCCCATCAAGCCACAGCGACACAGAATACCCTCCACGTAGGGGCTGGGCCACGCCAACACGCCGTCGCCAACGCCGTCGTAGAAGCGCCGAAGCACGGAGAAGAGAAGGGGCAGGAACGGCTTCAGGAGCCGCTCGCTGAACGGTCCAATATCAATGAGGTAGCTTCTTACCCGTCCACTGCCAGCCGTCGTCTCCTGTGCTCCGTTCACACCCGTCGCAGCGGTGGCGTTGTCGACGTGCACCACGCCGCTCACCGTCTTGGTGACCGTCTCCGTGCCGTACGAGACGATTTCCTCCGCGAGAACCGGGATGGAAATGCTGAGTATTGTCGCCCCGATCATGAAGAGCACGGTGGAAACGATCGCGCGGAGCTGCGGCCGCACGTAGGCGTAGGCGAAACGGACCAGCTGCAGTGTCCCGGTCACCTCCGCGTGTGCCGCAGCGGGGGATAACGATGCACCTGCGTCCATGATGATAACCTTGATTATTATGTTCTCTCTCTTTCTTCTTTTCTTATTTTGCTCCTCCGCAAAACAGAAGACCGAAATGTTTGGAGTCAATGAAATGATTGTTGTCGTGCGTGAGCGCATTCAAATCCAAAAAGTAGTTGTGTTGATGGTATGCAACAAAATACACGTGAGTTGGTGGGCCGAACCAATCGTTGTGTCGTGAAGGAAGGGAAGCAATGGCAAGCCACAACAGAAAAAGAGCATAGGAGGAGTTTGCAGCTGTCGAGGGGGAAATGAGAAACGCGACACCAATTACGGTGGAAGCTCTGCGACTTACAAGCGCTCCATTTCTGCTAACGCCTCTTCTACAAAAGGAAAGCCGTTTTTTCCAGTAGAAGGAAGAACATCTTTTCAAGTGTTTTTCATTTCCGTTTATTATTATTATTATTACTGGGGGTCTTCTCCCTACCTTGAGCTCCACCATGACAGCAAGGGAGTTAAAGATTCCGTGCAGCAGACACCTTCCCGCACATAATACCTCCGACTCCGTGAAACGCCCAACGCACGACAACTAGGAAACGAACGTCGATGAAAGAAGACACGAATCGTAGTCTTCTGGTCCAACTCTCCGCAGCACACACACACACACACACACACACACACACACACGGGAACAATGATCAGCGTAAATGCAGTAAATGTTGGTATCATGTAGCAGTCAATCGCAAATTGCTATGTCAAATGTCAAAAACCATCATGTGTTCCCTCCCCCGAGAGGTCTCATCCGTCCTCCAGCCTCGTCGCCGTCACACGCTTTTATTTGTTTCTCGTCCTAAGCAAGAGGCGGTCCACCAAGGTCCAGACACCGTCGCAGGCTTCCTCGCACTTCGCCACAGCGCAGCAGCCAACACACGTTTCAGAGTAATGCAGTAAATATTGGTATCATGAAGCAGTCAATCGCAAATTGCTATGTCAAATGTCAAAAACCATCATGTTCGTGTCGTGTTATCGCAGCGCCGCCTCTGTGCAGCAGCCAGTCATCTTTGTGGACAGAGGAATACATAGCAAGTGTAGAGGAAACGTACTTGATGATCGGAAGTGCAGTCGAGGAACAAAAGAAAAAAACCAAGGCTATAGAGAAGGGGAAAGAAAAATGTGGCAGCTTTGTTCTCACCTGTCATTGTCGCGGAGTGGCAGAAAGAATCTTCGAGTTCATCCGAAGACGCATGTGTCGATCATCGCATGCATAACAACTATTGTGATAAAGAGAGCACAGAAGAGGAAAGGCCTGCGAAGTAGTAACACCTCCACCGTTGAGTTGAAAGCAAGCCGCTCCTCCCCACAAGAACAAAAAAACAAGAACAAGGAGGAGAGAGAACAGCAGCGCATTCATTCTCGGGAAAGAGAAGAAGTACATGGTAGGCCAAACGCACCACGCAGTCGGTGGTACCCGCACCCAGCAGCACAACCACAACGTTCCCTATCAATATGCGCCTCATGCTTGTGTGTGCCTGTGCTGCGGTATATTGTATATTATCAACGGTCTTCGTACGAGATTAACATATATAGATTTATTTATAGACTCCGGACGTGCCGGCGCTCGTTTTGTTAAACAAACGATCAAACAACAAAAAGAAGAATCGAAGCGGAGATGAAAACCACAGCACAAAGAAGCCGACCGCTCCCCTACATAAACTGACGTTGGGGGCTTCATACGATGCGCCAGAAAAGGGGAGGAGAAGGCGAAATGCGATATCAAAAAGGGCCCAAGGCGACGGATCATGACAACCACAAAAGAAGAAGCATGTAGCAGATGAGTGTGAGCAAACAGGAATATAAGAAACCCACCCACGCCGCCAGACAGACGCCGCAATCGCTAAGAAAGCAACACCTTCCAACGTAGCAGTCCGCTATCTACTCTTCCTTTACAGCGACGCGTTACAGCTCGCCTCCACGTTGCCTCTTACTCCTTCTTCTCCGCCTTCGTCAGGTGGGAGCGCAGCACCGTAGAGCTGATTACCTCCCCCTCCGGCGATTGCACCTGCGGAATGGAAATCGCTTTCATCGGCGGCAGACCACCGTTGGCGGCACGCATCGCGTTAATCACCGGCAGCGCACTCGCCGTCTCGGGCGACACCACGAGCGCCTCAATGCCGCCGATTTTGTCCGTCCCACCACTCATTTCGGAAATCACCGTCAATTCCACGTCAAGGTCCGGCCGCACCTTCTTCAGAAACTGTGCCACGTAGTTCATGCGACACTCCATGGGCTGCAGCGACTCGGCAAACTTCTTGCGCGTTAGCAGGGCGGCGTCCGTAACGCCAACGCGCAGCTTCCTCAACGTATGGAGAGCGGCGGTGGAGAGGAGAACTTTGTGGCCGGAGTGGAAGTGGTCGAAGGTGCCGCCCACAGCAACGTAGCCGTAACTTGGCGTGAAGCCCTCCCCACAGCGCCGGATAGCCGCGCTGTCCACCAACTTCCACTGTTGCAGCAACGCCTCCGCATCTGCGAAAACTTCGAGCGGATCGCTGCCGTTCGACGAGGCCTCCGCTGCCGCCGCCGTCACCGCTTTCTGCGTTGCAGCGCTTTCTGCGCCGCTGCCCCCTTCTGGTGGGTTCATCACGGGGATAATGCTGATGGAGAGCTGCGGGCACAGCACCAGCACCGCGCTGTAGAGGTGCACGCTCTGCTCCAGGAAGGTGCTGCGGTGGTGGTTGTGGATGTTCAAGTACACGTCCACGCTACCGCCGTTGCCGCAGACGAACGCTTTGTTGGCGCACACGTACGGCGCCTCCGATGCGTTACCGCCGGCTCGCGAAGCGTTCGGTACAAGGATGGATTTGACTAAATAGGAGGCAAGTGACTGGGCGTTGAGCTCCTTGCCACGGGCGGTGGACAGAAGAAGGGATTGAGTTAACGTCATTCTTTACCAGATATCCTTAATATGTGTGTATTTACAAAAAGGGAAAGAGGAGAGTAGATATGTGTTTGGTTGGGGATAGCGCAGCACTGGAAATAAAAAATAATAATAAAGGGAGACACTTAGTGGAAAGAAAAACTGACGATAATGCCCGCAGCAGCGGCGAATAGCAGAGATGGAGGAGCTGCTTGGCGTTTCTCCTGCTTCCTTTTCTAGTGGTGGGTTGGGACAAGAAGAATGATGCGGAAGCAGAAAGCAAACCCTTCTGCAGAGCACGTTAAGATGTGGCGAAGAGCGGGGCAGAAGAAAGGTTAAAGATGTCGAGGTATCATTTTTTTTTCCTAATAGGTGAGACGTCTTCAGCCCGTCCGCGAAGAAAGAAGACCGGGTTTTTTTTTTAAGGGATACAGCGCCATAAACGTAAATGGTGGTGCTCTTCCCCCCTCCTCGAGAGTAGAACCTAGCGCTTTAAAAGCGTTCACGAAGTGGTTCGAAAGATTATCTACTCGCGAGCAGTTGAAAGATACCTCGAGAAGTCGAATGGGTAACGCAGCGATCCTCCATCTGATTTACCTTCGCGAATTGACACAGATTTGAAACCCGATCAGAGGCGTTCTGCCGAGGCATGACGCGACGTTCTTGTTGTTCGGTGTTGCTTTTCTTTTTGCACGCGAGAAATTGTTTCGACACAGCGGATTTTTTTATCTCCTTTCCGTTGTTTCCACCAGCGAAAAAAAAAACCCGGTCAAAGATAAAAACGTGCCAGTCAGAGGAGTAGCGCATCCCCGCCCCCCTCGATGGAGAGCCTGAAGAAAACAGCACGCACAGTGGGCGCTGATGGCGATAAATAACAGAAGTTCACGAATCATCACGTTGAAGGCGAATAAAAAGCGTTTTTTTTTTTTGATTCACGAGGGGCGTGGCATGTTCGTACCTTCAAAATATACTTAAAAATAATAATGGCAAGATATTTTGAGGATCTAATTGAAGAAAGAAGGCCAACAAAGGTCGAAAACAAAAAAAAAATAGAAAAACAAAATAGCTGTGAAGAGACGAGAAGAAGAATAAAGCGGATCGAGACACAGAAGAAAAAAGAAAGGTGGCGCTCGTCAGCACTGGCAGAATTCAGATTTTTGGCCAATTCCTCTTTTTCTTTCTTTCTAACGCAGAAGCAGCGATGCGCATATGCAACCGTGCCGCTCTTTTCCTTTGTTGATTGCCATTCACATTACAGTCAGTTTCTATCTCAGACACAAACAATAGGAATCGGTCAGACGTTGATGGAGTCCGAAAACCCAGTAAAAGAAAAGAGCTTAAAATGAAAAAAAATATATAAAGGAGAAAAGAGAAGAGAGAGAAAAGTGCAGCTGCGTCGTGGTTTACGACGAGGCCTCGCGTTCGCCTCGCAAGCCCTTAACAGTCCCGCTTGTCATTTTGTTGTTTGTTTGTTTTTAGGAAAGGGACAAGGTGCCTCTTTTTCCTTTCACGAGTGTGTGTGTGTGTGTGCGAGACATAGATACCACTACGCTTACTGCACGAAGCGCGCTCAGATAACAACACAAAAACAAATAAAAATGGTGCCGAAAACCACAGAAACCGCGCGTAGGGTCGAAGTCGCCTAAGTTGCCTTTCATAATGCTACTTAAAGTATATCATTTTTTGTCGGGGTGCTCAACCTTGTTTGGTAAGCAGCACCACACGATGAAAGAAGAAACGAAAAACGATCTGCCACACAAAGCAGCCGTCCTTTTAGTGCGAAGGGAGAGAAAGAGAGAAAGAAGAAAACCAAAAAGGCCCAGCGTTGCCCGTGAAACTGCAACTACTAAAGTTAGCATACTTCACACTTTAACTTTAACCGCCGAGCCGGGGTCCGTTCGTTCGTTCCGCTGTCTCCGCTTATTCCAACACGCGAAGTAGACGCAGTTGCGAGTGGCCCTTCGGGAGATCCTTCTGCGTCGCAAACACCTTGAAGCCGTGTTTCTCGTAAAAGGAGTGCGCCTGCCAGCTCATCGCGTCCGCTATCATCTGCTGCAGCTTCTTCTCCCGCGCCACCTCCTCCAACCGCTTCAGCACCGCCGAACCGATGCCTTTCCGCTGCTTCTCCGGCACCACCACAAGTTTGTCCAGGTGCAACTCATTCCACCACGTCTCGTACAGGCAGCACGCCACCAGCGCCCCATCCGCGTCCTTCACCTGTAAGCCGTAGGGCACCATGTCATACGACGGCACCCCAATGTTGCGTCGCAGTGCATCCTCGTTGAGCCACACTAGCACTTGATTCATCGCCGCGTCAGCAGCCCAATCCTCCACCACGAGCTCGCTGGTGGCATTTGTGTAGCACGTCACCGGCTCGCTGTTCTTCTCCGCTGGCCACACCTTCTCCATGAAGTACTTATCGTGGCCCTTCGGCTGGTTCTTCTGCACGCCGAACACCTCAAAGCCGACCTTTTCGTAGAAGGGGCGGGCCTGCCAGCTGAAGGTTTCGAGGGCCAATCGATTGCAATCGTACTTCGTACGTGCCAGTATCTCGAATTCCTTCAGCAACATCGAGCCGGCGCCGTGAACTCTGCACTCGGGGTTGGCGCCGAGCAGGGCAACGTGCGCCTCGTTGTACTTGGTGTGGCCGTAGACAGCCCCAGCCAGTTTGCCGTCCTTCGTCTTGGCGCGCATGCCAAACTCCCGCTTGTTATACGGGGGGAGGTCGAGGAGACCCTGACGCTTCTCCGTCTCCCGCAACATCGAAGAAATCGTCGGCTCCAGCGACTTCGCCTCCGTCACCAGCTCGTACTTCAGCCCCGCGAGCGTCGCAGCGCTGCCGGACCCAGCGCCACTGCCGCTGCCGAACAAAATACGTCGCAGCATGTGGCTGTTTGTAGTGGACGGAGACGAGGCGAAGTGAATGCTTCGGTGCAGAGGCGCACGCGCAACTGTGATCTCCCGAAAAAAAAAAAATGATATTAATAATAAAGGGGGGTAATGTGAGTGCTGCGGTGTTCGGTGGTTGGTTTTTGTAGTCCCTACAGAACCGAGTCAGCAGGTCGAAACAGACAAAGAAAAAAGAGTTAAGTTGAATTGGTAGAAGTGAACAGAAAAGATAGGAAGAGTAGCTGGCGATGAAAGGCAAGAGAAAAAATGGCGGTGCTCCATTTATTGCTTCCTCTCTTTTTCAAGAACAGACAATGCGTGAATTGTAATCGTGCCTGATAGAAATACCGTTGCTGCGGAGCAATCCCCAACCGCTCGAGAAGGTGCAGTGTCATTGAAAGAGTCCCGTTTGGGTCGGCAGCTTCCCTTCTGCGTTTAGCTTGTAGAGAGTTTTTACCACACAACCTCATCAAACGGCTGTAACAGAGATGTGCGTTCATGTTTAGCGATACTGTACCCTTCTCATGCAGAAGAAAGTGCAAAAGAAATGTTGGAAAAAAGAAACTTGACACGAAGGCATGCAAGCCACTCGATGAAGAAAGAGGGGCAGTAAAGCACGCTTCAACTGTTAGAGAATAGAAGAAGAGAAACAAACAAAAAACATCGCACACACGACATCAATACGTACTCTCCCTCCTAAAGATTGCTTCGCACAACGCGTGGAACCGGATGATACATGTCATACCGACAGAACGTAAAAGGCAAATCATTCTCCGTTGCAGCGCAAACGAAGCCATTTTTTTTTTCGTAGAAAGGGCGAGCCTGCCAGCTCATCGTATGCAGCGTTACGTCATCGCAAGCGTGCTCACGCGCGATCTCATCAATCTTCCTCAGCACCGCGGAGCCTACGCCGCGCCTCTTTCTGCCCTTCATCACGGTCAATATGTGCACGTAGAGCATGTTCCAATAGATCTTGTACATGCACAGCGCGGCCAGTGAGCCATCAGACTGCAGGGCCTTCAAGCCGTACGTGACTTCTTTACGGGGATAAACGTCCGGCAGGTTGTGTCGCTCCGCGTCCGCGCGAATCCACTCGTCCAACTGCACCGTGGCCTCCTTCGTGTCCCACTCCGCCACCACCAGATTCGTTGCCGCGGCGTCGTAGCCCTGTGGCGGCTCATCTCGAAAGCCCATGGGCCACTCCTTCGCCAGGTAGTACGTTGCGTGGCCACGCGGGAGATTCTCCTGTTTCCACTGCACCTTGTAGCCCAACTTCTCGAAGAAGTGCCGCGGCTGCCAACTGAGCACTTGCACGCGCATTTGATTGCACGCCAGCTCCCCTCGAGCCGCTTCCTCGATGCACTTCATGAGGGCGGTACCAACGCCACGCTGACGGAAGTCCGGATGGACGGCGACGTGAGAGATTTCCACACAGTTCCACAGAGAAGTACCGGCAACGCCACCAACTACACGGCCGTCCTTCGCCTTCGCCACTTTCGCAAACATCACAGGCGCATACGGGGGAACAGGCAGCTGCTGCCGAAAGATGTCATCGATGAAGACGTCCTTCGCCTTCTCGGTCAAGGAGGCGATGTCGTCCGTCGCCTCAAACGTCAAGTCGCACGCTGGCTTGGTGGGCATTTCGTAGCGATCGATGATTGCGGGGTGAATGTTCGATGTGCTTCATATAGTGCCCCTTTCGATAGAGTGACGGTGTGCGTTGTGTGTGATCCTTCGAAATTACAAGGTTTGTTTTTTGCAGCGAGACGAACGATGAAAGCGGAAAATGAGAGCATTGCAACGAGCCCATGAAGCACAGAAAGTGGGTTTTAAAAGACGGCTTCCTTGGGTGCCTACTGAGAATGCACCACTTACGCCGTGTTGATGCGAGATTCCGATGATATGATCTCTTCTTCTTCTTTGGAAATTTTGTTTTTTGCATTAATGGTTTTCTTTATATTCCGTTCTATCCACAACACCAAAGAGCGCTGAATAGAATCCTTTTGCACGTATTAGCAGAGGTGAGAGCACCAAGAAATAAAAGAGAAAAATACTCCAACAAGGAAGCACACGTCTCACCATCTCACACCACCGCATGTTCGCCTTGTGTGTACGACTCCGCGGCCTTCGTGCAGCAAAATGCTTGAAAGTGATGATTGAGCGACGGGATGCCGTGGACGTGGTAACGCCCACCGAGGCCGCCGTGCACTGGATTGGGGAAAAGAAAGAAGACGCGCTGGATGCGGCTGTGGACGAGGGCCATGGCACACATCACGCACGGCTCGTGTGTCACATACAAATCAAGCCCATTCGCAAGGTAGGGCCGACTGCTGTCCACTTGGCGAGGCCCGTCTGCTGCCTCAGACGATGCGATGCTTTCCTCCTCTTTTTCCGTCCCTGTTCCGTGGTGGTCGTCTCCGTGACGCTGCCGCTGCTGCTGGTGTGCTGCGGCGGCGAGTTGCTTCAGTGCGTACATAACGGGGTGCTCCAGCACGATACGTGGCTGTTCCCGCCGCGGCCGCTGCCTCGACGGTTCTTTTGCGGAAATCAGATGCTCCTCCATTTCCTCTTCTCGCTGATGTCGCGCAATCGCGTGACCGCAATAGGGTGCTACGGCGATGGGGTTGTCCACACGCATCGAGCTGCACCCGGCGCTGGTCGCGAGCACCTCCTTTGTAATGGGATCCATCACCACCGCCACGATGTCCAGCAGATCGTATCCACTCGGCGCGTCATCGCCGGCTCCCGCACGAGCGTGCACCCCGCCTCTCGTCCCGCCGTTTCGCATTTCCACCTCGCGCCGGCCGTCTCGATGAACGCGTGTCCATTGCTGTCGAAGGTCAAGAACACACCGCCTTCCGCGACAGAGCGGGAAGACGTGCCGCTGCATGTCCTCACACACCTGCTGCGTCAGCGACGGTGCAGGCGGGGCCGGCGGACGCGGTTTCGGCACAGCCAACGGCCAACGCACGTTTGCGCACGCCCACACGGAAGGGTTCTGCCGAGGCGCCGAGGCGGGCACGAGAAGAACGCGAAACGAAAAGGCAGAACCGTTGCCCGTGCTCTCATAGCGGGCCGTGGAAGACTCTGTAGAGGTGGTGCTGCCCGTTCTTGTAGCCGGGGTAAGAACAGGGGCAGCAGCTTCTACAAAAGTCTGCAACTGTCTCGCTTGCGTCGGCAGCGCGCGTTCTGCGAGAAGTTCTTGTGCTTGCGAGACACTCAGCGACTCCTTTTCGAGTGTGATGGGCCACGCTGCTGTCCCTGGCATTGGGCTTACGCGCGACCTTCCTTGTGCCTGTGCGAACGCCGCTGTTGCATCGACACGTGGCTCTTGCACCGCCAAAAGAAGCTCCAAGCACACAGGTGAGTTTGCCAAGGAAGGAGAATCTTCACCCTTATCTGGCAGAGGCGTCGAAGAGGGGGCGTCAGATGTGGATGGGGCCGTCGGCTTCTGCGATGGTCGCGGGCGGAGTCGCTTCAAATGGTCCCCGTACTCCTCCAAAGGGCAGTGTTGATTCGCAAGACGGAGCAGCGATTGCGCCAGTTTTGGTTGGGTGATGGTGAGCACCAATGCGGCGGTGCACGTGAAGTCCGGCTCGCAGAGGACAACCTCCTCCATTGCCGAAGATGATGCGTTGTTTTATTTCCTCCACTGCGAGAAGCCGCACTGCAAAGGCAAACAAAGAAAAACGAAAATCGTTCCTTTGAGGGGGTGCGTGGTTGGGGTTGTGTGCGAGTGTGAAAAGAAAAAAGAATAGCAGAAGAGAAACAAAGAAAAGGGTAAGGGACTTCCACGTTGCTCGTCTTTCTCATGCGAAGGAGGAGCTCCAATACACAAAGCCCTAGCGCTCTTTCGTCTTCGCTCATCAAATATCAATGGCCGGCCTTCCGGAGAGGTGCGTGACGTCTGTTTGTGCACTCAGACCCCAATAATCTCCTTTTGTATGCTCTTCATCTTTTTTCTTTCTTTCCGACAACTGCGGGAGTGAGGATCGACGTCCATGCACCGCATCACAGAGGAGGGGGAACCGCATCTCGAAGCGGAGACACGTACCGCAGGCGGTGGACCGATAAGTGTTCCCCGGTATACCGCGCAGCCACCTCGACGGTCTCCAGCACGTCTCCTTCCGGCACAGCCACCCCTGTTTGTTCCAGGTACGCTCGAAACGCCCGCTGCGCAAAGTCCATCACATCCGCCACTTCATTTTCCGTAACCAGGACAAGGTAGCACGTCCCACGTCGAGACATCGCCGCGGGAAGCTGGCGCACGAAACGATCCAGCACAACACGTCCACGCGGGCCACCGCACCAGGCTGCCGTAATGACGTCCTTCTGTGCGATGGCCTCTTCGAGTTCCTCAAGAGAAGTGGGAACATATGGCGGGTTGAACAGAATCACGTCGAAGACGGCATCCTTCTCGCCCAATGAGCGGCGTACAGGATCAAACAGATCGCCTTGAAAGCGCCGCAGGCAATACGTGGACAGGAGCACATTTGAGATGCCACTAGAGGTTCTACCGACACTAGTCGCTGTCGCAACCCTTCTTGGAAACGGCGTCGACACAGACGGTGAAGGTGAGTTGCTCGCTTCTCTTTCTTCTTCGACACTCTGGTTCCCAGAGGAGGCAACGGCGACCACCGGTGCCGCCAGCAACGTCGGGACATCGGTATGGAATAGGCGGCTAAAGTGATCTGCGAGAACAGCGGAAGTGAAGTGTTTGCGGAGCGTCTCTGTCCACGTTATGCCGGTGGCCTCGAGAGCCAGCGGGTTGACGTCCACCGCACAGAACAGCGGGCCTCCGACGACAGTAGATGCCGCGGCGGTGCTGTGACGCTCCGAAGGTTGTTCTTCTTCCGCACCTTCAGCATTTGCACCAGAAGAAGACGGCATTAGCCGGCATCGCAGATGGGTGATGACGGTGCCGGAGCCGCACCCAATCTCGATGCAGCGGCTCGGGGAGAGCTGACGCAGCAGGTCGGTGTCCTTGTCCAGCGCCTCCAGAAACAAAAATGTGTCCGCCTCCGGCTCGTATACGCTGCGGCGGAAGCGCGCATCGCGTATGCAGTGTGTGTACTCGGGTGTGGAGTAGCTGGCTGACATTGCTCCTGCGTGCTTTGAGCTGAGCAGCCGCGTTGTACGGTGTGTTAGTAGTTGAACGTGCTATTTGAGCAAGAGCAGAAAGATGCAGAAAGGAAAGCGTCCGTTGACGTCGAGACAAGTGTGGCTCACTAAAAGCACAGCTACGGTGACGCGGAGACAGGAAAAGAAGCATCATGCGCGTGCGTCTTTGGATGCCGCCTTCGACACACCGTTTGATTCGGAAAAAAAAATTGTCTCCTTTCTTGGAGGCACGTTTTCACTGACCAGTGGCTGAGCAGAGCGCAGTACAGTTTAAAGTGTGTGTTTTTGGCGGTCTAGGTCTCTCACATGAAAAGTGGGGAAAGAAACGAATAGCTGGAACGTAAAGATACGGAGTTATTGTACGTTGAAAAACAAAAGGAAAGAAAGAAAAAGTGTTCTTGTCACACAGGCGTCTAGTGTCTATCGGATTAAAGGAAAAGAAAAGATATGTGTATTGCACAAAACAGCGGGGGGGGATGTAATAAGCGGTGCACACCCGCTGAAACACCGAAACGCGAGCGTGATGAAAAGGTGAGCTTCAACCTTACAACAATAGCAAAGTTGCAATCAATATAGCACGAGCTGTCGCGTCAACAGTCAGCACGCCCTCGCCATCTTCTCAGCGCGTTCATTTCTCTGCGATCGCAGGCTCGGTGGCCTCAAGTCGCATAAGCAAATGATCCGTCGCAACGGCTAGCTGGGCGAAAGTGGGAATGAACGCACGCAGGTGGCGGCACCGCTCCGCCTCAAAGGTGAGGTGATGCGCGAGTGTTTCGGCATTACCTGCCGTTGCGGTGCGCGGCACAGGTGGGAGAAGTAGAAGTTGCTGCTGCACAAAGTCCTCTCGCAACGGCGATCCGTTGAGCTGTGAGATGGACGTTGACGGGGAGGGGCTCGTCGCCGGTTTCTCTGCGATGTGTCGCAGCGACTCCGCCAGCGCCGCCACCGCCTCGTGGTGTTCCGCCAGCACCTGCGCCGAAATGTGCGAGAGCGGGTCGGTGGGGGAGGGGTGAAAGCGGCGCAGCCGCTGCTTGAGGGCGGCCTGTGCGCACTCCAGTTGAGCCTGTAAAGAGGCACACCCAGCCAGGAGAGCCGCCGCCACGCCGCGCGTCGCAGTGTTCTCTGCTTGCAGAAAAGAAAGCGAGAGCGAGGAGCCCTTGTGGGCAGGTGAGTTGTGGAGGCCACCGTTGCCGCGATACGCGTGAACTGTCCTTCCATCCTTCACCGCCCCTTCCCCGACTGCCGTGCTCGCCTCAGACGCCGTGTCGTCGCCACGCGTCGATTGACCTCTTCCTGACACCGCGGCTGCCGACGTGGGCGAGTTTTGCAAGAGGTCCAGCAAGCGATCCTTCTCATCTCGCACGTGGGCCAACTCCTTCTGAAAGTATTCCACGCGTTCTCGCACAACGTCGCACATTTTGCATGTGGTCAAAGGCACGTCACCACCGTCTGCCAGTGGCGGCGTCGGAGACGATGGCGATGCCCGTCCACCCAGAGGGGCGTCCGCCGCCGTCGCCGCCGTGAGCGAGCGGAGCAAACGCTCCTGCAGCCGCGCCACCTCCTGCTCCAGATGCCGGTTGCGCCAGCGGAGTTCCTCCAGCGCGATATCCGTCACTCGCTGCCCCGGTGCAGATGGGTGCAGCGATGGGGCGAGATGCCGCGCAGGGCTGTGCTCCGCAGTCGTGTCAGCGTTGCCTCCGCTGCTGCCATTGCTCAACAAATTAGCGCTCTTCTCCTCCTCGACGTCGGTGGCGGTGTCGTACAGCCGGCGCGCACGAGGTAAAGAGCGGCGCCTACTGCTGTTCCGCTGCACCGCTGGACCTCCGCCGCTGTCCTTCCCTGTACGCGCCACGGAAGAAGCTGTGGACGACACGAGAGATGCTTGTTGCCGCTGAGGCGCCCCTGCTGCTCTGGTAGATCCGTGCGACGGCACCGAGAGCTCATTCGGCACAATTCTCGACAGTGTCGCCTCCCGTGCGCGGTAGGTGGCGTCCCGGCGAAACAGCATCACCTCCTTGCGCAGTCGCGTCAACTGCGCCTCCAGTTCACTCTTCTCCTCCCGCACCTGCCGGAGCTCCCGCACCACCGCCGAGTCCTGCCGCTTCTGCCGACTTGTGTCCTTTTCGAGCACGCGAACCTGCTGCAGCAGTTTCTGCACCAGTTGCGCGTAGTCGGCATTTTCCTGTTTGGCCTTACTGTGCGCACGCTGAAGGTCGACCCACAAACGCGACTTGCTTCGCAGCTCCAGTTCAACGCGCTCCTTCGCCCGCACCGCCTCGTCACGTCTTGCTTTCAGCGCTTGGCTGCTCGTCTCCATGTCTTGCACCTGTGCTTCAAGCATCGCTACTCGTCGCCTCAGCTGCGCCTCTCGCGCTCGTTGCTGTCCGCCGTCTGCGGTGGTTACACTCGAAGGCGGCAGCTGTGCGGGCGTGGACTCGCGATGATGACTGCTGCTGTTAATGGCCGAGGTGCCGCGTTCTGCTTGACCCACATGTTTCTGCAGCCCCGATCCTGAAGTAGAAGTGATGCTGCTGCGACTGCTGCTATTCGGGCCCTCAGGTCCTTCTCCTGTGCTGTCCACATGGCTTGTGTTTCGTGGCGGGCCACTCACACCACTCACTGTGTCGTTGTTGTTGTCGTGCGGTCGCTCCGCACCATTCCCGCGGTGGGGTCTACCCTCTCCGTCAAAGGAGACAGACGGCGGCGCGGCAGGGCGTGAAAACAGCTTCGGCGGTCCCCTCGACACCCCAGCCCCCTCGTCGGCAGTATTCGTTGATGACGCTGCAAAATACCTGGAAAAGTTCTCCCTGCCGTTGTGGCCGCCGATGTCGCTGGTCTCGTTGATCCGCCACGCCTCGACGGTGGACCCAAAGTGTAATACGCGCATTGTCTGTCGTGTTGTGTCCTGTGGGGCGGGCAGGCACACCACCTGCACCGTGGCCTGCGGCGTGAAGTTCCGTAGCAACAAGTCACGCAGAGGCGTGTGCGGTGGGTAGGTGCGCTGATCCCCCGCCCCATCCATGCCGAGGAGCAGCGTCAGTTGCTGCAGCAGCTCCTGCGAGCTCGCCGTGTCCACCACCACGAGTCGACCGTAGCCGTCGAAGTCCACCGTGACGACGCAGGCCGTTTGTCCCTCCAGCGACGTCGTCGACTCCTCCATCGCGGCGTGACGCTCCTCGAGCAGCTGCAGCAGCGTGCCCCACCCCGTTGCCGAGGTGCGCCGGTGCAGCGTGAGGTGCTGCGCCTCGGTGACGTCTCGAATGCGACGGCCATCGTGCAGGTTGTCCAGCAGCACGCGCTCCGTGGCAGAGGCCGTCACCACGGATAGCCGCGCCACCGCACAGTTTTCTAAGTTGCGGAACAGCAAGGGAAAAAGCTGTCGGTAGAGGCCCATGGTGGTGGAGGTAACCTCGGCGATGCCGGCATTTTTGGAGAAGGGAAGTGGGGCAGTGGTTGCCGAGGACGCCGCTGCCGAAAACGAAGAAACGAGTTCGGAGTTCGGTGTAGCAACGACAAGCGTTGCGTTGCCGCCTTCCCGGAGAGCCGCGAGAAGAGGTCCGTTGATGTGCTTCACGTAGTCGTGGGCGGGACTGAGAACGTGCGAGAACAGAAGGGACTGCAGCCGACCTTGGTAGAGCACCCGTATGCCATCTTCGAAGACGCCTTGGAAGAAGTTTGTGTCCTCGCGTGCGCAGTGCGGAATGACGCAATACGTTCGCACAGACATCTTCTTGAGGAATGCTCTTTGTTTCTCACCCCTCCACCTTGCGCAGTGGACAAGGAAGATGTATAATTAAAAAAAGACTGCAAAGCGAAGTGAGAGAAGGAGATTGAAGTTGTTTACCGACACGGCGAAAAAGAAGGAGAGGAACAGAAGCCATTCAGCGATACAGCTTGAGGACACTGGACAAAGCTGCATTGAAACTGAGAAAAAATCCTTCTCAAATGCTTCCAAGTTTGTATTTTCTTTTGCATGAAAAACTAGTGTGAAGCACCGCTTCGCAAATGTTTTTGGATATATATATAAGCTGACATAAAACCTTTTCTGTTGATGATGAAACGCGCAGATGATCTGCGCCGGGTGGATTCGGTCGATCCGCACAAGTATATACCGTCTTTAAACTTGAGTAGTGTGACTCGGCGACTCTGGTGGCAGATCCAAAACAGTAGCAATATAGAAAATCATAATAATAATAGTGGAAAGAAAAAAACAAGGAAAGGTGACATCCAACCAGACGCTGGCATGCCAAATCAAAAACCAAAAAAAAAGACATTTATAGTGTACACAATCAACACTTGATCCTCGACAGAAGAAAACTAACAGCGGCAATCACAAAAAAAGGAGCGTGTATTCGGTAGCCAAAAGATATATTCGCCTTCGCCGGAAGTGCACCAGAAACAAAAACGAAGAAAAAGGTAAGAAACATCGGTATCCAACAGAGAAGGAGAGCACCGTTTGGAAAGGCACAAAGAGGAGCTAACAATACATATTGCAGCGCAGAGTAAACTGGCGGAGCCAACCAAGAAAACAGCACATTGCTCTACAGTAAAACACAAAGTACGAAAGAAGACCGAAGCGAATTAGAGCATATGTTATTTTTCAAAGAAGCTGACTTTAAAAAAGAAAAAGACGAGTCGGAGAAATCGATAGCCAAAAAGATCCGGAGCAGTGACATCAGGAAACAGCGAGCAGCACAACCGAACCATGTTTTAATTTTTTTTCGTTTTGCGGGTTTAGTGTATTTGCTTTTTCTTTTTTCCCTGTATCCTCCCGCAGTCGTTATTTGCACAAAACGTCAGTACACGGTTTTGAGAACGAGCGGAGACGTACTCGGTTATGGCTCTTCCGTTTCAGCGTAGTCGCTGTGTGTGTGTGTGTGTGTGCTCAGTATTCCTTGTGGAAAAGAAAGCTCGGTAAACCAGCTACACTTCAAAAAGAAGAAAGAGAGAGACCTACTGTCGGCATCTCCAAAATCGAGCCAGCTTTTCAAGGAAAAAGACATCTACGACGTGAAGCTTGAGATGTATTTCAAAATACATATATCTTTTTTTCGGCGTTTGTGTGTCATCGCTACGTTCCTTTTCGTTCTCACTGATCCATCAACAGCGTGCTCACCCACACTCTTGCTAGACCCACACACACACACATACACACCCTTCGGCACGAGTACATCACAGTCGAAGAAGACAAATCGCCACTTCATCGTTTAAACAGCAGTTTT